GGGGTGATGCTGTGGCTTGGGGATAGAGGGTGAGGGTGGATGCTGTGGTTTTGGGAGAGAGAGAGAGAGAGAGAGAGAGGGAGAGAGAGAGAGAGAGGGAGAGAGAGAGGGAGGCAAAGAGAGGGAAAAGAGGGTGTGTGTTTCAGGGGGGAAGTAGGGGAATTAGTCAGGGCTGTGGAGATGCTGCTTCGGCGGTGGATGTCTGGCGTTGGGTTGCTCATGGGGGTTTTGGCTATTTGGTTGTTTGGCTGTTTAGTATTAGGATGATGGGAATGAATGTGGTGGTGTTTGAGGATACTATAGTCCTGTATTTTGGAGTCGTTGATGTCTCGGGACAGGACAACGTACGGGCGAGGCCACGAGGACGAGAATGCACAAATGCACTACCTCCCTTCACTTCACTTTACCCCGTCCACATACCCGCCTCAGAGGCCAGAGGAAGAAAGGAGGTGAATCTGTCACGATATTCTACAGCAGGCGAGGTGTCAGATGGCTAGAAAAGGTAGAGGCTTACTTACAGCCTCGGTAGCTGGTAGGCTGATATCTGGTAGTTGCAATTTTTGCTATAGATAGACAGGGAGTGGGCATGGGAGGTGGTGTTTGTGTCTATATACTCTTTCTACAGTTGTGCCTGGACGAAGAGCGGGAAAGCGAGAGGAAGAGAGAAGAGCGAGCATGCAGGCAGAGTGTACCGCTGTATATGTATAACTTATATATATCTCCATATATAATTTTTATAATTTTCCGTAGAGGTATAACCTATATCCTTCTCGTTGTATGTAATTCTATTCGTCTATACTCTATAGCTCTATGTGTTTACGGGTATATATGATACAACAAGTCAATACTACATATGCATAATTACGACTGTAGCTACCTGCCCTAGGTACCTCTACGGACTATGCGTACAGCTATATACAGCTACAGCTACCCCTACATATCTATCCATTTATCCGTAGCCTACTTAGGTAGAGAAGCCACAGCTACAGCAGCTGTAGCTGACCAGGGAGGTACGTCACCCATGCCATGTGCTCCTCCAGGCCGTACACGTACCCACGTGTACAAGAGCAGCGAACACTCGCCCTCCCCAGCAAACCAACCCTTCGAAACAAGGTAGATGACCTGACGAAAAGGAGATAAGGAGAGACTTGAGATGGATGAGAATCAAGGCTCGACGGACGAGCTAAACGCACACATCACTCGACGTACACACAGCGGTAGTAGACACGGCTGTATATCCATATCCATCCACATATATAGCCCTACAATAGAGACACAGAGTCAAGTACAGAACACGCAGAACACGCAGGACGCAAGAGGATCGATGATGGAGAGGAGATAGAAGACCAGAGAGGGTCAATGACGTATATATATATAACGAGTGTTTTGCATGTGATGTATAATTCAAAGAAGAGAGTAGGGACAGAAGAGAGGAGGGATAGGAGAGGAAGGAGAGGAAGGAGAGGAAGGAGAGGAAGGAGAGGAAGGAGAGGAAGGAGAGGAAGGAGAGGACGACGATGATAAAAAGAATGAAATAACAACAACGACAACAAAATAGTAGTAGTAGTAGTAGTAGTAGTAGTAGTAGTAGTAGTAGTAGTAGTAGTAGTAGTAGTAGTAGTAGTCCACACCATCAATCATTACTTGCTTGCAAGCGGTGAATCAAGCACGCCTCTCGCATCGACGAAGCCAAAGTGTCAAGACCAACAAATTCTGTATTCGCCAGGACATTTCAAGGCCAACAAAAAAAAAAGCTCCGGACATCCCGGGCGTCGCAGCGCGTGGCAGGGCAGGGGTACATGGGCGCATCGGCAGCACACAGCACAGCACATCGCAGGACGACGGCGGCAGATCGACGATCAGCAGGAGGGCGAAACATGGTGGGATCTGAGGTATGCTATGCCATGCTATGTATGCCATGCTGAGATGAGATGAGATGAGATGAGATGGGGTGAGGTGAGACAAGACAAGGCAAGACAAGACAAGAGAAGACAAGACAAGAAACAAGAAAGAGCATGGGGCAATGACGGCATTCAAGAACGGCGAATAGGGCAGGAAACGGCGAGGCCAGTGCGCGTCGTCTTCCAAGTTCCTGGGCAAAGTAGTAGTTACGTATTGAATGGATGTACAGGTATAATTAGTATGCAGTACAGTAGTAAGTAAGTAAGTAAGTAAGTAAAGTAGTATGCAGTACAGTAGTAAGTAAGTAAGTAAGTAAGTAAAGTAGCGCGCATCAATCATCGAACAAACAAAACCACAATTAATAAGCGGACAAGTGCATCATGAGAGTTTGTTGGAGTTTGAAGCACACGGAAAAGAGAGAGAGAGAGAGCCGTAGAATCGATTATTATAGCAGGGAAGTCCCCCTGCTTTCTCTTCCCCGGGTGATGAAGACGAGTCAGGGGAGAGAGTTACGGTAATAGTTAGGCATGGATGGATGGATGTTTGCCAAGACTACGATTCGCGATTCGCGATTCGCGATTGCAGTGCGGCTCTGGCACGCACGCAGAGTCGCAGAGTCGCAGACTGGCACACGGGGCAGGCTATAGGTTCCTGAGAGGTGTTGTGTGTGTTTAGCGTGTTGACGACGACCGACGACTGTCTGTCTGTCTGGGATGATGCCTATTGATGGGAGGATTGGTAATTAATGGAGTAGTAGTAGGGCACCGCGTCACTTGGCTGACTGACTGACCGCGGACGACGTCGCGTCGAGTCTCGAGCGAGGCAAACATCGAGGCGACTCTGCAGGATAATGGATTACAAGGGTAGTAGCTTGCTCCTCTCCTGCAATCTGTCTGCCTCAGCCTTCACGGGAGAGCGGGTGTTGGGGGAGGAGAAGGGAGTTTGGATGGCGGCCAACAGAGCGGTGAGGGCGAAGGGAAGGCCCATGACACGAGCAACAGCAGCAGCAGCGGGACGCCGCAACGATCAAGCATGTTCGGCGGGCGACCCGCGACGGTGGGATGATGCTGGCGTGATGATTTATGGCAAGCGGCGTGCCTCTATCTGGTTGGAGAGTTGGGTCCGGTATAGCATAGATAGCAGACATGTAGTACTTACTGTAATCAAGTGAAGGGAGAGAAGGATGGGCAAGACCCGAGGAAAAGGGTGAATACGAAGGGGGAGTGGAATATGTGCGAGAGCGACGAGCAGCAGTCCATCTCGTACAAAGGCTCCAAAGTGGAAAGCAAATTCGGATTTCCGCGGCACACAAGACAAGGGCAGCTAATTGATTAATTAGGTAGAGATGGAAAGCTGCCATGAATGTACTCTGCTCTCTCGCAACACCAACCGCTATTATTGCAAGTGTGCAGGCAGAGAGAGAGAGAGAGAGAGAGCAGACAAAGGCCGTTCACGGAGGCAGGACGGCGGCTGCATGACGGGTGCGTAAGCGTAGAGATAAGAGTGGTGGTGGTGATAAGCAGCAGCAGCAGCAGCAGGCAAGCCGATGATGATGATGATGATGATGGACTGACATTCTGCTTCAGACATACACACGGGTGGCGTGCTTTGATGGAGGATGGATGGATGGACGGATGGAAGAGTGGTACGCAGGAGTGTGATGATATAGCAAGAAGAAGACGGTTACACCAAACACGACACCACAACCACACAACCACACAAGCACACCACAAGCACACCACACACCGCGCCGTTGGAAAAGCATCGTGGAAGATCGTCGGCGCCGCCACTGTCTGATCGCTGATCTTTCTTGGATGGAACCCACGCACGCACTGCGCACTGAGCACTGAGCACCGAGCACCGAGCACAGAGCACCCGGGGCAGCAGCAGCACCAAAATTGGGCGAAATCTCAATTCGCAGGACCGGGGTGCATTGCATTTGCTTGCATTCGCTTGCATTCGCTTGCATTGCATGGCATGCAGCATCCTTTTTCAAAAACTTCTTCTCTGCGCCTCACATCCATCCTCATCGGCGAGCGAGCACGGCGCACATGGCTGTCCCGGTCGGCCGTTTTTCGCCAATGCACGCACGCACACACACACATCCCATCCAATCCATCCATCCATCATCCCACTGCCTGCTCCACCGGCGGATATGTATATAAATATATATACACATCTAGATGCGTGTTTCAGTGTCCAATTGATAGACATGTTTATGTCGAGAGATGCGAATAATGATACTAGATTTGTGCAAGTATCAATCTGTATACATACAGGACAGGTAGTGCACGCCAGCGCCAGACGGCACGATCGGCGGCCTCCGCTTTCGTTTGAACTAAGAATTAGGTGACGGGCAAAAGATGGGCGGGCGCAGACTTTTCTAGGCGGCAAGACGAGATGATGGAGTGGGCAGATGATGGTGGCCATCTACCGGCACGAGTCTTTCTTCTGTCGGTCGGATCTTGCGGACAATGCAGACAGGCAGACAGGCAGACATGCAGGAATGCGGGGAAAGAAGAAAGTGTACGATGCAGAATGCAGAATGCAAGATTGTCGGCCAATCGACTGACGAGGACGGGCGCGCGCGCGGGGCAGAGAGGAAGATGAGGAGGAGGAGGAGGAGGAGGAGGAGGAGGAGGAGGAGGAGAGGACTCGTTACGTGAGAGAGAGAGAGAGGGAAGGGTTAATGGATTAATTAGTGGCGCGCGCAGAGACGGCAGAAGATGCAGAGCAGGCCTTTGTTCCCCATTGCTTGCTCAAGCATCAACAGGACGTTGACAGGACGTTTCAAGTGAAGTGATGTGCATGCAGGAACAGAGAAGACACACGGCGACCTTGCAGTTGGTAAGTTGTTGTTCATGATGCTGAGCATGTCACGTAATAGTCGGAGTGGCAGTAATTAGCAGTAATTACAGTATGGAACGATCAACCAGCCAGCACCATCAGCATCAGCACCAGCACCAGCACCAACATCGGCATCATCAGCATCATCATCATCATCATCAAACGACAATGACATGCGTTTCAAGGCCGGCCAAGGGAGGGAGGAGGAGACGAGGAATGAATGAATGAATTGGCCAGTGAGAGAAGGGGAGGAGCAGACCGCCTTTTTGTCGAGATTGAGTGGTAAGTGGTAGTAGTGGTAATAGTAGTATTAGTAGTAGTCAGAGTCAAGACGGACGGGGGCTTTGCCACAGCCCACAGGCGCAAAACACGACCCAAGACAAGGCCGTTTTGACTTTTTTGGGTGGGCCCCACGTCCCGGGAATAGCTGCACTCTCTCTCTCTCTCTCTGCACTCTCTCTCTGCACATGGGAGGGGGGGTCTATTACACAGAGTACGGTCTGCCATGGTTTGCACTACCTGCTTGTCTACCTACCTACGCTCCCACAGTCCACGTCTCTCCTGAAAGACGGGGTGGACAGTGGTTCCTTTACTTGTGGCTGAGAGAGAGAGAGAGAGTGGGCAGACTGACTTTCAAGGAGGCTGGCAAGCTTTGGTAGGAGAGAGGAGAGAGGAGAGCGGCGTACTAAGAATGGCTTGCTTACCTTATCAGCCTAATTACCACTGGTAGTGTACTGATGAGTGTACTGTACTGTACTGTATTCAAGCAGCCTACACAACGCGCACTGGGTGACATCATGTTGCTGCTTGTCAGGCTCTCCAGGCTGTATTATTGAAGTAAGAAGTTGGAAGCCGGCGGCGGCAAGCTGAAGTAAGTAAGCAAGCAGCGACAACGACGACGAGGCAACACGCGCAGACGCCAGCCGACGATGATGGGCTACAGTACAGTAGTAGTCTTGTTGACGACAACAATCATTACTTCTGACAATTAACAGTCAGTGCCGTCGTCACCTAATAATTGATCAACGAGAACTTCTGTGCGTCTGACTAATTAACGCTGGACGCTGCACGGTGCAGCCGGCTGTTGGTGCTGGCCCGTGCCCCCGCCAGAAAAGGCGTGTGTGGCTTGCTTGCTGGGCCGGCGTTCGGTGGCCAAGACGAATGTTGTGCAGCGATCAATCAACCGCCTTTTGCATCCCAATACACAACACCCAGATAAATCATTACTGACATTCACTCTCGCTCTACTGACATAACATATACTGCCCAAATCCGTCTTCCTGCGGCGACTTTCTCCCATACAATATATATATATATATATATTGTAATTGGCAATCCGAGTGTGTGCTGGTCTCGGTGCTGGGGAAAATGAATGCCCCGAGCAGTAGATAGTTAGTATTGTATCATGTCGTCGGGACGCGAAGAAAAGTGGCTCTCTCCTCTGTCGTGTGTGCGTGGAGACTGTCAATCATTGTTGGAGACGGGCCCATCTACTGTATTATATGGAGTTCTGGAGGTGGAGTCTGGAGTAGTAGTGAATGGATTACTGGCATAATATCTGTTCGAGCTCTCACTATCGCCTGCCTGTCTGTCGCGCATCTCTAGGCCGATGCTTCTACACCCTGTCCCTGTCCCTATCCCTATCCCTGTCTCTGTCCTTGTCCCTGTCCATATCCTTGTCCATAGCTGGTCCTTGTTGTAGATAATATGTGTGTGTGTGTGTGTGTGTGTGTGTGTGTGTGTAGAGATAGCGAGAGAGTGAGAGAGCCCCTCTCTCACTCTCTCGGCTTTCGCTAGATGCGGCGGCGGCGGGGCCACGTACAGTAGCGAGGCTGCCCCCCCGGTCTGTTGGGGGTCGATCCATCATCATCCATCTCGATAACTGGCTACTACTCTACATACAATACTTGGTTACAGACCGAACAGAACCTACATTATCGCAATCCTCGTCCTCGTCCTCGTCAACTTGCCTGCCTGCCTGCGACACACTAATCACTCTGGTACTCTTATTACTGCCCGGAACACGGGAGGGACATGGCGCCATCACTACACTCAGCCCACCTACACACACACATCCTCTCTCTCTCTCTTCTCGTGCTCGGACATGTATGAATGAGCAGGAGTTTTTGTTGTTTGCGTGCGGACCGCGCGATGGCCAATATCAATCAATTGTGTCGATACATTGATACGTTGATGGAGTGTTGAAATCAATCCATCAATCATGACTGTGAATGAATTGGATGGGTGGCGGGCCCTATCTCTCTCTCTCCTCCTCCTCCTCCCAAGCAACTAGTAGAATAATACAAGCGACTTAAACTGCTAGTCTTGTTGTGCACAGGCCGCCTCTTCATCAACCCCCCCTCCCTTCAATATCCACTTTTTGACAGTCAAACTCTCCCCCCCCCAAAGAGAAAAAGTCCCAAAACTCCCAGAATCCCTGGCCGCCTTCCGAGTGGAAATCGATGCGAGCCATCAAGCGACGAAACCGATGAAGCCCGTGGTGAAGAGAAGCCATCGACCAAACCTCCACCGTCCCCATCCATCCATTATTATCATCCATTTTCCCCTACGAACCCGAGAACCATCCCAAACCCTCCTCTCAACCCATCTTCTTCTTCTCTCTCTCTTTCCCCCCCCCTCCCCCCAAAATAATCCCCCATCCCATCTTTCCCCAATTCATCTTCCGTCCCATCGCCTCAACCAGCTTTTTCTCCTCTCCTCTCCTCTCTCCACCCGCTCTCTCACTCTCACTCTCACACACACTCTCTCTCTCCTCCTCACCTATTACCTCTTCTCCCCCCCCTCTCCCATAAATCCTCACACAGGTCCGAGCCTGCCCTACTTCTTCCTCTTCCTCCTCCTCCTCTTCTCCCTTTCAATCAACTCCTCTAATTCCGACCCTCTGCCCTCCATCCTGCAAGGTCGTCGAAAAAGGCGAGACACGAGAGACTCCTTTGGCATACTGCTTGCCTCTCGAGAGCACACACATACACACTCAATACACACCCATCACCGCCACGATAACATAGTTCGTGCAGCAGGAACATTCCTCCGACACCGCTCGAGAGTTGCCGCCGCCTCCGTATTGTGCTCGACAGTTCCTGCAACGCTGTCGACACTTCCTCCTACGCCGCTTCACAAACACACCCACACACACATAACATACACAGTCACAGTCACAGTCACTTCACTCGTGATAGCTGTGTGTTCCTGTCGAGATCCGTTGCGGCTTTGACTAGTCGTCATTTCCGGTCTCACTTCCCTGCCTACCTATCTAGTGCTATCAAATAAAAGCACAGTCTTGGCAAAGACGCGCGCCCCGGACGAGATATTCTAATTCCCTCTGTGAGTACCAGACAACCAGAGTCACTGTTCGCCGTGTCTACCCTATCCCCCGTCACCCTCCACCATTCACCCTCTCGCTTGCCTAAACTCATCATCACAAACCACCCCACAAATCCTGCTGCCCGCTGACGATTTTGATGTCGACAGATAATTCTTTAATATCTTTTATGCCTTCGACGTCTTAGTTGACCTATCGAACAACGCACGCGTAACCCTATACAACACCGACCGGATGCCTTACACGCCTCCCTCCCAGCGATCTCCTGCATCGTCAAACCCAAACAGCCCTGTCATCAGTCGGACTCAGTCCTACAATGCCTCTGACCTGTCGGCGTCTGTAGCCGCAAGCTCCAGCCCGGGCACACACCTAGGCTCCTCCTCCTCCTCGTCTAGACCTGCCCTTCCTCGATCGCTATCCTCAACCTCATACCTGAACAAGCATCGGAGAACGCCTTCTCTGCCTCAGAACATACCGGCTGCCGTTCAGGAGCATGCGCGAACATCGCTTTCCGTCCCTCCCCGAGGCTCTCCGCAGAATGGCAGCGTTCGCCAGTCTCCTCCGCCTGTCAATAATCTGACCATCCCGTCCGGCGCCATTACCACACCACCCGACTCGGCACAAGGTTCTGATGATGATGACGAGAGGGGTCGCCAGTGGGGCAACCTTGCTGAGCTCCAGGAGGCCCTGTCGTCGATTGAAGTCCGACGAGACGCATCGCCAAGACGTGATGCCGATAGCCCGGCTGCTGCGCCTCTCCTTTGCACTCCCCAGCGATCTTTGACGCCCGAGGCCCGCAAGATTTCACACTCACGCTCGTCCAGCGACGTCCACCTGTCCAAACACTCGTCTGCAATCGCCGAATCGCCAGACAACACCTCGGACAGCGAGCTCGATGACGATGAGCTGCGGATAAAACCGCCTCTACTGAGGAAGAAGTCGGGCGAGCTCGTCAAGCCTGCCCTCCGTCCCTCGTCTCGCAGACGTCCCTCGAGCATGCCTGGAACCCCAACCTTTTCCAAGGCTGTCCACTTCAACGACAACATCGAGCAGGTACGCCACTTCCTCCAGGTCGACAAACCATCTGCAGTCAGCGCTGGTTCGTCACCGGTCGAGACTGCCTACGACAGCGAGTCCGAGTATCCCTTTGAGGGCCACTCCTCGTCCAAGAAGCTGGAGTGGGAGATCCGCCTGGCCAACTTCCCGCGCGAGACGTTTGAACGCAAGACGCTGCCCGTCCGCGTAGAGCGCATCTTCCTGTCTGCCGACACAAAGACCCTCATCGGTACTGTCGCAGTCGCCAACATCGCCTTCCACAAGTCCGTCACCGCCCGCTTCACTCTCGACTACTGGAAGACTACCTCCGAGGTCGTGGCCGAATACAACAACGATGTGCGCAAGAAGCAAGTCAATGACGGCTACGATCGATTCAACTTCAACATCAAGCTTGTCGATCAGGCAAACCTCGAGTCCAAGACTCTCTTGCTCTGCGTTCGCTACAACGTCGACGGCCAAGAGCACTGGGACAACAACTCAAACATGAACTACCAGGTCGACTTCATCAAGAAGATTAGGCAAAAGGCGCTGGCCAAATCAGCTGGTGGCTCCCCCGGTGGCTCCATGGGCGCCATCCCTCGCAGCCGTCACTCGCCCCCGTCTGCCCGCCCGCGATCCTTCCCCTCCCGCTCCTCCTTTGAGGACGACTTTGGCCACGGCTTCGATCCAAAGTTCCAGTTTGGCGCCCCGAAGCCGTTCATCGGCGACTCGCCAAACAACTCGATCAAGCTGAAGCCAAAGAGTAAGCGGCCCAGCATCTTCCCCGACCCGTCGTCATCATCATCATCTTCTTCCGGTCGTCCCTCACGAGGTGGTGGGCAGGCCTTCTCCACCCGCTACGACTTTGGGGCCTCGTTGAGCGCCGCCCTCACCAATGCCCAAAATGCACTTGGTGAGCGTAGCGGTATCATGCCCAAACTGCCTCACCTTGAATCAACCGCCCAGGATGTGTCTGCTGTCAAGGCTAATGATAATCTGTCTGTCCCTGTAGCCGCCTCGGCCTCGTCCTCCAACACGGCCGAGAAGCCTGGCCTGCAATCGGCCGAGTACAATGAACTGATACAGAAATTTTGCTTCGTACGTGAACCACCGCGAGTAGGATTGGCCTGAACCCCTCCCATCCGATGCTAATTGGCGACTGCAGTTTGGCTCTGGCTCCAGCTCTGGAAAAGACTCGCCTCTCCCGACTTCGACCGTCGTGGCGACCAAACAGCAACAACAACAACATCAACAACAACAACAACAACAACAAGAACAACAACAACAAGAACAACAACCGAGCAAGCCGCAGGAGCAGACCGACGGAAACGACTCGGACCACAGCGAGGCCAGCGGCCAGACGTCGGGATCCAACAGTCCTGCCACTCCCATCTCGGACCTGTCTCGTCTCTTTGACGGTGCCGACGACCGCCCTTGCAAGAGCCCAACACACTTTCTGTCGCGCTCGTCTTCGCCAGGCCCCTTTACCGGCTCTGACATTGGCGACCCGACACAATCGCACATGAACTTTGGCTACCCATACAACCACTCCAACGTGCATGGGAGCATCCTTGGCGACTCCCACACGCCCCAACCCATCCTCGGCTGAGTCGACTCTTTTGTTGCAGGGGAGTTTCGACACTGGCTGGTAAGATGTGGTGGTGGTGGTGGTGGTAGTAGTGGTGGTGAAATGTAAACGAATCTCCTTGTTTTACGACGTCATCATCCGGAAACGACCACGACGATTTTCAAAAAAAAAACCAAGGGAGCTACCGGACGTCTTGTCCCCTCTCCCTCAACATCTTATCCGGCATCTTCCCAGCTCCTTAATACCAGAGCTTAATACGACATGCATCTCTTATGCTTTTTTGTCTCCCCCCCCCCAAAAAGGCATCTTTCGCCAGGACGACGTGGTCGAACGGGGCATGGCTTTGCGTCGCTCGATGTGCTTTGCATTTCCTGGATCGGATCGCGTTTTCTGTGCATTTTCCAGCTCTGCGTGTGTTCTTGCTTGTTGTTTTGTTTCTTTGTGTTATTTTGCAGCGGTGTTTGAGGCGTCATTTGCGGGATACATTGTGGGCTGCGACATTCCATTTCCTCGGCGTTTTTTGGATTGCTCTTCTTCTTCTTCTCTTTTGTGTGTTGCTGTATTTGTTGCGACCCCACGCCGTCGGAAACGGCTAGTGGCCACTCCCCTCTCCTGCCTTGACGGCCGACTCAGCCTGGCTGATGGGTAGACGCGACGCAGCGGCTGCTGTCTGGGTGAATTGTCTATAATGAGGACTTGGGGGAAAAGTACTTTTTTTTTTTTCTTTCTTCCATTTTGTTCTCGACTCGGGACATGGACGGAGAGGGAGGTGGAGGGGAGGGTTGACCGAGGGGAATTCAGACTGGAAGACTGTTCGCTTTTCTTTTTCTTTTTTTTTTGGGAAGGGTTTCTAGGGCTCGTGATGGTTCGGATCGGGAGGGGTTTAGGGAATCAGGGGACGAGGGGGAACAGGGGGAACAAGTGGAAACGCGGGAAGGGACGGGATTTGGCGTTATGGATTGCGCTGGTCTGTTATCCCTACCTACCTACTTACTCTACCTAGACGGTCGAATCAAAAACCTATTCTATCCCGCATCTGTGCTTGGCCTGTGTTGTGTTGTGTTGTGTTGTGTTGGTGCTGGTGGTGTGCGTGATGTTGACTGACGACGTTGAGAGAGGGTGCAGTTTGTACAATTACATGTCTGGCGCGGAAAGATGGATGATCGAGGTGGAAGTACGTAGTGGTGGTATGTGTTGGGGTGTTTGTGTGTTGCGTGTAAAAAGGAGGAGGGACGAGAGGATGGAAGGAAGGCTGAAGGGCAAGAAAAGGACAAGAACGACAAGAGACAGAGACAGAGACAGAGACAGAGACAGAGACAGAGACAGAGACAGAGACAGAGACAGAGACAGAGACAGAGACAGAGGGAGAGACAGAGACAGAGGGAGAGAGAGAGACAGAGACAGAGGGAGAGGAAGGGGGATAGGAGAAGAGAGGATGGAGTTGATACTGCGATGGGGATGCGATTTTTCGGGTTGTTTGTTTGTTTTGTGGGTTGTGAGTTGTGGGGTGGTAGTAGTCGGTCGTTTGTTCGTTCGTGGGGAGTGGGTTGTTGTGGATGACACGCTCGTTGTTTTTGAGGGAAGTGCGTGAGGAACGTGTAGATGAGGACGTGTAGAACGTACAGACGAGGACGTGGATATTGCGTGGGTTTATGGGTCTGTGTGGGTAATTATGGAGATATGTGGATGCATGCGGTGTGGATATGTGTGTACACGTGTGTTTGTTCTCGTGGTTCGTGGTAGTAGTAATGATGCCAACCTATCAATAATCACTGCTAAGCTTGTTTTGCATTTTTTTTTGCTTTTTCTAGGGGGGCCGGGATTGTTTTCATCTAGTTTAGATCTGAATTGAATTGAATTGATACATAATACTTGTATGTCTACGTCTATGTCTGTGTCTATCTCTAAAATCAACGTTGTATGTAGGTTTAGTAGAGGGTAGAGTAATTAGTAAAAAGAGAGAGGTGAAGAGGTACACGAGAAGAGAGATGGAATGGAATAGACACACAGGACAGGTACAAAACAGCAACACACGGATGGATCCCCTAATTAATTAGCCACAACAGGCAATGCCAGGCCAGGATTTTCAGGAACAACACACACGATGCGAGTGGGGACCACGCGCGCGCCATGCTACTTGTTGACTGACTACTGACTACTAACTACTAATGCCCATGGCCAGCCATGCTATGATAGGCCGGCACAGCACAGGGCAACGAAAGACGCAGGGTGTGTGTGGGCAATGTAGGATCTAGGTGCATGGCTGGCGATGAATGGATGAATGATACGTGGTGCTTGTTGTGAAGTTTTTTTTTTTTGGTTTTGACGACGACGTGCGTGGATGGGTGGGTGTGTCTGGCTTGGCTATGGATGGGATTAAGGGGTGGGTTGGGGTTGTGAGTTATGGAAGGCTGGCTATTATTACTACTACTGTGTATGTATATACATACAAGTTGCTACTTGGTAATGATGCTAGCATTGGAGGAGTAGAAGTGCAAAGGATGTACACAGCCAGCCGGTCCCAACGTGGTAATTCGGGGCTCAATACAATGGATACCCGGAGCTCCACACCCGCACTTCTTAGCCGCACACGTCCATTTTCCCCAGAAAGTGCCATCACCCCTTTTCCGTCCTACATCATCACAATTCCCTCCGAAACCGACGTCGCAGTCCCGTCCGACTGACTCTGTAGCCAACGCGTGAGTCCCATCCCAGCAGCATCCTCCTTCCTACCTACACATCTTGCATCTGCCTCCACTAGCCCTCTGACAACACCTCGCGCAGACCACCCAGTCCCCTCACGCCAACACACACACATACACACGCCCACGCCCACGCCCACGCCCACGCCCACAACATGTCCACCCGCAGCCCATCCCCGTCCCCGTACGCCGACCCGCAAATCGACACAACAACAGTCCTCTCCCTGCTCACCACCGTCGCCATCCTCGCCGCCGCCTACGCGACATCCACGCGCCTCCTCCCCTCCTCCGCCTCCACAAAGACCCGCATCCTCTTCGTCTGGCACGCCTTTGACGCCCTCATTCACACCTTCCTCGAGGGCACATTCCTACTCAACTGCTTCCTCACCTCCGTCCCCACGCCGCCTTCTCCGCTCGACACGCTCGCCGCCGCCGCCGCTCCGCCCTCAAAGCGCTGGTTCGCCGCCTCCCCTCCTCCGTCCCCGGCTCCCGTTCCGCCATCCTCTGCCTCCTCCTCCTCCTCCGCCATCCTCTCCGCCATCGCCGCCGCCGCACCCCCGCTCACCCCTCCCGGCATCCACTTCCTCGCCGACGCACAGAACCTCTACGGCAGCATCTACGGCACCAACCCGGCCGCCCGTCTCTGGCAGGAATACGCAAAAGCCGACCGGCGCTGGGGCGGCGCCGACCTGACCATCGTCTCGCTCGAGCTGCTGACCGTGTGCATTGGCGCGCCCCTGGCGGCGTATATCTGCGTGCTGCTTGTGCGTGGCGCGCGGGGTGATCGGCGGGCTGGGAAGGGCGTGTGGTTCTGGATGGGCGTGTTGGCGACGGGGGAGTTGTATGGTGGGTTCATGACGTTTGCGCCTGAGTGGTTGAGTGGGTGTGGGAATTTGGAGACGGGGAATTGGCTGTTTCTGTGAGTTCCTTTTTCTTTTCTTTTTCTTTCGTTCTTTCGTTCTTTCGTCCTTTCTTTCGTTTCTTCCTTGTTCCACGGCTGACATGTACCGCGCGTCTCTCGCTACAGCTGGGTCTACCTGACCTTCTTCAACATGCTCTGGGTCGTCCTGCCCGTCTGGATCCTGGTCGAGGCCTACCGCTTCATCACCGCCGGCCTGTTCTCCAAGGAGGAGATGGTCGAGCTGATGGAGTACATCCCGAAGAAGGACAATTGAGCTTGCTGTCGAGGAGGTGTTTGGCTGGGGGCTGGTATATACGATTGGTAATATTTGCACGGAGGGGAGGGAGGGGAAGGGGGTTAATGAAGAAGGGCGTGAAGCGACGTTGACGTTGGCATCCATTGACGTTGACTGTGCCGCATGCGCACGCATAGACAAGGGAAGCTTGTGTTGTCGTATGAGGGAGAGAGAGAGAGTGATACCCGCAACCATTTCTATTTTCTGCCGTGCTCCTGTGCCACACACACACACACACACACATATATATATATACATAGCCGTGCTTACATATAACATAATCCTCATTAACCATCATCCTCGTCTGCCTTCTTCTTCTTCTTCTTCTTCTTCTTCTTCTTCTACATCTTCATCTGAACAGACACCCGAAGTGGAAAACAGGGGGTCCTAGATGTACTCGCGGGATGTTGCCCTTGAGACATTCCCGTCCACACGTCCACGCATCCACACGTCTACACATCCACACACATCCACACATCCATACATACTCAAACTGCCCAACCGATGTCTCACGTTACATCCTTACCTGCTGTCAGGTACGTCTGGCGAATGGCGAACACAACATGAAGATATCAATGCGGGCACGTCACATGTCACATGTCACAGGTCACATGTCACAAACACACACCGTTCGACAACCTGAAGAATACACACAAAGCTACAATCGAGGGCACTCTCGTCTTGTTGCCACTGTCTGCCTGCCTGTCTGCTTCCCTGCCTGCCTCCCTACCTCCCCGCCTAGCGACAGTAGTTGGCAGGGAACTGGCCGCGCACGCCGCGCACCTCGCCCTCCCACCAGTCATGCGAGCTCTGCGTCTTCTTGAGCACCCTGATCCTGTCGCCCGTGCTAAACGACAAGTCCCCCTGGCTCTGGCCCTCGTAGTCATACATGGCCGTCACGAACTCGCCCTGGAAAGAGCCAATCTTCTTTGGTGGCGGGGGTGGCGGCGGCGGTTTCTTCTTGCCGATGCCGATGCTGATGCCGGGGGCCGTGGACGAGGCCGGCGAGGATGCGAGAGAGCTGGCTGACGGGCGGGACGAGATGCGCGGTCTCTGCTGCTGGGCAAAGTAGTCGGATTGGGACGTCGACGAGGCGGTCGATGTGCGGGACAGTGCGTACGAGTCTGCGCCCGGGCTCGGCGTGCGGCTGTGCTCCTCGTGGTGCGGAGTCGACAGGTATCCGATTCTCGGCTTTGTCGCGTTGGAGATTCTCGGTCTGCCGTTCTCGGCGTGCTGCTCTTCCTCGTACCGCGGTGCGGCCAGTCTGCGTTGCTCGGACGCGTTGGACGCGGAGGTCGAGGAGCTGATGGTGCGTCGGTCGCTGATTTTGTTGCGGATGCCGAGCCCGGTCAGGGTGCTTCCTGTTTGGTGGCCCATAGGCACCTGGACAGCCTTGCCCTTGGCGATCATGGCGTAGCCGCTTTCCAGCTCGCGTCTAAAGGGAGTGAATTCGGCGTCCCAGGGGCCTATCACGTCTTGCAGTTCGGGCGGCGGATTGGGGAATTGGTGCTGGTCTGCGTATTCGTTCAGGACTGTGTACAGGTGCCCCAGGAGCGTGTTCTGGATCTCAATCTGTGCGGCGAGTAGGTGCGGGAGAAGAGAGAAGGTGGCGTTCAGTATCGGTGGTAGGACATGCCGAAGATGCTGGTCAGCGTCTTGATACTCGGCGGTTGTGCGTTCCAGTTCCATCTCCTGCTTTGCGAGAGTTGCGTTTTCGCGGTCTGAACGCTTCGCCTTCTTGTCCAAGGAGGCTACACGGCTCCTGTATCTCTCGTAGTCGAGCTTCCTGTCCTCTCGCTTCTTCAGCACCTTCTTCAATGGCTTCAGACACTCTCGTGCCTCCTTCGCGGGCGTGGTGATCCTCGTGTCTACAGCCTGGACCTCGCTCTTCATGTCGGCCTGTAGATCTGTGTACGCAGCGCACAGTGCGGCCGTCCGGTCGGTGATGTGTTGGGGGGTCTCGGCATGGTGAGGCGTGCTGTGCTCTCCCGTCGCAATGATTGGCGTGTACAGGAGGTTGAACTCGGTGATCATGAGCAATTGGTGGTTGAGGATGCCGTTCCACGCGTTGCGCCATTGCTCGGTGGTGTCCACGAGCTGGAAGCACTCAGCCATGCCCTTTCTCTCGTCAACCTTCACAAACATACCTCGCCCAGCATCTGCTCTGCATCCTCGAAATCCTTGAGCAAGGCGCCGACCTTGGTCTCATCCGCTGTCCGTGGCTTGAATGAGCCAAACTTCCTGTGCACTCGCTGCATGCTGGCGCTCTCAGACAGCTTCAACTCGCATTGCTGCGCCGTGTAAGAAAGGACAGACAATCGTTCAGGTCATAGTGGGCACAAACAGTTGTATTGTGGCGTTGAGGAGGCCGAGGAGACCAGGCGTAGTGATTGGATACTGATGTTAGTACAACCTAAGGCAACATCAGCCCTGGTTGGCGTGCGTTTGATTTAATACCAAAAGGTGCATTTGGCGGGTCTCGGGAGTCACTATCAGCTGTCAGGCGGGGGGGGACAATCGCCTCCGCCCGGCAGAATAACTGGGAATGTGGTGCGTAATATCAGGACCAGGTGGAATTGTCGCGCGTCTTCTCCAGGCCACGCTTATCAAGTCGCGTCACCCCAAACAATGTGCTTCATGCGGCCATATCAGCTTCCTGGCGTCACCACGCATCTTGCTCCGGTTCAGCTCGTCATAACACTCCTCTAATTAGAACAAATTCGTCATGTCCCGTAACAGCACTCGTTGGACTCGTCCCACAAACCTCAGACAATCATGACCGCCCTCTCCACGCACAATGTTCCTCTGACGCAGAATACCGCACCGGTACACGAATTTGACTGTCTGTATTCCCACGATATAAAAAAGAAGAAGAAGATATATCAAGATGGCGTCCTCTCATTTCACACATTCAACAAGCGGATCATGGTCTACGACACGTCGAAGAACTACATTGGGGATCTACATTGGCAGGAAAAGGCGGACATACAAGAGGGCGATGACATCACGCTCGAGAGAGGCATCCTGGTCACAGTCGGTGAACCAAAGGGCAGCGTACAGACCGACCTCGCACCGCTGTTCGAAAAGAAAGACAAGCCTTCACCGAGACCAAGACACTCTACGCATCCTCGAGCTCCCCTCAGCAGTGCGCTTCACAGCTCCATTCGCAGAGACCCCAGCCAGCCGCGACATCGAGCCCTGTCATCCATTATAAATAAGCCGATTGGTTCGTCGTACGGGCGAGCAGCGTTGAACGAGAAGTCGCCATTTGACTTGAGGGAAGAGAAGGAGAATGGAATAGCAAACCCCAGACCGGTGAAGAGGGCAAGGACGGACGCAGTGGAACAGGCGAAAAGGGATTCAGGGCCAAGGCTACCCAGTGCTACGAAACGCGCATCATTGTGGAAACAGACGTCTCAGGGACAGACATCGCCAGGCGCACGGCCAGCTGTTGTTGCCTCCGGTGAGGATGTTGTCGACCTCGTGTCAGACAACGAAGAGAGCGTGCTCTCTGATGTTACCCTGCCGGACGTGTCTCCAATACGTGTGAATGGCAACACAGTCGCACCACCGAAGCCAAGGCCGGAATCGCGTGTAGCGGTGAACGCTGCAACGACCCTGCGACGACCCGTCATCGCAAGGTCTGCGAGGCATACTCCTCCGAAACAGGCTTTACAACCCACATCGTCACCACCGGTGAGCGTCATAAACAAAATTACAAGAGTTGACGAATTCCTCGATCAGTCTGCAGCTCCATCAAAGACTGTTGCAATTGCTCCTATAAAGGTTTCAGCAATGACCAATGAGTTACAAGATGTCCCAAGACCGAAAACAAGGCCTCTCCGAATACCAACTGGAAAAGTCAAGAAGACGCTGATGTGTGAAAATCAGCCACAACCAAAGTCAAGGCCAAGTACTGCAAGTCGACTGGGCGCCTCCGCCGGTAGTTCCAGCTTTACACGTAGAGAGATCGAGCTAGTCAAGGAGGACGAAGGAATCGATACTGCTGAAAGTGCGCAGGCTAGTACACGAAAGGGTGCTCTGACGGCACATACGGAGGATAGACCCATTTCTGGGTCTGTCAATGCAACTCGAATAGGTCAAAGTTGTCCTGTCCGAGAGACGACGGTAACGAACACGAGGGAAACTAACAGCGATTTGCGGATCGAACAGCAAGCCGGAGACATTGGTATGCTACCGGACATGGCATATACCAGGCAAGCAGACGCTTCCGCTGGTCATAATCAGATAGCGACCGAAACAAACAAGATGCCGCCACCAAGATCGCGGAGACGTCTAATAAAGCAGCCACAAAGCGCAACGAAAGGGAAAGCTGCCACGGTCTCAAAGAAGGTCCTGCCGCCCAAAATCGATCATTCAAAAGATCTTGGGCCATGGAGCAAGGAAGCCTTTGATCTTTTCGATTGGAGACCACCGGACTTGAGATCGGACTCTGGCGTAACGAGATGATGAAAGTTGCCGTGTATACCATAGTCGATGCCGAGAGTATCCATTGAATTATGAACAGTCCTATCACAAGTATTCTACAAACGTTGTGCTGCGACCAGGAGGTTTCTTATCTCAAGCTCGTAACACGACGTCTGTTCAGACATGGTTATAGGTTATGCTGCGGTCATGGGCCGTGAAAGGTGAGCTGGATGGTCACCCAATGTGGCAGCGCGATATCATGGCCGTGAGCTTCGTGAAACCCACGAAGCCTTCCTCGCCAAAAAACGCCCCCACAGCAGCGATGGAATCGTCCCACATTTGTTTCGCACCACATGTTTCACAACGACATTCCACAACGCAAGGTATCGTGGACATGCCCGCGAAGATTCGCCCGCTACGACATAATCGTTTTTCGCCGCTTTATGCGTGGATATATGTATGTCATTATCTCGTGAGCCCCGAGTGCTCGCTGCTACCTTGGCACGACGAGGCTACTTTTTGTCTCTACGCCATGCGGGCATTAGATGTTGTATGCCAATTACTGAGTGTGTATATGTGTTCCAAATGTTGGTATTCAATCATGGCATCTCATCCCTTGTTCAGCCTTAGCTTGTTGTCTAAGCTGACTGACGAGCGTTGCGCCAACGTTCTATAGCGATACTGTCTCGGCAGCTGTTTAGTATTACATGGAATATCATAGGTTGCCTTATGAACACGAACCCGCTGATAGAACAGGGGCATCCAATCCCGCAACGCGTCGTTCAGCCTCCAGCCATGCTTAACATATCCGTTCAATGATGTTCAGAGTGTACGTAAGTGGCCATTTTGCCTTCGATACTTGTCACACACCCAGTCGTGTGCTTCGAGAGCTTGTGGACCACAAGGCTTGAGCGCGGATCCGGGGATGATTCAAGCGCGACTGTGATCAGACCATGCTAATCTCATACGACGACCGACTTACGTAGCTATCTCTCGGGCCGTTACAACTATTACCTGCTTCCAGCTAATTACACCTTGGACGTTTCATTCTTTATTCTTTTCTTACCTGCCCATTACTATGCGCTGTGATGAAGGGCATCATTTCCGTCTCGTCTTTCCTCCTATCAGCTGTACTTGTTTTATGTAGTATCGCGCCTTTCGTCGCCGCAGGCCACGGCGCCAAACATGGCGACGACTTTCAGCCGGATTATATCCTCCGAATCACAGAAGACACTGCTCCTGTGGCTTGCCAGGTTCGAAAATCGGTTTTGGTAAATGGCACCTCGCCGGGTCCAGAGATTCGCTTGAAGCCGGGCTCGACAACCTGGATTCGGGTGTATAACGACATGGAATCATTGAACACAACTATGGTGAGCTGTATGAAACCATCTCGGGCGCATATAATACTAACGTGGTGGCAGCACTGGCATGGTCTGGCACAGCGAGTTGCCCCCTTCTCGGACGGCAGCCCACTGGCAACTCAATGGCCCATCCCAGCAAAGCATTTCTTCGACTACGAGATATATGCCGAAGAAGACGACGCCGGAACTTATTTCTATCACTCTCACGTCGGCATCCAAGCGCTCACCGCAGCTGGGCCGTTAATTGTTGAAGACTGCGGCCGAAAGCCGTACGATTACGACGAGGAACGCGTCTTCATGCTCACAGACTACTTCAACAAGACTGATGAAGTAATTGAGGGAGGTCTGCAGGGCGTGCCCTTCACATGGTCCGGCGAGACCAACGCAATTCTGCTCAACGGAAAGGGGGTACCAAACACACCCCCAACAGAGGCCTCGGAATGCTCCCTTCCAGTCATCGACGTACGTCCTGGCAAGACATACAGATTCCGCTTCATCGGTGGCACCGCTCTCTCCCACACTCTCATCGCTTTTGAGGGACATCCTAATCTCACCATCATCAACGTCGAAGGCCACTACACCGAGCCGCACGTGGTTGATCGCATGCAGCTCGGAAGCGGAAATCGCTTCGACATCCTCTTCAGCACCAAATCTGCTGCTGACCTCGCCGCCGCCCAGCGCAGCTCTTACTTTATTCAATTCGAGTCGCGTGATCGCCCTACCGTTTACCGTGGCTATGCCATCCTCCGCTACGAACCAGATTCGCCTCTCCCGAAAGCCCCTGCAGTGGCCCCCCTCACCCTCCCAAACGCAACCTACGACTGGGCCGAATACGCCCTCCAGCCGTTGTACCCACGCCACGACTTCCCAGCGCTCGAGGAAGTCACGCGACGCATCATCCTGAACACAAGCCAGATCCAGACCTTCTCTCAGCACCTGATTTGGAAGTTCAGCAACAACTACACCTGGACCGAAGCCGTCTACGAATCCCCACTGCTAATCGACATCTACAAGTCCGGTGAGGCTGCCGTCCCTTCCTTTGCTGCCGCCTCGTCTCCCGCCAGCCAGGGCTACGACCCCATCAGCAAGGCCTTCCCGGCAAAACAAGGCGAGGTCATCGAGGTCGTATTCCAGAACACCGGCTCGCTGTTCAACAACGGCGGCGGCCTCGACGTGCACCCGTTCCACGCCCACGGCCAGCACGTCTTCGACATCGGCTCCGGCAACGGCACCTACGACCCGGTTGCCAACGAGGCGAAGATCAAGGAGCGGCACTGGCGGCCCGTCGAGCGCGACACCACGATGCTGTATCGCTACGGTCTCAAGACCACGCCGGGCGGGGTCAGTGGCTGGCGCGCCTGGAGGGTGCGTCTGGCTCAGCCGGGCGTCTGGATGGTCCATTGCCATACCTTGCAGCACATGATTATGGGTAAGTCTTCGTTCTGCCGTCACCTCGTCTTGGGGATGGCGAAGTAGGGGAGGTAATATGTGCTAATGAGCCGTGTACGACAGGCATGCAGACCGTCTGGGTCATTGGCGACGCCGCTGCCATCCGCAGCGTACCTATCGAGTATGCCGCAGGCTATCTCGAGTACGGCGGCAGCTCCTATGGGAATGAAACGTTTAGCCCTATTGTCTGGGAGCAGTATGACGGGACGGGCAGTTGTGCGCAACAGCAGCAGCAGCAGCAGCAACGGCATGCTACGCGGGACGTAGATGCTTAGTCGACTAGTAATGGTAATATTATTATATTCCCGCGTCGCCCCGTGTCTGTGTGCACGTATGTGTTCAGGCGTGCCTGTACATGCCGCGCACGGAGGCAGATATGTGTTTATATATATATACTTGGTGCATGTCCATTCCATCCATCCGTCATCCTCCAAGCCACATCAAGCCCATTCGACGCACACTCTCCTACACAGACACACAACCACCCCCTCCATCCGGCGCGGCATCTCACAGCTTCGACTTCCCATCCGACGACGCAGCCGAAGAAGGCCCGTTATCATGATCCACGGGATCCCTCTCCGTCGTCTCCGCCTTCAGACTCACCGGGTCGCCGAGCATGGACCGGTTCTGCAGAGCGCGCTGCTTGAGGGTTGGGGCTGTAGATGTGTTAGGGAAAATATAGTCTGGGGACATGAAAAGGGGTTTTTTGAGGGGTTCGAGAATCGAGATGGAAGAACACGGGATGTAGGATGATGTATAGGGCAACGAAACTGGCAAGGAGAGAGAGAGACATGTAAGAAAGAAAGAGTAAAGTACATACCTTTGCCCTTCCCTGCATTTGCCTCCCCTTGCGACGACGACGACGACGACGACGACGACGACGGCGATGGTGCCACCGCCGCCTCCTCCGCCTTCAAACTAACCGGATCGCCCAACAACGTCGGATTGCGCGCCGCCTTCTGCGCCAGCGTGTCGTGTCGCTGCCTCTGTTTCGCGGGGCCGGTCATGTTATTATTGTTGCTGTCGTCACTATCGGATTGCCAGCCAGGAAGATTGCCGCTACGACGCTGCCTATCCAGACTCTCGTTCTGCTGCTGCAGCTGCTTATGATGATGATGATGATGATGATGATGATGATGATGATGATGATGATGATGATGGCCACGGGATTTACGCTTCAGATTGTCCAGTTCCTCGCGGTACGAAGTCGAGTTGTCAATGTAGTTGTAGTCGTACATTTGCTCTGGCAGGGTCTTTGGGGAAATGGGGGAAAGTTATGTGTATGTCTATATAGAGTGACTAGTGCTGTGGATGTGGAGCATGGGTTGGTGCTAAGAGTGTTTGAGTGGTTGGGTTGGTGGTATTCGTGACGTCTTTGATAAAACGGGTAATAGAATCCAACGTGGTGTGGTGTGCGAGTGGGGCTACGGATGATGAATGCCGATGTTGATGCGGGTGGATCTACCGGGCATCTAATTATGGCATGTGAGATTTCCGGATTTGCGGGGTTGGGCGGTGGTCTAATTAATTAGACGCAGGGAATTGGTGAAGCGCACGGTGAGTCAGTCGGCCGATGACTGCGCGGCAGCCGGTGCGGAGGCTTCGAGGTTATTATATTATATATGAGGAAGTCAAAAATTGAGCGCAAAGTTCGTACACCATGTATCGTACACTATCATTTACATTACTGTTATATGCAGACAGCCTGACCGTGACGAATCTACAGCCCCGGGAAATGCTCTGCATGCTCTGCCCAACTCGGCGGGCCGTTTTCGTGGCTGCTGTCGCCCAGCAATCCTTCTTCTTGCTCCTCGTTCTCCTCGCGCAAGACTCCGTTCTCGTCGTCGTTGGCGTTGAGCACGTACCAGACATCCTTTTTCGTAAGTAGGCCCTTCAGCGTTCCTCGGTCATTGAACAACACGTAGCGCAACCCTAGACGCTGGAACATATTCAGCGTGAGCTGGAAGCTGGCGCGAAAGTTTAATGTGATTGGAGTCTGGTCCATCCAGGGGCGTAGATCGAGGCTGCAAGTCGGGTCTGAGAGGGGTTGATGGGAGAAGTATGCCTCTGTTTCTGGGAAAAGGGAGCGTGAGGTGAGTGCTGAGTTGAGGGCGAAGGCGAGTTCGGTACGTGAAATGTATCCAAGAAGTAACGCATCGCGTGGCGTGTCAATGACAGGAAAGCCACGGAACGTATGCTGCTTCAGCAGGTCTTGCAGGCTCTGGATTGTGTGGCCGGTTACAGTGATTACAACGCAGTCTTCTAGCTTGGTGAAAATACGAGACGCAGGTACGTCAGGGATAGAAGCGCTGTTCTCATCACGGTTGTCGAGAAAGGGGTATCCTTTGAAGTGAATCCAGGACTCGTAGATGCCTTTGGGCGAAATTGCGTCGCCAATCCATTTGCTGAGCATGACAGCAATCATGATCGGTAAGACATAAGTTAGAGCGCCAGTCAGCTCGAACATGATCACAACAATTGAGACTGTCATTCTGGTAGCGCCCCCAAGGGCGGAAGCCGCGCCTATGATGGCATATGTCCCTGGAGTGACACATGGTCGATCTGGTTCACAAGAGGCGAAAGGGAGCCAGCCTGGATGCGCTTGCTGCCAAACCTCAACCGTCAAGCCAACAGCACGCCCGTACAAGGCACCCACAGCGATTGAAGGTAGGATGATACCTGCAGGGATCTGTAGACCGAATGTGACCGCTGCAAGTAGGAACCCCAACAGCGCGGAGATTATCAGCAGAGCAACAACCCCAGTATTCGCTTTGCCCGATTTGCACAGACCAAGTTGATCGTCGGTGATGTCCACACATTCGGCGAACAATGTGTATACCAGCTCAGAGGCTTGCGCGCGCATGAACTTAATGGGGAAGTTGGTGATTGACGTTAGCAATGCGACTGAGACGACCTCAACGACAGGGTCCTTGAAGATAGGGTTTGCTTGCCGCCATTTGGCCACAAACATGTTGAGCTTGATGAAAAGACCTCCGTACAAGCCACCCAGAACTCCCAGCAAGGCAAAAGGGACCATCTCGAAAGCGTGCCAGCCGCTGTGGTAGGTGACCTGGTATAACACAAGCTTGCCAGTCCGGAAGGGATTGCACGCCTGGAGCGTTACAGCGGCCACCATAGCACACACGAAGCTCTGCCACATGGTCTTGTCAGGAAAGTAATAGGAGAGTTGCTCAAGACTGAAAAGCACGCCCCCGATTGGAGATCCGAAGGCGACGGAGATTCCTGCCGCTGCCGCTGCAGAAAGCACCTCTCGTTTACGAGCTGTTCTGATTAGCAAGACATTTGTGTATGCAGGGTTCCACGTACCTTCGTTGTCGTTGATGCTAGTGAAGAACTTCATGAACAAATTGGCGCAACAGCATGCGACGTGAACTAATGGTCCCTCCTTACCCAGCCATAGCCCAGATGCGACAGCCAAACACTATATCTACAATCAGTCACATCCAACAAGAGAAACAGCAAATCTTACGAGACCCAACGACTTGATCGCCAAAGTCCAAACGCCCAAGAAGCGCCGGATGACGAACCCACCTAGGACCGTCTTGATCTCGGGGATACCACTGTGTCTTGCGTAAGGCGCGTAGTTTTGTACAAGAAGGCTTGCGAATGCTGCAAATGAGACCTGTCCGTGATGAGCGCCAGAATCGCGAAAGAGTCGTCAAGCTTACAGAAAATACGACGAAGAAAATGTACTCTATTATATAGCCACCTCCGGCAGACCGTACCCCAAGCGCAGAGCTCCATGGATGCCAATCATGGCATTGAGACAGGTCCGAATATCCCCAACAGCAGAATGGTTTACTCAGATAGAAGTGACCGTCGCCCTCTACGTTCTTGCACACGCCAGTTTTGAGATCTCCTAGCCAGTCACTAGCGATATCGATGAATGCCGCAATTGCGCCGCTGGCAATGCCCGCAGCTATCAGTATCCACCATATTTGGCTCGCATCTGCAAGCTGCCGGAGGTGTCCCATGATGCCTGATGTGTCCGAGAAAAGAAACCTTAGCCTCTGTCTATCTTTCGCATATTCAAATATCCAATCGATGGCTGTGAGATCGTCGTATCCAACGCGCCTTCCGGGCCCCTCCACGTACCAGTCCATCGCGCTGGCATGCTTCGCGTCTTGAAGCTGTGGCCCAGCATCCCCATGTGAGTCGAGGTAATTCAATATGACTTCTGTTGAATCCGTGCCACTTCGAGCGCGTGTGTCTCGAGACGAGGGGGCTTGACTTGGGAGGAATGGTCTATCGTCGCGATTGGCGTCGGTCGTGGCAGAGAAGAAGCGCGGCATAGATAAGCCTGGCTTTGAAGCTTTCTGTTTGCGCTTAAAGGATATGCTATCATAGTGTTAGGCTCAATGCCATCAGTATATATGAGCAGGCTTGCTCACCGCTCAGTCGTCTGGCCTTCCAACGGATCCGAGGAGAGTAGAGCATCCTCATCGTCGTTCTCGTCCTCTACAGTTGTTTGCCTCGGGGGATCGCGACTGGATGATGCCTCGCCCTGTTGGAAGGGCGGGCTTGGTGATGAGCTGGACATATCCACAGAGAGGACAGCATGGGACGCTCAGTGTACTCGTCACGGCCGGATCGACATGCTTTTCGAATGCGAAGTTGTGTTGCAACTGTAAGTAATTGGAGATGCTGGTGCTATGCTATGGTAGCTGGCCGTGCAACCGCAGCATTCCCCGGCGTATATATCAGAACAGGATGCTCTATTCTACCTATTCCCTCGAGGCCGCAGTTGGAATTTGTGCCCAATCCTCTCTTACCGTCCAGCCTCACCCAACTTCCATCAATGATACTCAAGCACAGTTGTGTTATGAATCATTTTAGGTGTACCATTAGACATGTGCAAAGGGTCTCGTAGGCTCAAGAAAATCCTCCCAGACTTGTCATTGTTTTCTCAATATTCGGCGGCTCATCATGATGATGATCACGTCACTCACTGCCTCTGGCTGCGTTCTCTCTATCAAGAATTTCTATTTCCTAAATTTCGCTAACGCTTCACCCATGCTCATGCCCTCGGCCAGAGCTGCCAGAGTCTTCTCGTCGATCTCCTTTCGTTCTTGGCAGAGCTGCACAACTTGATCCACCAACGAAGGAGACACACAGACAACGCCGTCCTTGTCACCCACCAAGAGATCTCCAGGGTTGATCCATAGATAGCTCCTTGAATACGCGTTGCGTCTGGCCTTCACTGGTACATTGATCTCAGATGCTCTGGTAAACGAATTTGACCCAAGAATAGATTGCTCTCTCGCAAAAAGCTACGATGGAATGTTAGTACCCGACACATTTGCCCGCACGAGTAGAGACCACGTACTGGAAGACCCATATCTTGAATCTCTTCGATGTCGCGGAACCGGCCGTTGACCACAACGCCGGCAGCACCAAGCTTCTTCGCCCGCGCCGCCATCAAGCCACCAAAGCATGCAGAATACATTGATGGAGGCTGGGAGATAAACATGACCTTGCCGGCCTCGTTTGCGTCTGCAAAATGCTTCTCCGGTCTGGGGCTTTCGGTATCATCGGCACGCACCATCTTGACGCCAGTGAGCTTAGCACATAATCAGCCGATCCATGACTGACCTTCACTGTGACTGCTTCACCGATCATTGTGGGTGTCTTTTTATCAAGATCGCCAGCCCTATGCGGGCTGAACATGCGCAGGTCATTTATATAGCCTCCCAAGGGTACTCCGAGCTTTACAAGCGCGTCGCCAATCTACGGGTTGTTTAGGATGGATGCGCCACGCGGGGATGTACTCACATCGCAGGATGCAAAAGGCCGTAGCGCCTTCACAAGACTAGACATTTTCAATGATGGCAGAGCCTTGCAGCGGGCCACGAGGGTTCTACGGCGGTTGTTAAATGAGAGCCTGAAGGGCGGCCGCCACCGCAGACGGGAAAAGTCCGTTCTCCAGCGGCTAAGCGAGGCCCCCAGAAGCTGCAACCATCATCATCATCAACAACAACTTTAAACATGACTATATGACATCCGCGTTCGCTTGAAGCATTTACAAAGTTTACAAAGTAGACGTGATGTACGGCCGACACCGGATAACATCACACCCGAAACCGGGCGTCCGTTGAGCAGCTCCGGAACCGGCTCCATGGCGGCTGTGACGGCAACAGAAGCGACACGGAGGCAGCCCGTCGTAATTACGATAATGATGACTATAGCGAGACCACGATTGCCGGTTGTCTATCGAGCCTATCTCGTCAGGTCTGTGGTAGTCCCTCATGAATTTCGATAGGTTTGGACGATACGTCTGCTCCGACCGCTACGACTTCCACGGCGCATATATAGCCATCCAACAACGCCCCTGGACTAACGCGCTAAGACTGACAACCAACTATAAAACCTCTTCCGTCCGACTCTTTACAGCCTAGTCCCTTTGAAATGGCACCTTCTCGTCCCGACATTGAGCTCATCTTCAACCACCTTGCCAGCGCCCAGTACGAGCAGTTCTTCGAGCACGTTGCCGAAAACGTGCAATGGACCGTCATGGGCACGCACCCACTCAGCGGCCTCTACGCCTCACGCACGGCGTTCGTAGACGGGACCATAAAACGATTGAATGCAATCTTCAAGGAGCCAATCCAGTTGAAGGTTCGGAATGTGATTGGTGGGGATGATCAGGAGTGGAGCGTGACGGAGTTGGCGGCGGATGCGGTTTGTAAGAACGGGATGGACTTCAAGAATAGGTGAGTGGGACCAACTGCTGCTGTGCAAAGATAGCGAAGGGCTCTGGTAGACTGACGAGAGAAAGGTATGCTTGGGTCTGTAGATGGGAAGGAGACAGCATTGTCGAGGTTCGAGCATACCTTGACTCTGAGCTGGTAAAGAGGGCTCTTGAGACAAACGAGAATTGACGGACTTGGCGTATCTTACCCGACACGCAGAGACAGTGTGTTTCTGACAATGCAATGCATATTCATGGTACTCGTTCAACCTTATCATTGTTCCAAAGCCGCCAATCAAGCCGCTGTGGAGAAACAATCAGGCCGCCACAAGCAACGATGTTGACTGATTACATCGCCTCTACGTACATCTACAAGAACAATTAACCGGCAATGATCAGACAGTAGGGATTAGTTAGATTCTATGATCGCTAGAGGGCTTACTTAGGGCATAGAACTTAGCGCCAAGCTTTCATCAGCTCCTAGTAGCCAGAACTTTGTGTTAGAGTTCCCAAGAAAACGCATGTAGAGACGCGTATATAATACCTTTCTATTCACTCTATCTACAGCCGTCTTATTAATATCAGACTAATATATCTTTTCACTAGGTAGGTAGCTAATAGGTACCGTTAGTAAGCCTCGCTTAGCTCTTTTTCTTTGTACTACAGAGTTCCGGGTGGTGTTTGTTCACAAAGCACAGCGTCTGGACGGACAAGCCCATGTCTTCCTCCGCATCCCCAGCCGCCACAACCGTACCCGTCCCGAACTTTTCGCATTTGTTATGCGTGTGAAGTCTGAAGTCGTTAAAATCATTTGAGGTGATTTCGCTAGAGTGGTCCTTGGCATCTGCAATGACGAAAGCACACGAGCTGTGTTCCTCGACAAGGCACCAGCTCCCGATTTTCTCGCCAGCTTCATCGAGTTGGTCGCCGTGTGATTTGCATTCGGTCTGATTATGAGTTGAGAAACCATATGATAGCTGGATATGTTCACAGTCGTCTATTTTGGCGCCGTTGCCATCGATATCCTCGCCACATTCGAGGGAGCCATCTTTCAAGGTTGGCACAATCTTTTTACCCGGTGGCTTGAGCGTCTCGTCGCTGCTGAATTTGTCGTGTTTCGAGCCATCACCGTTCAGATGACGGAAACCTGTCTCGTAGAATTGGCCGTCGGGGCCGTTTCCCCAACCCTTGTTGGGACCGTTCTTGATACACTTGCTGATGACTGACAACGTTAGCACACCCAGCCAGATGGGCTTTGAAAGAACGAACTTACCAGCCTCGGTGTCGTTCCAGCATGTCTGCCTTAGTTGTTCCGTAATTGGAGTTGCTCGGTACATGTACGCCTCGATATCGCCGTCGTTGGCCTTTATGCCCACTGAGAGCTCACAATCGGCCTTTTTATCGTCCTGTTTGGTCTTGACGTAGTAGTCCTGTAGTCCAGCCGGAACCTCGCACTTGTTGTTGCAGATAACTGGGATAGTGTCAGTTGCCGCACAGCTACATTAGAGATCGCTCGACCGATAGCACTTACCATCGCGCATCCGCATCATCAGCGTGTTGATGTCAAAATTCTCTGTGGGTGTTGTGAATTTATCCGGCACGCTCTGAACGCTCTTCTCCGAACATGTCACGTTGAATGTATCGTGTGGTAGCGTCTCATTCAACTGGCGCAGCCATTCCATGTAGTTCGGGTCGATTGGGTGGGGGAAGCTCGTCGGCCGTCTCAGTCTGCGATGCGGTCGTCGGTGGCGATAGGGTCTTGGCCTGCGATAGCGACTTGGTCTGCGATGCGAAGCCCGATGAGGTCTACCTCTCTTCGAGTCGTCCCAGCAATCGCATCCCGCCCACATCATGTTGTAGTTTCGAAGGCCAATACATTTGCCTCTCGCATCTACGCCACCGCACTCGGTGTTACACGCCAACATGGACTGTGCCTGGGGACATTTGGGACGCAATAACTCCTTAATCCGGACCTGATCCTCTTCCCAGCCCGGGGGAGCCGGGTGAGGAAAGACTGTCTGGTTTTCTTGTTTCGGCAGAGCCGGAGCCGGATGCGGAAAGACAGTCTGGTTTACCGCAGCTGGATGAGGGAAACTTGTTTGCGTGTCGTTCCAGCAAGGGCATCCCTGCCACATTAGACGACCGTTTGGAGGCTCGAGTTGAAGCCCTTTGCAATTGCCTTGAGCGTCTGCACCGCCACACTCGACATCACATGCCAGCATGGGCTCTTCCTTGGGACAATTGCTAGCCGGAGCACCCTCGGCGCGATCCGCAATGCAATCACAACCTTCCTCCGGGCCGTTGGTGCACTTGTTCTTGTCATCTCCTTTACACGTATTATCTTTACAACTCGGCCTCTGAGCCGGGTTGCACGACCTTGCGGACTTTTCGCATGGACAGCCTGCCTCGGGGCCTTGGGTACACTGGTTCATGTCGTCTCCTTGACACGTAACCTCTTCACATTTCGGTGTCGGACCTCGCTTGCAAGACCTTTCGGATTTTTCGCATAGACAGCCTTTCTCGGGGCCTTGGGTACACTGGTTCCTGTCGTCTCCTTGACAGGTAGCCTCTTCACATCGCGGCTTCTGATCTGCGTTACATGCAGCAGCCTGGCAAGGACATCCTGCATTCGGACCGATCTGACACCATCCCCCCTTGCCTCCACAGCTGGTACATGATGGCGAAGTCAGGAGTGAGCACTCATGCGCCGGGCGCGGGGTGTCGGGTGGAGGGCCAGGTAAGTCGGCCTTTGGAGGTGGAAACGGAGTGCCAGGAGGCGGAGGTAGAGGTCCAACGTTTGCAGGCTGAGGCGCACCAGAAAGCCGTTCAAGGCCGGGAGGTGGTGATGGTGGTGATGACGGTGATTTGGAGTCGGGAGGTGGTGCCAGTGATTGGGAATCGGGAAGTGGAGGCAGAGGTGCAGAAGGTGGAGGAGATAAAGGCGGAGACCCCGGAGATAGAGACTTGGGCCGACCACCACCTCCTCCACCACCACCACCACCACCGCCAGTGAGAGAAGACAAGGCATGCTTACCCGCATCAAAAATCGAGGAGCCTATACCACTTGTGGCCTTGGATATACCACTAAGCGCACCGCCCAAACCATTCACAGCACCACCCAAACCACTCGCAACACCGCCCACACCACTGGCTGCACCACCAGCTGCACCAGCTGCTGCACCTGCCGCTTTGGCTCCATTGGCTGCCGTATCAGCTGCAACATCAGCTCCGGTAGTGGCTAGCTTAGCCCCGGCACTAGCCCCGTTAGCGGCAAGATTCGCTCCGGCACCAGCCATGTTAGCTCCAGCACTTGCTATATTGGCTGCACCCCCAGCCACATTACCGGCTGCACCAGCCACACCACCCACGGCACCGGCTGCACCACCAGCCACGTTACCGGCTGCACCAGCCACGTTACCGGCGGCACCAGCCACACCGCCCACGGCACCGGCTGCACCACCAGCCACGTTACCGGCGGCACCAGCAGCATTACCGGCGGCACCAGCCACACCGCCAGCCACACTCGCAGCACCACCTGCCGCACCACCTGCAGCATTAACTGCAGCACTATCAAGCCCAAGTTCAGCCTGAGCCGCAGTCGAAGCAGCGTTAAGACCCGCTCCTCCTAAAGCAGCCGCAGCGGGTGCCGCAGCAGCCATAGCAGCCCCACCAGCAGCAAGCGCTCCAGGAGCCCCAAGAGCCGAAGGGGTCCCAGGATGCGTAGGAGGCACAGGAGGCGCAGGAGGAAGAGCCCCACTGACTGGAGGAGACCCAACACCCGCACCAGGTCCACCAGCAGAAAGCGCTGCGTTCGAAACAGCTCCAGGTGCCCCAGGAGGACTGTAGAGAGGTGGAGGGTCAGGCTCAGACGAGCCTGTTTGTGGACGATTGCGGACAAAAGGCTTTTTTATCCAATTAATCGCTTGATCCCAATACTTCTGAGGTACAGGTACAGCACCTATCAAAGGGACGAACTGCTTCCCGCCATTATCATGACCTTTGGCTTCCTCGCTTTCGTGTGGTATAATCCCAACAGGCTCAAAGAGCTCGTGTTGAGCCTCAGCGGTTGGAAAACCAGAATTCCTAGACCCGGAAAGAGGCGCAGGAGAGTTGGGCGAGTCGGGAGAGCCGGGCGAGCCGCGGAAGCCAGGAGCTGCAGTCCCAGGAGACTGGGAAGAAGACAAGAATCCGGGAACCCCGGGCGCTATAGACCCGGGTGAGTTAGCAGATCGAGAGCCGGAAAACTGCGCCTGAGGAGACCCAGCCTCGAGAGACTCGGGTGATGGAAATCCCGGAGACTTTGAAAAACCCGCAGAGTGTGGAGCTTCAGACCCTGGGCCCCTAGAAGACGGAGGAAGAGGTCCAGAGGACGCCGACCATCCAGGTAGAGGCTCTGGATGAGAACCAGGAGATCCTCGAGATCCAGGAGACCCAGGAGACCCAGGAGACCCAGCAAACCCGACAAACCCAGGAGTTCCAGGAGACCCTGAAGATCCTGAAGATCCTGAAGACTCACGAGACCCAGGAGACCCTGAAGACCCAGCAAACCCGACAAACCCAGGAGTTCCAGGAGACCCTGAAGATCCTGAAGATCCTGAAGACTCACGAGACCCAGGAGACCCTGAAGACCCAGCAAACCCAAGAATCCCCGGAGACCCAGGAGACTTAGAGGACCCAGGAGACTCTGAAGACTCAGAAGACCCGAAGGACCCAAGAGATGGAGGTGAAGGTTTATTGATAGCCGCTGGTGACTGTTCTTCCGAAGAGTCAAGAGATATATGTAGAGGAATGATGCGGTCATCACGACGTTGGGGCAAGACGCGGTGTGCCGTACATTTGCAACCGCGGTAGGCGATTCCAGTGATGCCACTACCTTTGCAGACACCATCCTCGGCGTTCCCTCCACACTCGGAGCATTTCAATTCAGTAGAAGTTGGGCAGCAGCCGCACTTGCGAGATCCCGTCGGGACCTCAATGCGACAGACTCCGTCATCGGATTCAGATTTTGTACAGGCTTTGTCGGAACACATCACTACCGAAAGTCAGCTTGAACCCGGCTCACTACCAATCGACTTACATGTAGGGCTTCCATCATCTTCAGGACAGGAGGTGAGCTCGATCTGGCGATTTGCCAGTCTCGTGCCCACACGTGGAAGGCTCGCAGCCTGCGCGGCGGCAGACAACAGCGACAAGCCGACCACGATATGTGCGGTGAACTTCGCCATAATGGTGACGGGAGGTCTCGAGCGTTCGAGATAGGCAAACCACTTTAAATGATCTGCCTTCGAAGCTGTTGCCGACCCACTGCAGACATTCGAATGACCAAACAACCAATCACAGAGGCATCGTTGATTTTCGGCCATACAATCTTGCTCGGACTGCAATGTCGCACCCCGGACTTGGACGGTCTGTAGCTATTCTTGGGACACGACCCACAGTGCCGAAACCCATGACGAGTCTTGAATACTATGAGATGGATTAGGATGAATTCGCTCAATGACATATCGAAAGGTCACAGTTCACCCAGTGCGCTTGACCGGCTTCGCGCAGCATCGGGCTCGGACCACCAGGCGAAAATAAATAGCCATGGACTCTGACTCCCAGCCGGCTTACCTAGAACACCACTTCAACTCAGGTGGTTTTTCTCATTGAAAGGGAAGGATTACAATCAAATAAGTTGGGCGAATGTTCAGGCGCTGGTCAATGGCGACTCTTTTGTCGGCTAGAGGTAGCTATCTAGTATGAAGCTGGGCGTGTATTCGGGCAGCGTAGTATATTGATTATCATTTGTTATCCGGGACATACCACGACCAGCGCACAATGAGAAACCCACTTCAAACATATAACGCAGTCACTAATCACATGACCGGGAGCAGATATTCTGTCCTTTATCTTCGCGCGTTTAATTATTCTTGGGACATTGCGTCCCGGGTAGTACTCAGGAGTGTGTAGTCAAGCAGACTGCAGTGCAACAGAGGTTCAGTCAATCCCATCATGGAGTAGCAGGCTGAGGTAGGCGGACGCTTCAAGACAGCATCGATCTAACGAAGCGACCCGTGTAGACTTTGGAAAACAGACAATTGAGACACGCATACTCAGAAGTACGCGTTGATTGAGGCAGACCCTTCGGTACTTGATTATCATGTAGATTATATAACGGTTGGGGACTCGGGCCGCCCCACAACGTTGAAACTCCCTAAACTAAAAATATCTCACCTTCAACATGCGCACTGGCCAGAGTAGGACACAACTCGCTCCACAGTCGTCACTCAGTTTGATTAGAGTCTTCATTTCCCATTCAAAGAAATTTTTCGAAGTTTTCCACGTGCATCATAGAACCTTCCAGAAAATTCCAATGTTTGTCCACCTGTTCCCGACAAGGTTAGCGACAGAAGACAAGGACACGTGCTGTGTTCTGAATGTCGCCCTACATAAAAGTTATAGTTCCCGGCTCGCGACCCCCACCATTCCAAAGGAATTATAAAAAGATACAATATTTAACCAGCACCCGCTGGCGCCCTCATTAGAATCACCGGGTGAAAATCACGGTTTATGATGCAATAATGTTTCATGTCTCGGCGTGGAGTATCGCTTTTCCGCTATGCCTTAGCCTGACTTTCTCCACGAGGGCCTATAGTCTACCGGCCGCAGGCCACCCTAGTAATCGTATACATCTATTAGAGCTTCTCTGGTGCCATTTTATATAGCTTGTATAAGATTATAGTATTGAACTAGTATAAAGACACATAAATACAGTCTGCATATGAACATATAATTAGTACTTAATTTCTAGGAGTACTTAGGCTTATTTGCTAACACGCACCAAGTGCTAGTTGGAATTCCTGAAATAGTATAATCTTTGAAATCATAAGATGTCTACCGCTATTGAAACCAGACCAAATCTACTATTAGTAGTAGAAGTACCAGAGAGTCTAGCGCTAGCTTGTTTGAACTAGTACTAGCTCTCGGGATCACGCCGGAATAGGTTAACGGAAAAAATTACGGAAAAAATTCTGATAATGAGCAACTGCCGGATCCGGGATATTCTGGTTTGCACACACGGTTTAACCCAGACGAGACTACCGTTCAAAACTTCATGACTCTCTCATGTCACTTTCGACATCAGCGGATGCCCGACATACTTGAAGGCTGACTCGCTCTAGTCATGGGTATTGAAGAGCTAGAATGAATAGCTGAAACCCCTAGGTTCCCAAACATTCTGAGTAGAGTCCTCGATATTCTCATAAAGCTATATATAAGAGTAGGCAAGTCCTTCAGGAACCCAAGCCATGAATTCACATCTAACTGCTGTTATTCTTTCTATCTCCAGGAGCTTTCATCTTTATCATTCATTCTTTTGGTCATGATCTTAATTCAGGATAAAATCGTCACCGTGTCCCTACTCGTAGCATCTGTCTTCTTTACCCACTCCCTCGCCGCTTCAACGTTTGCTTTCCATTCATCCTGTAATGGCCGTCGCGGATTGACCAGAGCCTTCGCAGAAGCACTGAAAATGGCCGAGCTGGCGGAAGATCTTTTAGCGATTGACCCGATGTCTCCTGAGACTAGAGCTGCCTTCATGCGCGTCTATAACGCCGATCCTGATGAGGATGAAGATGCTGTTGATTCTGTCCGCGGTATCATGGGGGAAATCGCGTCAATGACTCATGAACCTAGGTGGAGGTTGGCAGATATCCATATTTACTGTGATGGCGATAGACGCTGGACTCTGGCACACGATCGAACTGAGTTCCCGAGGCACAAGCTGCAGGAATGGTTCCCTAACGGACCCGACCGTACCTGCAAAACTCACAGGTTCCTCCGGAGTATCTAGTATTGGAGGATCCTATCAGTGGTCTGTACTTCCCGGGCATTCCAATGTGCTTTAAACGTACTACCGCGGCGGCAACATATCGTCATAAACTAGACTCTCTAAGCTATCCACCTTCGGAGCCCGTACCAAAAGAACGAGCTAGCATAACTCTATGCGATAAGATGTTTGAAGGACTGAGACCCTCACTTACGGAAGTTATAGCCCAATTCCCGGCTAACTCCATGCCATTATCTATGGTTGACCTAGACCTCTTTATGAGCCCTACGATACTACATGAACTCACACACACTCCACCTATGTTTAGTAAGATATGCTCTCTCTCTCCCTTACCGGATGCCATCATGATACTAAACCTCTTCGTGTAGCGGAAGACGTGGAACTATCAACCGGTGCGTATGGTTGGAGTAACATCATTAGAAAACAGACAGTCGATGCGCTCCTCAATGCGGATAATTATGGTTAGTCTACAACGCTCGTACGGCTCACGGTAGCTCCTATTAACAACGGACAGCTCACTTTGGCATGCTCGCCCTGTTGGACTCATTGAATTACAAGCTCCATCCGAATCCCACACAAGCCGCAGCTGGTGTCCTGGTACCGAAGCGTTCCCGTTGGTAATGAGTAGCAGTGAAAGCCTCTGGTTAACCTATGGAGTAGCATTTCGGTACGTTCTTGTATAAACCCAGTCGCAAGGCACCTTGTGGTGGTACCGCCGATCACCTGTCATCTACGTCAGCAAAGCACTTTATATCATTTTCCCGCCTGCTTTCCATTCTGACAAAAGACTATCAAAAAAAACCCTCTCATGCTCACTCACTCTTAGACTATAACAACGTTCATGCAACTCGTCCCCAAGGCTTCTATACAGTCTCTCTATCCTCTCCTTTCTTATTTGTATGCCCATGGTGGAGATTCTGGCGACAGAGTGGTGAGGAGGGTATCGGGAGATGTACTACATGTTCGCTCCCACATCGCTCTACCTCAGTTTCGCCTCGTTGATCCTGTCGAGCAAAATACCAGCGTCGCAAAAGAACAATGCTGGAAATAGCACATCCAGAGATAGCGAGTGCGAGGCCGATGCCTAGACCGAGGTTGCGGGCCGTCAAGGAGCTGGAGAGCATGATGGTTGAAAGGAGGTGCGGACAAATTGCTATATCAAGGATCAGGGGAAACTAAATGAGGTCGATAAAGAGGGATCAAAGGAAGACTGTTAGATTATCCGGTTGAGTGTTTGGCGGGGAGAGATCGAGATGTCGTGTAAACGTTGAGTTCAAGGTCGTCATTTTACACTGATCCATAAGGCTGACAAGAGTCCCACATCTAATGCCATGCACGGTAGAGCAAGGGAGAGTTCACCAACTCCAAACGTGAGATGCGATATATCACACGTTCTTTAGCCATGACTCGACATTCGAAATTGCATAGATAGGTATGCTACTCGCACGGGAAGCTAGATGTTTGACCACACCCCCAGTGTAGTTCACGTCAGTTAACCTTGTCCACTGCATGGTTGGTTAATTACATGACAAACCGTTCGTTCCCGATCGGCCTCACGCTGTGTGCGCATGGCTGACTGTGCGAGACAATGCAAAGGTTAGCGTATGTGGAAGCCGTTTCGGATTCCGGCACGACTCTTGCAAGCTAAACCAAATGCATGAACAAGATAGGACTTGGTATAAATCACAGCGGGCATGCAAGAATGTTCCTTAGACCTTAGATTTCATCCTATGGACGTCTATACTTTAGTAGTATTACTTAAAATCAAAACGACACTAGTCTAAGTTACTTTTGTCGAATTTCAGTCATACGATAATTTACCCCTTTCAGGAATTACGAGATTGTGGCCTCCTAGTAATGGATGTCTGCCGTTACACGAGCTTGGCTTTGCTTAATCTAGTCCATTGGATCTGCACATAAATACTATACTCTCTTTTTACACTCCCACCCATAATTAATGTGAGGATCAAAGACTTGTATTATCATATCTTAAGACAATGGAATTCTCCGTACTAAATACCGCACTGAAGACTACTACCCTTCCACACTTCATACAGTACTATAGGTAGAATATATACAGTTATCACGTGGTAAATATCGAAGTCCTCGCCATGGGGACGCTCAAAGTTTCGGCGTCAATTACATGACACTTGACAGTGCCACGTAGTCTTACCTCATCGACTAGACACTGTACATATACTAAGATAGAGCACATTTTCGACAAGATGCATGCGTCATATTCGAAAGAAATCATTGAAGATCGAGGAAAGATGGACAAATGTGTACCATGTTGAATCCAGATCTTATCATTGTGTCATTGCTTTATCTGCTAGTGTATCAGAGTTTTCCGGGCCACTCAAAGCGGAATAGTAAGCCATCGGTCCGCGGCTAGCTACTATGCGACAAGTTACGTTACGCTACATACGCTCCCCAACAATGTAAGTCAACTGCTATTCTCCTCAATTTGAAACATGAGGCTCCTAAGTCTCCACAAAGCCGAGATGTACTTCACGACTTTGATGTTAATTATACCTTTCCTCATTATCTCCGTAACCTCTTTTCGTATCATTCGAAGAGATACTGATGAGCTTAAATGCGGTCTTACTAGTAAGACTCCAGCCTCAAGCAGTGAATCACTGGACTAGCTCATTTCTCTTCTTCACAGGCAACGCTATCTTGTCAGACTGCCAAAACTTACTAAATAACGATGCGAACTGGAATCAAAGGTAACCTCTCATGGACATCGAGCGTTCGGTTTCTAACATACAACAGCTACACGACTAAGAAACCTTGTAGCTTTACCAATTTTAGTGAGAACAAACTTGGCTACTACGCATGGAAGTAAGGCCATCTGTTCTTTCTCTCTTGTGTTTCTAACACGTAGATCTAGTGTTGCTTGCTATAGGGGCTGCTGTGTCTACGCTGCCGCGCAGCCCGGCAGATATAGCACCACATTCGGTGTGCCAAATTTGCCAGAGCCGATAACGATCCGACAAGTCGCTCGGGACGTTCTGAATTGTGGTAACGCGAAGAAGGATAAGGTCAATGGACAGGCTGAAGATGCTATGAACACTACTAGAGTCTGTCTCTCTGATTCTAAGGGGTGTGGCGGTAAATTTGCACCGATAATTGGAAGTTCTAGTGCTAACTACTCGCCTAGATTGCTTTGATGATTATGGCGAGGCTCCTATTTGATAAAAGTTCGTGGATTTGTCTTTCTAGCTGAGCGATAGAGTGGAAGAAACTGTAAGATCACCCTCGTCGTTTTACTCCTGTGCTGCTTTCTCGTAATTACCGTTAATCCCTGCCTGGAATGGACGTGGTGTGTAGGTTATCATAGCTGCTATTCGTCACACATCCGATGGAGCTGGCTTGACCAGGCGTTCACAACCAGGCTCCATCGACTTGGAGCAGATTCTTAGCATTACCCAAGAATCACATCTTCTGCTGCAGGCAATGCTTAATGGATCGAGCTTGTTCGCCAGGGAGTCGCTTGCCGAGGGTTATCAAGAAGGATGTCCGCTGGACTATCAAATATCCGGTATCCGTCCGGATATCTGATAGACGTAAGATCTTGAAGGAATAATTTTATGTTGCGGTCGTAGTCTGATTAGGTTAGTGCAGGATCATCAAGAGTTGGAACGTCTTGGGTGCTGTGCTCACCTGCCTGGGCTCTCAATCATATGAAACTACAAGTAAAGTGATTTGAACCACGATTCCAAGCCCCCACGTCGATAATAAGATATTCTGACTAGATAGAACTATTGATGAATAGCACTTCCACCGATCTTGAAGTTGATAGATATCATTCCCTCATAATTTGATTGAGATATTCCATGTCGCTTATATTAGCGGAAAAAAATGTGGCCAAGAGCCTGGGTACGGGTCCCGCCTCCGCTCCGTCTTAGCGCTTCCAAGGTTATTTCGCGGGGAAGCAGCTCTAGAGTCCTAGCCAGCCACAACTTCGCAACGCCGTAACCTTCTGGGCATATCTTCACTTCATCAGCCATGATATCGTTTCCATAGACATTCTTATACTCTCTCTTCTGTTTGTCTGCTTCTCGTCTCTTTAAACCTCATGGTCCTGCTCTCGGGCGCCTTCCTTCTCTATCTTTCGAGGCGCATCTACCAATTCGCTCAGGGCTACATGGGCACCGCACGTCGACGCGACTTGCCTTATTCAAACCCACGTACCGCTCCAGGTACACTCAGACAGAAGCGACGATTTCGGACGTTGATTATCGTTTGCTTGTGCGTGCTGTTGTACTGGTATTATTCAGACGAGAAGCCTTTGGCAAGCATACAAGTCAGAGAAGAAGCCGGGCAGGCAGAGCGCTGGCATGGGGTACCAGATACTGGAGAAGCCCGAGGTAGTGCAGACGCAGCAGGACAGTCCTTGGAAGAGACGGCCTTAAAGGAAGAGAAGGAGGCACGGCAGCGAGGAAAACTCGACTTGGCGGCGCCTAAACACCGACCTAGCGACGATGACGAGGATGCCCAAGTACAGCATCATAACATTCCCCAGCCGGCGTCCGATGCAGATCAAGAACCCCCCTGCCCCCATGCTGCCCTCTCATCAGACTTCCTCATTGTCATACGGACCGGCGCGACTGAAGCCCCCCAGAAACTTCCCGTCCACTTCCGCACGACTCTCACCTGCATCTCGTCTTACATTATCTACTCCGATCTGTCCGAGACCATCACTGGACACCCAGTCCATGATGTGCTCGCGCATATATCCGAGTCCACGCGCTCGCGTGTTCCAGACTTCACGCACTGGCGCCACCTTCGCGAGCATGGCCGCGCCGGCCTCGACGACGCCATTCTATATGGAAGCGGCCCGGCCGGAGCACTCGAGAACCCAGGCTGGAAGCTGGACAAGTTCAAATTCCTACCAATGACGCGCGCTGCTCTAGATTACAGACCGGACGCCAAATGGTATGTGTTTCTCGAGCCAGATACCTATCTATCCGCTCAGAATCTAGCTACATATTTAGCAAATTTCGACGCGGAAAAACCTCATTATATCGGCAAGCATATGTTTCTTGACGATGTGCTCTTCGCGCATGGAGGCAGTGGCTTTGTGCTGTCACGTCCTGCGATGCAGAAACTTGCGGCGCATTACTCGTCGCATGAGGAAGATCTAGATGCAATCACGGAAAAGTCATGGGCGGGCGATGGAGTGCTTGCCAAAGCACTGCAGCAAGTCGACATAAATCTCTTCGTCGCCTGGCCTCACTTCCAGGGCGATGCCGTTGCAAGCTTGGATTTCAATATCAGTAAACTGGACAGACGGCCCTGGTGCTATGCACCAGCCACATGGCATCATATGCGTGCTGATGAGGTGCAGGCGTTATGGGGGTTTGAGACGGAATGGAGGGAAAAGCATGGGGTGGACGCGGTGTTGAGGCATCGCGATGTCTTCGCGGGCATGATAAAGCCGAACTTGAGTGTGCGGAAGCCAGACTGGGATAATCTGTCTACAGATACGGAGTATAGTGAGTTCGAACTCGCGAAGCTAGATTCTGCGGTGCGCGATTCGATGCCAGACATCGCCAAGGTAGCGCATAAGTCATTCGAGAATTGTCGTGCTGTGTGTGCAAACAGGCAAGAGTGCATACAATTCTCATACTCGAATGGGAAATGCTCGGTTTCGGCGAATGTGAAGCTTGGGTATCCGGCGACGTCACAGTGCTTGGAATACTCAAATGCCGCAGGTGGATGTGTGAGAAGGGCTGAAGTCGATGCGAATGGCGGGCATGGCGTGAGTTCAGGATGGATGATGGAGAGGGTGCAGAAGTATATAGAAGACATGGACTTAGGATGTCAGACGCCGGAAGGGAACGAGTGGGTGCTATGAATGGTGTTGATCAAGCAGGTATGACTGAAACCGGAATTGAATAAGGCTCCATAATACGCTTGCTTGAACTTGGTTCGGTCAAATCAGGGAGGCTTCAACGGCAGCAGGGATTTAAGACGACAAAGCCCGTAATCTCGGCGTCGAACGTTGACCAAGACCAATTACCGGGTTCCACAATGGGCAATCGAACATCTGCTTGCATACATACTCGCCATGTCGGATTCCTAGTCACAAAAAGCTTCGTGGTATTTGGAACTATATTACCATGAGAAAGAAGTTCATTGCCTCGTGAACCAATGGCAAACAGGCGGATAGGCCATGGTTTGAACATGTCATCGGTTGTAAAGGTAAAAAGTGATATAGTGGGCTTCATATAAGGGCACGAAGTGACTATCTCCGAAGACGATTTAGTGTACATTGGTCGATTCATTGCTCCAAGTCATGGGAGTACTCATGTGTCCTATATCTTATATTACGCGATGACTACTGGCACGTTTCACCTTCATCACTGTCTTGATACCTTATACTTGATCTGAGACATCAAGAAGAGTGATTTCGTGAGTGACTTCAGTGCAAATTTTCGCAGGATTGAGTGACCATATCAAGCTCATCTCATGTAAGAGTTCGCTAATTACTGCGGTTTTATCACTCAATAGAATATGGCTCACCATCCATAAAATTTTGCAAGCCCCCAGTGGATAGAGGCAATTCTAACGTCGAGTCCGAGACTAAACCGCCTCGCGTTCTCCTCTTTTCTCAGAGCATTAATGCAAAGGAAAATATGTCCGTCGCAGCACGTGCGGTCCGTGATTATATCTCGATTATGTTCCCTCAGTGTCATTGATTACCTCCACGCGGAGATCCGTGCGTTGGCCTACTCGGCTGGAGTGCTTACGGTGACATCCATACTGACATAAATAGCGCTGGAGCCAAAGCTCTAGTCAAGAGTACATTGATAGCTGTTGGCGAGTGCGCCCAGACGATCTGGCTTGTCTAACACGAGATGTGCGGCCCTGCCTTGTGAAATGGTCTTCCATGGCCTGGGTGCTAGAGGGCGTGTCTTTGCACAATTTGGGACATGTGGTTGGGCATAAAATACTCCATAATGAGTCTTTTACTGTAGCTTCATTGTCTTGATGTGGACGGTCGTATTGTTAGAGTCCTCGTACCTAGCTTGTCTGTCTTAGATGGGCTTTCCAATGTTAATTATACGGCCGTCTTTGTGATCTCCTATTGAAAGCCTCCCGATCGGAATGCCCCAGATATCTCGAAGACTATGCTCTTGTAGCTTAAGACTAACCCCTCTATGTACCGCTGTGTCTTCAAATCTCTCAAATTCATCGAGTTCAATTCACACGTGGCTGAGCTTGGGTATGAGTTTTGTTTGCAATCTCCAAAGGCCTTGCTTCTTAGCCAATTTCGTAGTTCTTAACCCTATCTAGTCATAGTCGCTTCGCTAGTCGTAGGAGAGAATAACAACTCAGTTCCGAGCTGCTGAAAGCAGTGGGTAGCGTCTGTAAGTCGACGAGATATTTTGATGCTAGAGATGGCTACTAGGGGGGGCAATAGCGAATTCCTATTTGAAACCGATAGGGTTGACACAATGCCAAATCTTTGTTTTTCGAACCTCATCATACACACACAGTGGGAACGAGCATGCTTCTAGTGAAGGGTGTTCATACGATGTGGGCTTGTAGCCTCATCATAAGGCTTTTACAAAGCATGTATCGATATATCAGGTCTATAGAAGGTCTTCTTCTATTACATACATCAGTAAGAGACGATATACTAAAGTTGATGTTTTCGTCTAAGATCAATTTTCAAGTAAGCTGTAAGGCCGAAGAGCGATCACATAGACGCGTAACTTTCCGGAGGGTCGAAGACAGGCTTTGTTTAGCACATGTTTTGCATTCGCAATGCGCCGCCCTAAGCAGGAACGGCGTACTCTTGCCCTTGAGCTGATAATTCAACTTTGGCTCCCAACTATCAATGGCGGTTAAACACTCTACAAAGAGAGCCTATCGTTACTATGTATATAATAAAGAAATTATCCCAATAAGATCAGGGGTTTTCATAGGCTTAACGTAAGAGGTCTTCCTAGATGGTCGAAGTGATCATTGCGGGTCCTTCGTAGAATGAAACAACGTCATACGGGACTTTTAACTTTTAGAAGAAGCCATTCAATTCAAATTGTGTACCTGCTTCAGGAGTCACGACAATATGTCCCAATACTTCCTTCAAGAAAGGCTACGGTCAAGATCCGTTAAGTCCTTGACCATGACGGACTTGAAGCAAGAGTCGGGCTTTGTATAGGTATTTATAGACGCGAACGAATAGTGGGCAACGATGTGTCTTGTATTGCTTTCCCTTTTTGCGAGCCTGCTTGATTTACCTTATAATTTTCTCCTAAGTCTGGTGAGTCATAATATGAAATGTGTTGAACAAGCACTGTGAATGAAAAGGGAGTGACCAGCGTGCAGTTGGCTTTCTAATGCCGTTCTCGAAATCCTCGGGGTGCTCAGTGCTATAACCTATAGAGCGGTCAGCGTCAACTACTATGGCGCCCTTGACCTACTTAATTAAGTATGTGAAAACATATCGGCCAACACGAGAAAGCTATATGCCTCTTTACCATTTCTGACAACTAATAGGGAATTACGGAGATTGTGACTTCTCTAAAAATACCACCATTATCAAGTCATATAGCTTGAGAGATCCCATGGAGGTAGTATTGCGCTAAGGTAGTTTGAGTCGCAGCGAAGAAATAGGTGTTTTGAGTCTCTAGGACCAGTCTAGATATTGCCCTGTTGGTGTTTTTTCACGTTATGACTTCGATAGTCTGGTGCCTTTATCGTATGTCGATGATGTCCAAGATACACATGCAACAATTGAATCCCTCAGTGAGCGTTTCAACTGATTCTCTTGCAGGGCTTGCCCTGTGGTAAGATGAAATTATCGGAGCTTGAGTGTTCAAGGAGAAGACGCCCTAAACAACCGGGGACTTTTTCAAGAACATCTGTGAACAAACAGATGAGATCCTGGTACATGTGACTTCGAATCGCGAATTTGAGTGTGAGAGTGTAATAGAGACGCTCAGACGATACGACCAAAGTAGGTAAACGAGACGCAGCTGCACGTGGTTTGATGATCCTCCGTCGAGCTAAGGGCACTAGTCCTTATCTAGCGTAGTACAAAAGTACCGCACAGATTCGTCCCCTCGCGCGTGCGGGCGCTACGAGGCTCAACCACTCTATGTTGTAGATTCTGTGTTGGAAGAAAAACGCTGTCCAGAGCTCTATAGCTTGCCCTTGAAAGTAAACAGACGTCTAATCGATAAATAAAATGACCTGCAACGAAATATATAGGACTACAGACACCAGCCAGAAACCTAAGACAGTGCTCACATGCTCTTTCACTAATAGCAGCCTGGCTGGGCCTGGACCCTGCAATGAGATTTTTGAGGCTGAAATCATTTCCACCAGCGCCACACTACTGCCGCTCCGTTCCTGTGCCACCTCGCTTAATGGTCGCGTCTAAGCCCATTCCAGTATCGTTGCACGCCTTTACTCGATACCGTTACAACTGCTCCAAAGCCCAGAAGCCTCAATGAAGAAACCCACAGAGTGCAGTCTGCAGTCAAGGATGTTAAGGGTCTGTAGATTGACACCATAGGCTGCTTCTGCTGAGTCCGCCCTCGGTATCCAAATACTGAGGCATTAGCACTACTATCCTGTCCGATACATGGCTGCCATAGAGCTTTGGAAAGCCGCAACAAGATGGCTTGATATCTTCCGAACTCCAACGCTACATATAAGAAACAGCGACTAACGGTGGTGACTTTGGCACAATTTATCCCGTGTCTTACTCATCCTGCATATAGCGGTATTTCGGAAGCGCCATCTCTTTTGCTCTGAGCTAAATTAATTGATAGAAAAGGCTAGTTGTCTTACTGTCTACCCTGTCTCATCTTCCTAGCGTCATGAACCGAATTATCAAAAGGGGGAAGTTTTGGTCTCGCTGACTACCCCATTGGGACCTAGTCTTGGCCTCCACATTCCAGCTCCATTCAGGTCCCAACATGATGAGTGTGCCAAGTCGTCCTGGAAAGTCAAGGTGGTGTCTATTGACGATGTTTTCCGCCCTACAAGCCACAAAGCCACAAAGTGTAACGGAGTCTCCGTATTGCAAGATGACTATCCACCGTCCTTACTTTTCACTAGTCTGTCCTTTTGCGCCTGGATGTTCCACATGTCGATGCTCCCCATGGATGTTGCAAAAGAATAAAAGGCCACCTCCTCGCTACTGTCTCACTCCTCCCTCGAGTCACTACGGCAATTCTTTCAACCCGCTGTCAACATGAAAGCATTCCTGCTAGCTTTGGTCGCCGCCTTGGCCGTCGCTTCTCCACTTCAGGAACGGACTACTCCACAATGCCCAGCTTCAAAGTGTGACGTTAGGGGCGATGAACTTAAACTAAAGACCTCAACCCCGTACTGGACGAGCCGCGACAGTAAATACACCACCAAGGCAGGGTGCGGTGCACGATGCAATCAAGACGCATTCTGCAAATCCTTTTCGATCGGGGAAGGCTCCTGTCGTTTGTATCAAAAGTCTATGTAATATTCCCCCTAATCTCCTCATCTCCCAAGCTCACTTTTGCTGTAGTTCTTCTTGCGCTTCCCGTAATTCCCAGGGTCGCCGAACTTTCAGTAACAAGTGCTGTGTGCCCCCAGTCTCAAACCCTTCTAGCCCTATATGTGGAAAGGTCGGTTACGACAAGGAGCACCCTCAGGCGTACTACATCGATAGATCGGGGCAGAAGGCCACCTTACCAGCTTGCAAGGCTCTTTGCGCTTCCAAGGAACGGTGTAAAAGCTTTGCTTTTGGAAAACAGAGATGCTTGCTCTACGATGCTGTGCTCGCTGGGAACTTTAAAGCGGCATCGGACAGTCACTATACGTTCTACGATAAAACTTGTTCAGTTCCGACTCCGAGCGTGAGCTCGTCGACTTCGACACCTCAACCTTCGTCAAGCTCGTCAGCTATACCCACCAGCACGCCTACCCCCACTCCCACTCCGTCCTCCTCATCGTCCGAGACTCCGACACCTACACCTACTCCGGAGCCTACCTCGGAGACTCCTACACCTACGCCGACACCAGAGCCTACCTCTGAGACTCCAAGCCCAACGCCGGAGCCCACCTCAGAAACCCCAAGTCCAGAGCCTACATCCGAGACCCCGACCCCTACTCCAGAGCCAACTTCTGAGACTCCTACTCCCACACCAGAGCCGACTTCAGAAACTCCAAGTCCAACTCCAGAGCCTACATCTGAGACCCCTACCCCGACTCCTGACCCAACTCCAACGCCTGAGCCATCTTCCGAGACCCCATCTCCGACTCCAGAGCCAACTCCAACGCCTGAGCCATCTTCCGAGACCCCATCTCCGACTCCAGAGCCAACTCCAACGCCTGAGCCATCTTCCGAGACCCCATCTCCGACGCCAGAGCCAACTCCAACACCTGAACCAACGTCCGAGACCCCATCTCCGACGCCAGAGCCAACTCCAACACCTGAACCAACGTCCGAGACCCCATCTCCGACTCCAGAACCAACGCCGGAGCCGACCCCCTCAATCGCACCCCTTCCAGCAGGCACAAACGTGCTTCGTAATGCGGGCTTCGAGGAAATCACTGCGTCTGGGCCACAAGGCTCGATGATCGACTGGACGAACATTGGCGGTGGTAGAGTATACCCTAACCGTCTTCAAGTCGCAGCTCATGGCGGGTCTACATACGCGTAAGTCGCATCTACCCAACACCATTCCACTCAAAATCTAATCGTAACCCACAGCATCCTCCATTACTCCGGTTCCTCCGCCAATCCGATCCCTATCATGACACAGCCACAGACTAACCTCGCCACCGATCGCCCATACTCCCTCACCTTCTACTATGATCTGTACTCGATGGTCCAGGTGTCGCTCTGTACACTCGAGATTGCCCTAGGCAACGTCGTGGTATATACTAGAACGCTTACAACCGCGGATGACCCCCGCCCATATAACTGGAAGGGCCCTGAAACGACCACGCCCATCATTCCGAGCTCACCGAACCAGGTACTTAGCTTCACCTACAGCTGTGTACCGAGTGGGGCGCCGCCGAATGCCTACTCGTACATATTCCTCGATGACTTGTTCCTGACATATCCAGCGGCCTGAGCGGGGCAGCCTGATGATTACTCTTCGGAGGACATAGTTTTATCTACTTCAAAGCAATCTTCTTTCACTTCTTTTGTATGTATTTAAACTTCCTAAGAGAGTGCAGTCGCATATAGTTTCTATGTCAATTCGAAAACAATGCCACACGTCTCAGGTGTGAAATAGTGCTGTATGTGCCGACTATAGTTCCTGACTCTCGTAGGGGTTCCAGGCTAGGGACACCTCAGATTTCCGAATCGCTGTTCCAATGCCGCTTATGTCCTGGATGGAGGCATAGGGAAACCTGCTAGGGCGCACACTTTACACGTATGGCCGGTCTCCTGTACAGACCTAAGAGATCAAGTACATGGTGTAGATGAGCTAATGACTGATGCTCATAGTGGCCTTTGACTTCTACCGTCGATGAGAAGATATTTTCGTGACCTGGTGCTTCTGTACGCCTATGAAACATGTGAGTTCTTTTGTAGCGCTGAGCTATCTAGCACTTCTGTAGGTGCACTAGAATTGGAATGGTCACCTTAGAGAGGACGTGTTGGTATTACTCTGGCTACTTGTCCTGAGCCTCGAGGTCTCTTGTTGTTGCCTTGGTGTAAATCACAGCGCTTCAAAGCTATGCACATGGACCGTCACTCGAAGTTATCCCAGAAACTTCTCACCTTGACTCCATCTTGCCACACGCCATCAGTCTCATCTTTCTGAACTATAAACTTGAAAGTCCTCGTCTCTCCCTTCGCAAGGAACACCGCGTTCTGGTCAAAGAAGCCCACCACACCAGCAGGCTCCGTCAGCCATACATATGCCGCAGTAGCATTGTTCGCCGTGACCGTGAACTTTCCGTCCCCGGTCCTTTTCAGCTCGAGACATGGGTCATGCAGCGTCGCATTGACGAGCTGATTGGGCACCCAGAAGTTCTCATGAACCCATTGCTTGCCCTCACCGTCTGTTGCAGTCGCCTTGAGCAGAAGGACCACGTCAGACGAGTCGTAGCCTTGTGGCAGGATGGTCTCCCAGCCAGTTTTCTGAACTACTTCACCACTTGCCATGTTCGCTAGTGTGAAGTCGTGTGTCGTGGTCTCTACGGTCTCGCCGGCCCAAGTCGCCCACGTGGCTTCGACTGTGCCCTGGCATTCCGTCCAGAGGTCGGACGCCATCCAGATATTGAACGTGTTGTTTGAAGGCTCGAACCATGAGCTGACGGCCACACGCGAGAAAATCTGTTGCGTGATGTACTGGGGCACTTTCCATCGGCCAGTATACTCGATCGTGTTGAGAGCCAAAGTGGTCCACGGGGCATTCAGTTGCCATACAAGAGCACCAAGGTTGTTTTCGGGTAGGCCGATGCCGCGTCTGTAGGATTCGGTCTTGAACTTAAGGATTTCAGCGTGATAGATCTGGGATAACCATGTGACTTGGTCGAAGTATGATGTGGGATCCTTGACGGTCGGGGTGCCGTAGAATGTTTGCAAGGCCGCAATGGTATCTGGATATACGGTTGGGCCGCCGTCGTAGCAGCGCGAGAGAAGAACTTCGCCATCGGCAACAAGCTCGGACTCGGGGAGCACAGTGCGGTACGATTCGTAGGAGTCCCAGCTGAACATCCCGTACTCAACAACAAAGCGTCCGCCTAGCACTACGGAATTGTTGAAAACCTCGTTAACCTTCAGATAGTAGTCCTCTTGCGGCCCAACGAACCGGTTGCCATAGCTATCTTGGTCGGTATATTTTGGGATCCAGACTCCGGTGCTTGAATCATAAGACTCGTAGCCCTGAGTGTCACTGGCCTGCAGCCATGAAATTGAGCGCGTGTTTTGGTAGACTTCGGGCCAGATAGTATCGACGAAAAGGGTTGTGTAGTTGTCGAACCAAGCTTCGCCATATGTCTCGTTACGGGCTTGCATTCGCACTGCATAGCGTTCCATCTCATTGCCGCCGGCCCATACAGCCAATGATGGGTGATGATTGAGCCTGCGCATTTGATATCGGACTTCCTCCTGCACGTTCTCTAGGAACTCTGGCCACACAGGGTAATAATTGTCGCTGAATTGGAAATCTGACCAGAGTAGAATGCCAACTGGGCATGGCAGGTATGTTAGCGACGTATCGAATGATATTATGCAACTGGTTTCACTAACGTTCATCTGCGACATCATACAGGTAGTCCGGGTAGTAGTTTCCAGAAGCCCATAGTCGGATCATGTTGTAATTGGATGCCACAGAAGCTTCGAGCAGCCGACGAGCCCATGCTTCATTGACGCGCTGCTCGAACGGATCTATAGGGACCATGTTGCTACCTATCCGTAACTAATCAGTATGTTTCAATGGGATTTATCAGGTAACTGCTACATGCCTTTGGTGTTAAACCGGTGTCCGTTGATACGAAAGCTGAAATGATTGCCAGGTCGATCATTATACGGCGTCAGATCCATTACAATGGTGCGAAAGGCTGTTCGTTGGACAAAGTCTATCTGAGCCCCTGCATCGAGTTGTAGACATATACTTGCATTATACATATGTGGTGTACCTATGGCTGGTTAATGTTGGTTTAGACAAGCAGTGATGAGAAATATTACCGAACTCCCAAGGCCACCAACGCTCGACATCACCATCAGCGATGGTCAGACTTGTTCCTACTCTACCATGCCCATCTCGGATTTTCAAGGCTGGAGTGGAGACATTGTGACCGCCTATATCGATACCGAGGATTGCAGATTCCTGGCATCCAGCTGATAAATAATCTATACTGACATTGACTGTCCAGGGAGAGTTTTCCTCAAAGAAGATGTCGTTGGGACGTTGATTATCTTTGTAGATGTCGATGAATGTGTTCGTTATCGCGATTCCATCATCGAGGCCGACTAAATAAGCTTGTTTATAGATTCCCTGTGGCGCAAAATGAGGACCCCAATCCCATCCTATAGGTGGTGAGTAGAATGAAAAGACACTTTCCATACAAACTCACCGAAATCTGACTGGATCTAGTACGGACGTCAGTAACGTAACTTTTCAGAGAATGGAGACGTACTTTTCTGATGAACTCCCTTCCGAATGGATACACGTCACCATAATTGGTGAACAGGGTGTATGGTTGATCATGAGTATCCTGCTGATAGAGAGCATATTGAATCGCACTTTGAAATTTAACCTCCAGCTCTGATGAAGTAGTGAGAAAGGAGGTTGCATCGAAGACCCATTGACGAAATTGGTTGTTGGCAAACCCTACGAATTCTCCGCCTAAGTTGACGGTGGCGATAGTATCCAGTCCTTCGAATACAAGATAGACTCGGCGGAAGTCCGTCCACTTTTTGCCAGACGGTGCCGTGTCGGGTAGTTTTCGTGAGTACGTCCAATTGTCGGCTGCAATCCAGTCTTGTGTGGCAACTACGAAGAGTCAGGCGTATATTTTGAAACTAGACTGGTGGGGGCAGCACACAGTTATCTCCATATAAGGGATCTGCAATTATACCAGCAGCATATAGATCCGTATGGATGAGGCCTGGGACTGTTGCATCGAATGAAAGAGTGCCGTTCGCGTTTGCTACGCGCCAATTGGAGCAGTCGCTAATTTCGACATACTCTGCACCTCCTGATGTGATACCGATGAATGTTGCGGACACGACAGTGGCATACAACCCAAGTGGGAAGAGCAGGGGAAGCATCTTCGTGAATCAGAACCTCAGGACATGTACTGCGTTGTCCTCTGGTCTCGGCCTCAACCCTCTTTTGTAGAGCGACTCTTGGCACCAGCAGGACTTGACCCAGAGGTGGTGAACTGCCTATCCATCCCTAAAACAGACAGTGACTTGTCATCCCATGTTGCAGTTGTGCATGATGTCTGTTCCGCTCCTATTTCGTGAGATATTCTGCACGGTACCCTTTTTAGAACGGCGCTAGAGCTCCGGGCCGTTTTCAGATGGATAGGCTTCCCAAGTAGTTCCGAACGAACCACTGGGGTATCGACGGCCGAGCATCTCCGGACAATATGCAAGATTGGGTTCAAAAGGATTCACTATGGATCCTAGGAATCTATTCTCCCTACGTCCCTGATGTGTACCGGGACTCGAGAGGGGCAGACCTGATGACGGCGGAGGCAGTATCCAAGATTGATTTGGCTGCAATCTGGTTCTAAGACCCGCATCACTAGGCTTGGTGAGACCACTTCAGAGTAGAAAGATCGGCGCAAGGAAAGAAGATTATTAAAGCACAGGCTACCCTGAGGTATGTAATCTAGTACAAGTCGGGATCCTACGTCGGGTATACTCTAAGCCTAGATAATTAAGTATAGAGCTGTGGTCTATTCTCGAGTGATATATAATTTCGACTATCATTAGTGACCCGCCTAGCAAACAAATCAGAAGAGGGACCAGGACCTTTGTATCTTGTTAATTACCTATCCGTCGTTTATCTAAAACCTGACGAGCTTGGCACTCGCCCACACGTCCACGGGTGCTCTCTCCCCTATCTTCCTATCTAGAGCTCTCTCTACTTTTATATCTATATCTAAGTGATTAGTAATATCAAAAGTAGATAAGATAGAAATACGGTATATTTTTATCCTTCTATAGGTTTACTTCTTCCCTATAAAGTCTCTCTAAAGAGAGAAGAATTTCTAAGGATTCTTACTAGAGGCTTTTAGAAGAGGGCCCGTGCGTTAGAAAAACGTCTCTCTTCCTCTTCTCTAAGAATTAAAACCCTTCTATTATAGACAAAATTAAAGATTTTAAAGCTTGCTAATTAGGATAATTACATATGTAGACACTTATATAGAGCTAGAGAGGTAGAATGACTATCTGATATAGGAGGGTGAGAATATATGCGTGAATGAAAACGCCAAGCTCTTCAGGTTCCAGAAAAACCATTGATTCGTTTGAACACTACAACACAGACCATGTCACGGAAAAGTTCGCTTACAACTCAACACAATCTACGATTTGAGTGCTTTCATCCATTCCTATCCTGTGTCCTATCGTCTCCTGCATACGCCTGGCCACCAAACACTCATTTTAAGATCTTGTATCTTAATTGGTCAAGGGTCCCACGGTAGCCCTTCAATGTGATTGTTTGCTGGTCATCCGGGAAAACGTCAATACCATTATCGCTCAAAGCAACGCCCTCCTGCTCCTCAACAGTGAATCCCTTGACAGGTTTGTTGACCGTTACCGTCAGCACTTCACTGGCCAATTGAAGTGACAAACCTCGCTCTTCGAAGTGGATATACTTGTATGGCTGAGGCCAGTCGGCATCCCTCGAGATGCACTCACCGTTGACCAACAACCGGGCAACGACAGCGTAAGGATCATCCCATGTACCGTCAACCATTCCTTTAAGTACTTCGGTGGTACCGTTTTCGACCACCGTGATGCCAGATTTGACGATGGAGGGTTTGACATCTTTACCGGAGGCAATGGAGATGAATCTTATTTCGAGGTCTGCTGCAAAGGACATCTTCTGGTTGCTGGAGATCCAGACGGCATACTCCAGCTCCTTTGTGGGCCGAGCATGCGACTGACTCCAGTCTTTGTGCTCTCGCATGACCCCGACTGCTAATGGTCGCATGGCCCGTTTGATAGTGTAGTACGCAATCTTCTTGCGGTGGTAATAGTCGACTATTGCCCACGATGAGCAAGGCCAACAGTCGTTCAATTGCCAGACTAATGCACCGCCACACCGACGAGAGTCGCCCCATTGTCTGCGCCAGCCTTTATAAGCATAGAGGACGGTCTCTGCCTGCATAAGTTGGGTCAAGTACACCCACGTCTACGTTGGATCAGCGGCTGGCTCCGCAAGCTCGGCAGACAGCTTTGGCTTACCTCAAAGTCTGACGTGTTTCGGAAATTCTCAAGCAGATATGTCCCTATGCGACGTTCATGACCATCTGCTTTGTTGTGAAAGTCCATCGTCAAAGATTGAGCATGGAGCTCACGATCACATTTCACGAATGATCGGATCGTCTCCAGCGCCGGAAACGAGCACATGCCGAATTCACTGACGAACCTTCCACCGATTTCGGGAAACCTTTGGTATTTCTCTTGTGTGCCGTGCCAAACTAGGGACTATATCAGCATAACTCACATGGATGTCAAGTCTAATCCTACCATTCCACTGGTGGATATCACCGATCCTCTGATCTCCGGAGTCTTTACCGCCTCCAGTGAAGGGAGAACAAGGCCAGTATGGGACTCTTGGAGCCTCCTTGCCGCATACCGTGGGTAAAAGAGACTCATAAATGAATCGAGCTGGAAATGACGACTTGAGCCATTCCTGAGGATCAGTCGACTCCTGGTAATCGAGCTTGTACCACTCCTGGATTTGATAATCCTCATTAGTGCCCGCAAAGACGACTACCGATGGATGATCCCTTAGTCTTCGAACATTGTACGCCACTTCTTGCTTAATGTTCTGCAATAGAGATGGCCATGTGGGGTAACTACCACATGCAAACATGAAGTCTTGCCACACTAGAATGCCCAGCTCATCGCAGATCGAGTAGAACATATCTGGCTCGTAGATCCCTCCTCCCCAAACCCTGAACAAATTAGCGGGGCTCCAAATATGGGATATTATGTGCGTACCGGATCATGTTTTGGTTACCTTCCACCAAGGTCTGCAGCCATTTCCGATAATCGACTTCGGACAGTCTGGGAAGGAAGTTGTCGGCTGGGATCCAGCATGAACCACCGCAGAAGACATCGATTCCGTTGATTCGGAAGAAGAAGCTCTCTCCCACGGTATCATGATTGCGGATCAGTTCGACGTCCCGGAACCCAGTCTTAATCGCTACGTGATTCAGGATTTGGTCGTCCTGAATAATCTCGGCGGACAGCTTGTAAAGTGGTTGGCCACCAGACCCGACTGGGTACCACAGCTTCGGGTTCTCGAGAGTGAATCTACATTTGGCTTCGCTTCCCTTATCAATGTCAACTGTCTCGGTGAAGACTGATCGACTTTCACCCTCATCCTCGATAACAAACCGCAGTCTTGCCGGGCGGCCTGATACTGTCGCAAACAATGTACCGCCGAGGGTACAACGACCATCATTCAAAGCATAATCAACCCACAGCCGCTCAATTCGTGAGTGAAATATTTCCAGTCGGACCGGTTTCCAGGGACCGGCAGTCATGAATACAGGACCCCAGTCCCATCCCTAGAAGAGTGTGAGAAGATGTTTAGGAAAAGAAGATATATAATCACCCAGTGGTATTGTGCCTTTCTGACACCCAATCGACCTGTTTCACCATTGTGTGCAATGAAACGGTATTCGCTATTTTCCTTCTCTAGCTCCCTACCCTTCAGGAGCGCAGGGGCGAATTCAAGCTCGAGCACATTCACTGCGTCATTTTTCAGAGTGCTACCAACATCAACACGATACTCTAAAAACATATTTTCGCTGTTGAGAATCGTGTGGCCATTGAGACGGACTTCTGCGAAAGTATCCAGTCCCTCAAAGACTAGATCGATGCGCCCTCCGGCGGTCCTTTGGGGACTTGGAAACGACGTTCGATAGATCCATGTCCTCTCCCCAATCCATTCCACGTCAAGTTCACCGTAGCCAATAAATGGGTCTGGTATCCTTTCGGGCGAACATATTAGAACTGAAAACAACTAGGACAAAGATCTGGGCATGGAACTTACTTCCCCAACTTCAGCAAATCTAGGTGCACGACAGTCGGTACAGACTCTACTGATAGCCATTCCGAATCCCAGACGCCTTGCCCCTGAAGTTCCCACCCGTTCGTAAGTAGTATCTGTGTAAGGGGACATGCACTCATCTTCACAATGCCAAAGAAACAGTATATGCCATTTCAGACCGTAGTTTTCAAGCTTATCTTAAGTACTTTACAGAAAGGATAAAAGATGCATATTCCCAGCACACACAGGTGCGTCACTGCAGCAGTGATCCATGTTGAGTTGGGCAAGAAAACATCACTTGCACGATCAGAGCTAATCAAATTAGGCACGGAATTGGTGAGAAGACCGAAACAGCAGCCCCGCATGAATCACAAGCCACGGCGTCCATGCCGCAAATACTCCCGCAGCCTGTGGAGTATCGTGGGGGCGGAGTTTGCATTGGTTCCGTTCCTAAAGTAGAATCCGCACCATGTTCGACTTAGAATGTGCCTGTGCCGCAACCCGATTTCCGGGAGCAAGCTGCGGATATCTGTAGATCGCGCAGGTGTGGAGACGGCTCTTTCATTCTGCGCCGTAATGTATTTTAAGTGTTTCTCTCATATGAAACACTCTTTGGCATATCATACACAGCTTCTGACAATTCCATCCACGGCAAGCTGTCATGTCTGGCTCAGCCGTCCTAGCGAATCAAGGGACACTGCCTTCAGCCACATCGCCTTCGAGGTATCGATCCCGGCACCAACAGACATCTTGTTATCCTCGATGAAAGCCACTCGTGACCTACTCGAGCGGAACCCTTTCGGGGAACGGAGCATGGCCTAAAGTTTGCCGACTGTCTAGGATATATACGTCCCCATTTGACTACAATTATGCGCTCGAATGTCCATTGTGCCTTTACGACGCAGTCGATGGACAGACTGGCCAAACGAAATGTCGACCAAGGAAGATTACGTTGCTAAGCGGACTGAAGTAGTCGAGAAGCATGCCGAGATCATTGGAGATCCCAAATTGGGGGGCATCTTGATCGAACACAAGACAAGTCCCTGGAGTAGAGGTGCAATCCATCTTTACACAGTATGTCTTCTGATCTATCTCTGCTCGACAATGAATGGTAAGCGTTGCTCTTAAGTTTACTCTGTCACAACTCTGACATTCGAAGGTTATGATGGCTCACTCATGGGTTCAATCAACGCCCTTCCTAGCTACACGGCCTACTACGGTCTTCCAGCCGAAGGGAGCAGCGGTACTGGGCTCGTATTCGGCATCTTCCAGATTGGCCAGATGATAGGCGCGCTCTTCACGTGGGCAGCAGATTGGCAAGGCCGAAGATGGCCTATCTTTATAGGTTGCTTCGGTACCTGTGTAGGCGCAGTTGTGACAGCAACTGCTCCTACACTGACAACTTTCATTGGCGGACGTTTCCTCCTCTCCTTTTTTTCGACTCTGGCAGCAACCGCAGCTCCACTTTACCTCATCGAAATAGCGCCACCTCAATACCGTGGGACTGTGGCTGGCATGTACAACACCCTGTACTACCTCGGCTCTATCATCGCGACATGCGTTGTATATGGCTCTGTGCAACAGCTCTCTGACAAGGGGACGCTTCAATGGAGACTATCTCTCTGGCTACAGATGCTTTGCCCTGGACTAGTGTGTCTGGGTATATGGTTTTGCGCGGAGTCCCCACGCTGGTTGATAGGAACCGATCAGCAGGACAGAGCGCGGAAGGTTATTGCTGAGCTACATGCGAATGGCGATGAGACCCACCCCCTGGTGGAGCTGCAAATGTCAGAAATGAGTGAGGCACTACGTGCTGAAGGAATCATGACCTGGAGAACCTATTTTGATCTTCGAGTCCTTTTCAAAACCGCTGCCCGGCGGTATCGAATCCTGCTTAACATTGCTTTTGGCTGGTTTGGTCAGTTCAGCGGCAACAAGTAAGTCTGCATAGACAACCTAGATGTAGAAATCTTACTAATGGCTTGTGCACAGTGTCGCATCCTACTGTAAGTAGCAATCTCATTGCAACTTAGTCGAACTGACACCTTCAGATCTCCCATACCTGGTTGCCAATGTTGGCGTCACGGATACCAACACACAGCTGCTTCTAAATATAATCTATGCCATCGCAGGCTGGATCCCTGCGATAATTGGAGCTAGGTTACACGACGTGGTAGGCCGTCGTAAGCTTCTATTGTCAACCACTGCTGGCATGGCGGTGTGCCTGGCTGTTGCTGCAGGTACCGCTGCAGGGTATGTCAAAACAGAGAGTAAAGCAACGTCGGTGGCATCTATTGCGTTCATCTACTTATTCGGCTCTGTATTCGCATTGGGGTTCACTTCCATGCAACCCATCTACCCTGGTGAGGTCCTATCGAACGATATGAGAGCAAAGGGAATGGGAGTTTTCCAACTGACGGCTGGAACGGCTGGCTTTGTCAACACATATGCCGCTCCTGTGGCCTTGCGAAACGTAAGTTCCTTTACGACGTGATTCTTTCCGACGCCCGATCTACTGACATATCACAGATTGGATTCTGGTTCTATGTATTTTTCGTACTTTGGGACGTTTTTGAGTTCATCTTCATCTACTTCTTCTTCGTGGAGACGAAGGGACGTACCTTGGAAGAGCTTGATTATATCTTTGACGCCCCCAATCCACGCAAAGCAAGTACAAAGCGTCAAGAGGTACTCGTTACGGAATGAAATAAAGCTATCATTTTAGACGCGTCGGGCTTCGGAAGGGCTCAAGATGGACGTTCCTTATCAATGTGGTTCTGTCTATGGGAAGGATCACCGCTGCAAGTCCTGGCGACACCAGACACAAAATCTTCCATGAAAGAGCAAAACAACATCTAACGTTCGACATCCTAGGTCTGCCTCATATACAGACAATTCAAACGCTTGCGATTCTCAGTGGCATGTATACTCACTACATCCAACCTGCTCTGGCAAATTCACTCATGGGCGTGACCATCCGCATGTCATTTAACATAGGCCTCCACCGCGACTACTCCGAAGCCATCGACACAGACAACAACATCCCAATGATCGAGCTTCGTCGCTGTCTCTGGTGGTGTCTGCTGATCATAGACGCCTGGAACGCCATCTCCCTGGGCAGATCCAGCATGGGCCGTGTAGGCTGCGGCTAAACAACGAAACGACCCGAGTTCCCGGTTGTTAACACCCTCACCCACACCCCCTTTTCGCACCTGCTCACTTCAGTCTCCACAGACCGGCGACCACACCATAACCGCCATTGTAGCCCACAACATCGCATTCTGCATCACCAGCAGTCGCCTCGAAGACGAACTCGTCACGACTCTTCTGCTCGCCGCCTCGCCGCCTCGCCCTCGACACCACCCTCACATCATGGAGCACCTCCCTCTCCAGCTTCACCCCACCATCCTCCGAACCCCCCGGTCTTATTCTTTGCCTCAACCTTATGCGCTGGCACTGTCTTTTCCACACACATGCTCTTTTACTGACCGGTACTCCTGTGCCACGCCATCCGCGGGCACACGCCCACACATCTATCCTCCGACAATGACAGCGCGATCAGCATGTGTCGCGAGCTAGCCACAGACTTGATACGTGATCTAGCATCCTCCTGGAATGTACCGGCGCCAACACAGCTGGCGGGGTGGTGTACGACGTGGCAGCTGTACGAGGCGGCGCTGGTGCCGCTGGTGTCGCCGTTCTGTGCGAGCGAAGGGGAGCATGTTAGACATGAGTGCAGAGGATTGGTCGAGGACGCGATTGGAACGTTTGAGGCGTTGGGACAATGGGCGGCGACGGCGGGGGGGTCGATGGAAGTCTTAGAGGCGTTGCTGGAGGTTAGTAAGGGGATTGACGGGTAACGGGAGGAGGGGTCTGAGGGGCACTGTTTGGATGGCTTCCGAGAGGATGTTTTCATGGCTCCTAGTTTGAACGATATTACATATTACTTGGGATAGTATGTTTAGGGGTTTGGGGAGGGGGGAGGTTGGAAAGAGGATGGCTATATCGATTTTCATGGAACAATGCTTCATCCGTGTGGATGGAGATGTTGGCGTAATTACTAGCAAAATCCTACTCCCTCAATCAAAGTAGAAACCGGAATTGAACAATGCCCGGCGTGAGCTTTTCACAACAAACATAGCACATATACTTCAGAGGCTATTAAACCTGTCTTCCTTCCCCCCTTAGCTGTTCACCTATCAAATAACAGGAAATCTATAAGCTAGAAATACTAAATCATAGCGTCTTCGTTTTCACACAGAGCAAGTCCGAGAACCTGCACAGCCCTATCACCTTTCTCCCTACTCTTCTCGTCCTCGACTATCCTAGCCCTCCCACATAGTATACATCCTTCCCCCCTAGAATCAATTGCTCAAACCCACTGAGAAACATACCTCAGAGAACAACTGGTCAGTTACTTGTGGAAGCTCACAGTGACCTTGCCCTATCCGGATTTCCACCCCGTTATTTCACTCCCCTATCTGCTGACCCTATCTTAGACTCTAGTCCTGTCAAATGAATAACACATATAAGTATACGTGCAGTACCAGGACGTGGTAGATGCCGTTATCTATTTCGATTCCAAATATGTATGCCTCAATGCGCTGCTGTTTAGACCATAGATATCAAGAGACGTGGAAGAGCCAGCCTTTGAGCATCCGTGTGGCATCAGGATCAGTGGTCTCCAAAGCTCGCAATATCGTGCATATGATGTTCTCGAAGTACTAAAGCTCACCTGAGTATGTTATGTCTTTGTTATGTTGATCCAGAGCACAGATATGGTACATCTCTCCAAATCGTCATCAACTCGTATCGTATACGGATCGTAAACAGTCTCACCTCAATTACAGACCACACAACCGCATGCTGGATCCAAACTCCTAGAACCAACTGCGCAGAGACATGGCACATAAGATTTGCCAGCATAAAGAAGTTATGTAGCGAAAGCAGTTTAGATCACAAGATCCGTTCTCTCATCACGATGTTTTGAATGTTGCCTAAAGGCAGAACATCGGGACCCAAGGTTTATCGCATTATATATCAGTATGCAGCTTCGGCCTTGATTCTTCCATGGATAGGTATACGAGACGGCGATGTCCGTCATAGTGGGCACATCGATATTTCCAGGGGAGATCTAACTTACACCTGTCTCGAGGATTTATCAGCCGAGTTTGTTCATTGTTGGCCACGTGTCTGGGTGGGTTCGGGGGTAGGCAATTGCTATGAAACAATTGCATGCGACAACCTTTGCTTCTATCGTGGCGACTGGATGGAGACCTGGTGTGTGACACACTCGATGAAGTAATTGTACTTCTGGGATTGTACTTCCGAAGTATACAGCTTTTTCCGAAATGTGGTGGTGGATACTTGTAAGGAACGTCGAAGATCATCCTATGGAAATCGTTGCACATATGAGATGTGTGATGTGTTCTTGTGCTCTCCACCATCTTACGAACCATATGAATTCATGCATGTTTGGTCTTGGAAGTGATGCTCATGTCCCCGAAGACAATCTGCAGTCTTGCCACACGTAGAGAAAAGTTGGCATTTTATTGCACTGTGATGAGCTCATTGTTCAGGCACGTGGCATTGAATGTTGTTTACTTCAAGACCTCCACCTGCAACCAACAAAAATAGGCGTTGGCACAGCTACGCGGCACCTGCCAATAGGAGTTCCCAACTTCTACAACCTTTCGCACTTCTCCCCAGGGTATGTTTCTGCGTACTCGGGCTGACACTTGGCCTTACTACCGTCAAAATGACAGAGAAGTGGGCAAAGCTTGGTCCTCATCTGGACAGTGAAGAGTCTCAGATAGCCTTCCGAAAGTTTGCCCAAGCCCTGCAAGCAGATGTGAAGTCACCAATATTCTCCACTTCTACACAGCCTGGAGGACAGTCGCCTCCATCTCTTGTGAGACCGGCAGTATCCTCTGGTAGAAACTTTCACAACGTCGTCTTCCCACTTGAGCTGACATCTGACTTAGAAAACGTTCGTCCTTCGCCAGACAGCTCTCTGCAAGATCTTCACTCAGGCTCTGACGAACTGAATTCGACGACTTTCTGTCAGTCTGACCATAAGAACTCAGAGTTGCCAGCTCAAGGAGTCGCATTCACCCTGCGCTCGAGTTCTCTCGCAGCACCGACCACGGTGTCTTCGAAGGAGAATTCACCGCAAGCTTCCCAAACTGCTTCACCAAAAATTGCAGATGCCCTTCCGGGCTGCAGCGACCGCACTTCTGCCAGTGCAGGTATCCGTGAGCGTCTCGCACAGCTTAAGTTCAAAAGCAAGACATCGGCTAGACGATCGATCTCACCCTCGAAGTCGGTCCCAATACCGGCTGCCCTACCAGTCCAGACTGAGGTCATAGCCCACAAGGACCCGAAGAGCAAATTCAAATGCAATATTGAACTGTCTGTGGAAGAACAAGAGGTTGTCAAGACTATGGAGGCACAATTGCGATATGAACAGGCGAAGTACCTCAAACAGAAAATTAAGCCAAGTATTTGGTTGGAAAAGGAACGAGCCGTTCAAACTCGCCAATTCGAGAGCGTGAAAGCGAGTGTCCAGCATCAGCTTGAACAAGAAGCAGGACAGCTTCGAAAGGAACAGGAGCAATCCGGTGTAACTCGGTACCAAATTGACCTGGATAATGCTGCAGTGGATCAACAAGTTGTGCAAAATAAGCCGACGGTAGTTACCGCCGCTGATGCAGCTCGAGTCGCACAGAAGGCCGAACAGACCGCAAAGCAAGTCTCAGAGATTGGGCCAAAGGAAGAAAGGAAAAGGTTGGAGGAAGCTGCCGCAGAGGAAGAAAAGAACAGATTGGAGCTTACACCTGCAAAGGCACAAGGAGACTATATACTCAGCCTCGAGCACGAAATCAAGGTCATCGACGAGAAGCTCAAGAAAGACCAAAAGTCTCTGGAGGTCATTACAGGCTTGTTGAGCCAACACGAAGGCGAGACTCGCAAGCTATTCCAAACCACGGTCGAAAGCCTTGAGGCTAAATTGGTCCACTTTACAGCCCAACGCGAGGTGAAGATGTCTGACCTGGCAGCTGTGAAGAAGAACAATCATGTTGAAAAGCAGTCAATTGTTCGAGACGCACCAAACGGCGCTTCTGGACAGTGCGGCATGTCCCAAATGCCCCAAAAGCCCCAAGAGACAGAAATGCACCGGAATACTCCTATCATAAAACAAAAGAAGCAATCTCTTGAGCACCAACAACGGTTTCCTGCATGGCCTACGCAGCGGTTAAGGGACAATGGTAGCTACACTTTCTAATATTTCACTATGACCATAGCTGACCATCATGGTAAAGGTCCGCAAATTCGTCGCGTAAAACTCACCAACCTCTCTATCAAGTATACTCCTAACAAGGTAGTATGCCTTGTCTGGGCCGGCCGCGTCGAAAGGATTGAACATCACCTTGGGTCTAACCAGGCAATGATACAGTTCCTTTGTGCTAAGGATTGTAGAGCATATCATGAAGCCACGGCGAACGGTATTGTGGTGCCTGGAGAAGACCGAGTTGTGGACGTCGAACTTGACCAAGCACCAACTTCTACGAATGACTACACCCAACAGCTGATCAAACACGATGTGTCCGAGTTATAGGTCCCTGTGATGTCGACAAGGGCATCGGATCGCTCGAGAGACTCGCAACGGCAGACGGACGCAAGCTTGATATCGTCAAGCTGGGCAAGACGCCAAGAAGTGGAGTAAGCAATCCTGAAGCTGACATCATCGCCAGAATAAGACGTGTAATTTACAGTACTGACCTACTTACTGCAGACTGAGATGATCGAGTTCAGATTCCTACAGATCGACGATGCCTTCAAATTCAAGCGGCAGCTTACGGAAAGCCCTAACTTCGAAAGGTGCAACATCATCTTCCCAGAAGACCCTTGTGCCTTGGCCCGTGGACCCCATATGGACGACTAGACACTGTGATTCATTGCACAATGTATAAATAAGAGGATGATTGCAGTCATCGTTGTCTTTCGTGTACGTGAACAGGGGGGATAGCAAGGCATGGCAGCGTAAAAGTACTTCGTGAAAGGCTCATATGAGTACATAGCGGAAAGAACCAGGGATCTTATCCCAAAATTTGGCAATAGAGGTAGCAAACTGTAAAGTATGAATGAAATCGGCCGTGACTTGATCGATGTTGAATGTTGCCATTTACTCTAGCGACGACGTTGACATTGATACTCCCGAGGGTCCGAGGGTCCTTGGCTCCAACCAGCGAGCGCACAGACCTCAATAATAATGATACGATAATCTGTAATATAATATTGCCTATCATCTATCATGCATTCTTCCCAAGCATCATACAACATAACCTCTAACAAGGGCGTAATATCTCATGCGCCTCCATCCTCCGCCCACGCCGAACCCTAATTATATTACTTCCGCGCTCGCGGTCTAGGACCCTCAAACACTGGACAGCATCGCCCTTTTCCGAGAAGGCATGGCTTGTGGCCATCCACCTGCGCAAACCGTATACGATAGCTCAATTCCCATTCCTTCTATTGGCTCACACCTTATTTACATGCGCAAGGTACAGCTCTCAACATGCCGTCCGCCTTTCGCCGCAACAGAGGACAGTCCTACGAACTGCTCCCTCGCGCATCAATTGAGTCCGACCCTGAGCAAAATGAATTCATAGCTGCCTTTCCACACAAGTTGCAAAATACTAGACCGTCATGGTTCGCTCCCTGGGCATCACGCATAGTGTATACACTGTTCTGCGTACTGGGATTCTTAGTCTCGCCATTCGGTGTGAAGAGAAAGCTATCGCGGACCTTGTATTGTGTACTGTTTGGGACCCCGTACTTCTTTACTGCGCTTGTGCTTTTGACTGCTGTGTTTCGCCCAAGCTACACGCATCCGCCACCGCATTATACCGAGCTACGAAGAAGATGCACCGGGAGTCAGGAGCCTGGAAGAGGAAACCCTCATAATGAGAAGGTATTCATTGCCGCAAGCATATATGATCATGAAGGAGAACTGCTTGGTGGGCTATGGGGCAAAGCGATGCTAGAATTGGTGGATATTTTAGGACCACAAAATGTGTATCTGAGCATCTACGAGAACGACGCAGACCCGAATGCTTTAGATGCGCTAAGCAAATTCAAAGAAATGGTCAAATGTATGCATTTCCTTAGCCCGCCATACAGTAACAGAACACTGATCCGTATTTAGTCGACCATACCATACTCAATGAACACCTTCCCCTCGAAGACATTTCCCGCGTCACCCTCCCTAGCGGCGAATCACGTATAAAACGAATCGCATTCCTCGCCGAAGTCCGCAACCGTGCCCTTCGCCCCCTTGAGTCCATTACTACTAGATACGATAAGCTTCTTTATGTCAATGACGTCGTCTTCGACCCTGTAGATGCCGTCCAACTCCTTATGTCCACGGGGCAGAACCCTGGGACTGGCCGCACGACATACGCCGCAGCGTGCGCCGTCGACTTTATAAATGCCTTCAAATTCTACGACCGTTTCGCAACTCGCGACCTCGAGGGATACAGTATGGGCATTCCCTTCTACCCATGGTTCGCAACCGCCGGGAACTCCGTCAGCCGAAAAGACGTCCTCGCACAGAGCGATGCGGTGCGCGTGCGCGCCTGCTGGGGCGGCATGACGGCCTTCGAAGCACGCTTCTTTCAGAATGATGTCCCTGCCATCGACCCTACCTCTCCACCCACATCCTCTCTCGAATCGTCAATTGAGGCACTCCCCAATGCAGCAGATGCACAGGCCGTCGCGACAATTCCCCGCCCGGTCCGCTTCCGCTACGAGACGGACCCATACTGGGACGCGAGCGAATGCTGCCTTATCCATGCCGATGTCACATTCGCAGCACAGGGTCGAAACGCGACGCATAACTCTGCCGGTGACTTGAGTAGTGGCATCGTCATGAACCCGTACATTCGCGTCGCGTACGATTCCACCACGCTGTCCTGGCTCGGCTTCACGCGCCGCTTCGAACGGCTGTACTCTGTCGTCCACGATGTCGCGAACAGGTGGGTTGGATTTCCGTATCCGAATCCACGGAGGCTGGAGCAGCCGGGAGACAAGAGTAAGGAGTGGGTCTGGATGTATGACGATGGCGAGAAGGGTGAGATGGGCAAGGGGGAGTTCAAGGAGGTTACGAGGATGACGGAGCCTGGTCGCTTCTGTGGCGGGAGGAAGCTGTTGGTCATTAATGAAAATCCAGGCGAGGGCGAGAAGAATTGGGAAGATATACCCATCCCAGGTCGCGAGGGAGCATAATGGACGAACGGGAGTATTGGTTTTGCATAGCGTGGCGTTATAAACAGTCTTGATATTTGACCATTTGGTCTGAATATTCAAACGTAAGGTGGAAACAGTGTTGTTGTTCTTCTATGGGGTATCTCTATGTAAAATGCCATGCGAGTATAATGTCAGGCTAATCAGATTTCTTCAGCTCGTTCCACATCTGATCCAATATCTGGAACACCGCAGTTACAGCTTTCAACGCCTCTTCATTCAATCTGCCACCGAAGCGCTGCTGAGCTTTATCCGGATGCCACCGTACACGCTCTGTCTTCAGCAACGCTATCTGTGCCATCCCATGCGGTGCATGTTCCATGAATGCCTTGACATTGTCCGGTGAAACATGTTTCATCTTGCCCGACTGTACCGGCCAGGGCAGCGATACTCTCTCCTCTTGCTCCGCACCAGCGGCGCCCTTGATCTTATCCCACCCAGCCTGATACCCGGCCCAAGCATCCCTCCATTTTGCGCGGTCTTTCCGTTCTTGGCCTCTCCTCAAACTCTCGTCCACGCGCGCACTAAATGCATCGTCAGCATGGTGCGAATGTGACGCCCGCGCACGCTTCTCTTCTCCTCTCCTGGCCCTTCGTGCTTCCTCTTGTCTTGCACGCTCCTCGAGGATATGCTGGTGTGTGCGCTCGTACATACGCGCACGTACATAGCTGGCATACTCCTCGTCCGTCATCGCTTCGAGTTCCCCCTGTCCTCCTTGTGCCCCGCGAGAATCCCTGCTGTTGTGGTCTCCTTGCCCCGGGCGACCGTATACATGTATGGGCTGTCCGTAGAACGACTCCCAGTACGCCGCACCCTCGTCATCGGCCAGGGCATCGAAGAGCGATTCGCGGAACGCAGCATCTGGGGGAAGGCTATCATCGTTGCTGAGTGAGTCGGCGACATGTGCGCGGTACTCGGAGGAAGGCGAGGGTGAGTGTTTGAGATGTGAATAGGGTGACGAATCGGGGTAGTTCTTTGACTTGTGGCGGTGGTGATGGTGGTGGCGATGGCGTCGTCGAGGGCTGGGAGAGCGCTCTGATCCATGACTGGGTTCTTTATCTAATCTGTGAGAGCGTTTTCGGTGGGGATGCGCAGCGAGGTCGTTGGATGGTGAGTGAGTGCGTTTGCGAGATTTGAAGCGGAATTTGCTGGACTTAGGGCGATGTGAGGATGATTTTGGGGATTCAGCTGTTGCTATCGCCTTGCCAGATGAGTAATCGCTCATAGCTGCGACACATGCTCGTTCCAGGTGTGGGGATTTATGTGTTCCATTCAGTGTACTGTGTATTGCCGGGGGATGGTGTTCAGTCTCAGTATAGTCCATTCAGGCAGAAGTCAGGCAGTAACATTTGAGGCAGCTCCACTAGCGCGGTTGTGCGGACTCCCGAGAATCTATGGATCTACAGGTGAAGCTTCAGTGACGAAGTGTTTACACTAACAGTACTCAAACACAACAAAGATCGCGGGCCTTGTCCTTATCGCAGGGGCAAAGATGTCGAGTCTCAAATATGGCCTGAACGTGCCTAAGAAATCACAGCCTGCCGCGCCCAGAAATCCACTTTTCGGCGACGACGAAGAAGAGATTCTGCGCCCACCTACTGATTCGAGTAGATTGAAGAAGCCGATATCACAGTTTGGCAACCTCGCCGGCAAACCGAAGTCTTCAAAATCAGGGCCCAAAGTAGAAGAGCTCGATCCTACCATCTACGACTACGATGCTGCATACGATGCTATGCACGCCAAGTCTGCCGCTAAGATTGCTGCTGAGAAAGAAGACGCGGCGCTCCGCAAACCACGTTACATGACAGGTCTTATTGCGGCTGCGGAAGTGCGTGAGCGGGATCAATTGCGTGCCAAGGATAAATTGCTGCAGAAGGAGCGGGAGGCAGAAGGCGATGATTTCGCGGACAAGGAAAAGTTCGTTACAGGCGCGTATAAGGAACAACAGGCGCAGATGCGCAAGGCAGAAGAAGAGGAGAAGATAAAGGAAGAGGCTGAGGCGAAGAAACAGCAGGGTAAGGGGATGTCGGGTTTCTATCGATCAATCATGGAGCAGGATGAGAAGCGGCATCAAGAGACTATGGCCGCGGCAGAGAAGGCGCAAAGGGATGGAATCACGATCGACGAGGGTCCGAAAGAGAAGACAGAGACAGAGCTTGCGAAAGAGCTCAATGAAAAGGGTGCTAGGGTGGTTCTAAATGAGGATGGACAGCTGGTGGATAAGCGTCAGTTACTCTCTGCAGGACTCAATATCACTGCTCGGCCTACATCAACGGCGAAGGCCTCGGCTTCGACTCAGACCACCAAGACTCCTCTGTATCAAGGACGCATATCCCAACAGAAGGCTGTCCGTGAGCGTCAGTCCAAGATGATAGAGGAGCAGCTCGAACAAGCCACGAAACGTGCGGCCGATGACGAGGCCGAAGAACAGCGAAAGCGAGAACATGCCGCGAAGAGCCGTAAGACAAAGGAAGATATCAACGCGGTTAGAGAGAGGTTTTTACAGCGGAAGAAAGAAATGACTGCGGCTAGAAAAGAAGCTTGATATCTTATACCACGCAGAACAGCTCTATTTCTGCTCAATCTCCGGAGCTTTATTCCCCAATTCCCTGGGAGCTTCGCCTCTTTCTGCCATATCATTCAGCACCTTCTCTGCCGTCTTCATGGCATCCACACCAGCCGGCATACCACAGTACACCGTAGCATGAAGGATGGCCTCTCGTATCTCCAGCTCGCTCAACCCATTGTTCCGTGCACCATGGTTATGCACTGCGAGCTCAGGTGCTCGATTCAGAGCCATGAGCATACCGATGTTGATCAGACTACGCTGTTTCTTGCTCAGCCCAGGACGCGTCCAGGCATAGCCCCAGCACCATTCTGTTACCAGCTCCTGGCCTGCACACGAGAATTTAGAGGAGCCGCCCTCGAGGGCTTTGTTCACGTATTCGTCACCAGCGACGCTGCGACGCATGGCCAGGCCAGGAAGAGCTGTTTGTGGAGGGCATCAAGGGAGGGGTCGGTACACATTTTGACAACGGCAGCCTGTATTCTGATACTCTCGCATAACTATCAGTATATGTCATTTGAGAGGGCTGTTTGAGTCTTATAGCGTAAACGTACAGTGTATGTCGAAAAGTTTTTCAAGGGGTAGAGGAGACTCGACAGCTGAGCATGGATAGCTACTCAGATCGATATCTGGACCTACAACTTCCATTGACAGCTCTTTAACGTCATCGCGGGATCGTCATCGGATCAGCCGCTCACCCACGCAACAACCGTGACGTTGCCGAACCTCATCACATCTTCTAATGTTAATGTCTAATGCTCTGGCTGTGACAACCACACATAACGTAAAAAGAAGATACGCCGTACTGCGCCTCTGTCAAGCATCCCGGCACATGGCACGATACACGATACCATCTTTAGCAGTCCCATGGCATCCTTGCTAGTGTCCCTTTCGGCAGCCCTACGTGTATATATATATACCGTATGGCCTTCCGGGCGGCGCAACCCGATTCGAGTATTTATAGCTCGTACACTTACTTTTGCATCCCGATTGATCTCTATATAGAAGTCTGGTAATTACCCCTAGAGATATTATCAAACTGATCTGTCATACCATTACGATGGCATTCGATTATAGATCCGTTGGCTTCATCGGCCTAGGTGCAATGGGCAAACCAATGGCCGGGCATCTCGCAGAGGTATTACCCAAGGAATGCACGATATGGGTGTATGATATCCTCGAATATTCATTGCATGAGTTCTGTAGCAAATATGCCGAGCGCTCAAAGAAGGCAGCAAGTGCAAAGGAGGTAGCGGAGAACTGCGTAAGTGATCTTTCCCTGAGGGACGACGTAGAAACTCAACTCAACTGTACCTTCAGCCTTCTCCACACTCACAACTCCCAGGAAATAATCCTCACCATGCTCCCAGAAAGTGCACACGTAAGAGATGCCTACCTCGACCCTCGAACCGGCATATGCGCCTCCCCCAGCAGTCTAGCGAACAAACTCATCATCGACCACTCTACCATCGACACCGCCACATCCTCCCTAATCGCCTTCCACATCACCTCCATCTCTCCAAGCACCTCCTTCTACGATGCCCCCGTGTCCGGCGGCGTCAACGGCGCTATTTCCGGTACTCTCGCCATCTTCCTTGGCTGTGCCCCTACAGACCCCCAGCTCCCCCGCCTCATGTCTCTGTTGTCCACATTCGCCGCACAAATCATCCCCTGCGGAGCGCCCACCTACGGCCTCGCCGCAAAACTCAGCAACAACTACCTCTCTGGTATCATTGCCATCGCCGCCAGCGAGGCCTTCACGATGGGCATGAAAGCAGGCCTCGACCCTCGTGTCCTAGCACGCGTGTACGCTGCTAGCACTGCGCAGAATGCCGTCGTCGATCGCTTCTGCCCTGTGCCTGGTGTCTGGCATGAAGCACCCAGTTCGCGCGGATATCGTGATGGGTTTGGCGTCGAGCTGATGAGGAAGGATTTTGCGCTCGCGGGTGAGATGGCGCAGAGGGTGGGCGCGCAGAATGTGTTGGGTGAGGTGGGTAGGGCGATCTATGAGGAGGCAGAGAGAGATGAGGCGTGTAGCGGGTTGGACTCGAGGGTTGTGCTTAGGTTACTTGGTGGGGATGAGCGGTGGATGAACAGGCCGGGCGATTGGGAGGAGAGGGGGTGAATATGGCGGAGTGTTTCTAGCGCGTGGCGATACACCATTTTGTGGACTCACTTATGCGTAATTGTTGGTACGATGACACTCTAGTGTGATCGCACAATACGAAGACTATTTATGCTTCCAACTTTTGGAGATCACACAGGGGCTTGTGGCTTATAAAAACTCAGTATGAGTCTCTCTCATGGTATGAAACAATCAAATCCTCACACTCTGCGTGACAATTGATATTCAGAGCCTCGCCTTCTCTCTCACCTGTCTTTGCACATCCCATTCCACCAATCACAACTCGACAGACTTATGAGGATTAGGTTCCACTTGATCAAGCATCCACACCTTTCAGCCTCTATGTACGTTCAGACAAGGCATTTCGTAAGTCTAGATAGCACGATAAGATGATTCTTAAGTCCAGGATCGGTCTGTCAATAATACTTCAAAGCAGCCGACATTCCATAATGTAACAATGTCTGAGGTATCAATCAAGCGACCACGAAGGTGAAGTATAGAGGGAGATAAGATTTGCGTTGGCTGTAGTGCTGAGCGATGTTGTCATCCGAAGAATTTTACTTAGAATGGGCATGTGCCATACATAATGAGATGCAGGTTGAAGCGGTTGAATAGAAGGTAGAAGAACGGAGGGAAGACGTTAACTACCTATAACTGTAGCAACTCGATGACTTAGCCACAGGTTCCACGCCGTATCATTTAGTTATCACAATATAGTTGCAAAGAATGCTTCGCTTATACGCTTGATACGAACATCATCTTAGAAAATGCTAATCCCCAGCATAACTGCAAGAACCAGACCCAACAAACTCCTCGGCGCCCCCATAACGCTACCAGCACCAGTATCACCCGGCTGACCATCACTACCATCCGCATTATAGTTATCGCCACCACTCAGACTGCTCGGATGATTCGTACTATCCGCAACACAAGCCTCCCCGGACCACATCGCACCCGCCGTCCTCCGCCAAACCTCCATCGGATCACTCGCCATATCCCTAGTATAATACAACCGGCAATCTGCAGCCTCATAGACAAACTGCAACGGAACCATCTCCTCGTCCCCAGGCTGAATATTATCCTCGCAATTCATCTGTGCCCTAACCTGACGCCTGACCAGCGTCTCGCCAATCGTGCCGCTCGCAAGCCCGCCCAGGACCGTTTGTCCGAGCTCCTGCGCCTTGTCGGGGTCGATGGGCTCGAGCGCTGTGATTGTGCCGTTGGCAAAGGATTGGATTGTGGGTGCTTGAAAGGTGAAGCCGCCCTTTGTGCCTGCCACGGCTTGCATGGGCCCGGATTGTGGGCGGCCGCCGACGACGACGGACCGCACGCGGCCAGCGTTTTTCATGTATTCGGAGAAGGCGGCGCAGGTCGAGTGGCAGACTCCGTCGTGCAGCATGATGATGTCGCTGGCGTTGTAAAGCGGTACTGCGGCGTTGGCGTTGGCACCGTAGCCGATGATGGAGAAGTTTGCGGCACCGTAGGAGAGCGGGTTGGAGAGCTGTAAATTATGAGCATCATGCTGCCTATACTGTGTTTGTGGAAAGGGTGTGGCTTACATCTCGCCGGATTAGGTTTGTGAAATTATCCCCGTGGATCTCTGTTGGTCCATAGAGTTCCTCTGCGGAGGTGTAGTGAGAACCGTCAGGCTTCAGGTTTGCTTGCCAGTTCCAGTCTCGTACATCATATAAAATTCCCGCATTTTGTTGCGTCGATTCGTTTTCAAGGATAACTTTGACTCCCTCACCTATCAGTAGATACGCATCATTGGCACGGAAGCGGGTGACGTCGGCAGGCTCAGTCGTGGGGAAGAATGCCCGGAAGGCATCCCATGCAAGAACACCATCACCACCGCCATTGCCGCGAAGATCAACAATCATTTTTGTCCTTCCATCTGAATAGGCGGTTTGAAGAAAGCTGAGAAACTCCTGTTGGAAGGCGGAGGGGAACTCTTCGTGGGACAGGGAGACCGAATCCGGTATGCCGAAAGATTGAATTGAGATGACGGCAACATCTGGGTTGCTGTCGAGATAGAATCCATCAAGAGACGCCAGCTCAGAGGTGAATTCAGAGGTAATAGATGACTGGCGCTTGGGCATTACTGTGTTGTGCTTCGGTGCTTTGAGATGTATGATAGGCTTCTGGGCACTGCGTTTTTCCTCAAGAGAAGTAGTACTGAGAACACAACAGGCGTCGAAAAGTGATTGTCCATCAGTGACACTATCCCATTGAATCTGAGGAGCACGGGACCCGGAAGCAGGAGACGCAATGTTCGCATAGCTACCTTCAGACCCGTCTGCAAAGGTCACATTTGTCCATGGTCCAACGTATTGACTAGGGAATCGGAAGCCTCCGGGTGAGCTGCTCTTGAGAGCACCAGAAGGAAACATCGTGTTATATCGTGCATCAGCATCCATCTCAGCAGTCCACTGGGCCCCATCATTCAGGAAGTCGGCTACTTCTTGGCCGTTGATATGTGTGATCTCTGGCTCAATCAAGGAGCCCGAATCGGTGGCGATGGCGTAAATCAAGGGTGTATCCTCATTTCCCTGTGACAAGGATTGAATACCGAACGACCGGCGCCAGGTAAACACGTTCAAGATATCTGCGTCATAGTTGAAGTGCCCGTCGTGTGTAGAGGCTACCATGCGCCATATGTCGTTTTGTACGTCGTATTCATTACCGTACTCGCTACCTTGGAGCTTTTGCTTGATGCTGTCCAGGCTTCCCATCACATCTACCGCAGGGTTGTCATAGCCTGCCGGGGGATCTTTGAGGTAAGACAACGTTGATTGCCACTCGACAAAAATTTTGTACTCATCTATGAGCTGGATATCGGTATCCGTATCCACTGGAACTGATTGAAGACATGCGTATGCGATCTCAGCTGGAATGTCCCCTGAAGGGCTGCCGGAGGAGACTTCGATGTAACTTGCGGCTTCAGCACATGGCTCGCTGGACTGCTGTCGTTTATCAAGGCGAGTAGTTTGGGATGCCTGGACTGCTGCTGCAGTGAATACCAAGAGCTGGACATACATCCTGAATGCTCAGATGAATCAGAAATGCGGTGCTGAGGACGAGCTCATATAACATTATGAAAGCGCCCTTTTTAGGCAAGAAGAGATTAACCACGATCATAATCGCCCCCGCAGCCGAATGTTAAACTGGATGCGCTATGTTTACATTGGTCCATACGAACGATATCCTAGATTTGACCAGCACTTGGAACAGAGAAGACAGCCCCCACCACAGAGGCGTCCGGCGGAGTATCTTGGCATGGCGTGCGGCTGAGAAAAAGGATCAGCTCCTGGTGTACATATTTAATGCATGTAACATTATCAATGTAGCCCGTGATAACGCATGTGTTGAATAGTCTTTAACAGTACCGCGTCATACATTATGCGCTTCGTAATGAATGATAATTACGCCGTGATCGAGTATTTAATTCTAGATTCAGATTTTATTAGTGGACGACTGCATAGGTTAATGAATCGATTATGCACCTAACGCTAGGTTTTCATCAGTGACACTCAGCCACATACAATCGAGACCGTTGAAAGGAGGGTGCCAAGACGTAGAAGCCCCTTGAAAGCTTCGAGGCTGCGCCCCTTGACTGTGCCGCCTCTTCAAGTCAGTTCGATACATGAGACACATACTATGCATCAATACTATACCTATTTCCATCGATAGCGTCTGGAGTCGAACGTTTTCAACGTGCTTCAACGCAGAATTGGGGTCCATTGCCTTATACGGAGTCGTTCGTGTAGTGAGAGCATACAGCCGAGGTAAGTCTGGACAATTCTGTGCTTTCACATGAGGCGTGCACCGTACGGGATGTTTTAACTTTCAAACTGTTGGTCTTCTATCCATATGCTCTTTTTAGAACTGCTTCTCGGACATTGTTGCTTGGCCCAAAGCAGATCGTTCGGCACTGCAGCCATCGCCGGGCGTTAGTAATCCGTTCTTGCCAAGCGAAAAGTCCTCATTGACCGAACAGTTCTCCGCTGTCATCGCAGTTTTTGTGTTAATGGAAAGTCTGATGGATACTTCGAACATGAAAAGCTTGATTCATTAGGTGCCTAAGGCAAATATCTCTTAAAGACGCTAGTCTCAAGAATGACATCAATAAAGACCTCTACTGCGCTCAAGAGCGTCCGTGCTATACATAAAGTAGCAGGATGCTATGACTTTCTCTACAATGAGCTATACTCCGTCATGCTCTCTTGGTTACTTGCACACTACTATTAGAGTGTTCGAACAATTGTGGCACTGTACTGACTAGTCTAGATCCAAGCATAGTGGTCAGGCTGCATTAGCTATTGGACACCGGAATTGATGCATCTCACCGATGGTTGCCTCACGAGCTGAGCTCCACTCTCCATCGGAGCGGATCTCAGTTTGGCTGGATAGCTAGGTTCTTTTCGTGTCCAGGATGGTCTGGACTACATCAAATGCCACCTCCCAGGCCTTAACGTTCCCCAGAGCGAGTCAACGTTGATGATATCCTCGTATTCAGCAGCTGAGGTATAACACGTTATTTGCTGTGGCTTTGCTAATTCAAATGCAGTCTCTCGCTATGTGGAGTCAAGCCGCATAATGATGTTGTAACCTACACGTGAGGTCAGGAATCAGGATGTAGTAAGGATTAATAGAACCGCTACCACTCTCTCTTACTTTACGATGATTGATGCGAGGACTTCTAAAAATAACATCAATACACCTCCACTCTAAGAGATGATTACCAGGTTAGACACCAGAATTGTCCTACGGCTCATTTATCATCTACAGAGGAGTATAAAAGCTCTTCAATGATTTCCGTTATCCTGTCGAACAGAGTACTTCTATTTCGTCCGCAAGGTCATACACATCAATTTTTTGTTGGGCAGTGACATAGAAGGATGTTTAAATCACCATTCAAGGAGTACTTCTGGTAGCGGTCATGCAAATATAACATGGTTGCAAGTAACGGGGGTTCCGATGCTTCATAGTGAAACAGCGATTTAGCTGTATTCAATTCTCGTTCTCAAGCTTCCTATAACCAGTTTAACATTTCACTCAACAATAGTGTAGGCTCTATCGGGCTTCTAAAGCTCAATGATCCAAGTAAATCACGATAGTAATCATGTCTCCTTCTTTCCGAATTTGGCCAGATCTCTACTTTGGCAACGCTTTTCGATCTGATACCGAGATTATTGGCTATGCTGGCAACTTCATATCTTTTATATTCATTTCATATACCCCTGTAAAGTTAGCCCCGGTGTATCAAAATTATGCTGACTCTACGCAATATGATATCGGTCTCTCATGGGTCAGGTACGATATAGGTATGTATCTATGGCTCATGATGGTCAAGCATTGTGCTGACACGCATGTGAGCATGCTACGCACATACCAGTCAAAATACTCTCTCACTGTTGCCTGACAAAGAACGAATATCTCAGCGATGTTGAGGCGGCGTCTAGCTGGAATGGGAAATGATTCGCGCCAAATACGAAGTCGCGACCACTTCGATGTCCACTTAATGCTCTTCAAATCGTCGGTGGTCTCAAACAATACATAGGGTGCACTGATTATCCATGCCGCTTGAAACACTCCATTGAGATCTTTCTCGAGCAGAAAGACCCTGAACCTATGTCTTCATCTTCCACACCCATACCACATCGACGACGTGTGCGAAAGAGCGGGCCAAAATCACGTCTCGGCTGTGTCAACTGCAAGAACAGGAAGATTAAGTGTCAAGAAAACCGACCATCATGCGATAATTGCCAAAGAGGCCATTTGTCTTGTGTGTATCCCAACTTAGTCTTCGCGTCCTTTGTGCCTGGGTGCAATGCCCCACAACGCGTCAGGATGCCCGCCAGTTTGCCGCAAATTGCAACTAAGTCTTCCGATGAAGCAAGACTGTTCCATCATTACATGAGCAAGGCCCATCCCCATCTTCCTGTAGGGGCACGTTTGGTCGGACTTTGGACTATCAAGATCCCGGCTTTGGCAACGAAGGTAAGTAGTGTTGCGACGATCTGTGTGTCTATATATCTGCTGAGTAGGCCCAGTATGACTACCTCCAGAGCGCATTGCTCGCTCTTTCTGCCTCACATCTATCGGCGGTATCTGGCCACCAGCTCGAAAGCCAGGCATTAACCCATCGTATAGCAGCGATCCGATCGTTTAATCAAGCCATATCCAAGCCAGCATCCAGTATACCGGAACTGGATTCACGTGTCGCAACGTTAGTAGCCTTAATGTTCCAAGCAAGGTTCATGGAGGAGGGCCTGCTCGAGTTCCTTATGATGGTCAGGGGTTGCTATCTGGCTTCAGGCGACTACCAAACTAAGCCAGAGAGTGCATTCCATGACTTACGGGCAGAAGGGCATTTGAAGGCTTTAGGCGATCGTCTTGAGCGCGTAAAGAGCGTCGAAATCAATCAGCATGAGCTTCAATTAGCGCAGGAGTCGCTTGAGGAAGTCGCACCACTGGTTACAGACGATATCAATACACCATTCTACGAGGCTCTGTATGCAACTCTGGTAGCCGCAAGAGACGCACCTCTCAAAGGTAAATACTCGCATTGCATCTACCGATGATGAGGCTGACGTACATTACAGCGTACGAAGAGTATGGGGTAGCATACAACTACGTTGCGTTCCTACCCAACAGAGACTTTCTCGCTTTTATATGCCCGGAAAACAATGTGGCGCAGGTTCTTCTTGCTTATTTCTTTGCGATGAATCCTATGAACGCATTACTCGAGCCTGTGGCGAGGTATGAGACCGATGGACTGCCGAATATTCTTGAGATGGACTGTGTGGGACAGTGGGTGCTCAGGATTTTCAACAACGTTGCCCCTGAGTATCGGACTTATCTCCGATGGCCCCTTCGAGCTTTTGGTTACGTAGAGAAAGTCCAAACACTTACAATACACTCTCGATGACCCCTGATCTTCCATCAATCTGAATCCTCCAATACAGCGACAGGCACTGCTGATCGAAAATACGTTCAAACAGACCTCTGTTTCGCTTCCAGACATTCTTGAGTTACCTTCACCATGAAAATGCAGCCGACATGCCAAAGAGGCAGGCTGATGTGTCATTGAGAACCAGCAGTCGACATCGTCCTTACTCGCGTGTTGTGAAGGTATCAATCATAAGAACGAAAAGCGTCTACAACGGAACAATCCAGGTGAGACGCCATCATTCTACTACCACCATCTCGATACATATCGTATACGCTCTGCTCTCTGGGCTATGGACTAAGTCTCTTCTCAAGGCCATTCAACATGTTAGAGTATCGGTACCTAAGGATTTCATAAGCGGGACATCGACATGTAAGGAGGACATTGCCATGCGTCTCACGTATAATTCGCTTACTGTCCTAGAAACAGCGTCGATTGCAATACTGCCTAGCTCACAAGGTAGAATTTTACACCCTCTTTGAGCCATGATGTACACTCCAATGTTCTGTCTTACTCTGTCGAATAATAAGGCCAGAGATCCCTTATGATCCGAGATACATGACAGATATGAGAAGCATGGCTCAGTTGCGACTACCTTGCCTCTGCCTCGACCAACCTTCATTTCTGCAACGACAAGCTGTAAATATAAGCGTTCCAAGTGAATGAACTGGTTCACTGACAGGAATGAGTAACCACAAACCTCAGACTCCGGTATACAATGAATGAACATCTGGGGGCCATGCTTGGTAGTGGCAAGACTGTGACGACCGTCCTCGTATGAAAAAAGGTGAGCATATCGACAGGGCATACCCAGATGTTGCTTCCCTATCTCTCTCTGTTTCGCACCAATGTAGTGCTTCTCGTGGCGCGGTTACAAGAGCTGGCGACCCTTGCAGCTCTAGGCTCTGAAGCGCTTGCATGAAGCTAAGCTCGCGACAGATATTTCCAGCAGTATTCTCCAGGGCCATATCCCTGTGTCCACATGAGCTGCTCAAAACTATCTCCTCGGGCCTTCAACATCTCTATAATGATAATACTCTTTGCGGTCAGGACGTAATTGGACGAACTCGGACAAATCTGTCGGAATGCGTCAGCAAGCCTTCCGTCTTCAGAGACCTGCATATCAGGAGCCATCGCCGTCGCATAATTGGTACTGAGTCGTGCAGGCTCACTCGAAATGGTACGAGCTCGAGCAATGCGAGTTTTGATTAGAGGGCTGAAGTGGGCTGTGCCCATGAGCAATTTGACCAAAGTCAACTCTGTGCCCATGCAAAAGGTACTCAAGAGGATGAAATCTGCTGCCGCAGCTATACCAAGGATACGGCCATTGGTGTGTTTGTGCTGGGCAGGAGCCTAAGCGCTCAAGCCGGCGAAGCTGGTTGGTAGACGCCAGGGAGGTGCCGCAATACTTTACTCGCGGATACTGATATGCGCTGTTCTGAAATAATTCAAGAGATGGTATATAAAATCTGATTTGCACCGGTAAGACCGCCACCGTAGCAAAAGAAAGGCCCAGGAGTCAAGTCCCTTCTGTAGCTTGTCACGACAGGAAAGGCCTGGCTGCACGATCACTGTCTCATGCCATAACACAACTTCAGTGACTCATCTAATGCTGGCTTGTATAGCTAATCCCTAGAGTTCGACCTTTGAGTAGGCAATCGAAAGTAGTCCAGTCAAGGAAGCACAATTTAGACCTCGCGAACGTTCACTACTTGTAGCAGGCCTGACAAACCAATCGATACTAGACAAGTGGAATACGCTACGGTAACCACTTGTTTGGTATCCTATTCATTACTCATGCATTGTACTCCGTGAGTAACATATCCAAGTTTGAACCTTGAAGCAACAGGAGCCTACATACATGCCTTGTGTCCAGGTGATGACTGGCCTCTGGAAAGACCTCAATTGTTGACCAAGGCAGTCATGGAAATGCTTGACAGGAGCCATCGACCCGCGTGATCACCTTAAGTCTGATGAGAAGTCAGACGACATATTTGCCTTGTTTGTTCTTTCTGCACGCAGGCGTTGGCGCTCGTCTTTAACGTTCGGTAACAGGACTCCTGCGGGACAGCCACCAACAGGTCACCATCGGTAACTGAGAGTGCTCTGACGAACAGTTGAGGGTTACTCAACATGTTACACTAATACAAGAAACGAGTCACCGCCATAGTCCTCGCCTCCTATCCCCCCTTCGTCGCGGACTCCACCTCCTGATACCCCTTGAGTCAATGACCACAAGAAGTCGCCCGAGCACCGCAAATAATCTCCAAAGCAAGGCAAACACAACATAGCAACACAATCTCCCTTCCACAACCGCCACTAATCTTACAGACATCCTCTCCATAACACTATGCAGTCGGTTCTTATTTGCTATCGCACAGAAACCGCCTCATTGCCTCGTCCCTCGCACACATGTGTTCCACACGATCCTCCCAACCTTCCTTCCCTCCCTCCCTTGCATCCCTAAAATACGCCTAGGACACCCATAGATCCACCTCTTAGAAGCTACGCAACTCCTACACCGGGCCCCTCGGGACGGCCCACATGCATAGCAGTCAGCTAGCCCACACGCAGAATACAGAGTTTGCGGTGAATTGACTCAATCGTACGAATGTGCACTACAGACACCCTTCGCGTCAATCTTACGTCAGGGGCAGGTGGAATATCAACTCAGCACAACAGTTCTACTGCATACTTGCCTTCCGGAAGTCATTCTACCCTAGACACTAATCCTCAATTCAAGGCACAACCCCCACAGTTCTACACACAGCACTTACACAGCATAGTAGCCAAAATCTCTTCGTCATCACCCTGTGGCCAGTTGCCTCGCTCGTGCTGTCATTTCCTCACCGCTTTGGAATTTACGCGCTCCCAGGGAAGCTCCTAACGAGACAGACGAGGAGGGGCACAGACCGAGGAGTGTGAGTGAGTAGACGCCAACGGGCTTGTTGTGCGACTAAAGAGTTTCTCCTTGTTCCTTTAGTTTGTCTTGCGTTCGACCAAGTATTCATGCGAAATTCTCAGGAGGCGTAGAGCGTGCTGATGGAGAGAGGGTCGTATGTAGGGTGAGATCTGGACTCGGCTTGATGGAGTGGTTTGCTTCACTTCCAATGTTGTTTGGCTAAATTCACACTGCTGGATAGTCAGAGCGCTGAAAATTGGATTGTGGTAACAGAGCGCCAATTTGCCTGCAGTGACCCGTCACAGCTCACTATACTCTCTCTCTACATACCACCACTACCATCATGAAATTTTCTATTACCATTCCTAATGTCTCGCTTTCTATCTACCCATTCATTCATTCACCCGTCCATCCATTTCCACAACCTCCCTTCAATAACCCGCTTCATTCATCCGCCTGAACCCCATTCCTCCGCTGATCCCAGCTACCATTTTCTTTCTATGTTTTTATATTTATCCATCTAGTGAAATCGCAAGAGCGAGCAAAGAGGGTATTGTTATATCTATGCACACACTCCATCTCCCCACACATTTCCCAAGACCTTCCAAGCAAAACCCTCAAACCAATGCCCCCTCTCAACTATACATCCATATCCATCCATACCCACCCATCTCGCGATCCGCCTCGCAGAAGACCTATATAACCACAAACAATGGTTGTAAAAATCGAAGGGGAGCCCACGAACGAACGAACGAATGAATGAATTGTGTATCTAACGAGTCATGAGTATATTTATGTATGTATGATATGGCGTGTTTCGAGGTGCTGTGCTACTATATCATGTTCACAGGAGCACACACACTCCCGTGCGGGCCGGGTCCTGTCCTAAACACTATGATAACCATTTCTTTTCACAATTCAGGAAAGGTGAGAAGATCATTTATGTTACGGTATTGGCATATATATATGTATGTATGATAGTACATACACATCATTCATATCTTCATGCACACACCCTCACGACCGGCTATACACGCCCAAGACCCAGCTCACCCTGAGCACAGCCAAGCCCCAAGCCATAGCAACAGAGTCCTTGACGACATTGAGTTTCGAGCCCGCGACCTCCTTCCAGCCAATCGGGACTTCGATCATGGGGATGTTTGCGCTCTCGGCCAGCATGAGCATTTCGACGTCGAAGATCCATCCTTCGGAATGCATGTACGGAATGATGTAGGGTAGGGAGGCGCGCGAGAAGAGCTTGAAGCCGCATTGGGTGTCCTTGATTTTGGATGTTTTCCGGGTCGTGAGCAGTCGGATGAAGAGGTGGAATGAATGCATGAGGAAGTTCCGTAGTTTCGAGCGCTGAACGACATGGTTAGTGAAAGTGCATGTGGGATGAGTATATTCAGAAAAAATAGGGACGACTATTACCTTGACGACTGCGTCGCTTCCAACGAGATGCGCTCTCGACCCGATGGCTACTCCACGTGCTTGCTTGTCTTGCACTGCTTGACAGCCTGTGATCAAATGGCCCAGGTCTTCAAATTTGGAAGCGCCGTCTGCATCTGCAAATACGGCGTACGCGCCGCGGACGTGTCTCATGCCATGGGTCACAGCACCTCCTTTCCCTCTGTTCTCTTCCAGGGTGATTACGCGTATAGAGCCATAAGGTATACGTGTATCGTGACCGGTATTTTTCCATGGCCCTTTCACCTTATGTGGATGATGTGCGAGTTGGTGTTTCTTTGCGAAGCCCAACGCGACCTCTTCAGTCTTATCCTTGGACCCATCCGAAACTACCAGAATCTCCCAACCCTTCGGTGTTGAATTCGTGAGTGTATGTGCCGATCCGTTCACCGTCTTCTTGTTTTTATTGCCTGATGGCTTTCCTGCTACACTTGCAGTCTCTGCAAAAGTTCCGTGCGCGTCTCCATATTGCTTTTGTAGGTAGTCCACAGCCTCTTCCAGCATTCCTCCTAATCGTTCTTCTTCATTGTATGACGGTACCACCACCGATACGAAGACCTCTGCTGGCTCAATATCTTCTGTAGCTAGATCTGGTAGATCCTTCCGGCTCGCTTCTGTTCTTCTCGCACGCCACGTATCTAGCCAACAGGGTAATTGCTTTTCTTCGCTCGTGCGGCCATCTGGTAGCACTGTGCGGTAGGTCTTCTCGTTTCTGTACGGCCCTCGAGGGATCGGGGCAACGATAAAAAGTAGGAGGTAGAGCTGAGCGATGGATTTAGCCAGAACATCTTCTCGTCTTACAATGAAGAACACATACGAGTGCAGCCACAGTAAAAAGTATCACAGCACTCAAGCAAATGAATAGCCCGAACGGTAGGCCGTGTAGGTGGCCATAAGTGTCTGTATACCAGTCGCGAAAAGTCGTAAGAGCTCCCATAGTGTCATCCATATGCGAACGAGGTCACACGAAACTCTGCGCCGGTTAATTTGAGAGCATGAAGACGATCGGTAAGCTTCGTGTCGATGGTCTAAAAGGCTTGCGCAGACGCAATGAGCGCAGCGTGATTATATAGGAGGTACGACAGAGCTCGAAACTGGCGGAAACATCGCATCAGCTATTGAATCAACCGCAAGAGGTAATTAGTTTGTTGGCTCGGTTGGCCCACTTGCTCGAACGAAGATACGTATACTACTAGAACGGTCTGACATGAGCGAGCAGTTCGTCTCAGCGTTACGGCAAGGGTCCAGTACGAATATTACCTAGCTGTGGGAAGGCCTGAGCACGAAAGGCGCTAGCCGCCTTTGGTAGCATCAGGCAAAACATCATTTTAGCCCGAGGCGGGTTACGGGAACGGGATATGCAAGCACAGTTCAAGATCTGTACAAAATTAGGGAGGTTTCAGTTGCCTTTTCCATATACCGTGTAATCATGCATACTCGCTACCCGAACGCCGCCGTTGACTGTGCGATTTGAGCTTGTGCTGCAGGAACATTCACGCACAGTTGGGGCGTAGGCTGACATGGTCCTGATGGGCGTCTAGGATGAAGTTGATATAAGTCCCTGGGAGCCTGAGTGCACGCATTTAATGACTAACAAGTGTGTATGGTAATCGCTGCTGTGTCTGGGGCAGGCGTGATTTGTGAACTCATAAGCTTTTTGCATCAAGACGGAACTGTGCGAACCATATTAAAGTGTGAGCTATATACCATGTGACGCGTGATTGTCCATTCCGAAGAGAAGAGGACCTATATATATCTGATCTGAATCCAGCTCGGGTCAGTGAATGGTCCGAAACGTATGAATATGTGGAAGGGCAAGGCCAGAGTCAGGAAAAATGGAACCGGCGACTTCAATGGAAGATATCAGAGCACCAAATGAAAAGCTCGGGAATGAAGCGCCAGATCAGGATTGAAAAGAGGACTTCAAGAAGAGTATGCGGTCACGCGCCATCAATCAGCAGGAACAGCCGTACAAATATATCATCGTCGTCAGGTCCCAAGGTCATTCAGTCATAAGAAGGTAGTCGGTGTCCCGGCCGATTGGTATTAGCCCCTTGAAGGATACATCAGAAGGTTTAGAACGTGGCACCGAAAGCTTCCACAGCTCCGGTCCTTTACAAGTTCCATTCACTCCATTCAATACATGTTGCCCTATCGCTAATGGTATTTTTGTATTGCCTTTCCCGTCTCATGAACGTCTCCATCCTGGATATTCGGCTATAGTAGTGTGGATAGCACGACCAAGTCCGAGAGCTCACGTCCTCTGTGGTAAGAGAAGGGTCCAGGTATCCTTCCTGCATGGCTATCCTACTTGTGGATCCATCCGGACTGGAATCCTCGGTTAACGAAGGTTCTATATATGAGACAGCCTTCATTCAAATGGCGCGGCGCGATGAAGTATCGATACTCCATCGCGCCGCGCCCTTTGCTCCTGTATCATCCGGGTCTCTTGACCTGTGACGACAGAAGTTTTCGTATCATCGCGCTGGCAACCGAGGTGAGCCCTTCTTTGCGTGCTTTCACTCTGGTCTGTCTATTTTCTGCGATCAATACCGCTGGCTTCGCACCTGGCACGATGTGTCCTTCGCCTGGTTCCTGTAATGTCATATCGCTGACCCGACGGGTGATGCCGATGATGACATCGTCCATTTTCTCGAGAGGAATTTCGTACGTAGCATTACTACTGCCGCCTTCCACAGCTTTGCACGGGTCAGTTATCGCATTGCCCTGAGAATCAACAATTGAAAGGTTTTTCCCCTGCGATAATGCCGTGTTGATGCTTGTCAGAGCCTGTTCTGCTTGTACTCTTCGTGTGTCGTTTTCCATCGCATGAGCATAAGCATGCAAGTTAGCAATGACTAGAAGTTCTCAGTACTACGATCTATCTGATTAAGGGTACAGTACCGTCTTCTGGGATGAGCACGCGCCAGTCTCCATTACTTAATAGCAGGACAAAGACATCGGTTTGGGAAAGGAGCATGTCTGTCTCGCAAATAATGACCTGCGTTGATATATGAGTTAGATCCAGGTAACGAGCTCTATTCATGGCGAACGTACTGTATAATTACGAACGATGACCTTCTTGATAGTCGGCATGTTACTGGTTTGGCTGCTCATCTTAGTGGACTCGAGGAGTGGATCATAAATATCCGTGAGAGTAGTGGTCGATACATCCCCAGTCATAACTAGGTCAGCTGAAACATTCGGAGACCCAATCAATTCTTCGTTTCTGCCGAGTTGAACGGGCTCCGACCTCGTGAAGTCGTGCTTTGGGGGGACAGCTCCATTAGCAGCCCATGCGTGCTTATTGTGGTCAAAATGAAGCGCACCGTTCTCCTGGAAATGCTTAGTAGATACTTCGCAAACGGACAGCGTACACTTTACAGTTACCAGACGCATACCAAGCCAGAGGATGCGCTCAATTCTTGATCTATGCGTTGAGGCAAGCTCAAGGTGTCGCTCATCCTCGTCAACAGGAGTCTCAAACCAAGTGTCCGGGAAGTAATCAAGGCTCCATATTTGGCCCCTAATAAGATAATCTTCCGGAAGAGGTCGCTTGTCAGCAGCATCTTGTTGCGGAAAGTCGAGTCGTTCTACAGGCAATTCTATATTATCAGTCTTCGCGAGCGTGTTTAGGAAATGGGCAAGGGCTTCCCACGGCACATGCTCGAAGATGGCCGAGCAGTCGTAATTAAGGGAAGAAACCCTAGTTAGAAAGACAAGCAAACAATGGATATGCGGAAAGACATTCTTATCTCCAATGCGTTGAAGAGTCAATCTGAAAGTAGAGAACGTGATGCGTAAAGCATAAGCGAAAGTCGGTTGCGCAACAAGGTCAAGCTGACGAGCAAGGACGTCTGCGGTATCTTCCTCTGGCGGTGGCGTGATAACTCTAACGTTATCATCGTTTGGGCCGCCTTGCGGTCGGGTGAGAGCCTCGATTTCTCTTTTAAATTTGATGTCAAAATACTTACGAAGGACTGCACCTTCTTCTCCGTGGCTAAAAAGACTGGAGATGTTTATTACAGCGACGTATATGCCTTGATCTGCCCATTTTGCAGAGACCCGACCAATATAAGGGTCCAACTGGCGGAGATAATCATCAGTAGTAGCATCAAATGTCTCAAGACATTCTCTGGTAATCAGCATACCATGAGCCTTGATATATATTATGTCAATGTCGGCTGCATGCGCGTAAGTTGTACGCGTCGTGCCAATTACGGGATCGAGTAATGTCATGATTGAATCTCGGGTACCCGTAAAAGGCTGTATGCATGCAAGAGAGCGGGAATAGAAAAACAGCTGCTGTAGGGCATATGGACGGGCGAGAATGGCCAAGTGATGATATAAGCGACCAACGGTAGGGTTCTCGTCCGCGGCTTCGCCATACCATGAACGACCCATGCCAGCCCATACCTCACGGTCACGCATATCTTCGTCTTCAACGGCCATACGATACCTAGAGATGTCTCCAAGGCATTCCCTCCATGTATCGCTAAAAATAGGTACTGTCTCGTACAATAGTGCAACCATGTGGTATGCGAGGCAGATGAAGCATAGCATGTATTCAAGGCTTTCAGGAAGACGTTTGCGGAGCAGCTCGAGGAACGAGTGTATAGCGTGCTTCCACATTCGAGCGGGCATGGAATACTTGAGAGCAAGCCGCTGAAGAGCTGGGGTTGCTGATGGATGCTGGGAGGCAAGGAAGAAGTCGTGATGCTCATGGAGCAGTGTGCGATGTAGTGCAATGAGAGCTTGCCAGTGCTTATCAGAGAGAGGCGCCAGCTGTGTTCTGTCCTTCTCTTGGACGGCAGCCGCTTGGGCCTTATCAACGCTAATGCATTTGTTTTCGACCATTACAAGACCGGCGTATATGCTCTTCACCTCGGCCGCAAGTTGCGATTGTGAGATAGGTCTAGAGTCTGGCTGCAAGAGTAGTTTGGGTTGCCAGTCATCAGCAGAAAACTCTAGGTCACCAGGTTCACTTTTTGCGATTGTGGTAGTGTCGATATCTTCTGCTGCTGGTAAAGATGGATCCGATGTCTTGAAACACTCAAGAGATGGACTGGGCTGACGAGAATCTGGGTTTCCCGGACTTCTAGACTCTAGTGAGGATAAATGGGGTTTCAGTGATTTATAGGACTTGTAGGGTTGATCAGATAATGATGCCTCATGAGGCTCATACGAAGCACTTCCGGGTAGCCTTGCGCCTGAAGCTGGATGATTACTCAATGGGTCAGCCCGGAAATCCAGATTCCCGGATCCAGATCTTGAGGTTCTTCTGGCATCCTTTGACTGATGTATCTCGTCCGCGGGTGGGGGGTGCCGTTTTCGTGAGGTGGCCTTCTTTAAACGCCCATCTTGCATTAGGTCATCATGTGAGCCTTCCAAAGTCAAATGTCTTAACTGAAGCTCAGAATGAGTGGCCTCGTCAGTAATCGCGAATGGACCGGCTTTCCTCGGCCCTTTTCCAGGCCCCAGTTGTTGTTGACCGGTCAAAGTCTTGCTGAGCGGTGAATTAGTACAAAGTCACATGGCTGGTAAAAGTCACACTCACGCTTTGTGCGCTGCTTCCTCGCATATCAGCCTCCGATAGAGTGCTGTAGACGTGTGCGAGTTCACGTTCAGATTGATCAGCTGTTGCGAGTGTCGGCTTTGCACATGGTCCCAGAGAGCGTCATCCTTAAGGAATGTCTGGTCGGTACAGTAGGGACAAGCGTAGAGGTCATAGGTAGCGACATTTTCAGGCTTTGGTCGAGCTCTGCGATTGCCGATGAGCGGACCTTCAACAGGTTGGGCCATAGCAGTAATCAAAGCAATCGGCAACGCTGATGTGTTATTGAGCTGCTGGAGAACGCATGCACAGGCTTCGGAAGACAGGTCAAAGGTGTAGCAGGGCGTGAAGCGAGTCTTGAAGAAGCCGTGAAGAAGCTATATTACCATGGTCAGTCAAGTCTGTGGCATGAAAGAGAGCCCGGTGAGAGAGAACAAGTGGAAAATGGTTCAAGAATCTGGGCGAGACCTAGCGCAGACGTGTGAATGAATTGTGAGCAGGGCGGGGTTTCACAAGGCTGCAGCAAGGCCAGTAGGAGAGCGTCTCAGGCTATGACGCGTGGCGAGACCAAGAAATGAAAGTAAGTGAAGACTGCCGCAATGAACTCACCACGCCGGATATATATTAGGTGTTGAGAGGTAGCGGACGACATGTATGAGGCTCCGGAGTGGGGTGATTGGCAGGTGACGACAAACAGGCACAACAAGAATAATATAGGAACAACAGCAAAATCAAAGCGCCACCAGTGTCTCGAAAGCGCAAGGTCAACGATGGATGACACGGGCCTTGCTGAGGGCGCTGAGTGAAAGGTTATAAAAGTAGAAATATGCAAACAAGGCAACACTCGCAAGAGATATGTGGTGCGCGCACCAGTTTGACCGGTACTTCAAACTAGTTCTATACAATCATGGGCAATTTGGTGCTGACTATGGTTAGTTACTATGCGGAGCAGGAGCAGTACTGGAGAGGCCGCCTACAGGTGGAACAGAAATAGCTCACGATTTGGCGGGAATCTGATACGTGATGGATACTTTCTGCGATGAGCCTGTCATGCAGCCACCACGGGCACTGTTGCTGCCTGTTCCGCAAGCGCAAGCAGGCCCGGACTCTTCTGATACGGGGGGCAAGTGGCCCCCAAGCCTGCCAGGTATTAGCCGGCCCCCTACCCGGCTAACCCTGGCTAATTCTGGGCTGACGGCTTCTAGCTGCCTTTTAGCGGTCTTTTAGCCGCTCTTAGCTGCCTTCTGGGGGGGCCTGCAGCTGGCCATGTGCCATTAAAGGCACAGACACAGACAGCACATTCCTCCGACACAACCTCTGTGTACATTCCCAGCCACGCCACAACACCCACCAAAATCAATAATCTCCATGCCATTCTTTTCGTCACTCGTCCATTCGTCATTGACCGGACACCTGCTGGTTTTATATCCTTCTACTCCGGGTATACAGTATCGACGTCAGGTAGATACGCCGTACACACAGATACCGGTCAGGATCTCGTGCACCGTGCTTTCATTCGCCCATCGCCGCATATACATACGAAATCTAGGCTGTATTCCCGCATATCATCAATTCACTTCCGAAACCTCGCCGACGCCTGCATCACCACTTCAACGGGCGTGATATCTTACAGCTACATGGCACGCAGTACTGTCTTCAATGCCACAAGAGCCTGCTTGTGCGGCCATATATCAGACACGCTCTCCATTCGTTTTTGCCTCAGCCAGCCGCCTGCTCTCTTACTCACACTGTCGGCTTAGTCTATGCCTCAATCATACTGCTAGAAGGCGGCTGTTATTTGTGTGTGGCCGGCTCTGCTTAGACGTGAGGCGTTGCACTACCTTTCACCGAAGAGGTCGGCGACAGTGGACGCATCTGCCCTGTTCCAATGTCCCAGACAATACGCTCGACCGCGTTGTCATCCTTTCAATCCGTCCACTGGTCATTTATCTGAGAATAGATTCCCGTATGTCTGTCCCAGTCCAAACGAGCACTTCTCAGCCTGCACTTGCAGTGCTGCAGGTAGGAGAGGTACGTGTCGCTGTACTGCTCGCTCTGGCACTGTCACCTCACCTCAAAGCCTGTTGCGAATAGACCATGACCTTGGAACACAGGGGCTCCACTATCAGCCAGCATTTCGTGCTCATGCATCTCTTGATCGAGTCCTATTCAATAATCCAGTACCGACAACGCAGCCTGATGACTTTCAGGACGCTTACCTGGCGCTGCCCGAGTCGTAATGCAAGGCCGCCAGCATGGTCTACCCCGCCAGCTCTCCAAATCACCATCCAGTATCCATAGCATTGGAAGTCGGAGATCGAGTCTGGCAAGAAGTGCACTTCCATGCGGTAAAAATGGTAGGTGAGGAGCTCAACGCTGTTCTGTCATACATCACCAGTGCCTTGGTTCACTTGTAACTTCAGCCCAAATACCCTTTCCTCTCTGTCATTGACCGTAAAATGAGACTCTCATTTCTCGTCAGCTTCAGTCATATGTCGAGTAAACTGTCAACCTTAATGTGCAGCGAATCTTCGTTCAGCATATCAGAACATCAAGCAAAGCATTCTCAGCGCCAATCGAAACCAACACCATGTCTTGCCAAATTAAGGCTAACGAGGAATCTTACATATTACGACTGATGCATCAAGAGTTGGCTGAACGGCAAGACTCACTTTCCAGTGTGCCGGAAAACACCGCTTGTAAACCTTGAGCCAACCGGTTCAGGATCATTAATCCACCGTGAGACCAGTAATCTGTCGGTACACAACCCAGTCTACTCTCTACTAAAACAGATAGCGGTCAAGACGGTTTCCCAGGTGTAGTATACACTAAATCCATCTTTCAGCCGCCACTTCATATGGCTGAGCTGATGTCACTTTGACATGGCCAATTAAGATGACGAAACGACGCAAAAGCAGGAAGAAAAGGGTTTTATGACTGGACCACAGCGGCTGCACATGGAATCACATATCGGGTCACTGTTACCAGCAGGTCTTGACTTGTATCTGGATGCTGTCTTGTCATATCATGCTGGCTCAACTCCTTTTCAATGGCATTGATCGGGAACATTACTGCTGTCTGTATAGAGTACAGGGAAGACAAGCAGGTCATTTTGTGGCGGATATCGCATATCAACCAGAACCAATCACACGTTCCGTGCACATCTTTACTGTCCATGGCCATTTGATGTGTCGAAAAGTAATAGCATAACGGTCAATACAACAGGGTGAGACCTCACGTCAAACTTTGCTAGGCTGACACTTCTTTCCACAACCCGCTTCGTTCGATCAACTCACAATTACACTTTCGTAGCCATCCGATAGGGCAACAAATTGTCAACTATGGATTGCCATCGGGACAGCATGCATTGACGAAGGGCTCTTGGACGGAGGCAAACATAGATCTTACCATTCACACGATCGAACAACAAAGCGAAGCTTTACGATATGCGTGATGCGGGCCACAGGATCAAAGCTCACAAGGATTGTGAACTTCTGAGCGCCTATCATTGCACCATCACACCATTCGCGCCTCGAGATCGTCGTTCCCGTGCGTCGAACGACGAGTTTTTGAACATGTCCTGCAAGTTTCAAGGCTCAGTCGCGTCAAAGCCTCATTTCACATATTGAAGGTGGCGATAACGTGATTCGATGGCGATCGACATTATCAGCGATGCTTCGACTTACTGCCTCCCGTAAAAGTCAACACATGGAATCGGGGTTCGATACAGCATAGGCAAGATATTACGGCAGCGCATTCGTCGACAACCACCGAAATCGGGCTCGCGAGGAGATACTGACGCATCGCGATATCCGTTGGTATGTGCAGGCGGCAAACCGCAATTAGAGAAGCTTCCATGTTGGCCACCTTGCACCGCCACCCTCAGCAATTCCCCCTCGACCAATCAGACGTTCACGAACTACGAAACTCGCTGATGTGGAGCAACTCTTCACACCATGCACGTCGCAAAACTACTCGAAGACCATGGACATATTGCTGTAGATTGCGCGTCCTTGTGAGGCGTGAGTCTGGGAGTACGCGGCTTCAGCTGAACATGGCATATTCGTCAGGCCATATGGCGGATAGTCAGAACTCCAGCATGTGGCGAAAGGGACATGTTCAAGGCCACGATCTTCGTTCGAGACAAGGTTGGCTGACGAGTACTCGAGCTTCATCTGTGTGTTCTGTCAAGATTGCGCGAACATACTGGATGTAGGCTGTCGGACTGCAACACTATCCAAAAGCTCTTTGGATCACAGCACCTCCACAAATATGGAACTGTGGTGACAAGGGGCGTTCCAGTGCATTCCCTAGCAAACATCAGTGGCCAACTGAAAGGCTATGGATGCGACACTGTTTTTCAGCAATGACCATCCTCACTTGGGCATGTCCTCGTCCATTAGAGCACGACATTGTTTCCCTCGCACTGCAGTGTTGTGTACATATTTGCTTAACATTAACCAGGTCAAGGCCCTTATGTGGGTCGACACACCGCCATCTATCTGATATTGAACGACTCGGGCCCCTAATACTACCTGAAATCGGCAGACCGCAAGGTCACTACGAAGGCCTCCCAGTCTGTGGCTAGGCAGTGCTCTCGAGAACAAGAGCACACTTCAAAATTTTCGATCTAGAATTCCTGGATTGATGACTGGAACATTATCATCTGTCGCATGCACGCTCTCATCAAGGCCACATATTTCGACCTCTGAGGATCACCATCATTGGAGCGCAGAGACCATATGGTAAGCATAGCCTTTTAACAGCGTTCTATGATAGGACACGAATCGTTGTCCTCTCTACAGGTTGACAAAAGTTATCTTGTCCGTTGACCACCCCTGAAAACTCTCCTACATCTACACAAGATTCTTGACTCTACGGTCGCAGTCAGGTAAAAGTATTCAACCTTCGATGACATATCGCGAGTAAACAGATTGGAAGAGCTTGTGGATCACAAAATATTAGATCAAAAGACCCTGATCTTTGCGCCCCTCTGGACAGAACTACAACGCCGCTCGTTCATACTCACACCGATACAAAGCCTGTAATGAGAATACCAGCCACTCCAAACTATGCACTCAACCAGCACGACATAGCAAAACAGAGGACAAGGTCATACGAATATTCTTTTTCAATGGCTGAAACGGACACACGAGCGGTCCAACATCGAGGATCCGAGAGGCCGCCCACATAACACAGGGAGTATGAGCATTTTGGACCTTGCATCATATGATTACAACACCGAGTCCATTACTGTCTCTACTCAAAGATCGGAGACTCGCGGTGCTAACACGCTTATGTCCGCGACAGTGATTTGAGATATACTTGCTTTTCCAGCTTGCCGAACCGTGGACGCCACATGGTCGATGACCACGGCACGGGGTCCAGTTTTAAAAGCTCCTCTATATTTGCATTTTCTCTTCGTCTTTTGGGCAGGGTCTGAACAAAAATCAACATGCCTTGCTCTATTTATCCTCGCAAAGTCGACCGAGCATTCAGAGGGATAAGGTTCATTTTTGGCCCCCACAGTCGTTACAACAGTGACAACAGCAGAAAATGTTGATATCTGCTTATTACTCGAAAAGGCACACCGAGCCGTCTCGGAGGTCCTGATCTGTTTAGGCGAAAGCCGTCAGACGTCCCCACGTCTATGGATCCATCCATGGTCGAGCAGTCATCCCCCATGCTGCATCCATCATCATCTAAGCACCACCCACCAGTGCACCATCACCACATTCATGACCCCTTCAAACACAATACACTCTCTCATGCCTTCCTTCCAGAACCACCCCGCAGACATTCTCGAAGTCAGGAATGCCGTTTCTCGGACCCCAGTCTAGCTATCCATGCACTGTCTCACATTTCATACATGTCCCGTCCCGTCCTCTCAGTGCTCACCATGCGTCGAGGTCATCAAAGCTTAGTAGTGGCGCGTAGAATCCCTCACACCCCCTTGTATTGCTCGCTTGCGTAGTGCCGACAGTGAGACACCTATCTACCGATCGAACTGCTCCGTCTAATTACTCACACCCCGGTTATCGTAGGGCTGTGTTTCCGTCTGCCTTGTGAGTCGTTGCTAGAGCATCCCGTCGTTGTTGTCTGATATTGGACTAGGGTGCCGGGCCTAGGCGTCCATTCACATGCCTGCTTGTTGCTACCGCGTACCCCTCACTCACCCACACACATCTATCCACACCAACGCTGCATTATCGCACTAGAACCAGTCCTTGCTACTCACACGTGCGCACACTCGTGCATCACACGCGGTGTGTACACGTTGTAAACGTGGACCGCGTGGTGTTGGATGTGGATGTGACCGTGCGTATCGAAACGTGTCTTATCTCACTGACCCTCACCACCGTACCATTCACGGATGTTCCTAGCATAGCATAGAAACTAATTTCACTTAAGACATATACACAAGAAGTACACAGAGCACATACTCTCCCTAGCAAGCTCCATCCCTGTGCTATGCATTATATGTCACATACACAGATCCCATGTACAGCATCCAGTACCTTATACAAGTCAATAAATAATATACCCATATCAATCGATATCATATAATATACCAATATACACGCGCGCTAGCTGGGAAGGGAAGCTAGGTAAGGGTAAGGCCGGCAAGGGCAAGGGAGAAGGTGAGCATGCAGGGATGTCATGCGAAGAGCTGGCCGTCCCGTTGACCGAACGCTTTGACGTAGCTCCGATGCTTGTAGTGTTTATGCCTGCATGCATATTCCATGTACTGTTTCTGGGTAGCTGGGCATGGCATTACATGGGTCTGTCGTATGCTGCCCAGTGTACCGAGAGCACCGAGACCGGTTGAAAGGGGTACATTGGGAATACGACCAGGCAGGCAAGACAGGCAGGTATGTATTCAAGTCAGGCAATTAATCGATCAATCATGCAATCAATCAATCAACCAGTCAACCAATCTGATCTCCTGTCAATGCGATATATACCATGCTCTACAATGTCACAAATAGTACTCCTTCAAGACTCAAGTGTCTCAACAAGCCATGAAAGAAACAAAAAGAAAATTACAAGCCAACAACAACTCATACCATGCATCCTTCTTCTCAATGCAAACCTTTCCTCCCCCCCTCCCCTCTAAACCTTCACACTTTCTAGACGGATTTTAATGAGACTAAGACTAAAACAGAGAGCCATGTATATATATACTGTTCATTCGTATTGACACCCACATAAAACCCAATGAATAAGGCGTCCAATACAATACACTCTACATGAATCCATACATCCATACATCATACACCACACTACACCACACTACACCACAACACATCTTGCCTTCTTTCCTTCTTTTCATTCCCCCTATCATATCCTATCCCATCCACCGGACAGCCTCTACACCCCAATCACCCACAACCAACGAAGACAGCACAGCACGTCACAGCACATCATACATGTGCGGGAGTTTTGATAACAAGAAGAAAAGTTGCGTCACAAGACCAACACAAGACGAAGAGGAAGATGGGCAGATGTGCTGCCAGATGGGCTTGCTCTGCATGTATGCAGGGTAGTATGTAGTCTATGTTGATGTATTGCGAATTGACACGTTTAGTTTTAAGATTGGACTTGGTTGTGTGGATCTCCGGGAGTGAGAAGTGATGCTATGCGATGGTCCTCGGGTTAAGGGTTGGATGTCTGGATGTGTGAACGTGGATGTGGGAACGTGGATGTGTGAACGTGGATGTGTGAACGTGGATATGTGAACATGGACGGACGGACGGCCGAATGGACGGACATCGGGTGGAGGATACGTGTATACATGCATGAAACTAGCCTTCGAAACCTGGATATCCTCACAGAGGAATGACTCAAGACGCCAAGGCGGAGAAGAGAAGAGCGGATACAAAGAAAGATGCAAGGGAACTAGGAGGAGGATGCGCAGGAAGAAGGCAAATGGTTGCCAAACCGGTTGCCCTGTGATTCGAGAGAGGTATATGATCTGTCCAGATAACGCTACGAAACGAGGCAGGCTGAATGGACCACACAAGCGTGGCAGGCCTTGGGGGATCTGCACCTTAAGGAAAATGGAAGGATACTTAATTATATGAGAAAACGCGGGGACTGGGATCAGCGGAATTGGGTAGGTGATATGTTTGATTGGAGGCGTGATATATAGTATATGGAAGATGGACTGTACATAGACCTTAGGGTTCAAGACACAATGTACGATATAGATACAACGGTCAGTAGTCACAGTAGAAGCCAAACAATAATACCACAGTATCGAAGCAATAACTGCAGTGGGTTTGGAGCAGGCGACAACAAGGCAACGAGGCAAACACTACGATACGACTTTGAGCTTCATCTTGCATCTACCACCTCGAATGTGAACATTCATGTTGTCATGCATGCACGACGGGTGGGAGCGGAAAACCCCACATCTTATCCACTAAGCTCCACAACAAGACCCAATCCCGTCACACCCATCGAATATCCCGTATGCAATGTGGATGGCCTATTGCGATACCTTGACCGATCAGTCCTCCAGCAAGTGAACAAACACCTCGGCGACGAACAACGACAAAGAAGACAACAAGCGCAAGGCTGTACCATGGTCCCATCACCATCCCCTACAGCACCAATCTAGATAATATCAAGCAACACATGCGTTACATGTGTACGTACGTATACGCTTCAATAGGCTCTTCTCCGCGCCGCAACGGCCGCACAAACCCTATTCCCCCGTCCCAATCATCAATCGCAATCTCCACTCTGTCCAGACCGATGAGACAGGATCGTGACATGCTACGTGTCTCTTGCATGTTCATCTGTTCATCTTTGGCGTTCGTTCGTTGCCTGACCCAGCGTAACAAGCCCTTGTTCCTCCACGAGCACTACTACCACCACCACTAGAACGGTCTCAGATCGGCGGGTCGCTGGCGCACGAATTGGCTACGGCTTCATGTTTTTGGACCGTAGCTGCGAATTTGGCGCAACGCACCCGAATAAACTCATGTGTGTGTGTGTGCGCATGACCGGCACGGAAGACCGACCGTAGTTTGAGCAACATCATGCGATCCCATCATATCATTACACCAAGCCAAGTGTGACGAACCAAAGCATGTCAATTGCTCCATATCGTGCTCTGGTCGTGAGCTTCCCCAATGCTCAAGTCAGGGGCATAAGTCACAAGGTCATCAAGCGACGCCCTCTGAGGGGCGTCCAGTGCACCACGACCATCATGAGTATCGCGAAGAGGTCAAGCAAGGCGTCCCTAGAATTCTGGCGTCGAACCAAGTAATTGTGAGACAAGGCATCGGAGAGCGTATGGAAGAAAGAACACGCGAACCCCAGTTGGAAAAAGATGCGATAGAGCAGCGCGATACGAGAGAAAGGGCGCATTTGATGGCAATCCATACATAGAACAAAGGACGGGATGAATGTCTGTCCGTCGACCTGCGGAGGCAAGTTTTGCCGTGCGCACAACACACACAACAGAAAAGGACATTGCATGCTATCGCATCTAAAATCCATGCCAACATGCTTAGAAGACTTCTTTTCTCCGAGCGGCCCCGGGGGTTCTACAGTACGTGCAAAATAAAAAACGCACGCACGCCGGTGGGGTCGTCGGTATAGAGGAGGCTTTCGTTGATAAGATTTGCACTTTTCAGCCGCAGACGGCGGGAACCGGTGAGCATGCTAATAAGCCTTGCCGACGGGGTGCCGACGGGTCATCTGGGCGGCGACATATTTTGTCAAGGAAGCAAACTGCTGCGATTTGGTACGGAGCAGGAAGTAAAGCTTTGATGTCAGCGGTGAGACTTGAGCGAAGTGAGGAGGCCTCGTTGCGGTGGTGCGCTCAGACGGGAACAGGCAACGCGGCAGATAGATGCATTCATTGGAAAATACTGCCTTTTTCAACATCTTGAGGTAAGGCTGATGTAGTAGTCTGGCATGGATGATGCGTGAGTTTGATCATAGTCTTCTGATTGCGGAGTTGCTGTAGAGTCTCCGATCGGGCTGGCGCTAAAGGGATGGTAGGAATTTGCGGGCAGGAAATTTAATGCAGAGTCCAACGATCGGTCCGATGTCGTCGTAAGCATACACACGCTTGCACGTAAGAGAAGAGTGAGATATAGGCTAGCTCCAGCCAAGTGTAATGATATACGTGGAGTACAACGACAATGGACAGCACATACGTGTTGTAGAGATGATGAGTGGTTTCGCATGTTAAGACATCTCAGGCTCGTAGAACGACATTGGTGTTGAAAATTGGTATTGTCGAGTATACGTCTGTACTAACCAAGAAAAATGTGCCTTGATCGCGGCCAAATCTGTAATCTGGCCTGATGACAGCACAGTCTAGCCTTTGAAATACGTCGGTACTAATTCTACACGCGTATTACCTTCGATGGAAGACCGCCAGGATGTGAATCCTGTGAGAGCCGAGTTTGTAGATATCCTGGAAGACCGACAGCGAGTGTTCTTGCAAGACTGGGCAGTCCAACATCTTACGCTGTTTGATCTCACGTGTTGCTCGTGCAGGTGAAAAGAACGATTGAACAGTTACTGGTTCGCACGAATTTGCCCTAGTTCCAAACAGATGAGAGAATGACGGAGATCAGACTATGAGGTATCAAGAGCAGTAACTCTTCCTCCATGATCGCGAAGCATATCTGTATCGAGCCTCAGCAACTTGATGGCCGTAGGGGTGTATAGATGCATCATGAGACTACGGTAAGACGAATGACGGAGTGCACAGATGACTCCTTATATACTGTCCGATTTAGGCACTATTCTAGATCTCTTAAAGCCTTTCGATAGCGGCTTGATCAATCTCCGTGCCTATGTGCAGCCCTAGCATCTTGTGATGAATGTACATCAATATCAGGCTCCTCGAACACAACTATTCATGAATTAGTACCGTTCACAGTGTATAAGAAGATTGATTATTCACCGTATGGTCTCACAAACCAACTTCCCAAGAATGCAAGACCAAATACACCAGACAAAGCCAGAAAGGTAGCTGGCGCGTACTTCCTAACAGTCAGAGAATATAGCCCATTGAAGACTAAAGGACCTCCTACACGCGCCTGTACAGGGATCAGAAGACGGTCAATGTAATGATGGGCAGTAGCTTACTAGAGCATGGAGTAGTCCGGTGGCTCCCAGTAGCTGCCCTGTCCTCTCCGGGGGAACATGCTTCGTCAGAGCCGATTGCAAGGTTGGAGATGCCACTCCTCCCATCGATGCAACGATACCAGACAGAACAAACACGGCTCCAGTTGGTGCTAAGGCGTACCCAAGGAGACCTAGCCCGTCTAAGAGGACCCCGAGTCGGATGATGTACAAGTCCAACGTATCTGCACCGTGCTTGGTCTCAGCCTGTTGTGAACGCCGTCGTCCGCGAAAACACCATGTGAGCGCTGGCAGGATGATGAGGAGTGCAGCGACTCGGAAGATGTTGACCACAGACACGAACTTACTGCCCTCAACATCGCCCCATCCGAATTTCATGTTGATATAAAGGACCAGGACGGACATCATACTCATCGCAACACCAAATACAATAGTATCGATGGCAGACAACAGCACGAGGTTTCGACGGAGTTGTGGACTGCTACCCAGTCCTCTGGGATATAAGATTCTGAGGGGTTGTAGCATGTTTGTGAAAACTCTCAGATGCTTGAACCAATCTGCAGCAATACCGTAGGCCACGCCATATTGTTCTTGTTCGACACTATACTTCTCGCGGGCGATTCGCTGCCTTGATTTGGAGAGTGATTCGGGGAGAATGAATACAGTGAATAAAATGAAGACACAATGGACCGAAAGTGCCATTATAAATATCGACACTCGATCTCCGGTCGCTTTGATAACATACGCCGCGAGAATGGGACCAAGAGCGATGCTAGATTGATTAGCATAGAGCATGACACTCAAGCGCAGAAACATACCCAGCAAACAAGCATGCATGGAAATAGCCAAAAGCAGTACTTCTCTTCGAGGGCTTCGTGCAGTCCGTAGCGTATGAGTGGATTAGTGCCAGAGCACATGTAAAGGATCCACTAATACCATCTACTGCAAAGCCCAAGAGCATCCAATTGACGGAGAACGTGTCCGGAAACTTGGCCACTACAATCGTAATCAACTCGTTGAAGACCATACCCGTGCTGCATAAAGCAATTAGCTTCCGTCGACCATATCTATCCGACAGCGCTCCCAGTTTCGGGCTGGTGATGGCTGATAGAAAGCCGGATATGAGCTGCATATAGAGCGTGAACCGAGCTCCCGCGGCCGAGACTTCCGGACGTTGACATTGTGGATTTTCTCCTCCGAACACGAACACTACAGGAAGATACGTGAAGGTCGGGTCACGCGCGGCTTTATCTGCCATGTAATCCCGGCATATCAGCTGCAGTATCAAATTGAGCTTGGGGACTATGGTTCCCCCGTAGGCCAGGGCAAGGACGCCGAAAGAAGGAAGGAGCCATATAATCTATCCGATTTAGCTTTGGTTGGAAGCCAGAGCGGTTGTTGGGTCTCACCGAGGGCTTCTTGTACCATGGAAGAGAGCCAAACTCCAAGTCTACGAAGCTGGCTTCGTCGTCTGGACTATTGCCGTCATCACTAGCTTCAAAGCCCGTTCTTAGAAGCGGCGCATTCTCGTTAACATCTCTTCCTACGAGTGCGCCATCGTATCCTCCTACTGCAGCAATTGTGTCATCTCTCCCTTGATTGTGAGGGTCAGTCGTCTGCTCTGTATTTCCGTTGGACCATGGAAGTCTCGTGTTATCCAAGTCCGCCTCTGCTTCGAATATGGAGTCGTTCTGCATGACTGATAGGGTCAGATCGTACGCGCTGCGTTGGCAAGTTCGTTGGACAGGCTACGCAATCACAGCTATTGTGATATATCGTCGTTGACTCGGCCCATGGGACAATGATCAGTCTACACAAGTCGCAAACAGGTCTGCCATAATTGAGGGTGAGCGCGAGCTGAAAGCTTGTTGATTGGTGGCGGCGTAGGTCGTCGACGTAACTACTTTGACATCCGGATTGGTAATAATGCTGGTAGCGTCGGACTTGTCAAGTTCCGACAGATGGAGTGACCAGGCGGTTCATTCAGAGGCTGACGCTCGGCGGGTCCTTGTATCATCTATATTTGGTCCTTGGCCCATAGAGATGCTTGATAGTGCTGAAGCAGCAAGACTTGCGGTGCCTGGTTACCGAGGAAGCTGACGTCAGAGATACATATGGATCAGGGCACAGCATGCATACGGATGAGCCCGAAAAGGATTAGTCTCCGCTCACCATAAATATCAACCATCATAGGAGCTCGATGCATCGGAGAGAAAGGCATGAACCGAAAAAAGTTATTATTACATTTACATCCATGCTACTTATCTAGCCTACCAGTCGTAGGCCTACCGTTGTTCGATTCGAAGATATCCGCACTTTGTGGTATTACGTGTAGGGAAATTATGTAAAGCTATAATACAATATCTATATTTCTAATTGGATATCACAACCGCTCTTGCTGTGCTGCAAAGAACTGTTTGGATCCCAGGCACCTTTCGCTCGTACAGCCTGGGCATCGGAGAAGCATCTGAGCACTGCAGCTCGTGTGACTCTCCAGATGTGCTTTGGCGATGTCCGCAAGTGCCTGGATGAAAATTGGGTTTCCATTCATGCTCTCCACTCGCTTGAGGCCTGGTTCATTCGCTTCGCCAATGATCTCCTTGTCCAATTCGTAAAGTGTTTCGATGTGATCGCTTGTGAATGCGATCGGAATGAGAGTAAGGTCTGTTTGTCCCTTCTTGATGTACTCTTCCACAGTGAACTGCGTTTGGGCACCCAGCCATGGCTGCGGTCCAACTTGAGACTGCCACACGAGTCGGTACGGGTTGCTGAATCCAAGGCGTTGCATCACTGCGTAGACCGTAGCAGCCACTTCAGAGGGATACGGATCTCCTCTATTCACGACAGACATTGGTAGACTGTGTGCGGAGAACAGCAGGACAACCTTGTCTCGCTTCTCTACAGGGTATGTCGAAAGCGTATTTTCAATATTCGTTGCAAATGCCTCGATAAGACCTGAGTGCGCCGGCCACCTGTCAATTACACTCCATTTGATTGCGCCTTCTGGATCAACCTCTCCGCTTGCACGCTTGCCCTCTAAGCGATTCCTCCACTTCCATAATTCGTTCAGCGAGCTGCCGGTGGTGGAACAAGAGTATTGTGGGTATTGTGTGAACGCGACAGCTCTGCCTCCTCTTCCTTTTCCGAAACCGTCTTGGAACAATCGCTCATACATGTCCTCTGTTAAAGGCGACGCATACCTGAAAGCAACGTAGGGTTTGTGAGGTGCCGTATCAGGTGAGATCTTGTCCAGAATCTTGCACATTTCTGCACCTTGGTGTTCCGACCATTTGCGGATTGGTGACCCTCCCCCGATTTCGGCGTACTGTTTCTTTATCTTAGGTGTACGCCGAGCTGAGATGAATTTACCAAGATAATTCTGTAACCTGCCCAGTGGAATCAAGTCGCCATCTTGCTGTAGAATGGTAAGCATAAATTGTCGTCAATTGGATCGCCAGGCGCGTACAAACAGCCTTGAAAGAAAGTCGCCAACTTCGTCCGTGGTGGAAGGACCGCCCATGTTCATCAAAACCATCGCGGTTGGACCTTTCGAACCAACTGAGTTCTGCGTCACAGGCGGTACAGTGGATGCATTTCTTGAAACATAGTCGCCTGGCCGTGTAGACGATACTGCAGATGCAGAAGAAGCTTTCAGGGCATATTTGGAGATTTCGGACGGTGTAGCATGTCTGCTGAGGTTCGTTATGCCTTGGCGGAACGACATGATGCCCACGGTGACCGAACGTAATGCGCGACGAGACAACAGAAAGCGCAGGTTTCGATTGAAAAGGAATCAGCTCAGAATGCATACATCGAGGGGGCGGAAATGAGTAGAAATCGTGTCGTGATATCTGGCTAGACAACTGGTAGCGTTTAGCTGCGAAGAGATCGTCATCATTTCCAGTGCTTTGACCTCGGGAACAGCCAATCAGTGGCGTATTATTAAAGATTTCTGTGCACGTGAGTTCGCGTACTCCAAGTCTGAAATCCGGGGTTGCTTCGACGCGTTTGCCTAAAGTTCGCGCCCCACCATGTTCAGATATGTAAATGCGCCTGTCCTGCAACACTCGACGTTGATGCATCATTTCCATATATTATTGTCTCCGGGACCTAATAGACTGTCTATGAGACTAGGCTTCTGATTTCCTGACTCTGCGCAATGTCGGAAGGGGAATCATGGCGCCGCAACGCCGATGAGGCACAAGAGGAAGAGGAAGAAGTCGACGAGTCTGTAAGTCGCCTATCATGCTGCCTTAAGACACGCAGCTGACAATAAGCAGGGCTATAAGACTGTAAAAGATGCTGTTCTCTTCGCCATAGATGTGAGCAAGACCATGCTTCAGAAACCTACCCCTACAGATGGCAAGAAAGCCGACCGAGACTCGCCGACTTCCGCTGCCCTCAAATGCGCATATCAATTAATGCAGCAACGAATCATATCAAATCCAAACGACATGATGGGAATACTGTTGTTTGGTACTGAGAAGTCGAAATTGCACGGGGGCGAAGATGGTTCAGGTACGGGCATGAGCTACCCTAACTGTTACCTGGTATCCGACCTCGATGTACCGTCCGCTGAGGACGTCAAAAGACTAAGGAATTTGGTTGAGGACGACTTTGAATCGTCGAAATTACTACGGCCCACAACCGACGCTGTCTCTATGGCAAACGTATTGTTCTGCGCAAATCAAATTTTTACGACCAAAGCACCCAACTTCTCATCCAGGAGACTTTTCCTTGTATCAGATAATGACGACCCACACGAAAATGATAAAGACTCAAAGTCAGCAGCGGCTGTCAGAGCCAAGGATCTTTACGATCTAGGAGTTGTCATCGAGCTTTTTCCCATAGCAAAGCCTGGACATGGTTTTGATCGATCTCGCTTCTATGATGTGAGCAAAATATTCCGTCCTCATTGTCTTCACTGACAAACTCAGGATATCGTTTACCGCTCATCGACAGGCGAACCAGACGCGCCTGCACCAGTATCTACGGCAGCAAAAGTCTCTTCAAGTGGAGACGGTATTTCTCTTCTACAGTCACTGTTGTCTTCTGTCAATTCGAAAGCTGCTCCCCGACGTGCTGCTTTCAGCTTACCCCTTGAGATAGCCCCTGGGCTCAAAATCGGAGTCAAAGGCTACATCCTCGTGAAAAGACAGGAGCCAGTGCGTACATGCTACGTGTGGGTTGGTGGGGAGAAGCCTCAGCTCGCCATCAGCTCCACGACACAGCTGGCTGAAGATACGGCTAAAACGGTCGAGAAGAGTGAGGTCAGGAAAGCCTATAAGTTTGGCGGTGAGACGATCTCGTTTACACCAGAAGAAATCACCCAGATCCGCAGCTTTGGCGATCCAACTCTACGCATCATCGGCTTCAAGCCAGCGTCTCTTCTGCCCGTCTGGGCAAACACTCGTCCTGCGTACTTTATATATCCGTCCGAGACAGATTTCATTGGCTCGACCCGAGTCTTCTCTGCTCTGCAACAGAAGCTTCTCCAGGACGACAAGATTGGCCTGGCATGGTTTATTCCTCGCAGAAATGCGACGCCTACGCTTGCCGCTCTTGTGCCCGGTGAAGAGAAACTCGGTGACGATGGTGATCAGGTCATCCCTCCAGGCTTATGGATCGTCCAACTTCCTTTTGCGGACGACATCCGACAGAAGCCAGAGATCATTTTAACTCGCACAACAGACACTCTTACTGATATGATGAGAATTGTAATACAGCAGCTTCAACTTCCAAAGGCAGTCTATGATCCCATTAAGTATCCTAATCCATCGCTGCAGTGGTTCTACCGCATCTTGCAGGCTATTGCTCTCGATGAGGATGTTCCAGATAAGGCTGAGGATAAGACGATTCCGAAATACAGGCAGATTGACAAGCGTGCTGGTTCATATGTGGTTACATGGGGGAATGAGCTGGAGCAAACTGCTCAAAAGCTATCTAGCCTGAGACCTCCAGTTAAAGGTATTAAGCGAGGCAGCGAAGATCCAGATAGTGCACCCACTAAGAGACTAAAGGCTGTCAAAACTGACAGTGGGTCTATGACTGATAATGATATGAAGAAGCGGTATGCAGAGAAGAGTATATCAAAGGTAGGTTTGACCCCGAAACTGTTTCGACATTGACTCATACACCTATAGCTCACTGTGCCAATATTGAAAGAATGGGCTAGCAGCAAGCACATCCCAATAGACGGCAAAAAAGCCGATCTGATTGAACGTATCGAGGAATACTTCGAGAACAAGTGATGTTGCTTCAAGTGCAAGATTACAACACCGAAACAAAGCACTGTTGCCGACTAAATACGTCAATAAAATATCCCTTAGAAAGAGCTCAAATAGACGTCTTGTATCTACAGCATCACGCCATGGACGAAAGCCACGAAGCAGATACAGAATGCAGTCCCCGACGCAGGCCCAGGACTGATACACGGCTCTGACGCACGCCGCGTAATAGTATGTCCACCCGGTGATTCGAAGGTCACCCGGAATTTACGAACTTCACATAGCTTCGTGACCGAAATGACTCATGTATCACTGTTGTCCGAAGATATTCAACAAGAGCAATGAGCACGTTCTGATCCTTGTCGATCTACATGTGAGAAGCATCGTTCCGACGTAGCTATGGTGTCTTTGTTCAAGGAGCCCAAGAGATCTCGCATGAATGTCGCATACTTTTTCCTTTTTCGACTCGTCAACAGCTGTGATAACCTTGATAAAATCAACAGTAACGTTAACTAGGTCCAAAGCAACCGTTCTAGCCACATTTGATATTCCGTATCCATAGCCACATCATCAAATCTCAAAAACTGCTTCTCGACCAACGGACTGTTATGGCACTCATCGGGAATCACCACGCTCTGTATTATGTCTCCGCATTCGGATTCCAACACTGCTGACATGTCGTTAATATCGTCTAGCATGACTTCATCGCCACCGACAACAATAAACACATTACGTGCGATAGCACTCAGTGACTTCCACCATCCGGACTCTGCCACGGAAGGACAGTTCCATGCATCTCGTTCCTTGCCTCCGAGGAATGCATCTCCCCAGCGCGCCAGACTGATATCCTCGATCCCGTCTTTCCGCGCATTACGCCTCATGCTATCTGATGTCGTGGCTAAGTTCACCCAGGGGCTCAGCAATGCGACACCCTTAAAGGGAACATTCAGTTTCGGTGGGCGCGGCACGCAGTTCGATGGATGAGGATGCAGGAGATGGGACAATAAACAGAATATAAGACCTCCTCCAGCAGAATCGCCACAGAGAATCAGTCGCGAGGGTGGTAGTTCAAGTATCGACAATGTATGATGGAGAATATCCGTTGCTTGTATGAGTTGGCGCGGGTACGGGTGCTCGGGGGCGAGAGAATAAGATAAGATAAGAACAGAAAGAATGGGTCTGCTTGGAGATGGTGCCTTTGCGTTGATCTGTGTGAGATGCTCATTCAGAAAGGAGACATGCTCGGTCGTCATCGGGTGGTTGTATCCGCCTAAGATATTTATGAGCGACACAGGTATTTACGCACTTCGGACGTCTTACCTCCTGGGAAAAACAGCATTACTGTATCGGCATCTTTGGAGCCGAGCCAATGCGCCTTTGTACCATCCGGGAGCACGTCCGATCGCGGCACAATAGCATTCTTCTTGCACCACGTCTCGTAGGCACTGTCGGTTGTAGGCATAGCCCACCTACGTGATATCAGCTTGGCGTTTCTACGATACGAACAGAAATGGTCTCGAGGCCCTCACACTTCGTGCTCTCGGCTGAGATTGCGCATGAACGCTCTGCCTAAACCAAACATGATGTACTTGTATGTGCTTTTAGGCCGTCTAGACACATTCTCAAATGGGATCCAGGTGGCATATGACAATCCTGTAACGACTACTTGATTCATCAGTGATTGGGCGGTCAGGAGTCCTTCGAGATACTTACTTGCGCATACTGCCGCGTAGCCCAGTCCAATAGCTCCTCTTATGCTTAGTCTTGGCTGTGATGTCTTCATGATGGTAGCTCAAGTATCTTCTACTAGCTACTCCGACAACGGTCATGCGCTCTTCGTATGGTGGGGCATGCAATTGACGTGTATTCAAGGCCTAGGTAGGCTTATTAATTAGGAGGAAGTACTTCAACAGGTTCTACAAGTTCCCAGTCCTATAAAGCATTAGAACCGGATCTAACTGATAAGTGTCGGTAGCTACGGCAAAGAAGAATGCGCTTTGGGCTTGGTTAAAACCGGACTAGCTTCGCCAACGTATGACCAGTGAGGTCATTCTAGGCTATAGGGAGCTAAACATAATTAATTGTTTCACTTACTAATCATTTCATTGGCTACAAGCGTTTTATCTCTTGTTCTTTTTTCCTATTGATTCATTCTTCCATTCTGAATATCTGTGAATGCTGTCGTCTTGTCTATCTTATGGAATCCCGACCGTTCATTCACGCTTGCATATCTCCCAAGGCAATACTACATAGAGCTTTACTAGAAGTGAATCCGAGTGCTGAGTCGAGGAATGCACAAATTGCTGTTACTTTGGAATATTGTCGCTTTCTGTGCAAGAGATAGGCCTAGAATCACTGCGCTGTGTTCAAAATCAGCGAGATGGGACTAATTCCTACGGTCACAGTCGGTCCTAGATTCACTCTGGGTGCTTCTCTGTCACCACAAGAATATCTAGGTAGGACATCAGTTATTTCCGGACGTTCAAACATTGTCAGCTGTAAGATCCGTCAGCGAATGAGGCGTTTCTGCCGTTGAGAATGTTTCGCCTATCATGATCATGAGATCAGGCATAGCAATATCATGTTAAAAGTGGCTAGACTGCTTTTTAGGAGCTCATGAAGTTGTACTGCATAACAGTGACCTCGAAATTCCGTAGGGCGTCCCGGCAGACTACAACTTTCGACACGCAGTGTGAGTGACTAATCGGAGCCGAAGTGTTCAAAGTCCTTCTCTTGTATTCTTTGTTTCAGCTTTCATGCGACCATTAAGGATATTAGAGGACTGCTCGTTTTCTTTGCCCATGTGCTATAGATGTGCTATATAGTGTTTCCATATCTGCTATCAAAACCTGTTTACGCATGTCTATAACGGCAACTACAAACCCAGGGTGTACTATATGAAGCTATGGAAGACTACTACACTGATCTGGAGAAAGGTTCGGGTCCAACTGCGTATAGTAGACTACGAAAACCTCATAAGCATGTAGTTCCTACACCATTCAATACGCTTACCTCACATTGATAAATGGTCAATGCTTTAGCGAAAAAACTTTCATACCTACTAAATTCACACCAGGGACGAGTTATCTAATAGATAGTTCTGTCCCCGCGCTATATCTCCTATAGACTTGGTGACGGCGGTCTGTTACTGTCTGAGTATGAGATTACTCGACTCTATTAACTGCATGGCAGTCTGAATCGGGGTTCAGTCTGATTTGAGTTGCGGTGCGGAAGTATGAGGTTAACTTCTATTCATACCAAATAAGTTGTCTACACTAACCATTTTAAACACGACCGCAGTAGGGCTGTATAATTGAACCCCTTACTCCAAAGCTAGTGGAGACTTCTATGAAACAAGGGCCAAGAGTGAACACGTTAGTTCTATATGGCTCCTTATCTGACAGCCAAATTTCGACATATTTGTCCAGTGTCATGCTCAATTCTAGAAATCTGCCTCAGATTCTTCGAACATACGCCACTTGGGATGATGATATAGCATCATGTCTTCTAACCTTCACGCCGTTACGCTAATAGATGTCAATCTTTAAATAGTTCTTGTGGGGAATGAATGCGGCGTGGGGCTTGGCGGGGATGAATCTTGCGCGCGGGTGTGCCCCACTCAAGCTTAGCTGGCGTTAGGCTCCTGACGATCCTCAAATAGATGTTCCCGTCCGTCAGGATTCTCTCAACAAAGTTCTTTATAAATACCATTCCCTACTCTTTCTTCTTTAGACCTCTTCTAGTCGTTCCCATGTTGCCGCATTCCTTTAATTTCTGAATGAAGCGAAATCACTAGCGTCTCATTTTCTTCCGAGTCATCGCAAGCACAGCTCAGCCTTGCGTTCACGGTCCCAATGATACCAATATAATCGCTTCATACTCGACTTGATCTATTGATATATCATGAATCCTCTGATACGACGATGGATCTCCCTCATCGCGCTTTCGACCGGCATAGTATTCTTCCTATATAGTTTCGCTGACAATAACGACTTCTTGGGCCCGTCGAATCTCGACGAAACATCTACCAACCCAACCGCGACCCACGTTTCTTGGAAAGACATCCCCGAGAAATACCCTCTGTCTTCCTACGTTTCCCTTCCTACTGGTGCACCCATTGAGATACCCAAGATTCAATTCGATTTTCAAGAGGAGACTACAGAATCAAAGAAAAAGCGTCTCGCTCGACAGAAAGACGTGAAAGACACTTTCATGAAAGCCTGGAGAGGTTATAAGAAGCATGCATGGCTACAGGATGAAGTGGCTCCAGTCACAGGATCGTACAACAACAAGTATGGCGGCTGGGCCGCAACATTGGTTGACAACCTGGATACGCTACTGATTATGGGCATGGAGAAGGAGTTTGTGCACGGTGTTGTTGCACTGAAGAATATTGATTATACAACGTCGAAGCAAAATACTATCAATGTATTCGAGACGACGATACGACACTTGGGCGGCTTGCTGAGTGCTCACGATCTGTCCAATGGGAAGCATCCGATATTGCTTAAAAAGGCTGTTGAATTGGGCGAAATGCTCTACGCGGCTTTCGATACACCGAATAGGCTTCCAATGTCCAGATTTCATTGGCAGACGTAAGATTTATATATCTTAGACTAAAATCGGATGCTAAATACTGCCAGTTCAGCCTTCAATCCTGAGGCAATTCACGAGGCGAGTATGAACGTCGTCACTGCAGAGTTGGGATCACTCAGTCTCGAATTCACACGTCTGTCCCAGCTTACAGGCGACCTACGTTATTATGATGCAATTCAACGGATTACGGACGTATTAGAGAAGAACCAGAACAGTACGAAGCTCCCCGGTATGTGGCCGCTAAGCGTCAATAGCCAGAGAGAAATATTTACTGTAGATCGAACATTCACCCTCGGTGCAATGGCCGACTCGCTGTATGAGTACTTCCCTAAACAGCACATGCTACTGAGTGGTCTTACACCTCAATATCAGTCGATGTATGAAACTGCCATTGAAGTTGCCAAAGCTCAGCTGTTCTTCCGCCCTATGACACCATCTAATGCCGATATCCTTATATCTGGTAGCACACACGCCAACGCCGTCAATTCGGTTGATCTTACACCAGAGGGCCAGCATCTGACATGCTTCGTCGGTGGCATGGTCGGTATTGCCGCAAAACTATTCTCACGCCCGGAGGATATACGCATCGCGCGTCAACTAACAGATGGCTGCGTATGGGCTTACAAGAGCATGCCGACGGGCATCATGCCCGAGATCTTTCACGCCGTACCATGCAGCAAAGCCGACGAGGCATGCGAATGGGACCAGGACGCTTGGTATAAGGAGATCCTTAGCCTGGCGCCTTCATCCGAGCGACCCAGCAAGGACTTCCGAGTCAATGCGCAAAAAGTCATATCGGAGAAGAAACTGCCACCAGGCTTCTCGTCCGTCAAGGATGCGCGATATATGCTTCGTCCGGAGGCTATTGAGAGCGTCTTCATCTTATATCGCATCACGGGTGACCAGAAATATGCCGATGAGGCGTGGGAGATGTTCAGCGCGGTCAAGGAGCACACTGCCACAGATATTGGGGCAGCAGGCATCCAGGACGTCAGAGACGAGAACTCGCAGCAATTGAATGAATGTGAGAGCTTCTGGATGGCAGAGACATTGAAGTATTTCTATCTGATTTTTAGCGAGCCAAATTTGGTGAGCTTGGACGATTGGGTGTTAAACACAGAAGCTCATCCGTTGAAGAGGCCTGCAAGAGCATAGTTGCTATGTTAACGACACCCGGTTCCTTATTGGGCTGGAGAACATACCAAGGATAAATTTGGGATGTGGGATTAGGAGTCTGGCGTCGCGAACGTTGACATGCATATCTCTGCAAGATCATGCATACTATTAACAATGTCCCGTCGCGAAAGTACGAGGTTTGAGACGACGTTATCTCCTGAAATATGGAGCATCACAAACGGTAGTATCCTTCTACGTTGCGCCTGCGTGTTCTGCCCACGCTATGGCCTTTGCCCTGAAGCCTTCACGATGTAGACGTAACATCATGGGCCCAGTCCTCGCTTTGAGTTCGATCTTGTCTAAGATATAAGATCTCACAAAGATGCTATGACTCAGTCATCCCCGGCCATCGCAGCATTAGAACTCTCTGTACACAAACACATCTCTAGATCGATAGATCAACACAAGCAGAAGCAGACGCAGAAGCCACGATTTCTCCAAAGATACACGTGCCCTCCATACTGCGTTGCACGCTTAAACCCTGAACCACGGCTCCATAAAACAAGCCATGACGTAGACATCCACCACGACAACCATAACTAGAATATACTAACTCTTACTCCTCCACAAGATCTTTAGGACACAACATTCCTCCAACATATGTCTCACGTTAGCGATCTACATTCGTGCGTCACCATATCCTAGCATATATATTTAGAAAAGTATGCTGACTGCATAACCGGACGCAAATCGCAGGCTGATGTCGATCACTGTGTGACTTGAGGCTGAAATTAGTGTGCGCTAGTGGGAACTGGGGGCTTCCTGGGCAGGGCCATGATACTATGGAATCGATATAGTTTTTGTGATGAGTTGTTGTTCGTATGAGATAGGGAGGTTGCAGTGGGGGTGATTCCGAGGGGCGAGGCTGAGGTCTGGTTTTGCATGCCTGTTTATTTGTACCACGGCGTGCATCGCGATGTTGATGATGCATTCATTGCATGTGCGTATTTGCTGACAGGACTGTGAATGCTTATTACTCGTATACGCATGTGCAGACTTTGGGTTCCGAGCATTTTGCCCCCTCGTACAATGATAATGCCCAAGCTGGCGAGAACGCCTACAGGGCTCAACCACGTTGAGATGCAAGCGATGCATCACGATCTAGGACAGTATATCTGCACTGCGTATTCTTCCAGGCGAGAACCGCATCCCCGAGTACTGCGTACTTAATGAATGTGTGGTGCATAGACAGGGTGGATCGGGACGATAGATAGGTAATTGAGCGGGCCGGAGCCCCGAGCCATGGGATTCTGTTCGGCGGCGATGGATCTAGAAGTAAAGATTTGCGTAGTGTTCTCTTGAGGGAGGCTTCTCATGTGTTTAGAACCCTGCCTTTGATGTGCGGAAGTCGCTTAGGTATGTTCGCGAGGCACGGTTGAGTTCAGCTCTCAGGATATGACATGGGTTCTAGACGACTTGCTCGACATTTTGAAGGGCTTTACGAGCACACTATCAGTGAAGTAATAATCTACGTGGCTTGGGTACATAATGCTGTGTCCCAGTCGGCAATGATGTTAATGAGATATGGCCGATTCCGATGGCAATCAAGCGGCCAAGTGTGTTCTATCTATGGTAAAATTAGCGAGCTGATCTTTGGGGTCAGACATTTCCCCGTTAATACCATCTACCTTTTCCCCGTCCATTCATGCCCGTGAGTTACTGCGAAAGCATGTCTGCATGTGGGGACCCTCTGCCAGTTCGAGTAATAAACTGCTGTGAAAAAGTTTTCATTGCATATTAGTAGCCGGACCGATGTCCTGAACTTTGGAACCTCCGCACGGAGGATGTGGTTTCACCGCTCGCCGTAGTGTACAATACAGACAAATTGGTAATTATCCCTCTCCCAAGTTTCATGTGTAGTGTGATTGCCTTGCTCGAATGCTCAGCCCGAAGCTACTTCTTGAGCTGCTTCACTGTTAGCATGATAACGAAAGGCAATGGCCCCAGTTGTTCGAAACATCCGTTAGTACACACTAAGCCCCTTGTCTCTCTCTGAATGTAGATATGCTCGATGAATTCCATTCCAGCCCAACGACCTCAACGGTCCTTATTAGATTGCTTCAAAGCTATGAGATATGACGTTTGGAATGCTATAGTCGACCTCGCCTCGCTAGGCACGCTAGGTCGAACATATCGAACCAAGTCTAAATATTAAGACGTTGCTCATGGACTCATATCACATTCAGCTAATTACCCGGCACCATTAATATCTGATCAATCTGTCTGTAGAACAGCTAGGATATAAAGTGCCCAAGCATGCCACGATATACCCGCCCAATAGCACTCCAGTCCCACCAATAAATGGACTCCTAATAAGTTCCGTCCGGGTGGGTCCGACAGCTAATTACAAGCGCCGGCACCGACTAACGCTAGTGCAACGCGATGCGGTGCGGTACGGTGCGTAATCTTCCTCCCACTCGGCGCACTGGAGGGCAGGGGGTAATAGGTATCATTTCAGCTGCAAACATCCAGCCATGGTTGTTTACATCCGTATCCACATCCACATTCACACACGACGCAGCCTGATACGCTTACTGCTTACACCAGAGCGAGGCCTCCCGTCTGTAGCTGATCAGATCCCAGTCTAGCAGCCCCTGAAACGCGCCACCGGGACGCCCCCATTCCACACTCCCACACATTCCACACCTCTGGACCCCAATCATCATTCATCCCATCAACACAAAACGACAAAGCTCTACCCCAACCAACAACGGACACTTCATCATGCTAGCTTCACCAGCCCTGCCCCACAGAAACATTATCATCCCCTACCTGGTTCATAAAATTTCCCTACTTCGGTAACCCGATGAGATGTCCTTGGCCAACCCACACACACGACGACGATACTAATTACCAAACACCATCCCCTTAATATCGCTATACAGCGGACCTGCATTCCTTTGCACGCCCCCTCAGGTGTATCAAGTTGGAAGTAAAAGAACAGGCAAGAGCAAACAAAGAACCACACTGACGGGCGCATAAGGCAGGATCGATTCTTCTATGACCTAAGCGACCCACTCGAGCCGCACATACGTACGCGTGCGGGCGTGGGCGCTCGTATGCATGACGGGATCTCTGAGACCGTGGTGGCGGGTTGGGGGCGTCTGTTTGGTGTGTATGTTGGGTTTTGCGTGCCTTGTTGTTGTTGGGGGCCGGTCTGAGGAGCGGGTAGGTTGTCTGTCTAAATACAGCTGTTATGTGTGTGTTGTGCATCGCTGTGAGGTGCTGAGATGAATGAGGTGACGCGGTGGTGGGAAAGTGGTCATGCTGCTCTCAGAATGGCATTCCATTGTTCCATCATTGGAGAGTGTTAACTGCAACACTCACATCCGGGGGCTCCCGCCATATCACGTCAACTTGCCAACAATGGAAGGAGGGTGTTGGAGAAACATATACAAATTCTTCCTATGTGATCCAGCTCCACTCTATATACAGGCAATACGGACTCCAGCCAAGAAAAGTAAAAGTGAGACAGAATCTCCATTTCAAAGGATTGTGGCAGCAGTCAACGCTTGATGCATGCCCTAGATAGTCTATCAGGATATTTCAAGCAGCGTGACGCTGCCGTATAGATTGAATTTTACACATTTTGCATCGTTGCCGGAAAATTGCGAGGGACAGTTTGGATGAGGCAAAGGCCCGGAGTCTTAGTCCTTCTGCTTGGGTTGGGGCACATGCCAGTCGCCATGACCTGGGTGGGGCTCGTAGCCCCCGGTCGGTTTTGGGTGATGGGGCTTGTGTTCTTCATGGCGAGCCACATACCCGGTAGGAGATGGGCGCCAGGGGCCGTTGTGATGAGGTCCGTGCCGCTTCATGAAAGAGTTTCTTCCGTACTGCCCTTCATGGTGCGGGCTGCCTGTGGGATGAGGGGCACCAGGTGGGTAATGTCCGTCGTGACCTCCGTGGCGCTTGTTTAGATGTCCATGATGGTATCCATCTGTAGGCGAAGGTGCTCCCGGGTGGCTGTTGTGCTCTGGCCTACCACCATGACGCTTCTCGTTCTTCCCGTGCCCCCATGAAGAGCTTGGGTCTGGTTTTGGAGGGCCGTCGTGATGGCCTGGACCGCCATGCTTCTTCACAAGGGTTGCTTCCCAAGCAGCATCGTGCTCAGGTTGTGGAAGTCTTCGATAGTTAGCCGCCGGGGCAATGTCCATGTTTGCGGCAGGAAGGGCGACAGCCATCGAGGCCAAGGTCAAGCCCACTAGAAGGTTTGAAAGCTGGACCATTTTTTGACGAGAGGATATGAGACAAGAAAAGATTTGGAGCAAAGTTGTGCTATTTGGTTTTGTGTTTGTGTGATTTTTCGCCAGCGAGTTGATCAAGAGAGGTGCCGACCTGTGGCAGATTTGGATAATGGAAATGGATTGAAAGCGGATTGGAAGTGGACTGGACAGAGACACGAAACGGAGGAGACAGACGTGACTGATATACAAAGAACACCAAGGATGATGTACTACCCATGTAATGATAAGACAGGCCTTCAATATGCAAAAATCTGCCAAAAGTAGATATAGTACCAACCTCTGATAACACACGTACTCTCTCGGGCAAAGTGTCCATGGTTGCGAGATGATATTCGTTCTTTTTCAGGTACACCCGAGCATGGAATGTTTCAACGATACAATTTGATTGATCCCACACCGAAGGCAGAATGCATGAGTGGACATGATTGGGCGATAGTGTGGATAACAGGAATGGTCGTCAAACTTGAGCATGGTGTGCGCGAGCCTTAAGACCTCAGTGGCGTCGACTGGCTGCGATCTTCCGCATGTTTGGAAGATTATACTCGATGGTGCACGAACTTCCAACAAGGTCAACGTGCTAGGGGTTGGCACAGTGGGCGCTCTTGGCAGGCCTCGGGCTTTACTATTTAGGATTCCACAGATGATCGACATTCCGACAATCCTTGGCCCTGTTGCCCTTGCATCGTCATCTCACCGGGTCATGAAAAATGCCATAATGTGGGGGCTCTGTGTATCCTCCATCCTGATGGGCTGTGATCGAGGATGGTTGTCAGACGCATCCTTCGCGGTTCAGATAAGGTCGACGACTTTGACGAGTGGGACTGAGAGTCGAACTCTCAGCTTGCCCCATGGTTATCCGTGTCGTGTGCAATTCGAGGACCACAACTTCCATCGATATAGATAGACTGCTATACATCGCTCCTCGGACGCTCTAGGAGACGCTGGGCTGTCACGATGCTTATTCCGCCTCGAACAGCTTATCAGAAGTACGCCTTGGCTACGGTGGAGGTAAGCACGCTGTGTATGCAGTTGTTAGTCGAACCGCAGCTGCACGCGGGATGCAGGACATGGAGCTGTTGGACTATGCGTCCCGTTGTTCGTTAAGGTTCCGCGCGGCTCACAGAAGGAAAGTTTCCGTGCGGAGGATATACCATCATGATCATTCCTTCAAATTTGTTTCCAACGAGTTTGCGATGTCCACAAGGCGAATATGCCTGCCTGGCATATTATTGTCCAACATATTGTGACGTCGGATCAGCGTTATTTACAAGGAGTCTTCTGGAAATGCCAAGAAGGATTCCTATATATGGTCCAGGGCACTCGACGCTGCGACACACTGAAGTATCGAGCAGATTAACAGACTGCTCAGCTGTCGTGCGAGACGTAGTCATGTATCGGTGTGCCTGAAGCTGAGGAAAGGCAAGTCTTGCTTGCTAAGCATGGAAATATGAGGTCAGCAACCGTGAAAAGGTTCGTACGATTTGGTTAAGAGACACCTTGCAAATACTCATTCAGCAAAGCCAATTCTTTCAGGGTGGTAAGCGACAGATTTGTGGCGCATTGTCCATGTCGATAGCAGAGATCGGTACCCGCAATTGTAGCTGTACGGTAAGTAGGGTCCATCAGGATAGGTGTTGCCTGATGAGAGATCATTTGGCACTTAGCCGGATGATTACCCATTCCGATGTCTCGTATGCTGCACTGGGAATTATAGTGACGCAAACAGCTCCGCAAATAGCAGTAAGCATACGCCTTATCGCGTATGCCCTGCCAAGAGATGAGGACTGTATAATATATTTCAAAATCGTTCAAGGATGCCCGCCGAGTATGTGGATCGATATAAGATCAGACGTGAAAGTGCTCTACAACTCGATGGCATCAGCGGGTTCCGTGCAGTCGTTGAAATGAGCGACGTCATCAGGTTGTAGACGACTACAGACCCTCTTTGTGTCCTTGCATTTTGTTCTTCAGTCATTGAAGAGAGTAGATAATAGTGAAAGGGCATGATAATCATGACCGAGATGAATGATGCTAGCTAGATGAGATCGAGGAATCTCCGAATGGCCCGAACTGCCAAGCGACGAAGGTAAGACTATCAGAAATGCCCGCGGGCGGGAGGTTTGGATCGTCGTCTCCGTACCACCACGTATAACTCAAGTACGCGTCGACTGCATGGCAAGATGAACAGGATCATGGCTGGTGACTTCACCTGAAAACGATTACGGGATACAACGTAAGGACGGACGTTAAAGCGCAAGCCGCAGGACATCCCCATAAGTATGGAGAACGCAGCATGTAGCATATCACACACCGTTCACGAGACAATCACGCATCGACAGTATCTCCATAACAAACACAACACACCGGGAAACATCACACTCATGTTCTCCAGCTACCAAACACCGTGCGTAAGCCTTCTTTCGCCCTTTGATACGTAGCAAAAATATTACAAACGCTCCAACCAGGCCAATAAGATGCTACGCTGAGCTACTGAAAGATGATAGGAAAGGCGTACTGACATAAGAGAAGTAATGCAATGCATTGCCAGAGCACAGAAGCAAGGAAATGTTAGAGAGCGGTACCAAGGAGGCGTACAACATTCAAAGGAGACTTCATCCGCTCAGACAGAGACGAGAAAGAGTAGATAGGGGCTATAGCTTAAACCGGCTAAGGATATTGATATATCGCTCTACAAAAGAGATTACGCATAGGAAATTATAGGTTCGAGATAGGTCCTTAATGGTGGTGGTGATGCCCGCTCGCCTCCCCGTTCTCAGGATGATTACTAAGGCTCGAGTCAGGCTGAGCAGAGCGGCCGCGCATACTTCGTGTCATAGAGCTGAAAGAAGTATGTCTGCCCTGAGCACTGGAGTGCCGCCCGTTCCGAGAGAGTGAGCCTACGTCGTGTTTACCTTTGGTCCTGATTTAGTACTTGAAAACAAATAACATCTGATGTGACCCTCAGATGCAGTACTTACCATCGCAACACGCCCTCACATTCTCTAGCCTATCCGCATCCCGTTCTTGTTGCTCTATAACCTGTCGCAGATCCTCCGCTGAGTCATGAACTGTAGTTGCATCGTACAGAGATGAATCTCGCACACTGCTTCGACTTCGCCGCCCGGCAAATGATCCTCGCATTCCAGAACCAGGCCTGAATATGCCACTGATACTGCTGAAGCGACTCGACACTGAATTCTGGGGGACCTGTGAGCCACTCTGAGCACTCGTTACTCTTTGGGTGCCAGGCGCACCCCTCGAAGTCAAGGTAGGGTACTGAGCTCGAGATGGTGACAGGTTCCGGTTTCCATTTGTATGCGAAGAAGCCATCGACACTCGCGATCGACCTGTTTGTCGAGATGGACTACGCGTATAGCCTGGGTTGAACTCATTGATGTCCTCAGCTGTGATGTTGTCGTCTTCATCCGCACGTTCGGCGTTCGTACGCAGCAAAAGGTACGAAAGTGCATTGAACCACGTCTCATGCCTCTGGCCCGTCGTAGCTGTAAATTTAACACTTCTGCCAGGAGTAATGACGATTATGCTTTTCCGATGAAGGCCTGGAGGCATCGGATTGTCATCCGTCACAACCTGTACCGCCTCAATCGCGACACTCTTGGCCTTTAGCTGAGCCCTTCCAGCTGTAGAAGGATCTTGTTCGCTCCAGTATAGAGTACGTGTGTATGGATGCACCCAAAAGAAACGCCTATGCCGCTTCTCTGACATTTCGCCTCTACCAGCTTTTCGAGTATACTTCCATAAATACTCACCAATCATAGTCTGAGTGATTGCTTGAATCATGCGGGGGTCGGTAGTATTCGGGTCAAAGTGGTCACCGAGGGTCGCGCGGGGAATATTGAATCGTTGGTCGATTTCCGAGGCAAACGAAGAGATCGATGAACGACGGGTGCTTGGGACGGAAAGCTCGCTTCGAATTGTCGGTGCTCTCGCACGGGGTGTAGTTCCTGAGCGAGAGGGGGAAGTGACAGTGCTTGGAATCCCCATTTGAACATTGGGTGTACGAGGCCGAACCTGCTCTTTCTTGTACGCCGATGCTGGCATCGTAGGTGGTCCCATTGACGCACCTGCAATAGAAGTGCGCGCCGCGGCGATGACCTCTTTATGGTCCGGTGGTAGTGGAGGGGGTGTGGCGGCCCGGCTCCGCAGACTGCCCGCGCTGCCTGGTCTCCGTGGTTGTGTCTTACCAGTGTCAACCACGAGACTGGTTGGTGGGTAAGACTTTCGGGGGCTGGAGCTGTTTGATCGTACATGTGTCGTGAGAGTCTTCGATGGCGGACTTGGTACGATGACTGATGGAGGCATTTGCTTAACCTTTAGCATCTTGTCGATCTCCTGAGCAGAAAGGGACGTCTGCGTCTCCTCGTCCGACATGATGATAGATTGAATTTTGGAGCTTGGCAGAGGATCGCTGTTTCCACTTTGACCCTTGGAACCCGCATTGACGTTCCGAACCTTGAATGGTTCACGGTCATGTGAGGGGATCTCCTCGTAGTCTACTCTGGGTGAAGCGTCATCCTGTTGCAGTGACTCTTTTGTCATGTCTCCGGCAGCCTCCGGATCTCGTTGAGATGTGCGCCATCTAAGCATCGAGCCCAGATATCCACCTGCTGACTTGGGTTCAGCCGATGGCTCGGATTCAGATTCGGTAGCCTTTTCAGAAGTAGCTGCAGCACCTAACAGGGCCCCAGCAGTACCAACGCCCACAACTGAAGTAGTAGTAGCCCCGCCGCTAATGACCTTAGATGACCGAGTAGAATTGACAGGTTCAACGTGCTGTGAAGCAATAGTCGAAAAGGATAAAGATGGCTTGTCGATGAATTCGATGGGAACTGCAACAGGGCCCACGTTTGCACTGTTCTGGCTGGCAGCTGGTAGTTCAACGGCTGGATTCGCTCTTGGTTGCACTTCTGACATGGTGTGAACTGAAGAAATAGCCATGGACCGGGATTCTTCAATACCGTCTGTTTGCGGCGCATTGTGATTCACAGGACTTGGTGGTAGGAACCTCTCGCTCTGCTGCGATGGAGCAGATTCATGATATGGTTGTATAGATGACATTCCGAGTGGAACAGATTTAGTGGCTGTAGGCTCGATTTGCTGACCTGCTGATACCTGAGATATCCCTAGTGGAGATGGTTGTGTCTTTGGCGCCTCGATAGGCTCGGTCTGGAGGGATCGAACGTTTGAGATTGTGTGTTGTAGAGCTGCATTAGGATGCACAACTGGAGCCAATGGCTTAGAACTCTGAGAACTGATCGAGGAGATCCTCAAAGCGGTGGGCTCCATGTCTAGCACAACTATCTCTTCTTGATCTGCCATTATGGGCTCCATCACGCGAGATGCATCCTCAGTCTTGTTTTCAGAGCCTCGTCCTAGAGCGAACCCGACTCCCCCAGCAATAGCTGCGCCTACAGCACTAGTAGCGTTGGATATGATACCACCCCTTTCAGTCTCCCCAGAGTCGGTCATCATCGCAGAGTCCACCATAGCCACTTTTGGCGCCACGCTGGCGGACCGGCTTGTCTCAACTACGGACTTTCTCAAATTCTCCTGAGAAGATTCTGGGGAAATGATTGTGGAGCGGCTTGGGGTTGCATCTGGACCTAGGACATCGTCGTCTTCACTTTCCTCGGCGCTCAGGTCCCCTAGTTCAGCAAACAGGCTTTGTCCAGCGGGTGCACCCTGTTGACTGCCAGTACTGATAAAGCTGGCAGGAGAATCTTTGAAACTCGCAGGGCTGTTGACTGCGTCATCACTGGACCTGTTCGGTGTGGTTTTTCGCGAACCACGGCGATTTATCTTAAGCCGGTATTTGGGTTGAGTGGATTGGACAGGAGTCTTGACTTCTGAATATTGGTCAGGTTCATCTGCGGATGTCGAAGCTGTGCTCATGTATGAGCTCCTATCGCCAGGGCGTCCAGATGTAAGAGGAGCGGCGCCAGGTCTTTTATGGCGTACAGTACCTGCGGTAGTCGTGCCCTCTGTCTCGGTCAAATCATCGCTACTGTCTCCATCAAGAGTCTCCGCTCCAGTGTGAAAGGCATCAGTTTCGGTAGCCGCGCCTTCGAGTTCGTTGGCTGTCTCGAACTCATCCGACGTTTCAGTGGCTGTCTCGAAGGCGTCAGTACCTGTGTCAGTGGATGGATATGTTCCAGCCATAGTCTTGGAGACTCTTCGTCGGGTTGGCGAATCTTGACCATCGTGATCTTCCCAATCTGGCTCATCGACGTAGATCTCCTCTCTGCTATTTCTTTGTACACCCAGGCGATCGGGACGGGCGGGTTTCTTGAACACCTCAGCGTCTTTGCCTTTTCGTCTTTTGCTGGCACTGTCGGTCGCCGTCCTCTGGTCAAGTTCATCTCGCGTGCCTTGTAATAAACGCTTCAGTTCCATTTTCTCGGTCTTCTCCCGATGAATATTGTTCTTGAGCTGTTGGATCATGCGGTGGGCGTGTGATAGGGAGCTCTTCAAAGTCTCATGTTCCAGCTGGCCGTGCCGAGGAGTGGCTTTGCTTGGGGACGGAGGCGGGGAATGATCAGGTGTAGTGTGTTCTACATCCACATCCTCCGTCTCGGATGTTGAATCTCTGCCAGCTGCTTGTTCGTCTGCTCTTAGCCTATACGAGACTGCTCGCGCAAGTTCTTGATTTTGACTCGTCAGCTCCTCAATCTTGCGCTGTAAAGCAAGGCGCTCAGACTCGCCGACTGACACATTGCGTCGCAGAGTTGTCAACTCCGATTCGTGTTGTTTCCGCGACGAATGCTGGTCGTCAAAAAGTTTGGAATGAGCTTGTTTCAATTCTTCTAATTCTCGCTCCAGAGATGATTTCTCTGATTTGATTGAATTCAGTGTCAGGGAGAGCCTTTGTTCGCGATCGGCAGATTCTTTCGAAGTCGTGATGTAGTCATGCACCTGTGTCTCAAGACTCCAGTTTTCGTCCTTGTATCGTTGTTCGCTTTCATCCATGGCCCGTAGTCGTTGGTTGAGACCTTCAACTTCAACCTCAAGCTTGGACTTCTCTGTATCGATGGTCCGGAGAGTGTCATCTTTCTCTGCAAGAACAGCCTGCAACTCCCTGAGCTGCTGTAGTAGCGAACTACTTATCTCAGTCGCAAGCTTGATATCATGAACCCGACTGGCATGCTGATTCCGTTGCTTTCGTGACGATGGTGCCGTTATTTTCGAAGGGGATGGGGTGGCGTCGTTGGAAAATACAGTGGCACCCCCAGTATGTGCATCCGTCTCGCCACTTGGAACTCTGGACTTGGGCACAAAAGTTCGAGCGGTATCTTTGCTAACTTCATTGCACTCGCGTTCAAGTTCAACAAGCTTCTTGCGTAGCTCGGGTCCAATCTCATTCTCATCTGCTTGCTGCTCTACCTCTTTCAATCTGTCACCAAGTTCCTTCCGTTGCTGTACCAGCACGGTACCAAGTTGTGATGTTTCTTGAAGTCTCCTCTCAGTTTCAGCCAGATGTGCCTCCAAGGCGCGTTTCGCCTGTGAGGTCGACCCGTTCGTATAGAGGGAAAATGAGCTAGCATCGAATGCAGCGTAGCGATGCCTATGGGTGTCTGTCGGATTTGATACGAATGGATCGTTGTTGTGGGCGATCGGGCCCTGATTAGCGGTCGACGCCATCGTGTCGCACTCTCATAGACACCTTAGCACTCCATATGTGTTTTCAGACAATGAATCGAGCGTCTTGGTCGTGAACAGGAGGTGTCCGAAGCGATTGAAGCTGCGTCGGAAGGGGGTAAATGACGTGTGTTCTAGAGTTCTGCTTATTAGGGTAACGGAGATTGGCGAGGCGCGTACAGCCCGCTGCAGTCGACAGTAGCGCGGGATTGAGATGGTAAAGAAGGAACCTAAGGAGTGGCTCTATGGTCAATAGACCTGTTGTATCTGAATGCTGATCGTGATCCGGGATGTTGAAGCGGGGAAAGTAACAGGAAGGTATAAGAATACTGAGAGTTCCAGACGCGCAGTCTCAGTGGTCGCTCGCGGTGATCGTTAGCGCAATCCTACGACGCGTCAAAGGGCTTTGGAAGGACCTCAAAGAGACTTCACAACAAAGAATTGCGGATTGGTGAAACGGCGGCAACCAGATATAAAACCCACAACAAACACACGAACCCTCGTGCGTGCGGGATCAGTAGTCAGCCGTTCGTCGGCAGGGGCGAGGAATTCCTTAGTTGTTCTTCACAAGAAGGCCCGATCCTCGATCTTCATCATTCCTGGGCGCTTCTTGCGACAACGCCGCCGGCCAGATTGCGTTACTTGCCCACCTACGCTATTTTAGTTCCAGTCCGCGCTCGTAAGCATCTGTCAATAAAAACATGTCCTTCAACATCGACATTTGTGCAAAGTGCCCTGAGTGTGTAAATATCAAGGCCCGATCCCATATCTAGATGATTTTCAAGACTCTTTTAGCGGGTACTTTGTGTACGATTCGCTATAAGTGTAGCATTGAACCAACCCAGATCTGGTTTGATCTCATCCATCAAATTGATGTGTATAATGATCATATTAGTACACCATGAGCTACAGACAGAAACTATAGCCGTTCAGAACGCATATTGCAATTGCAAAGTGTCACTTAGTAAGTCTCAGTACCACTGCAGAAATATCGGGTACGCTAAGCAACGGTCGGGTATATCTTTAGACAGTCGTGATCCAGTGCTCACGATGTTCGGTTCGAGTGATTATCGATTAGAGAGGAATCTCACGGTTCCTGGACCGATTGCTCTAATTAGGTACAGAGTTTATTGTCCCGAAAGGCATAATATAGCCCTTGCCCAGTAACGTATAGCGCAAAGCCAAAGCTCCACAGTCTAAGGTATCCTCTGAAGACTCACTCCCAAAGAAACTCCGAATATATACAATAAATGCACTCGAAATGACAAGCCGAAATGGGTATAATGGCTGGTGATACCGAGCTGTAAAGACAGAAATGCTGAAATGTAACTTCAAGACAGAGCATTCGTGACCTAGACATGATTAATCATTGGCAACGGGGGCGCCTGTGGTTACTCTTCTCGATGAGGAATGAGAGGCTTTTTGATATCGAGAGCTGTAATTAATTGTTTCCATGTGGCGTAATCAATGCTGATGATAGCTTGTCGCTTGGAACGCTGTCCCTTCGCTCGCTCTTCTTCGGAGAGCTTCTCTTTTCGTGGTACTGCATTAAGATGTTAGTTCATCATTCTTGCACACTATCACAGTGTTCAGACTCACTTAGCACAGGCAAGCCATCCGTATCGTACTCAATCTGAACATCGCTCTCCTTAATCAAGAAAGATACATAGAACAAATTTTCCACAGTCTGTCCAAAAGACTTTGGGTTGATGACGCAGTCGAATAAGGACATGGCCGGTTGACCGCCTTCAGTCGTTTCCGATTCTTCCGTCAAAGCTAAGCGATGTTTGCGTAGCAGCTCATCTTGCTCTTCGCTTGTGGCGTCTCCCCATACTTCCTCGAGTTGATCAGACTTTTCGTCGATATGTTTGTTCAGGATCTTGCTGATCTGCTGGCACATTGCCGTTACGTTGGCTGTCTCTGCTTTCTCCAGATCGGACGCTTGAAGTTGCTCTGGTCGGACTTCTGTAACATTCCTCCTCTGCTGGCGAGGTTGTCTTTGCGTTACTTGTCGAATCCTCTTCTGAACCGACAAAGGTCCAAGAAGAAAGCCAGGGAGGGGAGGCCTTGAGTTCGCTGGAAAGCAAGCAAAGTGTCCAAGATGAGCCCAATTGAGGTCCTCGCGCTCGCGGTCATCATCTTCGTCGACATCGTCGTGCTCCCTGGGACGCTGCCGCCTGCGCTGCGTGCTTGCCGACGCCTCGTTATCAGATTCAAAGCCAGCATTGCGCATAAATATCTTGCACTTAGAGACAAATTCGTCCGTGTCTATCGTCGTAGCTTTGTCGCCGTTCACGATAGCTGTTGCTTTTTTTAATGCAATGTCTCCAGCGTCCACGAGAAATTGCGAGTCGATTGTTGCATCGGCAGTTTGTCGCACTTTATTCATCAAGTAGTCTGCGTGCTCGAGGCGTCGCAGAAGTTCAACTTCGCCCCCTGGTTGGATGAGTGTCTCCTTTTGATCTAGTCGAATAATCAACATATGCTCTATCTTACATGGCAGCGACTACTTACGTTTCAAGGCACGCTCATTCTCTCGCATCTCTTTGCGGAGCTTTTGCCTCTTCCTTGCATTCTGATCAGGGTCGTAGAATAGCAGCTCTTCCGGGACTCTGCTCGCTATAGGCGTGTCATTTCTTTCAGTCAGAGATGGCCGTGATTCTTGTGGCATGTCGCGAGGACGGCGTGACGAACCGGCCACAGCCTTGCGCTTCCCTCTCGACCTTGTTTCGTCTTCGTCTGGATCGGCGAAGCTTTGATTTTCTTTGTCCGAGCCGGTGGGTGGGCTGAATACGCGTCGCTCGCTGTCTGTGTCCTCTGGAACTGGAGTCGTTGGGTATAATGATGACGCTCGCGAGGAGCTTGGAACGGCTGTATTCAGTCGGGCCATGTCGACAGCTTCACGACGAAAGATGCGACTTGCGACAGACGAGCCACCTATTGCGCTTTCCAGATTCAGCAAAGCTAAGGCTTCTCTCTGATGAGTATATCCGCTATGTATCGCGACAGAACGAGTATGGCTTCTGGAGCGGCGCGTGTTCGTAGATTATGAGTCTATTAGTGTTCAACTGCTGAGGACTTCGGCGCGTAATGAAACCTTGTCGAGACCATCTGATTGCCGCGACGACAGGATGAGAACGAGTGTGGACGTGCGCAAAGATTGAGATGCTGAACAGGGGGATGTTGCCAGATGAAATGTTAGGTGGGTTGTCGCGATTGTTTGGACGCGTCCCATGGGGGCATGTTCGTGTTGCGCTAGGCTCAAATAACTGATGACCTGCATGCCACCTGGTAGGCCTGGACCTACCCTTTAGGGCTTAGCTTGAAGACGCCCAGCCAGCCTGTACAGTATACCCTCATAGCTATTATCTACTTCCTCAAAATCTTCTCAGATGGCGGGCCAAAAGGGCTACCGCATGGAGCCATTCTCCTTCGCCACCTCTTCTGTCTTGGATCTGCCCGTAAATGTGAGAATGTCCGTATTTGGCCGTGTCAAACGAGCTGCCCCGCCGGCTTTGCGCCCGATCAGTGTTCGCTGACCAGTGCAGCAATACTTTGGACGGCCATCAGAAACCCATACCCTACTCTATACTACTCAAGAATGCTGAACTTCGACATCTCGGATCGAATACCAAGTCAGTCCTCATACAGACTTGGGCAACATCCAAAGTACTCACGATGTATAGTCCTCATTTCGAGCTCTATGTTACAGCTCAAATCTGGGCCGACAGCAAACCTCTGACCGTGCCTGTTCAAACCGCATACAAACACTTTAAGACTGCTCGAATATGGAACGAATGGCTAAGTTTGCCCATGCCCTATTCGAGTCTCCCTCTAAATGCCCAGCTCGCTATCACCGTCTGGGACCTATCCCCTATCGGCGCAAATGATTCGCAATTTCATGCAATACCATTTGGTGGTACGACAGTCCCTCTATTCGACAAAGACAACACTCTACAGAAAGGTCGGCAACGATGTCGCCTGCATCGTCATAGAGCAGCTGATGGCCTGTCGGAGACAAGTACACCATGGATACTACCTCCCGTGCGGGGGCGGAGAGGCGAGAAGACCAAGGTGGAGACAGTGGATGAGCGTGTTGCGGAGATGGTGAGGCTGGAAGCGCTAGTGAAAAAGCATGAGATGGGTGAAATTCCGGAGTCAAAATGGCTGGATCAAATGGTTTTCAGGAAGATTGAGAGACTTGAGCGGAGCATCCTGACTGATACTCCAAGACGGCAACATGATTCGAACGGCAGTCATACGGATCGGCTGCAGCACGCTGATACCACGAACAACGACCAGAATGACGAGGAACAGTTCTACCTGCACATAGAGTTCCCACGTTTCGATCACCCTATTGTATTCACGGACACGGAGTATCCAGCGCCTCCAATATCTAGTATGCTCCATAGCGGTGGGAGTAACTCTGAAGTTCGTTTAAAGCCACCTCCAGAGGTTTCGTTTGGGCCTGGCATCAACGTAGATGGGGAGGCCTTTGGCGATGGCGACTCTGGGCGCCTTATTCGCATCTATGACCCAGAAGTCGGTATGAGGGACAATCCAGCTGAGAGCAAGCACAGAAGATTGATACGAAGTCACCGGACAGGAGCGCTAGATCGCGATCTAAAACCAAACGCGAAGATCCGTGACGAGCTCAATGTGATCATGGCTTACGGTCCGACGCACGAGTTGATCTCAGATGAGAAAGATCTGGTGTGGAAGTTCCGTCATCATCTCACTCGTGACAAGAGGGCCTTGACAAAGTTTGTGAAATCCGTCGCCTGGAACGATCAAAACGAAGCTCGACAAGCAGTACAAATGCTACCAAAATGGACTGAGATTGCTGTGGACGACGCTCTTGAGCTCTTGGGTCCATCCTTCACGAACCCTGCCGTTCGCGCTTACGCTGTTGACCGACTAAAGAAGTCAGATGATGATGAGTTGCTTGTGTATCTTCTACAACTTGTTCAAGCCCTGAAATATGAGACCATCGCCTGTGACACCGAAGACAGTCCTGAGAACGACTCATCACTGGCCCAGTTTTTAGTCACTCGAGCAGCAAATAACCTTATGCTGGGTAATTACTTGCACTGGTATCTCATGGTTGAATGTGATGACTACAGCGCGGAACAAGGTCCCGAACACCGCAAGTTGTTTGCTAAGGTTGAGTTCGACTTCATGACTTCGCTGAACAATACACCGGATGGCCCGCAAAGACGGAAAACGCTTTTGCGACAAGCAGAATTCATCACGATTCTCACCAAAGCTTCGCGCGAGATCAAGACCTCTCGTGAAGACCGCCCTGGTAAGATCGAGCGCTTAAAGAAGTTCCTAGCAGATCCGAAGAATGAGCTTCTTCACATCGATCCTCCTATACCATTGCCTCTGGATCCCTCGATATCCATAAATGGCTGCTTTCCAGAGGAATGCAGCGTTTTCAAGTCTTCCATGTTACCTTTACAAATTACTCTTCGGACTACCACCGGAGCAAAATATCCCATCATTTTCAAAACTGGAGATGATCTAAGACAAGATCAACTCGTCATGCAAATCATCACACTTATGGACCGACTCCTCCAGAAAGAGAATCTTGATCTCAAGCTCACACCGTACCGCATCCTTGCGACGGGCGCTTTCGCTGGCGCCCTGCAGTTTATTCCTTCGTCATCCATAGCTGGTGCAAGTGCGAAGTATAAGGGTTCTCTTCTCAACTATCTCCGCGCAAACAACCCAGACGAAACGGCCCCACATGGCGTTCGTAGAGAAGCAATGGACACCTACGTCAAATCATGCGCTGGCTACTGTGTTATCACATACCTTCTTGGTGTCGGTGATCGCCATCTCGAAAATCTTCTGCTTACCCCAGATGGTCACTTCTTCCATGCCGATTTCGGCTACATTCTTGGCCGTGATCCAAAACCATTCGCCCCACTGATGAAATTGTCGAAAGAGATGATCGATGGCATGGGAGGTCCGCAATCTCAACAATACCGACAGTTCCGCGAACATTGCTATACAGCGTATACAACGCTGCGAAAATCAGCGAACCTCATTCTTAATCTTTTTGCTCTAATGAGGGAGGCCAATGTGCCCGATATCAGGATCGAGCCGGATAAGGCTGTGTGGAAGGTGCAAGAGCGGATGATGCTTGACTTGAGCGAAGAAGAGGCTATCAGACATTTCGAGGCGTTGATCTTGGACAGTCAGGGCGCCATGATGCCAGTTGTGATTGACCGTCTGCATGGTCTTGTTCAACACTGGAGAGCGTGAAGTCTTCGCCGAGTACAGTGTAGCGATTGTGCTGTCAGTCGTATCCATTGACCCAACGCTTGCTATTGTTGAGTCTGTTTGAGGTACGGTAGCTTCCCTTTTACGCACCCCTTTTCACACTGGACATTGGCAGACCTCGGCGAGCACGTACAAGCAATGTTCAACCTCGGTTTTGAGGAGTACTAATCATCCAACACAGTACCATCGCTCGAACCTCAAACAAGTTTGTTTTACCAACTCATAACTTCAGAAGACCTGTTCGTGGCGCCCTCACCGCACCACCACACTCATCTGGCGCCGGCCCATTTTGCTGCGTGTCACAATCCACGTCTCCAACCTACATAGCAAATCGCGCGATCTATATCGCGCTACACTCTCTTTTCGCTCCTGTTACATGACTGCACACCGGATTATTATACAGTTCGCGCATGCCAGATCATTCACCATCAACGCCTTCTCGGCATACTTGTGCACGAATCCATGCTTAAGGATAGTGGAGGGGATGGGTATATCATGTATTTCACTCGTGTGCCGGATGTTGGTGCATTGGGCACGGAGCTGGAGCGCCGCGCAGTCTGTAGTGCAGAGTGGCGCGCTATGAGCCGCGGGCTGTGTGTATGTGCGTGTCTGGAAGGTAAGCAGCCAGTTCTGATAATGATCTATTAGGCTGCGAAGAAACCAGATTTAGGATGTTCGATGGTACGTATCCTGGAAACTTACAACTCTACAATTCTGAGCGTTCGCGAGATGAGAACGCGAAGAGTTCAAGGGGTTGTTGTGCCCGCATGTCATCTATAGCCTGGCCTCGTTCATGGCATAACAATATTCAAACTTCTATGTTAATTTATCCTCCAAAGCACCACATGTCTCATTCTGTCCACGCCCCATGATTTTGCGAACTTTCTATTTGACCACGCAGTCAGTCATCACGTAACAGAACAACACTCATGTAGCGCCAGAACCACAGCGGATGTAGGTGCATGCATGTGTAGCTGCGTATATTCATATCTACACGTAAATATATCATGTCAATGTAAGTCGCAATTCTATACACGAGGACGTCATAAGCTACGCACGCACAAGCTAGTGTGCTAATCTGTAGTAGGAGCAGTTCTTTCTGTAATATATTAGTGGTGCATCTAGCAGGCGGTCAAAGAGTGACAGATGACTAAATAGACACTAGTCCAGGTCTTGGATTATGATATATGTATATATATCAATCAGAAGGTCATGATAAATGATACTTGGACTAGTAGAGAGCAGAAAATTATGTATAGGGAACACTCAGAACAGACTCGAGAAACAGATGTCTAGTCGTAGACCTGTAGAAATATGTACGTACTTATTTCGAAAATGAATACCAGTTCAGCCAGTTCAAGAAAGGTAATCGTTGTAAAATGAGGATACGAGGCTATTGTGATAATGGATGCAGTAATTAGTAAACAGCTTGGTGTAGCAGAAATTGACCATGGATCGATAGGCACTGCAACATAAGAGTCATATATTATACATAGAAAAGCCGTGATAACGGCCAAGGACATCAATATACAAAAAAGGACTATATAATCCTTAAGACATAATCCTTCACGACAATGAACGGCGGACGTCATCAGAGCTCTTCCGATATCATCCCATCATTCCAATCGTTCGCCACCATAGTAACATCTCCTCATCTTATCTTGTCAACATCAACGCGCCTCCCACCCACCCATCAACTACTGTCAGACAGCGTGATCTCCAGTGAAATGCTCTTGTGGAAACTTCGGATTATACTGTACCGCATACTGCTGCGTAACCTGCACGCCTTGGCTTGGTACATTCTCCGGATCTGTCTGCGTCTCCTTGCTGATGACAATCAAATTCCGCACACTGCCCACCGGCGTCAGCTGCACTTCGTCCCCGGAAGAATCCGACCCGGAGCTGTGTTTGCGGGAGGTCCCACGGGAGTTCTGAGAATGCGACGACCAGGAACGGAGTCGTGAGACAAGATGGCTGAAAGAGTCGAGTTTTAGGGGTTTCATAAAAGGCCGCATGCATGGCAGGCACGCGGCGATGACGGAGCAGCAGGCTTCCATTTCGCACCATATCACGTTGTTGATGACGATGTCTGCGTATTATGGTCAGCTTTTCTCTGCTTGTATTACGGAAGGACTTGTATGTTGTGTGTCATACGTACAAGAAAAGTTGTCACTGGAGACTTGGTTTTGGGTACTTGCACCAGTGCCACTAAGACGCCAACCGAAATAGATTCGTAAGCCAGCGGAGACGACACAGCTATATGAAGTATTAGGTCATGTATAGCGAAATGAGGGGAAAAGGAGGGCGAGGGGAGAAATACAAGAAACCCAAAGAGAAAATCGCTGTGACTTGTAGCTTCCTACTCTTACTCATCTGGAGGCCCCATATTATGGGAAAAGGGAGAGACAGAACGATGACATCGAAAAAAGTGTCGAGGATGGTGTTGATGAAGAGAAATCGTGGATGGTCAAATGCATAATCGGCACCAAGGGACCAGAAGTTGGATATGGGCCAGGCGGAGAAAATTGCTAGCTTTGCGGATGTGAGTAGACAGAAAGAAAGGATCAGTTGGATACACGTACGAAGATCGTTACGATTATCCAGAGAGAAATTATACAGAAGAGGATGTTTGCTGCTCGAAGGAATTTTGGCACAGCGAAGATTCGCTTGTATAATGAGAGGACTGAGAGTTTCACTAGTCCGAAGGAAGTGTAGGCAGTAAGGACTAAGGCATATATATGCTTATTGAATTTAGCAAAGAGCTGGGGCATCTCGAACACCTTAAATCTACCTTATTGAAAGCCACATATTGGTCCGGCGTTATCTCTGTCAAGTCTTGACCTAGGGAGGCATTGAATGCGGCGTTCAAGCTGATAAGACACAAAGCAATGCCGAACATCTGTGCCATTATCAGTCGCCTGACGTCAAGCTTATAATGGTCACCTACCAAGGCGGAAACGACAAGATAGTCGTCAGACAACCACGGAACATGTTGCAGTCGACGTCCATATAATCGAAAACCGACAGCAATGATGGCAAAGAAGGGAAAGGCTATGCTGCAGCCCACGACCGTGACCGAATAGGACGAGTACATTTTGATGCTCAAGACCGATATGTCTCAGATAGCGAATGAATCTGATCAAGTTGTAGTGATCTGATGGGAAGATGTCGACGTCTTCAAATAATGCCGCGATCGTAGAATATATGGAGCTGTACGAGCTATAGCGACATCTTGCCGCATGAAGCGCATTCGTACGACCACAACCCACATATCGGACATTTAGTTTCAGGGCAAGGTGGCAGACCACTTGTGGGGGTAGATGAGATCGCGGAATATACAGACTTGCGTGTCGTTAATTGCTAATCAGGTTGGTGCCCTGGTACCGTGTGTGTGTTATTACGTTCGCAGATGCTTTGGCTGTACATGCAATGCACATATACATCCACATACACGCTCTATGCAGCACAGCCATAGGTAGTGCAATGAAGATCAATAAGTAGCAGGGACAGGTCTTAGTTGCAAGATGGCTTGCATAACAAGTAATGAGGCCAAGAATCTTTGTCCGAAGAAAGTGGGTCGACGGAGAGGATACCTGCGTCCCCGGATTTCGCTAGTGGCCATGTCTTGCTCCTGGCTGACGTTTGCTGTACACCTTGCCTCCCCGTCTGCATCCATCCCGCCTCATTCGCTCCCGCCACTGCGAATGTCGAGAATGTTACACAACCGTCTCCAGGATGCATATGCGGTCCTAGTTATCGCTCTCGCCTCAAAGACAGTTGCAAGAGCAAGAGTAAAATGTGATTACATATCACTCTGAATTAATTCTTGTCGAAACTGGTTTTTTGCGTCCTAGGAGGTGCTGTCGGACTCCGGGTTCGGTATATCTCCTACAGATCATGCATGTTGACTTCATATACTCTCGAAGAAGCCGGAGCGTGTTCAGGACCAGATATCTAGGAGTCTATTCCTGTCGGAAATTGACGATTCCTGACGTCTGTAAACTATAGGAGACACTCCTGAGTCCTGAGCTGTGATTCTGGACTATTGTAGGTGAGTCCCTAAAGTAAGGACAGTGACAGCCCCCAGACACTCCGTATAGACATACGATGCATGATACGAGTGTCATTCCAGTGTCGTCTAGAACACAACAAAACTTCAGCCTCTTGCGGGGAACTTATGCCGCTTCCTTTGGCGAGGTACCGGTGTGGCGTAGTGGAGGGCTCGTATGCGTGATTCCGGTCGCGATGCATACCTTGTTTAATAAGCAATCCTTAGTACGGCTGTTATCGCGCAAAGATCGTCGCGTGTTTTGTCATAATAGCTCTCTGCTAAGTCTCCTGCCAGCCTATAAAATCGTTCATAAGGGACGGCCCGGTCGATATGATCTAAACATTGGTTTTGTTTATGGGCTGAAACTAGGATAGAAAGCGGGGGCAAATCCTAGCCAGATAGAGACAGTTCTAGAATGACCAAGTAATTGCTTTCCTTTGATCCAAGTGGTCAACCAGTACGAGAAAAGCAAGTAGGAAAGCCGACATCGTAACTGAACAGCGGCATTCATATAGTTTTGTCATGTTCCAGCTCCACCTTCGCGCTGTGCTCTCGAGCTTCTCTAGTATGCCGTTGTGTCAAGACCTCGTCAGCGCCCCTCTCAACATCTGTGAGTTCAATTCCAGAACTAGCAGCATCTGCAGGGTTCACTGTTGAGTCACTCTTTGTGTCCTCGTCGTCTTCGGGATTACCATCGCGACAAGCCCACGCATCTACGTAGCGGAGGACATCTCGACTCCACAGTCGGTTCATCGCGCAAAGTCGAATTGGCACAAGTAGAATAATGATGATCGGGAACGCTGGGCCAGCTATAGTCAGCGTAAGAATAAAAATCCCGGTCGTAACTATGATCTGGGTGAGTGTATACACATGAATAGGTATGTATGATGAAACGCTCTGTGGCAGTCGTGGTAGCTCGGATGGCGGTGTGAGCATGTAGAAGGTTCGAAACAATATAGGGCTGTGCATGTCAACAATAAACATAGTTGAGTGGACGCCGAGGTTACTTACTTTACCGCTAAACTTTGCTCCCCCATGAACAAGAACAAGCCAGCCAGCACGCTTGTTGGGGTGAGGCCCAGAATATGCATAAATGGTGGGCTGACGAAGAGCATGATCCCAGCAGCGTGGAGGAAATGACTCCATCGCTGTTCATAGACGCGCTGAGAGCTGTGAAGCTCGGTCTTCGCTTCTCCATCGCCACCTGTAAGCGTTATCTGCTCATGTTCATCATGCATGAGACTCTCTGAGTGCAGAGGTGCTTGTGGAAGAAGGCCATTCGCAGGTGGGATTCCAAGGATACCACACATGGCAGTAGTAGTTCCCAGGAGAGCTACGTCCCAGGCGAAGCCTCCTGGTTTACGAGTGCCATATCTTCGGACGGTGCATATAATGCTACTGACTTCGTGGTCGAAGAAGAATAAAGTCGTGATGATCAATCCAGGTATGATAGCTGCAAGAATCCAGGACGCCTCGAGCTCCCAGAATTTTACAAAAAAGACGGACCGTTCAGGGCTAGTAGGTCGGAAGGACTTGCTCACGGGAAGTGTGTCTCGGTCTAGACTGGCCAACTCGCCGATATAAGGCATGCCAATAAAGAATATGATACTGATAGCAGCCGCATACTCGGCGAGACCCATTCGGATGTAGCGGTGAAACAGCGGCTTCCAGGCCAAGGCGGTTGACAGGAAAACGGCTAACAGGCAAGTCCCGACAGCTCCAATAATGGCATATAAGAATGCCGCGAAAGACAAATTGGCATGCGCACGTTCAAGTTCCTGTATAGCTTTGTGGAAGTAGATGATGCTGTTCAATAGCGAAAAGATCTCGGTGGAAAAAGTAGTGACATAACGCATGGTCCAATCGTGAGCGTTGAAGATGGCCAGAAGGTAATGCATCCATGCTGAATGAATTAAGGACCATGCCATGAATGGAAGGAAGGGGATCTAAGAATAGTCAGTACTATCATCATGCGTATTGGAGTCGTGATGACCTACATGGAACGAATTTATGCATAATGAGTAGATATTCTCAGCGAGGATGGAGAAGGGTCCCGTGACACCGAGAATAGTAAGGGGTTGGATGGAAAAGCTACAAGGGTGAGCCTTTGAATCATCTCCCTAGCAGAGTGTTCGGCGTGCGAGATGGAATTTGACTAACACCGAGAAAATGATACCACACAGCCCTGTAGAGAGCACCACCTCGATGGTGCCCCAATTCTCGCCGGTCAAATTATACAGATCGCTGGCAAATGTGATGCCTGGTAACAGATTCGTGAAAAAGACATAGACGGCACTAGCGAAGATCATTTGATTGAAGATAGTCCAATCAGATACATAACGCTTCGGCAGATTTTGCAGATCTTGCTGCAGCAATCTGAACGGCCGCAATGCACCGTTGAGCCGGAATGATGCCGCAACTTTCGCTGTCCATTTCTCAGGCATGTTTTTCAATCTGATGAAATGTCTGGAGGGGCCCCGGATGTCAATGGCCTGATGATTGAGAGCCCGAGGTGTGTTGAGAATAGGGGAGGATACCGATCTTTGTTCCTGAGCGGATATTCGCCGAGTCTACTTCTGGGTGAAGAAGCTTTTGACTCTCTGTTCCGGATGATGTAGGGCATTGTTGCATGTGGCCAACCTTTCGATGTTGAGTGGTCGAACAGGATCAGACAGCGGCTGTAGCGTCTCTAGCACCAATGACGTCGCGGTTGGAGACACACTCGCCACACCTTGACATGCGCCACACGCCACGATATCATCCCTTTCTAGACGCCGATGCCGATGAACTGACTGAATCTTTCTTATGACCCCAACAATCACTGAAATCGTTGACATCACACCTTCAGACCATGTCACACTCAGGCTTCCTGTCGCGGTAACCAGAAACCATGATACTCCGCCATACAATTTGCCATGGCCACATCCTTCGTCCCGCGCGCTATATTCCCGACCCTCCAGAACCTCCCAAAGTCCTACTTTATCGGCCACCATAAGACCGCCATCCAGAGCATCCGCAAGACAATCTCCACCATCGATCTCGTGATAGAATGTCGCGACTACCGTGTGCCTCTGACGAGCATAAATCCACTCTTTGAGCAGTGCCTCGAAGGCCGCCCGCGCGTACTTGTCTACACGAAGCGCGACGTCGGAAATTCCGCCTCGATCGAGGATGCAAATGTAAGACTAGATTCTATGCCATCATCTACAGGCGACAACAACCAATTGACATACCACATGTTCAGCGCGAAAAACTCCTCCGCAACGCCTATAGCCCCTCCACCACGGTCTTCTTCTCCGACTGCACAAACAAGTTCCACGTCAGCGGCATCCTCAAATACCTCAAGAGCCAGATTCCCACCGCTTCGTCGCTCACCGGCCTGCAAGTCCTCATCGTCGGCATGCCCAATGTCGGAAAATCAACGCTCCTCAACTCGCTCCGTCACATCGGCGTCAATCGTAAGAAAGCCGCACGGACAGGCGACCAGCCCGGCGTGACGCGCAGCATGCCGTCATACGTGCGCATCGCACAGGCTACGGGCAACTGGCGCGATCCCGGCGGTGTGTATGTAAAAGATAGTCCGGGGGTGTTTGTGCCGTACATTCCAGACCCGGACGCGATGCTGAAGCTGGCCCTGTGCGGCTGTGTGAAGGATACCGTGATTCATCCAGTCCAAGTCGCCGACTACCTGCTATACCAAATCAATAAGCACGGTAAACACAATGCGTATAAGCGCTTCTGCGGGCCGACAAATGATATCATGGAGCTACTACTAGGGGTATCGAAGAATCTGGGCATGCTTAAGAAGCAGGGGGAGCCGATGTTTGAGGGCGCGGCGGTGAGGTGGTTGCAGTGGTTTCGGCATGGGAGGATGGGGAGGTTTTGTCTAGATGAAGTCAGTGAAGAGAGTATTCGTGAGGCACATGCTGCGAAGCCGTTCATAACGAGTTATAGTGCGGCGAAGAAGCAGAGTAAAGCGATACGTATCAAAGGGCAAAGGAATATTACGACCGAGGAGCAGTTACCGTAGGGGGTGTGTATATATTGTATAGTAGGACTCGCTATCCGTGTTGTGTCGAAGAAGTGCTTTTGTTAGTGGGTATCATAGCTAAACTTTTCCAGGTTCCTTTTTCCATCCATCCCGTATCAGTTTCTCAGCTTTAGTACCTCGCACCACATCCTCACCTCGGCTTCCTCCCGCCTCCTCTCTCCTCTTGCAAACCTCCCCACCGTCTCCTTCGCCCCCTTCACGCCAATCTTCTCCCACACCTCGCGGAGTCCCATCAAACTTGCCGCCGCCGCAACCTCTACCTTTTTCCCCATCTCCTCCTCCTCCTCACCACCCGGACCTCCTCCTTGCACATCTATATCCCAGGCTTCGTCCTCTTCATCTTCGTCACCCTCAATCCCGATGCCCTCTTCCACAACAATAATCACGCCCCGCGGCTGCGCATTCGTACCCAGCGTCCGCACCTCCCCAATGCGCATCACATACGCGGCCGCATCCACATCGCCATCTGCATCCGCGCTGCCAAGACTCCATACCTCACCGCCCGCCACGCTGAGCGCGGACCGCGGCGCCCATAGCCCGCTCATCTTGCCGACGAGTAAATCGCGGTACTCGTTTGCGTGCGTAGTGGGGATAGCAATGATGTTACCGCTGGCCCTATTGTTGTGTCCACCTCCACTGTCGCTGCTGTTTCTATTGCCGCTAGTATTGCTAGAGTCCGAGGGATGCGCATAGAGGTGGGTATGCGAACGATGTGCAAGGGTGAGGATGTGTAGCAGCGCCGGCGCGGTGGAAGGGCCGGGCGTGGAGCGGAAAAGGCGGTGTTCCAGGGTGAAGCGCGAATGATGGAGACGAGCGTGTAGGGCGCGGAGGGTGGCTTGAATGTTAGGGAGGATGGAGGAGGGGGCGTCGGGCAGGTAATATACTGCGGCGGGCATTGTTGCCTTCAGGGTTCGCAGTTCGGAATGTGCGTTCAGATCATAGATCGCGAGGGAGCTTGGAGGGCTCGAGGAAGAGGTTGGATCGGAGTCGTGCAGAAGCTTGCGTTCGTAGAGGCCAGTTCAAGAGGTTAGAGATTGAAGGTTAGAGAGTGGGTTTGGTCATGGCTTGTACATGTTGTCTGTGACGAGATTTACAGGGTCGCAAGTTTGAAAGAAAGGAAGAAATGTTGAGCTCAGAAACATTCGTCGGTACCGTACGCCGTTGCGTGCCGAACTAGTCCTAAAGCGGAAGTCTGCTTTTATTGTCTCAAGAATACGTCTGCGGTTGCCGGATGCGAATAAATTGACATTCCCTGTTTCTGGAGAAATTTTATCTACATACACGTAGCTTTTTTCCGACACGTAGTTTTTCTTCATAATCTCTCTACAACGTTATTCTATCGTGTCTGGCGGACGCATCATCAAAAATATACATAATCATATGGCTTATCTGATACATATTCGACAGGACCACTATGCTTCGTAGCTAGACTGTGTATTGCCCAGCCTTCACCCATTGGAAAGGATGGACATCTTGTCTTTGCAAGCTTGCTTTAGCAGTAGTACCTGACGGTGAATATTCTGCCCAACCTGGTCAGCCCGTTGGATATCCTTATTCGATTCTTGTCTAGCTCGGCACTGTTCGGTTTACAGAGTCATTGCCATATGTATGATCGTCGTGGTTCGCGTGTGCCTTGTATAGCTACACGGTTGATTTCCATGGAAGAGCAGTTTTCATACCGTCTTATAATCGAAATTTGGTAGTGGTTATAGTATGAGATCTTCAACCATCATCTTCCTCATCCGAATCTTCAGATGGTGGCTCGAATCCACCATCCTGCACATGGTGCATGTTATTCTGGTAGTCCTCTGTCTCGGTCCGTATATCCGCGTCGGAAAGAACTATTTGCATTGGCTCCCACACCTTCGTGTCGCTTTGATCCTGAACTATTTCGATCGATGCTGACATACGAAATGGTAACAGTGGACTAGGCCGTTGAAGTTCCGTATTGGGCCTGAGATCAATGCGCTTTGGCACGTAAATTTTGCTAAGTCTGGGAACATGGTGCGCCAGGCCCTCGTCTAAAAGCTCTTCTACTAGGTGACTGAGGATGCTGTCTTCCTCGCATGTCGCGCAGAGTACAGATTCATACTGGCATATGTCACAAGCACCAAGTATAGACACCCCTGATATCAACTTGATCTCCTCAATGTTCGGCGGCAGACAAGAAAGGATAAGACCATTCTTTGTCCGCGCTGCCATCATTGCTAGCTCTTGGATATCGATCGTAAGACTAGTCAACCGAGAGAACGGGGCGAGGCTACAGATCTCTTCGCCTTGATGGTCGTCCTTGACCATATCTGCGGTAACATAGTACTGGTGTCGATCGGGTATACACCCAGGTTCGGGCGTTGTAGGTGGTGGTAGTATGAGAGCGAGTGACTTAAGTGTCTGCGAAACTTCTGAAAGAGCCGGGACTAAGCCACGGGAATCCCATTCCTGTCCTGGATGGTCCATCATGACTACATACTCAAAATGTTGGAGTCTGGGACAGCATTCGAGGAGCTTGACCAGGTCTTTGGTTGCTACTAAGCCTCGGATTGCAAGGTGCAGTAGGTTCGATTTCACGGCGAGGTCGAGACCACGAAATGGCCGCGAATGGATCCAGTCGAGGTGCAGGTGGGTTAGTGACTGGCTTTGTAGCAGATCTCGGAGGTCCCATGTATATAGTAGTTGTTGCTTCGTTTCACGCTGGTATACATTTGTTATGTCAGGCCACCGATATAATGTCACTGTTGTAAGCTTCCTCAGGAGAGGTATGCTGTGGCCAGAGTGGCGAATCGCTATAAGTATCGGATCGGGCTGCGAAGGACCTAATACGCTACCGATACGTATATCCTTCAGATTCGGGCACAGATACAACAGTGCAGGGAAGATAGCTTCCCGAAGCTCGAGGGACAAGCTGCCTTTGGGTCGGATAGCCTTGTATTCCAGGAGGATATCGGAGATATTCCCAAGAACATCAAAAAGCTTCGTCTGTTCCTCATGGGTGAAGAAGGTTAAGAGTTTCCTTCCCACAGGCGCCCACCGTTTCCTTCGTGCATTCCAGATTATCTTAGCCTTGCCCAAGTCGGACCCGCAAGAAAGGGTCATTAATGACAACGACGTGATTCTTTGCGCAAGAGGAGGGTTCGTGAGTAGCGTTCTCGTAAGAAGAATTGCGCTCCAGTCTTGAGGAGAGTCCTTCAAGGCATATGAGGTCTCCAAGCCTTGAGCGTAAAGAATCGGTTGCACGAGGTTGCGGCAACCTTTAGAAGTGAGACAGAGACTCTGTAACGATTGTACGTCGTGTTGCAAGGCCTGTCTGAGGCCTTCTGAGACTTTCTCGAGACAGCTGTACTTTGATATGTATCTGCTGGTGGTTCGACTGTCATGGCGCGTAATAGTCCAGCGAGGCTTCCTCGAACGTGTGGCGTTCATTCGGGAGATGACAGGACCCCCCATCTTCTTTGATACAAATAGAGTAGCCGAACAGTATGGGTAACTTAGTGAACGTTCTATGGCTTACGCAGACAATTACAGTCCAGCAAGCATGTAGTCTTCTGGAGGTGGGAGCTCTGAATTTCGCTTTGTCGTGGAGGCCACCAGAATGGTTCTTCTGATGAAGTATCCGGCTAATCCGAGAGTCGCCCTACATGTGTCTCTCCAAATGGTGTGAGCACTCCTCTACAGTGAGCGTTGATCTCGTGAAGGATGGTGAGTCGTGTGCGTTTAAATATCTGATGCCTGGTAGAAGGTGGTCGGTGGATAAATGCTACGACAAAGGCTGAAATCAGCTCGTATTGTGATTCTTTAGCGTTGAACTGTCGATTTTGGCGATAGAGACGATAATGTTGCGTTGGGGATTCTCCAAAATTTCAGTCGTGCGGCGTGTTGAAGAAAGAAGAGGGATTGCGCAGGACCAGCCTTTACCCAGGACTTTAAGACGCTACTCTTGATGGTCAACGACGCTAAAGGAGCCATTTCCGGGTCATAGTCTAGGGCTGGTGTGAATATGGCGCTTAGCTAGGGTGCTAGGTGCCAGGCACAGCTTGCGCTCTGAGATGGAACTAGAGGTATCAGTAGACATGATAGCATTCTAGCACATAGCGTTGCTGGCATTGGGGACATGCATCTCTCTTCGAAAGTAGCCCCATCTCTCACCTTCTCACGGTCCCTGTCCACGAGAAAGGAGAATCTGTAGGTTGACAATAGCACGTTTCCCGGAGCTCAGGTCATAGCCCAAGCATCAGTAGTCGATAGTAACGTCTAGCCTGTTTCAGAATTCCGATGAGAATGTGTTCGACGATGCTAAGTGCAAAAAAGATTGGGGAACTGGGAAGGAAATCGTTTTCCGGAGCTTGTTCCGAGGGGACCGAGTCCGCAAGGGTACAAGGCCGACTAAATATTCCAATGCGCCACAATACACACCATGATCTATCGCCGCCCTATATTTCAGACGAGAATCACTTTTGCACTTGGTGGCGGCAAATTCAACGGCTCCCAAGCCTCTATGTACCCCTGCAATGCCTTGGTGTGGTTAGCTTTGAGTCCGCGGGATCCAGCCTGAGGTGTTAAGTTAGTGTGCGGCACAGCAGCCTCCTCATCTCCCCAGACACAAATCAAGAGGCTCAGTGATACGTCAGGGAAGACCAGGAAGCTCAGGAGCTCGCTTCACGGAGTCAAGTGGAATGTTTTCTGCACGGGAAAACTTTTGGACGCCCGTCGAAAAGGACTGGTGAATGGAGAGGACACTTTCGAGATGCCAAAAGAATTATAATAGACGGCGCTAAGCATGGTAGCCTTGTAATGTATATGTATCTGTAAGCTTTAGCGGCACATCTCCGTATACTATTCCAGGTAAAGTGTCCTGCGGTGCGGTAAGAGGCGAGCCGACCAACAGCCGCTCGCCCATTCTTGTACATCCCTGAACGTTGCATATATGACGCTAGCCCTAATTGGATAAGGGTCTATAACCTTTATGGCGTCTTACATGCCGGTCGAAGCTCTTCAGAAATATATAATTATACCGACTGTGTTTAGCCGATGTATGACGGAGTTACACCATTCAACTTGCCCTTTCTAGACGGGAATGCATACGCTATTATGCATTCCCTGACCACAGTGTGACACCGATAAGTGCTTCCATCAAAGGAACTTCCACGAGATACCTGACTACTCAAGTAGTGTCCTCTACCACACCTTCGATGAGTGATTGATGTCGGCTATCACCGTCAAGCAGGCAAACTCGGAGCAGATGAACTACTCAGTGCGCTTTACCTGATCTAGTCATGCGATTCATTTCTGAATATGTGCGAGCCGTATGGAGACGAAGTTGACGACTCATTATGACTACACCTACTTCATCGGACGAAGGACTGCGAAGCCATAACACAAGAGACCGATAACAAGTTTAGCATGCGAAGAACATCGCAATGGGCGGATGTTGAGAAAGATTTCACACACGAGCATGGAGGAATGAGTACGGGTCAATCACGTCTGTGCAGTGGCGCATTATAGGGCCTAGAGAAGTGTATAAGTGGAAAAGGATTCACCAAGTGTATGAAACAAGTGGTATAGTACTACAGACTTGGGGTATCTGACTTCCAGTGATAGGACTCATAGAAGCTCAGGTCTTACAAAGTCGAGCCGCGTTCAATTCGTACATTTCAGCATATCAAGGCTAAGAAAAGCGCCAGGCTCTGAGATTACAAGAGAACTACTAGCCAAGGAGACATTTATAGCTCAGAGAAATACTTCATCAGTCCTCTGGACCTTGTCGTTGAATGGTATCATGCCATGTCACAAGATGTGAGGACCAGCTTACCAGCTTCCTTGTACCTATCCTATTAAAGATGAAGCATATCTTCGATACATATTTAGACTTCCCAGTTACTAGATATATTTAAATTTTACCTTAGATATATCCATTCGTTTCAATCTAGATAATACTCTTTACTAATACTTAAGTCTCTAGGTCTTTATCTAAGAATAGCTAGAGATATCTAATAAATTAAAGTTCTTTTTATAGCTAGAAGATATATATAGAAGAATTATAGTACTAGATACTTAACTCTTATTTATATTACTAAGTATAAGATAAATAAATAATTTCTAATAGTTAATATACTCTAGTATAATATTAGACTAAAGTAGACTTATAAAGACTTCTAGACTTATCTTTAGTTATCTACTAGTATAATATTTATTTTAAAAATAACTACTAGAAGATATTTACTAGAGAAGAATTACTAGAAGATAATTCTTATAATCTAAAAGCTTTATAAACTATTATATATAATAGATTCTATATTAATATAAGCTAGAATTATATATATTATAAGTCTATTTAGATAAGCTTAGAATAAATACTATATAGTAGGTTCTTCTAATATTATAGCTAATATTATAATAAAGTTATCTAAGTCTAACTATAATACTAGGTCTAATGGTTATAAATGGATATATTACTAAAAACTTAGTAGATGTAAATCTGATTTTATAAGAGGTTTAAGACTCATTTAATATCGATCTATTTAGAAGTCTAGATATAATCGATTATTTTCTGCTTCGCCTAAGATGTAGTAATTCCCACCACCCATAGACAGACACATAGAGACTTCCCCATCTAACAAGAGCTGTCTATATGGTGGGCTTATCAATTTACTAAAGCTCAGGCTTCCTGACATCGAAATAGCTACCGATATATCTAAGCATTTATTGTATCCACATGTTACCGAACTCATCATCAGTGATTGAGCATATGCATCTGACCCAGCATTAAGATATCAATCCCCCGAAGTTTTTGCATAGCGGCAGTAGCATCTATAAGCTTGACATCTGTCTCCGTCGACCGTGGGCGTCGGATGCACAAGGTACTAAATCAGATGCGATTGTTCTGAGAGGGTTCTTGAAAATAGCTAAGCTCAACAGTACAAGTTCCATAAGTTCCGATGATACAGGGACCATTCGCTGATCTTACGACGAGTTCATAGCTGCGGGCATACTGAAGGTACCCTTTGTCAGAACCAAAACGTGCCATTTCTGCGAGGTCACTACAGCTATTGCCCCGATGGAAGACTGCCATTTCGTCTATCATATGAAATGATATCCTGTATCTCAATGCGGCGGCTCCATAGAAGACTGGAACAGCAACACCGCGATTGGCCTACTCGACGATTTGCTCTCGCCATAAAAGTCTTCCTACGTCTTTATTGGTAGCGCATGCGCCCTCATTTGGTACATTCCAATTTAGCAATACAGAGGGTGCATGAAGTACTTTTAACACTGTTAGACATGTATTGGTCTTCATAAATGCTCTTACAATCTGTATGACTTGATCAGAGATCTTCATTGCCAGCATTAGAATCGCAACACTGGTCGTGGTCAGAGCTGCAGTTCACTTTGGACTACTTTACGACCCTGCAACTGAAGAAGGCACTCGTGAACGTGTTAATTTAGCGCGCTTGTTGAGGATGTGTGCAGTAGTCTGGCACTCGTAGGGCTCGTGTTGTGGACGTGAAGGAGGCCGAAAAGCTAGAGGATCGCGTCTCATCTCTGCTGCGCAGTCAGTCTTTGCCCACAAGCTTCTCTTGACTCCAAGAAGCAGAAATAGGGTATGATTCATGGCGAAAACTCCACTCAGTAGCTCCAAGTTTTCTAGGTTAATGCTCTTGCCGGTAAGCTTGCAGTCTATACAGCAGGTATTGAGAATGAATTTGCATTTGCAGCCGGTGCAGAAGTGTAGCATTCGCTGTGAATGTATCAGATTAGGTCAAATTAGCATCAAAAAAGGTTAAAACAGTACTGAGCTCTCATGTTTCTAACAAAAGAGGAAAATGTTATCTTCACCTCCAACAGAAACCTCGTCGAGCGCGTGGAGAAAAGGTGCAAAAAGACCGCGCTGTGGCGGGAAAACTCTGCTCAGAACCATTGACCTGACCCTTTGGGGCGCCAGGAACTGAGTTGGTTATTCTTTGTTCAGAAAGGAATATCGTGAGTGGGAATCGAACTGGTGCCCTTCGTATACGTAAACGGTCGGGAGGAGGACGTGATAACATCGGCCTACACGGGTTAGTTAATCTAAGATCAAACAAAAGAGATTATTAACCTTCGAAACTGGTTCACGTATCAAGGTCCATACATAGGTTAGTTTTTTCCAGGAAACGTACCACTCAGGCTCAGCTAGCGGTGCTTCGTAGTGACATTGTTTCGTACGCTGCCGTCTGTCACGATTTCTTGGTTTAATAATGACTGTAGATGTCGATTAGCATGTACTATGAGGATTGGACAACTAGAATATGATGAGAAAATTTATACTATACAAGGCTCAAAGCCTATGATCCGAAAAGGGGGACTAGAGAGCAAGTAAAGCAAAAGCTGTCTCAAAAGACACCATAGATCGACGAACCAAAGCACTGAACAACCATAATTACAGCGGCTCAGTGCATCAACCCCTCTTTTTCATCTATACCCGTATGAAACGGCACCACAGCGATGAATTCCAGCATTGCCATGAAAACCACCACAACAGGAATAACTCCAGATACAGAAAAATGCATCATTGAAAATTCGCGTTGATGAAGTGCAGCAGATACCCAAATTGTCAAAGGGTACTTCTAATATATACACAAACGCTATCTAATCATCTCAGTTTCTCGGTCCTTCCACATCTCTCACTTCAACCCATACCCGGCACTCCGTCTCCTCACCTACACGAAACTCTTCATCCAAACTCCTGCCATCTTCTATCATGCCGTCTACCGCTGCTTCCCATCTCTTCTTTACCTGCTCCCGCTTCTGGATATCGTCAATACGCCTACTCTCTCCATTCGTCGTCAGGTCTACGACCCTTTTGGCTGCCTCCCTGTTCGCTTGATCTAGTATCGTGAAGACTCGCGGGTCATCGACCGTCGCTTCTTCCTCACTGATCAGCAAGTTTTCCGGGTCATCAGGGTCATCTTCGCTCTTCATTGTCTTTGTCATGATTTTGACAATGTACATCTGACGCGGTAGCCAATGCATCTTGGTGCAAGGCTTAATTCCATTACGCTGCGTGCGCAAATATCGATCGACCATGACTTTGGTATGGCCCCAGGGTGTCTGCCAGGTTATAGTAGTCATGTGTGTCTTCATGTCAATAACACTACTATGCGATATCACATCGAGACCGTAAGCATGCCCAAACCGCTCGATTGCGGGCTCTGCCATTGCCGCAATATTCGCTTGGCGCACGTCTTCGTACTTGTCCTTCTTGGTAACTATATACCATTCGGCGTCATCCTCGTTTTCACCATTGGCCCAAAACTTGCGCTTTACTTGGTATACGAAGTGGCATGTGTCACGGTCGATTATTGGCGATGATTCACGCACAATACACTCTTCATCACCAGAGCTTTCGGGCATGGTTTCGACGTCGGATGCCGAATCAACGTCGGCGTCTGCTTCAAGAGAAGCCATGTAGGCCTGATAAGCCAAGTTGCTCATGGTTTTGCCACCTGTTGTTGGACGCTTGCTGCTTCCCGCACTATCGACGATACCAGGATCCATGTTTAGCAATGACTCAACCTGCGGTTCACAATCTTCATCGCCATCCTCGAGAAGGTAATGCAGGTAGTCACCACTACTATCAGCGCTCGTGGGCGTATGCGATCGCTCACTTTGCTGACTGTTGGAAGTATTTGTCGCTCGTTCCTTTGTTACCTGGAAACTGAGGACTTTTTGAGTCCCTTTGTGGGTTTGAGATTCAACAGGTCTCACTCTTTCACGCCCTCTGGATCCTTTTCGTTGCTTATAGGTGCCAGTGATCTTACTATAAAGATCGCGAACAGTTCTCACACTCAGCCGCTTCGAGGTTAGTTGTGCCCACCGCTCTGCGCATTCCTTGTAAGTGATCCCATCATCTCGCCACTGCACTAATGCGCGATGGTGACTACTGAGAGATTTGAGGTCATCAATGATAGTGCTAGCATGCTGCCCACTTTCAGGGTTGGCTTTCGCAGTCTCGCTGCGCACGGGAATAGCCACTGGCGGAGACGAAGGCGTTCCGGCTGCATGCTCGAGTCTTTGGAGAAGAGACTTTGGTTCATTTGATCTTGACTTAGTCGCGATGACCTTCTGCGTATCGAGCGCGAGGCGGGCTTCGCGCTCTTGCTTTCTACGTTGGACCTGCTCAGATGTCATGATACGCGCTTCTGGCTTGCCGCATGGAGTTTTACGATTTCTGAGGGTAGCTTCTGAGATTCCTCCAGCCAAGCTATTCACGTTGGATATCTGCTGCTTCGATAAGCCTTTGAAGGTTTCGGTCAGGTTCTGCAGAGGTGGCGCTTCGTCTGTGTTGGCAAGAGGGGCATGTGAAGATTTCTCGTGAGCGAGATAATCGTTTCCAGAATCCTTCAGTATTCTCTCCATCCCGTTGGTAGCAATCAGACCATGGCCATCAGGAGCCGCTGGAAAATTTCTCCGCTCTTGGTCTTTGCTTTTACAATTGTTCTCTGCTCCAAAAGCACCATCGTCACCGCATCTTTTCTTCTTGTTACGTTGGTGCCTCCTACGTTCTTCTACTGATTCAGATTCTCTGTGCCGTTCAGCTGGCTCCTTACATTGCTTTTGGATAGTAGCAATAATTTCATGGACCGACTTTGGGTGACATTCGCTCGATGCTGGATTGACCGTGGTTGTCAAATTTCTTCGACGGGGGTCGGTCGTCTGTGAATTGCCGTTGACCATGGGCTGAGGGTCTGTGGAGTCTGGGCCAATTGCTGTGCCAACCATATGCTGCTTTCGAACGGCGTTTAAACATCCCTTCCCAGAAACAGTGTGCATTGTTTGTGCCGTCGGGGCATCGAGCGATGTATTTACCGCGGGCGCAGTCGAAGCTATCGTGGTTGTCGATGATGGCGGAATCGCTTCTTCATCGGGACGTGCTTCGTCAGCTCCGTCTCTATGTCTTCTCGTGATCTCTCGCATCTCTTCATCGGCCTTACACATCGCAGACTTGTGCTGAGCGGCTTGGTCACGAAGGACTTGTTTGGTCCTCTCCCCATCCAGTCTTGCGCTTTCTGCCTTCTCGGCCTTATTTTGCTCTATCTTTGCCTTCTCGAAAATCTCTTCCATCCGCAGAACCTCTTCATTTCGCCGTTGTCGCCGTTGATTATTTTCTGCTTCCTTTGTTATTCTTTCTAGATGTCTCACGGCTATGCTACGTTTGATATCGTGACCTTCTTCTAGCATTGTCAGATCTTCCGGAAACGTAAAGCTCGTTCTGGGGCTATTGGACTCTCTTGGTAGCTCCTCTGCCATTGGAACTTCGTTTGGTTCTGGAATGAAAAGCGACGAGTCATCCGCTAGTAATGGATCATATAAAGGGGCTACAGTCAACGCCTGAGAGGGAAATATGTTCGCTACGGGTGCGTGGGGTAATATAGTTGACATTGGCACAGAGGGCGACATGACTGCGATAGGAGCAAGTGCTGGCCTTTGGGAGTATGTTGTCAGTGGGTTCGCAGTTGGCGACGGTGTAGCCACCCCGTCTGTAGGAGCAGGACTTTCCGACCAAGCTAGCGTTGCTAGGTTGTGTACTACTTGGGATTGTGTTGGAGCCTTTTGTGCTGGCAATACTTTGGCGCTCGTGGGTGACGCAGGGGCAGGCAGGGAAGGTCCCGTTGGAGTCGATGTAGATAATACGTCCAGGTCTGCTTTCGGAGCTGGTCTTTGACAGCTGACACTTTGTTCAGGATCGGGACAAGAATTCGAAGACTCGATGGCATCTGGCTCGATGGCAATGCAATTCATAGCCGCAAGTGTTTTACCAACTTCGGACTCGGTTGTATTTACACTCTCTGACTTCTCTGGATTACTTGAGTTTGCATTCGCCTTGGAAGACTTCATGCCAACGTGACAGCTTGCGTTTACGGGTTTGTACATGACTTCAATATGCTGATGATTGCGAGTGGTATGAGGCACATCTTCGGGCTCTCGCATATTCGTGTCCATCTTCTCTGGTATTGGCACTTGCGATTGCTGAGCATCGCTAGTCTCCTCTACCCTCTCTGCGGTATTTTGAGGTTTAGAAGACTTCTCCATCAACTGGCATACCGGCTGAGCAAGACTCTGAGGAACGGTGGGAGAATCAACCAAGCGACCGACTTTGCTATTGTCCGGACCCTTATTCCGGCTGATCAACTTTTGTACCAGTCTAGCTCGTCCCAAATTTGGCATCGCACGGTTCAAAGGAGTCTCTGGTGTAGCGATGCTTTTTGAAACCCCTCGGGGCCCATTAGCCAAGCTACCACCACGATAACGAATTGTTGACGAGGCAGATCTAGAGGACTTGGACTCCTTCTCCTCCCTGGGGCGAACTTTCTTGGAGACAGTCTCGTCATTAAGGACACTGTTAGGCAGACTGAGACCAGATGTTGGTTTCTGAAGCGACACGGGAGCCTTCAAATGATGCATCTCTTCGACTCTGACTTTCTTTCTGGTAGGACCAATTGAGATTGGACCGATGGAGTACGACTTTGCCGAATCCGCATTTCGTCCAGGCTTCATGGCTTGTGGCAATGCAGGTGGTCGAGTAGCGGTTTGTGTTTTCGATGCACCTGTTTGACAGTGCGCAAGCTTGGATTCATCGATTTCAATGCATTTAGTGGTACTCTGCCCTCTTTGTCGCGGCTCACGTGCGCTTTTATCATGTTGTCGGTTCTGCTCCCTTAACTGCTGGCTTTTAGATGCACCAGAGGACAGTGTGGCATCACGGGAATCATTGCGGCAATGCTGCATATCCGCAACAACCACTCGTTTTCTAGGGGATGGAGCCCTTAAGCTTGTTGCAGGAACACTGATCAACGATCTGTCGTCTTGCTCTTCAGAGCCTTCGTCTTCAGCTATAGAGCTGAAATTTCTTTTTCGAGGCATATGCATACCAACCGTGCGCTCTGAGGTTGAGACTTTCGGACAGACAGATTCGGAAGACGACGACTCATAGTCAGGAGATTTAAGATGAGGCGCCTGTGAGCCATTCATACGCGCTTGTCTGGCGAAGGTGGATGGTTTCACCTGTCTCAGACCGTTGTCATCAAGAGGTAGATGAACATGTTCCCCCTTAGATGTGTGATCTTCTCTTGTACGCGAGGCTGGATTAGGCTGAGCGGACCGTGGAGGAGCTACGGCAGATGGACTGGAGAGCTGCCTAGCGTACGACACTCCCTGTGGGCTTGTAAGTCTGCCGAGTGGACGAGCATCGTGGAGGTATTTTCGGGCTTTTCCAACGGCAGTCCTATTCTGTTCCTCCAAACGCTGTTTCCGCACTCGAGCCATTTTAAGAGCCGCTTCTTCCATTCTTTCCGATGCATATTGATATTTTGGCAACTCTACTGCTTTCAATTGACGGGACTCAGGTTTATGGGTGAAGAATTGAACACTCGATGAGTGTCCTTCAGCAAAATCGCCATTTTCAACCTTAGGCAGTAGTTCATTGGACGCTGAAGATCGACAATTCACCAATCTATCGCAGTCATGATGGGAAGGTTGAGAATTTCGATGCTGATAATGATATGGTATCTTTCCATTAATCGAAGTTTGTGCATTGGGTGATTCCTGATCATGACGAGCCGGGTCATATCGTCGATTTTGGGAGAAGCCTGAATCTCTTCGTTGCAGTGGTCTGCGTGGTTCGGATGTACCAAACGACTCCGAAGACGCATATGCCTCTGCTTCCTGGTTCGATTCAATTCCGCGTTGCTCTCCCATATTTTCAGCGTAAGTGTCGGATGGACCAATTGGTTCCCGATGCGCATGACCACGGCCACCACCAGTATAGACGTCGGAGTGTCTCATTGAAGAGTGTCAGATAGTACTTTGAGGAAGTTGAATGTGGACTGTCGTGTATTACGACTGTCAAGGGCAGTCGAATGTGATGTCTAGAGCAGTTTGTTGTAGACGCGGTGGAGAGAGAGAGAGAGAGAGAGAGAGAGAGAGAGAGAGAGAGAGAGAGAGTGTGTGTGTGTGTGTGTGTGTGTGTAAGTGTGTGTAATTGGGGTAATTCTGTGTGATGCGTTAGACCAGAGCAGATAAGGTTAAGAAAAACCTCTACCCACCGGCAGACTTGTGTTTGTCGCGAAGACCGCTCTTTGTTAGTGTGAAGAAAGACGGTTTGCGCTGGGATTGAGTTCAAAGAATTATGGGATGTATAAGGTAGGAAAAATGGATAAAGATCAATGGAAGGATTTACGGGGGAAATTGAATCTCGGGCTTATAGCACTTCCAGAAGTAATAAGTCCGTTCTTGTTGTGTACGTACGGTCTGGGCTGGAGTGCAGCCTGCTAGAGCCTGGCTCTGGAAACCAAGGGCCGGGTAGGTATTCATTACAGTGAATGGTTTCATGAATATTGGGTTGACGGGTACATGTCGTGTTGGATATAGCTCAGTGACTCTTTCTCACGTCTGTCGCTATTATACCCAGTGGTATAAGTGAAGTGAATGTCGTGTTACACATCACAAGACAAATCTATACTGTCCGTCTCTCATCCAGACTAGCTATTTTGCCCACTATGCATTGTTCATGTCTCGACTTACAGTCTCGCCTCTTCCTGCATCAATGCAACTCCATCCCCACAATGTTATTCCATTGTGGTTGTGATGCCATCACCAAGTTCCAACTCTTGCGGCTTCAGTCTTATTGTTTGAGGACTGCACTTTATTGGGTCGACCGTTAAATGAGCAGAATTACAGATCCTTCTCCCTCCGACGGATGTCACGTATTACCTTCAATGCGGCGATGTTGCGATAGGGAGACGTGATAAGCACGACCTCGGAGTTTCACGCTCTATGAATATCGCGGCTAGTCCTATTCGGTCTTAGCATAAATTATCACTACACTTCAAGTCTCAATTGAAATTCATATCTGGTTCTAGTCACAGCTGATCAGCACACCAAGGGTGTACCTGCTCACATAAGGAGCCACGCTTGAAGTACATGATAATTTGCAAGCGCTTGGAATAAAGCTAATAGCCAGAAGAACTGACTGATGGCTCTCCGAGTCCCAGAGCGCAAAATTAGATACCTGGGATGGACGCCACAGCGAAGCGGAGATATCGCTACGCAACATCACATCACTCCATCTCATCTTTCTGCCAAATCACCTCTTTCTTCCACTGCTCGTCCAAACGATCCCATGTCTCGAGTAATGGTTCGCTCCGGTCTGCGTGGAGCATTGCGAGTTGTTCTAACGACAACTCGAGTGGTGGATACGGGGGCGCCTCAGCCTCTTGACGGCTTCGAGATGTGTTCAACCTCATGCTGCGGATGAAGTCAAACCTATCCTCTTTTTGATGGCTTCGGCCTGGAACGTCTTTGGCCTCCTGATACATGTCCTCCTAGCATCGTAAGACTGGGTTAACACATGCGGACAGGTCTCAACTTACAGGCATTACAAATATCCAAACTTGCTCCTTCTTCTGAATATATGCGTCCCTGATTTGTTCAAACTGACGATTTCCTAGACGAATCCAGCGAGCAGCATCTCTTGCTGGAGAGATACAGAACACTCTTCGTCCATTATCAGACCTCTGCGTCCAATCGGAACCATCGTCTTCGCTCTTAGTTACCGTACGCCATCCCTTCTTCCTCAACTCTAATCTCCGAAGATCAAGGTCGCCGGATACACCGTCTTCAAGATATGGAGCATAGTGACGTGCCAAATCGTCCAAGAATTGCTCGTAGCATGTCTTCTGCTCAACAAACAAGTCTTGATACCAGACCACACGTCCGTCTTGATTGATCTCGTCGACCAGACGTAGAGGCCCGAACATAGGCTCCTCCGAAAGCTTCCCTCTGTCTCTCAGCTCCTGTACCTTTCGACGATGCCGATAGATGAACAAACGCACTATAGCCCTCATGACTCCCAGTCTTGACATCGCTGTGTTCGAATCCGGTTCACCGTACCCATCTAGGCGGATCATCACCTCGTTTTCGACGAACGTCTTGACATCTTGCACAGACAAACGTTTTTTTATATCTGCCAGGACTGTCGCTTGAGTACTCTCAAACCAATCGTCTATACTGGACATTATCAGACTGGCCTCTTCCATTGAGATTCCCATCTGGCTTAGTCGAGGCCAGTCATCCAGAGGTCTTGTATCCGTCTGCTCCCATGGCGCAAAGCCTGGCCATGGCTCCACTTCATCGGCACCTGTTCTGATCCTGAGACCCAACTCACCGATATCGTGGATCAATCTGTCCCATTCTGGATCAGGGTCATTGTACATGTCTAAGAGTTGTCGCATCGCATCGTCCACCTCACCAGTCTGTGCATTTGATGTATCTGTGCCAGTCGTATTTTTGATCAGGTCCCCATTTGAAAGTGTAGGGCTCACCGAGGTGTTCGCCGCGGCAGTCGTAAGCCGATACTGTATATCTTCTTCATATTGTCTTGCTTCCGATGGTACGACTTCTTGTAAAGGACTGCGCAAAGCTGGCGCTTGTGTCCTATCTATACCCACTTGGTCCGAAGCAACGCCTCGAACGTGGCGAGACTGTGGAACAAGTATACTGGACGGCTGTGCAGGTTGTATAAAGTCGTCATTAGTCCCATATTCGCCCAGCGCAGTATCAGTGAACAAGAGGTTGAAGTCGTCCTCTTGCTCCTTGTAGGTGTGAATATGTGACGGATCCATGGTGTGGTATCAGATACTTGTGAGAGGACCGTGAATGAATGCAGAAATCCTTGTTTTCATGTTTGTCAATAGTTGCAGGCGGCAGTTTCCCTGCTTGTGCGACCTGCTGTCTGTCAATAGAATACCTACAAACACTGATAGTCCGTGCATCGTCCTGTCGCTTCATCCTTGTGTAACTCAAATAGATTATTTGCAGTCCACAGTGTTAACCATGTTTCATTTCTTCAAGTATTCCAACTAGTACGTATTGGGCTAGTCGAGATTTATCGCTTAGTACCCAAGACCGCCTGAGCAATTTGACTTGCATCATGCAAGATTCTCCATGAAACTCTAATAAAAATATGCGCCCGCCCCGTGATATCGTAAACGACGACCTTGTGCTAAGACAGCTTGGCAGTGACCTGTCGGCAATAATTTTAGCTGGGGATGACAGCAGCGAAGATACGAACGAGAAGAATATGTAAGGACGCTCTGCAGGTGACCATTCATTTGAAACCTGATGTTGGTTTTCTACCTGTATTTGCGAAAATCAATACATTGACCTGGTATAGCATCCTTGTTAATGCCATTACCGAACTTCTTGAGATTGCGAATGGCCCAAACTCGACGGCATCCCAACGAACTGCTGCGTGTAATCCGCTTTGTGCTGTCCTGGAGACTTGCCACGAATCCAAAATCAAGAACGTACAAGGCTGTCTTTGGACGAATGATGTCTGGCTCCAGGCCTTGTCTTTCTTTTTGGAACGATCCGATGTTGTGAAGCCAAGATCAATGAGACAGCTCTTAGTGATCCTCACCACCACTCTTCGCGAAGATGTTCCTCCGGACAGAAGGACAGAGGTGCACGAATATGTGATACAAAAATTGTTGAAGATCATCACTGGACGGACGAGTAGGTCTCAATTGAAGCCAGCCCTACAGGCCCTGGAATTGTTCCTACAGAAAGGTATCTTAAGTGTACGAGAGCTCCTGACCTCATATGGCTTATTTCAGAATCAAACACTAAAGGGGATCTCCTCGATTTCTGCCCTCCTCAGAGACCTGCTTCAACTCCTCTTCAACAGTATCCCAAACAATGATGCTGCGCATACAGCTGGAAGACTCGTATCGAGTCTCTTGACTTACTCCTTAAAGCAAAAGGACGATCTTCCAGATGTGTACGATGACCAGAAACCGCCTCCATGGGTCATACCATTCTACCAAAGTTTTAGTGCACACTCAGAGGAGTTGCAGAGCTACAAGAACCTTGTTTTCCCGGCTTTATTTTCCTTTGACTTAGAAGACTATTTGACTTTCCTCTACGATCTCGATCTCGGAAACTATGTTGATGTAATGGAAGGTAATACATCCGTCAAGTGGTACACTGAAAAGACTTTACACCCATCCGCCAAGATCGGACTTCTATTTGCTGCATTACAGTCGGGTAAGGAAATAGGTCTCATCGTCGATGTTGGTCAGTATGGTAGAATTTGCATATCTCGCAAACGCTTATACTGACCCAAATAGAATCACGAAATTGCAAGACGGTACGAATACAAGGAAAAGTCATCGAAATACCGGACGCCTTCATTTCGCGCCTTCTTGGGGATATATCGCAGACCATCAGGCTATCAGCATTTTCACTACTTACCTCATCTGCTTTCATAGCACGACCATTTACAGTGGGATCACTGCGAGTCTTGCAACAGATCTTGCCAAACATCATCGCCGATACTGATGCAAACGCTAGGTCTGAGGTACTTGGTCTCATTCAAAGACTGTTTGATAGACTGAGGGCAGCGACTGCTGCGTTGAATCGGGACGTCGAGAAGTCTACATTGAAATTACAGGCTCTTGAAAGTCCAGAATCCTCGAAATCTGAGTCCAAGCGAATACTACTTGACGCGCACAAAAACTTTCTACAGGCAATAATTCAGTCAAGGATCTCGGACCTTCGACCGACATCACCTTACCAGCGGCATTTTGTCTCTCTGAAATGTATTATAATCGCCTTGAGATCCGGTCTAGACAAGAGGATACCCTGTGCTTGCCTGTCTAAGCAAGCTCGAGGTCAGACTTTATGGCCGTTCAATATCTCGATCATCAGTGATCACCTCTTGCGGAACCTGTACGATCTAATGCTGAACGCCTTTGACGATGTTCGCACTTTAGCCAGCATGATTCTAAAGTACCATTTCCTGAGCTCTGAGCATACGCATCTTCCAGTGATGAAGCAGTCAGTAGTTCCAGCACTGGCAGAGCCTTCTGGTATTTCTACCAAATTGATCGTTCGTGCGAATGAAGCTATGCTTCGAACAGGACGTGCTGATCATGCCGATGGCGTCGCGAGGCTCTATGAGCTAAATTGCGTTGAGCGGCGTCCCTCTCAGGATCAAGATCTAGAGGACGGGCATAGACACAGTAGCAGAGCTTTTGGTGTGGTGAGCCTGCTTGTTGGGCAACTTGAATCCACCATACGTATCGCAGAGACGAATTCATCTCTCGCAATCAATGGCAATCCCATGCATGGCATTTTTGCAAGTCTTACGTAAGACCTTTCCTACACTGCGACTGATTCACGCAGATGGCGTACCTGACATTTGTCTAGTTATATCATTAGTCAAGATGGTTTCTATTCGGAACTGATCGCATCTAAGCCAAGTGCTCAAACTGGGAACGATTGGGCATGGCTCCATGCCCGTATTTTCGACTGTATAAGAAGGATGTGGTCCTCTGTCCAACATGTTCTCTGTAACGATGCACCAGAAGGACACCTGCCCCCCGAGCTTGAAGGCGAGCAAGCTTTCTCGACCAAAGACGTTCTCAGTTATTCTTGGAGAGCGCTCAAAGACGCTAGGTGTGCATTTTCGGTGTAATCTATGTATAATGCTGATACGCCTAGTCTCCTCTTGAGGGCTATCGCAACCAATGCGACACTGGGAACGGACGAGGAAAGAGCCATGTTGACATATTCCCAATTCGAATCACTAGGCCAGTTATGCTTCACGCAGCTTACTGAGCTCCGCCATCGCGGAGCATTCTCGACGGTGGCACAGACATTTGCATCATTTTGTGCTCGCTGTGCCAAAAGTAAGGTTGCCGAAGTCTCTCGTCTACTTTCACAGTGGTTTGAGGTAAGATCGGTACAACAACTATGGATGACGCTAAATCTGAGTCTTACCTAGGAAACTATGCAAGCAATTCAAAGCAGATCCACTGTGCTTACCAGACGTTCTGGTGGTATTCCGGCGCTGATGATCGGAATTTTGACTGCAGAGCCAGAAGGTACCTTGTTTGGTCGGGCAATTGAGGAACTTCACCACGCGGCCTCGGAAGAAGGATTTTACGCAAATATTGAAGAAAGTGATCTGCCTCAGGTACATGCCTTGAATTGCCTGAAAGACATATTCACACATACGAAGCTTGGCCAGGCTTCCGAACCGTACATCGGCAGGATCCTTACCATGGCCGGCAGCAAATTCGAGTCATCTATGTGAGGCTGTGTATCTCTGAAGCCGTTGGGTTGACTAACTGATAGTAGCTGGGCTATCCGTAACTGCGGCCTCATGCTTTTTAGGGCTCTAATAGACCGTTTACTTGGTAACGATGACCAAGGCGAAAGTCTTGTTTCAACCAAGTACTCGAAACTATCGTACGAAAAATACCCTGGTCTCCTCGATACTCTACTGCGTTCTCTGCGACCGAAACTGGAGAGCTCTCCAGATGCTGGATACCCACAAGCACCGGCTACCGCAGTCATACAAACGGAGGCAGTCTTCCCAGCTCTGCAGATCTTGCAACGTGCGCCACCTCCTGCATCGTATGTCGCCGAATTCCGCAAGCTCATGTTCGATCTGATCTGCAGTCCAAGCTGGCATATTCGGGATATGGCTGCCAAAACTCTTGCCCGAACGTTTGACCCCACAGAGCTCCAAATGACATATGAGAGTATCGCACTCGGTGCCTACACTTCTCAAAATGACTTGCATGGAAGACTGCTGACTCTCAAATACGCCGTGATGATGTCGAACCAGTGTGCAGATACTGAAGGTTTGCAATCCATGTCCATCCTCGCATCCACATCTGATGTTCACCAGACAACAATCTTTATGTCGACCTCCTAGGTCAAAATAACGACCTCTATGTGCACAACTCTTGCCCTGTCACACGATATGCATATGTAAATCTACTACTACTTGCAGCAAAAGCACACGGGCGGAGCAGAAATTTTCGGAATGACTCGTCTCTAGAAATCGAAGAAGCTTTTATTAAAGTGATCGAAATAGACATACTGTCTCCGATTGTAGCATCTGAGCGCGAGTCCTGCCTATCTTCCCTTCTGAGACGTTCAGCTGCCGAGTTCTACATACGTAACAATATAGTATATAACTCTAGCTCCGTTCGCACATCTCTCCCGAAGGCCTTAAAGGTTATCGCAGATGCGGAAGAGCCAGAGACGGCAATTGCCATTTTGGAGAGTATTGCTACCATCTTCGAAGATAATTCTCTCAGACTAGATGGCGTCTTGCTCGAAATTGTAACTGCAATCAATGCGTTCACATTGTCAGCTAACCCACAAGTCCTGGCAACGCTTCTCACCACGTCAGACAGTCTACTGCGGTTCTTGTCAACATCAAATACCATTACTGAGACTACCTTAGCTCCTTTACTATCCATCGCAACGAACACCGAACCATTTTTCGCAGCGGCACCATCTTTTCTAGAGGCCTCGTTGAGTATCTCGGGAATTTTGCTGGACCTGCGTCTGCAGACTCATCGCAATTTGCGGCAACAGGATCTTGGATGGCTATTAGCGAATGATTTCGTCGAGCTTGGACGAAGGATTGATTGCTCCCTCAAAGACACTTGCGTAAGCTCACCCGTAGCCTAGCACCGGGTATATTGCCTGACAATGTTTAGTCGTTCTATGAGCGCTTCGCTGCCGTCCGCTCTCTGGACGGTTTACAGAATATCTGGACGCAGCCTGGCAACGGATTCGATAAAGCACGACTCAGTCTCATGTTTGCTACATATGATGCCCTGAAAGATGACGATGACGAGATACGAGATGTCGCTTCGGGTGTCGCGGCTCGTATCCTCGCTTCCCCTCAAAGAATGCAAGTGAGGAAGCAAGTGCCACTCATCGCGAGCGCGAGACTGGCTCAGTATATGGCGCGACAGTACTCCACGTCTTCAGACCTGTTCTATGGTGCACTCTGGCGGTTACTTGGTCTTGATTCGCGTGATGGGGCGGCTGCTATGAAACCATTCTTGGAGACTTACGCACAGGTACGAGCAATAGACTCAACACTTTTCGCTAAAGAGAAGCAAAATCTCTTCGCCGACGATTCCAGGGAGACTTCGATCTGGTCACGCGTATTGGTCGCTGCGGATGCCAAAGCCATTCCCCCAGACCTTGCGGCAGTCCTGACTACATGGACGATGGACGGGCTTGGTGCGCTCACCCAGGCGGCACGAGATGAGTATGATGGACCTCTAGGCTGGACTAGTAAACCAGAGGTATTTGTCCTTGCTCTTCGTGTGATTTACGCGGCAGATGTGCTGCTGCAATGGCGAGAAAAGACAACGAAGGTTGGGCGAAAAGGTAGTGAGATTAAGCAGGCTTTGGCAGAATTCAAGACTGCCGCTGAGGGGAGTGCGGTGCATGAGGCATTGACCATTGCGGTAGACAAAACTCTGGAGAAAGCCGCACTGAGAAAGATGGAGAGCGTCAAGATGGCCATCCGATCTATCGTTGGAGTGTATTGAGGAGAGCTACATAGCATGCCAGACATGCAATTATAGCAGATCAGAAATAAAAGAAACCCTCCAAAGATGAGATGGGGGCTTGATGTTGTCTGTGCTGGCAAGGAAGCCTTATGATCGATCGCTTTAATACTGCCTGAGGCAGAACCTTGGCATGGTGCGTCCACGTTCTTGCACGTGCTTAGGTCTCTCCGGAGAATCCACCTATCCAGGTGGTTCAGTCCCAGCACCAGCATAATTAATATCTACGACATACGCGCCCAACAGCCCCGCTGTCATCCGTCTACAAGTGTTTCAAGCTACGCCCAGTCTACTATTTCGACGTCGCCTTTCCATCCACCATCGCCATCTTCGACGCCGTCGCGTGCACTTCTCGACTGTCTTCGAGGCGTCGAAGCCTTCGGAACGCCAGTTATCGTTATCGCCTACTAGCCGCATCGCTACCCTACCTAACCTACCGACCTGCCTGCCTACCTACCTACTAAGCCTTACCGCGCAAACACGACGCGCGACCACCACCGGCACCGCACCTGTCTCCATCCGCATCATCTCCCATCTTTTGTTCTTCTTCGGTCGACGGTTGCCCGTTACTGTCGCTTGCTCTTTGCCTGCGCCGCTGGAGAATCGCCTCGAACGCTGTTGACGTGTCGCGCCTCATTCGACTCATCCTCCGTCGATCTCTCCGTCATACCTCGCGCGATTCCCGCAGCAGCACATTTACCCAAAACCACTCCTTACCTGTTATCCCGAAAGTTATATATACTTTCCGCTCGTATCGAAACATATCTCTGTCCTGCTCTCAAGGGTAAAAACGCCCTGGAAGAGCGGCAGAGGTGTGCAACGTCATTAATATGGCTTTGGCCGCTCCACCAGGAAACGATCGGAAGCGTGTCAAGGTCTATGAGCTCAAGAATAACGATTGGTTCGACCGGGGGACAGGCTTCTGTACTGGCCAACAAGCGAGTGTAAGTCCTGATCTTGTCGTCGCGACGCGCGACAGGTTTTGCGCCAAGGCAAAAGCCCTCTTTCTGTGTGACCTCATGGTGCTGACAGGAACTCAGGACGAGGCGCGCATATTTGTACAGTCGGAAGATGAGCCCACAAGAGTCTTACTAGAGACCAAAATAACCAAAGACGATGGGTACCAAAAACAACAGGGTAAAAATACCTACTCTGCGCGTATCACAAAAACCCACCCGCTGACAAGATTCTCCGCAGACACGCTCATCGTGTGGACCGAGCAAAATGGCACTGACATGGCATTGAGCTTTCAAGAGGCGGAAGGATGTGGGCAGATTTGGTACGTTGTGTGTGGCAGGAACCATGGTAGTAGTATTGACTTGGCTCCAGGGAATTTGTTAGTCAAGAGCAGCAAAGATTGGCTCAACTCCTTGGACCCGGTGCGTTTCCATCTCTTTCTGTTGGATGACAGACACGCTGACTAGGCTTGCTAACAGACGATGGTCTCTCAGACGATATTATTGATAACCCGATCATGCTCCCTCCCCCAGACCTTGAGAACCTCCCGGAAGTCGAAAATGCAATGCGCCATGCCAACACTACCCAAGCTGGCCGTGACGCCTTGACGAAATTCATAATGACTGACGATTACATTCGAAAACTCGTCCCTCTTGTCGAAGACGCCGAAGACCTCGAGAGTCTGTCAGACCTACACCGCTTATGCAATATGATGAAACTTCTCATTCTCCTCAACGACACCGCCATAATAGAACATGTCGTTACCGATGACGTTGTGCTAGGAGTTGTTGGCGCATTGGAATACGATCCCGACTTTCCCTGCCACAAAGCGAATCATCGACAATATCTCTCGGACGAGTCAAGGTTCAAAGAGGTGGTCAAGATCGATAACATCGAAATCAGGAAGAAGATCCATTACACTTATCGATTACAGTACCTTAAAGACGTTGTCCTAGCACGTATCCTTGATGACCCGACCTTTTCCGTCTTAAATTCTCTTATATTCTTTCACCAAGTTGACATTGTTCAGCATTTACAAGGGAACACACAGTTCTTGAAAGAGTTATTCGGCATCTTCCAATCACCTGATGTCGAGCCACAAAGGAAGAAAGATGCCGTCTTGTTCATTCAACAATGCTCTGCTGTTGCAAAAAGCCTCCAGGTAAATGTTCGCCAGCAGCTCTATTCGAACTTTGTTGCAGGGGGCCTATTCAACGTCGTCACATTTGCGCTTCGACACCCCGACGCAAGCGTCCGCGTAGCAGGTACCGATATTCTGGTAGCTCTGATTGATCATGATGCCATTAGCATGCGTGCGCAAATCTTCACCGCTGTGAGAGAAAAGCAGAAACCTATAACAGACGTGCTCATCGAATTGCTCTTAGTCGAAACTGATCTGGGTGTAAAGCATCAGATGGCGGATGCCATAAAGATTCTACTCGATCCAAACGCCAACCTTGCGTCTTTGGGCCGAAATGGGGAGCAGTCAGGCAATAACGAGTTCTTTGCACGTATGCAAAGTCGCGCAATTGTCAATCCTCAAGCAGACTCGTTCGTACAAAGTTTTTACGACGAATCTGCAAGGAAACTGTTTAAGCCACTGAAAGATCTAGAGCATCGCGAAACCCTAAACGATATGACAGTGAACGACTTCTACCTTTACAGCCATCTATTGGAAGTCATGAATTTCTTCTTGCGACAATATTTCAACAGGAGCAAGTATATTTTTTTGCAGGATAACATTCCTGCCCGGGTCGCCCAACTATTGAGATGCCCGGAGAAGCATCTCAAACTTTCGGCTTTGAAATTTTTCCGTGTTTGTCTTGGTCTACAAGACGGTAATTATGCGCAACACATTATCGATCAACGCCTCTTCGAACCCATCCTTGATCTTTTGTTCGAAACCATGCCACGAGACAACCTCTTGAATTCAGCATGCCTAGAGATCTTTGAATATGTAAGACGGGTGAGTTTTTAGGTCTGATCAAATCGCATTCGCTGATATATTTGGTAGGAGGCACGCAAGGAGGTTCTGACGCATCTCGTTGAGAACTACCGTGAAAAGTTATTGAGTATCACTTATGTGGATACATTTCACAATCTCATTGCCCGATACGAACAAATGATTCTTGGACCACGGCCCGAGGAGGGCCAGTCTTTTCCAAGTCAAGAAACGGCAAGCTTGACCCCGGACAATCGGAACCACGTCAACGGTGGACGATGGCAAGGTCTGAAAGAGCAAGATCAAGAAGAGGAGTCCTACTTCAATAGTTCAGACGGTGATGAGGACGAAGATCCTCTTGCTCATCATCCTTCAAAGCCCGTGAATGGCGCCTCTCCTGTCCGGCCACTCGTCAGCTACCGTGAGGAAGACGACGACGACGACGATGATATGGACATGCTCGCAATCGACCCCGCCGACCGATCCCCGAAACCCAGTTCTTCTGACTCAAGCTCAGCTGCGTCTCAACCTCAACCATCTACTGACGGTATTCCGACTCTGCCCTCACAGACAAATGCCACTGTTCCATCAACGCCTCCAGAACGCCTCGCTGAGAAGCGGCGTCGTGAAGAAGATGAAGAGGACGAACTGGGCAAGCTCACCACACCGAAGAGTCGCAAGAGCAGTTTCGGAAGCACAGCCAGTATAAGCAGTACAATTAGTAGCAACAGTAATGGTGGGCATAGGTTAAGGAAAAAAAGTATCTCCACTGGCAAAGATGGGCCGCCGAAGAAGATCGCTATTAGCTTAGCTGTGAAGAGCAATGGTAGCACAGACAGTGAAAATGGCGGCGACTGATGCTATTGTGGTACACACAAAAAGCTATTCCTGCCCAATGCTAAAATGGCCTAAGCTCCAGTGCCTGCGGCAATCTGACTTTGGTGGGGAGATCGCGAGGTCCGAGATGTAACGGAAAGCATAGATGAGCGAGACTTACGAGCGCGGCGTTATCGGCGAACACATAGCCATTTGGGCAGCCGCACACTTGGATCAACAATGCAATAAGGGAGGCACGTACTGCTGAAAGGGATGCAATGGCATGGAATGGAACGAACCAATGATTTTCGTGATGGACGTTGGACTCGGTAAACGACATCTCACGAAAATCGGCGCAAATGGGATGATACACTTTTTTCTCATGTTCGTTTCTTTGCGTCGCATCTTCACTTCTTGGGTGATATGGGAGCGTCTTTCCCAAGTCCGCACGTCGGGACCCATGTGGGAGAGTGTATCTCAATGGCACACTCGACTTTGAATTAAGTGTGCACTTCTCTTACTGGGAGGGAAGCGTGGAGAAGGAATTCATGTATCATATTGTTACGTGTGAGAGGGAAGCCTACTGAGGATGCATCCAGCCACATTTCTAGCTCCATGAGCTAGGATGGAGATATCACATACCATAATGAACATTGTGCGAAGTCACAATGTGTTGTGTGGTTTATTTCAGAATCAAAGTGAACAAAGGCTTTGTTTACGTGATCACCGTGACCCTGACTTTCCCGTGTTATCCAGACCGTACTGTTGTCATACAGATCATGCTACTGTTCACCAACAACCTCGCTGCTCGTCATCTTGTCCACTTTGTGAATGCAAAGCGCACAGCAAACATCTCCAACCCCAGAGCCGCTCTCTCACCTCGCAAACATACTCGCCTTGATTGCCACCAATATATTTCGAAAAACTTTCTTGATTGTGCTTACCGTATTTATCATCGGTCCGCATCCTCGTCCCCCCTTCCAGGCGCTCTTAATAACCCCTTAGACACGACCAAACAAGATCCCAACCCTCAAGACGAATGCACCCCAATCAATCACGAAATCCTTGAACTCCAGGCCTGCCAAAGAAGACTTCAAGATCCCCATTCCCTGCCTCCTCGACTTTAATATTTGCACCGGACTGACGCACCCACACTTATTGCACCCTCGCGTCCGTCTTTCTGCATACCCACCTCTGTCTAGACCTGGGATTCGATCAGAGTCCTGACGGAATGAAGACCCGCGACGGCGTCATTCTCGCGCTGTTCCTCATCGTGGCGTTTATGCTGGCGATGGCGTGGTGGTGCTCGGAGATGCTGAGGAAGAATATCGAGGCGTTGCTAGTGAGGAGAGAGGAGGAGAGGGAGACTGCTACTACGTAGAAAGGAAGGGAAATTGGGAGAGTGTGAGATATTGTGCGGATCACTTGTGATATGGTTAAGATTGGAGCGGCTGTACAACCTGGCCGGTCCTGACGGTGGGATGTTGTTTGCTCGCAGGGGAATGATATGCATTACGAGGAGTGTACGCAAGGAGAACGCGATTATAGTGCCGGATTTTAACTAGGCGGCAAAGTTACTGTGTTCTACTTGTATGAGGGTGTACGAGATTGCGCGCAGAAAAAGAGCAAACAATATGTGAGCATAGATGATAACCATATTGTTTGCCCCAACTCACATTCATCTCTACTCTCCTTCTTCCACCTTTATTCGTTCTCAAATATGGAGAACGCTGTGCGCAGAGTTATCAGTCTCGTGTTGGATTGTTTCGGCGCGTATGCATTTTATAAAGATCGGCGACGACATCACCGCCAGGATCGCGCTGAGGAGAAGAACCGCCGTCAGGTAGCAGTCTACGAGTTGCCCGTCGTACCTTACGTGCTTCCATGCCCTCCTTCGAAGGTCTTTACGCCCGTCCGACCGCTGCGCACTTCTCGTCGGCAGGGATACGCACCGCCCGTGGCAGGGAGCAAAGCCGGAGAAAAGACTGCGCCGAGGGCGACGCACGTTGATATGATACTGCCGCAGATTACGGAGCTGTTTGACTTGTCTTCATCATGCAGTGGCTCTGATGGTGTTTGTGGCGGGTCGTCGAGTGGCGATTCTTCAGAACCTGGATCAAGCTCCAGTGACGGTGAGAGTCCCAGGAGGGGGCAGAACAGGTCAAAGATGACACGTTCCGCTGATGTTTCATCGAGAAACGGTAAGAGGAAGGCAGATGATGATGTTTATCAATGCCATGCTCAAGGAACACGACCAGTCCCACAGCGACGCGCCACGATGCCGGCCATGTTGGAGAGAGAAAACATACCTCGATTGTCAGCATCGCGCCGGTTACTTCCTGCACCGAAGGCTGTTAGGTTTCGAGACTCTCCTGAAAGAGACTCCCCTGAAGAGCACCCGCGAAATATGGGCAGAATGAGACAGTCAAGTCTTGCAATGGGTCGTTTGCCACGCATGATACCGCGGGGCAAGATGACACCAATAAGCCGGAATACAATGAGAAGGCCCGTATATACCGGTCGAGCTTAATCGGCTGGTCACTCTGTAAGAATACCTACATCGTATTCATGGTTTCTATAAGTTGTAGCCCACTTGCTGTGCCCGTTAATCGTTACTCAATTGAGGCAAAATGCAAGAACGACTGAATTTCATATATGGAAAGGAGCAAAAAATTTAAAACAAAAACGCTTGACCCGAGAATTGAACTGGGTACTCAACGGAAAACCAGGCGAACTGATTTATTATCCACGTTGTGGGACCACTATACCAAGCAGCCCCGAAGTGTGGGAACTGGAAGTCCTTTCAATCGAATTGAATATAAAGGGCAGCCACAGTACGGACTTCTGAGGGTAATGGTGGTGGAGAGTGCTTGCGAGGTCTACGCGCACACGCGGTGAACGGTGACATGCGGTTTGTCTTGCGTGGTAATCAAGCTTTCGAGGTAAGATTACGGTAGAAAGCGCAACACATGGAATGAAATTTTTACCTTTCGAATAGTTTGATCGTACCATGATGTTCAAGATATCAATTGCATTAACAGAGATATTAGGCAAATCACGTATAGGAAATGAATCATGACGGAAAGGAGATAGTAGACGACTAATGTATGAGAATGGATGCGACAACGATGAGATTGTACCAAAACCTTGCTGAATGTTCTTATTGGTATGAGATAGTCCCTCAGATAGTATCAGCTTTTTGCTTTGGTACGGCTCGACTTAGCAGTAGATAATCAGTGAGACTCGTGAGAGAAGATGAAGTTAGAATGCAAAATCAAAATGAGCTCCACGCATACTTTAAGGCCTTAGGCCACATCAATCAATGGAGAGTGGTCCGTGCGAAAGCTAACGTCACCTAGCCATGGGAAGCTGCACTGCGACTGCTCCGCATGCAGCCATACACGCTCTCTCATCCTCCATCCCTCTGTACATTCACGCGTTTTGAAACTTTCGGTCAACATCAAGCGTTCTTTCTATAGCGTGCATTATCTCGGCCAACACCCTAGACGATCCTCCAGCTTTCTTAGTTGCAATAAGCCTAGGCCCCGCAATGTGGGACGATGAGGACAACAACCCATATGGCTCATTTGAGCGCCATTCAAGGCCAGATCAAGACCTTGCAGTCTCACCTGATGCACGTAGGTCAATCTCTACACGGTCTTTTGTTGGAATGATGTCTGATACAGCCTTCCCTAGTCGGTTTTGGACGTCCCTCCACCCCGCCGTCAGGCAATTCCTCTCTGCGTCAGGAGTCACCCGAGTTCATATCACAACCGATTGGTGATGAAGACGAAAAGGAGGACGAAGCCGCTACTAGCACACGTCGAGAACCCAAGCGTGGAGGCTACAACAGTCGCATCGAGCAAATACTCTACGAGAACCCTGATCTACCCATCCTCATCACATATGCTGGCAAGAATTCAGAAAGTGGAGGCAGTTTCATAACGTACACAATTCGCACTGGGGTACTTAGTTACATTTACAGCCATATAAGTAAAGATAACTAACCCCGTTGATAGGACCTTGAAGTACGCCGACGATACTCTGAATTCGCATCTCTAAGACAGACACTCGTCAATCTGCACCCCACTCTCATAATCCCTCCTATCCCAGAGAAACACTCTATGGCCGACTACGCCGCTAAGCCTACAAAAGCAAAAGAAGATGCTGGGATAATCGAGCTCCGGAAACGTATGCTAGCAGTCTTCCTCAATAGATGCCGGCGGATGGACGAGGTTCGAGAGGATGGTGTATGGTGGAAGTTCCTGGACCCTAATGCCAGCTGGGTAAGTAGTCCCGCAGTTTTGTCTTCTGTTGTGGCTGACTTTTGTACAGAGCGAGGTCCTTCATTCGCATCCTGTCTCGAGTATCCCCAAGAACATTCTCAAAGCGCCTCCATTGGATCCCGCGAACCCATCCCCAGGTCATGCGCATCTCCCAATCCCCTCGGCCAATTCCAAGCTGAAAACGCAAGGCGAAGCTTCTTCAAGTGGTACTCCTGTCGGTCCACCTGATCACGCTGCTTTGCCATCCGCCGCAGCGCACAGTACGTCTGGACCGCAAATATTCGGAAGATTTCCGCCAACTACACGCGAACTGTCGGAAGAAGAACTAGATCCATACTTTGTAAACTTTGAAACGTCTTCCAAACAGCTGGAGCAGCTCATGCAGGGAAGCATGGAAAAATCTAACAGGAGGTTGATAACGCATCTCAGTCAGCTAGGAGAAGATATGGCAGAGCTCGGCGCAAGATACAATGGATTTTCATTATCGGAACAGTCTCAAACATTGGCTGCAGCGATTGAAAAGGTGGGCCAGGCAGTCGACTCCACGTACATCGCGACCACTGAACTTTCCTCGTCGCTGAGCGCAAGCTTTGCCGAGCCAATGCGCGAAAGCGCACAATTTGCGGGAGTTGTACGTAACGTTCTGCGCTATCGAATCCTGAAGAGGGTGCAAGAGGAGATGACCAAAGATGAGCTGGAGAAGAAGCGAGCTCTTTTGACACAGCTAGAATCGAGCGAGCAAGAAGCGAAGCGCATTGAACAGCACCTGTCCGGATATGGCAGCCCACCAAGACGATCGTTATCATCATCCTCCCAACGATCCACACCAGAACGTAAGTGGAGAGAAGACGACACAGCTTCGATCGACTCAGACTTCCCACCTACACACGGAGATGCATATCCTCCGCCAACAGCATCGCAAGGTCTACCAGTCTCAGAGCCATCGTCACCTCCACATCATAGAAAGAGCGGTAGTGGAAATTTTGTCACCAACAAAATATTTGGGCGCATCAACCATGCGTTTCAAGGGATTGTAGATGCAGATCCTGAGAAATCGCGAAGAGACTCGATCACAAGGACGCGGGAAAGCTTGACGAATGTAAGTCTGAACATGCTTTTGATATGAGAAGGAGCAGGAGGCTAATGTGACGATAGTTGGGAGAGGCTCTCGAAGTAACGAAAAAGGATACAAAGGACGCAAGCGCTGGCGTGATGAACGATCTCAAACGATTTCAGCTGGACAAGGAAGACGATCTTCGACGTTACATGGTGAGTCATGATCTTTTACGGTGAGCTCTTTGAACATACTGACGGCACTAGATTGCTTTTGCACGATGTCACATTGACTGGGCACGACGGAATCAGGCATCCTGGGAGGAGGCGAAGGTGGAGGTTCAGAATATCGAGCCGTCAGCACCATCGTCACAAGACTTCTGAAGCATGGTGTACGTGTATTGATCTATGGGACAACCGTAGGCGTAGATGCTGGATCAGACATGCCTCGAGTAGATATAATGTAAAGATGCGCTGGACACATGAGCGTAGTATCGTGACGTGACGTGACGTGACGTGACGTGACGTGCGTAGATTCAAAGGTAGGCTCGCTCGTTCCAAAGGCAAATGGCGGCTTTGGCATACAGAGTGTCGCGTGTGATATGATGGAAGGCCCGATTATGTGCATATGAACAGGGACTGGTGAGCGCGTGGAGTGCAAAAGACTGTTGAGAACGCTCTCGTGGCGTGCTAGTCCAGCCTTATTTCAGCCTCATTTCCGGCCTTAGTGCGGCCTTATCTCAGCAGGCAACAGTTCCGATCTGGGCCCGAGTGACCGGCGATGCCCGTGACCAATACGAATGACCTCAGCCATGATTACGTACTGTAGATGTCGGTGCACGGCCACACTTTGCATCCAGCAGGGTACTCTCAGCCCAAAGAGGGAGGAGCGAGAAGGGAGAGGGCGAGCCTGAAGCCGCCTACTCGGGATCCTACAGAGAACAGAGAATTCGACCAGTCAGTCAGGCTTCTTTGTCTCGAGCTCTCGTCGTCACCGCCTTTGACCGTGATCATTGTTATATACTCCATCCGCGTTCTTTGGAACAAGCGGACGCCCTTCTTATCTTTATTCGGTAGAGGATCGTGGGTCCAGTTCCAGTCCCCAGCGGCGCCTAAAACGGAAGTACGTCTTTGGAAAAAGATCCCGACAGAGAGCGCGGGCCTCTGCGGTGTTTGAAATGGTCGTTCCTAATGATACTCGCGGATGGATTATGACCGCTTTGAGTGGTGTTGCATGCATATTTGGAGGTAAGATGCCTGTTTCATAGAGAATCATGTGGGCACGTGCCAATCTGATCGTGCATAGCATCGATTATATGTGTCGACGTTATAGTGCGAATGTTTCCGGGAAAGAAGGGTTTCAGGATACAAGATAGTAACGCTTTTCTGTCGTCGAGTCTGAGTTTGAGTTTTGGGGTCATGGTGAGTGGACTGTTGGTACTATAGCCTGTCTAGCATACTGACCCAACTAGATATTTTCGTCACTACACAGCATGCTTCCTTCAGCAAAATCGTCGTTGCAGAAAGGCGGCCTGTCCCCGAAAGCTGCGGCGTGGGTGCTGATAGCGTGTTTCCTGGGAGGTGTCATCGGCATTCAGATCATCTCCAAGATATTGCATTCGTATATTCCGTCACATGTCGTCGATTGCGCCCATACGCACGAAGACGAGGATGTGAAGGTAGAAGACCAATATGTTCACGATCGTGACAACCACGGCCATAACAGCCAACCGCATCACCACTCCTCTCGACCATCCGCACTTCGAATGGCCGCCTCCGAATCCTATCTTCCCATCTCCGGCACTGTCTCCGTATCGCAAAGTGGCACGGCGACTCCCTCTGAATCTGCCCACAGAGATACAGAACAACAGCATCAGCTTGACCGTCGTCCCTCTCTTCAGCAACTTATATCCTCGAAAATGTCCAAGCTCATCTCCAACACCGATTCCTGCGACGAAGACGATGCCTGTTTCGGATTTTCTGAGCGACCTTGCGGCACAGACTGCTTCCGCAACATCCAAGCACGTGGCGGCACTCGAGCTTCCGTACAGTCTGCTGCACATAGCACACTGCGCAAACCGGGGACGGATGTGTCTGGCAGCCAACCACCACCTCTAGATGACGTCAGCGAGACATCGCCCTTGCTACCTGCGCACGATCAACCAATCCATAAAAGTCTCTCCCAGTCCTACACCCAGGACTACGCCGATGACCATGAAATTGCCCAAATGGGCGAAAGTAGCCACCACCACCATGTCCCCACCAACGCCTTCCTCTCCATAGGCCTGCAAACCTCCATCGCTATCGCGCTACACAAGTTGCCGGAAGGTTTCATAACATACGCCACAAACCATGCAAATCCGAAGCTGGGCGTTTCGGTGTTTCTAGCGTTGTTCATACACAACATTACTGAAGGATTTGCGATGGCTTTGCCCCTGTACTTGGCGATCGGGTCGCGTTGGAAAGCTATGTTTTGGAGTAGTTTGCTGGGAGGCGTGAGTCAGCCGCTGGGTGCCGGGATTGCGGCCGTTTGGTTTTGGGCGGCGGGCGGTCAGGAGGGAGTTGAGATTGGGGACGGGGTGTATGGAGGAATGTTTGCTGTTACTGGTGAGTCCCTTTCCCATGTTCCGTGCTGTTCTGTGTGAGACGAAAAAGGAGTCCGGCTAACAATTTGCAGCGGGCATCATGGCATCCGTAGCACTGCAACTCTTCTCGGAAGGGTTGGATCTCGGGCATAGTCGCGATTTATGCTTCCTATTTGCGTTCATGGGTATGGCTGTTTTGGGAGCGAGCTCAGCGTTAACGGCATGAAACGAATGATTGGCATAGTGACTCGGTGAACACAAGTATGGTTGTACTCTTGTTCGCATGAGAGGGAGTTCGATATTTGTGGAACAAATCATTTGGTTATGAGTATAAGGATACTGTCATATAGAGCTGTAAGCCAAATAGACAAAGACAATACTGTTATTCAAAAATAGCTTAATGGAACGGCCCGCATTTGATGGGTGGGCCGGCGATCCATCAGGGGGCAGAGAGGGCTGTTGGGTTATTGCAACGGTGCAACGGCTGGGCTCGTATTGTGGCGTAACGGTAAGATCTGATCTGCAGTGTAAGGTATGATTTACATATTGCTTGTTTTCACAACAGGGCTCTGGTCAGTTGTGTATATGGAGGACTCGCAAAGGTCAAGCTCCTTAGTAGTGGTGGTTGTTGCCCGTGAAGCTACACAGCTCGTCTACCTTCACATCCATCCTGCTTCTAGTTCTAGTCCGGCTCTCAACCGCAAGTTAACAGCATTGAAGCCTTGTGTTCTTACAAGTCTTCCTCCAATCTACATCTTACATACTTTGACCATGCCCCTGTTCGGCTGTGTTTAGCGGCGGCAAAGCATCTGGATATAGAAGCTGTTCCGGCGCGAGTGGGCCCCACATGACGCACCATCCATCCCCGTGGGATTTCTAGACACTTCGACTTCGACTTTGACATCCGCTACCGTCGCAACATCACCACAGCCGAGCGGAAGCTTAGGCAAGTGACAGTGATGCCAATTGGGTGCAAACAAGGTTTTATGGCTCCTTGCGTGCTGAGTCCCGGCAATGCGGGCTCATTGACGTATGCATGATGGTCTACCTAGACACTATGCCCGCTTGAGGCACATCCCCATGTTCCAATCTACATGGCCCGACATCAATATCAGTGCACCATTTCCATTCAATTGTCGACCAGCAAACGTATTTGTAAGCTACAACGCCTCATACTGGCTTTCTATTTACTGATTAGACCCACGCACAGGATATATATCCCCCCGGTGCGATCCTGTTACCATAACCCTCAGCCATCCGACTACACAATATCACTCCACCTCATACAATTAAACCATGTCGATTCCCTCGTCCACGAAGCAATGGCTCCTCGCCTCTAACCCAAGCGGCGTGCCCTCCGTCTCCGAAACCTTCAAAGAAGTCACCACCACCCTCCCTTCCCTCGCCGACGGCCAAGCTCTACTCAAGACCCGTTACCTCTCCAACGACCCCGCCCAGCGCGGCTGGATCGACAAGTATGAAGACGAATCGCGCCTATACGTACCCCCGATACACCCGGGCGAAGTCATGCGCGCCGGCGCCCTTTGCGAAGTCATCGAGTCTAAAGCCGCACACCTCCACCCAGGCGACATCGTCCAGGCCGGCGTCGGCTGGGTCCAGTACAGCGTACAAGATGCTGCCGCCCTCAAGCCTCTCCCGCCTCTGCCAAACGGCTTGCCCATCACCCACTACCTGGGCAGCCTCGGCATGACGGGCCTGACGGCATACTACGGCACAAAGGAGATTGCGCGCGCATCACCCGACGACGTGGTTGTCGTCAGCGGCGCGGCGGGCGCGGCAGGTAATATGGTTGTGCAGATCGCGAAGCACATCATCGGCTGCAAGACGGTGATTGGCATTGCGGGCGGGCAGGCCAAGTGCGACTATGTCAAGTCGCTCGGCGCAGACGCGTGCGTGGACTACAAGACTGCGGACTGGCAGCAGGAGCTGGTGAAGCTGACGCCCGATTTCGTGAATGTATATTTTGATAATGTCGGTGGGGATATACTCGATTTTCTGCTGTCGCGTATGGCGCGATATGGGCGTGTTGCGGCGTGTGGTGCGATTGCGAACTACAACGCTGGAGACCAGGCTGCAGGGATTAAGAACTGGTTCCAGATTGTCAGCATGCGGTTGGAGATCAGAGGGTTCATTGTATTTGATCATATGAAGCAGTTTGAGGAGAGCAGGGGCGTGTTGATGAAGGCGCTTAAGGAGGGCAAGATTAGGGTTGGCGAGGAGAGTCAGACGGTCGTGAAGGCGAGCTTTGATCAGATTCCTGAGACGTGGTTGGGGCTGTTTGAAGGAAAGAACCAGGGGAAGCTGGTTACGGAGCTGGTGTGACAGAGATATTTTGGAGAGTTCAGCTACGGTTAGACGAGAAATGTAAAGAATATGAAGATCATTCATACAGTCAAGCTGTCAAGGCCTTTTTTCTAGATGCTGTATTTAGTGGAGTACTGCTGTGCCCGTACTAATCTAGACAAGCCTCATTGTATCTTCTGTTGCCCGCCTCTCAGCCTGAAAAGTCCACACTAACCATCGCCTCCCCAGCCGCCTTCTCATCCAGCGCAATGTTGGTGTCCAACTTCTTCTGCTCGACCGCGATCTTGTCCGCGACATCATCCCCCTGCGCCTGCTGCACCTGCAGCGCCGTAACCTCAAACGTCAGCTTCAGCACCTTGTTCGCAATCTTGCCGTTCTGGAGCGCAGTCGCCTCGTCGCCGCTGGCTGCCTCGATGGCCGGGTTGAATGCATCCGTCTCGGCTGCCTCGGCGGTCTCGCGCTCAGTCTTGAGCGTGTCAAGATCATCGGCGCTCACAGCGGCCAGGTCGGACATGTCGATGGGCAATTTGGCGAGTGCGTCGGCTTTGGCGGAGCCGGCGGTGCCGTCGCTGATGGAGAGCTCGGCAAAGGAGCGTGCGGTGGCGCGTTTGTTGTAGGTTGGGAAGGCCACGGCGGAGGTGGCGAGGAGAGTGACGAGGAGGGTGATTGAGTTGAGCTGCATGTTTGCTGATATTGTGGTGTATATCTTTTGCGGTGATGTAGGTCCGAAGAATGAATCGTATGCTTTGACTTGAGAAAATTGGAAAGTAGGAAGCAGGAGATCACCAGTGATCGAAGAAGAGAAGCAACAGCAGCGCCAGGCAGACTGTATAGAAGAAAGTGTGGAAAGAGGCGATGTGAGAGCTGATGTGACCTACCATTGAGGCGCATTACAGCACTCTTATATTCGTCTTGCGATGCTATAGCCGCCGAAGTATTCCAAGCGAGTCAAGCTCGTCTTATCTCAAGAGCAAGCCTTCGAAACGCTCGCTTCGCTGTCCAAATTCCCAGTCTTTGGACAATTGCGATGTGTGTTGGGTGCCGAGTGCGCAATAAGCATAGAACTGTCCAATCTGCCAGATCCGATCAAAACGGCTTGGCAGCATCGATGTGTCTCACACGTCTATATATCAAGGAATGTATAAGACAGTGCGACTTGAGACGTCGGCATGAGATATAATTCTCCTCCTATGGGGATGTGAGATCTTGGTGGAGACAACAGGCTCGCTACGCCAAGGGGGAAACGCGGAGTGTTCCAAGACTGGGAACCGAGGGGATGCAACGCACGAGGTTTCTGTGTCAGCGGGTACTGCTCTTTGGTCCTGGTGGTGGCACGCTGGTGGGTGTCGCTACAGTGCTAAGGTATACTGTTCATCTGGAGAATCCAGAGAGCGCAGCACGTTCTGAGTCTACGGACAGGCGGTCAGAGCATGAGGGAGTCTGTTCGTGATCAAAGGTATATGCTAGCAGCACCAACACGAAGATACACAAGACTCCCCGGTCAGGACTCATCGCTCTAGATGATAGACAGGGTCATAGCGTCAAGAGAGGTGCGATCTGGTGATTGAGATTGACGTTAAGGTTAAGGTTGACGATGTTCATATATCGATTTGAGAGGAAATGTTGGTTCGCGAACCTCGGAGAGATGAAAACATGGCCTAGTCCGAGTATGGCTTAGCGCATCCAGCCCTAAAACTCTCGAGGCCCGGATATCCAAGGAGTGTGAAATGTGAATATCAACCATAGACATTGATGACTGATGGACCACTCACCAACTACGCTTGGGCCGCCAAACATATGAAACCATAGCCAACCCTATGGTGTTTTCTTGCAGTTCGCATACCGTGCACCCAGCTATTTGATCTGAAGGAAACCATATCAGCCAAACAGTAACAGGACCAGCATGGACAACTGCGGAGTTCAGCCTTGACGCAATTCTGCGATAGCCAGTCTCCCGGAGCGAACAAAGCAACGCAAAAACTATGCTGCCATGTCCTTGTCACCTTACAAGGTCAGCCCATGTACGGCCAGATCAACCAGATCAACCACCTCGGCTTCAAGATAGTTTTCCATCCTTGAGATGCTGAGCAGGATCTGGTGATTAGGAGACTAGGCGTGCAGCCGTGCTCTTTCAGGATAAAACCAGAGAGACATTGATCACGTTCTGCGCCATACCGCTCTGAAGATTCGCTCGTAGATCATGTACCTTTGCTCTTCTAATTCTTTCTTATGGAGGGATGCATCATCAAGATCTGCAAGTAGCGTCTTACTAGAACGGTTCAAATCGCGACTACTAGCGAATCTGTCCCTGAGCCATGGCCACGGGCTCCTAGAGTAGAAGACAAGAATGAGGAGTCGAAGACCAGACTCCACAATACCAGGATCGGAGTCTGCCACAAGGAACATCCCGAATGATTGCCTGGGCCCAGGTATACCTGACTACCGGACCACATCCCCGTGATCTGAACTATGTTCGTGTTTTGCAGATTGCAAGGGCTTTAGACTGTTATGATACCAGCAGCCATCCATGGTCATGACGCGTAAACAACGTTCACAACAGGGATGAACCTCCAAAGTCGCGAAGCTACTGTGGGCCTGTGTGAGACTTAGACATGGGAAACCTAGGTTGGTGTTGAGACGGAGCAAGCAGCTGCTGAGCATCAACTCGGATTCTGTGCAGAGCAAAAACATCTACAGTCCCGGCCGCATGTATCGATAATGCATCTCAGTATAATCAATGCACTGATCCATAACTTTGCGACTACAGTTCAGAACGATTAATACGAAGACGAAGACGAGGACGAGGACGGCTGCCAAGAGCTGGCTCAAAGCTAAAGTCAACGGGGAGAGCGATGGCGCCGGCAACGGCAACGGCAATGTCAACGTCAAAAATGGCAAAGCTAGAGAAAACCATCATCAACCATCTATGATCACCGCTCGACCCCGACCATGATTGACGCGGAAGGATTCTTTAGCACCCACGAACTTCGAGGATCACCGCACATGTCCGATTCTAGCAATATCCCCTAAAGCTGAGCCAATCAAATCGACCCAACCTATGCTTGAATCTCCACAATACATCTCTGGGATGCTCAAGGGATCACCTAACGAACCAAGCCAGACGGAAATGTCACCCCTAAACACATCCCACGACCTATCTCACAATGCACGTCCGGCTGCTCTGATGCCACCGAACGTAGTAGAAGGCTAGAAGCATGCAACGCACGTTGCAGCTATAGAATCCCCCTCTCTTCGCGAATCATGTTCTGAAAAATGGCCGTCAAACTTTCGCTTCGACACACTAACCAAAAGCCTCATAGTTAGTACCGAGTATCTGACAACCTCAGCCTGTGTTTCACTGCCTTCACGTGCGATATAGGTGCTCCTTTCAGGGAGCTATGTTTGATATATCATCCAGAATATTAATTCTACGTCGACAGTCGACCCTTTTTATAGATATTCTTTTCTTTGCCACTATCCAACAGACACCTTCCGCCAGGACACGAGTTTCCGATTCGATATCGACCATTCCAGTCTGCCAAAGGTCTTACCGGTATCTTCATGCTCCAGTAGTGTGATTTAATACGCTTCTTCTCCGTACACGGATATCGGTGCCTTCAAAATGTACGCCTGGCCATGGCTGTTTAGATGTTTTACCGCCTTGTCTGTCATTACCGCCGGCCTGGCACAGGGAACTGAAGAGTTCAATTTGACCGTAGCGGACCTGCCACCGTGTGGCGTAAGTGTGTTGATTTTTCCTTATGTATACGGTGCTGACGACCATCTATGCAGCTATCATGTTTCGTTCATACAATACCCGCAGCCGGCTGTGGCCTCACAGACCTAGTTTGCCAGTGCGAAAGCAGGCAATTAACCGAGTTGACCATAGAGTGCATGCTGCAGAATTGTACCATGGCTGATACACTGCGTATGTCCGCGAGGCCTTCTTCTGAGACCATCCCTGCTCACACCTCATCCAGAAGTTTCAAAAGTCTCGGCTAGCCTTTGCCATTTACCGAATCCGTCGCGAGCCCACGAAGTCACTACTGTAGTGCTAGTCATGATTGCTATCTCTGTGACCTTCATCGCTGGTCGGATCGTCTCCAAAATCAAGACTAGCAGGAAGGTCGAGGCTGATGATTATTGCCTTGTCGGCGCATTAGTAAGTCATGTAGCAAATCTTGCGTATGTATGCAGAAGGCTGACAGTCCTAGATTCTTGCATCTGGCTCGGGAACTGCCACCATGTTGAGTAAATACCCCCTCCAATGTCCTGGGTATTTGGATATCCTTATACTGACTTCTACAGTGTCCAAGGTGGGGCTTGGTAAACATGTCTGGGGCCTCGGACCAGGAGACCTGAAGCAATTCCTGATGTACTTCTGGGTTACCGAAGTGAACTACGTCGTCGTCCTTTCTCTTGTCAAGTGCTCCCTGGTCCTGCTCTATCTTCGCATCTTCCCGACTCAGAAGATTCGCTTGGCGGCGTGGTTTACGCTTGGCTTCATTATCATCACGAGCATCGTTCTGTTCTTCCATACTGTCTTCTCTTGCAAGCCAGTATCCTACTTCTGGGACCGCGACCTGCACGGCACGTGCCTTAACATCGCCGGCCTTGCCTACGCACACGCGGCCATTGCAGTGGTGACGGATTTCATGATCATTTCGATTCCACTGAGCATGCTCCCCGGCCTGAACATGAAGCTGAGAAAGAAGATTGCAGTCGGCCTCATGTTCGCCGTCGGCAGCTTCGGCTGCGTGACCAGCATTCTCCGGCTGCAGACAATCGTCGTCCTGGGCGTCTCCCTGGACCCCACCTGGGAATACATCCCCATCATAAACTGGACCGCGGCCGAGCTCGGCGTCTGCTTCATCTGCGCCTGTCTGCCGGCCGTCCGCATCCTGTGCCAGAACCTCTTCCCGAACCTGTTCTCGCACTGGAACAACACCTTCCCCAGCAAGTCCGGCAACGGGTACAGTAACAGCAGCTCGCGCCGTCATCAGGGCGCCGGCTGGAAGGAATTCGGCAGCACGGTCAAGAACAGCCGGCTTTCCGGCCGGGGCGACTCGCCGGACACCGACGAGGTCAAGCTGACGGAACTGTCCAAGTGCCGCTCCAACACGGGCACGTTTTCCGGCAACGAGGTGGGCGTGCAGGCGTGCTGGGCGAGCAACGAGGCCGGGCAGACGCATGTTGTTGGCGACGGCGGGGACGATGAGATTGGTCGGATGACGCCTGTGTTGCCGCCGGACGAGGAACGGGGCTATGGGTACGCTCATGTCCGGTAGTTTCTCTCGGTGCACCGCTGCTTGCTTTGCTAGAATTTGGAATTATTTTTGGGTGCCAAAAAAGAAAGAACAAAAAAAAACACAAAGACAACAAACTTTCATGTTGGTTCTCTCTTCACTGTATATTGCGTTTGTCCTCGTTCGTAACCTGACGCCTCGGCACGTTCCGTGTTGCCAGACAGCACAGCGTGAGACCACCCACTCCCTCCCGTTGATCTTCGCACACGCTGGACATGCCTGCCCCAGAGCACACGCACATCAACGCGCCGGTATTGCTCTCAAAACCCTTTCCATCAGGCATCAGGAGGTCTATCCACCAAAACCCACACTTCCTCAGGCTCCAAACCGCGAACAAAAAACAATCACACAACAAACCAGAAATCCACATTTTTTCTCCATCAGACATTCCCCCTCCCTCCCCGCCCAACAACGCCCGCCAGGCACGCCTCATCCGCCCCAAACACCCAAACCATACCTCTCAGTCTCGATTAACATTACTCTCCCACAAGGCCAGGCCATCCATTTCCCCCGGATATCGCCAAGCGTAGAAAGCAAGCGAATGCAGGGGGGGTTTTTTTGAGAGAGAATATCTCGCTGTGCTGTGTTGTGTTGCGAGGAGGGGTCTTGTGGTGTCTTGTGGTGTCTTGTGGTGTCTTGTGGTGTCTTGTGGTGTCTTGTGGTGTCTTGTGGTGTCTTGTCTTGTCTAGTCTTGTCTAGTCTTGCTTATTCAGAGAGAGAGAGAGAGAGAAAGAGAGAGGGGGGGGGTGCCGAGATCTGGACCGTCTTGGGGGGTTGTCTGCTTGGACGGACTGGGTACGAAACTGCATACATACCCCACGAGAAAGTCGAAAGGGGAGATTTAGACATTTTTAAGGAAAAGTGGAAAAGGGGGGAGAAGGAGGGGGCTCAGATCGGAAGTGTCGACGTCGACGGTGAAATGGATAGGAAATAAGAAGAGAGCAAAAAGAGGGGTGTAAGCAAGAAAGAAGGGCGCAGAATATGAGGCGCAGGGTTCGTAGATTTGGACAAAAACGGGATGTGTGGGGTTGCTGGATTATACTGGCTTGTCAGCCTTTGGGGGGGAGGGGGGGTTTTCTTTTGTGTATATGTGTGTGTGTGTGTGTGGGTGTGTGTATATGTACTATATGGATGCGTGTAAAAGATCTACGGATTCGGCACGCATAAGAGACGTTTTGCCAGGCTTCTAGTTCCGATGAGCATTATGAGCTTTCCACCACTTCTTGGAGGCTGTTTTGTTGAAAGGGTTTGTGTCGAGCGCTGGAAGAGATCGGCTTGCTACGATGGTGAGAACCAGGTTACTCCCTGGCTCCGCGACAACGCGTTGTCGTTCTAGCGGCGCTTTCTCTGGGGTATCTGTGCCCAAGGCATTGCCAGAGCTAGATTCACATTACGGTGCGAGTATTGTATGCCCCGAGCGGTCACACGTCATCTGAGCGTGCAAGAACTTGCGAAACGCAGAGTGTGGTCTGAAGTGCATGACAATCACCTATGCACAATGATAAAAGACTCCAGTCCTTCGTTCCTGAAGACTAGACTGATATGAGCGACCTTACTAGCAACTCGGCGTCAGATGAATGGGAATTCCAGGCCGATACCATTGAAGAGATCAGACCATTCCCCGATTTCAAAGTCGTCTGTGAAGTCAAAGAACTGCGGTGTAGGAGAGCACATGTCTGTCTGACTTTGCATGTGTGACCCGTCACACTCCTCTCCTATCATCTCGGCAGGCCTACTTTGGACAAGAGACGTTGTTGTTGGTGGTGGTGGTGCTGGTGCTGGAGGTGGTGAAGAAATACCCGTCGCCGCACCCGGCGGCCACAACTCATACTTCCGCATCGTCCGCGTCATACCATCGTACAAATCCTCCGCAATAGACGAATGCCCCCTCGCCTTCTCAAGTATCGCAAGCGCCGCAGCAGCCTCCACCGGCCAGACATACGGCCGTCCGCTCGACTTGCAGATATAGGCGTCCAGCATGAAGATGACGTTAGCCATATGAACGCCATACAGCATGCCCAGAAAGCGCAGTCTGGACAGGGCGAAGGGCGAGTCGTCGTCGGTGCCGAACCGGAGCTCTGCCTGCACGACCAGACGCGACTCGCGCAGACAGACTTCGCGTGAATAGGCGTAGCGGGCTTCCGTGTACGCGCGTGCAAAGTATCGGACGTGGAGTCTGCAGAGCTGGGCGTGGAAGAGGCAGTTTAGAGTGTATCTTTGGTTTTCGGCGCACGGGATGTTGGTCGTGTCGGGGTGTGTGAAGGTTGTTGTGCCTTGTTTGAGGGTCAGGTCGAAGAAGGGGGGCATTTCGTCGCGAAACTTGTTCATTTCGGCGTCAAAGTACATGACGTCGCTGTATCCCATGTCGCTCGCGGTTGCTTGTGTTGTGCTGATTCGGTCGGAGCAATCGCGCAGAATCTCGGTGAGTCGGAGACGGTGCAGGAAATATGACATTGTGATAAGCTCAGACATGGGTCGTTCTAGAGGTAGCGTGTCATGGTGTAAGTCGTCGTCGTTGATGTTGAGGGGCTTGCGAACTGCCATTTGTTTAGTGTGGATAGAGTATGAGCCTTCTGTTGGTCCGGGGAACCGTGCAAGCATCCTGAGGTAATGTTAACTGGGTACCCGATGAAGTGCTGTGGACTTTGTACCAGTCCGAGGCCGCAAGATACCACCACACTCTCCTGCTTGTCTCATCTTGAATCGTCTGTCCCACACCTGATTTTGCCGCAGTGTCGACTTGATGCAAGCCCATGTCTCTGGCCATTGTCACAGCTATCGAGAAGAGAATCCGACACCGCAAAGAGATGCCCTCCACGTTACCTTTGAGGAAAAACACAATGATGTAAGCCTGGACCGTCTCGAGAGACTTATGACCAGAAATTTCGGCCTTGTGTAATATGTCTTCAGCAGCCTGGAGGAATATGGGGCTTAGTCTGCGAGCCACAGAGAGCGGTAGCCAGCACTGGGACTCTGCGTCCCTGTCTGACCAGAAGTAGGTTGCACTAGCCATGATGGCAAGGGCAAGTGCGGCATGCCCAATATCAACTCCATGCTGGTCAGTCACACTGCCAGTCGGCAAACTGTCGAGCGTCGATATGAGATCGTTGAAGACCTTTCGCAATGACTGTTCATGAACGATCGGGTGAATGGAGGTGATGTCTCTGATATACTTGTCGAGAAGAGTGAGCATTTCATGGCCCGGAGGAAAGTCAATTCGACGCCATGACTGCTTGGTCGCGCTCAAGATTGCCCTGGCCGGACACGTTGTGAAACATAGTTGGTCAGCTTGGGAGCTCTGGTTCTTGTCAGACAGACTGATAGGGGAAGATGGAGTGTCGTAAAGGGCATGTCTGAGGCTCTAGCAGCATCACTTACAACATCACGTCCTCGCAGACCAACTCGCTCAAGCGACGCCAACTCATCCACAACATCCGCACAAACCACAGCCCCCACAGTTCCCCCATCAGCCATCGCCATTCCACTCACCACTCCCATATTACCCTCATCTCGACCAGCCTGCTGCTGCCCCCGAACCAGATCCTCAAGGTCCTGTAACCGTGCCAGAATCTCATGCTGGTCCGGCATAGGCCCTGTCGTCGTTGTCCTTGACGTCGAAGCGCTCCGCACCGTTCCCCTAGCCGGGGAGGCAGCGCTGGATGAGATGTAGGAGCATTTATGGCCTCGACTGCTGCAGTTCACACAGGGAGCATCGCGACTGCAGCGGAGTTTGCGGCGGATACAGAAGTCGCATGAAATGGGTTTTCGGGGTTGATGGCTGGCTAGGGCTTTTCTTTGGGTCATGGTGGGAATGGAAATCCCGTGGAATGTCCTTCGCTGCTGGACAGAGGATAAAGAAGATTAAGAGAAATGTGGGAAAGAGAGGAGGGATAAACATGACGGTGAGGGGACGGAGTCCGCCCCCGTCGTATCCATTTGAGGCTGTACTAATCCTGATATAGTCAGGTCGACTTACAAGTGACCAATCAAAGGAGTCCTCTGGCTTCACGGATCAACGCAACAACTAAACGTTGCTTTGGCAGGATTGGAGAAAGAGGTTACAAAGGGATGTATAAAGGCTCGAGTGCTACCGTACTTCCAGCAGCAATCAAGCTTAAAGAACAGTCACTATTTTCGACATGTCTTCCCAACTCATCACCGCAGCTGAGGAGCTATTAGCTCTGGCCAAGCAAGATCAGAACAAACAGTATATCCACACTGCTACACTGGAAGTGGCTGATAAGTTCCGCTGTCTGTGTGAGACTCCACTCGACATAGTCTTGCGGCAATGGAAATCGGTGAGACAGAATCAGAACGGGTTGATCGGGGCACACTTGCTAACTTGCTCAGTCTCATCTGACCGCCGCTATCGACGTACTCAAGTCTCTCAAGGTCTTTGAAAACATGCCCGAGAGCGATTCCATCACTGCTAGCGAGCTTGCGCAAAAGTCTAATGTCGATGCATCTGTCATTAGTCAGTGTATATCATGAAACATGTTCTGCTTGACAGCTAAAACTCAATAGCTCGATGCATGAGGATGCTCTGCGTAGAAGGCATCGCTCATGAGACGGAACCAGGCGTTTTCCTCCACAACGAAAAGTCGCTGGCTTTCATGTCTGACAGTCCGATCGCAGCCTTTTTTGAAATGGTGTACGTACAAACGTCATGTCCCTTTCTGTCGCTCGCATTTACTCAGATGAACATGATAGACTCGACCAAGACATGGTCCTGCGTAAACTCCCAGAGTATTTTGCCACGCATACCATCGCCGATTTCTTCGATCTCAAGAAATCACCATGGGTATATGCACTTGGACATGAAGGCAGGCCATTCTATGAAGTTCTTGCCGCAGATCCAGTCCGGGCAAAGAGATTCGACGTTGTTATGGGACAAGCAGATAAACTATTCGATATCCGCGGTACATACCCTTTCGCAGGGGCAAAGGCCGGTATAGAAGCCGAGCCTGATCGTGCTTTCATCGTCGATGTTGGCGGTGGTAATGGCACGACGCTGAAGACGATCCAGCAAGAAGCACCTGACGGGTTTGGCGCTGCCATGGTGCTGCAAGACAGACCTGATGTGCTCGCGGCGATTGATGAGAATGATGTCCCAGGGGTGACAAAGATGGAGCAGGATATCTTCGCACCACAGAAAGTGAAAAACGCGCACCTGTACCTGATCAGACGCGTACTGCACAACTTTTATCCAGAGACCTGTGTCAAGATTCTGGAGAACATCGCGAGTGCCATGGGACCGACATCGAGATTACTGGTATGCGATGCTGTGTTAGCTGATCGGACTCAGGTGGGAGAAAACGCGATGACATGTTTTATGGACATGTCGATGATGGTGATGACTGGTAGGGAGAAGACGGCTAGGGAATTCCGAGAGATTGCGAGTGCAGCCGGTCTGGAAGTTGTCAAGTTCTGGCCAGATCAAGCAGGAGCTCAGGTTGTGATTGAGATGAGGCTGAAGGATTAGAGCTGTGGCTTGTAAGGGCTCTTCTGCGTTGTCGTCTGAGGTGGTATATATCTTCTGTTCACGCAGTATCATCCAAATACAGAATAAATCATGATGGAACTATATGGTGAGAAAGACCAATGGGAAAGTAGTCATGCTGTTGGAGCAACAGAAGTTCGTTAGTTCTGATCTTGATCAGCCCCCACCTGAAGCGAGTCATAGAGTAGTTAATTAGGCAGCCATCTACGACCATGACTGGAGTGATAATTGTGATGATACAGTAATGAAGCTCGCGCGAGTCTGCTTGTGAGGTGTGATGTTGTTACAATGACACTGAGCGTATAAAGCACAAAGTGCCACTACTTCAATCTCGACAGAATAAGCCGCCAAGATGACGATGCCCTCAGAAGAGCGTCATGCTTCACGTCAGAAACGACGGTTCCAAACAGAGCTCGACCGCCTAGCAGAAGTACCAACAGACTTCTTCAGCATGGAAACGAAGCAAGCAAACCCATACGCATGGGTTGGCACAGTCAAGGGACCGTCGCACTCACCGTACGCCCACGGAAAATACAAGACAAGAATCGAGTTTCCGCAAGAATACCCACGCCTACCGCCCAAGATCAAATTCGAAACCAAAATCTACCATCCGTGCGTTGACGAAGAGGGAAGCATTGCTCTGCGGGCACTTTTGTTGCATGAATGGTCTCCTGTGATGACGATTGGGAAGTTGTTGCTGGACGTCGAGGTGGTTCTGAACGACCCAGAAACGGACAACGCGGTGGTGGAAAGAAAGAAAGGATATTGCTGTGGAGCTGCAGACGGACCGGGAAGAGTTTGAAAAGACGGCAAAGAGTTGGACAGAGCAATATGCAATGGGCAATGAGGAAGTTGATACAGGGGTCAGGACGTAGTTAAGGCTCAGTGATCCTGTGTCGGGTTTGGAGGATCTTGGAAGATGACGTCGAATATGCAGTTGACTCGTCAGATCATTGGAAGACGTAATTCATTGATGCAATAGTGATGATATGGTGCGAAGACGGACGTTCTTGCATATTGTCGCTGTTCTACTAATTATGGATCGGAAATATCTGTCAGGCCACGTCGGGGAAGTTGCCGACAAGAACCGAAAGTTCATGCTGCTGGTGCACCAGCTGTGATACCGTTCATCGTTATTCGGTATAATTAGTCGCCAGCATAGACATGTGAGATTCAGACCCAAGTAAGGGTCGAGGGTGTGTATCTGCAGCAGCCTATCAATTCTAGGCTTGTGAGTAGGAAAGGACACGAGGGCTAGAACGATGCGGGAAGAAGGAGTCAGGAATGCCATGATAGCGGGCCGTGACAGCGGTACAGGCCGAAAGCTAGCTCTTCTGAAGGGACACGGATCAGTCACATGTTAACAGTGGTCATGACTGCTTTGTTGATTGGTTCGAGAGCGAAACTAGTCCATGCTGCGCCATGTGTGTGTGTATATAGTAGGGTGGCAGAGGCAAGGGCAATTGAAAGAGCATGTAGCCATCAGATGACTTCCATGGAAGTGTGGAGTCGGAGTGATGCTATGTTGACTAGAGACGATGATAGGATCGTCTTTGTGGGTTGTTTGAGGCATTCAGTCAGTGGTTACCGCTGCTTGTTCCGACTGAAGGATGCAGAGGAGAAGAGCGGCAGGAGGACGAGTCTAAGCTTCGTCCAAGCAGAGAAGGGTTGGAGAGTGGGCGAATGGGCGAGAAAGCAGTGCGCGATTAACTATACTGACACTGGGTAAGAAGATGACGGCCGTCGTCACTGTACAGCAAAATGGAGGAGGTGGCGGCCTGACAGAATCCTACTCATGCAGGCTGACGGCACGACCTCTGCGAGGACGCAAGGGCGATGAAGTTGAGTCGTGGAGATACACACCTGAACAGATGATTTGTCTCGCGAGTCACAGGCTAAGGCTGGCTGGCTGGTGGCCGTGTGGTGCAGGTTGGCGGTGTAGAGGAAGTTGAGGAGGTGGAATGCCGGCTCGAGAGGTGGAAAAGAGAATTGTCGGATACCCGGAGTGGGTGCGCCGAAAGGTAGATTGAGTACAAGTTTATTCCACATTACCTATAGGGTACATACATCTGGTGTGCCGGGTCTAGGGCTGGTCAGGATGCTGACACGGGTGAGACGAAAGACATGTTTAGTAACAGTAGATGGATGAGGCAGATGCATGATGTTTCATGTATAATGCAAAGCCACGTACAGTTTGTGTGTAGGTAGCCATTTAGGAGTATTATGTCAAGATGATCAGACTCATATAAGCTGGGTAGTCCTGGCTGGCTTCAGACGCGCGGAAACAAAGTTCCAAGAATGCTGGAGAGTTTCTGAGGAGTATTAGAGAGTAATTTAACATGTAACATTGATTGAATGCTGGCCGTAGACATGTACGAGAGATATTCATTCCTTGAGCAAAAGGCACGTTTAGCCGGGTAGAGGCGTGGAGGGCGTGGAGGCATCCATGGATGATGGCGTGGGGCGAGGGCGGGATGAAGCAGTAGACACAGTAATGACTCTAGGCAGTTATTCTACGGCCCATATGGACAGGTATGCTGGACTTGTGCTGGACATGAGCTGGACTTGAGCTGGACATGAGCTGGAGGTTGGTAATATGCTTACTGTAGTAGGGTTGGTTGGTAGGAAAGGGAATTAAGCTAGCCAGGTAATTAATTAGTAGGTGCCCGACGGACAGGTGGAGGTGGTATCCTTCATGGCACTAATTACCTTAAGCTTAGCCCATTTACTACATAGTCAAATCCACCTCGGGGGGCAGCAGGGCAGGCTCAGCAGCTCCACCAAGCCCCAGTCCCAGCCCCAGTTCCACCACCGCCCCCTTACTTAAACTGGGCAAGTCACTTGGTATTTATTTATGCATGGAACGACAGTTGGCATGCTCAGCTGCAGAATGCAGGTCAAGTCGGGTTTCAACTGTAAAAGTCGGGGTTTGTTGCAGCTGCGCAATGATATGTGGATACGATACAGAACGTCAAAGCGACGGAGCGACGACGACGACGACAACAACAACAGTTAGGCAGAGGCAGATAGATCTCTCCAATCTCATAAAGAGGCATTCGTTGTTGTTGATTGACATGAGCACCTATCTATATGAGACTGCCAGTATCGAGGAGCAAGACGAAGAAGAAGACAGACGAAGCTGGAGTTGGAGATGCAGCGGTGGGACCTCCTGCACTGCACGCTGGTGGTGGACCTGCCCCAACTACCTAGTACTTAGCCACTAATGCATGGCTTGCGACATAAAATGACATCACGCTGCCTCTGCCTCAGATCATGCACAAGCTACTTACTATACTGTATCACATCACCGAAACAGACACGGTAGATTCGCATAGGCCAATTGGCATCTTCACCCCAACTTGCGGTGAATGACGATGATGATGAAAGTGAAGGTGAAGCTGGAGGGGAAAGTGATGCTGGAGTCATTCAATATCGGCCACCCAACAATCCCCCCTCCCTTACTCCCGTCTCCCACTCTCGATCGTCGCCGGGACTTCACGTCGGCGCCGCCCCAAGAGCCTATTCTTGTCCTGAAACCAACAAAACGAACGAGGTCAAGCCGAAATCCCTATTACGCCCATGCCCACCCAAATTCATTCCTCACTCAAATTCCCCAATCCCGTCGCTCCAATCTCTCTCTGCTCTCTAAGAAACCTCTCTATCCCTGAAACTGTTAACATCGCCTTTCCTCTCTACTCTGCCCTGTAAAATACTCTCGCTCCACTCTCCTACCTTTTGTCTTCTTCCTTTTCCCACCACTCTTCTCCACCTGCTTCTCCAACGAGTCCAACCATCATCTTCCACCTCCCTCCCGCCAGCCTCCTCCACAGTTACGCCAAGGAACCCATCGCTCCCTTATCGCTCTGTTGTCCTCAATCTACCCGATTCAGTCATTGAGCACCCAACTGGCATGCCCAACAAAAATAGTCCGAGCTTCTGCTAGCTACTAAAACGTCTGTTCACTGCGTTTGTCTAATTTACAACATTGCGCTGTTCGCTCACCGCTAAAATGCCACTCGCCGCCCCTCCCGTGCCGAGTATGTCCTACTCGAGCATGATTGAGGAAAAAAATCTCAAGGTCAGCTCATCATGAATCTCGATCTCGGTGGTGGTCATTTTAGTGACAGCAACGTCAAGAAAACCTTCATCGTCGCTACCCTTGTCTCTACCCTCATCGGTACCTTCACCTCCTCCCACAACCTCTACGAACGTCTCGGCGAGAAGCGCAAGCAGCACAAAAAGGACGAGCAGCAAAACGATGCCATCAAAGAGCTCAAGGATGAGATCAAAGACCTGAAGAAAGGCGGCAAGAATGATGCCCGTCGTGACGACTCCCCACGCGCTGACAATCTCGTCAGCTCTTTGGATCAATCTGGCCAGATGATACAACGAGAGTTCAACAATGGCTTTGCCCGCCTAGGTGACCGCTTTGCTGGAGGTGACCGTACGTGAAACACTCGCCTGGCTGGCGCTTGCCTCTAGTGTTGGATTGACTGCAAAACTGACACTGGAGTAGTCGTTACCGAGAATGCCTTACAGAAACAGATTATCCAACTGCAGCAGACTGTCATTAATGTTCTTCAAGATGCTGTCAACAGTGGCCGTCAGCTGAGTCAGCGCGACATCGACAAGCTTGCCATGGCTTCCGACATGGCACGCGATAATACCTTGGAGGCTCTTCGCTCGCAATACCAACGTCAAGCTGGTCAGGATGACCGCCGTATATCACTTGCACCTGCTGCATCAGAGCGACTGAGGATCACCAGTGGCCTAGAAGACCTTTCACTTGCACCTCCCAAGCGTCCCAATCCTGCCAATTCCCTGTTTTGCCCGTACGCCATGGACCTCCAGGACATGCCTCGCCGTGCTCTGGCCGGCGCATTCGATGCTGGCCGAGGCGATGGCTGCTGTCCCGATTGCCACATCCGTGTGAGTGTCAACAGCCAAGATAGGTGGAAGATTCGTAAGCGTCTGCCTGTGCTCGTGTCTCGAAATGGCCGACAGGAAGAAATCATTGAGGAGCACGTCTTCGAAATCGGTCCTCGCTTGGTGGTCAAATGCCACACCGAAAGCGGAGGTTTCGCCTGCCTTCTTTGCCACAAAACGCGCGACTTTGATGCGCTCTGCAAGGATCCAGAAGTGCTCGTGTCCCACATTGGCAAAGCACATAACATGGAGGAATATTCCTCTGAAGTCGACATTGTGGAAATGTAGTCGGCGTAACGACGGGCTCTCGGTAAGAAAGCATCACCATTCATGATTTGTACAGCAACCTAGCGAACAGCACGCAGGAAGCACGTCTGCTTCATTTCTCAGTCTGCAATTTAGCGGCATGGCGTTGTCGGTGGAGTTTCTTCCTTGATGCATAGCACGATTTGGATTTTTGCATAGCGCCTGTAACATATATCCGGTCGATCCTTTGTTCCGGTCGGCTCGCTGCACATGTAGCCATATACTCCACCTCGATCCACGCGATGACTACTAGAGATAGAAAAATAACGACTCTTCAAAGGAACCCGCTTCTGAAGTACACGTAGTGTTTCGCATGTCACCTCAACCTCCCGGCGCGCTAAGCACGTCACATTCCTTAGGCACCCTAAGACTGCGGGTACCACTTCCCGCAGGTCTGGTCCACTTCATCCCAACCGAACTCACTCTTGTTTTGACCTCACTCGAATCTTCATAATATGGTAATCATGATTATTTTTTCGCTGGCCAGTATCTTGGGCGATCAGCCTGCATGCTGGTACGAGTCTGGCACATTCCATTCCATTCGCCATCCAGACACTGTTTTCCAGCAGGAGGACTTTTCTCATTCTCGAGCTCAACACCAAGGCGATCTCTTTGTCCAGATACCTGCTGCCCGTGCGAGCTGCCCAAAGCTAGAATATTTAAGTATCCCACGTCTGTTATGCTTTCGGATACTCAACATATCCTCTCCTGCGTCTTCGCCCCAATACAGCAACTTGACTTTCGAGAACTGGAGCCGTAGCTGACATTACAGCGAAACGATGAGTGAATCTTCGGGACAACCAAAGGTCGCCATACTTGTAAGCATATCCCACCCAGCCTTTACCAGAAAAGTACCTCTTCATCCTTGCAATCTCTCGTTTCTTTCATGTCACGCACCACACTTATGTCTTCAAAGGTAATCGTCCGATCTCCCGAATCCAACGACAAACACGGCAAACCCACCAAGTCCCGTTTTCCTTGTTTTCCCTCTAGAAAAAGTAAAAAAAAACCCGACCCATGGGTTGTCCTCATTGAACAAGATCCCAAACAAGATCCCAAACAATATCTCATCCCCACCGGCATGATCGACCACCACTTGGGACTACGCGGCGAGGTCATGAACGGTCTCCAAAAAAGTTTCGGCCTCGTCATATCTAGAAAGGAGATGACAGACCTGACCGATCTCGCCGCCGGCGGCGATGGCTCGCTCAAGTCCTTCTCCCACTCTGACCCCCTTAACCCCGTCTCCAACAAAGACCTTCTCCAATCCCACAACGCAAAGGACCCGTCCGCCGGTGCCTGCGACGAAAACGTCCGGATCTTCTTCCACGCCCGCAATATTCATGAGGCTTACTTCGACTTTCTGGAGAACCACAGCGATAATAAAGTCAGTACCGTGCGCATCTGTAAGTTGAAGGACCTGCGCAAGAAGGCTTGCAATGATGCCAACGCGTTGTTGGCGTTGCGCCTGTATAGTAAGTTTAAGGAGAGGTTACCGGTCCGGAATCATATGAAGGAGTCACCGTGGTTTGATTCGGAGATTAGTGCTCGTGCGTGGCGGGAATGGCCGGGGAGTCTTACCATGGATTAGTTTTGACTTTGGATTTGTTTTGTTCTGAGTGGGTCGGTGTGTGGGGAGAGGGAGAGGCAGCAGCTTTGATTCGAGATGACGAGATGGAGACGGGGTATAATTATGAATCGTGTTTCTATCTCAGCTCTTAGGAATGAGAAGCCCGCTCGCCCGCCCGCCCGCCCCCCGCCTCTGTGGTCGGATGCCTGCTTGTCTGATATACACACATAGCGTTCTGCCGGTGTGCGAATTTTGAAGACGGACCAGAGCTGCGGAATTATGCGGTGGCAAGTCGCGGGCTTCTATCTATCAATCTACTATCCTTCAAGGATGGTGGGACGGAGTTGAATGGCTGTCTTTTACGCACCGATTTGGGAGTTATAGCTACGTGACGCTGGCTAAACAGCTTATCGACATCGGGCGTCGACGCTGGCGGAAATGCTCGGAATGGGGCAGTCTTTCCTATTATTAGCAGTAGAACAATAGAACGAGCACCCGACGACTAACAACAATGTATGCAATGTATGATGCTGGTGTAGGATACTTACGACCCATTGTAACCCTCCCGATTCCCGAACAAAGCCGAACAATCCAAACAGACAGGGCAAGGGGTCGTCCCCCCCCGTACGTACGTACAATCGAATCTGTGTGCCTTCCACACAACAAGTGTTTCCGTGCGCGCGCTCTCTCAAGCCAGTGGCGTGCGAAGTTGCCGGTACTGAGATTCCCAGAACCGCTCGAGGTAGGCCAGGCTGGGCCGTTTGTTGGGATCGGAGTCGACGCATGTATTCACCACGGCGATCCAGGCCGCTGGGAGGTTGTGCCCGTGCCCGTGCTGCCAATCTACCACGACTTCGTCTGAGCTTGAGATATCCTCGAACGTTGCGCCCGTCGGCTCGCTGAGAACCATCCACATGCTGCGGCCGAGGCTGAAGACCTCTGCTAGCTCCGCTGCGCGTGGGCATTCTCTTGTCCAGACCGGGAAGACGTTCCATGTGTTCCACCCGTTTGTTCCTGGTGTGGTTGCTGCGGTGTTGCGGCGTGCGGGTCCTGCGTACTTGGTGTAGCGCAGAAGGGGTCTGGAGTCGAGAGTCACCTCTTCGACGTCCCATGTACCGTCGATCTCGGGAGCTGCTGTTGAGATGGGGGCGTCGTCTTGTTCCCAGTCGATTAGCACGGCGTTCAGGTCTCGGTCGAGGAGAAAGTTGCCGGGTTTGAGGTCCATGTGGTAGGTATGTCCTTCGTGGTGGACGTGTGCGACTGCTGAGGACATCTGGTGGCACCATTGAGCTTTGAGAAGCAGTGGAATCTCTTCGCCGGATTGGTTGCTTCGCTCGATGTAGTCGCTTATTGATCCATTCGCTAGGTAGGGGTAAAGGGTTCCGCATACAACAGGTGTGCGAGTGTGAGTGTTTGCGAGAGTGACGAGGGTTTGTGCTGGAGGCAGGATGTTGGGATGGGGCGGCATGTGATTGAGAAGCTCGATGCTATGGTAGAAGCTTCTGACCACCTCGTTCACGTGTCCGCTTTCGTAGGTGTGTAGAAATGTCCGGAAATCAACACCCTTGAAGACTAGTAGAGTCGTGGGATCCGAGGCCGTGTGTGCGAGAGTGGCACAGCCTTTGCCGCCGAGCTGTTGAGACAACACAAGCTCTTCGAAGCCCACTAACTGAACAGCGTCTCCGACGGACAGTTTGCTGACCGGCAATAGCAAGCCGATGAAGTCGTCGAACTTTGGCTCATGACAGATCCGCCAAGTCACCCTGCGACTGTCGTTTGCCAGGTCGGCGTCCAAAAGGTCAATGATGGCATCCGGATCCGTGACAGTAGCCTGCTGGCTGCACTTGTCCCAGACCTGAGCGACTGCATTCCATATCGCACGGCGCATATCGGCACGTTCGACAAAGGTAGCTTGTGGATCGTCCACTTCGACATCGTGGAAGCCGTTCACGATTCGTGTTGCTAGAGACGACTTGGCTGGATTGCTGGTGTCTCGCGTCAGGCGGAATGTCAGAGTTCTCTCATGCCCGTAGGCCTGGGCGAATACCACGTCTTCTTCGTCATCGCCCCAGATCCATTGCCCCACCACTCCGAGTGTTTGGAGGGCCGCGTTCTCAGCGGTCATGGTGACTCGGCGAGGGTGCTCACTGTTTGATGAGTGCTGTCTGGGGATGGGTGTGAGTCGTGGCTTGAATGTAGTTGCTAGTTCAACCACAAGTTTGATCTTTGGTGAATTTTAGATCTATGCTATTGGATGTAAAAGTCAGACGATGCATTGATTAGATACAGATCATAAGGGTAATAATTTGAATAAGAGGATTAAAAGTGTAGAAGTAATATAAGAATTATCTTTAGAAAAGATATATGAAGACTATATATATCTAGCGCCCGCTAATTAGCGCCCTCACCAAAATCACGACTTGAAAACCACCTTTTACGAATATATTAATTAATTCAACCACGGCCTTATCCGAGAGAGATATCCTCATGCCCTATATACATTTTAATGCCTCGCTGTAATAAATTTAATAAATGATCATTATTGTAATTCTACTAGTACATAACATTATCTATATGATCATAGTTCAACTTACTGCTTTTCCACCCCACTGTGCCTTCATATCTCCATGACTTGTTACCTGCATCTTCTGGTCCGCCGCCTCCTCCTGTTGCCTTCTTAGATCTTCTGGTAGTATCCTTCTCTCCAGACTAACCTGTAGTACCGTGGCTCCTCCAACCATTTCCCCTCCACCCATCTTATCATTATCGATGTCATAGTACAAGGCCCACTTCAGACCATCCAATCTGTCCTCCTCTGGCACCTCAACCGCGCAGAATCCTTCCCACCCCTCGAGCGTAACACCAACCTCATCATCCGTCCAATCCCACGGCCCAACAACATGTGCTATCGACGCAGTGCGATTGCCATATCGCAAGCCCAGCGTCTCCCTGTCCACATAAATCCAGTTCAACATCGGCGGATCCACGGATATCGTACTGACCAAGCCACGCTGTGGCGGCGAACGCTCCTCGTCCGGGTATTGTATGTAGAACCCCGTAAAGGGATGATGCGAACCGTCCACGGGCAGTCCTGATGTCTCGTCCGTCGGAGACAGCCATAGTCGATCGCCGCGAAGGACGACGATGCTGGCGTTGACTTCGCGCCCTTGCGGCGTGTTGGGCGTGCAGAAGCTGTCGAGGTAGAATTTCACCATTCGGGTGTCGTCTGCAGCTTCGGCGTTCTGGTTCCTCTGGTGGTGCACACCCTCGGCTACGCCGGTCACGACTGGTATACCGGTCATGACGCCGCCGTAGAAGATACCAAGGGGAACAAGGGCCATGTTCATGAATATGGCTGATGTTCTATAGATGATGGCGGTATGAGATATACGAAGCGCTAATGTAGAGAGGCTGCGAGACTTACATTTAGAACTCGTCCCTGTATATATTATACTAGGCATTGTTGGAATACACATAGCCTAAATTGCCTATCTTCCGTTTATAGGTAATCTAATTTATAATATATGAGAGATATGTCAAAAGAGTTTAGATTTATTATAAGGATTAGAGGTCTACACACTAACCACTACACTAAAAGGACCGAATCTATTTAAGGTGGTACTTAAATCACATGATATATTAGTAAAGTGGCTTATTAATAGGTTCTTCAACTGACTATAGCTTTTAGCAGTGACATATATACGTGTACATAAGCATCTACGACCTTTCTCACCTTTTCCAACCCCAATTCGTCCGCCATAATGTCATTAAACCGCCTTATCCAAACGCTGCCACGCCGCTGCGCACAGCGCGCCCCAGCCGTCCGAACGACCATTGTGCGACGCCATCTTAACAAGGACACGTCTCCCATCCTCTATACAGCCCATGCTAGCGTTACAGGCGCAAGAAATGGACACATCCAGAGCGAGGGTCTCACCACCGATCTTGCAACGCCTAAGAGCCTGGGAGGCGCCGGCGGAAAGACAAACCCCGAGGAATTATTCGCGGCAGGGTACGGCGCGTGTTTCCAATCCGCCATGAACATTGCGGCCTCGCAGCTTGGTGTCAAGCTGCCCACGAAGACACAAGACAGTATCGTTGAGACGGCCGTCCATCTGATTGGGGATATGAAGGCGGTCGATTTGGGGATCCGGGTTGATATGAAAGTAAAGGTCAAGGGTATTAGCAAAGAGGATTTGGACAAGGTTGTTGCCAAAACGAAGGAGATCTGCCCGTATAGCAAAGCTACACAAGGCAATGTTTCTACCAATATTGAGACGATAATCCTGTAGATACTTATACTTTAAATTTTAGATAAAGAGAAAAAAAATAAAGTGCTATGGTTTCAATCCTAGTAAGAATTTAAATATTCATCTTAATTTTGCTATAGTAGATTTATAAGGGACTACTTGTCTCTCTACCTAGAGCTATTTAGAATCTTCTTTTTCTAACTAATTTAGACTAGTTCTATCGAACGAAGTAGAGTATCTACCTATAACTTTTTAACGCGACTCATACCATATTATACATATAATATTAGAGTTATTAAAAAAATATAGGTTTTAAGAATATAAGAATATGTATATTATATATGTAACACGTGCCAAGAGTCGCGCTGAAAAGGTTATAGACGGATGCTAGTTAGTGAAACATCTCTTTTCCCGGCCGCTCGTGGCAACAGTGACGTCAATATTTATGTCTAGGTCTCCTTCCCCAGGCACAAGCCAATCTCCAACAGATGAATATATTTCCAGTTCATCGGATGATTCTTCCACGTCAGCGCATTCCCTCAGTGTTCTGCTTGTCACTATTTAAAGGATATTCCAGGATGAGCTGGATGGACTCATGGTCGCGCCCAAAGAAGCAATCGGCTGTACCGCCGCCGTTCTACCTGACAATCGGTGAAGATGCTCGGTATTGCAAGACCTGTGGTCGAATAATGAGTGTGTGTCTTGGACGGTAACGAGCTTAAATCGATCACTTGTGCTTATGCGCGCCAGACTCCAAGAAATCGAATCCCATATCAGCCAACACCGTCAAATACTGCTCAGCGCGCTGTAGGGGTCGCAAACCTGGGCCGAATGACAAACGAATTGAGAGAGCCATCGTAGATCTCTTAGATGGAAAGGACGCCTCCGGGCTAGAATTGACGGCTGCAAAGGCTAAATGCGTCAAAGGAGACAAGAGGCTCATTGTTACTATGGATGAAATCGAAGCCATCGTGTTCGGCAGCAGATTTGACCCAGAGAAGATATATGGCCGGAAGAAGAATAGAGCAAAACGTGCTCTGGATAGCGAAGAAAACTCGAACACTGTTGATACAGAAGACAGTGGTTTATCAGAAATCACAGGCACCACGGCTGTTGTAACCGACACAGTCCGAGGCGGCGCGTCCATTCGGTTACCACAGACACTATCCGACGTCAATGGCAGCATCGGTGGAGAGAAGAGCCGGGCTGAGCGACAGGTAGAGTCGGAGGAAGCACTAGATAAGAGAGCAGTTGGCGACAGGCGCGCCGAAGAGCGTGAGATGGTACGAAGAGCAGCAAGACGAGGTATCGTCTTCGGCTTTGTTGCTCAAGGACATGGTATGGCGGACATACAAGACAAAGCGTCGCGAGTGAAGGAGTGCAAGTATGGACAGAGCGACAAAGACAGATCCGAGGATACTCTCCGAAAATGCGAGGCTGTCATGCTTGGACAGGTTGTAGAGCCTAGTTTCGCGAAGGGTGATTGGGGTATACGATGGCGAGAATGAGGGACTTACGGGAGCGCAGTGCGGGATTGTACATTTGCGATCGTCGATATGATGGTCCATACCCCCTGTGCGACAATTCTAGCTCTGCCCAAAGGGCACTCGCCGATAGCTCAGGATAAGACAGACTCCATACATAATTTATAGGGATTTCCGGCTGAAGAGCTCCGATCTCCACGTATTCGAGCTTATATTCTCTTTCACTTTGTCGCTCAACGACCCTAATGAACGACTGCGGAAAGGACATTTGAATCATCTACCTTATCACAGCCCGCATACGGGTCACTAGGATCACGATCTACAGTCGAATACGATCTCCTATTGTCTATCTCCAAAGTCAACCGCTCTTGATCAATCGACCCATGGAGTAGCAGCCTCTACAGCTTAAATTTTTCGGCGAGAACATGGGAGACCAGTTGGATATGTCCTTGAATGTCAAGTATTCTTCGAACTCATCCGGGATATATGGGGAGCCTTCGGGGTAGGTGGGTACTGACGTGACGGCGACGAAGGTGCTAAGTGTTAATATGAAGGATAACTTTACCGGTGATTGATGGCTCCTGGTCCGAAAATGTAGGTCTCCTGTTTATAGTGCATATTAGATATGGACACAGAGGACCGTGTCTTGCAACGGAAGATGTTCCAGGCGAGGTAAATCTTTCGAGAGCGGCCTGCCCTCTACATTGAATGCTTCTACATATAGCCCAGATCGAAGTCGGATGGTATGTAGTACATAGCCCGTCCATTCATAATTTACGTCTCATGATGCTCCACTTCTCGTGCCCTCTGCAAACTTCTTCATCCTCGCCTCTGCGGCCCTTGCCCTCCGCTCCCTCTCTAGCTTCTTCCTCATATCATCAGTCATCCCTCTAGCCTCCGCTTCTCTCTTTTCCACAGCCGTCTTCTCCAAGCTTGCTAACAGGCGTCCCTTTCCGAGCCTTTTATCCTTCTTCGCCGCTTCCTCTTGCTCAGTGACTTGTCTTAATTTCTCTGTCGCAGCTTGCCGACGAGCCATTTCCTCTGCCTCTGCTGCTTTGGTTTCATCGACTTCACGAGCAGACCGCGCGATTGCATCAGCCTTCGAGAGAGCAGCTGGTACATTTGCAATATTCCAATCCCATGCAGATTCGCCAAGTTCGGTGCGCGCCACGCGGAATGCATCGCGCGTTGCGCGGTCGCCGGCTAGCTGGAATGGCGTCCTTGCTTCGTCGTTCATAATAGTGGGATCAGCTCTCGCTTTAGTTAGAAGAGCTGAAATGACTACAGGAGAGTTTATTGACGCGGCTAATTGCAGTGGAGTACGAGTGTGATGGTACTGGGATGCCGGGTGGAAGAAGAAGTCTGGACTGAGAGAGTTCGATGTGAGATAGGACAATAACGCCGGCGCCTTCGACCGTCGTATAAGAGATGTGATCTGTGTCGTGTGCATTGCTGCGATCTCTTCTTCCTTCGACGGCTTTGTAGGTGAAGATTTAGGAGGTTTAGACGTTGCTTTCTGGTCGTTTTCAAGGGTAGGGGAGGATGAAATGTTTTCCCGCGTAATCTGTGAGACGTCTGATATCTTCATTCTGGTGAGCTCCACATAAGAGCGAATCAATTCGTTTTGTGTAGCTCTACGGGTACTAAATGGAAAACTTCGTAGACGAGGATCATTGTGCCTCAGGACCTGGCCTTCATAAGGACCGTAAAGCGTACGACGATTGGTACTTCCAGTGGCCCGGATGAACAGTAGCTCTGCGCCACTTATCATGTCCTTCCAATCTGCTAGAAGTTGCCGTACTTCGTTCGTCAAGGCGGCCTCATTGTATCGACGCAACGAGGAGCCCGCAGAATGGGCAGCGCCCTTGGCCGCATCATTTGCAGATTGCGACCCTCCTTGTTTCCGACGTGTGGTGTACCTATGAAAAGTCTTGTGGGCTACAACAGAGGCTTTTAATTGATCAGCGCCGGTATGTTGCTTCCCAACTTTCGGGGTCAAGGATACAATCATCGCAGCAAAGTGTCCACCACCAATCATGCACAGGAAGTAATGTGGGTTTTTAGGTGTTCCTTTGACGGCACCTGCATCCTGTCTGGCTTCCTTCATCGGCACAGGCGCTAGTTGTTTTGCTTTTATCGTTTCGGCATAGTGAGTGGCTGTATCTTGACCTTCTAAGGGAAGTACTGCACGATAGACACCAAGTAATGTGTTCTCTGGTATATTCATACTAGAAAACCATAGCATTGGACCATTGCCTGCACTGGGCCTAGGCCTGGGTGTCACAATGGCAGATTCATCGGGAGTCGTAAGCTTGGCTTGTTTCTTCAATAATGCACTCAGGATCGTGCCTTGCGATTTAGTACCGCTATCTCCATCTTCATCTTCTGGGTCAGACGAATCCGAGCCCGAAATACTCTCATCTAAGTCACCTACTAGCTTTTCGAAATCTTCTTCCGAGACCGGTCTACAGCCTTTGAATTTCTGCTTCATATTATATCCGTGTAGATCGGAACGCACGTGTGAACGCTGTTCTCGAAGGTCAGAGAAGGTGAAGCTACAAAGGGCGCATGAGAGATTCGGAGTTGGTTTCTCGCGATTGTCGTCACGAGCGCGCGACGCTTCTTCTGGTATCGGTGGTATCTTTTCATGTTCGAACAGTGCTTTTTCGGGTTCGTTTTGGCCTTGGAGCGTGAGCGTCGTAAGAATCTCTTCCGGAAGGTTGAAAACTGCGATCATGTCAGAAGTGAACAGAATATGACTAATACTATATACTACTTACTGTATAGTGGGCGTTGCAAGAGCGGGTGGTCTGGAAATTCGGCCATATTATATCAAGATTCGTCAAGCAATTACTGGGTGAGTGATGCGATGTTAAGTGCAGTACTTGACATCGAGTTGAGTGTCTGAATCGTTACTCGTAAATATACTCTGTCTAGATGCTAGATGACGTGAAGAGCGTCCGTGCGTACGTCCAAGTCTGCGTTGAACGTTCTAGGCAGGCGCGAGTCAGAACTCCGTGATGCAAAAGCTTATGTGACTCGCGGAATCATTATGCTCTCGAATTGACGTGTATTGCATTCGACGAAAGACATGATCAATAGAAGTACGTCTATACATAACTTCGAAGCCTTACGACCAGCTCATTGTTTGAATGTCATACCTTCTCCCACGGTCTTAAGATCCTATATCCTTACGTCTCTGATTCCTCTTCAGAGTTCTCATGCCTCAGGTCCTCATCATCAGCTTGTATAGCAAGACATTGTTCAACGACGACAGATACAAATCACTCCTCACGACACTTCTTAGTCGAGCTACAGTCCACGAATCCCTCAATATTGCAGATGCAGCAGCCTTCCTGTCATCCGGCTGGCCCAACATCATCCTTGTCACGGATCCAGTCATTACACAACGTAGGCACACGGACTTCAGCTGTGAACTCGTGAAATGGGTTCATTCGGGTGGGACAGCCATTTTCATGGGACGCTTCGCCTGCGATGTGGAGTGGCCAGACCTCAACTCACTCCTGCAACTCCTCCACAAAGACTCAGTCAAGCCTTGGGCGATGATAGCATATTCGAAAGAGCATGTCAAGATCCATCGTAATATTACCGGAATGCGCACGCAAAGTCTACCAGAGACAGCGTTGGTTCGCGCAATGTTTCTCAAGAATGTGCAAAGCGAAGACATGCTGTATTATCACAAAGCTAGCGATCGACGGCTTTGTTCAGCAGCATACGCTCAAATTGGCCTTGGGTGGTTGGGATTCATTGGAAATATGGAGCCCGATGATACTGTTCAGAAGACGGTCATCGCGATGTGTCGACTTGATCATAACAAGTATAGCGATGCAGAGTTTCCATGCAAGCCAAAAAAGGGCTCTAGGCAGGAAAAGCCACGACATGAAAGCATGGAACTGTGATGGCTTAGTATGAGGTTGCTATTAATGCCCGAGGAATTCGTCTGGCTTGACCTAGAGGTACTTGAGGTGGTCTTGCTGTGCTGGTATATTAGCAACTGTACTAGACAAAACACCAGCCCTCGTAGGGTTTTGGTCAGTCGTATGCTCATACTTCCATCCATTGAACCTCTGTCCTATGATTAACTTTCGGCTCAGTATAAAAAATAAGCCACAAGAGCTTCACAAAGTCATTCCGGGGAACTTAGTTTTGTACCAAGATACCCTAATATCACTCTGTTATGTGAGTATAAGGAGGCTTCTTGTGAAGTTGGGAAGCTAGGTGCAGGTTGCCCACAGGATTGCATATATGGACCCAGCCACTCAAACATTCTGGGGTCCATTGGAACATGCGTGCCATATTATTATAGCCATAGACTCAGGCCCTCAAGGGTCCCCAGATGGCCCTAAACCAGGACCTCACAGCGAACTTCTCCCACATACCCGCCCTGCGTCGTGCGTGCACTAATTAGCAGGTCTTCCAATAACTGGAAATGGAACAGCACAGACGCCTTCGATATACCATTTTCAAATCTATCATCCCTTCCTCTCCTACTTGAATAGTCCACACACAGAGTCACCCCTGCACCATCTAAGGCGCTCTCATTGTAATCGACATGCATACCTTCTTCCTTGAACTAATGTTATCCGTATACTAGAGAGCGCGGGCTAAAAGGTATATCCAAACCTCAGCATGTAATTCCTGCCATAAGAAAGTCCGACACCCAAGTCATTTTGGGGTAAACTGGGGGTTGACGGACCGGGGTTGGAAAATTATGTGAACGTAGACCGTGGGGAATAGTCAAATCTGAATTGAGTTGCGAGAGATGTGCTATTATTCTGCGAATGGTACGCATAGCATAGAGGGTTTGTGGTTACGTAGCCTTGACTCTCGCCAAGTGTTTAGTGTCAAAAGAATGAATGACCTCAGTGTCACCGATCTCAGACCGTCCGTGGTAGGAAATACCGTAATAAGGTGGCCTGAGTTCGGCAGAGTCTCGGATCTAAGAATTTATGCGCCCTGGACCTAGCCGCGCCATAGTAATTAGTTACTACCTAATTGACCTAGATATGCTGGAAGTATATCATCAGGTAGTAGTAGATCTGTTTCAAGGACTTAGTGTTCTTCTACCACTGCAAATACTCGTACTTGTTTGTAGTATGGCGGGTTACTAGCAATCAATACTGGTGGTGATGGTCAGAGTAAGTTTATACGGACAATACACTTATAAATCCACGAGATGTTAGCGTCACATCAAGCTGAAACATGATGAGGCGAGGCCCTGAGAATGAATACCTTACTCCTGTATGGTAATTAGTCCACTGTTGCTCTCCACAACCAACCAGCCAAACGAGGGCCTCGTCCAACTTCAGCTGCATGAATAGCAGGGTCTAGGGCCCTTCCACGGTTCGAAACTGCCCGGGGAAGCTAGAGCTGGGCGCTGGAGCTGGCCCGACTGGTTGCCATTCACCTACCTAGCCATGGTCCATGCAGGCGGTCCATGCATCCCTATGTATGAGGTATGTACTATGTATGTAGATACCTGGTGAGTACTGGTGTGGTAGTGTTGCTTGATGGTACCGTACTTAGGTACTAATTATTAGCCTTTAGCCCTGCGCAACTCTGGGAGGAAGGAAGGAGTCTGTCTAGTTCGACAGCCCTTCGGGTTATCCTTAGGTTATTACCTGCTCTCCACCCTACTCTTCCTCCTTTACCACTATCGTCTTCGTCTAGAGTCAGAAGTATCTGTATCCATAGTCAAATCGGAATTCTTCACTTCACTCTGGGAGCACAAGCAGGAGCTGCCTTGCACATCTTCGCAACTTGCTGTGCTCTACGGGCACTGGCTCCAGCTCCACCAAAACTAGTTTTATCCTTCCGCCACTACTCGCGCTTCGCGACACCGTCTCTCTCATACCTCTGCCTATCGACCGCCTTTTAGGTTCGCCTGTGCCCGGTTGATTCTCTAGGAGGAGTCATGACAAGGAGCTTCTCTTTCAATCGGTCTCCTATCGTAAGCTCACTTCTTGATTCCAGTATGGGACCTTGACTTTCTGTTATTCTGTCCTCGCGCATCTTTTGCTCCGATCCTCTTTCTCCACCACCTTTACTCCGCTGACATCTGCAGCATGTCCCAAGCGCTGCAGATTTGAAGTCATTGGCCATATCCTTCATATCGTCGAGGGATACCATCATGCACTCTTCCGGTTCTATGATCAATCGCCGCCCTCTCTCCCCTTCCACCGAGGCCGAGCTACGACGCGCCTGCCAGGCTTTCGCCAAATATAACAAGGGCGACGGCGACTCTGCCAAACCCGATTTTGAGCTGATCCATCGCTACATGAGTGACAAGCATCCTCGTCCACACAATTCTTCCAGACCATCCCATCCTCACCCCAATCGCCGAAGAGATGATTCGTCACAAAAGAGAAATGTCCCAAGACCTGGCAAGCAATCCATGGACGTACATGTACCCTCAGCTTCTCTAGTTCCTTTTCCTGCCAATGTCGGTTATCGAAGAGACTCACCTTCTCCTCACAAAATCGCCTGTGCCGACAAACCTCATAACCAGCGCCAAGATGAAGGAGACTATAATCGCAAGCGCGGCAGCGAGAACCGACACAAGATGCATGCAAATTGGACTCTTGTTGACTCAGATGACAGCTACTCGACTCCTCTCACTACGTCAACTGATGTCGTTTACAATTCTGGCTCAACCGCTATGACATCTCTTGCTAGTCCAAATCGCGAGCCGATACAGGATTGTACAACCAAGTCCAGACTTGAACAAAATGACATACGTTCCAAGAAAGTGACAAATAGGGCCCACGGTCGTGATGAAGCGAAAGAGACCAGCCATGGGGTAGCTGCAGCACGACCTTGCAATGAACGGGTCCGAGGGTCAAGCCGTGAATTGAGCCGTACCAGAAGCATCACAGGAGAAATTCGCGATTACTTTCGCCCAGGCTCAGCTAACAGAGGCAACATAAGTCGGTCAAGTTCTCAAGACTCTATGCGGGACGATGTTTCAGGCAAAAGACGTGGGAGCACGAGCATCTGGCGGTCGTGGAGTCTGCGAAGGAAGGAAAGCAATACGTCTTTGAGCATACAGCCTGGGCACTCACAGGATGACCGATTAGAGAAACCTGTCCCGGACTTGAATCGGGAGTTACCACCTCTACCCGGCTTAGATCAATGGAAAGGAGACAACTCGCTGGACGAGACAACCAGGAACAATCCGAAAGCGCACATCTCACAGTTGATGGTCAAGTCGAGCGCTCCTCCAATGACAGAGAGGTCAATGTCGAAGCCTGAACAGATACGATTGCCCAAAACAAGGAATGAATTGTTGCACCTCAAACCAACGACAGCTTTGAATCACCCCAGAAATGGAACACTGTCTGACGACGCGACGAGAAATATGTTACCTCGCAGGTCTTTGACAGGTGCTGATCTAAAGCAAGCACACGCTATCGTTACAGATAAAGAGAATGCACATCCAGTAAAAACCCAAGCATCAAAGGGTTTCGATTTTGATGCTCTGTTATCTGCGATGGAAAGGACTGAAATCGGTCAGGAATGGATAAAGCCGCAGCGTCAGGCTCAAGAACGCGCTTCTCCAACAGAAGTACTAAGGACCACCACAAGTGCAAAATATAGCCTTGATCAGAATCGCGGCGACATGCCGAACTTTAGTCGAAAGATCAGTTGCGAAGCTCCCCGACGGCACAACACTGCCCCTATAGACCATACACTAGAGTGTTCGAACTATAGCCCAAAACAAACCAAGGGCCTCAGAAGAGTCTTTGGTGGGCTTCTGACGAGGAAGAAAAGTACAATAAAGAATTGGGCTGTGAATGGTCGTGAAGATCACTGCCAACAAGGCGTTGGTAATAATTTTGTTCTTCATGACGAGGCTGCCGATGCGCCGGTTATAAGGTATTAGAGGGACTCATGCCACTAGCCTGTGTAATTTCTTTGTTCTAGTCCAGTGCATAGTTGAGATACCCTGTGGCGTATCATGTGTCTATTTTTACGAAAAATGCGAAGTAACCCAGGACATGCGGTGTTCCAGATGAACAGAGGAATGAAGGACTCCATCATACTTATGACATAGTGCTCAGTCGTACTACAGTGGCGAAATTTATTTAGATTCGCCAAAACTACACGGTCCTGTCCTCTGACACAGCAGGAAATTTCTCCATTCACTCGGCAGGATCACCTTATGCCCTTATATGTGTGTTAGCAGTACATGTGTGTACATAAGACTGTGTTGCACCAACACAAGTGAACGATGTCGAACACTAGGCTTCTTCCACTAGCTGAACTTGACTCATTGCATCCTTTCGAAGCAATTGTTTATGGATCTTTTTTGATCAATGGTTTCGAAATATAATATCAGGTACGCATAGCAGCCATTCCGTGGGCATGTCATGAGATCATTTAATATGGCAACTCTGGGCATCTCACATTCAATCCAGCTAATACAAAAATTCTTAGATTTTACATCGTCTCCTGACAAGGTTCTTGTGGTTATTATCAGTCTTGTCCATGCTTCCATCCTTATCATAAGGCTGATATCTAGACCAGTTATTCATCGAATGCTACTTTCACCGTAATGTGTCGCGCCATAGCATATCATTATGCTTGCCCTTGTAACCGCACTGACCGCATCCGTCTTTCGAAATGCCTTTCCTGGCGTCCATACGGCTCCACCGGGCTGCGATACACTTTCAAGTCAGACACTTCCGCCAACCTGGTAGGATCATCTGCCTTGGAGACAACCACGGAAATGGACGCCTCTGTCTCACACCCTTTCACATCAGGAACATACCCCCGAAACGCACCCTGCTGTGGCTACGACGATGTAGAACCCCTGATCCTGCAACTTTCGACACCATGCCCTACCTGCCACGCAAACCTAGCTCTCGTCGCGCCCCGACGCGCTGAAGCTGCCGCACGAGACGCATACACGTCTGCCTGGGCGCAATATAAGCGGTCAACAAGCACACGGGCGGCGGGAAAATGTGCACCTAGAACTGAGCTTGAGAGCCAGTCCGAACGGAAGGCGATGAGTATGTTTAAGATGGAGTTAGACAGAGCTGTGGACGCAAGGGAGAAAGCGGAGTGGCGTGTGCGGCGGATGTGGCCGACGGAGCGGCGTGAAGGAAGGTTTGCGCATGAGAGGTGGAAGGTCAAGGTGGGAAGGAGTGGGTTGAGGCGCGAAGTTCGGGTGGAAGATGTTGTTGTCAAGGGAGACAGGGGCTGGGGGAGTACGGGGTGGGATGTGCTTAGTCACATTGATGCAGAGAGTGTAGAGGAAGAGAATCAGGTCGGGGAAGAGAGGAGACTGAGTGATCAATACCTCGGGGAGGGTAACGTTGAAGGTGCTGAGGTGCCGGATTGGAATCCACCTGTCGACGACACTGGGACAATAATACCTGGCCAGGAAATGGATGATGTATGGGAAGCGAGCACCGCGACAGAGAGCTCACGAGACTTCCTCACCGCACGAACAATGTTCAATACTGATGCAGGGAGTCTTTACTGGCCTATTCAAGACGGTCACAACATCAATGGTACCACACGTATTCCATGTGCTGTCCTCGGGACCGCAGAAGATTCGCCGGTTATGAATGGCGTGGATGAAAGCGCTTGGCTGTGTGGTGAGGATGGCACAGATGAGTGGCCTGCTGAAATAGAAACAGAGGAAGATGTCGGAGCAGACCGGGTAGTGGAAAATGCGAATGGATGGCAACTGTTTTATAGCATGAGGCTGTGCTAGCGTTTTCAATGGCCGCTTCAGAAGAGGGAAAGGCACGCAGGGCTTTACCTGAAGAAAGTACGTTGTGTATCACGAGTGGACACTCCTAAAACTCATGTGTTAGTGCCAGCTGCATGGAGTTGGATATCTCGTTCTTTCGGGAAATATTCGAACAATTTACATCAATCGTTTCGTGTCCTTCGGTTGTTTATAATATGCCGTTTCCCTATCATGCTACGCTAATGCAAGTCATAATTTTACCATAGAGGGATAGAAGTTCCGGTCGAGCGAGACGGCGGGCCATGTATCAAGTCGCTGTCCAGAATATGATCTGTCGTGGAAGAAATACGAAAATCTTGGTTAGCCCGCTCAGACATAACCCCCCTCCCCAAAGGTATTTTTGCCTCGCCTACCCCCTCCACTACCACCGTAGAGATCGCCTGACCCGGAACCTCCTTCAGATAGCATGGTGTCCATGAATGTGCTCTGACCCGCTAGGCCACCTTTTCGTGCTTGCGCTGTTTGTTTTACACCCTCGACCACGCCGTATTTGCGACCCATTTCCTTAGCTGCTTGAACCGATGCTAGCATGCTTGATAACAGCCCTGTGAGCGCTACATCTGATTTAGCCTCAGCGGACTCTTGTTGGAACGTGGCGGTGTCTGGTGGAGCGAGGATGAGCAGGCGAGCCAATAGTGCTGATATTGAACGGAGTATGATCTGGTCCTGCGTTTGCGAAGGGGCATTTGCGATTATAGGTTGTGTTGAGTCGGTAAGATATGATGTGGGTGTTTTGGCGAGGATCTTTTGTATGAGGTTGATGCGCTTGTGTAACATGCGAATAGCATTGCTCTTTGCGATTATTGAGGATGACAGCTCTTCATCTTCGGCGGATAGATTATACTCTTCAGTGGTGTATGATGTTGGTGTTTCGTCTGTCTTCGCTCTACCCTTGCCCTTGGTGGAGCTATCGGCTTCGTTTGGGCTCTTCTCTACTTGTTGTGGCTTGGTGCCATCTATAGCAGTCGCATTACCACCTCCTCTCGCCACAAAGTCAACGCTGATCATCTCTGCTTCACCAGTTTCTACCGTGTAATTCAGCTCACGTAGCTTTAGAGACTTGGTCAGAGGGCCGTCCAATTCCATGGAAGATACGTCCGCGGGGCCAACTCCTTCTGTGACTGGCTCAAAAAGGGCGAGGGGGAGCTTCCCGCTAGCCATATTGGCCACTACATTGGGTTGAAAGAGTAGGAATATTGCGGATTCGTTGTGTGTCTGGAAGTATTCCTGGATTAGAAGGTGATGAGTCTCGGGGCCGGTTGTCTGTCCAATGCTGTACCATCCAACGAAGTCTAGGGCGGGTACTTTATACACGTCCTTGTCTATATGCATTAGCCTCCATTGCGTTCACATGGTTATGCCCTTGCTCACACTGCTCTAGTCGTGTTCGAAACCAGTCGTCATCGACTATCCACTGGTCCCCTTGATCAAGCACCTTACACTCGAATGCCACTTCCATAGTGACCTCCCGACCATTTTGCTGACCTAAAATAGCTCCGATAATAGGCACGTTGAGTTTTCGAAGAGTATGCCGCGTCAAATAATCGGATATATTGAGGAGGACGAGAGGATGTAACTGTACGGTGGGACTGGTGTCGGTTGCCCGCGCAGTCGATAGAAGAGGATTTACTTCTGTTTCAGCCATATTGGTAAGGTACGGTGAGTTACGAAGCTAGACAGGGGCGATACGAGACGGCATATACTAGGGATCGAGGTATTCGTACTGTGAGTGGGTTTGTTTGAGCTCTGAAGCTCTGACTTTGGTTACCACTTACGCATAACTACGACGTATCGAAGGGCGACTTCACGTGTTTTCGCGGAGACGCTAGTACTAAAACATCGTACGGGTCGCTCGCGTGCAACATTTAACGTTTCTCCACTTCTTGAGCCTTTCAATCATGTTTTCACTGCATGGGCACTATGGCATCCTCACTTCGCGTCTTGACCGCCAGCTTTTTTGGACCTACGGACACTCACTGTTCGATGGGGCGAATCTATAGAGGTTCAATTTAGTGCCTCCACCCAACACTCGTCTAATGGACTGGTAGACAGGCCACGGAAACTTTCTGATTCCGATCGACTCATGAAGTCTCTACTATCACTTTGAGAATGAGTTTACCATCCTTGTCTTTTGTCCTGCACGCCAAATCAAATGCATCCTTGGCTGCCCTGAGACCTTTTATTCGATGTGTTACCATCTTGTCCATACTTGGTAGTCTCCCGGAGGCCAAGATCTTGATACCTGTCGGATATGTGTTTGCATATCGAAAGATGCCTATGATATCAATTTCTTTCAGAAGAGAAGCTGATATGGGCAAGGTCTGTACAGGGGTTCCCATTCCAACCATGATGAGCTGGCCACCTGGTCGAGTTGCCTAGAAGGACCATGTAAACACCTTCGTCTCTTAACGTTGCTTGAAGAGACCTACGTATAAACCTGCTTGCATACAGATCTCCTTGCCTGTACAATCAAATGTTACATCGGCACCTTCAGAATCGACTTCACCAGCGCAAGTTACCTCCATGACCTTGTTCGCCAGATCTTTGGCCGCGGCAAACTGGTCTTCCTCCCGAGATCGCGGCGTATCGACATACACAACAAGTCCCCGGGTCGCGAAGCCATGTTCGATAGCATAGTCGACACGTCCTCTATCTATGTCGGCGACTGTCACCGTCGTCGCACCCGATAATTTTGCCATCGCAGCGGTCAGAAGGCCCACAGTGCCTGCACCGAAGACGATCACGGAGTCACCCTGCTCGATACACGCCCTTCTTGTCGCGTGAATGGCAACGGATAACGGCTCTAAGAGCGCTGCCGAATCCCACGATACATTTCCTGGAATCCTAGCTGATGTCAGCGCTGCACTAAATGATTCAAGGTCCACTAAACTTATGACACCACTTTGCCGGATGGTTGATGCGTTCCTGGAGGGTTCCTTGAAAATGTGGAAAAGATTTTGCACTGCTTCGAAATCGCATCTTCGGACACAAATTATAGCGGCCCTTTCGACAGGATCTGCAGCTGTCGCAAGGTACGCCAACCTCGAGCGCCACGCGATCTCCGATTCGGAAGCCCGTTACAGCGTCACCAATGCTTACCACTAGTCCTGCCGACTCGTGACCAAGGGCAAGGGGGGCTACTGCCTGCAAGTTACCATTCCGGAACGTTTGATAGTAAGCGCAGTCGCTCCCACAGACACCAGTGGCTCGAATGGCAATCTGGAGCTCGTGAGGTGCAGGGTCTGATATAGATCTGACTTCCTAAGGCTCCAAGTCAGCGATGTTTTGACTTAATCCCACGCGGACCACCCAACGCCCCCACGTTGGTGAGACATGAATAGAAACCGGATTGGCATACGAGCCGCAAATCTCTTGGCCCATGCAACACAGAAGCTAATATTTGGCTTTTGGTGTTATAGTGCGTAGCACTGATTGGATTCGTATCCGAGAGTGCTGAAGGAGCCATAGTCGTTGGATCATTCAAACAATGCGGCTGTGGAAAGTGAAGCACGGTAAAGACAAACGCTGCTCCTCCAACTTCCTCGGGCATGTGGCGGACCTCATATAGATTTCAAGATTCCATGATCACCAAAGGCGACATAGGCAAGAACGTTGTCCTGTACAGGCCGACGGAGAAGTATTTGCACAGCATCCATGTCACGTCATGGTCCCAGGACATGCGTCCCTGATGCACACGTCGGAGCTCGAGCTGCAAATTCGTGGTTCATCCTGTCGGACCGATATACATCTGGCTACATGTCAAGGTGAAGGTCCAATGATTCGAGTCAAACTCCGACCAAAGTAAAAAAAGATAGTGATAGCCACAAAAGAAAGTGACTAGAGGGCGGATCAGCGTCTGCAGTACTATCTGGGCCATGATACCGCCAGCGGACATACAGGGCGATAAAGCAAAAGCTGGTCTACGGGATGATGCAACTTGGCAATTGGTCAGATGCACAGGCTGTTCAACATATCAATCTGTGCCTAGTCAATTGTGCAACCTGTATCGATCTGATGCCCAACGAGAGCAGAATTGAGATAAACGGCGATAGCGCAGCGTGCTACAGAGCTGTATTTCTGACCCTATATACGGCTGGCAGGAGGACTGCCCGATTATATGTTGGCTCTTCAGACATGCAGACGGGGCGCGCTATACCAGGCTCGAAGTGGCCTTCAACCTGTAAGGTGTCGAATCGGCCTTATCAAGACTTCGATAATGAACCACTGAGAAGCCATCAAGAACACGTCGACTGCTGCATTTCATCTGCAGATTCACTAATCTTTTGAGCTAGATTCGAGGCCCTGATTCGAGTTTAAGCAGCATGATTGACACATGGCTGGGTTTCTGAGCACAGTGCAAGCACGAGAAGTAGACCTGGTACGCAATGGCTTATGTATGCAGGTTCGGGTTCTTGCTCGTGGGCGTCTAGGAACGGAAGCGCTACAAAAACCAAGACAACGCATCTCGCTAATCATGGAACCTCCTTACTACATATCTTTGTGTGTCACAGGTGTGACACAGGCAGAGTAACCTTGATGCAAGTACGACTCATATACCAGGGTACCTAGTGCCATGTTACCCCGAATAGCCACGGAATATTCGTGCAAAGATGCTCAACGACTATCTACTACAGCAAGAAGTATGGGCTCAATTACGCAAATTAGGGAATACAGACTGTGGACTAAGCATTAGAACTCCTTCGTTTATGGAGTGCGCTGTATACAGCATTACGCAAGACTGAGGAAGGGGAGTAACCTTTTAGTATGTCATATAAGAGCTGCTAGATAGCATTTACTATCTTCCGCTAATGGTTCGACATCCGAATATGTCAATATGAGCGTGTTGCAATTTAGGGATTCTCTGCGTCATCCAATGAACATGCAAAGTATACAGAAGCTGATCCACGTCTTGGAGTTTGATCAGGAGCTCTCATTTCACTATTTGGTCACGTCCACCTGCGCATAAGATACTTATGCATCGCAGTGTGTTTTTGCCAGTTGGTCGTCCTAGCGGCTCAGACACATACACGTCTACCTGAGACGCACAAAGGCGTGACCATAACATCAATCAATGTGCTGGCAGTGCTGCCCGGAGGCCATTGGCTGGTGCGCACGGTTCTCCAGATCAGTAGCATTCATGCATCGGAAGGATTAGTCTACAGGAGCAGCATGCTTGGTTTACAGGCCATGACGTCTATTTGTATGCCTCGAACTCCACTACCAGTTTACAATTTTTACTTCACAAAGCTATTGGCTCTCTCCCGCACTGATGAGCTCCTCTGCTCAGATCAATGGCTCGATGTTTCGTGCAGAGCTTGGCCTTATTGGAGCCCCTCGTTCGAAACCTACAGGGTGCTTCTACCTCCTAGGAATACTTTCTCAAGCCACTCTTTGATGAGCGCGTTGACCGCGTCAGGCTTCTCTATCAGCACCCAATGTCCAGCATCCACCTCTCCTCTAGTTAAGTCTTTCAAATACTTCTCCATGTACCTCGACATCTCTGGAAACAGAACCGAGTCTCGATTGGCCTGCACAAATAGCGTAGGCACCTCGACCGTTGGCTTCTTCAGCAGACTAAAGTTTTGTTAGTGACTAGCGAAGGGTCGTTTAGGGAGACTTACATTTGCTCCTCCTCCCAATTGACCTCTCTCGCACGGTACCAACTCACTTAGAAACTTTAATGAAAAAGCTTATTGCAGCCTCACTATCTTCACTTACCTGGACCATGGAGACCGGTACGACTATACTGCTCAGTATAGTAATCAAGCTCCTGTATTAGATACAACAGTGAGTAAATAGAGACTCCTGCCATAGTCGGTTCTCGTTCCTCACCTGATCGCTGAGCAGAGGTCCCCTTTGTAACTTCGGCAGGTTCTCGAAAAGTACGCCTTTGTATGGATCGAAAGCAAGCTCGGCGTTTGGTCCCGAGGCGCCATAAAGACCGTCAATGAAGTGTCTGATTTGCTCGCGAGTGTTGATCTTCCCTTCTACTTCCGGACTCCTCAGATGAATCTGATAAGCAAATTGCGGCAAGACTCCGTCAACCAAGCTCTCAATAGACGCATATTCTTTTTGCGGCGCTGCGTAGGGAGTACAGATCGCAAAGACGTGCGTCACAAGTTCTGGATGGCTTTGCCAATCAGGATAGGAAGCTCGCTGGTATAGGTGAAACTATGACTTACAAATGAACCATTCGCCAGACGACCATACCACCCCTGAAAAGGTCAGCGTGTATATGTTGCAATATTCATCACTATGGGGCACCCACCAATCATGGCCACCGAGGACTAATTTCTTCACACCGAGCTGTTTTGCTAGCTCAGCAAGATCATCGGATGCTCTTTTCAAGGAATAGAGACGGATATCATTCGGCGGAACCTTAGGAGCATCCTGCTTCTATGAGCATGATCTTCGCGCGTGCCCACTTTGTTAAAACTCACTGTGCCCCCATATCCCATCATATCAGCAGCAACAACCACAAATCCCATTTCCAACAGGAACGGGATTTGGTACCGCCATCCTATGGCCAAGTCCGGCCACCCATGTACCTGGGCCAAACGCAGTCAGCGTCCGCAGCCTCCACCCAGCACCGTTGTTTACAAGCAGCTCGGGTCTCATTTGATACGGTGCAACAAGGGCACAACAGGATGCTTACTAGGAAAATAGTCCCTCTCACAGGCCCATTATAGGGTCTCCCGAACAGGTAATGGTAAGTTTGACCGTTGAGCACAGCAGTCTTGTGCTGGACTCGCGGATCAGAGTACGGCTTGATAGGCTTGATGCTTGTGCGTGCAGGCATGTTGTAGCTTGTTGGGTGACTATAAGACTGGCTCGAATCATCTGACGAGCGGCCTATGCCGGCAAGACGAACAGTCAAGATGCAACTGGTACCTCTGTTAGAGCTCTCACCTTCAACTCGTTGCGGATCGACTTCACCTAGCACGACCTGGGTGGATCTCTCTTCTTGTCTGGCGTTTGCAATGCTCACGGTGAGGAGTCGTTCGTCCTCGGATATCGCAGCCGAGGCTTGATATCGGCTAGTATACGACTTAAAACTGGAGCAAACGCGAGGAGCATGGCGAGCTGCAGCACAAGCTCAGCCTTCTTACGTATGCTTGTTATGGATCTTGACATGCGAGTCGACTTTGGATGTCTCACCTGCAACACTTGATGTAAAATTCAACACGGTCGCGGCTCCCTGGTATTTGAGTGCGACGTCATACGTGCACTATTTCAACTGGCTCACTGAGCCAAGATAAAAAAATGGTCTAGAAGCTCTCCTTGTCATGGCGCATCTACTTTGAGGCGGTTTAAATTACATTAGATGATTGGCATGCGAATCAAGTCCATGAGAACCTCAGATACGCGATAGTGTCTGGGACTGAGACATAAGCTCCCTCGTGATGTTGCAAAACAATAGCTTTAACATTCCATTATGACTATGGCTATCAGGATCGTTTGCTTGGGGTAAGTGTTCTGTAGAGATTTTCTTTTGGTATCATCTTGCAAGGTAGGGGCCAACTGCACCAAGCTATTTGAGCGGAGACTTGTGGAATAAGCCATACAGTTCCCGGACCTGTTGGGTAGTATGCTACTTATTCGGACTCTTTGCCCAATCAGATTAGGTTGGCAGGTTCGCAAACATACAGAGGTTGCTCTTGGTTTACTAGCAGTGTAACTGGTGTCGTAGCAGGTAACTCGTAAACCCTGGCAGAATTCGGGACTAATCCTGGGACAGGAAGAGCGTGAGCGTGCATATACCCGAGGATTTGTGATAAGGCGAGATTATTTGTGTCCTCCTTGCTGCATCTGCTGTCTTCGATGAAATGCGCATTTTTCTGTTGAAGGTCAGGTCGTGGCGACGCGCATAGCAGGACATAAAGATACGAATCAGAGATGCCTGCCACAAACTGAGCTGACATAGTCTGCCTGTGCAAGCTTTTATTTGATCCTATTACATATGCGAGAATTTGTAGCTCTGCGCGATGTATCACTAATGCGTGTTGTGATTGAGTCGTACAGGGAATGACGGTCCCTTGGTTCGTTTTTCTACACGTCCCCTGGCCTGGTGGCAAAAGCATTTCCACGTCTAATCAGAGTTCGTTATCAGTATAGTACAGTGTCCTCTCCTGTTTCAAGGACCTCTTCACCGTTGTCATCCCCAGCATGGTCATCCTCCGCAACCGGAACAATTGGTGTGTCTTCGACATTCTTGTCCGCGTCGTGGGTTTGTTCCGTATGGTGAGTATCAATGGTGGCCATGTCATCTGGAGCGTTTGAGGGTTCCTCCCGCCCAACCGGATCGAGTTGGTCGGAGTTACCTGGTCGTTGTGTACTCTCTATGGGCTGAGACTCGCCCGGCGCATCATTGAGTGTGACATCCTGCTCTTCCTCCCACTCTTGCTCCCGGCGGCGATGTTCTTCACGCTCACGGTCTCTATCAGCTTCGGCATCCTCTACTTGGCGCTTGATCTGGTCTTCTTCTTCTGGCATGAGATCCCACGGACGAAAGAACTTTAGGTGGTTAGTAGAGCTTCAAGTGAATGGCATGATAATCAAGCTCACCAGCCTTGGCTCAGCCTTTGTCCGTAGAAAATTAGCCATTGTGACAGTGTTAGTGTGGCGAAGATGCATCTGAGGCCGTCAGTTCCACTTCGACCGCCATACATACAAGGAAACGTACAGATTCAGTATCATAGCTTCTCTGTTCTTTAACGCGCGTGCGCCTAAGCTCATCAGATTTCTGCCGAATGTTTTGATCGTCTTCTTCTGCCTGTTGTCGGATTTTGGCCTGCTGTCTTCTCTCAATTTCTCGACGCTTTTGAGTCGCGGATGTCGAGCTTTGTGAGAGTGTACCTAGCAATGCGCCAAATAGTCTTTGTCCTCGCTTCCTCTCTTCTGCTGCTCCGTCGCGGCGGGCACCTGATCGCCGCCCTTGTTCAGACGCGTCATCTAATGAGCCATTTGTCTTGAAATTGTGTTCATTTGATTCTTTGCTGATACGAGGTCGTTTAGAACCTTCGTCAGATTCGAAGGAAAGTCCTCGTTTTTTGCTCTTAGGGGGTGAGGCTGATCGCGCGGCAGGCGAAAGGGCCGGCTGCTCCTCTGGGACCACCACGGCAGACGCTATCATTCTGTCTTGAATTAGCACGGGCGCAAGCTGTGAGTGGCGATGATACAGACGGTTGGGCATCCATTTCGAATCGAGGGACTGATGATTGGCTAGAGTGATGGCGTTGTAGACTCGTCGATCTATGAGATGGATTACCTGAGCTTCGATGCTCTACCTCCGGGTTCCTTTGCCTTGGCATATCTTCGCCGCATCACCTCCGAACTTCAATCCACCACTCAAACTTCTTTATACCCATAGCCCTCACGATAGATCGCCTTTCCACCTCTTCGAATACGACTAGTTCGAGCCTGTGTTCATTAAAGGTTTCACTCCAAGAATTCTTGTAAGCTTAGGCTTGAGATACACTCAACATGTCCCGTCATCATCCGTAAGTTCCTATCTTCCTCACGCGCTCTATACAACATCGAGGCTAACCTCTGAAATACAGCGATCTAGTTATGTGCCGCAAGCAAACCGGTATATCTATTGGTCGTCTCTGCGACAAATGTGACGGGAAATGTCCAGTGTGCGACAGCTACGTTCGGCCAACGACTCTCGCTCGCATCTGCGACGAATGTTCCTTTGGCAACTATCAGAACAAATGTGTCGTATGTGGTGGTGAGGTCTGTCATTATTATTCAGAGTCCTTCCTGTATTTGTACTAACCAAAGCCTTAGGGCATCTCCGACGCCTTCTATTGTTTCGAATGTACGCGCCTCGAGAAAGACCGCGATGGGTGCCCGAAGATTATAAACTTGGGTAGTTCGAGGACAGATCTGTTCTACCAGAAGAAAAATTTCAGAAATCAACAGTATTGATCTCTGGACTTCGCGCCACCCTAGACCGACGCTGTTTCGAACAACATAATACCAGATAGAGAGCCAACAGGCGAGGAAGACAAACCACATGTTTGTGACGAGGTCTTACCACATTTTGATCGCAGCATACCTGTTTACGAGGTTATGCGGACCGCTTTGCGCCTCATTGATCCCAAGGATGCGCAGATGAGGCGATTGTGAGTGGATTTGAAAGCGAGAGGGTTGGAATTTGCTTTCACAGTAGGCTATCTCATGCTTGACTAGACTATCGTTGACTTGTAGACAGCTTAGTGTATAACTGCAACACTCTTCCGATTTTCCATCGTCGCTTGTCGGAAAAGCTGGTACATACCATGAACTGCCAACTTACTCCAGCCCTTTGCCACCGCACTTAATATGTACCCTGACAAGTCACTGATAAGAGACTCCATTCGCGTAGACCACAGATTCTAGCCGAGAAGCGTGGAGCTTATGTGCTTGTAATCCTCATGGCATAGTTCACATGAACAAGAGAAATGATAATCGAGAAAATCTTCGACATACCGGATTGCGCTATCAAAGAACAAGCGCAAGATTACCGTATGGCGCGCGTCACCTGCAGTTATGATCGAATTGTTGCGATGCATCAGAGAGCAACAAGTCCCACAGTACATCTGCAATGACATATAGCTATGTACTCGCTTAATGGTATGAGCAATGTTGTTCCGCTAGCTACGCCGCTGCCGCGACGATCTGTGTGCAAAAGTCGTATCGTTGAGACCCGCAGCTATTATCTGGTCTCATATTCTTGCAGCAGTACACCTATGACCGCTGCCCAAATCCAATGCCATATTACCTGGTTCCCCAATGATCAGGCGGTATAAGTAAGACGTGTTGGCCAATCCTATCACACAGGTTGGGTATCTGATTGTGCCTATCTGTCCATATCCAAGTCGCGTTGGAGCTTCAATCATCATCTTCATCCTCATATATCTTTGACTTCTTCGGAGCTTGATCCTCGTCCATCTCATCCTCATCATCCACAATCCGTACCCTCTTCAGCGCCCTGTTCGTCCTCACCTCCGCTCGATTTGCGTACGCTTCATCCACTCCTCCATCCTCGGCCAACTTCGCATATTCAATCCAATCCGGTAGCTTGCCCAATATCCGGTTGTATTCTTCTTGCACTAAATTCAAGCTTTGGGTTACCTTCTCGCGCTGCTCCTCACGCGTTGGCAGCTGCATCAGCACATCGCAGTTGCGGTAGAAGATGCGCTCCTTGACAAGCATGCGCCAGAAATAGTATTTTCGGTCATTCTCGTCAGGGGCGTTTTCCTTTTTGGCAATCCGCAAAGGGGTACGGTGGCGCACAGGGATTGTATTCAGAAGGTGCATTTCTGTAAGGCGGGAGAATTGGCGAGAAGAGATTTTGAACTTGCGGCGGAGGTGGGCGGCTTTGGTCTGGTCGACGAGAATGCTGGTTGGGATCAGATCCTTACGTTTGAGGCGATCAGAGGGGATGGTTTCGGGAAGGGAGAGGGATTGCCAGACAGGGTCGGAGGAGAGGCGGACGAGGTCGTTCCAGTCGCGCATGTCGTCAAAACGTTCGTTGGGATCCTCAACGGTAATTTCAAAGACGTTTTCGTCTCGGAGAAAGTCACGGACCATCGCTTGGTATATATGCGAGCCGATGGACTGATGCTGATAAGGAGGGAGAATGACGAATTGTGAGATCCGCTCCCTTGAAGGCTGCTTGTGGTCGTCGAAACCTGAGTCCACATTTGGTGTGCCGTCACTATTGATTACTGCCGCAGGTGGCTTCCAGGACTTTTCTAAATCAGCTGCGTTGCCGTTCGTAGACTCCGGTTGTGTGGGAAGAGCGCCGATGGTCTTCATAACTTCCAAGCACGGCATAACCCATAGTCGATACGATGTGGCAAAACCTGCAAAGATGTAAGGGCTAATATTCGTCAACTCATCATCGCTTTCTTTGAACGGAGTGACATCATAGGCAAGGAACAACTTCCACCGTCGAAGGGTCCACTCGTCCTCGGTAGTGGTTTGTATCACTCCACCTTCAATGAAGAATGGGATGAGTATTTGAAAGTTCCTGAATATTTCTAGAGCCCTGGGATCAGTAAGTGTGGTCTGCCAGACCTCGTAGGTGCTCGTAGCATGCTTCCAGCGGCGAACGAGCTTTCCAGGAGGTCGCCATTCTGGGCCATGTATATCTTCAGGGTAATTCTCCGAGAAGTCGACTACCATCACTCATATTAGTAAGAGGTCTGTAGCAAGGTTAGCATGGGCAAACCTACAATCAGGACAGTAATCCAACATCATCTTTTTTACGTCCATAGGCTGAGTCTCGCCGATAGGCTTCCATTTCTCTTTGTATTTGATGGCGAATCTGGGCTTCATATCGGTGGTCCTGAAGCGCAGATCGAGCTGAAGTTTCGAGTAGCCCAATATTGCCTCATCCTCGCCGAATATAGGATATGTGTGCCGGGGGTGGAAGGGCTTTTTGAATACTGGAAATTTTTCGGGTACAACGTAAGAATGGTCGCCGGGGCGGTACATGTTCAAATCGAAGGCGTCATTTGAGCTCACAATATCTACTCCGAAGTTAGAGTAGTAATTGCAGCCACAACGGGGTAAGCTCACATTTCTGGATTTCCTCCATCATGCGCGATGCACGCCCAGTTGTGGCGAGATTATGTTAAGCCTTGAATGGCTAGATCCAGTCAGTGCAGTCGCAGAATCAGTCAGGGTTTTACGAAAGAGATGTTGCTAAATCCAAGAGGAGAAGTGCGTCAAACACAACCTGGCTAGGTGCATAGGACCAAAGTGAACGGCAGATGCTAAACCGCGACTGCGACGCGCGTGTTAGTCGAGTTCGCGCGCAAGGGAGCTAAAGTAGTTTTAGTGGGGCCGCACAGGGCAAGTGCAGGTTCCTACTTCAGCCCTGCGGACAGAAAAAGTGCTGACTTGGCACCCCAATGAGGCCTTAGCGGCTGTACTGTGGTGAGGCGTGAGGAATATCGTGAACGATGAATTGGGAACCTCCAAACGAACCGAGAATCATTGTCGAAGACTGCGCTACCTCACATCAGAGTCGGGATCTGTGGTGTTCATGCTTGAGGTGACCTACTATTGGATAGCCTGTATATGGTAGACGGGGTCATGATATTCTCCTAATATCAGACGCATAGAGCCATACGACACCACCGGTTACAAGCTTCCATACTCCACGCCTCGCCATGTGGGACGGTCTCTTTATGCTGCTCAGCTTGAGCATCGTGATGGCGATCGCGTTAGTGATTTCTCGATCACCCGTACCCATACAGATACTGACAACCCACCAGCTCATTCGGTGCCGGCTCCCTCCCACTCGCGCTCAGCCTCTCCCCTCAACAACTACGGATGATCACAGCCCTAGGCACAGGCGTCCTCGTCGGCACCGCACTAATCGTCATCATCCCAGAAGGTGTCGAAACACTGTACTCCGCCCAGCCATCCGAGTCCCACGCCCACGCCGAGTCCGAAGAACTCGAGCACGATGCGCACACCTCGCATAAAGAACCCCACGCCTGGGTCGGCATCATGCTCGTCCTGGGCTTCATACTCATGTATCTGATCGATGTGCTCCCAGATGCCCTCTCACCTTCGCGTGATCTCTATCAACCGCTCCATATCTCTCTCTCAAACCTCTCCCGTGGCCTTCACCGCGCCGACTCACCAACATCCGAAACACCTCCTGAATCAGAGCCACCCGCGTCCAAGAGCACCGCGACATCAATCGGCCTGATCATTCATGCGATTGCCGACGGTATCGCGCTCGGTGCCTCTAGCACCACCCCTTCAACGTCTCTATCCTTTATCGTCTTCATCGCAATAATGCTACACAAAGCGCCGGCGAGTTTCGGGCTTACGAGCGTGTTGCTGAAACAAGGCGTGTCGAAAAGACTCGCGCGAACACATTTGGCCGTGTTTGCGCTGGCGGCGCCCACAGGCGCGATAGGGACGTGGATTGCGGTGCACATGCTCGGGGGAGGCGACAGTATAGGAGACGAGGGCAGCATGGTGTTTAGTACGGGATGCGTGCTGATATTCTCCGGGGGAACGTTTCTGTAAGATTCACTTTACTGCTGCCAATTGAGCTAGTTGTGTGGAGATGACGTTGCTGACTTGATACACAGATACGTCGCCATGCACGCAATGCAGGAATCCAACTCACCGCATGGCCACCACGACACAAACGGATACGGGGACTCGTACGGCGCACGGCAGCATTCGAACCACGCGCCCAAGAAGCAAACAGCAACAGAGGTGGCGGTGATGGTTGCCGGAATGCTCGTCCCTCTGCTAACACAATTCGGACACGCGCATTGAGTAAACATATTCTTGTCGACATTGTATGTAAAGTCAACACCATCAGTCTGGGTACGCCCGATCCAGCGCGGCGTTAGGAGTGGCTAGAGGTTTATACTGTATTTGGGTGCGATCTCCGGTATCTATATATGTCCTGTCTGTACAAATTTGAGCTTGGACCAATATAGTGAACAGTGTATAGTGAATAGGAACACCAACACAACAACGCAACCGTGCCATGTCAGCGTTATTAACACATCTATCCAAAGGATAGACTAATATAATCAATCATATCCACCAGTATTTCATGACCCCGGTGGGATAGTCGACTGGCTAACATCCTAACTTCCCCACCGAAGTAGTGAAATATCTGTTGGGGCGCAGAGGCGCATGTTCGACTCCGGACATGAGCTTTTTGTTTTCGTGTTTTTCTTTTCTGTTATTAAGAGAGATTTCTCTGACCTACTACTCCCCAGGGTGACACGGTAGGTCGTGTGATACCTTTACCTTGTAGTCTGTACATGTTTTGATGCTAGTTTTTTTTCCTATTTTCAGTTCCGCTACATGATGTCACGAATATGATGATGCGGTGTTGGAAACATTCATAAACTACTTACTATAAAAGTAGGGTACGAACGTTAAGGTGTCTGCTTTTTGGGTTAAAAGGTGTGGAGCAGGTGACCCCTGTGCATACACATCCACTAACGAAGTCCACGAGGAATGATATGAAAGATAAGGGGGCTTCAAACGAAGTATATGATAATAGACATGACAAATCATCCAATTAGAGACACATAGCACTGAAACACGACCGTGTGTATGATTGTACCATGGTGTCTATCTGCTGTTTAGCACAGGCCTGGAAGTGTACACAGCCAACTTTAATCTTCTTTGATTGTTCTAGCGACGACCAGGTCTTTTAGGCTTTGAGAATGCCTGTTTCGTCTCAACGATGGTTTCCTTAAATTCGTCCTCAATGCTTTGGGCGGTCACGTCTGCTGGATTGGAGGCCTCGAGCTATCGCATCGTTAGTGCCTGTCTCATACTAGCCGTACTAATGAGTCAGGTTGGTACTTGCCTTCTTTGCAATTTCGATTCCTGCCTCAGAGGTGGCGAGTCCACGCACACTTCGCTCCGAGGTAGCATAGATCATGCGTTCCTTGATTTTTGACGTTGTAGGACAGGTGTATATGAAGAGAATCGCATCATTCGTATGCCTGTAAAACGAATATCGAGGTTCCGTTGACGAGATATCATTTGAAAGTGAGGCCGGAGTTGCACTTTTTGTCGAATCCAACACAACCGTCTCCGTCGGGATATCAAACTTCTATTCCACCGTCAGCATTCCCATCTGAACACTCAGAGGCAACTTACCAGTTGCACTAGATTCGGCCCGCCGTTCTTAAGGTCCCTCAAGGTATCCACCACCCGGTCACCCACACGTATGTCCAGAGTGCCCCCCGTATGGCCCCGTCTGCTCCCCGTCCCCCCGCTCTCCTTCGCCTCGGCCTCCTTGATCCCAACCAAGTCCCTTTCTTCCTGCGTCAAGGGCTGGTCCAGCTGTACATGCTTCTCATGCTTTCTCCATCCTTCCTCCGTGACTTCATCTGCGCGTTCGACCCACACATGCTCACCGAAATGCTCGCTACCCAGTTCTCGCGGTAAGCTCAATCTCGTGCTCGCGAAGAGTGTCTTCTGGCGTACGGGTGCAGGGAGCGGGATGTAGGTGACCAATACTAGTTCGCCGGGCTGGGACGTTGCGGAGAGGGAGTCAGGGCGGCGCAGGATGATATAGCGGGCGGCGTCGGGCTTGAGCTGCGTGGAGAGAGCAGACAGATCGGCGTAAAAGGATGAGGTGCCTGGGAGTGTGGACGAGGGAACGAGGCGCTCGGATTCGATGCTAATAAGTAGACCACGCTGCGAGGGAGAGGAGAGAAGGTTTTGGAAGGCGGCTGTGAGCTCTGCAGAGGCTGAGAAGTGTCAGTCCCGTATGACCGAGCTCAGGGACAGGGAAATGCGGACCTGATATTCCGGATTGCATGATGTGTTGCGGTCTTCACAGCGCGGCCAGAGGATTGAAGGAGGGGTTTGAGGGAGAGGGAGAGGAGTTTGAGCGGCTGAGTATCAATTGAGGAGGTCAGGAGGGCATCCAATACGGGTCGTGTTGTTCCTGAGTATGACCAGGGAGAAATTCAATTGGTTTCAGAGTGTTTGTGTCGGGAACATGAATGCAAAGTTATTCAACATTGAATGCTGAGGAAAGCAGCTCAATGGCCGTATTACTCTGCTCGTATACTGTAGTACCTTGGCTACGTGGGGCAACTAATCCATCCAATGGTGGGGGTGTGGCGGTGGCTGTGAACAGTAAGAGCCCCGCCAAGGTTGCCGCGGCTTGCGATGTCGAATGTCAAATTCAAGTTTGAAGCTAATCACTTACGCCCGTCTTATGTACAGAATGCGGTCTATGTCAATCGGAGCCTGTAAATCATGATCGCCTGCTCGAGATTCACATGTGGTTCGACGCAACAACAACAGACAAGACACCAATACGATCGCACAAAATGATACGATATGGATAGCAACAAACCCTCTATACCAGGTGCTTGCACAAGCCGAGCTACATTTCCCATCACGCCCCAGCTCTACTCTTCATATTGACCGCCAGGCAACATATCCCGCCCATTTTCCAGAAGATTCTTAAGGTATTCGTATACGGTGAATGTGACGGCCTGACCAGGTGCTACACGCATGACACGAGGCGTAATACCTTTATAGAATGCCTTGGCGCCTTCTTGTTTCCACATATCACTGGTATAAGTTAGCTCGGATGTACCATTCTGTGCTTGTATAGAATATCTGACTTACCTTGCAATGCTCACAATGCGTTGTACTGCCGATACGCCAGGTTGCGCAGGGCTTCTCTGAAGGCGAGTCTTGATCGTGTCGATTGGCGCGTTACTAAAAGGACCACAAGCCCCAGATATCAGACCAACGATCGCTGTTTCCCAGCCTGGAAGATCTGTTGTGTTGTGGTACTGCTGTAGAAACGAGCGGATTTCGGTGTATGCTGTGAAATTTGCTAGGGGAAAGGATGTCAGCCTCGTCAAACTTGACGACCTCCTGAAAATCCCGTAGCGTACCTGCTTGATTGGTGCCCTGTCTTAATGCTGTCAAGGACACACCGCGCCATAGAGCGCCTGGGCCCTCTTCCTTGATGACAGTATACAGGCAATGGGCCGCATTTCGGTATTTGGGAACATCCAGGGGATCCGCCATCGAGTGATGCTGCGATTGCAGACGAATCTTGACGACCTCCATAGGAGTCACCACCACCACGGCCTCAGTCACACCAGCTGCAAGACCAGCTATGAAAGTAGTCAGTCGGCGAAATTGGACCACAAAAGGGAGTCTATAAGCATGTCCTTACCAAGAAACGTCCTTTGGCTAGTGATCTTTCCCTCCTTGTTCGCGAGAGCCTGCTTGTACCAATCGTACGAAGTAAAACGGATCGCCATCTTAGGTACTATACCAGTGACAACAGCCCCCAATCCTTTGTAGAGACCCAAAGGTGTTTCCTTCTTCACGATCTCTACACCTGTGGTAAGAAAGCCTCGTTTCTTGGCCTAGGCATGCTTCGTCAGGGCTGTTGCGCAAATTGAGAGTCGTGACAGATCTGAGGATCTATGATGATGGTACATACACCTGGTTGCCGTGCTCGTCTCGACAATTGCATACGGACTTTTATTGTGTCTACGGACTCATCAGTATTGCCTCTAAGTCCGTAGCACTAATTGACGACTGACCGAGGGGATGACATATGAGGGCTTCCATCATACCAGCACCACCACCAGCTATAGTTCTGATTAGCCATAAATTCAACCTCAAGAGCAGTGCTCCATGTACCAATAAGATTGGTAGCTGCCGAGGCAGGCTTTCCACGAGGCCCTGATACACTCTTCGCCGACATGTTTAAATAACTGTATTTTTAAGATGCAGACTTATAGTAATAGTCCTCTCTAAATACGATAGAAGAGGATAACAACGGTAATCGGCTGTATGGGTGAACCCTATTGTTGAGCAGATATGGGCGCTTTCGGCTGATGGGGTTACGCTTTCGGCAGTATGTTTCGACGTTACAGTAGCTGTAACGATATGCGCAATGCACGGCGCAAAGAATCCAAAAGTATTGGAGAGGAAGTCTGAGTCAAGGCAAGAAGGAAGAAGGACAATTGAGACATAAAATAAAAAGACTCGGCATTCGACAGCCCAAAGGCACAAGATCGCTGGGATGAAGCTCTTCGAAGCTACTTTGGGCCGACCAAGCTCCAGTAGCCGAGGACCAGTGAGAGGGCGCCTGCATCCAGACCGAGCACGCTGAGGACATCCATAACCCCATACTTTGACGGGAGGATCAACATAGCCGAGCGATTGCTCAAAGCATTGGACCGTTGAGGAGCATCTTTGTTATTGTAAAGGGCGATACAGCCCAGCTTGTCGTTCCTACACGTCACGAATATTGCATATCGCTGATGGTGATGGCTCAAGGACGAACTGGCACATGAAATGGCAGAGAAGACCCTGAACGTCATCAGCACGCGATTCAGTTCACCCCAATGACGAACCATGGTTGAAGAAGCTCTCGTCTGTGCAAGGGCTCATCATGTTCATGTTTCGTGTTCAGGTGACTGATCTTCACATGTCTCGAGTCTTGAGACAAGCGCGTGTCCCCGTGTTCGCGACTTCGGCGACAGTCGGAGCACACTGGGAGCTGGGCTTGATGGCTGGAGACTCTATGACCTATCCTTGATTGACTAGAGCTAGGTATGTTGTTCGGGACCTTGGAGCCACGATGGTGGTTGCAGACGGGGGGAAAGTGTATCAGTTGAGTGATGAATAAGAGAGAGAGTGTGTGTGTTCATCTAATGAACGACACACATCCAAACGTCGTTGCCTCGATGCTTGCGTTCCTGAATCTTGAGGCTACAACGCGGGGTTCGGTACTCCGTGAACTTGTGCGATTTCGGCTATTGTACAGCGATTGATCATTGCCGCCGTCCGGACACGCGTGCCCCTGAAAGTGTCTACTTAGTATGCAAATAGCATCCATGCAATACTCATCCATCGATGGATCTATCTCAATCAGCTATCCAACTATTCACAATGAAAAGAGAACATATTCAGAAAACAGCCGAGTGCTTCAAAAAACGTGCTACTGCGGTAGTTGAATGCTCATGAAGCTCGCAAGCTCTGCTTGAATTGACACGCTGTTGTGTACGGCTTCGTCTGACGATGCGAAGCCAACCTCTATATACAAATCATACCAACACCCATCCTATTGCATCGCTTTCGAATGGCTCTGTACCTGTACCCATCACGAAACCGTCTTCAATGCCCTTGACACCATAAACCATCCCAGAAGAAGTGAAAAAAAAGAAACCCTAGGCGTTGCTTGCTTTTTCGGAGGCCATCATATCCACTCCAAATATCTGTCTTCGCTCACTGTAGCCATCCCTTTTTACAATGACAACGTCGCTCTACGCGTATTGACGGAGTCGCGCTCGACATGGAAAACATATGATATTAAACAAACGAGATCGGCTATGTCGCTTCGTGCGTGCTAGATCATAACTTTGCGTCAGCATATGTCTGTTCCGAGAGTTGCCTCTCAGATCATCACAGTCTGAGCTTTCACAGTCTCCACAGGTCCAGCAGTCTCTATATCGCTGATGTGCTCCGTAGAGTCTCGAACGTCTGATGACTGCTTACCACTCCTGTATTTTTCATCCGGCGGTGAAGCTTCCCCCGGCCTCTCCGTACCCACATCCCGAACCGTCACGGGTATCGTGAGATTGCTTATTTGGGAGGCAGATCGTTGCCTGAGGGAGATCTGCCCGCTTGCCTCTCCTCCGCCATTGGCACCATTTGATATCTCCTGACTCAGACTTCTTTTGATTGCTGCGCTCCTATTCGTGGCCGTAGATGATTTGGTCCTCAGTCGCGCATTAGGTAGAGGTCTCGAGTCTTCGGATTCGTCCTGATCGAAGACTGCCGTCGAGGGCCTTCGCTCTTCCTCTTGAGCTTGTTTACGAATCTTTAGACGATCCTCTGCTGGCATGCTTTGCCACTCGGATCCGAAGGTGATGACAGATGCCTTCTTTCCGTGGACAGTGAAGCTGCCCTTGGCTCGCGACAGACTTTCGCTAACCGCGCCATCATCCGTGACAACTGTGGAAGAAGACTCCTTGCCTTTGCCGGATCTACGATGTCCACTGCCAGAATCGCGTAAGGTGCGCTGAAGACTGCGGCGCACTTTGGAACGTGATTCGGGGCTCCCTGGTTGGGTCATTGGCCGCTCCGGTTCCGACTCGCTTGCGGATCCGGGTCTGTTCTCTGCGCCAGTAGTGGCTTGATCACGCTTCTCTTCATCTGGTGTTGCATATCGCGACGGAATATCAGGCGTACTACCATTAGGTGGCTGTTCGCCGAGAGTTGAAACAGAGCCATGGCGATGAACACTTTCTTGCAATGAAGACTGACCCACGCTGCTCGGGATAGAGCCGCGATGTTCCATCCGGGGGCCAAGCTTTGGACTGAAGGAAAGAGGGGGTAGCTCCCAAGTACCCGGTGCAGCACCGGGACTTGATTGCTGTGAGTGCAGAGGAGGCGTCTTGAATACATCATCGCTCAACATAGGATCATCGTCTCTCGAAGACTTAGTGCCGGGTCTTGCAGAGGCTGTGGGTGAGTGAGGGGTCTTATGCATACTGGCATTAGAGCTAGCTTTCGAGCCGAGCTTTGCAAGCGCCCCCTTCCTTGATGTTTTCGTTTTTGGCGATGTGGTACTGGCAATTTCCTGAATTCTGGCTTCCGTCTCTTTGGCTTGCTTTCTTTCCTCTTCAAGATCCATGAGAAGTATGTCTCGATGACACTTCAAGCGCCAGATCTCCACCCTGACCCATTTCATTTTGGCCGACATCCTACCCGCCGTATGCACTATCTGCTCTCGCGTCTTCGGCTGAATTGGTGTTAGTAAGAGGAGGTGTCGTGCATCCCGCTCTTGGGCATTCAGCTGTTGCACATATACTTGAAGAGCTTCTTCCGCCTCGGCAATTTTCCTTTGCATCGTATCCCTTCTCGCCGTCATGATCTGTGTCGCGAGCTTAGAATCTATCTTGCCACTTTGAATTGTAACATCTCCGGTCGATGTTTGTACTGTGTGTGTCGAAGCAGTGGAGTCGAGTCGACGTATACCCCGGCTCCTCTGACCTTCGTAGCTGCCGCCAATGAGACCGCGCGGCCTGACTGTGGAGGTTTCAAAGGTAGCTGTGTAATTGATCTTGCCAAGCCAATCGTTCATTTCAGCCTCGCTTTCAGCTCGGAACATCTCTTCAAACCCGCTCTTCGCAAAGACCGCGAAAGCATGCTTGTGGTTCTTGTAGCTCATATCCTGTAGAGCTACGGATCCATCCATGGGTATAACATGGTCAGGCTTGAAATCCGAGACAGCGGGCTTGAACACGACAGGGGTACCAGACCCATGCTTCTGATGAGCTTCGTATTGGTGCATGAGTTCCTTTGCCCAAGCTGCATTCTTGAAGAATGAGAGACCTGACCTTGTCAGAATAGCGGACCATTCATGCCAGGGAGACCTTGTCGCCTTTCGCTTCACATCCTTTCGTAATAAGATGCCAACTTTCGTGACGTGCATCTCGACGACTCCCACTTGGGCTTCTTCCGGCCTATCGATAGTGGACTCATGCATGAAAGCTTCCGGTCGCGATCTCGCAGAAACAATTTGGATGACACCATATCTTGCAAATGATGAATGAAGACGCTTCACGTCAAGATCCTGCGCTGTTCCGGAATAATTGTAAGGGTCAACTGGGTGCACGACATCTTTGATCGCTGGTCGTAGTATTTCGACCTTCGAATCCATGATGAGCGTGTACGGGTCGATCGGTTCTTTGATCGCTTTTCTGGCTGGGTCATTAATGGGAGTCTTGAGGAGCGCGGCAGCCCGTTTCGACTTCTTGGTACTCTCGCGGAAGTCGACGCCATCTTCAAAGTGTATAAACGGGGTGTAGAGAATATTATCATAGAAGCACGCCAGGACTTCTTCAGCGACTCCTTCTTGAGCAGCATTCTTCACATAGTCTGCCTTCTGCATTTTTCGTTTGTTGTTTTTGTTGAAGACGTCCGTGTGTAATATGACGATTGAGAATGTGATAAAATATGTCTGATCTGGGTCTTTGAAAACTCCAGGGTTGCATTCGTGATAGCGATCTGCAAAACTCTGTAGTACCCTGTCGATTTGTTGGGTTTCTTTTGGCAGTTCCACTTCCAGTAACAGTTTTCTGACCGACATATCCAACGGTTCGCCAAAGAAAAGAAACTTTCTCATGTAACTTCGCAGGACGGCATGAGAAAACGCGTCGTCGGTTTTGGACATGATACTGGCAATCAGACTTCGATCGACGCATTCTTGTAGCCTTTCCAGGTACCTGCCCGGTGGCTCGCCCTCTTCTCTTTTGGGTACCACCAAGGCCTCCCGACTTATGTTGAACGAGTTTGTATGGGAATTTATTCCTGGAGTACCACCGCTATGGTTCGGCGAGTGTGGTTCCGAATTGTGTCGTATTCGATGTCCAATACCGAAAAGAGTGCTGAGACTGCTTCGACCAGCGGTAGAAGTTGAGTTACGACCACTGTTGACGAATGGTGGGGTCGGGGGAGGGATGTCATCCGACCTTCCGCCCAAAGAATTGACTGTTGATGACCGACCTCTTCTGCCAAGTCTCATAGGCGCAACAGGGGATGAACGAGCGGAGCGAGCGGAATGAGTGGAATCGTTACGGAAGAGTGGATTTCGGCCGAAGGCAGTTCGTGATGGGGATGATTGGTTCTGTCGAATGGTGTTGTCTCCATTGGACGCTCGGTGTATCGCAGTGAGAGGAGGACTTTCCTCGCCGGGAGAACGATTGGGTGAGCCAGAGCTTATTCCCCCAGTGGAGGCACGAGGGGTTGCAGGAGCTGTATCAGGAAACTGCGGAGGAGGTATCTTGACAGGTAGAGGGAATAGGGATGGGCGAGGTTTATTTTTCCGCTGGAACTTGAATAGGGAAGAGTGTTGAGGTTGCTGCCGTGATGGTTCAGCGAAGGTGATGTGTTCTGCGGAGCCCGAGCTTCCATCTGAGCGTGATGAATCGGAAATGCGAGCAGGAGGTGCAAGCGTAGTAACATGACCTTTGTGTTGGCCCAGAGCGCTCGACTTCGAGTTTCCTGCAGTCGGTTTGATGCGATCATCTAAGCTGATCTTGGAACTGTTCGCGCCGCGCAGACTTCCAAACACACTTCTTCGATTGTCCGTACTTATGCGCAGTTTGTCCATAGATTTTCGAGTGACGCCATGTGGCCGTTCGACAGAGTCGGGATCAAATGACAACCGCCTTCGAGCCATGTTGGCAAATCTACCTCTTTTCTTCGGCGCCTTTTCCTCCATGCTTTCTTCGACAGTTGGGGCTGTAGTGATTATTTGAGGGGCTATGAGGCAAGCATTACGTTAGCAGGTGTCAAACCATGAGATGTCGCGAAAGAAATACCTGGTGGTATGGATGGCACCGGTGGCGTGCCTTTAGCCTGCTCTTTTGCCTTTATAGACAATTGTGAGTCCGAGGCATGTCTGAACCGGAGCATACTAAATCTCTGGGTCTTGGGCGTGGACTGTTGGATTGGAGGAGATGGTGGTCTTTCGTCCTGTGAGATGGACCAACGAGGCACATCCTCTGCATCGAGGTATCTGTCGTCCGTCGAGGCAGCACGATCAAAATTGGAACCGTCAGCGACCAATTCATTACTCCTGGAAAGGTTTACAGTGCTTCGTCGGTTGGGTTCTCTGTCGCTCCGATTCGTCTTGAGGCCCTTGAGAGGCATTGCAGTGTGATGGGTATGGGCAGATCATCTAGAGTATGTGCGCGCGCGATATTCCAGACATGTTCCACAACTTTCTAATGATGCGATGGAGCGCGTACGAGTAGCAGAAGCGGTCAAGGGCGGTACAGAGAGACGTTCCTGATCGTACGTGTCGTGCGGTGTCGTGTGAAGGAAGGGCTAGTAGGGCTGATGTGGAGAGCGAGCAGTGGTTCGGCGGGACCCGCGACGCAATAGAGACAAGAGCTGAGGGGTCGATAAACGAACAAGTAGCGACGTAGAATGTGGACGCAATGGAGGAGAAGCGAGTGTCGTCTGGGGGTGATATTAATGAAGAACACGTCGAGCAGCAAGACGATTGAATGGTAATTGAAACTTTGCAGCGGAGGTGCTCCTGACCCGAACGCTCAGCTCTAGCAGGAGGTAGCCCGAAGCCGTCGCGGCGTAGCCCAAGTAATAATTATGTATCCCTATCCCTATCCACACAAGCCTAGCCAGGCAAGGTATGGCTGTGTGCCACGACTCAGCGAATACAGGAAGAAGCAAAACTTAATGCGATAATCCTTGGGAGTAGTTAATGATACATGACGAACCGTGGCGTCTGAACCAGAACCTTGTCAAGTCGTAGACAAAGGCTGTCTCACGGTAGCGTATTTCTATATACATGTATATCCATCATACCATGTAATGGATGGTCTTGAGGCAAATTAAGGCAATAGGGCCGTTTTGGTCGAACCAGATTGCGAAGAAATCTAATAATTCCTGACCACGTTGTCCTTTTATTAGCGGGCTAAAGTGGCCATCCATGTTTTGGGTGACTTGGTTGGTGCCTCACGAGTGCCTGAATTGATGCCTTGATCAGTGGTGCTTCAATTAATTAGTGTCTGAGCTGTTGATGCCTAAGGTTAGTTAGTCTTAGTTTGCGCGTCTCCACCTCCTCTTCTCGACGGGCAGCACTGGGCGCATTTTTTATCTCCGCCTTCCCCCCGCTAGGCTTCCTCCACATCACCAATCTATCCTCAACAACCTCAATTGTCCTTATGCGCGTCAACTTGTCCTGACCGTGCAATCGCTCGCCACATCGTATGAGCATGCTTGGTTGAACAGAAGTACCAACTCTCTACTTGGCGACAGTTCAGAGCTATAGCATGCGCCTCTTTACCTCTTCTCTTGTGGGGTGCCTCCTCATCGCCTCAGGACCGGTCGCAGCGTTACCTTCCTTATCAAGCTTCACCTTCCCTACGGATTCTTCGTCTCCTTATAAGACCCAAAGCTCGTGGCGGCGGCTATCGAACAGCATTATTGGTCGAATATGGCAGGCTTCGGAGGTTCAGGCACCTATACAAAACAACCATAGGACAGATAAGAGCAAAGTTCTTCCTGGAAAACTCGTGGCAAGTTACGGTCAGGATGTGGTTTTGCGATTCTCAATAAGCTCTGCTGAAGAGGCGCAAAGCTTAGCTGAGGCATCAAATATTCTGTTTCTAGATGTCTGGGACTTCGGCCAAACTTGGGCGGACATTCGCATTGCGAAGGACGTGGTACGTTTGTCAGAAGAGCTCAAGGCACAAGTGTATGGCTGACTTAGGTTCTTTAGATACCGTCGCTGCTTGGATTGCTACCTCAGTCCCTACAAAGTAAACATATAGCTTTAATGGATAATCTAGATCTCGCAACTGCCATCATCGACACATATCCTTCGACCTCTGCGACGAGTCCACACGACACGATTCACTTTACACCTTCCCTTGGACCACGTTCGCCTACGACGGACAACATCTTCTTTCAATCCTATCAACCATTATCTGTGATCGAACCATGGATGAACCTTTTGGCTTCAATGTTCCCCACCCACGTACGGCGCATAAATGTTGGCATCTCTTATGAAGGCAGAGATATACCAGCACTTCGTGTAGGCGTGCATCCGGGAGGTGAAGAGATTCCACACCAAAAGCGTAAAACAATTCTGATTACCGGCGGTTTACATGCTCGCGAATGGATCAGTACCAGTACGGTCAACTATGTAGCGTGGAGTCTCATTACTTCATACGGTAAAGACCCAGCCACAAAGGCACTCCTGGAGGCCTACGATTGGGTGTTCGTCCCTACATTGAATCCAGACGGTTATGTCTACAGCTGGGAGAGTGACCGACTCTGGCGGAAGAACCGCCAGCCAACCTCGCTTCGATTTTGTAAAGGTATTGACCTTGATCGCTCCTTCCCATATCAATGGGATGGCGAATCAACAGCCGGAAATCCGTGCTCGGAGTCATATTCTGGTGCCACGCCTCTCGAAGGTGTTGAGAGCCAACGCTTCGTCGAATGGGCGAAGAATGAGACTGAGAATAATGATGTCGAGTTCGTCACTCTCCTGGATCTACATAGCTACAGCCAGCAAGTCATGTATCCATACAGCTACACTTGCACATCGGAACCACCGACCATCGAAGATCTAGAAGAACTAGCGCTAGGCCTCGCAAAAGCGATCCGCCTTTCCCACAACGGCCACGGCCATATGTACCATGCCATCCCAGCTTGCGAGGGCAATGTTGCTACCAAGGACTCGAAGGACCAGAATAACAAGACATTCTTCCCCCGCATAGAGTCTGGAGGTGGATCCTTACTAGATTTCTTCTACCATGAAATGCGTGTCAAGTATGCGTACCAAATCAAGTTGCGAGATACTGGTAGCTACGGCTTCCTTCTGCCCAAAGAAAACATAGCTCCGACCGGCCGAGAGATCCTCGAGGCCGTGATGTATCTTGGCAAGTTTCTGCTAGGAGAGGTCGGCTTGCAGGATGAAAGCACGGGAGGCGACGTCGTAGCGGGCGACAAGACAGACCTTCTTCAGGACAAGAATGTATCGTCAGACTTTGAGGATTGGCACAACGAGTGGATACAGGACCGACTGGACAGTGAGGAGCAAGAAGAGGACGAGCCCGTGGCCTGGGAACTCAGAAGACGAAGGCGACGCTGAAAAAACCTCCTTGATAGTATTCTTTGGAAACAATATTCTAATTCGGATTAATGATTTTGTGTTTCGCCCTCTCACCCCAGGCACGTAGTGCACGTAAAGTGTTCTAAATTTGTCTGTACATGCTAAGCACTCGTGAAAGCGTGTGGACGATCACCAAGCAGTCCTAAAGGTTTCAGGTAATGCGAGCATTCATATTCGTATTGTTATTAAACTTTTTGTGCGCTGCACAACCAAGCTCGCGAAGTCCATACCCAACGGCCCAGTGGGAGTTCTAGGTATACCTAGGTAAGGTAACACTTGCACCCACCGGGAATGGATGAAAGCCTTTGGGGGTAATTAATCATATATATAATATGGCGGGGAAACCCAGCTTCTTCCAAAGCATCCGGTAAACCGTATTGCGGCATGACTAGTGACGCAGATTGAGGGTTACGCAGGCAGCGTGTCTATTACTCGCCTCCAGGCTAGCTATCCATCCCTCCTCCATCCATGCCAAATTCTTCGCAATGACCTGCGCATAAGGTCCTTAATATCTACCACCCCCGGTGCTGCCCCGCCGGGAGCGGTTCGTCGATGGACTGCCTAATTTGGTAGCAGGGTATTACGTATTGTCATGCGCTCTCGTTGTATGCGAAGAGTTATCCTGGTATGACGATCATTGGATCATGTATGCATTCACCACTTGCCTTGCTTCGCAGCCCAGGTACAGATTGACGTATAAAGTAAATCGCCGTTTCCTTGATACACACCACAAGTCTCCTGGAAACACGACCCCAAGACGTCCCCAATGAGATTTTGAGAAAGCAATCAGACTGAGGCTCTTCCAAGTCCATCATCACCATCATGGCGTCACTTACACAGTCCTTATCACTAACGGCGCTGTCCCTTGCCGTGCTCTGCGCGACACGAATCTCCGCCCAAACATTCGGCGCAACGCCGCTGATGGGCTACAACTCGTACAACCAACTCGGCTGCACGCCCACCTCGTCCACCATGGAATCCGCCATCAACGCCCTGTCCTCTCGTGGCTTTGTCGCCGCCGGATACACGTACTTCCAGATCGACTGTGGATGGTCGGCCTCGGACGGGGCGCGCAATTCGAGCAGCGGCGGCGCGCTGGCGGTGGACACGACGAGGTTTCCCCGGGGACTGCAGGCGTTGAGTGATCTGGCGAGGGCCAAAGGGATGCAGTGGGCGATGTACAGCGATGCCGGGGTGCGGATGTGCGATACGCGAGTGCCGAGTCCGGTGCTTGGGAGTTTGGGCAGCGAGGGCGTTGATGCTGAGTATTTCAAGAGTCTGGGGACGGTTTATGTGAAATGTAGCTCTTGATGCTTAAGACAGAGGGGAAGGATGCACCCGGCTAATTTTGCTTGCAGATGATAATTGCTATGTCGACGGCCCTGGTGCGAACCAGAATGCGCCGAAGGATCCCCGTACGGACTTCGTATCGCGCTTTTCGGCCATGTGGAATGAGCTAAAGCGTGTAGGTATTCCGGGTATGTTGGTCTGTCAATGGGGTACGCCGTATGCCAGCTCGACGGGCTTGCAAGGGCCGAATTCCTGGACGAGAGGGATCAGTACCTCGTTCAGGCTTTCGGATGATATTGCAACGGGCTGGGGAAACGTATACCGGATATACAATCAAGCGATCCATGTAGTCAAGTCTGGGCTCATCGGCCCAGGACACTTTGCAGATGCGGATCTGCTGGAAGTTGGGAACCCGGGGATGACGTTCGATGAGCAGGCAAGTCATTTCGCCGCATGGGCGATGCTGAAGAGTGCTTTGTTCGTGTCGACGAATATCACTGCCCTGTCGACTGAGCTGCTCAATGTCTTGCAAAACAAGGATCTCATAGCCATCAATCAAGATTCCGCTGGTAAGCCCACCACGCTTGTTCAACGATACACGGGTGATCACGACGTATGGATTGGGGACCTTGCGAACGGTGATAAAGCTGTGCTGGTCGTTGACTTGAGCAATGCCGCACGCCAGCTCAGTGTCCCGTTCTCGCTACTGGGCATCATGTCTGCGAATGCAAAGGATCTGTGGAGTGGTACGACGACAAATGGTGTTACGTCTTTCAGTAAGAGTGTCAAAGCACATGGTTCGATCGCACTGCGTCTTTCTGGTATCAAGACATCTTCGACTGCTGCGCCAACATACAATTTTACTGCTGCCTCGAAAGGCTCTCTCGCGAATGGTGCAAACGTTCAATCTTGCTCCGGCTGTACGTCGAAGAATAAAGTCGGAAACCTGGGATCTAGTGCCAACGGACGGCTCACACTGTCCAATATTCGAACTTCGCAAGCAACTCAGGCAGTTGTGTTTGACTATATCAACGGTGAGATTGGCTACCTTGGCGGAAGTAATAATGAACGTCTTGCGAGTATCAGCGTGAACGGAGGGACACCAAGGACAGTGAGCTTCCCCGTGACAGGATATAATTGGGATGCAGACGTCTACAAAAGCTACGCAGTGGAGCTGTCGGGATTTAGTACCACAGGCGTCAATACAATTGCAATATCAGGATCCGGAAGTGGATATGCGCCAGACTTCGATCGTATTGGGATTATAGCGTAGAATAGCGAAAGAGACCATATGATAGGCCTACATCGCACGTATCGAATCTCTGCGCAAGCAGAATAACCAATTGGCTTGTGAACGTTCCCTTGTAGAGACTCTGCAAAACTACCCCTGGCTAATCGAGCCCAGGTTTTACAGACCGCTTAGAGCAAACGGCAACACATCTATCATGTTCCGGACAGGGCGGTCCAGTGAAGTTGTGATGGGAAGTAAGAATGTCATCGAACCAAGTAGGATCTTCCAATTCCGGAGTCCAGCTTTCTCCATTATCAGTGATCTTGATGTCTCGGTCGATGTATCTTGTACGAGGCCAATAGCCATCTGATAAGAGATATTAGTATCGATAGACTCATTAAGTTGCGACGATTGCATACCTCTGTTCTCAGTTTCAATCTTTTCCCGAACAAACAATCGCCTTTCCATGGGATGTGTTTGTTTCCGTCGTTGAGATGGCGTTGGAGGCCCATCTAAGGCAATGTCTTCCGGATATAAGCCAAGAGAGTAGGCACAAAATGGCTCTCCAGGCCTGTAGTAGCGGGTATATACCCTAATATCCTCCTTCGGGGAGCATACTTTGCAGTTGCATGTGCATTTACTTTTATTTCTGTTCTCGATGTGCCAAATTTGTTGACAGTGGCGACAGAATTTCGCGATGTGGGAATACCATCCAGGTATGATCCTCGAGTCATCGGTAGTTGTAACAACGTTGGTCAACAAGCCTGATACATGGCGCGAACAAACATGCATCGGTAGTTTAACGACATCAATACTATTTCCAGAGCGATCAGAGGCCGCTATGATTGCAGGACTAGTCGATGAATTGAACGCCTCTGGCCGTAGATGCACCTTTGGGGTACATAGAATGCATAGTCTGAGGGACGTAATGTCAGCTGCATTCGACAGTCCGTGAAACCTCCGGGCGCAATTCTTGGAAGCATCGTGTTTGTCGACTTGTTTGGTGCAGGCGTTCAGCTGTTTGCAAACAAGCTTGAAGTTCAGGAGATCCCGGAAAGCAAGGTATTCGCTAATGATGAGCAGCAGCTCTGGCGGCAAAGTAAGAAGAGAAGTTTCTGGCTTGGAGCTTCTGAAGTTGATATACTCAGTCTGAAGGTCCTGAAACGATGTCATTGGAACGGTCTTAGGAGTTCGTTCAATAACGCCGGGGCTGCCTTGAGAAATGCGGTAACCTTCGTGCGATGCGTTTATCTGCATTTCTTTCATGGAACAATATAACCAGAATTGATGTTAATTAACCTCTGTTGCGAATGATGCACGACTAGGGGTCTGACGCCCTAGGAATCAATGAAATAAGATACTCACACTCTTCAATAGAGATTCAAGAAACAGATTTCGTGGTTCAGAAGGAAGGTCCTTTGTATGGTCGAGGGCACGTGGGAACCTACTGTGCCTCTTTGTTGAGGCAAGAGAATCCAATGACAGAGGTGAAGGGCTCGGAGACAATACGCGCCCAACAAGAAACGCCCACGCCCAGCTGGCCTTATACGTGAAGCTCGTGACGCTTTCCATGATTATGATCATCTTCGAAAGGTGACTTGGCACGGAGAACAGATTCACGTAGAGGGTTGCGTCGAGGACTCGAGCGAGCAGACATTGCCATGAGGGCGTACCCTCTCGTGGTAATGCGACGTTATGATAAGATCTGGATCAAAGGAAGACGGCAGCTGTGTTGAAGGTAGTAAAACAATCAGGTCTTATGACGGGAGGTGGTGACGTGCAGCTGAGGCACGGGCGTCTAAAGGTCATCTTCCAGTCTGTAAGCATGGTGACTTGAAAGCAGGACAGATATCAGCCAATAGAACATGTAATGAGATATGGCAGATAGGAGCATTCATGGAGGCTTTGGAGACGAGAGTTGCAACCAGTGACCTGTGGTGATAGGACAAGGATGAAGTGCGTTGGAGGTTTGTTCTCGTTCTAGGGAGCGGGCCGGTCCCGACAAAAACGAACATACTCCAGCTTACAGCCTGTCCACGATGCGGTGGTTGCGTTTAACTTTGTAATTACGCGGACTGTCAGCCAGCTTGATACTGCAACGAGTCATTTCTGGTCATAGACACTGTCGTCGTCCTCATCCTTCCATATAGCTTCTTCGTACTCGCTCTTCACTTATCATGACTGATGCCTGCATAGACGGGCCGACGCAAAAGTGGTGCTCAACGCCTGACACACCAGACAATCTTTGCCAGACGTACAGAGTACTTCCTCAACACCGGCATCGTTATTGACAAGATCCGTCTGTTGGTCGTCTTGGGATGTAACACGCTTGGAGTAGCGTGGAACATACGTCTTGCTTGCCACGCTTCCAGCTGTTATTTTGGAGCTGAGTTTCATCATTCGTGATCTATTGATCTCTTGACCGAATATATAGTCTGTTGGCCTCCGCAGGGTTATAGCAGAATCTAAATCTAGATAATTAGTTACTGCCAACGTGCATCTGATGCTGTCCCATGCACATGCATGGACCCCCTCCCCCCAATGGCGGGGTTCGTACATAGCACCTGGGCAAGGCTCAAGCTGTCTCTAGCTCTCCCTACCACCATGATCAGTGTCCTCTTTTCATTTTTGCGATGCCTGCCATACTTGAGTATTCAGCGGACACTCTACAACGACTGTATCTTCTGTGTCTCGAACAAGCCGACATGCTTCTGAGTCCCGATTAAGGCGAAGAGCAATGGGTGCTTGTATGCTTGTATGCTTGTATGCAAAGCGCCATCTTGAGTGAAGAGTACGAGTCCCGGCCAACCCCGCGGGTATTGGGCTGCACCCCTGCCATTGCTACCGTAAAAGAAGATGCGAACGACAGTCGTGATAGTGATAGTCTGATAGATATGCAGTGAGGTGGGGTTCCAAGGCTGGCGTGCGTGGCCGGCATGGTATGGTGCGCAGAGTCTCACAGACGACTGGCGGCATCGAGTCGTGATAATTACGTCCTTTGTACATGTTGCACTTCTGTAGGTGCGTTTCAAGCTCACTTTGCTTTGCACATCTCTAAATTTCAAACATGGACGAGGAAGCGTGTCAAAGTGTAGACGGGACGAAGTATGGCGAGCCGGCAGACTCGGAGGGACCAACTAGCCAGATACGGATCCCTCATAGGCACCGGAGGAGTCAATTATACCGAGAAAGCACACCCACGCAGACAAGCAGACCTCTTTTGCGTCGGGAGACAGAACGCCATAGCCAAGTTCCCGAAAGATGTGGATGTTTATGTGTATCGAAGATGACAATTGGAAGAAGTGTTAGGTTGATAACTAAGTTATAGTAGTTAGGTCGACAATGAGCGAGCGACCTGCCCGAAAGCCGCTCGGGTGTCCGCCTAAATCTCCTCCCGTTGGCCGCCGCCATGGATCCCACCGTTGGCCTGGCTTTGCCTCCACTGTCCACTGTCCACTGTCCTTTATTCACTACATATCCACTTTCCACTACCCACTACCCACTACCCATTGTCCAGGCTCTCTCCCTTTTGCATGACTGATGCTCCGCTGCAACCGTGATGGCCAGTCGGTCGGTCTTGGTTCCATCCCCTCCTCCCACACCCTCTGCCTAACTGCCCTCCCCCCTCTCAGTTCCTTGATTTGAGTCCTTGAAGTTTTTCCGAGAAGTCGAATTGCAGCTCTGCAGACTGTATAAAATTATTTACCTGCTACTTTCACGACTGGATAAACAGTCGGTATAGACTATTCCCACTGGCCGCGGTTACATGCTTGCAGGTGCTGTAAAATAAAAATTGGGGGGAGATGTCCATGTTAAAATTGCCTAGTGCTATCCGCCGGATTAGCGTGGTTATAATATCATTACCTTAACACTTCGTCCCCCAAAAAAGCCCTCTCACATCCGCGCTCTCCACTGCACCGAGTCCTTTTTCTCCTCCTCCTACTACTCCTCCTACTCCTCCACTCCATTCCGTCTGCGTCCGCCACTTATACGGTCGCTTCATCTTCAGCGTCTGTTTGTATATACCCCATCCTCGTCGTTGTCGGTTCTTCTCCCGCCTGGTTTCCCGTTAAGCCCGTCGTCCGAGGTAAGCAACGACTCGTGCATCCCTCTTCCAGCTTCCAGGGTCGTCCGTCCCGAATTTTTTTCGCCCGACTTCTGCCTTCGCATCACTTCATCTCCCCTGTGTCTCTGCTCATATTGAAGGCCTCCACCGTGTGTGACGCTGCTGATGTATCATCGTTAACTCCTTTGTTTCTTTAGATTCACAGTCCTCCGTTCGAGACGTCATTCCGCTGCTCTGCATTATCGCTCGATCTATCTTGGACATAAACCACTATTATATACCAATATCTCCAAGACCTTTGTCCCATACTTGGACATGTCTTTCTTCGGTGACAACTCGCAATGGAATGCGCCAGGCCGTCAAGCCACATGGGAACAGCCTCCACCACCATCTCGATCAGGTTCGATACCATTGATTGCCACGGCAAGATTCGCAGATACTAATGCTCAAACAGGAGCCAGCTCTACTGTGCAACGAGACGAGCCTGGTGCTTTCCAATCTCAATTCGAAGGTATTTACCGCCCTTTTCGTCCAAGAAGACAAAAAATTCGTTAATGTCACATTGATCACACGGACACAACTGCAAATGGAATGCTAACTCATGGCGCTTCCAGAGGTTGAACGAGCGGCGGACAATCTGATGAAGAGCGGGAAGATGTTTGGTCCAATGGGTGGACAAGCCCCCCGTCGCGACTCAATGCCGCCTCCTGTTGCTGGCCGCGGATACCCGGAATTCGGTATGCAACCACCTTCCGCACCTCCCACGATAAAAAACTAAATATAACAGATCCCCGCATGGGTGGAGGTCCACAACGACACCATTCTGTAAGCGACTATGACGGTATACGCTCAAGCTCCGCTTCGAACCTGCAAGGCTTCTACGCCACCCAACGGTACGGGCCTCGGCCAAGCGAAGCCGACTCAGTGATGCAGGCGAAACGCCGTATGGCTGCTCAACGGGAAAGGGAGCTAAGGAACTACCACCAAGAGCAGCAGTACAACAGGAGTAAGAAATCCGATTCTGGTCAAGATGCGTAGGAATACCCTGGTTAACTAGGTTCCATAGACGCTTCTGGAGCAAAGTCCGATCGATCCCTTAGCCCCAATGCGATGAGTGAAGATGAGCGCCGTGATCTCATCGCTCGCCAGCACCGAGCCTTGTACGGCGACAACGCCCAGCTATACAACCCCGATGGTAGCTCTCGTCAAAGCAGTCAAGATGCCCGGGTTGCAACTTCAGTAGGAGGCCGCGGTCCATCTCCGCTAGCCTTTGATCCTTTCGGCATGCAAGCCCATGGAGGCCACAATGATGGCTCTGTACAAATGCCACCTCGTGATCATGCTAGCAAAGATGCTCCTGCTGGTGCTCAGCGTTCTCGTGCCAACAGCAACTCGTCTCCCTCCTCTCAACCAACGGCTTCATTCAACCTGTACGATAACGCACAGCAGTCTAGCCGAACTTCAGCCTCCTCACCTGGCGGTTCACCTCCTCGTCAGGGTGGTAAGGCTTCTAATAATGCCGGCGTCGCTCCAATTGGGACACGTCCATCTCAAACTCAGGGCTCGGCTGCAAACGCCATGAACAAGCGATCTACCACGCCACTTCCCTCTCCATTGAGCTATGGCTTTTCAGCGAATGGCCAGAGCAACAATGAACGGTCTACATCCGCTTCTTCGAACCCTGCAACTTCGGCTGCAGACAAAGGCGTAAACATTGGATGGGGCAGCAACAGCGGAGTATGGGGATCTTCAAAGAATACCCTTGGTGTTCAGGCTCCAGTGTGGGGCTAGTGCTTGTATCAAGCAAAATGGAGTTCTCACATTGCGGAGTTCTAGCATTTCAGGTGTCCCGGGCATTAATGACGGTCTTCTAGGGGCGTGGGAGAGGACTTGTAAGCAGGTTTCGACTATCCGTCGGATGGCGTGTTTCTCTGCATACATAGGAGCATTTGTCGCTTGTGGGACGTATGAGGTCGTTTGGCACCGGTGTTTGTTCCGTCTTTGGTTGGTGCAGTGCTTATGGGAAGGATTCATGGCTGAAATTTTGCTGCAATTGTCATCAGTGGGCGGTCTCGGGCGGGAACGGATTTATTTCTACTCTGTTCGTTCTTCTCTCTGCACGGAAAGCGCTGAGTTCTCTTTAATATCTCCTTGCCTCGAGTATGTATATTGGCTGGTTGAGATGTGGCATGGGTATGCAGGTGGAGTTCGCGGAAAAAGTCAAGACTCTGTGTCTGGTGTTTCACTTAATACAAAACTCGGGACGGACTCTTTCTCAGATTCGGTGCATTTTTAGAATCCATACATAGCTCTATGGTTGCTCAAGTGTCTATCTGTGTAGGGAAGACTATCATGGGACGCCCCAACTAATGCCACACGAATCAGATTTTTCGCACCGTAGTGACTATTGTAGACCATAAAGTAAAATGTCGGCATACGAGTAATGCTCATGTTATTGTATGGCCACTCATTGTTTTGCCCCTTTCGGTCGTTGAGGGTCTGGTCGGGCTAAGCGAGGCCAGCCAAATGGACGGCGTTAGTGGCTCCGGGTTTGAGAATCGTGTCCTCACTTCACACCTCGCACCTTTGTTTGTACCGCCCGACTATCCCAATCCATTGCAGATTTAGTCGAGCAACTTCGAACTTTACAACTCTCCTTGAACCATCGCTGCATCCGGATCCACTCATTCTCACATTGCCAACATGGTCAGTCCGTCCCTTTCTATCCAAGGTTACCGCTGCTGCTTGTATCCGTGCGGCCTGCTACTTCAGTGCTATAAGAGCTCCAGATGTCTCCATTACGGCAATGCGATGCGCGTATGGACAGTCTGGTTGCGATCACTCGAGTCGCTACCGATTGATATCAAGAGACCTCATCACTGTAGCCACTTTGCGACATACCACAATGGATCACTAGACCAGAGTCCTAGCTAATCTTGTTTTATCAGTCTTCACCACGACCAACCTCCCCAGTCAACTCTCCTTCCACCGGCTCGAGCACTGCTCGTCCCTCTTCTCCAAAGCCACCAGGTGGACCAGCGACTGCAATCCGACGGAAAGCTGCGCAGGACAGAGCGGACAAGCTGGCAAACTCGCGACCAACATCGACACGTGCCGCAGGTGCTGGTGGCAGCTCTAGCACTATGCTGAGGCTATACACGGATGAGTCTCCTGGTCTGAAGGTTGACCCTGTTGTTGTGATGGGACTGTCGATCGGCTTTATCATCAGTGTGGTCATCCTTCACGGTATGCTGTCCGATTCACACAAGGGGAAATATCACTGACAAGCATCTCCAGTACTCGCAAAACTCATGAAGAGATTCTCATAATAGAAAGATTAATGAAATGGTGGAGATGGAGGGGAGGACAGACAACGCTCGATCACAAAGGATACCAGCCAGCAAGCGAGCAAACACGTATACCATTGCACGAAGTGACGTGCTCTGGAAGAGAGCATACATGGCTAAGGGCGGGCTTTCAATGCATCTCTTATAGCGACATTCCCAAATCCGATATATCAGAGCGCAGGCATGGTCTTAAAAGTTGTGTACGCAATTTGGGTCATGGTAGGGGCTTTCATGTGTATTATAGGGCTCTCACCTTGATGGCGCGCCAAATTTAATTTTGTTGCATGAAAATGTTACTGTTGAACATACGAAACGTTCTGGATGCTTCATAACATCCTAGTACATCGATACGAGCCCGTTATTGGATGACGAATCGACTCTTGACAAATGTAAAGACACAACGTGCCTTTGTCGACCTTAACTACACAAGATTCAGCCGATGCAAGCATAGACAGTCACATACCTCACTTAGTTTACGTAGGTTTTGACTTGGCCCTACCACACTCACCTTGTATACTCCTCCACGAACGAGTCCTATCTAACATTCCCCCGGTCTAGCTGATCTTGCGCCATCATTAGAGCAGGAGCATGCTTTCGAGAATACTTAAATAATGTTTCACATTCTTTGAGTCAGGGCTGGTACGCCTGAAAAACACATATACCCAAACGGGTCATCAAACATCCCCGAAAGTCGAAAGTATCCCATCACTAGGATGCGCTGCGTGAGATTATTTACCTGTATTTATGCATATATATATATCTAAAATATATGACCAATCAATACGTCCACTGATCATTGCTCGATTCTGACCTGTACGAGAAGTCTGCTGTTTGCTGGTACTGCTGTTGTTGATTAGTCTAGGCGACGGATGTTGTACTGGAACGTCGGAACTCATCTCACCCATTCCACCCCTTTCAGCATGTCACGACATAGCACAACACGGCACAACACGGACATTCATTGATTCCCGAACATCCCTCTATCGAGAATGATTTAGCCATAGACCTCGAAATAGGCCCCCGATCCTTAGTGCCAGGACTTTCGGTATCAATAATGCTCATTCTATAACAGCGTGGATAGTTCCGCGTGTTGGGGGGGGGGGGGGGGGGGAAGGATAGGAGGAATCAACAAAGGAGGTGCGAGAGATGGTGATGAGTTGATTTAATCTGTAGCTGAGATAACATACACTCGCACGTTCAAGGCTAATATGCTCCGTGTTGCACGTATCGTAGCATTCGTTCATTCTTATTGGAACTGTCTACAACGTAACCACCCCAGCGTCTCATCGGCGCAGGAAACTCTTCCCACCAATGGCCTTCCTCTGCATCTTTTGCGTCTTGAGCGCACTGTTACCCTTGACCCTCTGACTCTTCGTCTTTGCAACTTCCCTGCCCCTCAACCACGAGTCCCGCAGGTTTTTAGTATCTTTATGCACTTTTGGCGCAAGCAGCATGTTTGTCTTCTCCAGCACACGCACTTTGACCGGGCCACGCCGTACATCCTTTGCTTTCTTTTCGCCTTCTTCGATGAACTTCAGATGTCTGTTGCGCTTTTGCTGCTCCAGCGTAAGAGCAGCTGGAACCTCAGAGCCGGGCTCAGGAGTGGCCGGGCGTTCGGTCGCCAGGATATGGGCTGGTAAGAGATCAGGTAGGGATGATGTTGATGTGCCAGCTGTGATCCGCGTGGAGGCCTTGAGATTCTTGCGTGCACGCTCCTTGAGAGCAGCGTCACGGGCTTGACGTTTGAGCTTGGCAGCAGTAGCTTGTTTCTCTGCGGCTTCTGTGGCAGCAGCTTCTGCCTTTGCGACTTGGGACTGGGCTGCCATGGTTGTGATGGTTTCGGGGGCTTCATCATCGCTTGAAGATTCGTCCTCGGAATCATCTTGTGGGATGGTCTTCGCTTCTTTTGAGGTGGTCCGCTCGAGGTTTGAAGTGAGCTCATCATCAGCATCATCAGTATCATCAAAGATCTTGTGTCGTGGTGCCTTGCCCGTCGCCGCCGGTATTATGGGCTCGGTCTTCCTGGTATGGCTTTCTCCTTCTGAGCTTTCTACCTGCCCGTCATTCAACTCGGCGCCAACTTCGGCTTCATTTACGCGGTCAGGTACTGTACCAGCTGCGTCAGCTACCAAGCTGCCTTGCTGGGTAGCATTCTCTAGATCTTCTGCCTCTTCCTCTTCTCCGCCGTCGTCGTCAGTATCATCTATGAATTTCGGAGTCTCCTGTGGGACCTTACGCGGGGACACCACGACTTGGGGGCTGAGTTGAGGTACCCGACTGGACTCTTGGGCCAAAGCCTGGGGATCGTACAGGCCTTCATCCTCATCATCGGAGTCGTCGGAAGATATCTCGATGACGTCTTGCTTCGTGGAAGGCGTATTGCCTATCTCGCTGGGTGTAGCCTCATCTTCGAACGGGACAATATGTGAAGTGTCTATCTTTGCGCGAATTGGTACTCTTGTCTCCTTGGTTTGCTTTACCGCCTTTTTGGCATCTCGAGTAGGCGTAGTCGCGGGTCGTGAATGCGATCGAGTCAGTCTCGTAGCCTCTGCAGCTTCTGATCTTTCTTGACGGGGCGTCCTTGTCGATTTCTCGACCGACTTGACAACTTCAGCAGGATGTAGTTCTTCGGCAGCGTCGGCTTTTGCTGTGGCGGCAGCCTCAAGTTCTGCTTCGCGTCTGGCTGCCACTTCGATCTTGTGGATCTCGTCTTCTTCTGTCACTTGGACTGGGTCGTCGTCTCTCAGTCCCATGCGAGGTGGCGTCGCACTGTCGTCATTTCCAATGTGTGAGCTGTCCTCGACGATATCCTGGAAGACGTGCTCGACAGTATGTCTTTGTGACGCCGAACCACGCAGTTGTCGCCTCCGTTTTACCGAACTTGCGGGCGAAGCAACATCCTCGAGCTTTCTCTTTGCGGCTGTTTCCTTGGTGTTACTCTTTCTCAAGCCGCTACTAAGCTGAGATCCAGTCTGCGGTGTGACACTAGCAGGACTGTCGGTAGCCCGTCCACCTCTTGTAGTCACCATAGTTGCCTGATCTTCCACGTCGGCAGTGGGCGAAGGTTCTGGGGTCCTACTAGGTGCAAGTCCGAATGCAGATTGAGCGAGGTTTCTGAGTCGCCCGAACATGAGGCGAACCCGTGAATTTCGAAATATTTTTATGCATGCAAGGATTAGGCACTTTTTCGGATTAGGTTCGGAAGGTATTTTGCGATGCGTTTGGCCTTGGCGCAGCGCTCGGCGAAACGTAGGACCGAGCGTCCGCCACCCGGACGCGATTTATGGCAAAGCATCACCACGACTGTAGAACTCTCCAGTTCGTAGAAACCTACATTGCAAGTATCACGACACAATGACTACAGCCCATAGACCAACTTTTGACCCGGTGTGTAATCTCAGGAGTGATCATTTAGCTTTCAAGGCTGACGCAGTTTCAGGCCCGGGGTAAAGAGGCCCAGCGCGGTCCTGCCTATCACCAGCGGCTATTGCCTGCGCACATGACATTGAAGCACCGGTAAGCTTTCTAAAGCTTCATATCACCGTCTCGCTGACCTGTTGCCATGTAAAGACAAGCAGGTCAGGGTGGCACAGGCGATAACGAAACACGCGATCTCCGAGCAGAGCTTCTTAAAGCTGAAGCCGCACACTACGCAAAAAAGAACGGTAACACATTATCCGATGATGCTGGCGATGCTGAGGCATCCTCGGCGGCTCCTAAGCGAACCATCGAGGCCGCAACAGCAGATGAAGAGGATCAAAATGAAGATCCGGAAGTAAAAAGACGAAGATTAATATTACAAGAAGCCAAAGATATCGATGCAGACTCAGAGAATTCAAGTGATGAAAGCAGTGACAGTAGTGACGACGAGTACGTTCCCTCGAGCCAGTACTGTGCCGTTGCACTGTGTCGCTGACGTATAAGCAGCGATGACGAGGAAGATGAACAAGCCGAGCTTATGCGAGAGTTGGAGAAGATAAAAAGGGAGAGAGCAGAGGCAAAAGCAAAAGAAGTATGATCAGTAGTGTTGTATGAAGATTGCAGCTAATCTGGCGTAATAGGAGGCTGAGCGAGCTGCAAAGGAACAAGAGCAACGCGAAGTTGACATTGCTCGTGGGAACCCTCTGCTGAATCCAGGCGACTTCAATATCAAACGAAGGTATGCTGCACTATGTCATGTGCACATAGTAGAAAACCGCTAATTGGGTATAGATGGGACGACGATGTTGTGTTCAAGAACCAAGCCAAAGGAACTGAAGACAAGAAGAAGAAAGAATTCGTGAACGATCTACTACGTTCTGATTTCCATAAACGTTTTATGGTACGTCGTCTTGGTATTGTTTACTGAAAGGCCTTGCTAAGTTATTGTAGAGCAAATACGTCCGATAAATGAGTCTCGGTCTAGCCCACGGAAGACCTCCGGCGTGGCCGCGCCTCACCGTGGCTGGTGCTGTAGGCGCCACGAATTGGGGGGTCAATAGCCACTGTGGCTGCAGATGCAGCTGTCCAAGGATTGTTGGTGCTCAGCGAAGTCGATTTTCACTGTCGCGGCCTTATCTCGATCTTCAACACATTCGATCGACTATAATTCCGCGAAGCTTGAAGCCCCCAACATCAGATCGGTAGATCTTTTCCACTGAACCCTCCGATCACTTCCCACGAACGGCTGCGCCTGCCTCATTGCGAACATGTTTACTGCCTTCTCCGGTTGAGGTCTGTCAATTAGCGCACCCCGCAATGAGCCATGACGTGCGCCTCACAGGCAAGCGATCGGGGGACCAGACACTAGGCTGTCAACAATTAAGGCATGGGAATACATATCCCGCATACAATTCATAGTCCAGACTCCTCCAAAGCCCTCGCGATTCGGTAGATTCGTCCTCCGTCCAGCTGGAGTTGTGTACTGCCACAGGCGCTAACGCCCCTCTATCCATTCTAGACCACACGATACCACCGCTCGTGCCGCATATGCACTTGTTAGTGGTCGAAGTGCCTGAGAATCCTCCTGTAGTAACCACCCAAGCCGGTCCTCAACCTTGTTTGTAATTGTCCAGTTCTCGAATCCTGTGCTCCGCATGTGACGCCATGTTCCGGCTTGCCTGCGTATGTCCATGCCGCCGAAGTCCCAACGACGGCCTGCTTGAATTTCACGCATACCAGAATTGGTATAAGAAGCGTTGCCGTCCCCCATCCAATCGATATTCTGCATCTCCACTCCTATTCTGATCTTCCTTCACAAGTCTACTCTTCCACACTACCCAAAAGGTTCAATCCATACATTATGTCTTACAACGTAAGATGCATCCCGACTCATGATCTCTTGAGTTGTATTAATCGTCCTACAGAATGACAACTCTGATACCTACGGCTCCGGCTACGGTAAAAAGTCCTCGGACGACAACTACGGTGGTGATTCCGACTCCTATGTTGGCCAGAACACCAACAGCTATGGAAGCGGTAATCCTAGCGGTACTAGCTACGGAAACAAGTCAAACTATGATGATGATGACGACAGCAGCAATAAGAAAGGTACAGCCTCCAATGCCATTTCCACTATCACCTAGCCTTAACATACATCAGGATCCACCGTCGGCAAGCTTATGGAGAAAGCTGGTGACTTGATGAACAATGACAAGATTGAGCAAAAGGGTCGCGAGAAGCAAGGCTACGGCAATTCGTCCGACAGCTATGGTAGCTCTAAGCGCTCCGATGACAACGACAGCTATGGCTCCAGCCGCAAAGAGACATCCTCATATGGTGGTAACAACGATAATGACAGTTATGGATCTAGTCGCAAGGAAACCTCCTCCTACGGGGGCAGCAACAACAACGACAACGACAGTTACGGTTCAAGCCGCAAGGAAACCTCTTCTTATGGAGGCAACAGCAACGACAACGACAGCTACGGTTCAGGCCGCAAGGAAACCTCCTCTTACGGCGGCAACAACAATGACAACGATAGCTACGGTTCCAGCCGCAAGGAAACGTCCTCGTACGGTAGCAACAATGACAACGATTCGTATGGAAGCAGCCGTAATAAAGAGAGCTATGGCTCGGACTCCCGTGATTCCAACACTAACACCTCTGGATATGGCGGGAACACTGGCGGAGACTCGTACGGGTCTTCGCGTCGTGACAACGACTACTAGTTGATTCTCTAGCGTCGTAGCTATTATCATTATGCCGAAGAACGCCTGATCAAGATATTAGCATGAACCTTTTTTTTACATACCAATCAATATACGATCTTATGATCTTCATCATCGCCATTATCATTATCTCTTCATGTTGTCATATATCCATTCCATGCTCACCCATACAAGTGACAACCCAAAAATCAAAGATTAGAAAACTAGATAAGAAACAAAATGATATGTCAATGCTCGGGACTCCACTTGTATATACAAACTTGCTACCGAGCCGATCTGACCTGTGTAGAAGAAAAGGACGTCATGTGCTAACAGATCATACTGTGCTGCAATCTTCCTATCGCAGGCGGAGGAACGAAACGTTGAATGGGCAGATATGGCTTTCTTTGTTTGGATGTATGTTTAGTGGGTTGGTTAAATCGCACTGTGTGTTGTGGACTAAATAGTATTATATTGGTGATGGTAAAGACAACCATGTTCTGAAATAGAATTACGATGTTAGTCATGTGCTCAGATTATAGACACTATAACTGCTTTAGGAGCATTGTTGGAGGTTGTGAAGAGTCTACCAGCGCAGATGAAGCACGAAGTCCGATGATCAGCAGCTCTGCTTGTAGAGTTCGTATCTGCATACAAACCAAATCTATGTACATATCATCGTTATGTCCCCAGTCTCTCTATAATGCACCCAACTCCTTCAACTTCGCAATCATCCCATCTACATCCTCGACCTTGACGCCCCCCTTCCTCGCCGGTGGCTCTTCTACCTTAAGCACCTTCAATCTGCCCCCCGCCTCGATCCCCAAGTCCTCCAAACTGACCTTCTTCAACGGCTTCTTCTTCGCCTTCATAATATTCGGCAGACTCGCATACCGCGGCTCATTCAGCCGTAGATCCGTCGTGATCACAAGTGGAATCTTCGCCTTGACCGTCTCCACGCCCCCATCGACCTCCTTGGTAATCTGCACTTCGCCTTCACTCGGGAATTCAATCTTACTGGCTTGCGTAGCCTGTGGCCAGCCCAGCAGTCCGGCGAGCATCTGCCCTGTCTGCCCGCTGTCGTCGTCAATGGATTGTTTGCCAAGGATGACGAGGTTTGTGCCCTCATCTTTAACGACCTTTGCGAGGAGCTTTGCCACATCCAGCGGCTCTAGACCACCTGTGCCACTCTCTTGACCGACGTCCGTCTGCACATGAATTGCATCGTCGGCGCCCATGGCAAGCGCTGTGCGCAGCTGATCCTGGGCTTTCGCCGGGCCGGCCGCGAGCGCGGTAATGCGTTCGACTTTGTGCGGGAATTTCGATGCATCTTTCGTGTTGCGCTCGCGTAGTCGCACGGCTTCTTCGATGGACAGCTCGTCGAAGGGATTGAGGGAGTGCTTAATATTTGCGGTCACGACGCCTGTTTTGCTTTTGTTGACCATGGGCCGAACCTGTGATTCACTGGATCAGTACTGAGTCTGTGGCAAGTGGAAGACTCTGATGGCTTACGGCGTAGTCGATCACACGCTTTACGGGCACGAGGATTTTGAGAGAGGCCATGATGCTCAAGTACAAGGTGCCAGTCTTGGAGGTTTTGAATGACGACGTTCCCCACTGACGATGTTCTTCAAGAGGAAGCTATGGAAGAGAGGACTGGTAGTCGGTCACTACCTAAGTGAGTCTATATGTACGTATCTGAATCAGAATGTCGAACCGTTCCAATATAGCTGAGAATGAGGATGCTGGAGACGGGACTAGGCAAAAGCCTGCGGAGTGAGGCCCTCGTCACTAAGCTCGGCTCAAAGCTTCGGAAGCTACACTAACTTTCACGATGCACAGGCCAGGCTCGCTCATTTAAAAATCACATGTGTTCGAAGATGTACATGCATGTCGATGGACAAACAAGCGAACAAGTAGAGATAATTATTGAGTAGTCTTTTTCGCATCCAGAAGTCGTCAATTAAATTCTATCAGTACCTAACTTTTCTCCCGACCCTATTTCGTTCAACTCCGAAAAAGGACATCATACCCATGCCCATAGTCTAACCTTTCCCAGACCTTTTGGGTGAAAGCGCGAAGGAAAGCATAAAATACAGGGTGTAATGTCCGACCATTCACGGCTTTGAAACGAGAGGACAGATGGAAAATATGTTAAGCTTTTAAGGACATGTCAAGAAGATACAACCAAAACTGGTATAGTAGGTATTTTTGTGTAGTTGCATTCCATGCACATTTCTGCCTGCCAGGCTCAATCATGGAGAACGTTATCATAACGAGCGAACGAATGAAGACGATAATCATGCTTAGGGAGACACAAAAGTCTGGATGCGCGATCCACACAACGTCCCTCAGATAGAGACTACGATGTGATGTGAGAAACAATTGTGCTCGCAAGCGGGCTTTCTTTGCCTCTTCATCGTGTCACCGGAGCGATTTATGCAGTGGCGGTCGGGGCCTCGACGCTACCAGATGCCTCAGCGGTAGAAGGGGCTTCCTCACCAGTGGCCTCGATGGAGGCCTCAGGGTCGTCTTCCTTTCCTGGAGAATCGATAGCAACCTTGACGGCAATCTCGCGGCCCTCAATCTCCTTTCCATTCATCTCAGCACAAGCCTTTTGCTGCAACTCCTCAGATGCAAGAGTAACGAAACCGAAACCACGACCCTTGCGGGGCTCATTGCGGGCTTGAAGCTTCTTCACCATGAAACGGGGAATGGGACGAAGGGCGATCTTGGCCGAAGAGGGTTGGTAGTCGATGAAGATTTCCTTGAGCTACGGCAAGGTCAGCATGATATACCTCCAGGTTTGAATGGGTAACGTACCTTCTCCTCGGTGAGATCGTAAGGCAGATTGGCAACCATGACCTTCGTCTTGGACGGAACACCGTCCTCAGGAGGGCCGCGCTGCTTGCGGGGAACTGGAGTCTTGGCCGCCTTTGGGTTCACAGTAGTGGTGCCCTCAGCGCCATCCTGGCTAGTCAGTGCTTCGTTCGTGGTTTGTGTAAGCGCAGGGGCAACTTGGCCGGGTACATTTGTAGGTGCGGTCTCAGTGGGGGCAGCGCCATCCTTCTAGAGTGTCAGTCAGCTATCGCAAGTCCAGAGCCGGAACAAGTAAAAGGGTGTGACGTACCTTTGCTGCGGCACTCTTGCTGCGGCGGGGCTTCTCCTTCTTTGAGTCCTTGCGAGCCTTGGTTCCGTTGGTACCCTCAGCGCCCTCAGTGTGAGCCTCAGGTTTGCGCGCCAACTGAATAGACACCTTGCGTTCAAGGATGGCCTTGCCGTTGAGCTCAGAGATGGCACGCTCGGCCTCGGATGGAGTGGAGAGGTCAACAAAAGCGTAGCCAACAGGCCGGTTGGTGCGTGGGTTTGTGGGAATAGAGGTGGACTCGCTGTGAGTCCGTCAGTGCAAGGCACGATGCGACTTGTTAGATATGAAACGTACACCAAGAATTCCTTGAAGAACTCCTTCAACTCCCCCTCAGTGGTCGCGTACGCGAGGTTCCCGATATAAAGTCTCCTACCCTCAGCAGCGCTAGCGATGACGGCTTCATTTTCGGCCGCAGGCTTTTCAGCGGGAGCTGGAGTGGTGTCGTTGAGGGTAGTGCTTGCCGTCTGGGCGGTGATGCTGTCGACAGTGGCGGACATTTTGAAAGTTTTGATTTTGATGACACGAGGTGTGCAAAGAAGATGAAGACACTCGAGAAAGGAGTGTCTGGGTACCGTGCAGAAAGTTGAGGAAACTTGTGGGGTCCTGGGTAGACTGCTGTCTGCCTTGGAAAGTTTGTAAAGATTAAGAGGTTGAAACTTGTCGTAAGGCCGCCTGAGCTGGAGGGACGATTGACGAGAGGGAGTTGTTTTTGGGAAGCTAAGTGCCCGAATACAGGTGAAGTTGAAAGTAGAGTGTTTGGTTTAGTTCTTGTGATGAAGGTTTGGTGGAGAGAAGAGAAGAGGAAAGGAGAGGCGTTGTTGTGAGGCGGAATAAATTTACTTACATGGCCTGTGGGTGGCTTCCGCATGCGGTTTAGCGAGCAAGGGCGTATGGTGGGTGCCCGGGGGTGACTGCCCTGTGCTTGCCTGCTGTGGTGAAGGTGGCGCCTTCTCTCCTTGAGTCGCCGGTTGCCGTTCGCAGCTTAAACAACCAATACCTAGGTAAACACTTATTAGTCACTCACGAACACACAGCAGCCCGACTCCCTTCACATTCTCCTTTTCACCACACTACACTCCCTGGCCATCCAATACTTGCTTCCGTAAGTCCTGGAGGCACCGGTGGAGCAACACTGGTGTCGCATGATGAGCTAGATCCACCAAAATCCCTAAGCAGTCTGAATCCTGTAGTACCACGCAAATTCTTTGTGTGCGCTATCATCACACCGTCTGCTCATTTCCACGCATGGCCTTGTCCCAGGATCCTGTGCCAGGGCGCAGCGCTCTCGTGCTATATGGCTCTGAAACAGGTAGCGCTCAGGACATAGCTGAAGAACTTGGGCGCCTCACCGAGAGACTTCGCTTTGCTACGCGTGTCTTAGAATTGAACAATTGTAGCCTCGTATGTGTTCACGAAGTCGATCCGCAACGCTTCGTTCCAATGCTCTGACCCGATGGGCTTGTAGAATCAGCTACTCAAGCACACAATCGTTCTATTCGCTATATCGACCACCGGTCAAGGCGACTTACCAGCCAATGCACAGTCGTTCTGGAAGTCTATCCGGAGTGCTCGTCTGCGCCCAGGGTGCCTGCAAAAAGTCAACTTCGTGTCTTTTGGCCTGGGCGATAGCTCGTATCCCCAGTAATATCAAATCATTCCTAGCACGCCAAAGATGCAAACATGTTAATTTTGACAGGTTCAACTGGGCACATCGCAAATTGTTTAACCGTCTAGTACAGCTTGGTGCAATTCCAATTTACGATCGGGGAGAATCTGATGAGCAACATCCAGAGGGGTGAGTCGCATATTCGCACAAGTCATGCATGTAAGCCTGACGACTTTAAAGCATTGATGGCTCTTTCCTACCGTGGTCCATTGGCTTATATGAGCGCATATGCAACGATTATCCTCTGCCTGAGGGCGTCACCCCTATACCAAATAATGTGCTCCTTCGACCAAAATGGGAACTCCAGCTGCTAAAAGCAGATCAAGCGACAAGCATGTCTATAAATCCTCCTATAAGTGGGAGACAGGCTTATGATGACCAGCCCGACGACAGTCTCCTGTCAATACCTAGTGGGCTGGTAGCTAAAGTAGAGACAAATGAGCGGGTGACAGCAACCTCTCATTGGCAAGATGTACGGCATTTGACATTGTCGACACCGCCAGTCAGCTACAGTCCGGGTGATGTGCTGACTATCTATCCGAAAAACTTCCCTTCAGACGTCTCAAATTTTCTCGATATCATGAAATGGACATCGGTTGCAGACGAACCTCTTTGTTTCCACCCGACTATGCAAAACCATGCTGAAAGTCCTGAATACCCGTCGCCCCCTGTCAAGAACATAGATACTTCGCGACCGCTGACCCTAAGGTTACTGCTCACAAACCATCTAGATATCATGGCAATTCCCCGCCGATCGTTCTTCGCCATCCTTTCACATTTCACAGAAGATAACTTCCAGCACAATCGCCTTTTGGAATTCACCGACCCACAATATATCGATGAGCTCTATGACTACACTACGCGACCGCGACGAAGCATCTTGGAAGTACTTCAGGAATTCGAGACCGTAAAGGTGCCGTGGCAGTCTGTATGCAGTCTGGTCCCTACGATTAGAGGCAGACAGTTCAGCATAGCAAGCGGAGGCAATCTGAAGCGGGGTCCAGCTATTACAAATATTGAGCTGCTCATCGCAATCGTCAAGTATCGTACGGTCATAAAACGCGTCCGTCAAGGTGTCTGCACGCGGTACGTGGCAACGCTTCGCCCTGGATCTAAATTAAGCGTTACCCTGCAGCGAGGCAGCCTAAGTGTGAAGCGCGAGGATTTGAACAAACCTGTCATCATGATAGGTCCTGGTACAGGCATTGCGCCCCTGCGGTCACTTGTTCACGAGCGCGACATGTACCTGGACGAGGTGGACTCAGACAACAAAGGCCGCTTCAGCTCTTCCAGTAGATCAAGGGATATCTTGTTTTTTGGATGTCGAAACAGAGCATCAGACTATTTCTTCGAGCGAGAGTGGCATTCGTTCTCACAAAAGCGTACACTAGATATATTCACGGCCTTTTCGCGAGATCAGGTGCGTGGACAGCTTCTACAACGGAGGAAGTGCTTCGCTAACTGTTCACAGAGACAGAAGGTTTACGTACAAGATCTCATACGCAAATACGCCCATCAGGTTTTCAGCGCAGTTGACACCAACGACGGCTTGGTCTACGTTTGCGGGTAAGTGAGCGCTCTGACTCCGCTGTGTCTTCATTGCATTGCTCATTGATTGCATAGGTCGTCTGGTAAAATGCCACAAGCAGTCCGTGAAGCATTAATAGAAGTATTTCAACAAGAAGGTAGGTTTCAGCGCAAAGAAGCAGAGCTATATCTTGCAAACATGGAGAAGACAGGTCGGTATAAGCAAGAGACTTGGTAGATGTCGAAATATAGTATGCCACCAGTGGTTGCACTTTGGAAGCTCACGGGTTTGCAATGCTCATTACAAATCTGGATACCCCTTGAAATGCGCCCTCTTGGAACATCTGACTGGCACAAGTACTTCATGGAGTCGTCGATCAGAACACCGTGATAGTGTGAGGCTCAGCAGGGCGGTGCTCAGCACTCTTGGTCATTCACCGTGCATATTTAGTTGTTCATACGTCAGGCGTTGTCCACTATACACTCGGCTTGGTTATTCCAGATCTCTAGCATATGCGCTTGGGATGCACACCGAATCTCATTTGATCTGCACTCAGAGCCATGAAGCCTCGGTGGAAGTGTTAATCTTTCAGGCACTCGAAATAGTATCCTCGATCAATATCTGTCAAAGGCACGCATGATTCGCGACGGGCCTGGACATGTTGGTATCCGGGGGGTGGAAATCACGAGAAGTATACAGCAGTAATATGAACTTATACCTATGCATGGATCTGCCTATCATCCACGTCGAGCACTGCGTGTGCATTGTCAACAATCGACGCGAACAACGACAATTTCATTGGCCTACTGCTACGAGACCAGCCCCAAATATCCAATCTATGTTGCGATTCAAATGCTATGCATTTCTCTTAGAGCGAGGTTTCACAGCTATTGTGCTTTCATCGGGAGTGTTACAAATTCCCTTCATTCGCTCGGTGGCGCAAGTGCATGCCTACAAAAAGATTGTCTGGAGCACATACCTCTGCCAGCGCCTGGTTTCCCATCCATTTGGTAATTCATTAGTCATTTCGACAACTTAAGATTTCGCATCCATCGCCACATACCTATTAATAGTCGGAGTTGTCTCCCTGAAGGCTCGAACGTAGAATGGCATACATATATTTAGTAGTCCGTCAAACGGCCCGACTCCCGACTCCCGCTTTCCCGAATCCCGCCCTCTAGCTCCATCCATGGATAGGTAGCAGACCCGCACAAACACACTCATGCTCATCGTCGCATCTGAGCTAACATATATGTCCCAAGGCTACACTAATTAGCCGCTATCATCCTCTCTCTCGAGCAAGACAACCAACTATGCATGACGCACAAAGTACCCAATAACAACAATACGACCGAGGCAGTAGCCATCACGTAAGCCACAGTACAAAACTCCGACCACGATCCGCTCCGAGCGCGCCAACGTCAGACACACACACGTCTATAGCAATCATTAGGCTACACTACCCCCGTTCCAGGCCATTCCCCCACACATTTACTCGGCCGCCCGTTGAGAAGGATTGCGATGCAAGGCCAGGTACAGGCAGCAGCAGCAGTCTGACTCGGGCAGTTGGGGTAGTGAGCGTGTTGGGTGCTGGCCGAATACGAACCAGATTCAGATCCAATCTGGATCGGGCAGGATACTTGGCAGCCTTGTGCTTCTGTGTATGGATACTGTAATTATATGTATGATGACAACACCGTTTATAGGCACGCATGCACGGCAGGGCTAGACTAGGCTATTCTAGTCTGTTCATTGACCGTTCAGACTCAGCCCAAGCCATGCCAATGCTAATGCCAGGAGAATAGTAAGGAAGTAAAGTTACCATCCCAGCGTCAATCAATCCTAGGAGAGCCAGATGCGTATATGATCTCACTGCTAACAAGCTCAACCTCAACGCTTGATTGTCCTGCCCTGCCTGTCCTGCCTTGCGCACCACCCTGCTGGCAGATAGCACAAAGGCCAACCAACACACGCAACTACTTAGCCTTTATGCATGTATCCATCCATACATCCACAGTCGCGTGGCGGATCCTGTTCCTGCATATGTACATATGTATGTAGGACCTAGGGGCAAACAGGCAGGTAATAGGCAGGCAGATAGTCCGAACCACAGTACTGGATGGATGGATAGATATAGAGCCGCACGAGCATCATGCTTACATCCTTCCCTCCTCCACCCCTCCTTCCTTTCCCCCGGTCCTCCCATCATTCCTTCCTCCCTCCCCACTTCCAATTCATGCTGACTGGAAATCAAAAACGGTCAATGCAAGACCCGACGATCATTAGGTTCCCCTCCGTCCCCACGGCCCCCAACACCAAAACACCAAAACACCCAGATGGCGCACAAATGTTGGTTGGTTTTTTTTTAAGATGGAAAGGGGAAAATAACCCCTTGACTGTTGAGTAATCTAGAAGAACCCTGGCATTGTATGTGTGTTGATGGGTGGGAGTGCTGGTCTTTCGTGGGTTTTGGTGGTCTCTTTAGGGTGTTGTTGGGCTGTGAAGTTGTATGTTTATGTGTGTGTGTGTCTGTATGTGTATATCTGTATTTGTGTATCTGTATGTGTATATCTGTGTGTATGTTTGTTTATATATAGATATATATATATATGTATATGTATGTATGCGGGTGAGTGTATATAGTCTGAATTCCGCGCTACCTCGTCGCCGGATGGTCCATCGGCTTACTTCAAGGTTCGCACACAGACATGTAAACAAGGCTGTCCCTGTCCGATCTATCTATATATGCGATCTGCACTGCGTGATACCTTAAACAGGTAGTGCATCGACGGCCACCATACTACTGCCTCACCACGCCTCTCGCTCACCTTCGCTAATCACCGTGGCATCGTGCGTAAGGAGGACCCAGCTCACCACTCTCCCCACTCGTCATCCTTCGCCTTGCCGCCCTTAGTACTCTCGCCGCCCGTCTTCTTCATGGCCGCCGTGCCCACGCTACTCTTCGGCTTCGGGCCCGCAGTAGTAGCGGTAGTAGGGCCCGCATCATGTTCAGCACCAAACTCGTCCCAGAAATCCTTCTGCTGGCCGGTAGGCTTCGGGGCGTCACCGAAGGAGTCCCAAAAGTCCTTGCGCTCCGGGTTGGCGGCGCTAGCTCCGCGAGTGACAGAGGAGCTACCGGCACGGTTCTGGTCAGAGCCTTCGACAAAGGACTGGAAACCTTGGTTGAGATTGGTGGAGAGCGTGGTGAAGTTCTGACGGGCTTGATTCGTAATGTCTGATTCGGCGAGCTGCGATGACTTGTCAGTCGTGCAAACTTGGCGAGAAATGTATTCAGGAACGGCAAACAATGGAACAACGTAGTTGTGATAAAGGGTGAGGAAATATGGTGTCACATATGAACGTAGCAGTGCCATGTAGCGCAGAAAGGAGAACCATGATAACGTGACGGGAAAGGAGATGTCTATCAAGTACAGAAAACAAGAACATAAACATAAGTTCGTGACACAGGAAAAAACAAGACAAGAGAGTCGCAAGAAGAGCCGAACAAGAAAACCCAATATCGTGAAAAAAACAATGTACCTTCTGCATGCCCGGTTTGACCCAGCCATCATAACCTGTCTTCGCGCCCTTCCCAACCGTAGAGCTCAACCATCCGAAGCCCTTCGTCAATGCAGCCACCGGGTCCTTCTGAAAGTCATCTATTCCTGGTACGATGCCATCACTCCTCTTTTCCGGAAATGGATCGCTTCCAAAACCAGAATACTGACCACCTTGGTTAGGTGCTAAATCCTTCGGTCGATTGGCATTGTCGGCGCCCATTTTAGCGAAGTAAGCTTCGTTCTGTGCTTTTTTGCTACCTAGCGACGACGTCCCTAACGATGGTGAACTTGACCGACCGGCAGTACCACCTTGGATGTCCGCGCTCCTTGTCTTTGACAGTGGCGTCTGTGCTCTACTTACGTTTGATGACCCGGACCCTCGCACTCGCCTCGTGCTCGGCTGAGGAACATACTCTCTGCCTTCAGCCGCTGCTGCTAGCCTCTCCTTCCATTCATCTCCAGCCTCGGAGTCGTATCGTTGAGAGATGCTACAGTTGTCAAAACTTAGGCCATCACGCGCTGTGCTGGCATGTGCATTGAAAAAGTTACGCCAAGGTTGATTTCCGCCGCATCTCATCTTCTCGAGCTCAGCATTCTTGAAAGCATCCATCGTGATGCTGCGGACGAATGAAATGTGAACTCCAAGGCCACGATGTACACCGGAGCAAGAAAGGCAGAAAAAGATGCCAAACTTGGGCGATGCCTACAAATGTGAGCATCTTCTCAGAGCTAGCCATGACTATAGATAGTCAAAAGTGTACAGGTGGGAAACAACGTACCCATTGTGGACTTGGTGCGCCGCAGTCCACGCACTGGTTGTTGCCGTTGATCTTTTGGATCTCCAGGAGCTGATATCGAGTCCAGTCAGCGATCCAGTCAGCATTGGTACCTTGGTACCAGTGATATGTGCCAGCATCCATGGTAGGGAGGAGATGAGTAGATGAAGAAGGAGAAGAGAGTGGGTATATAGATAAAAAGAATGATGGGTTTTATTCTTATAAAGAAGTGAATCGAGTAAAAGACTGACCTTGCTTCTGGTCTCAGGATCGACCTCCCACATCTTGCTCATGACGGCTTAAATATCCCAAGGACAAGGCGTTGGGTTCTGTTTTTGGTACAGAGCACTGATGCGACTAGATACTATCTCGACCGAGCTTCTAAGGACGCAGATTCCCAGACCTTGGATCTCACGATCCCTCTACGTTCGCCCTTAGCCTTGCTGGGGACACGGAATGACAAGTTCAAGCACCCCCCTGGCGTGAAGGAGCGAACTGTTGTTCCTGCACCAGACCGTTCAACAACCGAACGCAGTAGTCGACAATCACAGGATTCCTACCACACGGATGACTGCTTTCGTGAGATGTGCAATACTGCTGCCTGCCAGCTCTTGCTATCGATTATGCTCTCTATTTCTGGCTCCAAAGTCAGAGCGACACCAGGGTATATGGGACTACAAGGGCGATCTAGTCCAAGACGGCGGTCAGATAACAGGCAGGTCTCGTGCGATGCTCGTGGAGTGTCGGTTGGCAGTCAGCATTAGCTGCGGTTCGTACCGCCTCGGAACAGATGTGATATGATGTCTGGACGCGGCCACCTTTCCTGTGAGGTTGACTCCAACGTTTAGTAGGCGACCGTAGGATTCTCGAGTGTGTGTGGCGCAATGAGCCGAACGTATTTTAAGGATGGAAGGCAAAGGAGCTTAGTTGGTAATTGCTGGGAACAGGCCCTAGGGCAAAAGACTACAGGAGTAGTGTCTTGGTTTGCAGGATTTTGGTGCAAGGTTCGGTGACACTGTAGCAATTGTGTGGAAGGTTGTAGGTAGATATCGCGTACACGCGCTGGAGTTGATATTAAGGCCGCCAAGCCAGGACCCGCAGTCGCTACCTAGGGCTACCTAGAATGCATCATCTCTCTTCAGGGTTGTCAGTTGGTCGTTGCCAGGCATAATCGAGCATTAGTTGAGCATCTCCGAAAATTTTTTAGTATTGAGAACAAGACAGTTTTCCAAAGTATGAAGGTCTCAAAGTAGACAAATGTTGCATTATTCTTGTTAATTGGCGCATTTCCAATCCTTCCGGCATATGGTCTGCATAGCTGTAAACGACAGGAAGCCTTTCCTCTCAAGCTTCTCAGACCAGAGCCGTTGTCTTTTTATAACGCATTACCGACTCGGGTTCGGTAGTAAACTCCATGGCCCATGTCCATCTCTCCATGCGGACTATGTACGTTACGCGCGTGATATGCCGTGCCTAGCAGAGCACCAGCCAGATGACAGTAAAGAAGCTGATGCAAAAATGTACAGATACAAGAACGGTAATAGCAAGACAGCAAATGACGTTGACAGATGCCCGGACGTTCATGTCCGGGATAGGGCATGTCAATGTAGACCACACGCACATGCAGTATTCCGTATACTATCGTGAATAAATCTCAATGTCGTTGCCGTTGTTAATGCTCAAAACGCCGATGCTTATGTCAAACCAAAAACGAAAATATGTCATCGAGGTGCATACTGCGTAAACTGTCACTCGGGATCGGGGTTGCGGACCTAACACAAGCGAGTTAGCCAAGTCTAATTAGGATCCATCAATGCCTTACATTCAGTGTCCTGGTATAGTCACGATTATCTTCAATGGTCCCTAGGCTGGTACGACTGCTATTTTCAAGGCCGAGAAGTGCTGACGGATTCAGTCTCTGATCGTAGAACATTGGTCGACTGTTCCTCCTCTCTCGTTCCAAGCCTGTACTGGCATGGTCAGAATGGGTGGACTCTTGCCCATGAGAGCTCCCTTGTCGGTATACGATTGGTGGTACGGCGATAGCAGGAGGCTCTTTAACTGAGCGGGAACGAAGCAAGCCCGTCTTGCTCATAGTGCTGACATGTCGCCGGGGTCCCGAGCTTTTGTCATCACCGTTGTAGTCATCTGAATTCTGACGACGTCGTCGTATTAGGAAGAATACCAAGCCGGCAAGTGCAGCGAGGCCTCCGACGCCTCCAACAACTGCACCGGCTATTGTACCCCCAGACACGCCGCTGTCGTCATTGTCGTTATTTTGTTGGGAACTGCCAGGAGAATTGGTCGGATACGTCGTGACGAACTCGGTTACTGGGGTGCCTGATACTATCTTTGTGCTGACAAAAGTCTGAGGCTCTGAATTCTGTGACGAGGATGAAGGCGAGGCAGGTCTCTGTTGAAGCGAGTCAGCGAGGCCAATAAGAGAAAACATTATAGAATCCAAAGAAAATATCAAATCATACAGGCGTGAGGGATACAATGGAGGTGACCACAGATGTGTCGGGCTCTACCGTCTGAACGATAGTATGCTCGTCAGTCACAGTTTCTTTCGTAGATGTAGAACTTGGTGCAGCCACCTGACTCTGAACAGCGCGTCAAAACTAGAAGATCGAATGATCTTGCATGGAGGAATAACGAAAAGAAGACAGGATTGGGTCAGACATATCGCGCGTCGGGACCCGTCGTTGTCGAAGTACGAGCCTGATTATAACCAGATTATCATCAAAGGTGGAACTTACCGGTGTAGAGGAGGGTGAGGAGGCATCAGCTGTCCCAGACGGTCTTCGATCCAGTGTTACGTATCCATAGAGACCTCTGCCCTGGTCACCGCATTTCTCGTCGGGATAGCCAGGACAATCCACATTGCAATTGTCCACACTGGTCTCAGTGCCGGGGATGAGATTCGAGCACCAGCAACTTGTGTACTGTACGATGGCAAGCGCATAGCCTTCAGAGTTGCACCTGTCGTGGCAAGCACCATTAGACTGATACATATTGATGTCTAAAAGACGCGTCAGTACCGTTAATGTTATAACATGATCGCGCACTAACCGACAGGATAGTCAGAGCCTGTATTTTGACTGGAACAGTACGACTGGCGGAAAAGTGTGGATTGGCCATGGGCGAAAGCCAAACATAACCATGATACAGCAACGAAGCTCATCCATGTTGGCGCGAGCCCTCCCATGGCGCGCGTCGTAACAGTACCGAGTTCACACGAGTGTCTAGATACACAACGTGGATGTGAGATTATGTTGGCCGTGGCGAGAAGAATTGGCCAGTTCTTGACTTTATTCCGTTTCGCGACTAAGTGAGCTCAGTACCAGGATCAGGAGCTCAAGCTGTCGAATTGAAGTATTAGGAACAGTCCACGGAACTAGGCGGCCCGACTGTAAATAGATTGATGGCTGGGGACGAGTCTTGAGAGCTGGATGAGTGGATGGGTTCCGGTTTGAGAGAGTAATTGGGGTTGAAAGGTACGGTAAACCAGGAGTGACGGCCGCGGTCGATGGATAGGAGAGGTGTTTGAGGGAACAGGAGACCAGACTGGACGACGACTGTGTTAGAGTCGCAGTAGCATGTCCACAGGAGGTGATATTATCGTCGTCGTCGTCGTCGCGTGGATGCAAACGGACAGCGAGCGAAAGAAAGAGGAAGATAAGGGAAAGAGATAGGACGTGGAAGCGAATTGGGGTGTGTTGAGTTGAGGCGTGTGGCAAGGATGAAGGATGATGAGGAATTGAGTAGAAGCCGGAGTCAAGGTACTTTTACTAGGTCCTGTCTACCCAATACCGACCACAGTCAGTCTAGGCACAGCGTCAAAGCGGATTAGCTTGCATGATGCCAAGTACGGGGAGGGGGGGGAGCCTGTGGTAGCACCTGGGTAGGTAACTACAGGAAAAGCCCGCCAGATTGACTGTCTCCAGCGGCCTTTAGCTGCCTACGTCTCTATAATTTAGCGTCTATGCAGCTATTCTGCTATGCTTTAGGCTGCTGTCCTGCCCTGTTCACCCATCGCCCATCGCCCATCGCCCACCACCCACCATCCACCCGACCCTGCGAGGTCGTGTGTTTTGTGTCCTCCCATTCACTCACTACAGCTCGCTCTTTGACTTTTGTCTCGCTCGGTTTGCACCTCATTTGAACGCCATCTCCTCCTCCTTCACGACAACCGACTTCTGATACATGCAGGACGATCGGAGAGTAAATCGCTCGGCTGTTGCTGATTCCGCGACGCCCGCAAGACGACTGCTGAGCCGCTTACCACCGAATTTCTGCAGTCGACTGTACCACTGCACACCACCACAACTACCACCATAGTGACTATAGCATCATCACCGCTAATACTACTAATTACTGACTACCCACATACCTGGGCAGTGGGTCTCTCATCATGGCCCAAGATCTCTTGCTACCAATTAGCTTATTAGCAGGAGGCTAGGACTGTCACTCCTCGCCATATGCCGCTGGCTTGGCCCTATATCCTAGACCATTGCGTGTCTACAGACTAAGTACCGTCCGATCCACTATCAACACTAAGTTTCAGTCGACGAAAAGGAAGCATTTTCTCGAGCTTCTCATGATGTGAACAAGAACTGTTGACGTGGCCTGGCGTCCTGGCCATCCGTGGTATTTGAAGATTGGACGCGTTCCCTCTGCAATTCGAGAGCCGTTGTGTGGCACCAGACAAGTCCTTCACTACAACAACAAGTTACAGACAATCCTTGCCAAGCTCGTGCATGGTTGGCGTATCCTACTCATGACACTCCACGCCGAACAGCGGACAGCGGACTGCATTGCTTTGTTCCGGTCGGATGGAATATGCCTTCAACTCCATAATCAACATAGTCTGTATGACCTCTGCAACCGCTTGCACTCAACCCCAACATCAACACACCTTGCTGTAGGGCTTCAGACTTCGAGCTTCAGGCCTTCAACTTCGCATTGCTTACGTCATATATGCTTGTGGGGGCGAGCTCGAGCAGTCATAGACTGTCATTTATCAGGGGGGATCCCTGTGGTGATCGGCAGGAGTCCCGTGTTTGGAGCGCCAACAGCGAATCACTGACTTCCTTGCATTCTTTTCAAAATAATGACCGACACAATCGAAAACACTCGACGAAGTATGCAATAATATTACATGGTGGATGGCATTCCAGCCTCCGACAAATATCTAATTAGCCTGGCGCTACGTCCGCTATCATTCCATCGCGCCCTTTGCGTCATAGCAACTGATATGGAACTCTCACGAACGGGCCGAGGACTTTGTTACAACGTTTCCGTATCGCATGCTTGGCCATCTTATCAATCGAACTTAATCTCCTCTCCCTGTCAACGTTGTACCTCTTGCTCGTGCAGCAACAAACACCCTGTCACTGTTGTACGAGGACACGCACTCAACACCTTTTCTCCGCGTCGTTCCTGTGCGACATCCAAGCCGTTTCACCCGAAATTCTGTGGCAGGGGTCACATCTTGACCACGATCCATTGACAGCGGGAAGAAGTGTGGATACATGGACGCGTGAGCTCGAAGAATCGGAATCTTGTGTTTCAAGCAGCATAACGGACCCGAGGCTTCATACATCCTGGTCTGAAGTTAGCACATATATGCTACATTATAGTTGATATTCACAAAGGGTCTTATGAGCTTCAAAACATAATGCTGACATTCGTAGCTTGTGCAGCCGACAACGTTCCCAAGTTGATTTGCCCCCTCTAGGTACTAGTATATTTGCCTTGTCACCCGAGGAGTCCTTTCCTTGCGCATTACATTCTCTCATCTGTTCATCCGATAGAGTTGCTGTGGCGTGTCGTTCTCTTATCAAGTCTTTCTATGTCTAGTTCAAGTCGGTGCTTAACGAAATCCGTAGTAAATGGTATTCCTGCTACTTCTCTCATTCGTTTTGTATGAATATATCGAAGTGTATCCCGAACGCATGGTATGATCCATTTATGTCATGGCGACGTGAAAGGCTCTCGCTTAGCAGCCGGTCAGCCTCATGGCATGTATCCTTGCTCTGACACAGCCCCGCTCGAGGTCAAATCTCAGCTCTGGACTGTTCTCTTTTGATAGAAAGCGCGACCCAAGGCGTCGTGGCGGGGATCAAAGTCGCCAGCCTGTAATTCCACCAGGTGTATGAACACTACTCAGCAGGCCGTTCGATTGCTGCAGCAGGAGGATCCATGCGAGTTGACCAAACAGGATGAGATGTAGTACACCCAAGGCTGACAGGCTTCCATAGATCTCAAGGTTAATTCGATCGCTCTACCGAACCTTCTTCGTCTCCTTCACGAAAGAGCTGGACACATCATACCTAGCACAAGTGTGTATGCGTATGCCTGAAGATAGGGGTCGGAGGTAGAGGACTCGACTCGACTTGTATTGTATAGCAGCCGGTGATACTGAGCACATCGGGTCATGGAGAACCTAGCGATCAAGGGAGAGGCTGTTGAAGACGGACTATCTACTCTTTTCTATTCGCTATGCATCACCCCTGACGCGAAGAGTCTTGATGAGGCCTTCTTTGATAAGATACGCTCGCTCTTGCTATCTGCAGGGAAGCTAGAATGGAGCAAGAGACCTCGGTCCTACACAGTGCTTCGACTAATCGACCGAGTTGATGCTATGAAAAGATTGATCTTGGAAGGCTGTCTAGATCTCCATTTCCCGTACTCCGATTCGGCCGTTCCGGAACCTCTGAGGGCATCCTCTGTCCGCTTCAAGTTTCTCGATGCTCAAAGACTAGTTCTTACAAAAGCTGCTTCCATGGAAACGGAGAAGGGTCGGCACGCGCACTTCAATTGCGATGCCAATGCTCACTTTCACATCCTTAATCCGCTGCTAGGCCGCGGAGCGTTCGGAGTGGTCGACCATGTCAGAAGCAAGCTATCATTGAACGAATTCGCACGCAAGAAGATATCCCGAGCTAGAACATTTGCTAGAGACAAAGCTGCCATGAGGATGTTCGAGAACGAACTGCGGAATCTTCGACGCCTCAGACACCCTCACTTGGTCGAGCTCGTCGGATCATATACTGATCCAAGATTCATAGGCCTACTGATGTCTCCTGTCGCAGACACCAACCTGAAGGTATTTCTGGACATGAACCAGGCGCCTACTATGGCTGAAAAGGCTCCTCTCATACGGCAATTCGTCGGCTGTCTTGCCGGAGCTGTTTCGTATCTTCATTCTCAACAATGCCGCCACAAGGACATCAAGCCATCCAATATTCTGATCAAGGGTGATCACGTCTTGTTGACCGATTTCGGTACTGCACGAGACTGGAGTGATCGGACCCGGGGCACAACCACTGGACCGACCGGACCATATACCCCAGGATATGCCTCCCCAGAGGTTGTGGATCAAGCTCCTAGAGGCGAGCCTTCTGATATCTGGTCCTTGGGATGCGTCTACTTGGACATGCTTACAGTCCTTGAGAGTGATACTTTTGCCCAAAGAAACGCATTCTTTGAAAGCCATGGAACTGGTCTGACCCTCGTAAGGTCAAACTATGACGCGTTTTCCTTGTATATAGATCAACTCGGCGGCACGAATGCTCAGGACGGAGCTCTGAGTGGTTGGATTCGACGTATGCTTCGTCCTAACCCAAGCAAGAGGATTAGCGCGTCGGAACTCTTTGCACAAATCCAAGAAGAAGTAACTGTGCACCATTATTATGGTGAATGCTGCTTCGATGCAGGGTACAGCACGGATCACAGCGATGTGTCTTCTGCGTTTGTGGACGAGACAGCCGTGTCCTTGCAGACGCCCACAAGCCACGACCGAAGTGGCGAGGGTGACAAGCAACAATTTACAGGCGTCTACGGTTACGAGTCGACCGAATCGCTTGGTCTTACATCTAAGTCCGATGATCGCGAGCCAGATAGCATTTCTTCGCGATGTTTGCATAAGGATGAAGAGAAGGATGTCATGGCGGAAATGCAAACGGCTTCTTTGTCACCCTCTATTTCCGACACAATTCAGCCACCTCTTCCACAACTGTCATGTTCTGCAACGTCTCCTTCTCGATTCTTCATACGGCAATCGGAGCGGGAGAAGCACTCATATCAGCGAACAGACACAGATTATTCAATACCGCCTCTCCCGGATATTGGTGCAGAGGATGGCCAGGAATATCGAACGTCTATCATAAGAATGCCACACGTGGAGGAGCTATTTACTCATCGCATTTACAGTAATAGCCTTCAAAATTTGCGGAATGAATTAGCATTCGCATTTTTGCCTGCGCTCAGAGCCAATTCGAGTTTTCCAGCTTTCCTATACCTGGAACGATCGCTGCTCGATCTTTGTAACAACAGATACAAAAGTGCAGAGATGCATGCTCTAGGTGCAGTCTCACAAGATCCAATGAGGGCTCGGCCTTGGCTGTACGTGGCCGAATCTAGAATGGCTATGAACAATATGACTGGCGCACTAGGAGCCTACCAACGGGCTGTTGAGCTGTGTAATGCCGAGTCGAAGCAGGGCCTGCTAGATGCGTTACAGAAAGCCAGAACTTCCATCCGACGCTCGATGAAGCAAACAGCCAAAGTCACATGTGAGACAGTCCCCAACGGTGACAGCACAGACTCGACGTCAGATAGGAACGAAGAAGGTGAGGCGGCGAGGAGATCTTCGTCCTCGTCTGGAAAGGCGAGCATGGGTGTCAAACACTCTCAAACACTTCTCGGAGAGCTGACTCTTTCCTCGGATGACTCTGACGCTGATGCAGTCGTAAATGCTGAACAATACTACAATTGGCGAGCCAGAAAGGACAAACCGAAATCTAACCGAGGAGTATATGAACGATCTGATTTGGAGACAAGCGCGTCTCCAGATAAGCGCCCCAGGCCGCGTGTGACCAAGCCTCGAGGACGACGGCAAAGGGTCGATGGATTTGGCCAGGTAGTAAATCAGGGTGCTGATTCAGAGTCGAGCGGCTCCTCAACCAAGTGCCACACTGGGCATAGTCTCGTCCGTGGAGTACAGCCATCGAAGGGCACTCGACCCATAGCCACCACGTATGACTACGATACAACCCAATTCCAGCCTTGGTTTGACCCAGGCGCATCTCCCCAGCCGCAGGAACAACGTCTAAGATTCCCCTTTTATCCACTTCCAACAGTAGATCTCCCTGAGATAGGATCATACAACAGTATAAAGGTAGACGCAGACGCGCACCGCAGCAGCCAGTACCGCCTACGGTGAAGTGGGAGAGTGGGCTGCCGGGCCAGTCGCGGTAAGGTAAGTCGATGTAATGTACGTAGCACCTGGGAGGGGGGAAATGCATGAAGTTTTTTATTATTGGTGGCGAATGGTTCGAGGGTGATATAGGGGGAGAAAGGGACAGTCGATTGGATATATGTGTGTTTGTGGGTGTATCTAAGCTATATACGTCGCCGTCCAAATCATCATATATACAGCACTGTTCCGCAACATCATATCAGCACTCTACCAGGCACCAGATATCTACATGATCCCCAGACCGGATCCCCTACCTACCTACTGACGCACCCCCAACCGACCCATCACGCCCCACCAACAGTAACAGTCAACAAGCTCGGATCCCCCGAAAACACACTCCCACTCTGATCAACCCCACCATCAGGCGCAACATCATCATACGGAAACGCATATCCCCGCCCGGAATCATTGACCGCATGCACAACACGCGCATAATGATTCGTGCGCGGATCCGCATAGTACTGCGCCGCGGACGAGCTGCCGTCAGGAATGATATCCGTGTTCAGCAGGACAGAGCGATTAAACGCCGCGGCCAGACGGGCGATGATGGCGCCGCGCTCGACGGAGCCAAGCTCGACAAAGGGCCCTGTGGAGCAGGAGAAGATGTCTGCGGCGGAGGGCCGGGCGAAGGCGTGGGAGCCGATGGTCAGGGTGGAGCCGTCGGGGGAGACGCGGCCGGCGAGGGTGCCGAAGGCGGCCTGGGTGTTGACGCGCAAGGTCGTGGATGTGAAGCGGGAGTAGACGCTTGCGACGTAGGGGTCGTAGTAGCCCTCGAAGAGATGCGGGTTGCGGACGATGGCGGTGTTTGGGCTGAGGGCGCGGAGGGGTTTGTTGTTGTTGGATGGAGACTGGACGATGAGCTGGGACCAGCCGGCGGAGTCGGTGGCGTCTTGCTGGCGGAGTTGGGCGCAGACGGAATCGAGGCCGGATTTTGGCATGCCGGCGACGGACTGGGGCGGGGAGTTGACGGAGGTGAGGGCGAGGGCGATGGGGATGGAGACGAAGTCGACGTAGGAGATGTTGACGAAGATCTGGGCGTCGTTGTAGGTGAATTCGCAGAAGCCCCAGTTGAGGGTCAGGTTTGGGTCGGAGGGGTTAGTGACGGAGGGCTCGACGAGGGCGGGACCCGGGTTGAGGTAGAATTGCAGCTTGGCGTCGATGGAGAAGTAGATGCGGGCGCCGGCGAGATGGGGCACGGTGATGGTGACGGTGTTGTTGACGGCGCCCAGGGGGATGGCAATGTCGCGCTGTAGTGGCTGGACGGTGTCGGAGGGGGAGGATGGGTAGTACGGGGTGCGGCCGTCGGAGGACAGCAGGAAGAGGGCGTTGTTGTTGTCGAGGGCGCGGCCGGTGACGAAGGCGTAGACATTGTTGGAGGATGTGGTGTTGCGCAAGGCTACGTTGATGGTTGCGGGGGTAGGCATGATGGATGTATGTGGTGCTACCTTGGCATATATATATATATGGATGTGTATATATAATAGATATATGGACGATCGGGGAAGAATGAGATGAGGGGTAATTATTAGTCTGAAGCAGGGGAACACAGACGACTAAATAGCGAAGAATATGTACAAGTTAGCAGGCATAGAGTTGGCTCTTGTGATGAGAAGACGTCAACACGCAGCTGGATATAGGTTGCAACAAGCAAGGCAAGTGAGTTGTTGTGGCAGAAACATGACGAGACGTCGCCCTCTATCCCTCTCTGGCATGGTAAGCGAATGCGACGGCAGACAGAAACCAAGGACGAGCAACGGGCACGCGGGCGGCGTAACAGCCATAGACAGGGCAGATGCTTGATGGGCAACATGTTGATTTGCAGCAGGGCGTCGTGTGCATTTAGAAGATGATGGAGTGTCTGAGAGGGCGTAAGTCAGACACGGGGTGCATGTGGATGTGGTACATGTTCATCATGTATGTCCTGCGACCACGAGTCTGGGGTTGTGATGTGGGGAGACGACCTGACTGGGGTAGTGGACCTAAGCAGTAGAGCAAGATGACTAACAGCCTGAGGACAGAGATGGCTGACTAACATGTAGAATATGCTTGACAAGTGAGTGAAATGAGACAGAGACAGATGATACTGCGGAGTGAATGAGTGAGTGAGTGAGTGAGTGAGTGAGTGAGTAAGTGAATGTACATTGATTAATCAGCAGCACAATAACAACAACGACCAACAACACAAGAACTTAAAAGTGCAGGAGCCACCAGCGTCAGGGCAAGGCAAGAGAGGGCAAGAACGGGTGAAAGAGGCAAGAGCGGGTAAGCGAGAGGGGCAAGAGCGGGGGATTCGTCCGGATGCTGGCGGAATCGATCGTGCGTGATAGTCACGTGCTAATGCCAAAGAAGCAGCCAATCACGCGTCGACAGCAAAGAAGGATCCACCGCCAAGACCGAGCAGGACCCGCTAACTCGGAAAGAGCCAGCGCTTATGATTCGCCGCGGAGAGTGAAGACTGGCTGGACTTCATCAACAACAACAACAACAACTTCATCAACATTTCCTGGCCGCGCGCTTAATAGTACTCGCTTTGCTATTCTTGTTGCTTGTTGTTTCAGTATTTACTTCTTTGTTTCTTTCTTTGGGCTTGTATCAAGGGAAGTGTCGGTGATTGGCCTGGAGCACAGCGAGATGGCGACACAACTCCACTATGACAGGTTGTAGCAGTTTAGAGAGTAGCCTGTAGCCTATATACACTGTAGCCTATACACTATAATAGGTCTGCAGAAGCTCTCTTTACTACCTTTCCGCACACGTCCGGTACACTGTCCCATCATCCCCATACTATCTATATCGTTTTTATATTTGCTGCCTGCTGCTGCTGTCACTGTCCACGGTTCTCTTGCCCGACCCACCCGCTGTCATCCACGTTTCCCTCAACACCCTGACTGTTGTTTTGTCATCCTCCTCTTGCTGCGCGCCCGGGACGGACGAAGCCCCCTCATCTATACCGCATACACTCACTCGCCCTTCACAAGTCTCGTACCCGGCAACCTCATTGGCTGTCAGCACTAGGAACAAGCCAGCACTCACCGCCGACTCGACTAATACATAGCTACCTATACGCCAACACGAGCTATATACTTAACCATCGTGAGCTCGCGTGCCTAATCTCCATCATTGTCGACACTTACTCTCGACTGGATTACGCACTCGGGCTTCCGTATCTATTGTCGTCGTCTTCGTCGTCTCTCCATCACCGTCTTCTTACACCTCCTGCACCACAGCTTCATCCTCACCACTGTCGTCATAACCGCCCACCGCACGGACTGGCTTCATTGTTCTTGATTCGGATCGACATCCCGCTCTATCGATTATTCAGTCGTTGTCTGTGCACGCGCCTTTTAGCCCTCACCGCTGACGTTTACATCCGTTCATCGATTGTTCCATATTACAGTCAAAAGGCGCCCTGCTCGGCTAAGGGAAACAATCACTTTCTCTTCCCCAGACTACCTTTCTCTGCGCCATCCTCTTACTCCTTAACCACCACCACTGTCTCAAACACCTATACGAGCTCCTTGTTTGCGGTGCTGGTCATCGCATCCTCCTCGGTTGCGTCAATACATACATACATTCCTGCGATTTCGACAATCTGCGATCAACAAACATCTCCCAGCATCAACATCCTCGCCGCCAATTGACTTAGCGTCCCATCTTCATCATCACCATCATACATCTACTCCAAACCAACAACCACCACCAACACCCACATCAAAATGCACACCCATCTACAAACCCGCGCAAACCGGTACGTTTAATACCTCATGCATCTCCAACACCTAACCCTTTCCTCCCAAAATACCATCCATATAACAAAAAACCCAAACTAATCCAACACCCCCAGCAACCTCACCCTCACCCTCTCCACCTTCCTCGCCGCCACACACACCCTCTCTCTCCTCGCCCTCTCCCAACTCCCCCCCTCCACATCCTCCTCCCTAACCACAAACCTCACCCTCTACCTCCTCACCTCCCTGCTCATCTCCCTCCTCGCCATCTACGGCACCTACCGCCCCACGCCCTCCCTCCTGCTCATCTTCGCAAACCACCTCCTGCTCGACGCCCTGCTCTGCACCGTCCCGCGCTTCTTGCTGCTTGGCTTGTTTGCCGGGCTGCCCCGCTCGCTGTGTCATGGTGTTGTTGCTGTTGATGGTGCTGCTGTTGATGGTGCTGGGATCAGTAGTATTGCGGGTGGTGCGGGCCAGCAGCAGTGTCGCGTCGTCATGTGGGCGCTGGCTGGGGTTGGCGTTGTGCTGTTGGTTGGGTGGACGGCATTGCAGTGGGTGTGTGCGTGGCGGGTGCGTGCGTTTGCTGTTGCCTGTGAGCAGGAGCAGCGGTTGCAGGCGGGTGATGGGTTGATGGTGGTGGTAGTGGAGGAGGAGGAGGCGGAGGCGAAGAAAAAGCAGAAGAAGACGGACAAGGATCAAGATGAGAAGACGGAGAAGGAGAGCTACCTGCTTGAAGTTTGAGATGGATGCTATACATCTACATTATATGTATGGTATATATGTGCTCGGTATGAAGGACGGAGACAGACGAGATGATATAGTTGTGTGTATGTGGAACGATACCCGGTGGAATATTTACGAATTTACGATTTGGACTTTCATCTTGATTGTCATCTTGACTGTCTTGTGTATATGTATGATTGTGCTTATAATCGTCATGTGATTGTTAATGACTATTGTTGCCACGCCATGCCATGTCAGGCCTATCAGACCATGTCTTCTCATACACATCCATGCATGCCTCCTCAGCAATCACTCATCCATGTATAGATGCAATCAGCTGCGTGTAAGTCAGCCACGTGACGGCCGCTTAGAACCAGCACTCCGCAGCCATATCCCCCTCCCCTAAAAGAACCGTTGAGAACACCGGTTGATGCACATGTCAATATCCACAACGCCTACCCATGCTTCCTGCTCTCATATCGAGCCATGCAAATCTAGTCAAACTAAACTTTGGAAATTCAAAACGCCATATGTGACTGTCGTAGTGCTGGTTACACGAGACAGGGTGATGATAATGGAGCCGGGGAACTATGGCTACACAATAATAAAAAAAACAGCAAGACAGAACTATAATGACAGCGTCAAGCACCGCCAGCAGTAAGGCTCGGCTTCCGACTTGCAGGTCCGGGCAGCTGTCCGGGCATGATCGATCTCGGTCCACCATGGAATTGACCGTCTGGAACCCGCCGACGCTCATGCACGTCGCCCCCGTTCATGATCGGACTAAAGTTGCCAAAGTTGCTGTCGAGGCCCGCTGATGTCAGCGCCGCACTGTTCAGCATGCCGCCTCCATGGTTGTTCGACGCGACTGTGGTGTCAATAGGCGTCGGTCCAGTGTTGCTGCCCATGTTTGCGTTGTTTGTGTTATTGTTGTTCGTATTATTATTATTGTTATTATTATTGTCGACGCGTCCCATACGTGCAGGCGTAAAGGAGGTGCGGAACATGTCTTTCATCCGGATATAGCCGTACTTACGGTTCAGCGCAATAGGAACTCGAGTAGCCATGGGCTGAGGGTTCGACCGAGCGATGGCCGCCATGATTGCCTCCTTTTCCTCATCCGAGTCGATAGGTCCGCCTTCGGCGTCGAGATCGTCGACAAGAGGAGCATTTGCTTCAATGGCCGCACCTGGACATGGTTAGCTGACTGAGGTTGATAACGACGACGTAGCAGTTGGCTTACGTTGTTGCTTAGCTTGGTTTTTCTTTTGGTACTGCTGTAGAAGAACATCATATGGCAAGCTTCGACCAGGGACAGCTCGCTTCAAGCCCATCGAATGACTTTTACAAGTCAAGCTTCGGGCACACTGGCCTCCGTTCGGGAGGGCGACACCACACTGTCTCTCCACGTCGACGGGACCTTTAGGCTTTCCTGCCTTCGGCTTCGGCTCGTCCTTCTTCTTCTTCTTCGCATTCGGCTGCTTGTCGCCATCCCCGTCCGCTTTCCTCTTCTTGCCCTTTTTTGCACTGTCAGTATTTGCTCCTTTCACAGCACTCTTACGAGCTCCTTTTGACTGCGAACCCTCGTCGTCGTCTTTTTCATCTTTTTCCTTTCGTGCTGCAGCATCCTTAGCCTCCTTTGCTTCCTTCTTCTTTCGGAGCTTCTCCGTCTTCTTCGTGAGACACTCTTTGATGTGGGCCGCTGAGGCAATGCGTGAAACTGGCCTTTTGCAATGCTTACACTGCACGAGATCTGCCTTGTCTTCCATAGGTCGGCCCGTCGGGAAGGCTGCAAGCGTCTTGTCGTCGAGTTGGTTGATGAGCGGAGATTCCGGCGCAGAGGCGTCCTTTTCCGGGTTGACATCTACACAACGCGTCAGGTCAACGATACACCCAGGTCCTCAGATAGAGCTACCAGTGACATCATTCTCTCGCCAATTTCCAGGGTTACTCTGCTTCAGATACTGTTTCTTTGGGATGAACGTGCAAGGCACCGTTCTCTCTCTCTCGGTGAAGAACTTCTCGTACTGTTCGTTGGAGATGAACGACGGTCTGGTTACGGTGGAATGACCAGGAAAGCGGGATTGGTCGTAAATAGAGGAAGCGGCTTTGCGGGCACCGTTTGGCGACATGGTAAGTGGAACTCAACTTGGCTCCTTTGACGTGCAGGGTGCTGCTGGAATTAATTTTCTATCCTGAGAGGTGCAGCGAGGGTGGTGCGTGGAGTGGACGCCACGAAGGAGTGAGTACCCAGTAAATCAAGGGATCTGGTGGGTGTGACGGGAGTTGGAAGAATAAATGTTTTGATGTTCAGTACAGTAAAAGGCAGGCTGCAACGTGAAGCAGCTGCGGGATGATGGATGATTGGGGTGACGAGCGGGCGGAGGTGAAGCAGTTGGGGAGCCTGGCTTTCTTTTGGGGAACAGCCGCGCTAGTCCTAATCACCCGCTCGCCCCCTGCAGCCTTACTTTACACTTTACCCACCCCCGCCGGGGTCATCAGGCCGAGATATCAGGCCGAAACATCAGGTCAAGACATCAACTCATAATATCTCTCCACCACCCAGTACGTGGTTGTCTAGTTTCCTTATACCTAGCTATATACACCATTGATCACCACCTCCATCACCATCCAGGAGACCCGGGAGTCTACTCAATACGCTGAACTCCATGCATGACACGCTCCGTGATATGCTCAAACTCGTTGACCGTGCCCCTCTCCCTTCACAATTGCGCCCCGGACTATGCAGTTTTTACTCCCTTCAGCTTACATAGCGTCGTCGTAGTAGGTCTCAAGGGGAGTTTCAAATGGTTGATGAAAACCAAAACAAAACAAAACAAAAAAACACATATAAGGGGATCCAGACGTGAGAGAACTGTACTCAGCATCGGACCGTACAGACATAGCAGCGGTGTATTCAACTCGGAAATGCCTCGCTCGGTGCTTCTGTACATGAAAAGCCCTGTTAGACGGTATTATCAACATGTAAGCAGCTCTTCGACCGAGGCAGAGCACGACACTTGTCAGTATTTTGAGGCTTGCCGGGTTACCCGCTTTCCTCTCCGGGTAGGCACTGGCTCAGGTGAAGGCGATGGAGCCTTCGCTACAACTGCGGCAGCTTTCGTCTTCTTCGCCGAAGGCTTAGTGGCTCGTTTCTTCTTCGACAGTGGTTGTTGGAAATGTGTATGCCCGAGCTGCTCCTGTGCCGCCTTGTTCTGCCATTCCAGGCAATGTTTGTGGGCATCGGGATCCACGACAGCTTTCTTCCTCGACGGTCTAGACCGTGGTCCTTCTTCCGCCGCCTCTTGATACGTCTTATCAAGCTCTGCGCGGAACTCTCTCATGCGCTCCATGGCGCGAGCGATATTGGTGCGCTCTAGCTCGAGGTTGCTAATAAGCTGTTTCTCCCGGATACCTCGATCATCAAGGCGAGATAGTAACTTGTGGATGACTTCAGGCTCGTCGTAGTAGCCCCATTCTTCACATGAGGTAAGGCTGGTGCTTCCTTCGTCCTTCTGCTTCCGCTCAAGAGCTGACATGCCATACTTCTCCTTGTCTTCCTTGGCAAACTGCTCGGGCGGATTGGCAATGCTGTCGTAAAACTCCTTTGGAGGCCCCTGAACCCATAGACGACCCTGAGAATAGCCAGTTATTGAATTCGGCCCTCCGTCTGGCAATATGCGAGTGTTCTCGTACCAGTGGTAGGTGTTGCACCACCGATCTCTGCCCAGCGTGTTGACCCTGACGCCGTCTGTCTGGACCATCAGTTTCAACTTGTCCTCGACCTGGGCTTCCACTAATTTCAGTTGTTCTTCCGTCTTCTCTTTCTTCTCACAAAGAATCTCCCAGTCCGATTTCTTCTTTGCAGCTTTCTTCTTTTTCTTAGCCTCCTTCTCTGCGACCTCTTGTTCAAGCTTTCGCTTCCGAGCGTCTTTGCGCTGCTTTGCATTGCGCAAAGTTTTCCTAGGCTTTTCGTCGTCCTCTTCGATCGCATCATTCTCTTCTGTACCAGCCATGCTGACATCAGCTGTATTAGCTGGCTCGGGCTGAGGCGACTCTTCGAGATGATTTGGTCGCTCAATCGCGTATTGACTCGCCAGTTCTCGAAGTTCAGTAGCGCTGTCCTCTACATCAGCATGGGTTGAAACGTATAGTAAATTTGACTTACAGGCGAAGTTTCTCTCGGTTCAGAAGAACCTTCTCTTGCCGCATATATTCGATCTTCGGTCCGTATGTGTCAAGAGTCTGTCTGAACGCCACAGTCTGTGCTGCGAAGTATACTGCAATATGCAGAGTAGCGATGCGAAGGTTAATCTCCATTGAGGCAAATTGATCAACAACAGTCGTGATTGACGGCTCAAGGTCTGCAGGAACGAGATGTGCCAATATCTGCTCGCACTGGTCCTCGAAGCGATTCTGTGGACTATCGTTTTGCCACACTTTGTAGATGAAACCAGTCAACATCATCTGCCAGCCCCCATCCGCAAAGTCACGTTCTTTCAAATGTTCCAACCAGTCGTATTCAGCGAAGAGCTCATCTGCCCGATGGACAATGGGGGCCGGCGAAGGGCTGCGTTTCTCAAGTTCCTTGAGAACAATCCCCGCTTTCGCTAAGCTGCTGCGAGTAGATTTCGCTGGAGGTGGTGGCTCTGGTGCCGGGGATGGTGATTTTGTTGATATTCGGGATGAATTGGATGTTTCCTCCTCGTCCTCCAAGTCGAAGCCCCAACTTGATTCAATCTCGAAGTTTCCTTTGGAGTTAACCAGCACTTTAAGCACTGCACAGTGGAGCTCAATGAGGAGTTCACAGTAAACGTCTAGAGAAGTCAAGGAGAGTGCTTCAATCATGTCGTCCAGCGAAAAGTTGTCCACAACAAAGAGCTCCTTCTGCATGTTTAAGGTCGTCCATATGTAAAGCATATCACCAACTCGATCCTCCGAAATATCGGGATAGTCTTGGGAGATTTTCTTGAGAGGTGGCCTTTCCGGCAAATTTGCTCGGGGATGGAGATCCAAGTCTTCGATAGGATACTTTATTTTTTCGATAACGGGAACAGGTATGGGAGGCATAGGTCGGTGCATCGTCGGACGACTTTGACCAATAGGTAGTGAGGTGCCAAACATGGCCCCGTCCCCTGACTTCCTATGCCCGTTTGTGATGTGCAATTGAGGTATTGGTGCTTTCCCATTTACTATGAAGGGATGCGATTGTGATGGCTGAGATTGGGGATTATGGTGTTGCGAGTGCAGCGTAGGTGGGACATGATGGTGGTGATGATGGTGATGGTGGTGATGTTGAGGATGCGGAAAGCTGTGTGCAAAATGAGTAGGCATCCCATTAGTGAATTGCTGGTCTTGCTGAGCAGGCATGAAAGCGGGTCGGTCCCCGTTCATATAAGGTTGCTGCTGCTGGTAACCAAGATGCTGCTGGTGGCCTGGTCTAGGTATGATCACCATTGGTTCGGGTGGCATGCGTGGATCTCGCATGTTGGGGACATTCCTTATATGATGTACCTCGCGATCCGGGTGAAAAAAGGCATGAAGGTCCTGACCGTTGTTGTGTGTGTACATTTTCTCGGCCTTCCGTTTCGCACCGATGGCCTCTCTCTGAAGATGTAGAGGTAAACTTTGGTCGATGCTGTACTGAATACAATATTCTGGTCGAATTGTCCAGGGTGCACCATGCCAGCTTTCCCGCGTTATTGTGGCACGTAAAAAGCTTCTAAGCAGCTCTTTGTTGAAAGAGTCTCGAGAACGACTAATTGCCGTCACATTGTCTACATGTGTGAATGGCTCGCCGAAAGCTGGCACCTTCAACGTATACTTAGCCTTCTTGGTAGCGTTGATGTGCACTTTCTCTTGTACAATAGCTGGCAGCTTCGAGTCTCCGCCTTGGAGAAAGACATCTTCGCCCGGGTAAAAATCGTATTTAAACTCCTAGACGGTGTCAGCAAATGTCCCATGATCGATACTTGTACTGTGCGTACGTCATAAATCTTCTGCACTAGTTATTGTCAGCTTTGACTGCGATGTGGAAAGGTTAAGAAGTGCTCACCAAGAGTGTCAAACCTTGCAGTTGTGTCGTGCTGAACGCGTCGAAGCAGAGGCTCTCGCAGGCGATCGGGGAAATTCATCTCAACGGCCAACACGCCTTGTTCCTAGCATACAATCAGTCTGCATGTACCTACATCATGATTTCAGATTAATCGTACCTCGCTGGCTTTCGCAGCTTTGAATGTTAGTCCTGAGCGGCCAGTTATGGAGCAAGTGAACTCTTTCTAATGCTTGTCAGGTTCGTGCGTAATGAATGTCTTATATTGCGTAAAGGGCGTACCTTGTCGTAGTATGACTTTCTGCTAAGCTGTCAGCTATAAGTGTGGAAATCCCAGTTTATGACGTACACCCTAAGGTAGCTCTCATAATCTATGAAATATTCTTCGATTCCTGGTAATATCTCTAGTGCCCACAGCTAATATATGTCAGTCTTTGTATGCGTACGCTCGTTGTTTTCTCATACCTCTGTATTTGGTGAAAGGCGACTGATTTCTGCGTCTTTTAGACCTTGTGACGGCACAATCTGTTTCTTGTGCAATACCTGGCGCGCGTTAGCGCGTACACTCTGATATCATAATCTATATTACCATTATTGTTCAACAGGTCGTACCCATCAAACACGTCGACTTCACAGGGAGTCTTGCTCAATCCCTTGGTTCGCGTCTCCAACCCCGACTCCTCTTCCTCGACAACAGATATAGGCTTATCCCTATGCGGAACACTGTCGCCTTTGTTATATGTTATAGATCTTCAGACTTATATACACAGGTCACAGTGATGTGCGATCAACTTATTCGACCGTGTTCGAATTATGGAGGGGCGCAGTTCTTATCTCGTGAATATCTCTGGAATCGTTTTCGAGATGCTTGACGCGTCGCGGGGTTGACTTCCAGGTATGATTCGCGTCTTGATGGCGTAAACGACAATGAGGCGGGCGTGGAAGAACAAAGCCAGGATTAAGAAAAACAGGTCGCGAGAAGAAAGCCGTTAGAATAGTAATTCGGCAGAGAAGTCAAAGTAGTAAACGCGCTGCAGCCCTACGCAATTCCGACAATATTCCGTGGTAGTCAACTAGGGGCTGGTCCCTGCAACTTCAAAGAAATGTTAAAAGCTAGCCTAACGATTGTGATGCGCTTCTCATCACGACAAGCATCGTATTTGGACTTGTTCTGCTCGTCAAACTACGAGGATTATGTAGATCTATCAACATATTGTTATCATACTCTGTGCAGCCAGCGGTATCAGCCCCCCTTTTCAGTCTGCCTTCCATGTCATGCCTGTGTCGGAAGACATAGAATACTCCTAAGGAATGGGAGGATCTTTGTACGCCGGAGAAGCCCAGAAAGAGGTCTTGTTCTATTTCGAGGGCCTTATATCAGAGTAAACTGATCAAATATAGTCACCGTAGCGCTTGTTTCTATCAGCTCAAATATGGAACCACATAAAGCACTTTTGACAAGGCCTCAACCGATTCCTGTAGCACAACTTTATGAGTTGAACTTGGCAAGCTTTCTATGAAAGTCCACAACGCAGTCATTTAATGTGTTCAACTGTCACCGTAGAGGTCTTGATTTCTAAAGGGGAGAATCCGGTCGCTTCTTGGCACGATAATCACTATAAATAGGCTGCGGTCAGGACGGTGTGAGTCGTAAGACTCCCGAAATGCTCATTATCATATTTTCATCGGCCCAGAGAATGTCCAAGATGCTTTAAAGGGATTTCTTAGCTTGTATTTGAAAAGATATATGCCTTAGACGACCTCCGCTCCTCAAGGAGACTATGTAGAGTCTGCGCATCATAAGCCTGCTAGATCTAGCCGAATTTACCATAGCGGGTGTTCGCTTACTACGGAGAGGTTCTTAGAGATCTATTGAGAAAAATATACGACGGAAAATCCGACCCAGCTTCCAACCACACCAATCGCGGAATATGAGCTAATGAACATAAGAGGTAGAAACTCAAGCCTGGGCCCAAAGATGATCCGGTGCAATAGAGAGCAGTAAGCGATAAGCGGGATCGAAACGGCAATATAGAGCAGTGAAAATCTGTCGAGGAGGAATATTCGTTGACGAGATGATCTAAAAAAGTGTTAGTGATTGTGTTCGGCTGCAGAGCAAACTCAGATACGTACGCTGGTGCCAGTCGGTCAAATGCAAGTAAAAACAAGATCAACCAGAAGATCGTATAGATAATCTTTATCGGAAATTCGCCTGCCGTGAAGAGGAGCGGGAAAAGCGAGACGTGGCCGGCGACTGCTAGCGGCCTGAAGGCGCCTAAGTATCTTCTGTCTTTGAGTGCAAGCAAGCTAAAGGGAATGATGACAAGCAATATGGCTTTCTCGTGAACATGCCACCCGAATAGAAATGAGGCATAACCGCAGAGTGTCACCGCTCCGACAAAACCTTCCCAGGAAGGTTTGAGGAACAGCTTGATGAGACAAATCTAAAGCGAGTTAAGAACTGGTGAGTGACGGGCAGCCGAGATAAGCTCACAATCTGGAAAGTCAGGGTAATAATGAATGTTGTGCCAGGAGTGACATCTGGTAGAACAGCGAAAGAAGTATCACCAACTCTTCCTCGAGTAACACTACTCAGCGCGGCTGCGTCAACATTCAAGCCTATGTAAGGAGCCACTACAGAGAGTCAATCCACTAGACTTGGAAATATCAGGACAGACTTACAGTATATAAGAACCCTGTCAGTAAATGAGTACATAGCCCAAATGTTCGGCGCCCAGTATGCATGACACAAGCCCCTAGAGAACGGGAAAAGTCGGCTCAGCACTTGCGGAATCTGATTGAAATATGCAAATGGTCCGAAGGATGCCACAAATATGACACCAATGCTAATACCTAACTTGAGACAATTGGTAATCCGTGGACGAAGTATGTTGTCGGGGCTCAAGCAGTAGGCTCGAAGCAGGTAGACGAAATAAGCTGGAGCAAGATACAAATAGATGTGCTTCAGACAGAGCAGTGCGGCAAAGATGATGCCACTGAGAAGCAGGGTCGACCTGTTCCTAGCGAGTGTCACGGAGAGAATGAGTAGACCATAGAGAAATCCATTGTATTGAAAATGGATGTGATCGATGATGAGGAGACCGGGCGAGAGCAGTATCGACAAAGCGGACACATGCGCTAATTTTTTTGAAGGAGAGGTCTGAACGAATCTGAGCCTTGAATTAGCTTATGCCAAACGTGTGAGTGCGTATGCGCACATGTACAGGGCCAAAACGAGGACCAGTTCAGAGGCTAGTACCGTTGCTCGTTGGTAGTATACCGTTTTCCATGAATCGAAGCCTAGAGCTTTGATATTCAAGAGACCCGGTTCTATAAATCGAGCTGGTTGAGACAACACCCATTCAAAGTACGCAAAGAAAGGAGGGTAGTCAAGAGTCCATTCAGACGTTTGCTACACGGCATAAGCAAGTCAAGCAGATCTAAGAAGACTCATTGGTCATCATACCTCGAAGTACCATTCTTTCAGTGGTAGTGAGTTGGTGAGAGCAAGCCAATTTCGATGCACCTCAAAGTCAGTAGATTTGCTATGTGTGATTTCAGAACCCTGATAGCGGTCATTTAATTGGTGGCTTACTACGCAGGAAAGAGCAATACTTTGAGGACCGTGGCGACCACGGCGCATTGAGATATGGATGGATAGAGTTCGTCCATCGGATCGTGGGTGACGGATGCAGCACTCCGTGGATGGCAGAGGTCGGACACATTTCGCGAATTCCATGTTGTTGATGCCGGCTTAACCCCGATCTGGATCTTATTCGAGTCTAATCCTAACGCGGCTAGTCTCAAATCTGTCCTTAGGGACCTGTTCCAAACCATTTGCAGCTCCGATTTCGTTGGTCTCTAGAAAGCGAAACATCTGTTTAAGTCTAGAGCGGAGCATAAAATTTATTAATCGCCCGCTGTGTTGGACTGATTCTTTCGAAATCTATGCTCTATGTATGTCAACGGAGATATATCACACGAGGCGAGGCCTCCAGGGTAGTGAAGTACCGGCGCATGAGGTCTGGGCTTTAGACAGTAACAGAATACGGATGAATGCAATCACCTTGCGCATAGTCCTCTAGAGAATTGGGGGCGGTAGCTTAAGTGTGGCGCTCGTCTGTCAATGAATGCCCATCGCCCAAGTTGTTCATCCGACAGAACAGATGAGGTGCTAATATTGCCTTACGAGTCAGGAGGTGACAGGAGAACAGATACTTAGGGCTTCTGCGAGTATTCTCTGAAAGCTTCTTTGCGGTAGTCTAAGCTGGATATGGTAGTCAAATGAGTTGTCTGTTACAGAGCGGTTGGTGTATCATGCGGTGTCTTGCAGAAGCGGCGGCTGTCTACATGATCAATACATCCGTCCGCATCAGGCTTCGGGACAGGGGCTTTGATATTTATTTTAGCCGAAAATGGACGGCACGAGCCACCTGCATTATTTATCACGCTCAGATGGTGCGCCACACGAGACGGGACACATGAGGCAGGTAAACAGTCGAAACCTCTATGTGGAGGGAACGACACGAACTGTCTGCTCCTGCCATGCCATGCCATAATTGTACTCAATAGGCAAAACTACCCACACGTACTGACATCACCCGACACCTCAGGCAACAGGCAACATGCCTAAGTCATTCCGATTGGGAAGTGCAGCCTCAGGCCTGCACGCTAGCCCATGAACGGACACGGGTGATTTGCAGGGGCCATCTCTGCATTCCTTAGCGTGCCTTCATTCAGGAGGAACGGCGCGCGACGATACTTTCACCACTCCTACACTTACTACTCACCTCTCTGAACCCTTTCTTTCATCTGCATCAATTTCCTCTCTGCTCGTCGATTGACGTAGCTTCACTCCTTAATCCTTTCATATTCATCTGCGGCTTCACCGTTCTCTTCCTTTCTTCTCAACTTTAATCCCTTCGCTCCTTAAGCATCTATCTTCTACTCATCTGCCTCCCCGCTGCTTCTACTGCCCTTCTGTTCGACATTCCAATCAAACGGGCCTCATCCAATCTGCTTCTAACTTGGTGTATCCGACTGAAACGTCTGGATACCAATTGTTCAGGGCTGCATCGCTGCAAGGCATCTTTAGGAGCATCAGGAGACGTCTTCTCGACATAGCACTGCGTGTCAGTAGCCGCCGTGTGGAAATACTGTATTCTTGGACAACAATCTGTCCATATTACAACAGTCTTTGTGTCTTCGTGTCTTTGTATCAAAGGTGCGTCGGCTGCTGTTGCTCAATCAGCTAGGGTTTGAGGCGCTGTACTGACTGATGCAGTCTCGCAGGTTCTCTTGCCTCTAATAAGTCCCTTGGGCTCCCAGACGTCAGCCACCACTGCCTACCTATACGTTAGATCTTTACGCATAACATTGTAATAGTCCGGTACCTCAAGGACCGGACATTGTAGTAGTACACCACGGCTGTATTATCGTCACACCCGCGGGACAGCGTGGTCCTGCCTCCTCATCTTCTCGGTATGCAACATCAGGAGTCGAACAACGGCTACAGTGGGCACAACGGAAATACTGGTCCCCGTCATCAAAACTCCTTTTCAAAGCCCGCCATGAACGGCGATCATACCGGCTTCTCGCACGGGGCGTATCACCAGAATCAGCATTCAATGTCTGGCTACGGAGATCGCCACCCCCAACGGAACATCCCTGCAATCAATACAGGCAGGGTTGGACAGCATCAAAATATGAATGATATGCAGACTCCTGGAACGGCTTTTGATATGAATTTTACTCCTTTACTTCCTTCGCAACTACTATTGGGAAGTCCTTTTCAACCAGGATCTCCATCCGCTTTCACCTCCCCGCAATTTCAGAACTTTTCTAGCTTCGCTCAAAATGCTGCCACTCAGCCACAGGGACAACAAAATCAGATGGGTAGTCCTCTTCAGCAGCAGACACCGCTATCCCCGCAAATGTACAACAGCATGATGTCTCCAAACTCCATGAACGCACCGGCATTCTTCGGTGGTCCTCAATCACCAACGGGTGGTTACCCTGGAATGGGTAATCAAGCGATGGGCGGGATGGGCGCATCAATGCATATGGCTCCTGGCCTCGTTTCTGGCACCAGCCGAACCGTCTATTTGGGTAACATCCCTCCTGAGACATCTGCTGAGGAGATTCTTGGTCACGTACGAAGCGGTCAAATTGAATCTGTCAGACTCCTTCCTGATAAGAACTGCGCATTTATCTCGTTCTTAGATAGCAGTTCTGCGACCCATTTTCATTCGGATGCCATTCTTAAAAAATTATCCATCAGAGGTCAAGACATTAAGATCGGTTGGGGCAAGCCATCTCAAGTGCCCACATCAGTAGCACTCGCTGTCCAACAGTCAGGCGCTTCACGCAACGTGTATCTAGGGAACCTGCCCGAGGATGTTTCTGAAGAAGAGCTCAGAGAAGATCTTGGCAAGTTCGGACCCGTTGACACGGTCAAGATTGTGCGTGAGAAAGCTATTGGCTTCGTTCACTTCTTGTCTATTGGAAATGCAATCAAAGCTGTAGCTCAATTGCCCCAGGAGCCAAAATGGCAAACCCCCCGACGCGTATACTATGGGAAAGATCGGTGTGCCTATGTTTCCAAGACTCAGCAGCAGAATGCTGCGCAGTATCTTGGCATTGCCCCCGGATATGCACACGTCCTGAACGGCGCAGACCGTGATATTATCTCGAATGCGCTTGCACAGCAGTCTGTTGCTGCCGCCGCTGTCGCCACCTCCGCTGGCGGAGTGAACAATCTCGGTAATAGAACTGTTTACCTGGGTAACATTCATCCCGAAACCACAATCGAAGAGATTTGCAACGTGGTTAGAGGAGGTCTGTTGCACCATATTCGCTACATCCCGGACAAGCATATCTGCTTCGTAACGTTCATTGACCCGACATCAGCTGCATCATTTTATGCGCTGAGCAATCTGCAGGGTCTTATGATCCATAATAGACGTCTCAAGATAGGGTGGGGGAAGCATTCAGGCGCACTTCCACCAGCCATAGCGCTTGCAGTCAGTGGTGGTGCTTCGCGCAATGTCTACATCGGCAACCTCGACGAGTCATGGAGCGAGGAGCGGCTGCGTCAAGACTTCGCTGAGTATGGCGAGATTGAACTTGTTAACGCCCTCAGAGAAAAGAGTTGCGCATTTGTCAATTTTACAAACATTGCCAACGCAATCAAAGCAATCGAAGCCATTCGCGGGCGAGAAGAGTACAAAAGATTCAAGGTTAATTTCGGCAAAGACAGGTGTGGAAACCCACCTCGTCAGATCAATTCTGGAAACCAGATGCAACAGAACCAGCAGTCGGGTAGCCACGAGGGCATGTCATCACCTTCACCTATCAACGGTATTCAGCAGAATCGAAGTCAGACCTCTGTGTCACCGACTGGATCAAATGCTCCAGGTGGAGTAGCCAGCACGAATGCTCAGTACCAAGCACTTCAGGCGCCAACAGCCTCGTCCATTCTCAACACTGGTGCGAACAATCCATTGATGATGTACCTGCATAATCAGCAACAGCAACATCATCAGAATGCGCTAGAGCAACAGAAGTCTCAGCAAGCATCGTACACTTCCCCCCAGGCAGCCTTCTATGGCGCTGACGCTAGTCCTACTGTGCAACAGCCCACGCACCCTACCCATAATGCTACGAGTAGCGTGAGCTTAATGAACGGAGGATCTACAAGTTCAACCACCATCGGAGGCATGCTTGCTCCCTCAAACCTCAGCGCCCGTGCACAGCATGCCCGAGCGGTCAGTCTTCCAGTCTTCTCGCAGGGACCCTTCTCGCAGACCGCCCAGCAGGGCTCCCAGAATTCTTTCGGCAGCCTCAGCTCCGGCCTGGGTGGATTCGGCGGCGGCAGCAGTGGCTATGGTCTTGCCATTCAGGGTGATGGCGGACTTCCTGGCTGGGCTGAGGAGGAGGTAGAGGTAGGGGCACAGTAGACTCTCAGCCTATCTACAATTTGTTTCTCAATCCGGTTCCCACATGTCGATATTTGAACCCGTTACACGCTTTAGTCCGCAGTCCTGGTTATTTGCAAGTTTGGCTGGGCGGCGCTCCAGTCTTCGCTCTATATTCGTTTCGTGTTCTGTTTGACTTCTGTACCATCATTAATACTCCATCCCCGCTTCGCTGTCCCTATCTGGGTACCATTTCCTACCGGCGGGCTATCATTCTTCTCTTCACTGTTGGGGTACTTGTTTTGAATATCTGCCTATTCAGGCTGAATATTGGGTATGTGGCGGAGAACGGACCGACGGAATTTTGTTCGGCGAGGAGACCCATCCATGAACCAAAAAGGTCTAAGGCTATCGATTGACGGAGAGACGACGTGTGACATGTAGGACTCCACACGAAGGGTCGTGATGCTGGGGACATGTCACGGCAGGGATGCTGTAGTCGAAGGCTGCCTAGCTGTAAAATTTGTGTAGCCAAATACTATTGAACTGCACCGCTTGCTTTGGTCTGCTTTAGCGAATCACAAAGCAGAAGAAATCAGGAGTGACTCCGGGTACCGAGTTGGGACGATTAGACATCATCGCTTGTTCAAAATCTTCAATACTGTATAATGAAGCTCCCTTGCAGACTTCGTAATATCCTTGTATCATCTTTTCGGGTCTAATTCTCAGGTGAAAATTCTAGTGACGGTAGATGGGCGTACATAGGGTGGATCTGCGCATCATGCTTGTTCTCATGGCAACATCGTTCGCAATGCGGTACCTATATCGATTATGGGTGGACTATACTGTGGCGTTTCAAGATAAGTTAGTCCTCTGCTAGCTAGTATTCCATGTCTCCTCGCCTTCTTTCGAATTCATTACGGAATGTCATAGCCCCTTGAATCGAGATGTGGCCCTTTCGAGACATGGGAAGCACCATGCGGCCGGTGACCTCGTTCTCGCTCCTCGCCCTTCCTTTCTGCAACTACGCCGCCATTCCAACAAATTTCTAATTCCTCTGTTCATGTACATTGGCTCATTCTTATGCATTGCATGTACCTGTCCAAGTACCGTGTTCATGGATATAGTCAGCGCGTGTAATTGGCGTAAACAGCGCTAGTCCACGGCGCGTAAGAACCCCCTCACCTGCCGATCGGATGCATCCTTAAGCTCCACATAGATATTATTAGTCCTCTGAGCACCGGTCTGACAGACGACAGAAAATCCTTCCCGACGGCCATAGTAGCGTGCGTATATAGTACGACGATTGATCGAGGGCAAGTTCCGAGAAACTCTGGGTCCGGTTGCGGAAACGGCTAGGGAGGCAAGGGAGGCAAGGCTCTATCCTCCCGTGCAGCGTGCTCACTGCTCAGTGCTCGTTGTCACCACCACCACTAGGCGCCTCGTTGCGCGATTCGCGCGGCTTTGAGGAATTTGACGCCCAATCTTGTGTGCGATCGTCACTGTCTTCCGTCTTGGCGAATTCTATCACACCACATCTCCTCACGGCTGTTGTTGCAGAAAAGCAAATCTGTAGGGCGATATCAACATGGACACCACGACGGATAACAACATATATCACACTAAGTTTTAAGACCTTGCCTGGCTCTTTTGACTTAAATTGGCCCTTGTTTTTAACATAGCCCAGCCCTAACTGTGTTGGGTTCGCAGATAGATAGCTCTAGAGGTACGTATCATACGCTCTTCTACGAAGTGAACAAGCTTAGCGCAAGTATTATATAGCTACCTGTAAGGTAAAATCAGGGACTTGGTAGTCGGGAGGAGGGATTTGTACTGATTAGTATTAGTCTGTAGTCCTCTATACAAACTGAAACATATGTGATTAACAGGCGAGGATCTAACGGCTACAGGTGGCATGACCAAACGTCGGGCTATCGTGATAGCCTCGCCTGTGCCACCTACTGGCCCACACCGCTGGAGATCTTCGCCTGAGCCCTACAGCAATGACCTGCAAGCCAAAGCTCGCGGAGTCGGCATCCCACCGACATGCAGATGCTTGGTGAAGTCTTCTGTGCAAGCTGCAAGTATGCATCGTTGAGATTTGCGCCGTGATATCTTGTGGAGATTCTTGAGAATGCCATGACTCTGAGGAGTCTTCGGCAAATGGGAAGCGATGCCTGGGGCCGTCCCCTGGGTGTGAAACCGGGAACCCGTTCTTCATAACGCCAGGGCGCCCTTGCTTTCAAGGTGACCGAAGACCTTTATCTCCTTCACACCACATCGATACCAACCAATCGAACAAGCCTATCTACATAGCATACCAATGAGGTGGTATGAGCTGAAGCCCCGTCTCGGCTGGTCGAAGCCGTTGACCCTAACGAGCTCGTATGTTCTTGAGTCGTAATCACCTATAAGGAAGGTCGATGTTTTGGTTCGATCACTTTCTTCAAGCATTTGCTTCGCGCTTGGCGAAAGGTGTGAATAGACGAGTGACAGTTGTTGCCCCTCAGTCGGGTTTGATAGACAAGTCAGACGTAGTAGTTGGGCTTTAAACCATTTTCGTTCGCTAGTCTGAAGCTTTGCTTACTCTGCCTTATGCAGTCACTATAATATCCAGCCACCTGCATGGGACTCCTTGGAGCCAGGTCATCTTCATCATTCTTAAGACCGACTTTGAGCTTTCTTCTTGTATCACGTTTACAAGGCTGTGGGCTTGTTCAGCGTGTATCATTTGGGCACACCTTACATGCTCGGTTGTGATACATCAACCACAACAGCACATACAGCAGAGTACTTCCGGCAGTCTATTCCCTACGACAAGGCCCTCTTCCAGAAAAGGCTACTTCAGCCCCCGTTTTCTACTGTGCCCCTTACTTCAGTCTGACTCTCCAGGTTGAGGGAATACGACACCCCGGTACACCCGCGTCAAATAATCGGCAGCAACCCCAGAACATCCATACTCGGACACGCGAACGGGCCTTATAGCAGACTATAACCGCCGGTCAGACTTTTGACTTCTGGAATAGTACAGGGTTATCTGCTGGTTCCATTAAAGGCTTGTCGGCTGGGCCGCTGGGGAGGTCGCGACACGCTCTGCAACTAAGCCTGGTCACACTTCCACGTACTTGGGTCGACGGTCCTTGTTATACATATCTTGGGTAGGCCATACTTCCTTGTTTACTTACGGAGTACCTCATAAGTCCACTGACGGTCTTACAGGTATACAAGTAGTGTATATCAATCGTGTAGCGCTGTCTACCTACTCACTTGTGTAACCTCTCACCCTTCGCCTCGTATCTCTGGCTCGCTCAATCGTTCTTCCTTTCCTTTTTGGTGGTGGTGGCTCGGCGGGCTCATGAGACTGCCAGCTTTATTATAGCCTACACAGTGTACGAATGGAAAGTTCATCCAGGCCTCGCTCGACCGTTCCACAAGAACGGCTGATCCAGATTTCGGACCATCTCGCACCATCTCGCAACATGTCCGACAACCGAATGAGTCTCGATTTCATCATCGACCGGAATGTCACTGACCAGGGATCGTCGACGGACGGATCTGACAATGAGTGCCCTGCTCAGCGTCAAGCCCGCCATCAGTACGACGACGAGCAAAATGCCTACATTCTTTACCTCTACTACTTTTTCATGAAAGGAGGGGTAGACCACGACGCAAACTGGGATGCCGTCGAAAGAATGTTCCAGCAAAGATTCCCACCTGATACGCCACGTCGACACCCTGGAAGGGGCCTCAGCCAAACCTACGAGAGGCGGCAGATTAATGGACTGAACTCCAAGTTCTACCGCCTCCGAGATCTCTACTTGCCACCAGGCGCGGACTTGGAGGCGAGGAAGAGAAGAGTTGCCGATCTCGTCCGGCCTTATGGTTTCCCACCGATCAACCAGTTGATCGAGAAGGCGCAGACCAACTCAATGGATATACGCCCCGACGTACTGCACCTCTGAGAGGGTGGTAAGCGTGGGTCTTCAGCACGGCCAACCCAGGATCTCTCCATAGCAGTCTATTTGCTAGCAGGCATACGATCAACTGTTAATGGACTTCCTTCCGATGGCGTGTTATCGACTCGGCTTCACCCTCGAAATCCCGAATGTGAATTTGCCTTAGTAGCATACACATATTTGGCACGACCACCTCTACAGCCTCAATAAGCCATCAATCATTACAATCATTAATTATACGTGAATCACAAAACCAGAAAAAACACAAAAACAAACAACCAATATCATCACAATAAGAAAAGCACAAAAACAAAACAACCAATATCAATACAAATAGAGCTAAACGCGGAACTCCTAGATGGGCATCATGATCTTGTTGATCTGGGATTCTGCACCAAAAACTACAATTATACGTTGTACTTGCTTCTTTGAATTGCATTCCAGAATGTCTACCTTGAAGTTCTGCTTGTCGTCTTGCGTTTAGTTCAGACTGATAGCTCTTAAGTAGTTTTGACCCTTAAATTGAAAAAATTGATTATGCGTGTCTTGTATATCGTTCTCGTGGCAGTCATGGTCTCGAAAATAAGCACTGACAGAGAGTGAACGGTCTTGGAGACAAGGTGTGTCAGTGTTTATGTGTGATGTCCGCTACTGACATCCGCTCGCATAACCCAAAGACCCCATATTCGTATGAACCTCGAACATATAGTCCAATATCGAAACTAATAAAATCCTGAATAGATAGGATTAAGATTCGAAGTCTGAACTATCCCTATATATAATTTATTAGATATCTTTCATGTATAACATAGTGGAAGTATTACTTATTATTATTCTAGCCCTCCAAGTTTTTGCGACGATGGGAAAAAACCGACCAAGAGACCCGATCATTATCAGATTACTTTTTGCCTCAGGCATCAAGAAATCTCCGGAGCCGTACTTCTCATTTAGTTCTCAACAACCCTAGCGTGATAGCTACGGTACGCTAGTCACGTCGATCTTCGAGCAATGCATCTTGTGAACAGCACATGCGCCGGACGTCGGAGTCAGCAATGCACAATAGCATGACACACTTCGAACCTCATTCAGCTAGGTCCTGTCGGACATCACGACCCCATCACTGCACACTGTACCAGTGATACTCCCGAAGAATTTTCGCTGTCATCTCAAAGCCTGAAGGCGCCTCGGAGCTCCACGCTATTCCACCGACGTGTGACCAAAAGCTGGAGCAAACATAATTATGAGCAGCTTACTTGAGCGGCTCCAGGAGCTTGTTGGGTCCAGGGAAGATCGGGACGACTATGAGCCCCTCCGGAACGGTGAGGGTGAAGGCGAGGAGAGCGTGGAAACCGAAGTTGGAAGAGAGAACAGAAAGTTGATGCGCTTCTCATGGGTGGATTATGGTATATTCATGCTCCTTGGTATTTCAATGCTGTGGTCGTGGTAGGTTTGTCGCTCAGGAAGACGCCACTGTCACTGACAATGTCGCAGGAACATGTTCCTAGCAGCCGGTCCCTACTTCCAACGACGCTTTCAGACCAACAAAAGCATCCTTCAAAGCTTCCAGTCCTCAGAGCTTGCCGTATCGACTGTCGCAAACCTAGGTACAATCTCAGTCCTGACAAAACTCCAGGCGAAGGCAAACTATCCCAGACGAATCAATACCGCACTCTTCATATACGTTGTCACATTCACTTTCCTCGCAATATCAACGCGCATATTCCTGAATATATCTGCAGGCGGATACTTTGGCTTCATTCTGGTCACAATATGGGCGTCCAGCATGGCTACAGGTTTCTTCCAGAATGGCATCTTCGCGTACATGTCTGGCCTGGGACGTGAGGAATACATGCAAGCCAATATGACGGGACAGGCAATTGCTGGCGTGTTGCCATGTATCGTTCAGATTGTATCCGTGCTGGCTGTGCCCGAGAGGAGGCCCCAAGCAGATGATGTACCACAAGAGTCATCAAAGTCAGCATTCGCATACTTCATGACAGCGACAGGCGTATCAGTCTTAACCCTCATAGCCTTCTTCATCCTCATGGCTCGGCACCGAACAAACGGAAGCCGAAAACGACCCATGGCTGTGGTCGATCCAGGAGAAAGCATTCCGCAGCTTGTAGAGCGCGAGGAGATACCGTTGATGCTCCTATTCCGCAAGTTGTTCTGGCTGGCCTCTGCAGTATTTCTGACATTCGCCTTGAGCATGTTCTTTCCTGTCTATACCCAACAGATCCTCTCTGTCCGCCCAGTCGATTCTTCACTTCGTATATTCCAGCCTTCGGCTTTCATACCGCTTGCCCTTCTGTTTTGGAATTCTGGTGATTTGATCGGGCGTCTAGCTTGTTCGCTGCCGAGACTTTCATTGGGTGCTTACCCACGCCTCCTATTCTTGCTCGCCATAGCGCGTGTTGTGTTCATTCCAATGTATCAGCTCTGCAATATCGGTGGACGAGGAGCGGTGGTGAGCAGTGACACTTTTTACTTGCTCGTACAGATCCTGTTTGGCTTCTCGAACGGCTTCATTGGCAGCCAATGCATGATGGTATTTGTCGACTACGTGGACACGCATGAGCGAGAAGCGGCGGGGGCGTTCATGAGTACTGTACTTGTTTTTGGCCTTGCCGCTGGGAGTTTTGCGAGTTTCCTGGTTTCTACGGCAGTGTAAATGCTATGGCGTGGGATTCGTGCATTTACAGTGGAGTTTTTGAGTCTTGAACTACATGAACTGCGTATGTAATAGAGAATAGTAATGCGCTTTATGTGCTTATAGAATGCAGTTTGCAGCACTGATTATGAATTACGTGGTTTGACTGACTACTAGATATGGATAAGATCGAGCTATCAAAAAGTTGGAACTATCTGAGTATATTCTGGTTCTTAGATTCGTATTCTTTTGGCAAGCAGACTAGAGGTGAGGATAAAGACGACTTTGCTATGTGGAAGGGTGTAGACTATGGAATATACATTCAAAATTAGGTTAGTTCTACATTAGCCCACAACACTATCAAATAATCAATGGACTGGCGCGGGAATGACTAGCGCAAGTTTGAGCATTGTTCGTCAACAAAACAACATCGCCAGCACCTCAAACTTTGACTCTCGAACATCTTTCCCACCACACCACACCACAATAACACATACACATACAACACTATAACCTCTAATCTCCAAACACTCTACCATGGACGCTGCGCCTCAAAAGATCTATATCAAGCGCAAGCGCGACCAACTAGCTCCGGACGCACTGTACTACGACCCGGAAAGAGCTTTCAAGCGACCAAGAGCTGTTCCTTACGTCTTTAAGCGCCTGGCAGATCCTCAAAACTCGCAAACGGAGATCAAACCCGTTGTCCTGCCAGGACCACGTCAATTCCACCTCACACGCCCTACCGTAGCCACCTCACGCAAAAGACGCCGTGCTGGAGATGACCTGGCAACATTCATCGAAATCCCCAACGATGCCTCAAATACATCAGAGCAAAGCGGTATTCCTACCATCACTACGACACAGGACGGCGTTACCATACCTGCAACCTCCACTCCACTCAAGCGCCCAAATATGCGCATACAGAAGACCCCATCAATAGCAAGCCTCAGTTCCAGATCCTCTACTACACCCTCAGATGCTACCGTTGCCGCGCTACAAGCCATGGCAGACCAAGTTATAGCAACTGAAGCCTCTACGGCCGCGTCAAAGCTGACGACACCCACGCCTAGCCCACGACCTCTCAAATACCAACCCATAATCCCAAAACACCGCACGCGCAAAGCACCAAGCAGCCCTCAACCCGTCCCTATTCGAATCCCTTCTCTAGCGGATCCAGAGCCCCACAAGAACCCAACCACTTCAGAGGATGCCATGGACGTGGACGATTCCTCCGAGTACGTCATTGAGACGTACGTTCGACACGCTGCGCCAGCTGATACTCCAATTCCCTCAGATGCTGGCTATCTCATAATATCGAAGAGCGAGGAGGAGCTGTGGGAGAGCTACCTGGAGGCGGACATGCCAAGTAGCGACGAGGAATTTGCCAGCGACGAAGAAGACGAGAATGCAGAGGGCTGGCACGGAGCGGACTATCCAGACGATGAGCTCAGCGAGGACGACGAGATGGGCGAGGGCGCATACCAGTACTGGGCAAAGAAGAAGAAGGGGAGTGACGCCGGAAGCGAGGATGACGAAAACGAAGAGGAGTGGGGCTACGGCAGCGATTTTGAAGGCGAGGAAGAAAGTTGGAGGGAGAAGTGGATCTAACGGCATTGCAAATCGGGCTTTTATTTACCCTACTGTTTTGATACTGCGTGGCTTTGGCTGTTTGTTGGGCGATACGGCCATTGCATTTCTAGCGGCGGAGAGTATCCCTGCGGGGGGTTTGCCTAGTGTCTGGATTGCTTGCATTGGGTTGTATAGCAGGGAGTATACCCTGCGTGGGTTTGGAACAGATTATTTGTGTGTACGTATGTAGGGGACTGCAGATCTGGCTGCAGGGTGAATGGGAGGGCGGGACCCTTCACATCTCGTATAATGGCTCTTTAACTTGATCAAAGTCGTAGGGTCATGAGAATCTCAACTTCGTTCAGGTATTCGACGTAAGTGAAGACCTTTGCTATCATGGACATGCCAAGAGCTGGCTCCATGAGCTGTTCGGACGCTTGGTAAGATGCTAATGGTCATTCGTCATTCCCTTGCAATTGATCCACCTTTGCCCAAACGTGGCTGTTCAACAAGATTATGGTAGATTATGCGTGCAATCTCGCTCTACCTTGCACAATGCTTTTCACTCTTGGAAATTGGAACTTCGAGTCATGGATATGAAAGCAACACGAATCCAAGCGAGATATATGAGTGTATCAGAGTCTAGTCTTCCACAAATGTATCGACGAGCTGAGATACAGTCCATACAATCCTCGTGCGATGTCAAATGCCCGTGACCTTTCCCCCTTTACCCTCTCAACCTCACCGTCCAGTCAGACCTCCTTACCTCGCAAAAGCGCCCTCCTCCTGATCTCCCAACCCTCTAAACGCAACCCTCCCATTCCCCCTCAACACCTCACACACTGTCTCAGGACTGAGCATATACCCGCTCTTCCGCCACCTCCTATTCAGCCAATCCGCCAACGCATCCGCGCTACAATTAAACCGCCTTGTATCCCACTCGTGCAAGATCAGATCCACAATCGGCTTATCCGGTAACATTTCCTTGTCGTCACGTAGCATTGGCACGCTGTCCAGCTGCAGCGGCAACGGCCGGCCCGGAAACGTGCTCTCGTACGCCGTCATGAAGTGTACGAGTTTGGCCTCCTCGTGGGCGCGTGCGCAGAGGGCGATGCCAAAGGGCTGGCCGTTGAGCTTGAGCGCGCCGAGGGGCACGACGGCCATGGGGTAGCCTGCGGCGGCGGCGAGGCTGCAGAGGGCGCTGTCGCCTGGGGCGGCGATGATGTCGACGGCTAGCGAGGAGAAGAGCTTGTCCAGGGCGGCGGCGCCACCGAGGGATTTGAGGTTTGCGCGGGCTTGGGCGAGGTCGGCTTGGGTGAGGGTGGATTCGAGGGCGGCGTGCAGGTCGTCTTGGTTTGGGGAGGAGGGCGGGAGGGTGAGTTCGGGGTGTTCGAGGTTGAAGTTGATGATCTCGGCGAGAGAGTGGACTTTTGTGGTTGTGAAGGAGGCGAGGAAGTCGTTGAGGCGGGCCTTGAATTCGTGGTCTGGGGGCCAGGCTTGGTAAGGTGACGGGGAGGGATGTGAGGGAGAGAGTAGAACTTACAAACGATGGGCTCGAAGGAGTTACGGCCGTCGAGACTGAGGCTGCCCGGGAGAGGAAGCTCGATTGGGTAGGATAAGGAGGCGTGGACTTCATGGAGGGTGGCGATTATGCTTTCGTATCGTTGTCTCTGCTATGGTATTAGGTGATGATCACACCTGTCACTGTGATTGTGGAGGTACGGACCATATATCTCTCTGCATCAGCATTTATGCGTTTTGATTTCAGCCACATCTTCCATATTGATGGCGCTGCGAAGCCAATATGGAGGCCCTCCCAGCCTTCTTTGATCTTGTAGCATGTTCCAGCTGCAGGAGACCCGACCTCACATTCAGTTGGAGCCACGAGAGTGTTCATGAGATTGACAAGATCCGTCGCAGACTTAGCCATGCCCCCTGGACTATCAAAGGTACCGCTAAGAGAAAATATACCATCCATTGGGACCTTTCCGGGTGTTGGCTTCATGGCATAAAGAGATGCTCGATTCGCTGGTGTAATCAAAGAGCCTATAGTGTCGGTTCCCACTGCTAGAGTGCTAAATCCGGCCGCAACGCTCACTGCGGAGCCAGTAGAGGAGCCTCCAGGCGCGGAAAGTTCCCATTTTAGCTTTCCCTTGGCGATATGGCGTGAGACATATGGCGATTGACATTGACCTCCCACAGCTGACCAGCCTGGGGGCATCTGTGGTGTTTTTAGACCACAGAACTCTGTGAGGTTGGCCTTTCCTATGATGATCATTCCTTTTCGAATAAGTCTTTCCACGACAGTAGCATTCTTTTTCGGACGTCCACCTACGAAGGCGTAGGAACCGACAGTAGTATCCATGCCGAGACGAGGATCGGTCATTATATTATCCTTGACTACAATTGGAATACCATGTAAAGGGCCACGGATCCTGCCCTCGTTCCTCTCATTGTCCAGATACTGCGCAATCGCCAATAGGTGGTGTTTAGGAGCGACCGATATCAAAGCTCGGAGCTGTCGGCCCCTGCGGTTGTGCGCTTCGATCTGAGCCAGGTAGGTATCCACAATTTCAACACTTCTTAAAATGCGTGCCTCAAGGAGTTTCTGTAGTTCCGAGGCTGTCATCAGCATTGGGTCAAATCCTGCCACTGGCATGGTGACTCTCTTGCTGGACATATTGTCAATGTGTGGTCAGAGGTGTCAAAAATGTCTGGGTACTAAACGATTTTTGCAGCACGTACTTGTAGCACCAAGTCGTAAGCTCCCTTCTGTATCACACAGTGGCGTAAGTGAGCTGCAATCTATTTAGTTGGCCAGGATAGCTGATCAGAGTGATCATGTAGCAGTTGAGCCACGCGTAATGCGGAGGGTTAATGCTCTAAGACCCGAGCTGACTGAATTAGTGTGCAAGAGGACCAATAATAGGAAATGTGTGTTGTTGGAACAAATTGAGAACGGAGGGAATCTTGGAGAACCCTGCACAGATGCGTCTAGTCGTAGATATATGACTTCTAGCGCGGGCCATAGATGTGCAACACGGGAGAGCGAAGCTGGATCACAGCATCAATGCTGCATATAACATGACACAATCCCCAAAAGACTCTAGGCTGGTAGACAGTAGAGCAGTTTCATGGCCATGATCGCCCTACCATGCACCGACATCCCAGGCAATCGGTAGGGCGGGATTCTAGAGAATCTATACCGCTTCAGACGACAACCAGACGATAACCACAAGGTATTCAGCTGGTGCAAGTCGTTTCAGGACCTCCTTTGACCCGATCCCGTGCTTACAAGTCCGGCATAGGGTTCGTCTCGTGTCCAGGACGTGTTATACTCACCATCTCATTCCCCAGCTCTTTTGCCGGGTTCTGGTTGGAAACTGTTCCAGCGATGATTCGTCCGAGGGGTAAGACGTTTGCTTACGGCGTGCCTCTCATGCGGCCATGCCAGTATGCTACTTGTCAAGAGATTGTCAAGACAAGGGTTTGGTGGCCCAGTGAGAGAGGCGGGTCAATCTAACCGGTCGGAATACGCGGATTTGCCTGATTGCGTCGACTAGCCAAGGCGTTATGTATGGCACCAGAGGGAACCCATTTGAAGGCTTGCATGTTCTGTCAGCCCAGCCTTTTTCCCGGCGGGGTTCGTTTGAAACAGCCGGGTTTGGAAAGTAATTATTACCGAGCCAGGTAACGGAACAGATTGAAGCTGCACTGCCGATACGTTCATGATAGTGACGAGACATGCGGTTGGGAATGGATTGGTGACGAAATTGGAGTGTACAGGGAGATCAGCGGACTTGTGACACAGCAGGTGTTATATATTCATATTGAGGCCAAAAAGGCGAACACCAGCCATCGGACGCTTGTCCTGATTCATAAGGCTTGGCACGTTTCCACTAGCGGTGCTCTCAAAAGCAAACATATGCTACCATCCGTCTAGTCTCACACTTCGGTGACTATCCGTCTTCTTCAGAGACACTTCTTGCCTTCCCTTCCATGTCAATGTAATGCAATGGATTCTACTTTCTCACGCTCGAATTCTCGCTTGACTAGACGTGTCTGCGACTGACTTGGGGATCGAAATGCGTCTGTCTTTGAAGTCTGGCAACATTCAGCTTCCCCAATCTTTCCAGGACCAGATCCTTGACAGAAACTGACAAGATAAACTGGACACACAGTCTGGTCTCGATCAGGAAAACTATCAAACACAGACTGGGTTGTACGTGGGTACAAGAACCTAAATATAGCCAGAGAGCCATATTCTCCATATCACACAGGTCAAAGAGCACCCACCCTTCGCGGCATTGATAGTACACGATACGAAAGGTTTGAGTTCTGACGGCCGTTTGTACCGTAATCCTGCCAGGCTCTTCTCGGCGGCAGGTTCTATTCCTGCCGACTTCACTCCCATGTTTATGGTATGGCTTCCACTTAGAGCATAGGATTGGTCTACGTAGTCTTTTTGTCAGATCATTTGTGTTTATTCATATTCTAAGTCACTTGCTCTCATGTGCCTTCTGGCAATCTTGATGGAAACGTCCAGGTCAGTCTGTTCTTAGAAGATGTAGGTTGAGTTCGATCTGTCAGTCTTCCAGATTGTTCTTTCATCGGCATGGTATCCACAACGGATGTACTGACCCTTTCCATGGCTGGGATTAGGCTCGGCTCGTTATAAGGATTTTTCCACATGGTTTATGGGCTCTCTGAAGGTCAAGTTAGTCGTGATTTTGTACATTCTATAGATCAGTACTGTGGCACGGGAGAATGCCGTGTTGTTCTTTCCCTCTGCTGGTAGTTCGCGATGATCTCATCTGGGCCCGTTCTCTACACTCTTACGTGGTAGTATCAGCTTCGCTTGTCTTGTTTTAGAGTCGTTAATTTTGGGAGGCATTAATAAGGGCCTCAAATGCACAAGCCAAGGCTTTCAGATATATAACATGCTATTAACTCATCTACTATACCATATCCTTTTGAACATTTTCAATCAGCGTCTTTTTGATCTTCCATACGAACCCCTTATTCCTGTTTGAGCTTATCGCACTACATCACATACCATCTATCTCTGTTCAGATATAGTACCATGACCCGACACGCTCCAAAGATATCTTCATCCAGTTCCAACCATGGAAGATACCAGGACCATAGCTTTCACCAGCGAGCCACGACCCCTTCAACGAACCAGATCAGCAGGCAAGATTCATTCCTCAGCAACCGCGACCGAGACCACGCCCAGAGGAAACCCAAAGACTTCAGCCACCCAGTATCGTGCTTCTACTGGGACCATGGTGGCTGCGGCAAGTCGGACGAAGAATGTTGGTATGCTCACTATCACACCGGCAATCCCGGCAAGTGTCCCATCAAGCAGGCTGACGGTATGTGTGATATACCCTCCTTCTCACACACTGCACGTTATCTATGCTATCGTAGAGTTCTGGTAGATAGTGATGAGTATGTGTTGATCAAAGACAAAGCTGATAGTCATTACAGGGACTGTTGTCGCTGGGAAAAACGCCGACGCATCGCTCAGTCTCGACCAGCGTGAACGAGCCGTCGCGCAGCGCGAACAAGACGTCCAGACAGGCAGAAAGAAGATAATTGATCAGGGGAGGGAGATACAACAAGAAAAGAGACGAATGGAACTGGAGCTGCGGCATCGGAAAAATGAGATCCAACAAATACTAGCTCAGGTTAGCTACCTCACCAGGACCTCAGCTCGTCCATGTCATATTCACAGGGACAACTTATTTACTTCTCATCAGAGTATGCATGAACTCAAAAGTACTCGTAGTGAGCTTGGAAAGTTCCCGCGGACGATTGGTAAGTGTAAGCATCAAGATGTATGGGAGAATGCTAATAATGGATGGTAGAAACACAAATATGCACCGAGAAAATGGATCAGCTACACCAGAAACTATTCTGTATCTATACTAACTACGTCGAAAGGTAGGGGATAAGCTGTCTTTTGCTTAACCAAACATAGATTGTGGCTGGTACATAGGTATAAATTTGGGTTCTGTTCAGTGTTACTAGGTGTCATTAACGGAGCGGTGGTGGCTGATTTCTAAGCTTAGAGATGATGTTACGGATATTTGGTATATATTGCTCCTTAGCATTACTATAACTTATATTTGGTACATCGACTTGAGACTTTAGCGTTGTGGCTTGACAGGTTACTCTCTCAATTCTAACAGTCCTTGACTTGGAGATAGGGGCAGTAGGTCACCTATACTTCAAACCCCTTAACTGGATTTTTTATGTGGCCTTCACTCCACCTGAACATCAGTTATATCCTGCCATCCTACGGCCAAGGCGATTGGGAATAACGTGTCCGGGAAAAGTAAAGTAAACCGAGGATCTGAAGCTGTGGGATTGGATAAGTTGGGAGTTTTGTGTGCAAAATATAACGTAGTGTGATGGAATTGTAAGTGTCAGGGTTTGAGTATGTATGTGTAATATGGGCTCGATTGCGTCGTAAATATCGGTACCACATGAGTCATTGTCCTACTTTTGCTTTGCATGATTTCTTAACGGCGATATAGCAGTGGTCTCGAAGATTGCCTTCTCGACTCGAAAAGGCCGTATGTTCATATGACAGCCTCTTAAGGGCGATATTCTTATAGATCATCTACAATATCCTCCCATACCCGCCCGGAAACAACCCAGTCTTGCCCGCATACACACCCCAGAACCAATCTGTGTTAATGTCCTCCGCCTCCCTGATCTCCGCATTCTTTGGAAACATCAGCTCATCCTTCACCCCCTCCTGCGGATAATAACCCCACAGGGCAAGCACTCTCAAGCCCATGCCCCCATCCGGCGGAAACCTCATTCCGGCAACGCCGGTCCCGGGCACGTTTATATCCGCATGCGCCGTGCGACTCTTCTTCACACTCCCATCCGTGTCTCGCCAGCTCCAATTCGGCGTCACGCTCACATTCGCGTTTCTCCCACTCGTGCGTACCGCCTGACTGTCATCGCCATCCTCATCCTTCAGCGCTAGCCCGCCGACCAGGTCTTTCTCGACGATTCGCCGCTGTCCACCATTACGGTCTTCGAAGCCGATTATCACCATGCGGTGACCAGATGGGCAGCGGCGCCAACCCTGGTGGCCGTTCTCGGGTGCGATGTTGGAGGAGCTGACGAGGGCATGATAGCAAGAAGTGCAGATGTCGAAATTACCGCCATTGCAGCGTGAGCAATGGTAGCGGGTGTGGGAGGGCGGGATTGGGTAGGAGCAGATGTTGCACTTTGTGGTGAAGGTGAGAGGGTGGAAAAGGGTGTTCGCGAGGGGGAACAGGGCTGTGGCGGGGCCACGAACAATGGAGGCGGATTTGGGGATAATTTTGGGGGATAAGGGGCGTGTTGGAGATGTTGGAGATGTTGGAGATAGGTCGTTAGGAGGAGCTCTTGAAGTTGTTGTGGATTTATGGGTGAGAGGGAGGAGAGGATGAGTACAGTGATTGCTTTGATTGACGCAGGCGTTGCAGAAGCCCCATTCGCCCTCGTTGCAGATATCACATTTCCAATAACATGTGTTGGCGAATGCTTGGCATATACTGCAGAAGACTCCTGCTTCCAGGCGTTTCGCTGGGTCTTCGTTCGTCATGATCTGCCGCGTGTCGCCCGAAGTCGACACTCGGGTGGCCTCAGAACCAAGCCGCTTGTACCGATGGCCTATCAATACATGCGGCTGCTCATGACCTGGAGGGTAGCCCGCTGGAGGTGCCTGTCGCTCGTATCGATGCTTCGCAATGTATCCGAAGCCGTACCAATGAAGACAGCCTCGGCCTAATCTGTAACAGCGAAGACAAAGGTTGTAATGGCCGCCTCCACATAGCTGACAACTATAGTGTAGTTCGTACTCTATATGGCCTTTGCCGCACCGGTTGCAAGTAATGTTCGGTTCTGCATACATCGTGGGACATGTCTGAGGGGAAGAATTAGTAGAACGTGGCGGAACAGTGACGCTCGCCCCTATTCTGGGAGACGGAAGTGGATCCGGCTCTGTTCCAACACGTGGACTCGGCCTAATTTCTGCAGGCCTGGAAGCTCGTGTCGACATTATGTCTGTGTTACGTCTCGATGTTGGTGGAGTCACATTGGTTCTTTCAATAGATGGACTTTGCACCTGCGGGCTCAACGGTACTGGAAGCGCGGCTCTCTGAGGTGAGGCTGGAGTAGACGTGGGATTAGAGGCGACAGCGCTGATTGCTCCTATGTTTCTCCACTGATCTCTAATAGCCTGGCGGTCTGGTTCGGTCGCGCTCCTGTCATTGTGTGATAGTCTTCTGGGTCTCTGTCCATTAGTCGCTCGCGACGACGATGGTCGCTCAGATAGGTCAGTGGCAGAACGAGCGGCGGCATTGTTATTGCTTGCAGGTAGCCCCATCGTCGACCGCTGTCTTGACGAGGGCCTAACACTGCTATCTTGGCTTGACGACCGTCGGTGACGACGGTGTCCAGAGGGCTGATTTGCAGCCTCGAAAAGATGTGGCCTTGATACTGGTGGCCCCGTGCGAGAAGCTCCCCCTGGCAGCTCCGTTCGATCACGTTGTCTTCTGTTTGTCACTTGGTCTTCTTCGGTCCTAGAAGAGGTCGCAATTTCTGAGCTCCTGGCTTGGCTCTCTGTCACAGTCCGCTGGCGATGTCGTTCTCGCCGTCTGTCCTCTAGCCTCCTTCTGTAGGCTTGCGCGATTCTCTCACTAATTTCATCCTCTTGCGAAACGTCAATGTTTGACAGATCGATACCATCAAGCAGGCCCTCTTCAACTATTTGACGCATAATCTCTTCCTCGATCTCTCTCGAATCGATCTCAGACACTGAGAGAAGCGAACGGAGGCTTGATTGGTGCTCTACTTGCCGTACAGGTGTGTTTGCATCCCTCGACAGACTCTCATGACCAATCCTACCGACGTCGTGTGGTCTGCGTGAACGACCTTCTCTGTCTCTAGTGTCCCTGCTTCGCTCTCTTCTGCGCCTATCACTAGATCGGGGGTCTTGTACGCTATTCGAAGAGACGCCTACTTCTCTCAGACTTAATCCCCTTACCTCCTCCAAAAGTCGCCTGTCCTCATCCTCTCCTTCATCTCTTCTCCTCCTTGGTTTTGGGAGTACTTCATCGCCAGGCTTATAAATTTTGTCTAGATCTTCCTTCTCACGCGGCGTCTTTCCTTTCTCTGGATTTGCCTGGGAGTACATCTCCAGGAGAGTATTGACCGTGGCATTGTGCTTGGTACCTCGTATTGGTGCTCGACATGATGGGCAGGTAAACGGGTTTGAGGCTACAGGACTTTGAGAGCGCTGCAAGGCGAACCACTCTTTTAAACATGCTCCACAGAAAGTGTGTAGGCAGTCAAGCAGAGTGAGCGGATGATAGAGGATATCGGTACAGATCTAGGGCAATCGCCGTCAGTCCCCGAGTTTCGTAATATATATGTATATACGCTGTGACGAAATAGCAAGTACTTCATGTACAAGGCGGCGTTGTGCGAGACCTCCGGCGAAAGAACCCTGCTTAGATGCCGGGAGTGGGGTGACGATGAGAGAGACTCACGGAACACGACAATTCATTTTCCAAGTCCAACAGGCCAGTCGCCATGGCGGACAACTGCTGGGAGAGAGTCTGTCGAGGTGCAAAGGCGCAAAGGCACCTTCACGCCTGCAAGAAACCAGCGTTAACACGAGATGCAGCTGCAGCTGCAGCCCTAGTCATGAACTTATGAAGACGGGAGCTGGGGTAAAGATCAGGCTTGGCGTCATGAAGCCTGCAAAAGTATAGGTATTAGGTGGTATATAAGTGATTTTCCACTACTTTTGTTTGTTCCTGTTGATAAAGCAAGTAATTGACACCAGGAATGGCTTTTGGAGTTTGGGACCGTCTACGTGTTTGCTACCTCATCTCGTCGTTCCACTTATGTTCTCGCTACAAATGTGCGCGGTGAAACGGTACCGTTACAACTTGATGTAATTCCATACGGTACGGTTTCACGCGCCTGCTTTCCAGCTCTGGCTTGAGCCATCTGCATGTGAGCAGGCGTAGGCAACCAAGAAGACTGCAGGTCTGTCTGAATGCGTACTGTTCATGGTGTCCTTCGATACGGATCAGGCCTTTGGAAGTCACCAAATACTGCTACAAGGAGAGCTTCACCAAATAGGATTTGACGGACAGACAGCAGGAAGTAACACCTAGCGCAACGGCAGTGATAGGTATGATGGCTCCTCGGACGACTCCGCCTGAACTTCACCGGAAGTGTAACAGTCAAGCCATTGAGCGTGGAGTGAGACTAGAGAATGTGAGCAGGATCTATCTAACGGTACGCCTTGAGGTTGGTGAAGGTACAGCTAGCGAAAAAGTCTGCTCAGTTACATCTTGGCTCGTATGAATGACCAATATACCGACGCGCGATTGAAGCACTTGGTGATAAGGAAAAAGCCGTGGAGAGAAGAAAATGATTGTTGGCAACAAAAATTATTACTTTGAGGGAAGATTCTGCTTAGTAATATGGATTTTCACGCTAAGCTGGGTGACTGAATACCCATCTCGATGGAACTTTTTGACCGTCATACCTTAGCAGTTCAGCTATCGTCGTTCTCCAATGAATGCCGGACAGGCTTCAGCACGTCGGCTGGCCATCAAGGCTGGTGAGTATACATCCACTGCAGTACCGGCTTCGTGCTCATCAACATCTCAGGTTCGCCCTCAGCCGACAGTGTCTGCTTTACTTGTAGACTAAGCATCACTCGACGGCATTACGCGCAAGCCGCAGCAGCAGCAGTAGCGGAAGCCCCTACTTCGATGTCCTCTACATCTCTGAGCTCCGAGAATGCCGCGCCAAAACGAATGTTTGAGGTCCGTACCGGTGTCGTTCTTTCCCGGGCCCCTATGATCACACGCGACCTCCATCCTTTCGAAAAAGCCTTCTACCTGTATCAGCGTCGACTTAACGAACGGCTAGCCATGCCGTTCACGAAGTATTTGTGGTACAAGAAGAATACACCTTTAGATAGAGACGAAAAGAAGAAGCGGAAAGAGCGCTTAACGTTCGCAAAGGACATTGGCAAATATCATGCGTACGGCGCGGAGGGATGGCACGATGAGCTACTTGTTGGTGCAAAGGAGAGCGAGCCAGAACATCAGCTTGATGCACTTCTACATGATGCGGAGTTGCCGGATCTGGACGAGAATCAAGAAGGTGCTGTCAAACACGAGCAAGTCCAGCGGCCAGCACCTCGTGTTACCGAAGCGGACAAAAGGAATGACCAGAAAAGCCTCAATAGATTACTTCAACGTACACTCTATCTCCTGGTGAAGGACCAGCGGGGCCGATGGAGCTTACCTGAAGCACCAGTGGATGGCTTCGAGAGGTTGCACCGAGTATGTCAGAGCCGTATTCCTCTTAAGAATTCACTAACAGAATTCCACAGGCGGCAGAGCGTATTATTGTGGAAACCGGCGGGCTCAACATGAACACGTGGGTCATTGGCAATGTCCCCGTAGGCCACTATGCTGAAACCCTCGCCAATCCGGTGACCACCAATGGCATTGAGAAGCTCGGAGAGAAGACCTTCTACATGAAGGCGCGCATATTCGCAGGACAAGCGAACGTTGAGGATAGCGTGTTGGGCGTCCAGGATTTCTGTTGGCTGGCTAAAGAAGAAGTGCAGCCTTTGGTGTCGCCCAAGTACTGGAAAGCGATCCATGACATGCTAGCGGATCGATAATGTACGGTGAGCATATGTATTATTTGTAGAATAGACTGCATGAAGTGTAAATAGAGGAATGTGTATTCCTTTGTATGGAATGTGTCCTCTGGACGTTCATTGCAGAACTGTCGCATTACCGGCTTCAACACTCCACACACCCTGCATGTGCCTAGTGAATGCGTGCATGACAAACATAGCTATTTCACAGCGCACAGCGATCAAGGTATTCTTGAGATGTCTGACATTTTGCGCATTTCGGGTCGCTGGCAAGCAAGTTATAGATGGTACTGCGCCGCTGGCTGTGTCAATCAATAGTCTTTGCCAAGCGCGGCTGCGCCTACGACCCTGACGCGCTCAGCGAGGCCCCCAAGGAGATCTGACCTCAATCAGCATCGCAGAATCGACAGACAGACACCCACAAAATATACCCAACCTCACCTCGATTTTACGACTTGCGAAGCTCGAATCAGCACTTCGTCCACTCCCGCTACCGCACCGTTGAGTACCGCTCCGGCCTACGCCTTGCACGGTTGACAGGGGTGTCTGCGGAGGCTTCGGTGGAGCTTCAGGAGCGGAATAATCTTCGCATCAACCGCAACTACATAACATTGCAGCAACAAAAGCAAACGAAAGGGGTGCAGCCTAGGCTGAATGATTCATCGGCAATAAAGAGAGCTCCCTTGAGGACTCCTTTGCACAATGACGGACCGGCCGCATGGCGGTCATCCACAGTCCAACAATGATGACCTACTTTTAGATCTTGAGGACAATCGCTCATACTACTCCTCCGGCCAGCAACCTCCAGTCCGAGATGAAGACCTCCTCCGCCGCTACAACATTGATGATTCCGAGACGCCCCATGAACCGCAGCCCCGCCCTTCCGTATCATATGACGATTTTGTAGGAGGTGGACCACAGCACGAGCGTGGAGGTCACGGACAAGGCTTACCAGGCGGACCAGAAACATTACCATATTCTACTGGACGTAACCGACTATACTCGCAGACGTCAGATCTAAACAACTACCAGAGATACTCCGATCACGAAGGCCTGCACGACGACGATCAATCAATGCGTGGATACTATGCCTCTGGAGGCATCGACGACCCGGCTACTCCTCTCCCACAAGGCGTGCATGATGCGAGAAATAGAAACAGTATCTTGAGCTTGGGCGGCGGAATGTTGGGCCGGGTGAAGAATATGGTCGGCATGGGCCCGCAATACTCTGAGATGGACTTGCCGTTGACTGAAGCCGGCGCAAGAGCAACAAGAGGCGATGCTGCACGCTCCTCGGGCGATAGTCAAAACACATCAACGAAGAAGAATTCGTCGGGTGGAGGCTTCTTGTTTGGATTTGGCCGAGGAAAAGTCGATCCGTCCACTCTTGGGCCTCGCATAATACACCTGAACAATCCTCCCGCCAATCTGGAACTGAAAGCTGTCGACAATCATGTCTCGACAGCAAAGTACAGTGTCATCACTTTCCTCCCCAAATTCCTCCTCGAGCAGTTCTCCCAATACGCCAACCTGTTTTTCTTATTCACCGCAATCTTACAACAGATCCCCAATGTCTCGCCAACGAACCGATATACGACAATCGTACCTCTCGCAATCGTGCTCACGGTCTCTGCTGTCAAGGAATACGTCGAAGACTACAGGCGCAAAGCACAAGACAGCATTTTGAACAATTCGAAGACGCGGGTCCTGAAGGGGTCGAGCTTTCAGGAGACCAAGTGGCTGAACGTGAAAGTGGGAGATATCGTCAGGGTTGATTCGGAGGAACCGTTCCCAGCAGATCTGGTTCTGCTCGCCAGCTCCGAGCCTGAGGGTCTTTGTTATATCGAAACGGCCAATCTTGACGGCGAAACAAATCTAAAGATCAAACAAGGAATTCCGGAGAGTGCCGACCTCGTTAGCCCGGCTGATCTCAGCCGTCTAAGTGGCAGGATCCGATCGGAACAGCCCAACAGCAGCCTGTACACGTACGAAGCGACGTTGACGATACCTGTTGGGGGTGGGGAGAAGGAACTATCACTGGCTCCAGATCAGCTCCTTCTTAGAGGCGCAACCCTGCGCAACACACAGTGGATCCACGGTGTAGTTGTTTTCACCGGCCACGAAACGAAGTTGATGAGAAACGCCACCGCAACTCCTATCAAGACGACTAATGTGCAGAAGATGGTCAACAAACAGGTCCTTATGCTTGGTGTGGTTCTGATCACACTGAGTATCATCAGTACTATCGGAGACATTATAGTGCGCAGCACTGGGTTTGAGAAGCTCGAATACCTGAACTATCAACCGACCACAGTCACTGGCCAAGTTAAGCAATTCTTCCTCGACATATTCACATACTGGGTGCTTTACGCCAACTTGGTCCCACTATCCTTGTTCGTTACGATTGAGATTGTCAAGCTCTACCTGGCTGGCCTCATTAGCTCTGATTTGGACATGTTCTACGAGAAAACCAATACTGCGGCGAATTGTCGAACGTCTTCCCTGGTAGAAGAGCTCGGGCAGATTGAATACATCTTCTCGGATAAGACGGGCACATTGACCTGTAATCAAATGGAGTTTAGACAGTGCACAATTGGCGGGATTCAATACGGTGAAGACATTCCAGAAGACAGGAGAGCCACAATGGAAGACGGCGTCGAGATTGGTATCCACGACTTTAAGAAGTTGCAGGAGAATAAGCGAGACCACCCAAGTAGGGAGCTCATCAACCAATTTCTAACCTTACTCGCCACCTGTCACACGGTCATCCCCGAAAGAAATGAGGAGAAAGACACGATCAAGTACCAGGCAGCGTCTCCAGACGAGGGTGCTCTAGTAGAAGGCGCTGTTCAACTTGGATACAGGTTTATCGCTCGCAAGCCTCGTGCTGTAACCATTACTGCGGATGGAAGAGAGCAAGAATACGAGCTTCTCGCTGTTTGCGAATTCAACTCGACACGGAAGAGAATGTCGACTATCTTCAGATGTCCCGATGGCAAGATTCGCGTGTACTGCAAGGGAGCCGATACGGTCATTCTTGAGCGTCTATCAAAGGATAATTCAATTGTGGAAACAACGTTGCAGCACCTAGAAGAATACGCCGCGGACGGTCTGCGCACACTGTGTCTTGCGATGCGCGAGGTGCCCGAGGACGAATACAGGGAATGGCACAGGGTCTTCAACACTGCCCAGACTACCGTCAGTGGTAACAGGGCAGAGGAGCTGGACAAGGCCGCCGAGCTCATCGAACACGACCTCACCCTTCTGGGTGCAACTGCAATTGAGGACAAGTTGCAAGAAGGTGTGCCGGACACCATCCACACACTCCAGAACGCCGGGATCAAAGTCTGGGTGCTGACCGGCGATCGACAAGAGACCGCCATCAACATCGGCATGAGTTGTAAATTGGTCAGTGAGGACATGACGCTACTGATCATCAACGAGGAGACTGCAGAAGCCACGAGGGACAACATTTCGAAGAAACTGAAGGCTATACAATCTCAGAACATGGGTGGTGCCGAGATGGACGTCCTGGCGCTTGTCATCGATGGCAAGTCCTTGACGTACGCCCTGGAACGTGATATGGAGAAGATGTTCTTGGACCTGGCCGTCATGTGCAAGGCAGTCATCTGTTGCCGCGTCTCGCCCCTGCAGAAGGCTCTTGTTGTGAAGCTGGTCAAGCGGCACCTGAAAGCCATTCTGCTCGCGATTGGCGATGGTGCCAACGACGTGTCTATGATCCAAGCCGCGCATGTCGGTGTCGGTATCAGTGGTATGGAGGGTCTTCAAGCAGCGCGTAGCGCCGACGTGGCCATTGGGCAGTTTCGATATCTCCGCAAACTGCTGCTCGTGCACGGTGCGTGGAGCAACCAGCGCATCAGCCGAGTGATTCTGTTTTCGTTTTACAAGAACGTTGTGCTTTTCATGACACAATTCTGGTACTCCTTCCAGAACGCATTCTCTGGACAGGTCATCTACGAGTCGTGGATCCTGTCCTTTTACAACGTCTTCTTCAGTTTCCTCCCCCCGTTCGCACTGGGTATCTTTGACCAGTTCGTGTCTGCCCGACTGCTGGACAGATATCCACAGCTCTATCAACTCACGCAAAAGGGCACGTTTTTCAAGATGCACAGCTTCTGGTCCTGGATGGCAAATGGCTTCTATCATTCGCTCATCATCTACTTTGTCGGGCAAGCAATCTGGCTGTGGGATCTGCCGATGGGCGACGGCCGTGTGGCAGGGCATTGGGTCTGGGGCGGAGCGCTCTACACGGCAGCCCTGCTCACCGTCCTCGGCAAAGCAGCGCTGGTCGTCAACACGTGGACAAAGTACACGCTCATCGCGATTCCCGGCAGTTTCATCATCTGGATGGTGCTATGGCCCATCTACGCGACGGTGGCGCCGATGATTCCGTTCAGCGAGGAGTGGCACGGTGTGATTCCGGTGCTCTTCAGCACGCCGGTCTACTGGGGCCTGATCGTGGTCCTGCCCGTGCTCTGTCTGCTGCGAGACTACGCGTGGAAATAGTAAGTCGGCACCTCTCCGTACTCGTGGTGCATACCTAACAACACACAACAGTGCCAAACGCATGTACTACCCACAGTCCTACCACCACGTGCAAGAGATTCAGAAATACAACATCCAGGATTACCGACCCAGGTCAGTCGTTGCCATGCATTCATGTATCCCATTGTTTGCCTTTGAAGTAGCCAGCTAACCAGTCCATCGACAACAATGCAGAATGGAGCAATTCCAAAAAGCCATCCGCAAGGTCCGCCAGGTGCAGCGCATGCGCAAGCAACGCGGCTATGCCTTTTCGCAGACGGACGAGTCGCAGGCTCGCGTGCTGCAGGCGTACGACACGACGCGCGAGCGCGGCCGGTACGGTGAGATGCAGAGTTCGCGGCGCTGACTTGGCTGGCTTTAAAAAAATTGCGTGGTGTTAAGTTTTTTTTTCGGGGGCACAATAATGTGCTATATGGACTTGCGTATGTCTACATATCTAGTCTTTCCAAAGCCCGTTTGTTGTTTGTTTCTTTTTTGCATGCTGGCATTTTTGTCTCTCCGCGAGTGGGGGAGGTCGAGGGAGGAGGAGGGAAGAAGGGAAAGGGAAAGCGGGTTGTTTTGTTCCTTTGAAGCCAGACGACCCGGTGGTTTCTTAAAGTTGACATTTGCTTGGTTTCTACGTACGTTGGGAATGAGCGACGACCTGCGTGCGTGCCTGTGTGCGTGCCTGACAGTTACAGTGATTGTTAAAGTATTTACTTGATGTGTAGAGTGATGACTAGGTACCTGTGCTGCACTGTACTGTACTGTACAGTATCACTGTACCTACGGCGCCTACCAATCTGCCTGCTTCCTGCCCGGAGCAAAGCCCACCACGTGACCCCGACCCGACCCGGACCCGCTCTTCACACTCTAAAACATTTACCCACCTAATCAAACAGGCTAACTAGCTAATCAACCTGTAAACTTCCAAAAAAAGACCCTTCCCCTAAAAACCAAAACAATGACGAACAAGCATCATGGCCCCCTCCTACGACATCACCACGCGCGCCCAGGCCCTGACGCTCAAGATCAACGGCTTCTCCAATGCGGCGATTACGGCGCAGACGGGCATTTCGGCGCGTGGGGTGCAGGATTTGTTTAAGCGGGCGCGGGAGCGTGGGTTTGATCCTGCGCGGTCGATGTGTGTGCGCAAGGAGTTTGTTGTTGATGCGCCGCGGTCGGGGAGGCCGAGGAAGGGTGGTTGTGCTGGTGAGGGGGGGAAGGTTGGGGGTGGTGGTGGTGATGATGATGGGGATGGGGATGCGGGGGTGGTGTTTGGTGGTGCTGGTGCTGGGCAGGATCGGCGGGATGAGGGGGTGTGTGGTTTGGTGGCGGATCATCATCGTCGTCGTCAACATCGTCAATATCATCGGGAGGCTCAGGAGGAGTATGGAGGTGGGGGAGTCAACATGGACGGGGCTGTAGGCTTGGATGGCTCTGTTTCTGTTTCTGTTTCTGTTTCTGGTTCTGTTTCTGTTGCGGAGGCGATGCTTCAGGAGCAGCAGCAGCAGCAGCAGCAGCATCCAGCGTTGATGGGCGCACAGGGCGGTTTGCATGGACAAGAACAACAACAAGAACAAGATGGCGTGTCGTCGGGAGAGGATGGCGAAGAGGAGCAGCAGCAGCAGCAGATGATGGTGGATGGAGGGAATATTGATCCGGCGCTTGGGAGGTAGAGGTGTTATGTGTGCTTCAATGGATGCATGAGATCTGGATGCACGAGATATGGGAAGCTGCTGGATGGATGGGGATACGGGCACTAATGGCAACATGGACGACGACGATGATGGCGATGGTGGTAGCTATGATCTATTATGGATGGTAAAGGGAAGGAACCAGCACGACAAGTGCCAGCAGGAGCACCCCCAAGTCAGGATACACGATTGACCTCCATCCAACAGCCAGTGGAGAGAGCAGCAGCAGAAAAGGGTACTTGCAAGCACCATCAGTTCGCGATAGATGCCTGTCTTGGACGTTGACGACGACGACGATGATGATCAGTCATTCCATTCCATTCCAATCCGATTCGAGACGGTTCCTCCATTGTCTAGCTAATTAGCTAGCTAGCCAGCTAGCCATTCCTCGTTCCAGGCGGGCGGGGGAGAGACAGAGGGTTAGTTAGATATAGGTGTGTGGTGTGTGGACAAGGGCAGCGACGACTTGCCTCGACAGAGACACACGAAGATCGAAGTATCGGGGACCCCACACCCAAGGCATCGCGCGGGAAAGAATACGCTTGGCGAGAACAACGACGACAACAAAAAGAACAAAGAAAGCACGATAATATGCCGGTAGATGGAGGATGAAAAGACGGGTATGCATGCACAGACCGGAGCAGAGCAGAGCAGAGCAGAGCAGAGCAGAGCAGAGCAGAGCAGAGCAGAGCAGAGCAGAGCAGAGCAGAGCAGAGCAGAGCAGAGCAGAGCAAGACAGCACAGACTAATAGAAAATATTAAATTATACGCACGAGCGGAAGGAGTTGGGAAGTGCATGTTCCATGTTCCATGTTCCATGTTCGACAGTACCTAATGCTGTTGATGTATGTGTGTTGTGTTGCGTGTAAATATGTTCCAGGTGCAACGCCGCCTCGAGGCCGCAGACAGGAGACGGCAGACTGCGTTTCCATGCACAATGGAGAGGATGCAGAGACAGAGGAAGGGAAGTACACTAAACTAATTAGTAGTACATACCTACCACGACACAGACAAACAAACAGCTCATTGTGCTGGGATTGGAGGGGTAAGGGGAGAGGACCCTTCAGTCGGAGTGAAGTCGGAGTGAAAGCGGCATAGCAAAGGCATAGCAAAGGCATGATGAGATCGCTCGTTTCTTCTAGACGAATGCCGATCGCTTCTTTGCGACGACGTAGATCCTTGTTGCTGGTGGTGGTGATATGTGACGAGTGCGTGCGTGCGTGATGCGGGACCGGGATATAATATTCATCTGGAGGGCGTGTGGAGGCGTGGAGGCGTGGTTCTTGGGGTGGTGGGCCAGCCTAGCTTTGTACATACTGTAGATGATCATGGCTAATTATTATATACTAGCAATTAATACTATTATTACTTCTCACGTGGAGAGGTGGAACGATGCGATGTGTTGGCTGTTGTATGAGTCAGTGGTAGAGTTTGTGGGGCAGTGGATAAAGGGACGGGGTAGTGGTGGTGGTTGGTGGTAGTAGTGGTGGTAGTAATTAGTAGTGGTGGGAGTAGGGTAGTGTAGGCCAGCAGTGTACATACATGCATGCATAGATGGATGTTAGGGCACAGCACAAGGCGTGGCAGGGCGCGTAGGCAGGTCAGGTAGCACACACAAGAACAAGACAATGATTGGACGGCACGGGCTAGAGATAGGATGATTGGCTGCAAAGTAAAAGAGTGATAAAAGTAAGGGCTCTTTTTACTTTCTTGGAGATGATTATTAGATGGTAATTAATTAATTAATTAGCTGGTGCATGCTGGCCAGGACGGTTACAGGTTTGCCTAATACCTACCTACCTACCTACCGACGGACCTACCGTAGCCTTGCGCGGCTTGACCTGCAGTGGAGTGCAGTCCTCAAGGCTCAAGGGCAGCGACCCTACATGCGGCCGGGTAAATGGCGCGCACTAATTAAAGACAGACACTACACTAATTCACTAATTACTGTCTGACACCCTGTTCTCCCAAGCCTTCTCGACCTTCTACGGCAAAACGGTTTGTTTGATCTATTAATCATTACATCCTGGCAAAGAGAGCAGGCTAGATAAACGCCAGCAAAGCGTAATTCTGCTCTTGGACTAGGTACCGGGTACTATTACCTACCTGTACCTACTGCACTACATACACTACTACAACTAACTGCACCACTCTCACTCCTACACACCATAATCCTCATCTATGCCCTGCTGCTGTACGCACACCTCCTCCCTGCAAGTCTACGTTTGGCCGTTGCACCCTTGACTAAGCTCTTCTTCCACGAGGCGTGTCTCGGAGGAGGAGGAGGAGGTGGTGGTTATGTGTGTGCGTGCGTGCGTGTGTGTGTGCGCGTGTGTTTGTGTGTGTGTGTGTGTGTGTGCCAAAAGGTAAATTAATCTATCCATTACATTCAACACTGCCTCAACCCCCCCAGTCCTCTCGCCTCCTCTCTACCCTCCCCATCTTCGTCTTCGTCTTCTTCTGCTTCACCATTGATCGTCTGCCTGTCTGTCTGCCTGCCTGCCTGTACGTCTCGACGCGACCATGCGGAACTTTTCGTTTGTCGTCCAGTCAGGCACCACCCTCGATGCCCCGAGCATGAAGAGTGTTCGTTCGCACGTCACCCGCGAACAGATGAAGAAGCGTCGCACCCTCCTCGAGCAGCAGCAACAGCAACAGCAACAACAACAAGAACAGCTGCAGCACGCCGGCTCCGACAAGGCCCAGCAGCAGCAGCAGCATAAGCCAGACCCACCTCCACCACGCAAAGCCCGCCCGCTTACCTCAAAGACAAAGAGGAACCCGAGGGGCAAGAAGAAAGTAATCCCTGAGGATCAGGATGAGCAAGTGGAGATGGAAATCCGCCGTCGGGAGGAGCATGACGATGACCGTCACTCCAGCAGCACTGCTCCACACCTCCTCCTACAATCCGACCACACCTCCGCCTCCACCTCCGCAACGTCCAGCTCTGCAGCAGTAGTAGCCGTTGCCCCCACCTGCTGCTCCTCTCCTAGCGGCCAGCTTACCGGTACCGCTGCCGAATTCACCTCCATGCCCTTTAGCAGACGACGCATGATGCAGTTCTTCAATCGCTACTACGAGTGTGAGTCTCTCTCTCTCTCTCCCTTTGCTATGTCTTCCACTGTACATACACTCATACTTGCGCCCTCCAGTCATGGGCCTCTATTCCGTCGCCAGTCCCGGCATAGAGTCCGAGTATTCGCCCTTTGCTGGTCAACTGCAACAGGAGTCCTTCACCAATCCCGCATGGCTCACCTCCATCGCCCTGGTCGCCACCCAGAAGCTTGACATCTACCGCGAGCGCGAAACCACCGATCTGCTAAAGTACAAGGCACTCGCCCTCAACGCCCTCAGCAAGAAGATCAAAGCCTCCGAGGTCGAGGAGACTACCATCCTGTCCGTCATCGCCTTTTTCACCTACGAGGTAAGTCGAGTCGTGCTCCCGTCACGTGCTCCCCCCAGACCTTGGTCTCACTCTGCGCTTTCTTCAGGTACTGGCCAGTGATGGAACTCCCGAAACAGAGAGCGCCGTCATGGCTCATTACCACGGCATCCTCGCCTACGTCAAGAGCAAGGGTGGTCCTGCCGCTCTGGCTGAACAGAGTCCTGCCTACGGCCCATTCATCGTTCGCTCCGCTCTGAGGTAAGTGTGCATTCAACGTCAACCACCGCCTCTGGTCTTTCACTTACATTCACGCCCAGCTATGAAACCATATACTCCATAAAGCGAAACCGTGATCCCCTTTCCGTCCCAGTCGACCCGCCCAAACTGCGCACTTTCCACCAGGCCGCTGATGGCATGCGCGAGCCCTATTTTGTTGGTGGCCCCCTGCTATGGCCGTCCTCACACGCCGAACAAGGCTCGCCTGAAGCGCTCGAGGTGCTTGAAGATCACCAACTCTTCACCACCGACATCAAGACGATGCTTTTCGACCTCTTCACCGCCACCGAGCTGCTCTACATGGAGTACCATAGGGTGTCTGAAGAGAGCACGAGAGCCACTCTTTCGTCGCTCAGAGGCGCCATCCGCCTGCCTCCCGAGCCATGTACTAGTGTTGGCATCATGGAAAGGCGAGCTTCCGTCATGGCTCGCATCGCTCGCGCGTGCTGGCTTGCCGGCTCCGTCTACCTGCGCGCTGTCGTCCATGAGATCCCACTTACGGACCCGGCCAACGCCGAGCCCATCACCGAGCTGCACAAGCTGCTGAAGAATCTTGACATCCAAGCATGGGCCACCATGCCCTACATCCATCTGTGGATCAGTCTTGTCGGCGTCGGTGCCGCCGTCAATGCCACCCAGAAGCGTTTCTACGCCGTGCAGACGGGCCGCTGCGGCATCCTCTTTGGCAGCAGATGGTGGGACAATTACCGCCAAGTCGTGCTCAACTTTGTCTGGCTGCAAAAGCTACTCCGTGGCGAGATTGAAAAGGGGGGTGATGCCGCGCCATCCCTCGGCAGTCCAGAGCAGCATCCTGACGGCGGCCAAGGGGTCGATGACATGGAGAGCAGCACCTACCTGTTGACCCCACCAGACAGCTCTGGAGACATCCGAGACACCGACGAGCTGGACTTTTGCGACAACCCCAAGACGTGAGGGTCTGGAACGGATCGAGTCAAAAGAAAAAAAAAAAGACAATTACCTTTCTTGACATGAAGGATTCGCGGAATCGACGGTCGACAAGTCATAGGACGGACTCTCTCGCTTCCAGATACCAAGTCTGGCGCAAGAAAACCACGGGCTCAGAGTAAATGACGAATGCTGTCGCACTTCAAGAAGAGCAGCATGCACAAAGGACGTGACCAATGCTTCTACCGCAAGACACGTATAATGTCGGAGAATTGGCGCTACCATCCTGGGCATGCTCCACACACGGGACACCAGCAGCGGATCGCGATATCCTTTACGTTCTGGACACGGTCATTCTTGTATATCTTGGCGTTACTAGGCGTCTGGCGCGCTCGAGGACGTTGTGCTATGGAGGGATGGATACCTTGGAAATCAGGTTGCCGAGGCGGCAGTCCAGAAGAGGCAGGTGATAACGCTATGGTGATTCATCGTAACTGGTGCAGGCTGAATACGATGTACTGAGGAGTTGGATTTACATCTACGTTTTCTTGTCTGCGCAAGCATAACAGTGTATGCGTTTTCCTGATAGTTGGTAGCTTACTACTTGTACTCGAAAACATTTACTGTACGACCGGTGTCACCCAGTCTTGAAGTGGTAGATTCTCCGCTCGTGCTAAGTGTTGTGGTTTGTAGCTAAGATAGCCGTTGCCGGAATGGATGGGCGGTGGAGTAAGTAGTGTGTGCTACGACCGTTCGTGCCAAAACTACCCACAGACTGCAGTGTTCTGGATAGTGATGATAAAGTTCAAGATTATAAAATTCATATCATAGAAATCAAACAGATACTATACAAGACTGCCGTCGCGTTTCTGTGCCGCTCGTTCGCGCCTGCCTCGTGGTAACTCACAAAACCAGAGTTTTGGCCCTTTCTGCACATCTGCTACGGCATACTAAAAAGTTGCTGCCTGAACCTCAAAACCCGAGCGCCAAGCTACATACCCCAACTCTCCAGCCACAGCTAACATCAATCGGGTTAGGGGCCAGGCTCGACGAGGCGCACCCCCTCCCAACTCCAAGTCTGCTTACAACATCTCAAGATACCACCACTCTACGCGACTCCCACACGAAAGGACGCGCATCGCGAACTTCACAAAAAGTTCAGAGGGGCGTCTGAGGCCCTATCGCCCGCCCGCCCCGGGGTGAGGGATGCGTCAGGGCTCTTTTTTTGTTCTTGTCTTTTTATATGATCTGCTGCTTTTGCTACTTACTTGCTACTTACTTGCTACTTACTACTTGCTACTTGCTACTTGCTACTTATTCATGGCTTGCGTCTAGGCCGTTGGATGTTCATTTTATGCTGCGATATCTGACTCGTACTATATAGTATTTCGCGTCGACGACCTCGGTATTACCTGCTGCAGCATGTCGAAATCTTCTGCTGCTGCTGCTGCTGCTGCTTCTCCTGCTTTGCCGCCGGTACCACTGCAGACTGCGCCGGCTAGTCCTCCTCCGACGTCGCCTGCGCCGGCTGCGATTGAGAGCGGGAGCACGACGGAGCCAAACACGCCGCAGTCCGAGGGCGACGGCGACGGCGATGGCGAGGCCGATGAACAACAACAACAACAACTCTCCTCGTACACGTTCGCCCGGCTGATCCCGCTCAACGCGGCGGCGCGCGGTGCCCTCCAGGCCACCCTTGAACTCCCGGAATCCGAAGTCGCCTCCTACCACCAGCAGTTCATCGGCACGACGACCTTCGACGGCGCCGTCACGCCCTGCTACGAGCTCTCCCTCAGCCAGCTCCCGCGCTTCCCACACGTCGGCTGGGTGATTGGCAAGGGCCGGCGCAACCTGCCCAACCTCGGCGTCGACCTGCTCCTGACGCCCAGTCGCACCGACAACGTCGCCGGCGTGCACGCCCGCCTCAACTGGGTCAAGGGCGCCGGCGGCTTCTTCCTCATCGCAGACAACAAGCGCGGCAAGAAGGTGATGCTGAACGGCGAAATGTTCAGCGCCGACCGCCGCACCATCCCCTTCCAAAACGCCCTCATGATCGGCGAATGCGTCTTCACCCTCGAGCACGTCCAGCGCCCACCCGACGAAGAAGAACAATTCCAAGTCGAACTCCAAGCCTTCCTCGCCCGCTTCCACGCCGCCGACGATCACCCCATCGTCACCCCAACCCCGAGCGAAAACGACGCCACCTTCGGCGACTGGCGCGTCTCCTACACCATCTCCCGCGGCACCTTCGGCATCGTCTACATGGTCACCCACGCCCGCACCGGCCACCCGGCCGCCGCAAAACAGATCCTCAAATCCGCACGCAACCGCCCCGCCGTCGACCGCGAAATCGCAATGGCCACCCGCATCTCCGCCCTCGCTCACCCACACCTCGCCTCCCCCTTTGAAATCCGCCACCACAAGTCCCGCTCCCGCGCCGAAATCGCCCGCATCCGCGCCCTCCTCGACGCCTCCTGGTGCCCCGATGCCCACGGCTCCATCACAGACGACTACATCATCCTCTCCCCCTTACTCACCGCCACCTTCCGCTCCCTCTACGCCTCCGCCGCCGTGCCCGCCCGCACCCGCACCGTCTTCCTCGCCCAGCTCCTCGACGCCGTCGCCTTCCTCCACGACAACGGCATCGCCCACCGCGACGTCAAGCCCGATAATGTGCTCGTGCGCAGCTATGATCCGCCTGCCGCCATGCTCGCGGATTTCGGCTGCGCCGTGGCCGCGGAGAAGCGGATTCTGTATGATTGGCCGGGCACCGTGCCGTATCTTGCGCCTGAGGAGGTCGAGGGCGGGTTCCATGGTGCCGAGGTGGATTATTGGGCTTGTGGGCTGGTGGGCGTGGAGGTGTTGGGGGGGCCGAGGGTTGTGCGGAGGGTGTGGCCTGGGGAGGGGCTGAGGGTGTTTTGGGAGTGGAGGAGGGAGGGGGGTGATGGTGGTGGGGTTGGGAGTGGTGGGATTGGGCTTGATGGGCGTGGTGGGAGTGGTGTTGGTGGTGATGACGATGACGATGATGTTGCGGCGGCGTGTTGCAGGGCGATGCTGCGTGTGGATCCCCGGGCGCGCATGACGGCGCGGGAGGCCCGGGATCGCATTCTGGGTGCGTTGGGGGATGTTGGGGAGGAGGCGGCGGTGGTGGGTGCGGAGGGTGCCGTGAGTGCGGAGGGTGCAGAGGAGGAAGAGGAGGTGACACGGTCGCCTGCAGTAGAGAAGCAAGATGGAGGACAAGGAGACACGCAGCCGGAGTCTGCACTCCCACTCCCACTCCCTCCGCACCCACAGCCACAGCCGCAGCCCCTACCGCAACCGCCGAAGAAGAAGCGCAGGAGTCAGCGTGGTGTTTCGGAGGATTAGGATAGGATGGGTTGGGTTGGGTTGGGTTGGGTTGGGTTGGGTTGGATTGCGTGGTTTGATTTGTAGTGTGGCCTTTTGAGGGGACGTCTAGACTTCTGGACTGGGCGGATTGGACTGCGCTGGGCGGGCTCGGATCAAGACTCAGGAGGGAGAGTACCCCGTGTTTTGTTGAGAGTTGTGTGGTGTTTGTTGGATGGATGGATGGATGGATGGATGGATATACCAAACACCTGACTCTGGGATCTATGGGGCGTACGGGGTGTATACGGGGGTGTATACGGGGGTGTACGAAGGGGTTGAGTGGTTGTGTGTGTGTGGTTGTGTATATGTGGTCATGTACTTTGTGGTTATGTGTGTGTGTGTATGTATATATACCCGCGTCGCGTATTTCTCTTCTTCTGGCACTATCTCGTATACCATGTCTGCTGCGGCGTGTTCGGTCCTGACGTGTGTTCGGTCCTGACGTGCGTTCGGTCCTGACCTGCGTGCGCGCGCAACAGTCCCTCAGCCCAAACACGCCGCAAAAGGAAATTCAGCAGCACTCACTCACTCACTCACTCACTCGTGACGATTGTTTTTTTTTGGGGGGGGGACGTGTGTTTGCGATGGTAGGGGTGGGTTGTGGGTTGGAAGTTGGAAGCGGGGCGGACTGCTAGCTTGCTGCGTTTTCCGGGGTTTCCGGGGGTTCCGGGGGTTCCGGGGTTTCCGGGGCTTCGGGGGTTTCCGGGGTTTCGGGGTTGTTGAGATGGGTCTGTTTTTCCGGGTTGGTTCCGTGGGGGGAAGTGTCGCGTGGGGGTGTACAGTGTCGCATGGGGGTGTCTAGTGTCGCGTGGGTGTGGGGGTGCCGGGTGGTGAGGTTGGGTGCTGGGTGGGGTGGTCAGGTGGGGTGGGGTGGGGTGTGTATATCTCAGCACGGCCGCACGCGATATTGGGATGCACTTTTTCTTCTGGTGGTTGTGTTCGCGTCGCGTCGCGGGACCCCACTATTGGATGTCTGTTTGGAGCATCAACCTGCACGTCAGACGTCGAATTATACGTGCCCTCACTCTCATAACCTCTGTATCTTCAACGCATCCAACACTCCAAACTCAAACCTCAAACCCATGCTCCGCACCATAACCGTCATGTCAACAATCCCATCCACCACCACCGCTTCAGCAGCATCCGCCATGTCCGCAATATCAACCTCGACCTCCACCACCACAACCCCAACAACAACCCCCCAAACCCCCCCCCTAACCCTCATAGTAGCCACAACCCCCTCCCTCGGCATCGGCCTGCGCGGCGCCCTCCCCTGGCCGCCGCTCCGGCCCGACATGGCCTTTTTCGCGCGCGTCACGAGGCGGGTGCCTGTGTCTGCTCATACCAACAACAATACCAAGAGTAACAATGATGTGGGTGGGGTGGATGGTGCGAGTGGCGGTACGGGAGAAGGAGGGGTTACGGGAGGAGGGGGAAAAGAAGGAAGCATCCAAAACGCAGTCATCATGGGCCGCAAGACGTGGGATAGCATCCCGCCCCGGTTCCGCCCGTTGAAGGGGAGGGTTAATGTTGTTGTTACGCGGGGGGGTGGGAGTGGTGTTACTTCCTCTGCCTCTACCAAGCCTGATGTACAAGACGAAGACGCAAAAGCCGCCGAAAAAGTCCACACAGCCCCAAGCCTGCCCTCCGCCCTCGCCCTCTTGCAGCGGCTCTATCCGCAGTTCCGACTCCCTGCCCCTTTAAACTCCGCAAACACAACCATAGACACCCCAAATACCCCTTCTAACGCCCCAAACACCACAGACACAACGGAAAACACAACCACAACCACAACCACCCCAAACCACCCCCAGGCCAGAATCTACATCATCGGCGGCGCAAGCATCTACGCCGAAGCGCTCAAGCTGCCCCAGACGACGCGTGTGCTGCAGACGCGCGTGCTGCGGGAGTTTGACGTTGATGTTTGGTTTCCTGGTATTCTGCGTGGGGGTGGTGATGGTGCGGGGGGTAAAGAGGGTGAGAAAGAGGGGGAGAAAGAGGGATATAAGGGGGATAACAGGGGTGAGGGGGGTGAGAAAGAAGGGGACAAGGACACCTGGGTGCGCAAAAGCGTCGCGGAGCTGGAGGAATACATCGGCGAGGAAGTGGGGGATGGCAAGGGTGTGTGGGAGGGCGTTGGGTATGAGTTTTGTTTGTGGGAGAGGAGGATGGGGGGAGTAGGGGGGGGTTGATGGGGTGGCTTGCTGTTTTTAGGGCGTGGGATTTGGGAGGGTTAGCAGGGTGGGATTTTATCTTTGATACTCAGTGATTGGGATGAGGGACTGGTTTGTTGTTGTGGTTGTTCGTTTGGGGTGGATGGATATACACAGACACCCATGCTACGGATGAGCCATCGTCCTTCTCTCCTCTCCTATCCTATCCTGTCCTCCTAAGCATAAGCATAAGCATAAGCATAAGCATAAGCATAAACATAATCAAAATCAAAATCATAGTGAAGATAGTACTACGCAACTCTACAGCTAGCATTACGACCATTATTGCAGAATCCATCACGACGACGTAGAAGGGATGCTTGCGCTAGAAGAACTAATGGACGGATGGAACGACAAACGGGCCCACTACGACACACGCATGTGACGCTAGTAATAGGGTAACGAGCAGATGCGTGTAGAATGGTGGCTTTGGCGGCGCTGGCAAGATTTAGGAAGAATGCGTGTGGCGAGATGTCGGATTCAGGACGTGGGTTTTGTGTAGATGTATGTATATGTATATGAATGTGCATGCGAGACCTCGTATCCGAGCACAAACTCACTTGGGTAGGGTTTTGACTGCGGGGCTAGTTATTACGACTGCAGCATGAACGGTTGTATATGGTTTAATTCGGGGTGCTTGAAGTAGTGATATTTCGAGGGTTTATACTACTATAAGCCAAGACGAGTCTCGTCCTTTGTACCCGCCCGCCCTATGTGACCTGTGTCCTTCGTCCTTTCTACTATACCGTCTGATGCGTTGAAGACCTGTACCTCTGCGACTAGCTTGCACATATTGGTGTATGTGTAGCTTTTGTTGTGTTGGGTTTCTTTTGGTCGCATCGTTTGGCTTGTCACAGAAACGGCTGAGTTGTTGTTTTGTAAACCTTCAGGGTGGAATGACCAGACAGCTTGCGTTCGTCGGCAGAGCGGTCTGGTCTGCGCGAATTGTTTATGATTCCTGATTCCGGGCAACTGGCATGCAGCACGCTTGAGCAGTTTGCCTGCTGCCGTAGCGAAATCCCCACGCATGTGCGGCCGAGTAGAGCCTTTATCCGACCCGGTCGTGTTTCTGTCCGAAGCATCTGGCAAGGCCAAGGCACGCCCACCGCCTTAGGACATCTTATGAAATGATTAAACCCATACACCCCAAACTTCAAGTAGCGTCCAGAGCACGCCAGACGGCCTTGTTCAGCCGTGCAGGCATATGGCGGAGAGAATAGCGGACGTTGCTCCGCAGGCTACCATGATCGGTGCTCTTCTTTTTCGCCTTTTTGGTCACCTTCGTGGGCATTCGAAGTTTGCCAAGCCGGGTATCCTCGAGTGAGGAATGTTGAGACCGTTTGAGGTATCGCGGGGTGGAAATGACGGATCGACCAGTCTTTTCCCGACGAGTACTGCTCGGCAGACAAGACCGCAAGGCTCGATCACCTGTAAAACACTTAGCTGCGGGCTCCGTCACGACTTCGAAAGACTCACCAGTATGCTGAAGGCTTGTATGCTTATTGACATGCCTCATGTAACGCGAGGTGGGCAGGTGTTGTTTGCGCGTCGTTGGGTTGATCCGCCGCCTCTTCACGTCCAGACTCGTAGACGATGCTTCGCTAACGCTCTCCACCGACGACCATGATCGCTTTCGAGAGATGCCCGCTGACCACGTTGATCGCGGGGTCCGGCTCAGTTCCGGTGACGGGGACCGGGAGGCGGATGGCGACTTGTAGAGCGTCTGAAACTCGTAGTGGGCGTCAAAGTACGGGGCGAGACGACTCTTCCGCTGCTGCGGTCGATGAAGACGCCGGTTCACTTCGTCCAAGAACTGGAGGGCCATGACGGAGACTGTCTTGTGCGTTGTGGATGGAGATAAATCTACGGAGTGAGTCGAAGGGTGGTTGGCATGTTACAGTGTCATCTTGATGTGTCAGCGGCTTGGCAGTCGGTAATTCGCGTGTCCGCAAGGAAAAGTCTGAGGCCGCACCCCCAAGTCGCTGGTGCCTCAGGCATACATGTCGCCGCTCTAACGGACCCTTCTGGTATCTGATATGGCCAAGTGCCTCTGGCCAAGTCCCTCGGAAAAGCGACTCCAGATCCCAGTGCGGCGCTTACCACTGCTGTGAGACAGGATGTTCTCGAACACCCATCTCGATAATGATCATGGACTTGGCTGAGGATCATCAGGCTATGGACTTTGTCAGCTCAGATCCATCATGTCCCATGAGCAGGCTGAAGCGCCGCACTGCATGGCATGGGTCCTATTTCATCACATTTTCAGCCTCAGCTTCTTTTCGATTGAGATGACATGAACTCAGCACTGCCACGCCGTTCGTTCGGTGTTCGTCAGCAGCTTTCCTACCAGGCCTGCGCCGTAACTCACGCGCAGAGCTAGGCTGCACTCTTGCCACTGGCGATATAGGATTTCTCTGCTGAACCAAATACCAAATACGGGTCAAGAACCACCCATAAGATGTAATGGCCCGGAAGGTTGCCATGTCGCCAGCCTCGTCTACGCCTCTGTCTAGAAGTGCTTCATCAATCACCACCAACTTTGATGACCACTCCCAGTCATGGTCGAACAATGGTGCCGCATATCAACCACGTCCTCAAGCATATGAGCCCTCATCCAGGACTAATCCACGAGTCAACGGAATCGAGTACAAGTCAGATCTAGGGCCCAAAAGACGTCTCTCGCGGCTCAAGCCGGACCCTCTCAACATCAGCAGCAAACAGCGAATCTTTTTCGAAGTCGCAAAGAGCCCTTATGGAATCCGAAGCTATTCCACAGAGGGATGTTGCTGGCCAAAGGCCAGAAACGAGACTGAGTCGGGCGTTCAAGAGGCGACGAATGTTCTCGTCTCAAAGCGTATCATCGACCTTAACCGGGCCCACACCGTTGAACTGCACTGTCTTTCGGAAACGCCGGAGCCTTTACTATCAGGGAATCCACAGTTTCGCTGGTTGTGAGTATAGCAGTCTCGACAGTCCCTTGTCTCAACTAATCCACACAGACACATGCAGAGTAACCCGATGGACCTTGAAGAGTTTGAAAAGTTCGCTCTCAATTCTCCCGGTATCTCAGGGGACTTGCTGGATCTTTGCATCGCGCTTTTTGACCACATTCGTGAAAACAGCCTGATCAAGTCTGGCAACTCGCTACAGGTGGAACCAGGGACTGTAAAGCAGTTCAGACTACAGCATGCTGATCAAATTGCGTCAGAATCTACATCTGCGACCTTCTCTTCTTTCCCATATCTCTCTACTTCCGCTGCTTCTCCGGTGAAGCGTCACCAAGATCGCAGGCATCGAATGCGTACTCTACTAGAGGCATTCTACCAGTACGAGTCAACTTGTGAGCGTGACAGAAAGCAAGCACTGGGAAAGTTCTTCAGTAACGCTGGTCACAAGATCATACACGTGCCTCAGTTGTGGTCCCTACTGCTAGGCTCTGGTACATTTAGAACGCATCGCCCAATATGAATACAGACGCTAATTACGACATAGAGTTCTTGATCACCTGCTCGCCAGATTCAGTCAATGAAATCCTCGGAAATCGACTGGTTAGGATTACTGGTGAATATGCTGGAGGAGGTCCTACCGTGCTTCGGATCAAAGACCCTTTACAGCGTCTACACTCGGTGCCATTGCGGCCAAGACCAACCTTTTTCGTAAGTCGCGTAGCTTCAAAGCTTGACAAATACTGATTGCACCTAGGACATAGAGCATCTACTCGTTTCAAAATGCCTAGCTAGTGCTGGCATATCTCTCGACGAGTGTGATATATGTTTTGGAGATGGCACGGCCTTTACTAGTTCTCGCTGGCTAGAGCTCATCCAGACACATAAAGGGGCCATGCTCGAAGTCGACATCCTACCGCGCGATGAAGATCATGCTCATTCCTCCCTGGTAGAACCATCCGAAGGCGAGCAGGATCTTCATATGTCTCTCGTCCTCGCTCGTAAACGATCACGACCAGATCTCGCGTATAAGAATGCTGCACAGCGCGCGGATGCAATTCAGTGGCATGGCAGTCGGGCCTCTAGTCGCTCAAGACAATCACCGAAGAGCTCGTCACGAAGTCTGCAGTCCTCGATGGCAAGTATGGCTCCCTCAGTGAGTAGAGGGCGTTCCAGCCGCTACCCACGCGGTAAGTATGAGATCACACCCAGAAATCTTGCACTAGTCCGCTATCGACCCAGGATCGGACAGACATCAGCGGGTCACGAATCTTTGAACCCTCCAGGTATTAACGCCAAGGCTGCTAGAAGTAGCGTTTCGGACGTCACTGAAATGGATGCTAAAGTCGTCTTGCCAAGACAAGCAAAGACAAGTCTGAGGGGAATACTCATCAATGACCAAACACGAATACAGGCTAGCCGTCCAAAATCTCCCAGCCTCGTATACATACGTGCAGCAGACCTGGGCAGCGCAGACGATATCGTTGAGCCGATGCGCTCCACAGTCCTGAATGCGCCCAGTAGCTCGGCTGAAAAACACATTCCCACGCCAAAAGGAGCTATGCACACCGGGGTCGATGCAAGCGACGTGGAACACGACATTTCCACTGAACAATCAGATCCCAGTACTGTGGGTCCCATAGAGAATCGCATTTGGGAAATAGCATCCGACGGTCACATAGAGCTGTTGGGCGCAGAGCCCAGGAGACCTCCTCTCATCCTTGTTGATGGTCTACCTCAACATGCCAAAAGGAGTCATAGCGAACCTCGTCCGACCAAGGAGTATGAAGATGTAACGTATGGCACAGGTCCAGTGAGGGCGGGTGGCATCTTGAAGACAGGCACGAAAGTCGATCGACGATCGAACGTCAAGAAACAAGATTCAGGGCGAGTACGCTTTGATACTCACACTGTTCTATATACACAAGATATGTCGCCAGACCACGAGAAAGCGACCTTCGAGATGGGAGAGCCTAGCGACCTTCGGGCCTCTCGCCTGGCTGAATTACCAAGCAATAGTAGTGACTGGACTGCCAACTGGGTGATGAATGTGGCAAGTGTCCCTAAATCTTACACATCCTCCGACCCACAAACAGGAGTGCTGGATACCAGTTCAACTATGTTTGAAGAGCCAGATGAGCTCCAACCAGAGGATCAGGCCACAACGCAGGTTAATGGGGCGATAAAGAGCATGGATCCTACTGGGAGTAACCCAGTCCAATCATCTACCTCGACCTCACCCGTCGTTCGTCCGAAAACGATACCACTCCCTGCACACGTTTCCGATGATGATTCTGATGAGGCAAGGATATACACGGAAAACCTTGGATCAGAACCTATTCTGTTCGAGATTCCCACCACGGCCAGTACTTATGGGCCGACGGTCGCCACTTCCAAAGATCAAGAATCTTTTGCGTCTGAATCTAGTATCGAGCGCAGGGGCCGAACCAGTCGAACCAACCCCTTACGCCATGGGGTACGTGAATTATACAGTAGCCCCTCAATAGCTTCAAGTTCTATTTCGGACGGCGAATATGAAGGACTCTCATCAAACGAGTCGACCACAACCAGATCTGGAGTATTGTCAAGACGGAGACCCAATCGCCGAGCGATTGGTTCCTTCAGCTCCGATGAAGATGACAGGGATCATGTACACCTGAGTCGTAGGAGACAGCGACAATCACGTCCTATCATGAGCTCGAGTCAAGCATCTGGCTCTAGCAAACGGTCGCAGAGCTTTCATTCGGAGGAAGAGAGGCCCAGGTATGACACCGACCGCACCCAACATGACCGCGACCGTCCAAGAAGGCGGCTATCACGAGTCCCTGAGCCTCCAGGGGTGACGATATACAATGATTCTGATGACGAGTTGCCACGAGGTCGCAGGCGTCGTAACAGTCCCAGGCCTGGACCGACTGACTGGGATGATGGTGCTACATATCACGGTGCAGACCTGAGCGATCGCTACAGTAATACAGGTCCGTCGTACATAGACCGAACACGCAGAACGCACACAGACAGTCGTCGTCCGGTCAATACATTCATTTCAGACTACAATCCATTTATTTCAGACCCGACAGATTACAAACACCCAGACGGCCATACATTTCATAACGAATACTGGTATCGATCACCATCCAAAAGACATTACGGGTCACTGTATCAAGATAACTATCCATATTACGATGATGATGTATATAGCTTGCCACATAGAAGCCGTTACCGGTCACGATCCCCAGACTCTCCCCCCTATTCATCCTACGGGGACCACAGAGTGGCCGCTCCCTACGTCCACAGCCAATCTAGATCACGAGCGGCTCGTCCCAACATCGCCAATCATCGATTACCCCGGGCCCCAACACCACCTGGATACGAAGAACGGTCATATGTATCCGCTTCGCAGGGCCCACGCATCCGTAATTCTGCGGCCTATACACGACGTTCGTACAAGGACGATGTTCGAAGTGAGCTTGAAACAGTCGAAGGAGATCTTGCTCGGTTACAGGAGGACCAGTACCTGCGCTCAAACTCAAAGAGTGGCCCATCGAGTTTAGCTGAAACACAGGCCCTAGAGGATGACATAACTGAGCTGCGGTTACAGCTAGCAAGATTGCAGCCCAAGTCAGCGGATCCGTCTTGGCTTGAAGAAACAGAGGTTGCGACCCCTACCTTACCCTCCTTGCGTGAACGAACTGGAGGGCACCAGAATGCCGAGTCCGAGTCCGTACACGTTAAGGTTCCACCATTCTTTACATGGGCCACATATCCAGGGGATGTAGCTGACCCCAATGACGAGTCAGCCGAAGCTGCTATATTAAGAAAGTTTGACAGTCTAGAGTACGTTCTGAAAGGTGTGCGTGAACGTTTGTGTGCAAATGGACGGGGAGCAAAAATCTTCAACGATGTCCAGTTGATGTCTCTCGAGCAATTTGAAGACTCCCATACCGATTTGTTGGTTCAAGGGTCCGAAACATCGCTGGACGCACCGAATGGCGATCAGCAACCCAATGAGACTTCGAACATTTCGCCAATGATACTAGACGATGATGCGGCGTCGTCCAAGATACAGAATAATATAACAGGCAATCAGTCTGCGAAGCGTGCTTTGCTGAAGAAGGATCTTCTGCATATAACGAAAGATCTCTTTAGTCTCTTCGTACCCCTGTCCCACATTCACGAGGTCATGTCTAGGTATTGGGGTCTGCTAAGTAATTTTTGCAGCATCCTCGATGTCAAGGAGCCTGCCCAGTCCGCAAGAGAAGTCTGGATTGTATGCTTCATCGAAAATGAAACCGAGATTCTAGGGAAATTTGGACTGAATGCGCCGTCTCCAGCTCTCTCTGAGTGCTCTGACTGTGCCAATGGAAGAATATACGCCAACGAGCGAAGTGGCCTCCGTCATCTATGGTATCAGCATTTCGTCCCTACTGCCGGCGCACAGACTGCAATGCTTCCTCCAGATGCCCTCCGAAACTGGCTTCGGTCAGAAGAACAGCTACGAATAGAGTTGTCCACAATCGCCATATCAAAGATCTTGCAGGTTTTCCTGGAACACGGACGAAGATTCTATGCAAGAGCCAAGGCCATCAGGAACGGAGTCGCTGATAGCGACAAGACAAAGTCCGCCAAGTATGGACTTCCGCCATCATTAGTCTATGTATTTGAGCTGGAACTGAGATCGCTTTTGAAGGTCCACAAATATGTAGAACGTGTACAGCATCATTTCCAGCAATGGCAGTACAGTCCTGGCTTTGTTGGCATCGGGCACACGGTGGACGATCTGACCGACGTGCCAATACGGAAGGTTCAGGGTATCCTCACAGAAATTGATATAGCACTTTCTGAGGCAGAGAGGGACTTTTCTATCATGGCGCACTCCGGGTCTCTCGCCACGGTCAGTCTGGCCAGTGTTGGTCCAGAGTACATACTAGCTGCTATGATTGAGCAACTTAGGGTCCGACCACTGATTGACGACCTCGAAGATGTGGACATATACTGGCACTGCACTGACAGATTGGTGAGTGATTACATTGCAATACATAGTATCATCTGTAGACGTCGAATCGCTAACGCCAAAGACAGCAATACCAAGTCCATTCCAACCCCGGGAAGCGCCTGCTTCGAGACATCCAGTATGTTCACGAAGAAGTTGAGATCCTCATGGTTGTCAATGCATGGCAGAAGGACATGTACATGAAAATGCTTAAAGCACTAGACCCAGCATCCGTTCCCGTAACCACCTATACACGCGCCAGTCTCTTTCCCCTCGAGGAAGCCCAATTAGCCGCCGGTATAACATCCATGATCGACAAAGACCAGGAACTCGACGCCATGAAAGAGAAACTGCTCAGTCTCGGCGATACCGCAAAGCAGAACATCGAGATCCACGAAGCAGATCACGGGAAAGCCATCTTTGTGTATGTCACGTCCACCCCCGTTCATCATGTCTCTCAATATCTGTCGTGCTAAACATACTCGTTTCCACCAGCTTCACCACCGTCACAATCATCTTCCTCCCCCTCTCCTTCGTCACCTCCTTCTTCGGCATGAACACCACAGACATCCGCGACATCACCTGGTCGCAGACCATCTTCTGGGCCACCGCCGTACCTATCACGCTCCTCACCGTCTTGCTTGCTCTCGGCCTGGCATACAAAGGCGACAGAATAAGCGCCCTGATCCGTCGCCTCCATCGCACGCTTTCGGGACGCCCGGAAAGGGCGCTTGATTTGTCCCTGTCGTCATGGTCGAAGAATCGGAGACTGACGCAGAGGAGACCGATTGCAAGCTACGGGTTCCGGCGGAGACGGTCGAGCGGGATGGCAAGGGCGCAGACGGAGAGGAGTACGGCATACTCCCTGGCGTGAGCAGCAGTGGGGATCATTTCATATAAGCATCACAAACGACGATACGGCAGGCTCATTTTTTATCTATATTTTTTCTGGCAAAGTCATATCGTTCACAGGTACTGTGGCACGATCTATCTAGCCAGGTGTAAACGGTCCTGTCCGGATCTCAAAAACCACGGATTGCATATGCAGCATAATGAACATAAAATTATACCCCCAGCCAAACCTCAAAAAGCCCATTGGATTACACAAAACTAAAACAACAGTACATAATAATACTGCCTGTCTGCCCGCCTTGCCGACCTGATTCCATAGAGACGCACCTTCGGTACCACTCGAGCCATCTGTCTGGCCTGTATGCATGATTAATGGAGGTGGTCAAGAAAATACATGATACTAGAATACATAAGGAGAAGGATCGTGCTATGGAATAAGGGGAGTGTCATCGACACAGCCTCGCACCCATGTCACCGACAACAAGGACGGCACTTGCATAGTTTGGTAGTTAGCTGGAGAGACAAATTCAAGAAACACGAGAGAGAGACAGTCCCTTGATATGAGCGAGCACAACGAAACACATGGAGGAAAGCTACGGGAATCGTAGGAGAACATGCGGGGGGGGGCGTGTCCATTTATATTTATTGCAGAATATGCTTTGCTCTCCACCACAGAGAGAGAGAGCTACAGCTTCTACCACTTAATCTACCACTTCCCGCCCTTGCCCTTCTTCTTTTTCTTGTTTTGCGCACCTCCTCCGCCGCCACCACCACCACCACTCTTTTGTACTTCTGGCGCAGAGGGTTTGTCCTCTGCGACGACTCCGCCTTGTGTGAGTCCTGCATCCTTCTTCTTTCCCTTGCGTCCCTTGGGCCTGTAATAGCTGCGATCCTTTAGCGGAAGCCAGCGCTCGGGATCGACCTTTTTGCCCTCGACATAGTCCTTTGGCATACGGGTCTTCCGGATCTTGTGCGGCTTTGTGGGCTTCTCCTTTTCGGGCGCTGCCCGCTTCTTACTTGTAGTTGTGGCTGGCTGTGGTGGAACAGCGACGCCAGCGTCTTCAAGGGCCGCAGCGTCAATATTCTGTATGAGGCGCGCAGTAGGCGGGAGAAGGGCGATTTGAGAGTCGGTAAGTTTCGAGGGGTCGGAGGTTGCATATGCTGCAATCAGCCCGGCGACAGCAGCCTGATCGGATGGGTCATGCGCATTGATGGCGGTGAAGATAGCACCGGCTTCGTTGAGATCGTCTTCGTCGTTTGAGTCCAGGAGCGATATTCCGGCGGCGCGGAGGAGTGATGCGGGCGGTTGCGAGCCTTTAGAATTTGTGCGCCAGTGGTTTGCTGCTTTGGCGAGTTCTATTCGGCCGTGTGATTTGCGACTTTGGGCGGCATAAAGCGAAACTATGGTTGCTATAAGCCCAGGCGAGTATCGAACATCTAGGTCCTTGGACGATTCGGATTGCTCGAGTTTCTTGAAGAATCCTTCCAAGAGATGGACTGCCGCAGCGTGATTGTTAGTGAGAAGGTATAGATGCACAATGGCAAGTACGAGACCGGCATCGTTTGGTCTCTTCTCTAGCAATGGCACCAATACTTTTATCGCCGCCTTTCCAGTCTGGTTCTGAGCATGTGCAGCAGCGTTGATGACTGAGAACGGACTGGTAGATGTCGGCGAGGCGTCAGCATTCTTTGCAATGTAGGATGACGTCGAGTTCGCGACTCCGCTGTACTTCAACGCAAGCAAATCTAAAACATGGGTATTCTGGCGCAATATAGAGGACTGGAAGCGGAATGGTTCATCGCTCTTTGGTGTGGATGGTGCGGCATGTGTCAGACGATGCATCAGGTAGGGATTTGAGGTCTCTTTTGCTGAAGATAATGAACTCAGCTGTGCAATGCGTCGGGTCGATAGGTCGGGAATCCTGCCATTGTCAGTACGGCTGTTGAATAGGCAGGGTCTCAAGATAACTGACTGATTAATATCCAATCTAGCAGATAGCTTTTCAGCGGCATCCGTTTTACCCTGCATCGAGAAAACATATAGCTGCTGAACATTGATGGGTAGAGTTTCAGCTTTCTTCTCCTCATCTGTCAAATCGTCTAAGGAATTACAGAGATCTATCTTCATTAGCTTATCATCGTAGCTACTCATTCCTCACAAACCTTCTGCTCGTTTCAGTAGTATCTCTGCCTGGGCCAGTTCTCCCCGCGCGACACTCCCGCAAGCAGCATTAAATGCAGTTTCAAACGCCTCCATGTCAACCCTGTCCGGCTTCTTCTTCTTGACGAGACTCCCATTTCCTTGCCATTCTAATTGCGCATCGACAGCACCACTGTTGATGCGTAGGTCGTTCTCCTCTTCCTCTTGCTCTGGCCCTTGTGATGACAACTGACTATAGAGCTTCGCCGACTGATCAAACTTCTCGGCTCGGTATAATGTTTGTGCAAGTACATGGCTGATTCCTCTACTCTGTTCTGCCTTTGATGCTACCTCCTCGGCTTTTTCAAGCTCCATGGCTTTGTACAGGGCATAGCTGTAGCCCAGAGCAGCCGTCTCTTGCAATTTGTTCCCGCCATCTTCGAACACATTGAGAGCGTCTTCAAAACGGTCAAGCTTTAGCAGTGCGATTGCTTTGACATGCAGTGCTTCGGGGTTCGTCCTGTTCTTCTTGAGGGCCTCGTTTGCGGCGCGCAGGACGTCTTCAGGATCATCAAGTTTGGTTTTGGAGAGGAGCGCCGCGAGGGAAGAGAGGGACATGGCGGCTTTAAGGGACTTATCGATCTACGATGTTTCCATAGGATTCGGTCTATGACAGGGGCGTGTCTTGAGTCCTACGAGTGCTCAAGGGATTCGGTTGCGGAATTTGTTGATGTCGCGAGTGTTTTGGCGGGGCGGGTGCAGAGTGGGATGACGCTCTCGCTTGCAATTTGTAGTGCCAAGAGCCATCACTGTAATAAGATACGTATCCAGATATGGTTTCCATTCTTCAAGAATATCAATCCTCGTCGAGTCCGATCATTCACCAGTTCAGTTCCAAGGTAAAGGTTGATGCTGAATTCATCGATTGAAAGTTGATCAAGACGATGCCTCTCACGCCAATATCGTGGGTATACGAGAGCTAGTTCAGGTGACAACACGTTTGATGTATCATCACGGTATTGAATATCTCATCAATGCTCAATCCTCAATACAGCAATGCCCGGCATAACGCTGCGACAAGAGATACGAAGCTGACTAATGCATAAACAAAAAGGTACGACGTGCTATAGCACGTGAAAGATAGGGGTATCCTAAATGAGTTGTCTGCGTTGAACCTTCCATCAATGGTAACCGACTGAATTACTGCGTACTCAAGCCATGGCACAATCCGCCACCATCAAAAGCCTCCTCGCCGTATCTGTGCGCATTCAAAGGCCAAAAAGAAACGCTAACGAGCCAGCTATCAAAGCTCCTGATAGTGTAACGACCTGTGAGGACTGTACAGAACCAGCACCAGCACCTTGACTTGGCACCGGGGGAGGCGGATTCGCGACTTGTCCACCGGGGAACGCACTCATACAGCCCACATGGGGCGGCCCACTAATGGGTGAAGACGATGGACATATAGTTGCGCGAGGATCGTAGCAGGCCTTTTGAAATGCGAGTTCTTCTGGATTCGGACTGATGGAAAACGGCTGTTGGGTCAGGAAGACGTCGACTTGAATGAAAGGAGTCGGGTTTGCTATATCAGGGGTCGTTGTAAAGCTCGTAATCGTCCAGGGAGTCATGGTCGCGGCAACGTCTTCATGCTCGGTGACAGACTCCATGGCGATGTATGCAAAGCTGGTCTTTGTGCATGATGCTGGGTTGGTGATGGTTACAGGTGCGAAGTATACGGTCGATGTGGGGAAGGCACCGCTTGGGCTTTCGCTGCTCGGGCTGAAGGTGCTTGGACTTTCACTGTTTATTGTGTAAGATGTTGAGCTTTGACTTGACCAGATGGGAAACGACTGCGCAAGTATTGACGATCGCGTTAGACGTACCTTGAGCTTTGAGCATATGTCCGCCAGGCGAACGCCATGGTGGTGAGTGCAACGTAGCCAAACATGACTACTGGTTTCCTGGGAACGGTGACGCTGGGCCAGATGCGACGCTGTGTATATCCCGGATTGGAGGTCGCAAGAATATGATATGGACCTTGAGGGATCAAGCTTATCAAAAAATCACTGGGGAAACTTGTTGCTCCTACTCCCAAGGATCCTGAATCTATCTCGACATTATTGCGCTGCAACGTATTGTGAGATTGAGAACAAGGCTAGATGCGGAGGGCGGAGGGCGGAGGGCGGACGGGCCTTCATATGGCGGTGGTATGTATAACGGACACTATGGAGCGTCAATCACCATGCGGCACATTCCAGCAGTTTTGAGTTCCATCACGCAGGTTTAGGAGAAGGATCAACCAATGAAGAGTAAATGTCACTGAGTGAGGTTCGGCTTCACTTGCGGGCACGACGGATTTGTTAGCCCAAGGAGCGGGACGACGGGCATATCCTTGGCCTGATTCAACGATTCGACGTCTTTCTGCTTCCCACATCGAAATCAGTTGCGGCGTGATTGTTCTGGCTGCTGCATCATGCACAATTCGGCGCCGACTTGTACTACTTCAAGCGCCAGGACCCAGGGGAACAGCAGTAGTCTGTAACTGTCTGCATCGCCGTTACACGGAGATCTGGATCAGGCTGGAGATGCCGCGCGATGGGATGCAGTTCGTGCTTGATTTTATATCAGCAGAGGGCGGCGGGCGTGATGAGGACGAGCAAGCAACAAACCAACCGAAAGAGTTTCAGCCTCGCGATGGACGGGAGTGTGACGGGGGTGACAGGCTGCATGGGTGTATCTGTGGGGTCGGTCTATTGAATAGCCTGGCCAACAAACACAAGCCTGCGATGCCATGAGTGGTTCGGATTGGATGAGCTTCACAAGGCGGTCGACGTCTAATCGGAGAAGGCGAATGACGAGCGGACGAGTAGACGCGAAGAGTGCTCCACATCCATGTACATGCGCTTCATCACACTGCCAGCTGCCACAGCCATGAGTTGTTGTTGTCGATACTGTGAAGAACCAGATGCGCAATCAGAATGGTGATTGGCTGTGAGTGTGATGGAGTTGATAAAGCCTCCGCGCTTACTGCCGCGTCTTGGCTCTAGCGCGCTGCAGGGGTACATGGTTGATTAGGGGTACTTAGCCTCGGGATGTCTGTAGCTCGAGCGTCGGCGTGTTCCTCGTGCTAAATAGTCTCGATTGGGCAGGTGGGCCCTTCCGCCAGGTCCCAAATTAGCCGCCTATCGCCAATACTTTACCGTATTGTTTCTGCTTGAAGCACTGCCACACCCCTCGGCACCAAATGCCATGCCACAGACATACATATCGATGGAATAGCCGCTGGTTCAGCCTTTGTAACAAATGTCATTATCGTAGCGAGCTGATGGGTTGGTGCCATCGTTCTATCCGATCTCATTGGGCGCCACGCCGAGTCCGAGTTGTAAATGCTTCCACCTTGACCAATTCTCGGGTGTCAGTGTCGACCTGCCTGATAACATTCCACTCACTCGAGCTTGTCTAGCTGAGAAAGACCATAGTGGCATTCCAACGGCAGATCTGCCGACTTTCTCGTGGCAATTCTCTACATCATCCACTCGAAGCTGCAGCCTTGTAGGAATCTTCAAAGACAAGAGATTGAGCCACCGTGGGACAAAACCGACGTTGATATATTACTCTACCAACAAGGCTGTCGGCGATGTCGACGCAAGGATCTCGCAGAGAATTGGCCCGCGCTGTAGCACAGTCAGGGTATTGACCACCTATGAGGAAAGGAGTGTGGTACACCTCCTCTCTCCAATGCATCTAACCGGATCCACCAAATTCAACTCTTGATTTGAAAGAGACACAGGCATCGTCTTACGCTGTACACAAGAAACGCATGGTTATCCCAATCGGGACCCGGTCCATTGAATCATTGCTACCAGACCACCTTGAGTGCTGTAGAAAACACATGCCATGCGTCACATCAAGTCTGCATTGACGTTTGAGCACTCATATTGTGGCGAACTTGTGTTGTTTGGGATTCATTCCAGGGGCATTAATTTCATAGCTATGAAATAATATAGTCTCAAGATCTCAATGATGTCTGTTTCAAAGTATCAGCTCTTTCTTCCAGCAGTATTCTGCGTCTCCTGTTTCTCCTTTCCTTTCAGCCCATACACTCGTTTCTATTCAGGCTGTTACTTCTCCATTCTTCTTTGACTACCGCTTCGATCATCAAGATAGATACTTGAGAGTCCCTGATTCAAGCGCAACAGTTGCAACATGTAGGTGAGCTCATTGAACATTTCCTCACACGCTGAACTATCTAAGGCTCAACCTACGTTCTTTATCTCCTCTTCTGCTAGTCACTCTTTTCTTCGCCCTAGCCACTGCTTTCAATACATCCACCATAGCCTATGGCACTGGCATCATCGCGCCAACCGGCATATCTCCATCCTACGGGTTATCAAGCTACCTATACCCAAACACCACCTCCTCCACAGCAACCCCTATCTCCCCTCCAGGCTACCCAACAGACCCAGCATACCCACCAGACCCCTACCAACCCATCACAACAGTAATGTATGTAGTCACTCCCCTATCAAACCTCTCAATTCCTACTAACCTATTCATCCAGTGAAACAACATATACAACAATATGCGCAATCACTGTCGTCGCCCCTTGCCCCACCGGCCTCTCCACATATACCACCGACGAAACCTCAACCATCACCTCACATCTGACTCTCACCCTCCCATGCCCGCACTGTCCCTCTGCCCCAGCTCCAACGCCCCTAGTTCCAGTCTGCAACGGCCCAGCTTGCCAATCTCCCCCGGGTCCTCCAGCAACAGCATCTGCACCACCAGCGCTCTGCACCGGCACAGACTGCGATTCCCCTCCCGACACTAGCAGCACGCTGCCCTGCAACAACGGCGCCGACTGTGGTACCATCATCGCCATCGACGTCCCGCCGCAAGACATTGCTTGCACTGGGAACGACTGCGTTGAGAGTCCGGCTCCGGACGCGGAGCCTCCCGTCCTGCTGCCTTGTGCCGGACGTGAATGTCTACTTCCCCCGTCGCCTACGACGACGCTCGTGGTTCAGCCGAGTGTGGCCCCGGATGCGCCTGGCGGGATCCCGGGTGGGCCGGTGCATTGTGAGTCGGTTGATGACGTGTGTCCGCCTGAAGAGAGTGCGCCGCCGATGGCTGGTGGAGCAGGGGTTATGAGTGTAAGTCTGATTGTTGTTGCTACTGTTGTGGTGGTTGCGTTGCGAGGAGTGGTGTTAGGTATCTGAGCACGTGCGAGGGGCGAGTCTGAGGGAGATAATGGGTTCCCGGGAATAATGGCCCGTTAGTTCGATAGTAGAGGTGTAATTATAATGGGGAGGTTGTTTAAATAGTGTCATCGATTATGTATCATTGCGGTCCTGACCCGCGCTGTGACGAGTGAGAAAATTTGGTATGAAATTCTATCTTGGCAAGAGAAAAAGCCCCTCACAATATGACACAGCAGGCTCAAACTATAGAGATACAGACCTCGACAAACGCTTCAATCCCCGAACTCGGTACCATAAACTTTATTACGTCCTCGCGACGGCGGGAGCCTCCTTTGGTACCGGAATATCAGCCTGGGTGTAGTAGAAGTTCTCCTCTGGTATTCTGCCCCTCATGAAGTCTGGCTCCGATCCGCGGACGTAGATGTCCTCGAAGAGGATCTGAGCAGTTGGCTCTGGTGGCTCCATGGCCTCGGCTTCAGCAACCTCCTTGTCGACATTGCTGCGGGCTTCCTTGTCGATCGACTTGAGCTCTTCCTCGGAGGTGACGCCCCAGTCGAGGAGCTTCTGCTTAAGGCCGGCGATTGGGTCGTTGGTACTACGCATGCGCTGGATCTCTTCACGAGTCTAACATCTTGTTAGTCATCAATATGTCCGTCCGTAAACTAGATCTACTGACTCGGTAAGTGGTTCCAGGATCACTCATGGAGTGACCACCGTATCTGTATGTGACGTATTCGTATACAAGAGGTCCTTTGCCGGCCTGAGTCCACTCTTTTCCGTACTGTACAGCAGCCTTGGTTGCGAGTACGTCCATGCCATTGATCTTGAGACCAGGGATGTACTGGCCACGCTTGTAGTAGTCGGTCAAAGCAGCGGCTCTGTTGGCGGCGGTACCCATACCGTACTTGTTGTCTGCAGGGGCTGTCAGTATGGATTCTATCCCTTCTCGAGACTAAAAAAAGCATACTCTCGCATCCAAAGATGACCGGCAGGTTCCATAGCTTAGCCATGTTGAAGGCCTCAAAAACCTGACCCTGATTCGACGCACCATCACCGTATAGCGCGATCGTAGTGTTCTTCTTGCCCATGTATTGGTTGGCAAACGCCAGACCAGCACCAACAGGTACCTGAGCACCGACAATACCGTTGCCACCAAAGAAACCGGGTGCAAACATGTGCATAGATCCACCCTTGCCGTAGGCAATACCTTCTCTTCTGCCGAGCAGTTCTCCAATGATCGACTTGACGGTGCCACCACGCATCATAGCGAAACCATGGCAACGGTATGCAGTGATTACATGATCCTCCCTGTCAAGGGCATGCTCAATACCAACAGCGACAGCTTCCTGGCCTGTTGACAAATGGCAGAAACCCCGGATCTTCTTCTCCTTGTAAAGTCGGTCGGCGGCCATTTCCATGCGACTGCGAGACCCAATTAGCCACAAAAGATCTCTAAATTACGGCTGATATCAAGTTTATGTGCATACCGAACAGCAACCATGTCGTAATACATCTGCTTCAGCTCCTTCTTGGTCGTCTGGAGGGTGTACGGGGGAGGGTCGAGTTCGTATGTCTCGAAAGACTCGTCGGACAGACGAACCTCAAAGGGCTTGTCATCTTCCTATAGTAGAAGCATATGTCAGTATTAAAGCTTTTCTGAGATGGTCGAATGATAGACTCACGGTTGGGACAGTCTCCGGGTCCGCGTGCGACGAGGCCGCATCAGTAGTGACAGCTCGTCGAAACGTTGGGGCATAAGCGTTGCGCCGTAACGGAGCAGCAGCGCTGCTGCGGAACGTCCTCGCAAGCATTATGAGATCTAAAGAGGATGGAAGATTGGAGGGAAAGAGGAGGAATTATCTGGAGAGAGCTGATGGTTTGGATGGAAAACGTTGGTGCTGAGGCGTTGGCGTTGAGCTCCGGCGCTCAAAAAAGTGGATTCCCGAAAATGTTGCTACTAACTTGGTTTTCAGCCCTACGATGGAATCTTCTTCGCTCGCAGTAGTCTTCCGCTAATGATTGCGCTTGTGACAGTAATTGTCTATCGAGCTTGATGAGGATGTTATTTGGTTGTTTTAAGCGTCAAGAGTTCGACGTATTGCTGAGCAAAGTCATGTATTAGACCCGAGTACTACGCGGAGCAAAGTCTCATTGTGAAGCATCATCATTAAGCTAGTCGCAACTAATGACTTGCCAAGTAGCCACTCTCATACAGTGATAGCTGCAGACAAAAAGAGACATCATACTCAAACAACTCCAATCCCATACCTTAGTCCCATAAACTAAAATGTTCTTTGGATTTTAATTGCTGACACCCAAACAATATCCCAGACAGCTACGATCAACAATGCCAACATCATGAAAATCCAAAACCAGTCTCGGGCGAGCGGTAAGAGGGAAAAAGTCAATAGGGAATCGTTTCGATCCAGTACATGGGAACTGATCAGCTCGCGAAATTCAGCTCCAGTTTCGTCCAATTCTTCTTCCCTCTCCTTCCATTGATATCAATGGCAGATAAAGGATCAGAGCTGCTTTTGGATGAGACAATACAATGGCCTGCCGCAAAGATCCTTGGTTGTCGGTATTGTACACGGTCCACGTACTGCATTTCACTACTTGAGGCGCCGTGCTGTCCGTTCGTGCGAGCTCTGTCTTTGGCTGGCCCTTTTGGGGGAGAACTGGATGCAGTTGACATTGCGTGCATCGAGACATCGCTGGAAATGTCACTAATATCTTCTTTGTCGGTCGAGCATCCAACGCTACCGCTAGAGGAGGATTCCGTGTTTCCAGGGAGTAGTGGAAAGGCTTTATCGATAACATCTGCTGAATGGCCGTTTGTCGCCAGAGGAATAGGAGCGTTTGCTGCGAGCGCTGCCTCTCGTACTCTGGCTGCAAAATCATGCTTGATGCGATCCGCCTCACTGGCGAAAGTTGTGGGATTACCGTAGCCTAACTTCGCGTTCTTCATCCAGTCTGGCTGGCAACGATCTTTACGATGGCCATGGCATCCACAATCTTCACACTTGATATGAAGCTCACACTCTTCCGCAGCATGTGAATTCTTGCGACCACAAATCTGGCATCTATAACCTGGTTTTGGCGGGTTGGTGAGCCAGTATCGGATATAGTCCTCCTTGAGCCTGTACATCAGCTCAGCAACAGCCGGAGCTGCGTTAGTCGGACCACGGCCGAAGCGATAACCTCGAAGATGAGCATACTCAAGACCAAGGAGAACCAGACTGATCATAGTGTAGGCGGCATCATTTCCTGCATTGTGGGGATGAAGTAGATCAATATTGAAGTTCCCGCACAGTCGCTTCAGTGCTGGAAAACGCATTCCCTCAAAGCCCTGGCGTGAGCCCATGACCTGCGTATCGACGATACCGACCACGGTACCATAAGCACTATAATCGAAGTTTATATCTGGAGTCTTCATGTATCCGTCATCGTTGTGGAATGCGTGGCTGACCAGAACGACGTTGCGGTTGCGGAGGTCAGGGTCGCTGGCAGGTTTGCTGCTCATGTCGCGTGCTGATATAGGGACATCTGGACCTTTATCCGGAATGCAAACAGTACGATCGAGGAGGGTTTTCATGTCCTCAATAGGGACCCATTGGCTGTGACCAAAGTCGAACTGATGCCCACAGGATTGAGCCCAGTGGCGGTTGATAAGATGACCTCGATCCTCCACGCGAAGATGTGCTGCCATAATCTGGGCCAGCCAATTCTCGCCATTCTGTCCAGGGTCGCCAACACGATTGATGGTTCGTGTGTCAAAGAAAGCAACACCAGCTTCTGTAACCGGCCGCTTGCCAGAATGTGCTGGAGTGTATGCTTCGAAGTCGTGTGCAACGAAGACCACATCCCTGGGAATGTTCATGTAAGAGGCATCTTTGAGCCCAAAGCAATGAGCAACAAGAGACAACCCATCGTGCTTGTTCATAGGCTGCATATATCTGCGTACCGGGGGACCTTTCGGTACAGGATGTTGCTCGCGATTGACATAGTTCGGCGGTGACTTAGGGATAGTCTGAGGGGCAACCGGGAAGGAAGACGAAGATCGAAGCCTGTGCTGAGGGGCATATTGCGGATTTTGCGGAACGTAATGATGATAGAAGGGCACTGGTGACGGCCCGTAAGGCCTTTGGAAAGAGTACATAGTGGGATCGAACAATGTTTGTTTGCGTGAAGGAGACTGAATGATGGCGGCATGAATCCGAGCAAGACAGGTATCTTAAAAGACGGAAGAGATGTTAGATGACGTCCCGCATTCGGTAGCTTCAACGCATGCAGTGAGCAACGTCAGGAATGGGGGGACTCGTAGTACATGGATGTTGACAACGCGACTGGAAATGCACCTCGCGCCGGTGGAGGGATGGGAAAAGACAAGACTCACACAACGGCGAGAAACTTCGGGAAACTGATCGGCTATCGACATCAATGTCAATGTGTGACTGGCTGGACCATAGCAAATTTTCCGTTTCCAGCATAACAATGTCGATTTGCGTGTATCACAACAACAACAAACGAAGTGAGTTGCTGCTAGCACGCAAGCGGCTTCTCTAACCATCAAAATATACAAACAACAGAATGCACGGACTCTTAGACGTGACTGAGAACGGTAGGAAATTTGAAAGCAAAATGAAAGGCTGCAAGATGGACTGCGGGTGTCTTGGGAAGAATGAAGAAGATACCTTATACACTCAACATCCTCGCCCTGGGAACCATCAGGCTACTTTGTCTTCACGCGAGGGATTAGAATACTAAGAAGAAGTGTAGTACGAGACAGTTCAACGGTGTTGATATCCAGGTTTGCCCTGGTGGAGAAGAGGGTCCCTGGCGCCAGTCTGCGCATGGCTGAAGCTTCATCTGACCTCTTTCAAATCGGTTTGGAAGACACTGGAAGGCAGGAACAGCCGCAAAGAGACCCATGGTGTCATGCTAGTCAGTGAATGTTTTCATTGAGTGAATAATGACCGTAGAACTTTCGCTGACAACTCCTTGTCTTGCAACTGTGACTACAGCGAAAGGCAACACGGAATCTTGGAATCATACTCATTTGAGATATTTGAGGAATGAGTGTGTGAAACTGATGCATTTAGCACAGCTTGCGTGACGTAGTAGTCCTCGGAAGCGTGTGACGGATGAAGTCGTTCAAGAGATGGAGCAGGGAAGATGGGTTAAAGTCGTAATACCTTGGCATTCGGAGGTCGTTCACAGCAAAAACCGCTAGCCATGTTAGGCACTAGTGAGAAGTCAGTCATCGTCCCAGACCAGGTATCCGCTGTCAAGGCTGAAACAACAACGACAAGGCAATGTCATGTCCCTTGCTCCGGGCTCTCGACTTTCACACGTTACACTATTTCTACGAACCCTATAACAACTGCAAAGAATGCTAGGTCTTCAGCCCTGTCATACATCCCATTCTGCCTCATGTAAGCTTCACGTCAGGGGGTTTGAAGGCTGCTCTGTGACATTTCCAAGAGACCCCTTGGATATTCCTATTGAGTCTTCCTAGTCTACGAGTCTACATTCTCGACAGAATGAATGGGTCTCTTCGGCGACTCCTTCGAGCTCTTGTTTTATAGAATTGTGTATGTCGTTGCTGATCGATGTAGAGACTGCATCACTGCGCGCATATAACTGTCAGCTCTCACACTACGCCGAACTAAGAAGCCTGAGATAATACCTCGGCATGTGTAAGCACGACGAGTAATTCTCCGAGTGTTTGTAGCTAGCTATACCCAGCAATTCTTGGCCGGGTATACCTAAAGACACTGATTAAGCAAGATAAAACTGCAGATTAGTGGCTAATTGTTTAATATACAGTTTACTGGTTATTACGCTATTATAGGGCAGTAGCAAGAACCATTCCACAACTGGTATTCATTTCGCACCTTAGCAATCGAACTTGGAGGAATCTTCTACACCATAATGAACAGCCTCGCAGTTCTGCCAGCCACACCCGCTGATATACCCATTCTACTCGACATATACTTTACGTCCTTCACCAACCCCCTTGCACTCGTCGCCTTTCCTCCTTCTTCTACCTCGGTCCAATCATGGTGGGCCGCCATGCTCAATGACGAGATTCAAGATCCAAACTCCCTCTTCTTGAAGGTAGTCGACCCTTCTCTCCCAGAAGATGGACAGATCGTCGCCTGGGCAAAATGGAACCGCCCACATGGGAAGGGCATTGATATGACCTTGCCAGAATGGCCGCAGGACGGTGATAGCGAGCTGGCGACGAGGTTCTTCACAGGATTGGCAAAGGAGCATGAGCGTGTCATGGGATCCCGAGGGCATTATTGTATGTAGCTAACTTCTTTTTGGTACCCTAGTCATGTGTGCTAATGCGATGTGTAGACCTTGAGATCCTAGCAACAAGTCCCGTGCATCAGAAGCGAGGGGCAGGGTCCATATTGATGGACGCTGGTGTTCGAAGCGCAGATGAGGAGGGTGTGGAGGCCTATCTGGAGGCAAGCCCGGTGAGCGTGGGACTCTATCAGAAATATGGATTCGAAGAAGTGGGGAAGGTAGAGGTTGACATCAAGGGCCACGGCCAATATGCGAATCTATGCATGCGGAGAAAGGCGCTAGAGAAGAGAGAATAACCAGCATGAGCCTGGAAGCGAATAGCTTGGAAATGCTGAACGAAGGGTATTATTGGAAACGAGATTCTCGCGTAGGTGCATCGGTCAAGCCCGACATCGTCATGTATAGCGTGGACGACAACGATGTGACATGACTGACAGTTCGGCCCTGAGTCAGTAGTATGCTACCATTGACCACCTTACTCTTGAGCTTCCAGGCAGTCGGTAAGATAGTTTATCAATAGAATCTACAGTGGCGAACAGTTCGTCGGGCAATTTCTTTGCATTGAGTAATTATCCCAGAGTCGACTTGAAGCTCATCTCAAGATGGCATCAACGACGACGATTGTTTAGGTAGGTATCCTAAGCCGTACTCACTCTATACCAGTCTGCAGGGATCTGAGCACTTCTTGACTCTGTCTATGCATGACTATATTGACTCAGCAGTGCGGGAGAACTATGTGAACTCCGCCCGAGATATGACTCCTTCCAGGTGTAAGGCGAAAACGAGGTCCAGCAGTACACTCGACCGCTCCGAAACGCGTCCCGCTCCGCAGGCACATGACGCGACTTTTCGCCCAACGCGCATGCGACACATAGTTCACGACTATCAACCTCCCATCTCCAATACTACCATATCACGCCCGGCGCCGTGCAAACTCTCTAACCTCACATCCAACACCTTAACCATACATAATCTACACTCCTCTTCTCCGCAACCATGGTTCGTCCGGCGCCCAATCTCCACCCTCCCCTCCCCCAACCACTAACCCATTCTACAGGCCCGCAATTCAGAAAAAGCGCAGTCCATGCTCTTCCGGTTCCGCGCCCAGCAAGCTGCGGACCTGGGCATCCTCGACATCAACCGCACACGACGGCCGAAAGCTATCACCACAATTGACAAGATCCCAGTGGCGGAGAAGTGGCGTGGCCAGGTGCTCAAGGAGATCAGCCGCAAGGTGTCCAAGATTCAGGAGGACAGCCTGAGCGACTACCAGATCCGCGACCTCAACGACGAGATCAACAAGCTCATGCGCGAGAAGCACATGTGGGAAATTCAGATCCGTAACCTGGGCGGGCCAAACTACATGCGTGGCGGGCGGGTGCTGGACGAGGAGGGCCGCGAGGTTGTGGGTGGTGAAAAGGGGTATCGGTATGTTTGCTCTCCTCTCTCCACCTTCATAACTAGAATACACCACTCTCCTCTCGCCTATATACACTAGCGTAATATCTAACAGGAACAACAGCTACTTCGGCCGCGCTCGCACCCTCCCCGGCGTCGCCGAACTCTTCGCCGCCGCCGCCGCACCCCCGACCTCGCATAAACACGACCACTCGCGTGCCACACTCTCCCGCCTCACAGACGCCTCATACTACGGCTACAACCTCGACGAAGAAGACGGCACCCTGCTCGCGTACGAGGCGAAGAAAGAAGACGAGGCATACAGACGACTGATGCGCGACGCAGATGCAGAGCACAATAGCACGCCTAGCAGCAGTAGCGCGAGGAAGCGGAAAGGTGTGGATGCAGAGTGGGTGGAACTACCCGGTGATGCCGGAGATGGGATCGGATGGAATCTGCCGGATCTAGATCAAGTGCAGGAAGAGTTGGTAGAAAGGCGCAGACGCAGACTACTTGATAAGTTGGGCTAAGTTAAATGATGAACAGGAGGAGGAGGAGGAGGAGGAGGAGGAGGAGGAGGCGACGCGGATTATGCAGGCAGATTGTAAGAATTCTTTGCATGACATGAGATTTCAGTGGGCGAGAGATGCTGAAAGGGCATGCATGCATGTGTGGTGGATATGAGCTCAGGGGGTGCTGTGATTTAAAGCAGCACGCGAGTGAGAAGCATATATGGTATACCCCCTCTTCTTTTACTGTTTTGTTGTACTATCACTACTACCACTACTACCACTACTACTGCATCGTAATTTTCTTTGTCTCTTTTAGTCTGGAGTATGTGGTATGCGGTATGTACATAGAGCAGCTGGACTGTGGAGTTTGGATCCTGGATTCTTGATCCTGGACCCACATCATACGAATGAGATTTACTTGTGCAGGGGGGCGCCGTTGTTGCTGGTCAATCACGGCGCCGTACTGTATTGTTATGATTATTATACTGGGGGGTGCAGGGGATTAGCTTTGTTTATCTGTGTGTATGATGCCCAAAGTAGTGTTGTCCCTTTCATATGCAATGCAATACATGGTATATTACCAGTCGAGCAGTGACCATTCGAACATAACGCACACATATATACACACGGAGACACACATGCACGCAAGAACGCCGCTGCAATGCTCTCTCACACCCTCCTCATCTAACCCACTCCTGCACCTCTCATTCACTATACCATAATACACACTAACCCCTACTTCTTCGCAAAGCTCTTCTGCCGCTCCTTATACTCCTTGACAATCAAACTACACTGCACGTCCTGACACAAGCGCCGCCTACTCTCCAGCGGCAGACTCTTCCCAAACTCCAGCCCACTCGCGCGCTCCACAACCGCGACATCGACCTCAAAATCCTGCAACGGGCGGGAATTATCAATATGCGCATTCGGCAGTACAAACGCGCCGACGGCGACTTTATTGACCGCGCCCGCACCGTCCTCGGCGAAGATAACCTTGTAGAAATGTGTGGGCACGGCAATATTGGGCGGGCTACCGATGACCTCGTATGAGACGCGCCACTTGCCGTCTACCGGGTCGCGCCTAGGCAAGTACAGCGGGCCAGTAACAATTCGCACCGACGGATAGCGCGTCGTAAGGCGACGGCAAAAGTCCTCGAAATGGGCCCAGTAGTCGCGATTGAAGCCCTCGCCGACCTGGGGGCACATGTTTGAGAGGAGGAAGGTATCGTCCATGGCTTGCTGGGACCATTTGGCGTCGGCGGCCGGGACCTGGTGGCCGCGGTCGTAGCCGGAGCGGAAGTAGTCCTTGAGCATGCCGCGGAAGGGCGACGGGATGCTGGTGTCTTCGGCGAAGACGGAGTGTTTGCGGTCAGCGTTGTGGAGAGAGAGGGAGTGTGGGGTGATGTGTTCGGCGACCCAGTGCGGATTGCGGGTGCGGCGGTCGAAGGAGGAGGTTAGGGAGGCGGCCGGGCGGAGGTCGGCGACGGGCCCAGGGAAGCCGTATTTGAAGATGCCGTTTGGGTCGACTGGGTGTGGAAGGGCGCCGGTAGGCATGGGTATCGGAGAGGGTGCTGGAGCGCCGGTCGTGGTTGTTGTGGTTGTGGTCGTTGTGGGTGTTTGGTCGCGTTTGGAAGATGGGGTTGAAAAAAGGGCTGCTGTGACGCCTGCGCCTGCGGCGGCGGAAGCTGCTGCGATGACGGCGAGCGTGACTTTCGACATCGTGGTGGTAGAGGAGGCGATGTTAGGAGAGGATGAGGTTGTCGAGGATGTTGAGGAGAGGAACTTCGTGGTCAAGGATCACAAGGAGAAGGGAGGGTAGTCTTCAGTGTCTTTGAGATGACAGAGAGCTAGGAGAGCTCGAGTGACGCGTGTAGGAAGTGATAGACGCGTGACTTTACAGTCTCAGGTGGTTGGAAGATGTCGATTTCGTTGGCGGAGGATGTCTCAAATTATTTTATTGCCTAATCGGGACTCGTGGCGCTTACTCACGCGCCCCGATCTTGGTGTCTAGGTAATACCGTCAGCCACTCACATCAGAAGAGTCGAAGCGTGGGTCACTAGTTGGGGATCTTGGTAGATGGAATACTATAGTAGTGTCCCGGCGTAACCAGAGAATAAAAAGCCACCTTATACTTCTTGCTTTGGTAACTGTACATCCAACATGCACACTCTACACGCGACCTGAATACACCTACGCGCTCGCACAAGCTCAAAATTACTTGATATTCAAACGTTCCCACTACACAGACACGTAGATGCCGTGATAGGCCGACGGGACACAGAACCTACGAGCTGTACAGCCTCAAACGCTGACCATCGAACGCGATAAGGCATATGCGAAAGTATCAGAAATACAAAAATGCGATGATTTTAGCATGAACAGGGCTATCTAGAACCAAGCAGATCACGTCAACAATCATGGATCCACTTTAAGAGAGAAAATTTAGGTGTGTATGAACATAAAATCCTCGTGTTATGGAGTATGGTACTGCTGGCGCTGTTTTATTATATGCTGTGTCGCTTGTGGTATGCATATCAAGCTCATATAACGTCATACCTGGCGTTGTTACAGTTCTTTGTCCTCAGCGAGCTCTGCGGGCTTTTTTATACCACCAGAGATGCTTTGAGGGCCTACGATGAGAAAAGATTCTTCCGGGTGTGCTTTTTGTGTTTCCTCCAGATTTCAGTTTCAAGTTTCCGTCCGTTGAGATGCGCATTAACTTGATCTAGAACGTGAGATCTCTTGGACGTGGAGGAGACCCAGGATTCCAGTATGAGCGGCGATGCTCGAAGAGTAACACCTGGGTGTTCGTCTGCCTCCTCAGATCCCAAAAAGCGTGCCTTTGCCAGATGCTTCATCGCATGTTTTCCTTTGGCCTTTGTCCCCAACTACTCTCTTGACACATGAACGACTCGTCTTCGAGAGACGTGTACGCTCTTTTCAACGCTGTTCTCGCCATGTTGTTGTAGCGAGATTGTGATGCTACTCTCTTCCTTGCTCGTCCCACGTACTAATGCTAGATGCTGCTTACAAAGCGCCCAGCTTGCACATCTATGGAGACAGATTTCTTCTGGGGAGGCTATTCAGCAGGCGACGACAGCGCTATCTAAATGTCAATACAAGTCATGATTATGGCAGGAGGAACTCAGAGCTCCTCGCTGTCTTCTTTTTTCTTTCTCCGGCCTGCGCCCTTGCGCTTCTTGGGCTCACCACTCTCATCTTCGTCCATTTTCTCAGTAGCAGCGGGCGCATCGGCAATCTTCTTGACGACGTCCTCGAGAAAGTCGAACTGCGTGTCGGACGTGATGGCTTGCTTCAAATGAGCAGGCGTGACGCGTTTCTGGCCGCGTGATCGGGCTTCGGAGGCAGCTTTTGTTACAAGGTTGATCATGAAGAGCTCCAGGGCTTTCGCTGAGAAGACGTTAGCAGAGTTCCTCGGAAATGTTAGGGATGTTGCAACGAACAGACTGCTACAGGTGTGACCTGGGCGACCTTGCCGACATCCTCGTCGGCTTGCATGATTCTCTTGATTCTTGCGACAGGAAACTTGGTCTTCACGATTATGCCCAAGTCGGCGTTTGTATTCGCGGAGCTGTCGCTATTGCCGTCAGGCGGGAAGCTGCTGTAGTCGTGTGCAGGCTCTGGCGGGGACTCTGGTGTATAGTCATCTTCTTCATACTGTACCCTCCTCCCTCGAGTCTGAGGAGGCATGGTGCCGGGGGATTGCAGTTGTGGAAAGGCGTAGCTGTTGGATTGGTCTGGGAGGTAAGGCTGGTTGGTAATGAGTGAACCTGGAGTATAAGGAGGAGCGTGAGAGATTGAGCCACGATAGTACTGCTGCTGAGGCACAGGAACAGGCTCGGGAGCGTCTTGGTAGAAGTTTGTGAGGTCGGGGGATTCGGGAGCGAAAGAAGGATTGCCGGTAGAGCTGTCCATTATTTAAGAGCTATTTTGGGGGGGAGGCAGGCCTGGTACCTGTCCCTGTCCAGTGAAGGACAGCACAGGCACACTAGTAGCAGGTTTGGCGGGCAGTGGGGCCGGCCAGGGAAGCGAGCAGACGTGTTGATTTGCTGATCGATCAAGTATCAGTGCAGCGACACACCGACACACCGACACCGAGACTGGCTTATACAAGGAGCTACAGCACTACGGATGCAGGCGAATTTCTGGTTGGTGGTGATAGTCGTATAGCGTGTGTTTGTGGGGTGTCCACTGCTGGCTACGGGCGTGTTGCAGCTCGGGAAGCGGGCCGTCCAGCGAAGTCGAGATGGGTACAAACAACCGGTGGTACAGGTGGTCTTGCGGCCAGAATTGGGAAGACAAGCTACAGTATAGTGCAGTATAGTATATAGTACCCGGGCCTATAGCTGTACTGAAGCTAGGGATGATGTAGCTATAGCTGTACGCTGTACGCTGTACCGGCAGCTGCAACTAAAGGTACTATAGCTAACGCTATAGTTGCAGCAGCGGAGGGTAGCTGTAGGAACCAGGACGGGACGGGATATCGGACAACTAATACCGGATATCAGATATTAGCTAGGTAGGTCGGTATACAGGTAGGTATCGGATAGCAATAACCTGAGGCAGCAGCTGACATAAGACAAGGGTAAGGTGTCAGGTGTCAGTCAGGTGTCAGGTGAGTGTCAGGTGCTCGAAGCGAGGAGCGAGAAAGAGAGAGAAAGAGGGGCAACTCCTCAGGCAGAAAAAACATGGAAAGTGGACGGAGGGGAGGGGGAGCGGCCGAGAGCGGCGGACTGGCTCCTTAAATTCTTTTGATCTTTGACGTGTTTGGCGTGTTGGGCGTGTTTGGTCCACCCAGCCCAGCTAAGCCCAGCCCCTGGATCCGCTTTCTGGCCCTTTCGTTCGCGCCTGCCTGCCTTGCTTGCCTGAGTGGGAGGTGAAGAAACTGCCGCACGCTAACAATCAATCACGGGCTGGTGACTGGTCCTGAATAATTACTTAATTAGCTTTCATTACATCTGATCGCGACGCGCCTACGACATACATCGAAGTGCTGAAGCGTCTTTTTCCTCCTCACTCATTTGAACTTGACTTTGGCTATGTTCACTTGTGACGAACGCGTCTTCTGCCCTGTACGTCGGCGCGGCTCTGAAAAAGTGCACTGCTCGCCACCCACCTGTCAGCGAAGCGGACCACATCATACCTTGCTATACCTACTCACTGGTAAGCTACTACTCCCTTCCCACGCCAGCCTTGTCATGATGATACACCATGAGTTGGGAGACTGCGTCATCGAATCATCGATCTGCGCATGTGGACGTGTCTGCTGCCCGCCGTGGAAGCAAGCCTTTGCCGTCCGCAGTTGCGTGAAGCCGATCAGCCTGATACTATTCGTGTCTGGCGCTCTGGTTCCCCTTCTGCAGGATAGCGTGTATTGCTTTCCATCGAGCACGCTCGTCCGTCCGTGAACGAGTTAACTTGATCTAATCTGAACATACTGTCCTTTCTCATAAGCACATTTCTGCATTCACTTTTCTTGCGCGACGATGCTAACTTACTTTTCGGGCGCAGACACATAACATAACTTACTCTGGGCACTGCTTGGCTGGATTTTCACGTGCAGCCCAATAATGTGACGCGTTACTTCGCGTTCTCACAACGCGTGCCCAGGTAGGTAGTGAAATACCTAGGTAATGACTGACCTGGGCTTGCAGGTGACGGGATAAAGCTCGCTTATGTAATATCTCCACCACCCCCACCTACCCACATCCCAATGTGGTATCTCGAAAATAGCGAATCCACTGCACGAAAATTTCATCCTTGTAGCCCACACAGCCCGAGCGCTATCTTTTCAGTCTTAAAACTACTATTAGTAGTAACAAAAAGACCAGCACAATCGCAAAAGGAGAATGCGGTGAACCGGGATTGAACCGGTGACCTTCAGATATTTGAGGCTGAAGTGCTACTTCAGTCTGACGCTCTCCCAACTGAGCTATCCCCGCAACGATTGAGAAATCTTGCTCCGCAAGTGGTCTATGTTGGCTGAGCAGTCAACAACGGAAAGCGATGGAGTGGCCAATCAGATGCTTCGAGTCTAGTATCGACCTGAGGTGCCTGTTGAGCCCCACCTTAGTTACATGTTTACTCGTGACGCAGATATCATACTGAATCAGACCAACATTCTGCCTTCCACCTTACTACTACATATCTTTCACAATACTACCGTCTTCCATCCGTCCCTCCTCCTTCGCCCCTTCCAGCCGCCACGTCTCTACCAAGCTCGACTTTGGATCTTCATCCGGCCACCCCATCTGCCGTCTCACTTTCAACACCTCCTTCCTCACCCTCATCGTACACTCCTCTCTCAACTCCACAGCCTCCCGCCCAAACTTCAATTCTTCGTTCAATTCCCCCATGAACAACCCCTCACCTCCATTCCTCCCCTTCAATGTTTTCCATTTCTCCCTCAAATCCCCAAACACCCCGTCCATATCTACTTTGTCCCCGAACGCAACGCTAATGTTCTTCCCTGGCCGCGGCACAAAGCGCGGAAACTCTCTCTCCTCGTGCATTGCCCACTGCGGCCCGTCGATCCACAGCGCAACCAGGTCTGGACACGGCTCGCTCTCCAGTATGAGCCGTGCCACGCCCCATTTGAAATATCGCATCGTCAGGTCTTCTTTCTGGTGGATCTTGCCTTCGGGAAAGATGTGGATCCAGCTGTGTCGTCGGGAGAGGTAGGCTGAGGGGGCAGGGAATGTGTCGTGGCCCGTTGTGGTGTACGTAAGCGCGGCAGAAGTGAAGGGGTCAACAATGTCCGGGCTAAGTAGGGATATGGAGGGTTTTGACGCAGGTGAGTCTGGCGGAGCTTGGGAGAGTTTTTTGTGATATGGTCCAGCGGAGAGAAGGCGGATTGCTTGAGTTATGGTCGGTTGGAACAGGCCGCCGTGAGAAGAGTGGGCGGAGCGGTGGGTGGGGAGGACCTGGCCGAGAGTGAAGAATGTGGATGTTACTCTGTATCTGTGAGTGATAGACGACTGAGGGGTCTGGTAGAAGAGAGACGTACTTGTTCTGAAAACATAGATCGTAGGAGCCTAGACTCCAGCGCGACATGTTAGGGTTCAACAGGTAGCGCATAGGCAGTACACCCCATATCATCGGATCGTCCAACCTAGTCCCCAGCATCAGTAATCACTCCCCCATCTCTTGCTCGCGCAGCAGACGCCTAGCCACATACACAGAAACATGGTTTGAAACTACGAGATTCCATTAGCTACCATTTCTATACCATACTTTGTGCACAGCGCCGTACCTGTGATCAACCCTCTCTTCCTCCCTTCTATATCCCTCCTCTCGTCCAGCACCCCCAGGAACCTCTCTAGGCCTGGCGACTCGGTGTAACTGAGTCCATACAGAAATGCGCGACAGATTGCGCCAATCGTGCCAACGGTGGCAATTGAGCTCGCGCGCCAAGGCAGGCTGGGAGCTACTGGGGGCTCGTCCGTGGAGGTCATTAGATATAATGCATTGAATTCGAGTAGGTAAGTAAGCGGAAAGGAAGAGAGAGGGAGAGATGGGGAATTACGTAGGATTCCAACGGTCGCAAGCAGGTCTACCAGATGCGTGCTTGACGCGCTCTGATTGGTGATCCTGGATCGTGGCGGGCTCGGGAGTGATGATGCGGAGATGCCTCAGGCGTGGATGACGCGACTTAAACTTCGTCAAAATACATCGCCTGGCTAGATCGTGCTTTCAAAACCGCACTTCCAAGACTCGGCCGTCATGGCGCATAGTAAGTGCATCTTCTCGTTTTCAATTCATCCTCTCAACTAACATGCCACAGGCAAACGCAACACATCCCTTGCCTTCTTTACCGCGCACGAGCGCTCCCAATTGACCTCGTCATGGGGCTCACAATCCCAACACCTCTCCTCGACCTCCTTTCTCCCCTTTGGCAGCTGCCATCTCTGCCTTCTACCGGCGGTCGACCCGGTAGCATGTGCCTCACGCGGCGATCTCTTCTGCCGCGAATGCGCGATAAGTAATCTGCTCGCGCAGCGAAAGGAGATCAAGAGAGTAGAGAGAGCAGGCGAAGAGAGGCGCGCCCTAGAGGAGGAGCTCGAGAAGGAGGACGATGAAGCAGCACGGCTGGAAAGCGTGAGGCGGTTCGAGGACGTACAGAGGGGATTGGAACAGAAAGGCGACAGATCTACAGTCGAGCGGCAGCACGAGAGGAGAGCTGATGTCGCGCGTGACAATAAGAACGCGCCCTCGTCCACAAGCACAAAGCGCAAATTCGAAATCGACGAGGCCGAACTCCTCCGCGTCGCCGCTGACGACCGCAAGGCGGCGCGCCTGGCCCTTGACGACCGCGCCCGCAGCTCTACGAAACACATGCCGAGCTTCTGGCTCCCCTCACAGCTCCCCAAAGCACACGCCTCCGCGCAAGCCGCGGTCAAGCGTGCCCCGATATGTCCCAGTTCGCCCGCAGATGCGCCGCACGTACTCTCCCTCAAAACACTCGTGACGGTCAGCTTCCACACACAAGAAAAGGAAGGCGCGAAGGGAGCAGAGCGGTCTTGTCCCGCATGTATGCGGACGCTGAGCAATGCGAGCAAGGCAGTGCTTGCGGTACCGTGTGGACATGTGGTATGTAAGCCATGTGCGGGGAAATTCATGAATAAAGAGAAAAAGATTGATGTGCATGATATCGAAGCAAAGGTTGGAGAAGTAAGATGTTATACGTGTGAGGCGGATTTAAGTGGACGGAAGGAGAAGAAGAGCAAAGAGGGGAGAGAAGAGGGGAAAAAGAATAAGGAGAAGATAAGGCCTGGCTTGGTGGAGATGAACACTGAGGGCACGGGTTTTGCGGGGGGTGGGAAGAATGTAGTCAAGAAGGAGGGGGTTGTGTTTCAGTGTTAGAATCTGTTGGGTGATGTGGTGCTTGTAAGTTATTATGATTACAGCGACGCGTTGGGCGCTATCTGGGCATGCGAAGTGGCTGGTATAACATATGTCTGTATCAATAACGAGACGATGTCTTCCTGACCCCGATCCTAAGCCTTTCTCCTTCCCTTTGTCTTTCTTTGCACCGTGTTCCACACCTTGCTCATGTCCTCTGCAAACGCCTCATCGTCGTCCTTCCCGCTGTCGTCCGGCTTCCACTCAGCAGTCTCATCAAGGCTGACTCCGCCCGCACCCCATTGATCCTCACTGCCACTGGTAAGCGGTTCTTGCTCCCAGGGCCCAACCTCACACAATCCTTCCGCAGTGCCGAAGACGCGGAGCTTGTTGCCGTATGTCTGCCAGAACGAGTCCGCGAAAGGTGGCATGCATTTGCTATTGGTAAGAGGCGTAGATGCCGAGGATTGTGCTGATGATGGTAGCGTGGCCCTCGAACTGGAAGCCTGTGTTTTGTGTTGTTGTTTGGTGGACTTGACGGCAAAGAGCTCTACGTCTGGTTGCTTCGGGTCGGTGGTTTGGTCTGAGATTTCTGGTTCTTTGGTCGTATTATCTGCGCTTGCCTGCACGTCCAGTCGTGTGCTTAATCGCACCATGATCAACGCTGTGAGGTATGAGTCGTAGCCTGCCTCGTGCAGCAGTGCACCGTGGTCGGCGTTTGAGTATTTTCCGAATAATTCGTCCGTCTCCAGTGTCGGATATGCCTGTAATCGCAACTTCTCTTCGGTCTCTTGGAGGGACGAAATGGGATTTATATCACCGCAGTCATGCGTGGCGAGATACTTGGTGTCGACAATGCAAGGGAAGACTGCATGTAGTGCGTCCTGAAACTCTTCCACGGTATCAGGGAGACTGCCGAAGAAGCACTGATACAGATACACCATATCCGTGAAGCAATTATGCCCAACCAGAACCGGCGTTCGCTTCTTCAACCGCTGATGTGCGTCGTGAAATCTCGAATTGAGATCGTGAATGTCGACAACTCCAGACTCCCCGGTGACAGGGTTCTTCGCAAAGTGTTGCAGCCGCCCATCCAGTTTCTGTAGGTTGCCGTCCGCAGCCAACGCCTCCATGACCCATCGGAACCCCGTTTGCCGCCCGATCTTATCGCGTATCTCGCGCTTCTTAGATTTCCGGATTGATGCCTCACGTGAGTCGTCAATGCGTTGCACGCGCACTGAAGATCGCCGGCCAAGCGTCATATATCCTGGGAATTCGGCGCGGACAAGCTGGTGGACGAGACGCTTCTCGAATTGACCGAGCTCGCCGAACTCGGGCTGCTTCTTTGCGAACGAGTCATGTGAGAGGATGTCAATGTATGGAACTCTGTCGTCGCTTTTGACGAAGGCACCGACAATGGAGCGGATGGCGTCTAAGAAGGCGATCGAATCAACATCCGAGGGACTGAGTTGGATGTCGTCGAGCTGAACTCGGTCAAGACGGTCCATGGCAAGCTTCATGGCAAGGTCGTCCTCGGTACGAGAGAGGTACTGAACACCGGAATAGAAGGGCTTGGCCATATCAAAACTGTGTGAAAGAAGAAATTCGACGGCCGAGCTTGAGAAAGCGAAGGTGCGCTCTAGATCCAAGCGTTCGTCTATCAGCGGGCTGATTTGGATGTTATACGGACGGACGACATATTTGTATGTATCTAGTCCAAGGTCTTGCACTTGTTCGACACATGTGAGTCCAACCTGGAGAATCTGATATTGCTCAGCTGCGGCTTTGGTCTCAACGTAACGTTCCTGGAGAGTTTGCTTCCGGCGGTTCTTGGTCTTGACTGAGACGCCGGAAAGCTCGAGATCTATGGCTACGAAATGCGAATCTGATATGTGCTTCAGGATCTTGAGATAATTACCCAAAAAGGTAAGGTGGTTGATATCCATGACTGGTTTGGGACCACTGGAACATGGGAAGACCACAAGACAGATGTCAGAACTTGCGCAGCCGAATGTAGAGCAAAGGGCAGTAGTAATTTAGAGGAAATAGAGTGAGCGTCTGGAATGAATACGTAGCTTACCCGGCAACAGACAAAATGCGAGTTTATTAGAACCTAAGTGTCATCACTTACAAGTGGCGTTTCGTATCTTGCGCCTTGTTGACTCACTTTCAACACAGTGAACTTTGTGTGTATGGTTGTTCGTCGTCCTTTGACTACAGTATCGGCTGCGATACTTGTTCATATAATATTGTATGCGACACGACGGGAATAGCAACCTAGGCAGGCAAATTAACACCTGAAGACTGAGGCATCCGTGGATTAAATTGTAGGATGCCTTAGATTAGCGAGGCTGACGCATCAATCCGGACCAACTGCATTTCGGCGAATGTATCTCCACAGAAACGCCAGTACCACGAGCATTATATTTGTTGTCCATTTTATAAAGCGGAGATGAGGACTATAGCATGACGGAACCCCGGTGCTTGTTCCTATATAGTGTCTAGGGACTTCACAAGCAAAGCTTTCGTGAAGCTGGAAGCAGAAACGCGAACCTCGGCTTCTCGCACGGTCGAACCACCCCCAGCCAGCAGGCGTCTTCCACCAGCCTTCACGGACTCTTGTATAATCCACATTGCTACTGGCGATGAGATAAAACATATCATGCCTGCCATAGATATGTCCTACGACGACTCGCTGGCGACTTCGCGCCTGTTACAATCCTCAATATCCTCGCTTTCATCGAGCCGGCAGCAAGCCTCGCAGATTGCGAAAGCCTACCGACAGGCCGCCCAGCTTTTTCTCACAAGACGTCTTCCCGAAGCTTTCTCTACCATTGAGCCTATAATCACCCCGGAGAAGTTTGAGAATGGTGATAGCGAAGAGCATGGAACGGTCGCGACTCCGGCACCCATTGCCGCCGCGTCACGGGGCACGAGGATCAAGGTGTGGAGTTTCTACCTGACATTCCTGAATGCAGTCATAGAGCTAGGACCTGAGGAAGGGAAGCATGCATTTGGAAGTGTCAGGTGGAAAGGATTGGCCGCCAAGTGTCGCGATGGAAGCGTATGGGATGAAGTAGTTAGGGTTGGCTATGGAGGCTCGGAAGGAGACGTCGATGCCGAAGTAGTGATCAACTTGTGAGAACAGCGACACCTTGAATTGTTAGAATATCTACTGATCTTACCTAGGGCCACTCTTCTACTTACACACTCCCCTTCTCAGAAGCTCAACCAGCAACGCCTTGAAAACTATCTATCCTCTACCGCACAACCGACTTTCGACTTTTCACATATGGCGACTTTGACACCACGGCGACGAAACTCTGCGGCCAATGCTATGACCAACGGAACCAACACGCCGCGAGATCTCAACTCCAAGCTCAAGCTCCTCGAATTATACACCCTTCACATACTGCCAAGAAACGATGAATGGGACTATGCGCGCGAGTTCATTGGTATGAGCGAACTTCTAGACGATGAGCGAAAGGAGGCTTTCCAGATCGCTCTTCACGGCCTGAAGGAAGAAAGGGAGCATGCTGCAAACCGTGAAGCTGAATTGCAACGTCAGCAGCAGGAGCAGCTCGAGCAAAAACGCCAGGAGGCCGAGGCCGAGGCCGAGGCACGGCGGCAGGAAGCTCGGAAAGAGGAAGAGGAACGGAAGAAGCGCGAGGGCAAAGCCAAACACACCCTCCGAGACACCGATGACAGTTCGGACAAGACCAAACGCTCAGCAACCTCCAATGGGCGCCGCCAACCACCTGATCCCAACCCTTCGCGCGTCTCCAGACCTGCTGCCCGGAAACCTGTTGCGCCGCCGCCCAGTTTCTATCAACGAGCGTCAGCGATGATGGGCTCGATGCAAACTGCTTTTTACACATCGACACAGGACCTTACGAATAATCCAGTCGCGCTCATTCGTATGATGGTGTTTTTTCTGGCGTTGGCGTTGGCTTTTGGGAGACGAGATTTGCGCGAAAGATTAAAGAGAATGATAGCGAATGCATGGGACAAGATTCGGCGTACGATTGGGATGGGCGTCAAGGTTAGCTATATATGAAGTCAGAGAGGCATTAATGTATGTTTACAGAGGCTATTAGTCTACGTCTGCTCGAATTACCACACATTTCTCAATATTGGTTTTTATAGGTCCGTGTTACTACTGCTTGAATCTGCTCGTTGGGTCACCATGGATCAGCAGCCGCCCGGTCGCCGTCATGGTGGTGCCTACAGGAGCTCTTATGTTCTTACTTGCCGGCTCTGACAGACGTGCTTCAATTCTGACACACTCGAGGGCTGGTGAATGCTCAGCTTGCCTCGTCGTCATGCTAGACCTGAGGTCATATCCGCTCAGGAGGGTCGTTGACAGGAATGTCCCACATCTTGACCTCTGCCAGCATCCACACTACCAGCCTCTAGTACTTGCAGACTCCATTTTCATGCTTCTAGCATCATCCATTCCTGTCACAATCTCACTGCGATCTTCATACCGCCTCAGCCCTCCTACGCAATACTTCCACCTGGCTGCTAGTACCATTTGGCTTCCCTCCTACGCTACTCTTGAGCTGTTCTTGTGCAAGTGCGCCTTCTTTCTGCTGTCTGAACTTCTTACGTGTATTGTCTGGTATCTGGTACGGATATATAGTTAATGGCCCGAGTAATAACTATAGCCTATTCTTCCCCTTCAATATCTCCTTTAACGAGCCAGGCTTAACTGAGCGATGTTTCTGTACAGCGGGTGATCTCTCCTCTCTATATAATCAGATGACCACTTAGAGTCGTCCAGACTGAAACTCCATGTTCAAACATGACCGCTACTATTAAGCCCAGATTACTCGGCTAGGGCCTAATTACTCCTGTCGTGAATTATTTATCACATGCCATTGTTCTCATCAAACCAACAGGCTCCCTTAGTGCAGTAACTCTTTTGGAATGGTTTACTGGTTTACCAACGGGTGAAGCCCGTTTCGACGCCTATTCTCTCTATACACTGAAGATCACTTTCCTATCCCTAGTGAGGCCCCTGAGCGACCCTTGGCTTGTTCTGCCTTCTATCGCCCAGTCCTCATTCCTCCTACTTCCTACTGGTCGATAGAAGAAAACCAGCTCACTTATCTACACTCATATCTATTTCTTCGTGTATATACGGAACACTCACATATACCTAAAGTTGTGACTTGAACTTCGTCTTTGCTCATACCTACGCAGACTTACTATAGGTCTACTATATACTGCCTGATCTCACACTGACTAAACCTCATCATGAACCTACCTTGAACTTGTCAGCTGAAATATGCTGCTCTGAGCTATTTGAAGATCATTGGAAACATTGCTGTAGGCCATGGGCTCCAATAATGCCAAACGTCGTCCAGAACCACGATGCCTAGTGTTTTCGAGTCCAAGGTAGTTATGGTCCCTCCATTCTATTCCCTACGGACTCTCATGATACTTCGTTGAGTTGCTCCAGACTCATCCCCTCCGTCATCTTCGATTAGCCTTGTTAGAGAGAATGGGGTCTAAAGAGTGGACTATGCCTCTACATTTGCAACTAGACCTCCTGTGTTGATACTCGAGTAGCTAGTCTGAGTCATTATATTAGCTCTCATGGTAGGTGATTTTTTCTTATGCTGATTCAAGAATCCTTAGGTAGAGTGCATTCACTGTTTCCATGATTTTGCATTACCCTACTTTCTTTACCGTGTTGAACATGTATGTAATGATACTACGTTGTGTTGGATGGAAGACTCCTTTGATAATAGGAGAAGGCTATGTTGCCTAATCTGGAAATCTATCCGACATTACTGCATACGCCTGCGTACAAGTCCACCGTATCTAGCGTGAAAGGAGCTGAACAACCACCGGAGCGGGAATCTGGGCAGCGGAGCGGAACACCGACAATCGGCACCTGGACACGTGCAAGCACGCAATGAACTTGTAACGAACCGTACCCAATCTTGATTATACAAGCATAGATGGCGTCAGTAACTATTATAATGCGCCGAAACCGCCGTATACAATACTCTCTACCCTCGCTCGGTTTGTCACCATGCTCTAGGATATACAATGCACCATGAGCACCACGAGAGCCGTCGTTACTGTGGCACGTCCCGCCATACGGCATAGCTTCCGTGATTCTACACAACTATCACAGAGATCGTTACGATGGCATTCGACAACACCCAAGCGCAATATCCACCAACAGTCGATCCGAAAGTCCCAATCTGCAGCCGTTGTAGACCCCGAGTCGCGATATGAGCCCACGAACCCCCCAATGGCATTCCCATGCCTCGACGCTGTTGAAACGCGCTCGAGGACGCTCACAAGTGCCCGGCGTTCGCAGTCAGGTCCAGAACCTTCGTACACCACTGGCAAAACCCTGAACTATCACTCTAAAGAGTCCCTTCTGCTAGACTGGGGCGGGATTCTACCGGAGTTTAATGTTGCGTACGAGACATGGGGCGAACTTAACACAGATCGCAGCAATGCGATCCTGCTACACACCGGTCTCTCCGCTTCATCGCATGCGCACAGTACAGAGGCGAATCCTAAGCCTGGTTGGTGGGAGAAGTTCATAGGCCCTGGGGCTCCATTGGATACTAACAAGTATTTTGTCATCTGCACGAACGTAATAGGAGGCTGTTACGGCAGTACAGGGCCTAGCTCGATCGACCCTGGAAATGGAGAGAGATACGCTACACGGTTCCCTATTCTGACCATGCAGGATATGGTTCGGGCACAATTTAGGCTTATAGAAGATCTTGGAATCGACAAACTATACGCCAGTGTCGGGAGCAGCATGGGAGGTATGCAGAGTCTCGCCGCTGGCGTGTTATTCCCTGAAAAAGTCGGACGCATCGTCAGTATCAGCGGCTGCGCGCGAAGTCACCCATACAGCATCGCCATGCGGCACACTCAACGTCAAGGTAAGCCGTCAACATGAGCGCCCTTCCAGACCTCAGAAGCATTCATTGACTTCTTAGTGCTCATGATGGACCCACACTGGTCTCGCGGCTTCTACTACGACGCCATACCACCTCATGGTGGTATGAAGCTCGCGCGCGAGATTGCAACTGTAACATACAGATCCGGTCCTGAATGGGAGCAACGCTTCGGTCGACGCCGCGCCGACCCCTCCAAGCCACCCGCGCTGTGCCCAGACTTCCTCATCGAAACATACCTAGACCACGCTGGCGAAAAGTGGTGTCTAGAGTACGACCCGAATAGTCTGCTATACGTCAGCAAGGCAATGGATTTGTTCGATCTAGGGAAGACAAGCAGGGATAATATGGCGGAAGTGCGTGTCAAAAACCAAAGGCGATTGGCGGAACATATGGCTGGCAATGCAGGCAGAAGCACTGCGTCAACGGAGGATGCCACGTTGTGCAGCCTTACGCTCCCCACAACTCCATACGAGGAGAAAGAAGACGCCAACCCTGTCGCGGAAAGCTCCTCCAGCGAATTTTCTACTGCCCCTGGTAGCGCAGTCCCAGATCTCGTCGCTGGTCTCCGACCTATCATCAGCATCCCAACACTTGTGATGGGCGTCGCAAGTGATATCCTGTTCCCTGCATGGCAACAAAGAGAAGTTGCTGCGACGCTGCGTGCGGCGGGGAACCTTAACGTAACGCATGTGGAGCTTGGCGAGGAGAAGAGTCTATTTGGACACGATACGTTTCTCTTGGACCTTGAGAATGTAGGAGGCGAAGTGAGGCGATTTTTAGGGTAGTCACTTGTACCTAATGCTTCGAAGACGCTACTTGAGATGTTCTTTTGTCTGGCGTACGGAGGGTAACAGGAAGCATTCCCCCTGAAGCATAGCATAGCATGGCGTTCGAGATGATATGGAATTTTTGAAGCATTAATGTGTTCGCAGCGTGTAAAATATCGTGGATTCTCGTCAAAGTACGAAATGTAAAGTTCTAGTACAGGCTGTTTGTGTCTATAGAACCTCTATACCGATAAATCATGGAAAGCTGCCTTCATAGCGCCTTTCGAATGTGACGCGGTAACTTCCCTGGTGTTAGTATTCGTAGTACACATGCCTTCTCTACCACTGTTTTAAAAGACACCTTGGGCCATTCTGGGCGGCCCCTGCACGGCTTGTAGATGAAGGACAACGAATTCTATTTACACTGCGGCAGACCTGACAGCAGCAATATCAGGGATAAAATGAGCCTAGTGTGCATTGACAGAACGACCACGTCGACCTAATCAAGCGACTCGGCTTAGCTGTGAATGCACACGTCATTGCGCGGAGATGCGTTGATTTGGAAGAGACATCATATCAGCAGGCAAAATCTGAGAGTACTGGGAACTTCACCGAGAACGTGATGCGTGTTTGTGACAGAGTCAGACAGACGGTGTGTGGTTGAAGGGGTGGAGCTGGCCCTAAAAGTGTCAGGGGCAAACAAACGGCTGCTGTTGCAGCTTATGTAACGAAGGAAGCCGCGCTACTGAACACCCACCACTGACCACCACCCTGTGCAAGTGCCCATTCCGCCTTTCCAAAACGACGAGAGCGGATCCCCAGTCCAGTCCTGGTACTGTTAAATAACAGTAAACCTCCAACCTCTCCTACGAGGCTAAGCACGCCTGCTATTGTCGAAGGCTCTCTACTCCGGAACCAGCTATCGTTCTGGGCATCAAATATTTCCGCGCTGGCTGGCTGAGCAGCGGCCAAACCTCCGTCCAACCTCTTCATCAAGCCATTGAACGACTAGCCGCCATAACACACCATACGCTCAAGACCACATAACCTCTCACTGTCTTGGTGTACTCGCTCCGCCGAGTCTTAAGCAACTAGTCTGATCTTCACCAATAGCGTCGAAGTTAGTTACGCACCTGTATACCTCACGGCCTGGCCTCTAAGCACGTTTTCACACAAACCTTTACCATGGTGGACGCTTTCACACTGAACGAGCAGGATGGCAGGATTAGTCCGGGGATACCGATAGAGGAGGACAACGACATCGCTATGGCGTCAAGCGGACACACAGATCAGGATGCCATCTTCACCTCTTCAACCTCGCGAGGCCAGAAACGAGGGATGATAACTCGATCACAACCAAGGCCTATTCACACCCCAACAAGTCCTCTCAACTCGACGATACCACACAATCTTCTGCCTTCCGCTCCAGCATCACCCCCCACGCCCGCCCCGAGTCCTACACCTCACCAGCGAGCGCCGGATTGGAGTTCAGCCTCTGAGCATGAAGATACGAATATGAGAAATATTAGAGCGCTCTTTGGTGATATGACAGACGCTGAAAAACAAAGGCTTCTTGGAGAGCTGTTGAATATGTGCAACAGCAACCAGCTCAGCTTCGTGCATGAATTCGTCAGCCCTCGTCTGAAGAAAGATCCTTTCACGACACTCCCGAACGAGCTGTGTCTAAGGGTAAACTATGTACCGTCTGACCGTTATTCATTGCGCTAATGGAGCCCAGATATTAACATTCATCGATGACCCCACTACGCTGGCACGATCTTCACAGGTCTCGAGGAGATGGCGAGAACTGGTATCAGATGATATGGCATGGAAGTCACTATGTGAAAAGCATGCCTACCGAAGGCTTTCAAATGAGCCAGCTCCAACACCCCGGCTGGGCTACCGTGCCTCTACACCTGGTCGGCCAAGCTCACCTTCTTACGCCCATGTGCTGCGATTCGGTCAGATCAGGTATTCGAGTTACTCTGCGGGAGCCTCTAGCAGCGCACCAGACCTCAGGACAGAGAGCCTTGATCGAACACATTCAAATATGAGACAGATTAGACGGCGTCCAAAGGCGATGACTTATCGGTCGCATTTCAAGCAACGATACATGGTTGAAACTGCGTGGCGCTCTGGTGGGAGAGTTGACTCCAGACAGATCACACCAGATCAAGGCGTCGTAACGAGTCTCCACTTAACCGATAAGTACATCGTGGTAGCCCTCGACAATGCTAAGATACACGTGTTCGACGTCGAGGGTGGGCACCAACGGACGCTCCAAGGGCATGTCATGGGTGTCTGGGCAATGGTTCCATGGGAAGATGTTCTCGTCAGTGGAGGCTGCGACAGGGATGTCAGAGTATGGAACATGGCTACAGGGTAAGATTATGTCCAGTCGTATGTAAGGCAGTTAGTGTACTAACCGCAACGTCAAGACTACCCATGCACACTCTACGTGGGCACACATCAACTGTTCGTTGTTTGAAAATGTCTGATTCAAACACCGCGATATCTGGATCCAGAGATACAACACTAAGAATATGGGACTTGCCAAGTGGGCAATGTAAGCATGTACTTGTGGGTCACCAGGCTAGTGTACGATGTTTAGAAATACACGGCGATCTCATCGTGTCTGGAAGCTACGATACAATGGCGAAAATATGGAGTATCTCCGAAGGGAAGTGTCTCCGCACGCTGACTGGTCACTTCAGTCAGATATACGCCATTGCTTTTGACGGGCGAAAGATAGCGACCGGGAGTCTTGACACCAGCGTTCGGATCTGGGATCCAACGGACGGTAGATGTCTTGCCATTCTGCAAGGACATACGTCACTAGTCGGGCAACTGCAATTGCGACACGACGTTCTTGTTACTGGAGGGTCAGACGGTTCTGTTCGAGTCTGGTCGCTGGACAACTACCAACCCATTCATCGTCTAGCTGCGCACGACAATAGCGTTACGAGTTTACAATTTGATGAGACTCGAATCGTCAGTGGAGGTAGCGATGGACGTGTCAAAGTTTGGGATCTGAAGAGTGGAATACTGGTACGAGAGCTCAGCTCTCCGGCCGAAGCCGTGTGGAGAGTGGTGTTTGAGGAGGAGAAAGCTGTGATCATGGCAAGCCGTGGCGGTAAGACTATTATGGAGGTAAGAGCACTACGAGTACTTTGGTATATCAATGGCTTTGCTAATCATGAAAATAAGGTGTGGAATTTCGCACCTCTAGAAGAAGACCTTGAGGGCTACCGGTCTTCAAGTCCGATAAGCTTGCCAGACTCGGCAGGCACTTCGCCAGGGTACGCGGACTATCCAGAATACATGAGCCAAAGTCCATACCGCCATTCCACACTTGTAGATACGTCGACAAATACCGACGACGTTCCCATGAGCGAAGCGCCATTCGAGCCCAAATAGGAAGAGTACTGAGAGAGAAGACGATACTATAGCGACATATTACGATTTCAAACTTTACCAGACGAAGTGAGCGATTGCGTTAGCATACTTGAATTCGACCCACGAAAGCATATGGCGCGGCGCACTTTAGGTATCAAAGGGGCATAGGAAGAGGGCGTTCTACAGAATCGACGTGAACGCAGGGCACGAATTTGGACACTTGCGTCCGCCACGCCTCAGTAGCAGCGATCTTGGATGCAGCATTTCTTGGGAGTTATATGTTTGTTACGTGGAATATGGACCATACACCATAAGGGGGTAAGCAATATAGCATTTCATCTGCATTGGCCAATGCTAGATAATTGAATATCAGTGCCAAGTCACACTGCGCCAGCCATGCTACTGAAAAGTCGCGTGATGAATGATGGCAATTTAGCTGCAGTCATGGAGCAGGAGGAAACAAGCTCGCCAAGACCAAAAGCGAAATATAAGCACTAAGGTTCTTAAATGGCATCGAGTGTACGTGCAGACAACCTGGTACGTTGAAGTTGACATCTTGGTCCATCCATGTCTGCGTCGGCTCTCTCGGCCGCCGTTGACGCTGCAAGGTAGAGACAATTAGCGCAGGCTGCGCGCCAACTTGACGTCATTCTGGCGATAACGCGCGCGACCTACTAACACACCAAACCACTGGCATCCGCGCAATCCCGTCCCTGCTCAATGGTGAAAGCTTGAAAAGCTTATCAAGTTGAATCGTGCCGTGTGCCGGTGTTTTTTCCGTACCTATCACTTTCTGTCACGTTGGGTCACGGCTGTCGTGCGAAACGCCTCTTTTAAAGCCAGCTGGCTAGCGATTTCAATTGCTTCCAAACGACTGTCCTGAACATCATAATATCCTGAGTAGAGCTATCCATCGAACCTGCCCACGCGACCGCTCTGATTTCCTCGAATCTCCACCATTTCTTAGTTGAAGAGCTAGGCCTGCACATCACAAAAAAACCTGCCATGGCAGAAAAACTCAAACCCCAGAAGAAAATCGAGCTTTTCTCTGGCACATACTTCGGCGCCTGTACCCTCGGCGGCATCATTGCCTGTGGCCCAACCCACGCCTCCGTCACCCCTCTCGATCTCGTACGTGCATCTCTCGTCTCAGGAACCATAAAAGCCCTCCCATACTGAAGTCTCCTATAGGTAAAATGCCGCCGTCAAGTTGACCCCAAAATCTATAAATCTAACCTTCAGGGGTGGTCCAAGATCTACAAAGGGGAAGGCCTCCGCGGCGTCTTCCTCGGCTGGTCGCCCACCTTCGTCGGCTACGCCTTCCAGGGCGCTGGCAAATACGGCCTGTACGAAGTCTTCAAGTACGCATACGGAGAAAAGGCCTTTCCTAACACCAACAAAACCCTCGTGTACCTCGGTGCCTCTGCCTCGGCAGAGTTCTTCGCTGATATCTTCCTGTGTCCGTTCGAGGCCATCAAGGTGCGCATGCAGACGAGTGTGCCGCCGTTCGCGCACACGCTGAGAGAGGGCTGGGGAAAAGTGGTCAGGGAAGAAGGATTCGCGGGCTTGTACAAGGGTCTGTATCCGCTGTGGGCTCGCCAGATTCCGTATACGATGTGCAAGTTTGCCACATTTGAGGAGGCCGTCAGTCAGATCTACGGCTTCCTTGGCTCGCCAAAGGATAGCTATGGTAAGCTGGCGCAGACGGGAGTGTCCTTTGCGGGCGGATACATCGCTGGTGTCGCGTGCGCGGTCATCTCACATCCGGCGGATGTGATGGTGAGCAAGCTGAACAACGACCGCAAAGCGGGCGAGGCGGCGACAAAGGCAATCGGGAGAATTTATGGAAATATTGGGTTCGCGGGACTGTGGAATGGTTTGCCGGTCCGAATTGCAATGATCGGGACGTTGACGGCGTTTCAGTGGCTTATTTACGATTCGTTCAAGGTCGCGTTGGGGCTGCCCACGACTGGGGGACATTGAGATAGATGAGAGGTTTAGACGATGTGGTGTTTGTTCATAGTTCTTCGAGCGATCATGCGATGGTGGTTATTCATGGTAATATAATACACATACGAACAATACACATACGAACTGTCGTAGCATCGTAGGCTTGCTTTGTGATATAATATGGAATAGCATTTAATAGTGAATATGTAGTGGTAGTATTGCCTGATACGGTCAGCTGCTAAGTCGACTAATGGCGGGCTACCCGAGTTGATGGTCAGTCTGGTCCTGCCATTTCTTTGTACTTTTGCCCTGTTACTGATAGAAATAGAAACTCGGGGTATGCTACAAGTTAAGTAAAGTAATGCTCCCAAGAATGCATACTTTCTGTAGCACCCGTGTAACGCCACACAATGCCACCTTCCCAAACGCCTTCGCTATGCAACATCATCATCAAATGGCGTCCTCGAATTCGTCCTCGTCGGATCCAGAGCCCTCGTCATCCTGGGCCGGCACAGTAGGTGTTGATGTTCCATCAGTGCCATTTGCCTCAGTCTTCACTCTCTTGGCTTCCCGTGCGATATCTGCCGACACGACCGGCGGCACGGGCACCACATCTTCGAATTCATCATCGTCGTCCTCATCGTCCTCGGAGCCCGAGCCCTCTAGTTGCTTTCTTTCTTGCTCTGCTTCTAGCGAGGCAAAGTATTCGTCCAAGGTCGCGTCTCCGCTAGGGCCCTTCTTGTCTTCCTCGACGTCGCCTTCCCCTGCGCGGAGGCCGAGTGCTGAGTTTGGTGTCTCCGGTGTCGCTGTCTGCTGCACGCCAGCTTTAGCTCTCTCGCCAGTAATAGTGGAGTGCGTATGCCATTCTGGAAGAATGTTTTGTTGTGCGATCTTTGCGGCCTGTGCTGCGGCTGCGGCCTGTTCTGCGGCAGTCACAGATGCGTCGTCGGTGATGTTGATGTCGAGCTTCTCGGGTCCACTGGTTATTCCTTTGACGGCGGTAGGCTTGAGTGGCTGGACCACGACTGTAGCTGGCTTCGCTCCGGGGTTGTTTGTAGCACGCGGGACGGGTAACTGGTTGGCCAGCGCCTCTTCTCCGGAACTGGGTGGGATGGACGTGTTGTCGATCTGCTGGAGTAGGTTCAGGAGTCGGCCAAACTGCTTGTTGAACTTCGCCGGCGTATCATCTGCATCGTGAATAGCGTCTCCGTCTGTATTAATCATCTTCAAGACGCTGCCACATCTTTTGCAGGTGAAACCGCTACCCATATTGAAGGAGTCTCTGCTGTCCAGTACCTCCATTGTGGTGTACTCCGCGCGACATGTGGGACATTGCAGCTCCTTTTTCTCTTGCGTTGGTTTGCTTTCAGCCTTTATTCGTTCGTCCAGCATATGAACTCTGTATTTGGTCGCATCGATCGCCCGTCGGTAGTCTATGTAGAAATATTCTTTGTTTGTCGGCTTCATTGCGCCCTCTTTGATTTCTTGACGCACGTAACTGCAGCGCATGTCAGCCAATATAGAAATAAAGAATACTAGTATTCCATACACAGAGATTAGTCCGCCCTCACGCAACTTTCCACATATCTTTTGCGCATTCTTCTGGTTGTTACCATCCATAAGTACCGTGGCTAGGTCAGAGATGGAGAGGCTACCACGGTCAGTCTACCGTCTACAATTCATCTGTCCTTGAAGCTCACGCTGAGTGATTGACTAGGGCATCAATGACCACGATGGCATCGATATCGTAGAAGGCGCGTACAACACTGCGCACCAAGATCTTAGCGAGATCCATGGCTGGATTATGGTGGAAGTCGGCGTGTCCAGAGGCTGTTATGATGGAATCGAGATATATTCGACGGTACCCACACCGTAAATATGATTAGGAAAAGGTGAAGAAATTCATGTATGCCAGGCTGAAGTGCATCAAGCTAATGTGACCATGCGATGGCAATGTAGCGCATTCAATGATCGCAGCGCTGCTCTAGACAATCGAAGCTCTTCCGGGACTATGAGAGTGCGTAAAGTGAGGGATGAAAATACCGAGCCTAGGCGTGCCTACGCGGGATCACTGTGAGGTTGTTCTTGATGCACCTGTTCTGTACTTAGGTTGAATCGCCCACGTAGGGCTGAGCCACTCCCTCCGGTTTAGCGGAGATGTGGATTGAAGCGAGTAATTTTTTTTGTTTCGCGCTAAGGACTCTAGTAGCTTGTGCTCCCATGCTTGAGCTCTCATGATGTTACTTCGATAATTACCCGCCATCCCCCCTGTCCGTTCTACAGTTCTATGCGGGCGCATTCTTTTGTTCAGACCGCTCGTAGCTTGAGCTTCATACCTTCGATCGTCCCGCAAAGATGGCCTCACTTCCACAAGATCCAGAACCGGAACGTAAGTTGGCGATTTCGCAATGCCAAACGTCGCAAGTCCATGAATTCGTCGGACGACAACACGAACCTGGAAAACTATCTGAATTGGCAGGCGAGAGTGGAGAAGCGAAACGCTCTCGAGAAAACGAAGGCGATGACATCACAGACAGACCCGATCGTTCTGGTAAGCGACTTCGCTCTGAAAAGAGTGGACGAGAAGGAAGGAAACCACGCGCGTCGAAACGAGAGCGAGAGCGAGATGCTGGACGTGGTCAATACTTCAGAGAGCGTACTGACAGGCGTCAGCGTAACGATGAAGAGCAGGCGAAGCAGCGCGCTCGCGCTGAGGCTGGACTAAATATCAATCCCATGCTTCCAGGGCCCTTCTCCGCCGAAGAGATCGCTGCTGAGGAACGAAAGCCGAAGCGTAAAGTTGCGGTTCTGGTCGGATATTCCGGTACAGGGTATAGAGGAATGCAAATATCTCACAGCGAACGCACTATCGAAGGCGATTTATTTACGGCATTCGTCGAAGCAGGCGCTGTATCCAAAGCCAATGCTACTGATCCGAAAAAGGTGGCACTTGTACGCTGTGCGAGAACGGACAAAGGTGTTCACGCCGCAGGCAATGTCATATCACTCAATATGATAATTGAGGATCCGAACATTGTTGAAAAGATCAATGAGAAACTGAACCCCCAAATTCGAGTCTGGGGCTTTGAGCGCACGATTTCAAGCTTCAGCTGCTATACCTTATGCGATTCGAGGTGGTACGAGTATCTGCTACCCACGCACGCCCTACTACCACCCCGACCCAGCAGCTTTCTTGGAAGGACATTGGTGCAGATAGCCAAAGAGGAGAATGATTTGGAAGGCTATCAAGCCCGACAAGCTGATTTGAAGGGCTTTTGGGAAGATTTCGAGTCGACCACAATCCGACCGATGTTGGACGGCATGGACGAAGAACTTCGCCCGATGGTCGAGAAGGTGTTTTTCGATGAAGATATCATCTTTGACCTCGATGAGATCCAGAAGGGCCATCTAAACAGGGCTTCAGGCGAAAAAAGCGACGTCCAGACCGAGAGCCCTTGCGATGCTGCCAACGCCCCTGAAGAATGCCCAGAGAACCTGGAGGTGGAAGACGCCGAAAACACCGACCAAAACCATGAGGATGCTAAAGAAACACGGAATCAGCTCAAGGAGAAAGCTCTTGAGACCCTAGACGAGAAACAAAGGCTGAAGTATAAATCGTACGTCCATCAGGTCCGTGATGCTTATCGTGAAGCGCACAAGGCATTCCGCCTCAGTGATGTTCGTCGGCAACGTCTTCAAGAAGCCCTTCGTATGTATGAAGGCATGAAACGCTTCCACAACTACACCGTCTTCAAGTCCTTCACAGACCCTTCCGTCAAACGACACATCAAATCTTTCGTTGCCTCAGAGCCCTTCGAGAAGCATGGTAGCGAATGGATATCCCTGAAGGTTCACGGACAATCATTCATGATGCATCAGATCCGTAAGATGGTCGGGATGGCAGTTCTGGCGGTACGCTGTGGATCACCTCTAAGTCTGCTTGAAGATTCCTTCACGGATGTACGACTATCCATACCCAAAGCACCTGGTTTAGGCCTATTACTGGAACGGCCTGTATTTGAGACTTACAACAACAAGCACGCCAAGGCGTATGATAAAGGCGCGATCGACTTCAGCGCGTACGAGAAACCCATTGAAGAGTTCAAGCAACAGTATATTTATGAACATATCTGGCATACCGAGGAGGAAAAGGGTGAGTTCCGTTCCTTCTTCAAGCACGTGGACTGCTGGACGGACAGAGAATTTCTCTTCCTGAGCTCGAAGGGTGTAGATGCTGTCAAAGGTCTTTATGACAAGAAAGGCAAATCGACACAGAAGCAAACAACGAAGGCAACACTCGACTCGGATGATGAAGGCGATGCCGGCGACGGATGAAGACTATCATCATGAACAATGACTATTTCTTGGTCATGATCATTTGGAGGCTCGTCTACGATGTACGATGCAATTTATACATAAAAGCTAGAGAGAAACAGGTCCTTATCCTGAAGCACCCGATGTGCAAGTCACCCCAATATTACTAGGCGTGTTAATGCACAGTACTCTTCCTGTACCACTAGCGGGCTTCACCGTCCAGTTCTCGAAATGAATGTCACATGTCCCACCCTTAGGACAATTCATGTTCGCTGTTGTCGGACTGTACTTTGAACTTGTTGTCCCTTTGAAGTTCTTGAAATACACTTTCGAGAGCTTTGCTGTACTTGGAGACGAAGTACAATAGCTTGCATCCTCGTTATAACAACTCTGGATCTGTGCTGCATAGTCGCACGAGGAAACAGTGACTCCGTCCCAAGTCACGTTGCTCACTGTCGCAGTACCGTGTGAAGAGCCGCCGGGATACAGCTTGATTCCGACAGCCTTGCTCGAGGTTTGCATGTTCGCATTCTTCACGTAGATGTTTGTAACCGAATCTGAAGATCCTACTCCTCCGCCCAATGAGCCAACTGACAATCCATGGGATCCCTTACATGTTATTGTGTCGACTGTGACATAGTTCGCGCCCGGTTTGAACGCGACGCAATCATCTTGGTTAGACACTGAGATGTTGTACATATTTGTGTAAGAGCTTGAGATATCAAACCCGTCCGTATTCTTGGGAGCAGTGCTACTGCTCGATACTGCAGTCATATACAGGTGTTCGTAGCGGATGTTCGTCGAGCCGCTCGTTGCGACAAAGAAGACATTTGGGGCATTCTTGACCCTCAAGTTCGATACCAAGATGTCAGATGAAGACTTCGTAATGGAGTGAAGCGTTGGCCGGCCGTATGAGTTATCTGCTGCAAACCGTTCCCATGCTGCCTGGCCGTTGCCGTCTAATAGCCCGCCGCCGGTCAAGCTGCGGAACTTTGCACCTTTGATGCCGCTTAAGAGGATGATGGCTTGCTTGTTATTCCAATAGTCCGTGTCATCGGAGACCTTGAGTGTGCCCTCAAGCTGAAAGTCACAGCCGACGCATCCGGCGAGGGAGAGCATAGAGCGAATTTGATATGTCTTGCCCGCCGGTATGACTATGGTTCCCCCATTGCCACATGAAGCTATGGCAGCTTGAATAGCAGGGACGTCATCTTTACTGGCGGAACCAGCTGATGTAGGAGTGCAGACTGCACGTTGCTGGAGACGTGAAGGCGACCTGTTGACTGTTGAAGGAGCGGCTGTTGTGTATGGAGTGACAAGCAGCGCCAAGAAGAGAGCTGTATTGAGCTGCATGTTGATTCTTTTGCAAATTGGTTTTATATCGCATGTATCTGGCATTAAGCCATGGTCATGATTGGTTTATATACACTTTGAATACAAGGCATGTGTTCATCATCTTTACGTTTCCATCATTCAAATAGAGGATCATCATGTCTTCATTGTATTCACTCAGCCCCTAATGCCTCTCAGTTTGACTCTAATATCTCGCTGTGGACAGATTTATCCGAAAGCTCATCTATTTAATTGTGTTTGTTGATCTATGTTGATTTGATTAGATGTGGTAGGACTGTTAAGTACGGCCAATGGCAAAGGTTGGTATGGATGTTTCATTTCACCGACGGCCCGTTGAACAGCACCAGCCTCGTCTATACCCATGCAGAATCCCTACCTCCCCGCATTGTCGTCTATACAGTGTCATGCAGACCAAGGAATCTGTATCTGGACTGAGACATCCAGGGAGATCGGTTCCGGTGGGTCTGAGACATCTTATGCCATATGGGGTAATTACATGGCCCTCTTGAGGTCACATCAGGCTGAAGGGCTACTCGATAGGCTGGTCATGAGTCGCAATCGACTCTATTTCTCATCTAGAGTGTATATGAGACATCAGATATGATTTTCCGGACCCACCATGGCGAACATGTGTTCGCGTATTGTGCAGCTATAAACAGTACTGAACGCGGACATTGAACATTATAAGCTTCGACAAGCAATTACAGCTCAGAACATCGACACTTCTTCTTGATAGACACCCTCGTCTCACGATGCAGTACACGAGTCTCATTACGTTTGTTCTCTCTCTGCTGCTGCATTATGTGTTTGCAACGCCTGTGCCCACCCCGGTCGAGCTTGTCAAGCGTGCGGCTCGAACGTCCACACCGTCCGGCTGTTTGACGGTCCGTGGCTCGAACACGCAGTCAGGCGAATATGCGACATTCGGAGCGGCGCTGTCGAAACTAGGCACGTCGAGCACGGCTGCAGCCTGTATATTCGTCTACTCGGGGACGTACAAGGAGCAGATCGTCGTCCAGTACAAAGGAGCGCTGACAATCTATGGATACACCACAAAGTATGCCTCCTTCTGAAGTCGCAGTAGCCGTGTAGGCTAAATGCCCAATGACTAACACGCCGCAGCACTGGCACATATAAATCCAACACCGTAATCCTGACATACACACAAACGTCCACAGCCGCCGGCTCCCTCGACGCCTCGGCCACCGCGAACATCAAATCGGCAAACTTCCGCGCCTACAACATCAATTTCGTAAACGGTTATGGCGCCGGCACACAAGCAGTCGCAGTCACGGCAAACGGCAACAAGCAAGGCTTCTATGGCTGCTCGTTCAAGGGATACCAAGACACGCTCTACGCGAAGAGCGGATTCCAGTACTACTCGAATTGCTACATCGAGGGGGCCGTCGACTATATCTTCGGTGACGCTGCGGCATGGTTCGGCGAGTGCACTATCAGAAGTAACGGCGGAGGGTACATCACTGCAAATTCGCGTGAAGTGGCGAGTGACACGACGTGGTATGTGTTTGATCACAGCACGGTCGCCGGGGTGGATGGGCAGTCGCTCGCTGGTAAGGTGTATCTTGGCAGGCCGTGGAGGGTTTTAGCAAGGGTGATCTATCAGTATAATTCGCTGTCGAATATCATCAATGCTGCCGGATGGACGACTATGGCGGAGGGCGCGACGCCTGTTTACATGGAGTATCAGAACACGGGTGATGGTAGCAATACAAGTGCGAGGAAGTACTTGACTGCATCTAAAGCTAGTGTGACGAAAGGCCAGCTTTGGGGTGGGGATACCAGCTGGATTGACACCTCGTACTGATCAGCTGCTATCGGGCTCGAGCATTGTTTGTACATACATTTATGGGATTCGGGAAGTTTAGCTTTGGTATGATAGTATGCAGAGTCATTAAGGGGACCATGATAGCATCGTGACCTGATTCACGAAGTAGCTCATGTTTCCTCAATCAGAATTTGCGTACCCTTCCACTTTATAGCCCCATCAAGTGCCAGCTCAAGCCACGGCACATTCACAGGCTTGACTTGTTTCTTGCAAAATTCAATCAGAACCTCAGCACTCGGTGCATTTTCGCAGATGCTGACAGCCGACACCCGTGCGATTCTTAAAGCTTTCGCAAGGTCCTTCTCGGCGGCTAATGGCAATGGGATGAGCAGTGCTGGGGCATCTGCGGCCGTGCGAGCCAACACAGGTAGATGCTGAAATTGGACCGGTATCTTCGTGGATGGGGATGATGGTACAAAGATGAGGCAGATGTTTGCGGGACTCTCGTCAGATCTTTGATCTGGTTCAGCTTTTCGATGCTGGGCTTGCTGCTCAAGACGGCGATTGATGCTATTGATTCCAACTACGACGTGTCGTGAGATCTCAGGTGAGCTTGATCCCGTCCTTGACGAAGGATTAAGCTCAGATGAAGGCGAAAGACGCTTACGTTTCCGATTCCGCTTGACCGACGACGGCGGTGGATTGATCGATCGATGGTGACCAATAGGTTGAAGTAGGCTTTGTGTTGTTAACTGACGGAGCTGGAATGATGGTCGCTAGGAACAAAGCAGCGCATCTCTACACTACTGAAACCCGCGGACTTAACCATAAGTCATGTTTGCTTACCGTAATAGCATCTCCAACATCAAATTTGTGTCTTGAGAATTAATCGTAGGCCATAGACTTGCGCCAGCAGGAAGATCGGTCTTAAACGTCTGCCGTCCTCCTCTACTTTTCTGAGTCAATACCTTGGTCGTCTCGGTCATTTTTGATGGTATTGCAGGTCCTACTGTAAACATGCGATATATAATCTGTCTGATAATTACATGCTTGGTGGAGAGGTGAAAGCCAGTCGTGTCGCAAAACGCTCAGGCATCTACTGCCAAGATCGACTAGGCATTAAGGCATCAAGGTACTCATTATTGTCGTCTACGTCTCGCGTGCAGCGGACGCGACATATCGATTCTGCTTGTTTTAGATATAATGTCTTTATAGTTGCCAGAACATGATGATTTGTTCATATACCTCTGGACGCATGGAACGACATGCTATGTTCTGCATAAGATGGTGTCTACGATGGGCTGACATTGTTGCTGACTCGCTTCTAGGACTCATCAATTGTGCAAGCTAAAGAACGAGCGAGGCTGACATCGTATAGCCCATTGTTCGTCGTACGGTCAGTGAGTTATGGCAACTCCGTGAACTGACGATGTCCCCATGTGTGTGATGCCTCCTATCTTCGGTCGATAGAGCGTGAACCCGGTGCATCAAGCGCTATAGGATACACGATTTGCGGTTACGTAGTACCCCTGACCTACGGCCAAGCACGCAAACGATACCATGATGTAGTCGATTATCTGGGCAAAAGGTCGACAGCGAGCCCCTCTATGTACGTATCCGAGCCGTGCCTGCGGACTCCCACTTCCTGCATGCTGCGTAGCGTCACGCGTTAGGAAGTCCGAAACAATCGGCCATTTAACGACACACATCCAGCCATAACAGGACCACCCGCGCCACACTTCACGACCAACGATATATATCCCCGACGACCCTTTCATTGCGGTGCTTTACTCCCTATCGCGGACTTGTGGATAATCGCACCAGCAATGCTGGTTATGGGACTAGCCTCGTGGGGAGGCTGGTACATCTGCGGGCTACGATATGCTCAATGGGAGGGCAACGTTGTATCTATATATCCCCCGTAGACCTGCTGGTTGCTGGTTGCTGGTATTATCGCCAACCTCAAGTTGTCCCTCCAACACAGTCGTTTCTCCCGAAGACAAGTCATTCCTTAGCCACTCTGTTTTTGACCATTCTTTTAGTCTCATTCTCCTTCTGAGCATTGTTCTTCTTGCTTAATTAACACCATATCACTCACATCAATCCTCTCTCTTTACATCCTATTTCCACTAGGAGCACAATACATACACCCAACTGATAACTGCATCCACATCTAAGCATGTCTCATTCCGCTCGCCAAACCCTCTTCCTTCGCTACGTCCTCGTCTTTCTCTCGCCACCATCCATCTTCACTATCAGCACACTCTCAGCGCGCACCCACTCTTTCTCGTTCACCCAGAACACAATACAAGCACACCTCTGTCTACTTTTATGCGCGCCTCTCGCTGCGTCAAGCCTAGTCAGCGCTTACGTTGTGTACAAATCGCATCGTTCGCAGCGGAAGAACAGCTCTGTTGATGCGGCTCTCGTGCTTGCTCTCGACGTCATAATGGGCTCGGTATTGTTGCTCACGGCAGTTGCAGGTTGGTTCATTATGCGTGCTGAGAGCATGTTGCATAAAAGCTTGGACCCAAGGTTCGAAGTGTGGGCCCGTTGGGGCGTTGTGCCGCTTGTTATTGCATTGTATGTATCTCCTTTTTCACTTCCTGATATTAGCTCTCTGTAACGGCATTCCATTCGCACACCACTTACATGTCTGAACATTGCTAACGGCTAATGAAGCTGTATCCACTACTTCCTCGCCTTCGCGTCGCTCGAGAACGGGGTCTTACTTAGCGCGAGTGGTGGCGACATTGCGTTCGATTCGACAGCCGAGTTTCGAAACGTCTTGTTCGCTGACAGGAAAGGCACCGGTGGGGCGACGCCATTCTTGACGTTCGACTGGGAGAAAGTGCCTGAGAAGGACCCGAGGGTGTTGATCGGGTGGAGTTCGAATTCAGTAGTCTGAAGAGAAGGATCTGCAAGCTGTTGCAGGGTTCCAGGTTGTTAGGTGAGGTGGGAATAACGCAAGGCGAAGAGGAGTCCGTTATCTGCATGGACCGAGAACGAATACCGGGGTTTGTGGAGTATCCACATGTCTGTATATAGAAGTCAACTTTAATATCACATGGGTCACGTATTGAGCATCAAGAATGGAGCGCGTGCGCCACGCGCCTCTTAACATGCTGTAGTAGTACACGCTCCTGTGAGCGCCTCGTGCCATCAGGATGCACGTACAGTGACACCCTAAAGTTTGAATGACACTAAGCCGGGAATACCATGGCGCCCTCGGTAACGGGCAAGCTGAAATCCAATTCTGGATGAGAGCTTCGAGAGTTTTCCGTGGGAGGCGCGACGCCTCCCTTCAGATCCATTAGCATCTTCGGCTACAGCTACACCAGTTCACGATACGTAATTGAGGCCTTGTAGCAAGTTTACAATATTCGCACTCTAAGGACGTTCGGCTTAGTCGATGTGTTGGCTTGCGCCAAGCGGCTGAAATTACTTTACCATTGCGTGATGCATAATAGAAGATGAGTTATTGATCTGTTCGGTAAACAGAGGCTTGATCGGTTAGCACCCCTGACGAAATGTAAAAAGGTGTCGCCCGTATGCAGGATATGGTACAGCGCCTGGGATAATCATTGCCATAATAGACTAGAGTGGTAGGGCTAGCCAGAAGTTCGTCCCATTTTTCGAGTCAGGAGAGGTCGATGCACCAAAACTCTGGTAACAGGATACACATACAGAATACTAATCTCCCACTGCGTCGTGTTGGCTCAGCGCGGGGTATCATCATTCACTGCCAACATATGACCAATTGAGACGCGGACCCGGGACGGAATGGGATACCCCAGATCCCCACAAGCCTTATGTCCGCCCTTGTCCACATAGCGTGCCAATGACATTTTGCCCTTTGTAATTACCCAATCTAGCAAATGTGCATCGACACAAAGATCATCATACTTGGGCCCCTGCTCCACATCACTGGGGTCTACTAGTATACCGACGGTCTTGAACTTGTCAAGAGACCGGGAATAAAGATCAGGGATCTCGTCCACGATGCCGCTATCGTCAGAGGCGTGGTTGACCGGACTCTACGGTTGTATATAAAGCCAGCTCTCTTATCTTGTTTCTGGAAAGGTCGACACGCAAACTCAGCAAACAAAGAATCATGTTGTCGAAGAACATTCTTGCCCTCGCTGGGCTAGTGCCCACGGTGCTATCATGGCCAACAGTCATGGAGATTAACGACAAGTTGATGAGAGCTCGCACAACTGGTCGTCTCAACACTGGTGTTGGCCATCCCTTTCCTTCATTCGATGCTGCTGATCAGTACGTCGACGTTTCTGACGGCAGTGGCCATGAGTTCCTACCACCAGGCCCAAACGACTTGCGCGGACAATGCCCTGGACTTAATGCTGCGGCGAACCATGGATTTCTACCGCGAAACGGACGGACAACTCCCCTACAGACATCGAAGGGTCTCGAGGAAGCGTATAATATGAGCCCTGAGCTTGCCATCGGACTGTCTGCCATATCAATCCTGCTATCAGGAGACATTCCGACGCTGACATGGTCCATTGGTGGTGCTTTCCCTGCTTCCCTCCCTCTCCTTCTTGGTGAACCACAGGGCCTGCTGGGCACCCACAACAAGTACGAGGGTGACGCATCAATTGTAAGAGGAGATGCATACCTTAATAACGGCAATGTCGGTGTTTTCCAAAAGCGCTCGTGGGACAATCTCATGAAAACAATTGGAGAAGGGAACGACCTTACCCTCGATTTGGTCAATGACCATAACCAGGTTATGCACGAGTATTCTCTCAACAACAATGGCTATTACTTCGCGGGACCGTTCTCTGGATTAGTCACGCCAGGTACGTACTGCAGCACACTGCGATCTACCTTGTTTCGTCAAAAAACCTCGATAGCTTATACTAACAACCTATAGCTGCTCACAACTTCGTCGTCAACTTCATGTCCAACCACTCAGCTGAGCAGCCGGGTGGCTTCCTGAGCAAGGAGGTCTTGCGCTCGTTCTTTGCAGTAGAGGGTGATGATACCAACTATGTCCACCACCGAGGACAAGAGCGAATTCCTGAGAACTGGTACAAACGCCCTGGTGGTCTGGATCGCTACAATATTGTCGACGTCGGTCTCGATCTCGTTGCTGGTGCCATCAACTACGGTGATCTCCTTGCAATCGGAGGGAACACAGGCAAGCCAAACACGTTCACTGGAGTCAATGTTGGTGACTTGACGGGCGGTGTGTTCAACGCTGCCACTCTGCTTGAAGGAAACAACCTCATGTGCTTCCTCGTCCAAGCGGCAACGGCCGCGAATGTTGATGAGCTCTCCAAACTCGAGAACCTATTGGGCGACTTGTTGAATCCGGTCCTGGACATGCTTTCTGACATGATCGTCGGCCTGACTTGCCCACAACTGAAAAGCCTTAATACCGACTTGTTGAAGCAATTCCCTGGTTACACCGATCCTTGAGTTCATTGTACTGTCAGCAACCAAAAATGATATGCATTTAGCGAGTATGTTGGAGGTCAGCCACTGGAAGTCAATCATTCAAGATACTTTCATTAAGTATTAAGTATTAATAAATTTCCCACAACATAATGCCGAAACTTAATTTCTTGTTCTCTTGTCCGTCTTGAATGTCCTATGAAGCAAAGTACAATATTATGACTAGTGAGCGTCTACTGCTTACAACCCGCTCAACATATTCATTCATCCTAAAGTCGAAGTCGTCGCGAGCTCGACTCCCATATTCATTGGAATTCAATTTATTCTAGCTAGCGCGAAAGATTTAGTCTTGAAACTACTGCTTTTCCCTTAATGTCAATCATTATGATGTGGTGCGTCCTGCATTGCTGAATATGTAGAGCTATGATACTTACACGGTGACACCTAATTCTCAGAGAGTTTAGTAGACACAGTATTTTGATAATATGAAGGGTTTTATGTAACAAGGTGGGCTTCACAATGGTTGTACCAAACCCTTGATACGGTCTTCCCGGTAGAAAAAGGGGCCTGATGATAGACAGTCACCTTCAGCTTGCTGAAACCTTCCTTAGATAACGCCATCTGCCTAACGCATGATTGGTCTCAGAATAATGGGCCTACATGACGAACGAATCTGGCCGACATAACCTACATATCTGTCTCCTCAAAAAGAGTCCATACAATAGCCTGGCCAAGAGCACTACATGAGGCCCGATGAAGGCTCCCCTCAACATAGTCTCCCTGAATACAGAAGACTACATGGAAGAGGCACCTACGTAGGAGCAAGAACATCTCTAAGTTTCTCAGACCCCAACTCGACCTCGAGAAGGATCTCCATCCCAAGTGACAGAGCGTCTGGGTCGGGGTTGACATGCTGATACGCTGCAACGAAGAATATGTAAACAGCCTTGGAACGGGGGCAATTTTCCGAAATGTAGGATCATATCTCCTATGCACGAGCTTAATTTTGGAGGGACATGGACAAAACGGGCAGTGGAGGCTCTGCGTATAGCCTTACTGTGACATGGCACGTTGTATGCATGCGCAGGCAGGGATGCGACACTTCTTGCCCACAATTAATGGCAGCCTAGGGCTGACATCCATCACACAGGCATACATGCCTTACCAGCAAGGTTTGTCGCAAGGAATGCACATATTTGAGTCATCTGACCATAGAGGATTCCTTGTGGAAAAGACTTGTCCATACGTTATCGAATCTTCCATGCTGAGGTGATCACAGCAGCAAGGCAAGACGTATTGCAAGTCCACCAAGTCAAGCAAATTACCGAGCAACTTACCGGCCTAGGAGATTGTTCTGGAATTATCGTGGTTCCTGAGATCGTTCTGCATTCAGCGAACAACAGTTGGAATTTTACTGAAGTACAGCGTTGATTGGCCGTGGTTGCAGCAGCAGTGAGGCACAGCATAGGCGGCGTAGGCGGCATTTCTTCTACCCCAACAGACCGCAGGAATTACTGAGCCTGACATGGTATTAGTATGGCCCCATCGTGTGAAGTCTGCACTTGGACATGTCCAATATTACGACATCCATGTCTCGTCACTGACCACTGATCAAGTTGACGACACCGGAGCTATGTGTGTCATGCCAAAACAAGGCTGATAAACTTTCCCTTGGACAACTAGGGTACTATAGTACTAGATAAACCAGGATTCAGGGAGATGCAAGATCTAGAAAACATTGACAGATGTATTGTCGCGTCGCTCGTATGGTGCAGCTGCTCAATCGACGACGAGGACTCGGGTTGTAGAAAGACCATGATGCGGAATTGCATACAGTGAAATTGCCGTGATATTGGTTTCAATCAGCCCGATATAACTGGTGTGGCAGTGTGCTTCATGAGTCATATGCTAACTGGACGGATTGGTGACAAAGGTAGCAGATGTATGAACGGGGTCATATATAGAGATACTTGGGACGAGATGATGTTTGTACCATGGCTTTTTACTCTAGTTTACATACTAACATAGATCATAAGAAAATGCAGATCACTTCAGCTAAAGACCATAGATTTAATCTGACCAAAATCCATCTCGCTCACCAGCCATGCTCTCGAACAGACGACACCAATCTAAAAAGTAGCCTTGCAACCTGTACTGGGTCATCTCGCTGGATGAAATGACCACATAGCTCCGCAGTGATCGGCCCCTTGGCAGCCGCAGAGTCTGTGATATGTACGAGGTCCTGGTTATACTTCGCCCAGAAAGGATTGTGGTAATTCGTCGTGATTGCTCTGGGTATTTCCAAAGAACCCTGTGACAAGTCAGCCAAGACAGACACACATGACTACGCCGAACTTACAGTCTCTCCATCCTCCGCGAATTTCTCAGGGTCATGACCTACGACCGTTAAGAACGGCCTATTTCCTTTCAAACCCACGAGTTTCGGGCCATGCGCACTAGGTAGTAGACTGGGCAGACTTCTGCGATCCAGACCCTCTGCATTCTTCACACTGGGGTGGAAGATCTTCATAAACTTCTTTCGCGTCTCACGCAGCATCTCAAGGGTGACTCCGTCCGGCAGTTCCCCCTTTTTGAAGTTCGGTGCGTCCGGATCTGGTATGAACGACACAAGATCCGAGTTTGCGATGATCGAGTCCAAGAACAGTAGACCACAGACAGTGCTTGGATACCTTTGGGCGAATAGTCGAGCTATGGCACAGCCGATCGAGTTGCATACCAGTATCAGCTTCGATGTGCCCAGCTTGATATGGCCGAACTTGTCCGTGCCGAGGTGTAGCAGAATACCGTGGAGATCGTCTACTGCATCCATTACATCATGTCCATATCCTTCCTCTTTCTCAGATGTAGCATCCTTAGGATCTTGCTCCGAATCTCCTTGGCCATAGCGGTCATATGATAGCATTGGGGGGCATGGGACGGCTGCGTCTAAGCATTCGCCATAAAAATGATGCATCACAGCTTCCCATGGTGAGCGAGGGAGCATAAGACCGTTGACGAATACGATAAGAGTTGCTACGGGGTCGTTGCTTGGACTTTTACAAAATGTGTATGCTAGCTTGGCTGACTCCTTTCCAGGGAGGCGGAGGAAGCCATGTTGGAGGTTGGCTGCGGGCGACAGACCTGAGACAACGCCGGAGACTGTGGATGTGAGGATTGAGGAGACGATTGAGCTCTCGTGAGACATCTTGATATCAAGATTCCCCTTCTGAGTACAGAGTGGAGATGGTGTACTCATTCATGCCAGCTTCGGTATTGGGACCCCGTAGAGCGCGCCCAGCGCGCGAGATAGATTGGTTCGTTGAAGCGTGGGAAAGAAGTTTGCTTAGATGTACCTCTACCAAATGTAAACAAGCTACCAGTCCCACAATAATCACGGAAGTCTTCTCACCAACAGGGATATCCCAGTGTGGACGAGTGTCGGAGTGAATTCCTAGCGTTACGTCAACTGGGCGGTTCGGGGTGCCGCTGCAGGAACCGACGCAGCCGGTTCCTGAATCGCGTGCCCCGGCTTTTTCCCCGTCTGGGCCCGCGTCTCGGCGATCTGTGCTTCCGCCCTCCTGCTCCTTAAATCGAGGTAAACGTCACTGTACAGCTCAGTACAGTTACTTAGCGACGTGTTTGTTTTCGCGCATTGCGTCCTTCGTTCCTTGCAGCTTCAGCTTCTTCTATCCACATCAACATTTTCTCGCAAGTGTCTATCTGGGACTTGAAGATTGCAACAACTATTCCATTGGAAAACCAACTGTCTCATCATCTCCATGCATCACGCAACCATGTCGTCCATCCAGAATGGTCTTCCAAAGGAAGCTCCTACGTCAGAAGAAGCTCTGGCTCAACTGGACTCGAAAATTAAAGACACGCGCACCAAACTCGACTCGCTGAAGCTACAGCTCCTCAATGAGCAAAAGAAGCTCGACAAGTTCCTGCACGAGCGTGACTTTCTCAAATCTGCCATGAAAAGCACCTCTCTCAACACCCCAGAGCAGCTCGCCAGCACTCAGTACACCGACGGTGCCCCTTACGACCGCCCCCTTCCTCTCCGTCGTATGACCTCTGGGCCGTTCATCATCACGGATTCACCGCGCTCTCCCCCACCCACGACAAATCTCTCCCCTCCGCCGCTCAAGAACCGTCTGTACGCTGGTCACACACCCATCGCGCCCGTTGGCCTGTCGCCCTCCGCATCTGCCTTTGCCACGCCTCTCGCGGCGCCAAAGCAGCCTCTTGCCGAACGTTCTACTTCGTACGACGCCTCGCACCGTCTCGCCGAGATCACACATGAGTCCGACCCTGGCCCTCTTCCGCATGTCGACGGTGACCCGCATATCGAGGGCCCGCTCACTGCCTCAGACCCTGACTTCCTAGGCCTGGTGACGGAGAGACTGGTGCGTGTCAAGACTGAAGAGGAGAATGAGATGCACTCGCAGCACAATGGTCCCGCGAACGATTTTGGACTCGAGATAGCCGCGCTACGCAGGGGAAGCAACGAGCGAGAGAATGTGGATCGGGATGAGTTTCAAGAGCCGGAAGATGACGAGCTCAGTCCGTTGGGCGAGCGGGTGCCGGTGATGGAGATGATGGAGGGCGTCAAGCTAAAGGCGAAGAGGAGCACGAATTTCGGGGTGCCTCTGGGGCAGTTGAGATAAAGTATCAAACTTGCGGGAGATGGGAAGTCGGTGGATCAGCGCTATGCATGCGCTTGCTTCCATCTGCATAACGATCGGACATTGCCGATAGAACTGCACATGCTATCAGGAAAGGGAGAAGTCATGAGCAAGAAGACCGCGTCAGTGACAAAATATATTAGCTACAAAGCCAACAGTCTCAATCACAACTCAATCAACCATTCACGACCACATCCAATCATCCCTACGACGTCTACAGATTTAAACTCCAAAGAGCACGAGTAACATGGGTAGATACGTGATATATTTCTCAATTCAAAACTTATGACACGAAAGTGTTGTAAGTATTCATGATGATAATCATAGTAATAGTAGTAATAACAAATCCGGTAACATACATCCAAAACACGACCAGAATAGTACTGACAATAGCGCGTGCCTGTTACACACAAGTCTCTCGTGTCTGCAATCGCACAGACAGAACATACCAAGCCAGACCAGACCATACCAGACCTATGAGGTAGATTGAAGGCGGGAAATTTAAACTTCCGCGTTCTGGCGAGATCCTGGCGGGTTCGCCCGTATTTGTATCCATGCAGTTCCCCAAAAGCCGCCCAAGCCGCCCAGCCCACCTACCTACAGCAGGCCCCAGTCCACAGGCGGGCCGTCCCGTTCAACCTTCGCCAGAATCCCATCCCCATGTTTCCCAGATGATAATATATAGTGCCCCCCAAATGCTTCACCCAATCCATGATTTGCATCGCATCGCATCGCATATAAACTCCGCTTTTATACCATGCGCATGAATCATGCTGCTGCAATGCACACCCCAATATGAATAATTATACCAATGCCTCCCCACCAATCCGTTCACGTCGCTCATCAGGCCCTTTGCTTTCCAGTTCCTTTCCTCACTAGCGACTACCGTCTCCCACCATCCCCTCTTGCAACCATATCCACGGTGTCATCGATACTTAGTAAGTCTTCCTCTCTCCTCCTCATTCCACCATCGACCTGGATACCGTCTTTCACCCACTGCATCTCCTTGACGGCATCTAGCCCTAATCGCCCTCTCGACACTTTCTTCAACAGGCCCTCTACAACTCTCCTCGCCTCAAGCCATTCAATGCCAGCCGTATTCGTATCGTCCCACTCCCCGTCCTCGTCTCCGAAACGCCACCAGCCCCATTCGCATCGGGCGACGCGATGCGCAGTGCGTCCTCTGCTTCTCCCCTGTTTGCCGGGAGGCGGATCAAAAGGTAGCCGACCTTCGATGAGGGAGTATAGAAGAACGCCGAGCGCCCATGCGTCTGTCTGGCGGCCGTCGTAAGGCTGGCCGAGCAGGATCTCGGGCGCAGCGTAGTCTTCAGAGCCACACCGGGTTTCTAGAAGTGGCGAGGCGGGCGGAAGAGGGATGCGTCGGGAGAGACCAAGATCAGTGAGGGTGATAAGGGGCGTGGGATGTGTCCTTGGAGAGGGAAGAGAGGAGAGTTCCGGAGCAGTGATGTTGCAGAGGACGTCTAATTAGCGTGTTAGAGAACTGCTGTAATGAAGAGAGGGAAGACTTACTTTCAAGCTTGATATCGCGGTGCACGATGAGCTCTGTATGTAAGTAGTACACTGCGGAAACGAGCTCGGCGAAAATGCGCTGGACGAGCGCAGGGGAGAGAATGTCGCGGTTCGAGCTGGCAAGATCGAAAAGGTCGCCACCAGGACAATATGTCAGGACTAGTAGCGTCTGCGACTCGTTCCGATCGTATGCTTTGAGGTGAATGAGTGCCGGGTGGGATATGCTCTGCAGCATTTCAATTTCACGCTTAAGACTGAGCCCAATGCGCTCCTCATCTGCGCCTCCAGCAGGCCCATTCTGTGCGATCTTTATGGCTACGAGCTGTTTGGGATCAAGAGTCGCCTCGTCGAGAGGGCCCTTCGCAGCCTGCTTTTCGGACGTGGCAAGTATTACTTTGCTGAATGTACCTTGGCCGAGAGGGCGAACTGGTCTGTAGAGCTTGACACGTCTTGACGGACCATGCCGGATCGACAGATATTCAATCAACGGTCCATCGTCCTTGGCTTCCTCCTCTTCGCTCTCAGTTGTACTTCGATTGCTAGGCGGCGGGGTGGGAAGGTCTGCGGCGGAGACTTTTTTGGGTGAAGTTGGTGCCAGACCTCTTTGGTGGGCAAGATATTCCTCGCGGTGCATTTGTGGCTTCTCCGGAGTTTCTGTATCCTCCGGCTTATGGCCAGACAGCGTGACGTTTCGAGGCCGCATATTGTTTGTCAGCTGAGGAGGGACGTATTCGCTCAAGCTGCGATTTCTCGTATGGCCCAGACTTGCGTCTCTTTGGCGACCAGCCTGTACACTGGCAGCTTCGACGGCGGCAGGCATAAGACCATGGTACTTCTTCTTGCTGGCGGACCGCCCGATCGAATTCGTGGACAGAAAATCGCTAGCGGAGGCGAGAGACCCTTGTGATTCAGGACGAGCGCGTTTATATTTCTCAGGAGATTCGCCCAACATCAGCGGCGAGGGAAGAGGAGTGATGTCAAGCAAGGCATTCAAGGCCGGCGACGAGTATGCGGATCCAGGCGACAGCGAACTTGCCATTGAAGCGTTGGAGAGGGCGCGGCGAATGCCACTCCAACTCCCAGCGCTTGTGGGATCCAGACTTGTAGAGTAGTGGTTGTCGAAAGAGTGGTGCGCTAGAGAGGGACTTGGGATTGGAGGAGTGATGGCGGCGGGGCTGGTCAGGTCGGTCTGGAGGTGTAGACCTGTAGCAGAGGGGGATCGTGAGTGTGACGAGTGGCTGATGACGGGGAGAGTATCGTAGGCAATTGGCGATGGACTGCTAAAGTCCAGCTCGTGACGGGTGGTCGGAGTGAATGGGTCCTCATGCGTGGCTCGAGGTCGCGTCGATGATGTGGAAGTGGATGTTGCAGTCGTCGTACCCAGTGCGGCCTCTGTGGGTTGATGCGGGATGCGCAAACTGAAGTAGTCGTGCGGGCTGTTGGGCTCGCCCTCGCTCATGGTGAGCGAAGGATGAGAAAGAAGAGAAGCCCAGCGAGAGCAAAAGAGAAGAGGTCAGAGTGACAGGATCGTGGATGTGGATGTGGACGTCGAGGGCCGTAATGCAGCAGCAGGAGTGTCTTTCAGCGAATCAGAGTGCTGCGGAAAGGCATGCCCAACAGCGTTCGACGTCTGACTGTTCTGTCCGTCGCAGGGGGATGCTGGTGCTTGTTCACCCGCCGCTATCTCGGACTCAGAGTGCACTTAACTCACTTACTCACTCACTCACCCACCCACAGCCCACCACTCGCTGACCTCTGAGTCGCTCTGGCTGGCCTTCCTCCCACCTGGATGGCAATTCGGCAATCACAAACACGAATACATCACCACGAGCAGCACTAGCTGTAACTGAAGGTTTGCCAGAATGGTCGAGCTTCTTGGCTGCCACTCAGTAAGTAATTACAATTTCTTCCCGCGCCCCACGGGCGAGGGGGGCACGAGCATTTGGACTCCACTACTGCACTCCTATTTGATAACCTGCTACGTGATGACTGTTTCTACACGGCCCAGCACATGATTGAGAGCGTGTACAAACGGTCCTAATCAGTAGCTAGAACTCAGACAGCCGAAGTGATCCGTGCACGAGGAATATCAGTGTTTAATATATACCTCATGCCAACGACAGATTGCAACGCTCGCTTCTAAGACACCAAGCAAGACATGAAATTGCCTTTTCGCAATTCTCGCAGATGCGGATGCGACCCGTCGTGATAGGTGTGACAATCAGCCAGCGAAAAGGACAGGCAAGTATTATAGGTACATGAAGAGAAGAAAGGTAAATGAACTGTACCAACGCCGTTTGCAGACGAGTTTTGCTTATAAGCCGAATCACGTATGAGTTGCTGTCCAACCAATTGACTCTCAAGCGCTGCATGCCAACCCTTCCTAAATGATTCTGCCATCGCCATTGAAACCGTGCAAGACATGCCTACTTCATGCTATTGCCACCTGATTGTCCGTAGCCCCCTCCGTACTGTGGATAGACGTACAATCCAGGGTGCTGTCTCATGTCTGGTTGGCCACCGTACATTCTGCCAGTCTCCGCCGCATAGTTTTTGAACTTCTCTGGATCTTCGTTCTTCATGTTGCGGACGTTTGCGAGAGGCATGCTAAATGGGTAGCCACCCCATTCTGGGAACGACATGGCTGACTGGTTCATACCCGATGCGTTGCCGTTCGATGCTCCATATGCTGAGTAATGGGAGGATGCATGTATACTGCTCTCGCCATTTGGGGCTGCTGAATTGGGCGTGAGCGTATCGTGCTGTTGGTGCTGTTGATGCTGCTGGTGCTGATCATTATGCGGCAATTGCTGCTGTAGCTGCATTTGTTGCATCAACTGCTGCTGCAATTTGAGACTCTTATCAACTTTAGACTCCACGTCTGAGAAAGACTTGTTCAGCCTGGAGACATCCGACTCAAGACTCGCATTCGACTTCAGAACCTGATTAAGTGGGCGAATGAGATCCTTCTGCACCGTGTCCATGAGTTTACTAATTGTCACAGTTGCATTCGCAACATCTCCAACGAGCCGACCATTGGAGTTCTCCAACGACTTAACTTGCCCGAGGAGTGTTCCAAACTGCTTATTTAACGCTTGCATTGTTGCTTCATGATTCTCGTTCATTGTCTGAATCTCTTCGTTCTTGTGAGCATCCATGACACGATACGTCGTATCGGCGATTGCGTCCATGTGATGGTTGGTCACTCCGAAGTGAGTAACAATATTGCTACCATCGGCAAGCATCCCGTTGGTAATTGGGCTGAGGAACGTAGGGTGGGCCGAGGCAGGGTGGGTCTGCAAAGGCGAAGGTGCAGCACTGCTTGTGTGTGGCACCCCTTCGGCATTATAGCGCCTCATCATTGGACTATCGATCTGGTGTTGACTGAGGAATGGTGTCAAGCCGGACTCAGATGAATTGAGAGCTTTGCCACCATTCTGCTGCGGTGTGTGGTGGATGCCCTTGGAGGCGTTCTTGTCTACCTTGTCCTCTTCGCGCATCTTAAGAATACTTCCAACACCACTGGAAGTAGTGTGTTGTGAAGGGCCGCCAGTGGCTGGTAGGTCGCTTTTGGAATTGTCCTTTGGGGTATCGGAAATATGTAGTCCAGAGATTGCCTTTTCCCAAAAGCTCGACTGGTCGTCTACAGGAGTAACTTCGTTTCTATACCCTTGGAAGCAGACGTCGATAGTTTCTCCGCTAGGTTTGGTGGTCAAGGAAAGATCGGGCGGTGGTGCAAGAGAGGTAGAACCTGTCGGCGGCTTGACGAAGAAGATCTTACTGTCAGCCTAAGTGAAGTCGAGAGTCAGCGTAGAACCAAGAGTGGGAGGTGAATAGGTGGCAAGACAGAACAATGGATTTCAACACAGGCGGTGTTCACTGTTCGAGACTGTGAAACATATCGAGGAAAGAGCAATGCTTACATTTTGAGACGGGCGAACTTTCGGGGTAGGAAAGGCCAAGGAATAAAGTGAAGGTGTATAGAACGTTGGCGGCAACTTCGGAGATGATGATTCTCCACCGACTTCCGTATGATGGTACTCTAAGAACTTTTGCTGGTGCGCGCCTGCCTGTCCTTCGCTCCATCGTCCTTGCAAGAAGACTGGTTCCGGTGATGTTTTATCAGTGGATAGCTGTCCGAAGCCGCTGTAGGTCGGCGCAGAGTAGATTTGCGACATCTTGGCCATCATAGCATTGTAGTCACTACTCGAATAGATATTGAACTGGGGCTGACCCGAGCTCACCTGCCCTTTGCCCACCAAGACAGACTCCCGGTCGTTTGGGTCATGTTTGGGCTCTTGGCCTACTTCATCACCTCCATTGAGTTCTTCTTGGACTGATGCGTTTGGAGGGCAGTTTTCTACTGCGGCTGGTTGTGGCTTCTTTAGCATCGGTGTGTCCTTCGCTGGAGGAGTTGGCGGTAGTGTCTCATTGATGTATTTGAGTCCGCGAGCTATGGGCATGTCAGGGGTAGTGATCCATCCATGGACATGCGGGTTCTGTTTACCTATAGTTGGTGGGATGCCTTCGCTGACATCTAATCTAGTGCGTGATCGTTGAGAATCCTGGCCATTCAACGAATCACGGAAAGGGTCCGAGATGTGTGTGGGACGAATTGGGATCGATACGTTGGACTGCGATCTGGTGCTCTTGAGATGCTGGGGCAAAGTCGATCGCTTTCCCGGCGAGCAGGAATTTCCCAGAAGCGCGGCTGCCTTTGGGGGCATATGTGGCATGTGCTTGGGAGGCATTTGAGGTATCTGGGGCATGTCCGGTTGCGGACTGGACGGACCTCTTTCAGTACGGAAGTTTGGAACACTGATATTCATGCCCAAGAACCGCTTCTTGCCTGTTGGGCTACGCTCACCATCTTTCGGTTTATCCCTGCTCTTGTCTTTCTTCACTGTTGGCTTCTCTCTAGTACGATCATGCCTGGCAATAGTCACAAGATATCGATCATTGTTCTGCAGTAACGTCGGGGTTGTAGGCTCTCCCATCATCTGGAACAACTTCTTTTCATTCTTCGCTTCAATTGAGGCTCGCACCGTGGGATTGACGCCATACTTGTTGACTTCGAGCTCCAACGGCTTTGGGCGTCTTCGTTCTTTAGTCGTAGTGCGCTCTGGACTTCCTTCCATTGAGGCTTTCACAGGCGGCAAAGCTTCGACTTCAGCTTTAGCAGCATTGATAAGTTGGCTGAAGGTAGTTTCGCTGGTGTCTCGGCGGTGTTGGTGCGAAGGGGGGTCGTTCGTGGACGTGTCATTACACATGTCATCTAACTGTTCTCGAGACGCTGACATACGTTCTTGAAAGAATGCGTTACCGCGCATCCTATGCTCATCGGCGTGCCGCTTCTCAATTGCGAATGCATTCTGTCCTGGTCGAACGGTTTCAATGACTGGAAGGTATATTGCGGATTGGTCTCCTTCATCGTTAGGTGATGCATGGCCGGCTTCAGCGTCATCATGAGGCGTGTACATGACAATAGATATGAATCCGCGTCGAAAGCACGGGCGCCTTGGATCAGAATCGATTTATAGAGCTGAGACCGGACGAGGCGAGAAGATGCGGCATGTAAACGGCTTTGACTACCAGAATGAGATTTGAAAGGGTTTTAGGGATTTGTGGACGCGAATCTCGACAAGTATGAGATGTTCGTGTAAAGAAACCCAAGGGCGAGCATGGAGGAAAGATTGGTTGCTCTGAAAATTGACGTGACCTCGAGATTGACGGAAGAAGACGCGATTGCAGATAAACAAACAGAATATGTTGCTGGGTAACTAGAAAAGACGTGAATCAAGCTTGTATGAATTACATTGTTAAACAATGTGACCTGTGTTGAAATCTCAAAGACCCACTACCTGCTTTGGGCAGAACTGCCGCACAGCCGTGGAGCAAAGCCATCGGTCACGTACCACATTTCAATAGATATACCCTTATGCTATAATGTTTAGTAGACTTCTGAGTAGACACAGTCTGAATGGATATAGCTGGTTGGGTTGGAACGATCAATACCCGTGAGTCAAAATACGATATAGAGAAATTCGCTACCCACAAGCGCCTTATGGTAATCGTGCCCCCCTGAGAGTTCACGCCAACCTGGAAAAGCTCAACGAAATGCATATAAAGGCTCGAAATGAACGCTACGTCGAGCGAAAGCCAAGATTCTAAACATCCACCAAACCACTTACAGCACGATACATTTCTTATCCTTCTTCTGCTTTTTTGGTGGGGGCTCCAAAGCGGCAACAATTGCCTATTATCAATTAGTAAATGCATGATATGAATGTCTGTTATGCATACCTCGTCAAAAACGTCCTTCAGCTTGTATTGCGTAAGTGCAGAGCACTCTACATATTTGACAGCACCCAGTTCTTTCGCCATCTTTTCACCATCTTCGCGCCTGACCGGGCTCATGCGTTGCTTCATGAGCTTCTCCTTTACGCTGGGATCTTCTCTCAGGTCTACTTGGGTTCCGACAATGAGACAAGGGACACCAGGGCAATGATGGTGGACCTCCGGAAACCACTTCTCCCGAACGTTCTCGAATGATGCCGGTGAGGTGACGGAGAAACACACAAGAAAGACATCCGTTTGCGGATATGACAAGGGGCGGAGACGATCGTAATCTTCTTGACCTGCAGTATCAAATAATCCAAGAGTGTACGGCTCATCCCCGATCCTGTAGGTCACGATAGTATCAGCGCCAGAGTCTTTCTGTCAAGTATAGCTTCTGCCAGGTCTAGCCAGCATCCCGAAAGGGATCGGCCGAAGTACTTACATTACAGTAACTGCATAGTTGTCAAACACAGTAGGCACATATTCTGATGGGAACTTGTTTGTGGTATAGCTGATCAACAAGCAGGTCTTCCCAACAGCACCGTCGCCGACCACAACACATCTGCAAGCTCACTTGTCAGCTTTACCATCTTTGCGTGCTAGTAACAGATGCAGTGTAGCCAGCATATCCAGGAGCACCTACTTGATCGTTGCGACGACCATTATGGCCTTTATGAGCGGTTGTGAATGAAGAACTCGAGGGTATTTTCAAGAGGAGTAGTTCGTCGGAGACAGAGGAAGCGGATTTGAGGCACGCGCTCAGGAATGGACTATGGTCGTATCACAAGGAGTTGAGTGGGATTATCAGAGTTGCTAGGCAATGGTGGAAGTTTGTGTTGAGACGTAGGGTATCCAAACGAACGGCAGAAGCGAAGGAGAAACTGCTAGCCACATAGAATTAGACCCTGAACTCTCAACAATGAAGCGCGGTGTGAATCATGTCAGCGGATATCGTACCGGCAATGAGCACTCAGAGCGCGTGCTACGTGATTTGGTCGATCCCCAAACTCGAGAAGGGTGGTTGGATCTGTTCTCTATACCTTGGAGAAGAGGTGGTAATTGCGGGGCGATGGGTACGCACTACAGCGAACAGAACGAAAGAGCTGGATAAAGACAAAGATGTAAAGAATAATAGAGCCGGAATCGCGCAGGATGATCACGACGAGAGATGCTGGGGATGCTGGGCGAAAGAATCGTGGCTGATAGAGGCAGGGCGAGAGAATAAGGCGCGGCCAAGTCCAAAGCCAGGGAGGTGGAACGGCTCCCAGGTCTAAGATCTGTAGCTTGCGCGTTGACGGCGTGCTCCCAAGCGCAATTTCCCGGTCCCTCGTCACACCTTGCCGGCCTGCATGCAGGAGTTTAACAATCCTCCTGGCTTGGATTATACGGCACCGTTAAAATGCCCACTTATCAAATGCACCTGCGCTGAGCAGATAGCAAGACCTTTCGCGATATTCTACTGTGCCCGCGCGTGCGGTCTCTTTCATTCTAGTTTGTGGAAGCGGGGAGCAAGTTCACAACTTCAGGGTACGCCCTTTCTCGGTATTAGGCAGCATTGGGGAATATCTCAAAAGCTTTGGCCTTTCACGTGTCATAGTTCGTTGTCCACGAATACTTGCGTAGCATTGCCGCCAACAAAGGCCATGTACATACATTGCCTTTCTTTATCTTTCATGCTTACTCGGGCCGTGCCGAGTGTTGAGCGTTGAGCCAACGTTGATGACTATAGCAATAGCAGTAAGGAGCCTTGGTCACCTCCCTCTACTGTATACTAAATCCAGTATGTTACTAAGCTCAAGCTTGTTTACAAACTCAAAAATGCCGGCGATGGTTCCGAATGTGGACCCTCAAATTGTATTGGTATCGGAAACAAGTCCCTAACAGTGGTGCTATGATGCAAAGATCGCAAGACCCAAGAGTGGAGGGCTTTGAATGGCCCAGAATCTTTGTTCTCATCACCAGGCTGTTATATCGTCTGTTTCAGCTTCGCCGAAAGTACTGCTTTTTGTAATATTGAACTCTCCATTGGTTTGAGCTCCTGTGGTATCCTCTACTGGTGTTCTCTGCATAATCGCCGGTATTGTTTCGTTCAAGAAAGAAAGTAGATGCTTGTTCACCTGCTCAAACTCGAGAAGAAACGCATCATGTCCGTCAGGACTTTCTATCGTCTTGAGAGAAGCGTTTGGAATACATGCCGCTAGCTCCTGTTGCTCTGCGAACGTGAAGAGGCCATCGGATTCAATGCCCAAGACCAGGCATGGTTGCTGTATGAGTGCTAGAGCGGAGCGAAGACCCTGCACTGGGTCGGACTCACAGTCCCCCGACGATATCGTGCGGTTTCTCGATATGTCGTGTGTGTCCAGCTTGCGTGTTATTGCAATATAACAGTTCGCATCGAATCGCTTGATGAACTTCTCACCTTGGTATCTCAGATACGACTGGGCAGAGAAGTATGTCCGTGCCGGCGTGGATTGTGAAGCTTGCTGCTTTTGGTGCCTTGAAGAAAACTCCAAATCGCTGTTTGTTGCCCCTTGGGAAGGTTGATTCTGAATGCTGGCGGAACTGTTTGTTCTAGAGCCGCGCGGTGACCCTGCATACTTATGACCATCATTGTGTATGGCAAAGTGCTCTCCGCCAGGTGTCAAGGGGCGCGACTGTCCGTTAATGTTTTGACTCCTGGTAGGGTCCGGCGTGTTACGGCCGAACCTCGATTCAAAAGAGTCACGACTGCGGTATGTCAAAAGAGCTGACATTCTTGCTGCACCAAGACCTGTAGAGGGAGGCTTGGAATGGTTAGTTTCGAACGCAAGTTAAGAAGACAGCTGAAACTCAGATACGCACGTTCTCAAAAGTATAATAACCATCATCTGTATGCATGTAAGCTTATTGTGGCATTTGCTCCAGCGTCGAGGCGATACGTACCATACTTTGGATCACTGTAGATACTTTGTCTCTGTGCTTCACCCCAGCTGATACCCCAGGCGCTATACCTTGCTGACGTCGCGATCGGTATTATGGTCTTTACGTACTCTTTGCCAAAAAATGCGAACTCGAGCACAAGCATACCTCCCATGGAACCGCCTATCACTGCAGCTACCTGCTTCACTCCAAGATCATCGAGAATAAGTCGGAATATGCTTGTACATGTCAGTACAACGAAGAATACCATATTTGGGCACGCACTTTACATCGTCTCGGACAGTCGTCAGAGGAAAGTCAGGACCGTAAAGTCCTTTCGCGACGTCCCCATCCCGACTTGTGACAGGGCTGGCGCTTCCGTATGGACTGCCCAAACTGTTGAGGCACACCACGAAAAACCTCGAAGTATCAAAGGCTTTTCCAGGGCCCCCAAGAAGAGGTCCCCACCAATCGCCAACATCAGCGCTGCCTGTCAAGGCATGACATATGACCATAGCATTGTCTGCCTCTGGTGAGAGCTTTCCGTAGGTCTTGTACGCAATTGGAACATTTTTCAAGGTGGCGCCTGATTCGAGGATAACGTGAGGGATAACTGCGATGGTTTGGTCTGGTATGAGGGCCGCATATGGGTTTTCTGGCTGGACTTGGATCCTTTCTGTAGGCGGAACAGTCAGCATATGCAACTAAACACAAACATCACCTATGAAAACACTGACGATATTTGACACTGTTATCGCCTTTCTCGTTGGCTGAGAGGGCTTGCGCGCCGCCCATGCTTACAGCTGTGGAAACGAAAATGATTTAGAAAGTAAATGAAGTTGCACGCCGTGAAAGAAGGCATGGCACTCGCTCAGAAACCTTTCTATAGCTTCTCCAATCCATTCAATCGAGCTCAGGTAGTGCCACCCTACGTGCAACTAACCGTAATAGATTCGTTGGTTGTCTAAAACCTGGAACGCTTGGCATCTGAGCAGTGTACTAATCCATGCCTCCGTAGGATCCCGTCATGCATTAACCTGCTAGGCCAATCTAAGTTAGCATAGATAAAGGGGCGCTTGCCCAGGACCGTATACCTAATTAGGTAGGATTCCAACTTTACTCCTAGCGTCCTCCGTAGACATCCTATCAACTTCATGTCACAGTAGACCCGGTAATCTTTACATAGTCATTAGTACTATTTTCATCAAAGAAATAAGGAGAAGTATAAGTAGAAGGAGTTAAGCAACTATCCTAATGTGGTTAGTATCCATACTTACTAAGAATAGACCTCGAGGCTCTCTACGACATCTATTTTTTGCTTGGTCATAAAAGCCTTGCTTCCCATGTTTGTCAGAACACGTCGAGTTCTCTAACGGTTTTCTGAAAGACTATGTCGCCCTTCTAAATTATGCTAGAGAGCGAAATTTTCAACATATCCCAAATGGCGAGGGAGGCAATATGTTTGCGGAATTGAAGCGGAAGATCCGCACATGTACTTGAGAGGAGTCTACTCCCCAGTAGAGATCGGGAATCGATTCAAGGACGGCCAGTATCTAGTCGTTGTGGTTAGCAAGGGACACATTGTGCGTGAGAATCATTAAAGCCTGTTTTATATATGCTAATCGGAGTTTGGAGTGTATCAGGAATGCTTGCAACGTCGCCTTGAAGATCATCCAAAATGATGATAGAACCCATGAACTTGAGATCATGCGGCATCTACGAGATTCCTCTATTGCTCATGCGAATGTCACACACGGCGGGCGTAAGTTTGTCGTACAGCTCCTTGACGACTTTGACGTTAGTTCAACGCATAGATGTCTAGTTCTAGAAGTCATGGGAAGGAGTATAGCATCTTACGCGGAACAATGTCCTGGATGTTGTCTGCCCAGGAGTATGGCCAAAAAAGTAATGTATCAGGTGGCCTTAGGATTGGACTACCTATGGAAATGCCATGTGGCACATGGAGGTAACAATATTCCCATCGGAGGAAAGTTAAACTTCTAACGTCACAGATCTGCACTGGGGAAATGTTCTTTTCGCTGCTCCCATAGCGTCCACGTTGGAGGAGAAGCGACTCAAATCCTACCTTGGGGAACCAGATCTAGGTTCAGTACAACGACTAGACGGTCGAATATTACTTGAGCCTTCAGTGCCTTCTTACCTGGTTAGACCGAAGACGTTTCGAGGTTATAACGCGGACTTAAGAATTGTAGACCTAGGTGGTGGTAAGGAAACCATCCTAATTATGATATGCCGCTGGCATTTAGCTAACATAGAAAGCATTTTTTCATAATGATCCTCCCAGATTACTTCATACGCCAGTGCACATGCGCGCACCGGAAGCGCTTTTCAACCGGAAATTGAGCCCTCGAGTGGACATGTGGAGTATGGGTTGCTTGGTCCGTAGATTGCTTTATGTTAAGCAGCCAATCCACTAAAACCTCGCAGTTGTTTGGATCAGTGACTGGCAGGTCATTTGCTAACTCAATCCTCGCGGACGAATCCAGCACCATAGAAGAAATCCAATCCTACATCGGAGCTGCACCGGTGGACTGGATAAATCAATTAGATGTTAAGGTACGGAAAAGCATCAACGGACTTGGACTGCGGAGTATTCCTCTAGATCGGTACCTTAGGATCGCGTATGATCAGGACGAAGCAGCGTTGGTTGAAGAAGATGAGGAAAATTTTCCAGTAGAGGAATACGAGAAAGCAAAGCGCGAGTTCACAGATGCGGAGTTAGATACTTTGAGTTTCCTACTTTTGAATCTTTTAACGTATGATCCGACCATGAGGTACACACCGGAAATCTTACTGCAGAGTCAGTTTTTCGAGAATTGAAGCCAATTGCCACTTTTTGGTACCTGAAGTATTCACTCTCTTCAACAATTTACAACGTTATCCTCGCAACTAGTATAATCTGCAAGAATGCTACTTACTGTCGCATTCGGGTCTTATATGAATCTGCAATTTACTGTAATACTCCCGTCCTACCACCCCTTAGCTTCGCATGTCCCCTTTTGAGATTGGTATGGGCAGCAGATAATTCTCCTTCATTGGGCATGGTCATAAAGAGTCGTAGACTTTGGAAACCGATTGGGAACGTATAGTCTTTCGGTGGACTCAAAGTGCTCCTTTTCGGAAATCGCCATTCGTGGAACTAAAGGTTACGGGAATGTCGCTGTCTGTAATAGCCCTACCAAAGATCTCTGGAATATGGACTGCGAGAGAAACGGTCGTTCTGCATCAATTGTCAATCATATGACGATGGGTTGCAATTTGCGTTCGACTTCAAGAAGATACCCGGCAGTTTTGGTCGGGAATTGTGGAGGTTTTCCCTAGTTAGTAGGATATCGTCTCAGTCGCGTGAACTCTTTTGGTTTCCCTGTAGCACTCTATAAATAAAGCGAAGTTGTAGTTAGCTAAGATTCAGGGCGTGATTGAAGCACTATTTACTTGATCGAGCTCGTCTTCGCAGTGAACAATGGGCGAGTTCCGCTACAATGATAGGCATCAGCGTTATACAACGAGCCATGAGAAGTTCCCCAACGTTCATAGATCCTAAGATAGCTTAAGAGGGTCTTCATCGCATCAAAATATCAAACATACCTGATCATGGTCGTCACTACCCATATTACGCCCTGAAAGCATGAACTCGTACACATGTCAACGTATGGACGCTCCAGGTCGATAAAGCTCGGGCATGACCAAGGCTGCCCACCATACACGAGCCATCAGAGATAAGTAAATTGTGACAATCTGTTCTAACATGTCTTTTTTCAACTGTGCTCTGTGTACTCGCGCGTCATCCATTGTCAAAAAAGAATTGGAACCTCAGAACACACGAGAAGACTCCAAGTTGGATCGCCAGAGTTCGTACAGGCACGAGCTTTGCTACAAGGGTACCAGCATCCTAACAGGTATATATATCAGTGAACCAGTCAACCAGGCTGCGTTCTTGGAATTGGATGCCAATAGTTGAGGTATTATAGAGCATGCGTCGCTAAACTATGAATTCTAACCTTTAGCACACTGGATGGACTCGACCTCTCACGATAATATTCTTGATGACCAGGCTATCAGATATCTGTCATGAGGTATATCGAGCCAAAGGAAGCGTTGCTCTGATGATCAGAGCCAGACGCGATGTATAAGCGAAACACACTCCATTGATCATGCCTGGAGGCGCATCGCGGACGCCGAGGTCGGCCTCGAGCGAGATAAGAGTCTTCAGGCGCAAAGACGAGTTGGCGCAGGTTTCCAGCGAATTCAATCATCCATTCGTGTTAATTACTGGAGACAACAGATTGAGAGATGGTATCTAATATAGACGTGAGATACCTAAGTTATTGGATATTTGATGAAGTGTTAGTATGGGTGGGAGCATGAAAGAACACAGGTCATCTTGGATGTTTATGATTATCATTAGATTGTTACAACAGAAGCTCGCAAACCTCAAAACTGTTCAGAATACTTCATGTCATGTGATCGTGACCGCCTCTTTCGCCGTTGCCATGCTTTCCGGCATCCTGTTCCAAGATCGACTCGATATGACGCAATGGTGTTTCGTGGAATGAGGCTCGCATCATCAACCTGCGACGGTGGCAGCTGTGTTGGTGTCGTGCTCGAAGACCCCTTGCTACTTAGCTTTAGCGACAGGAGTATGAAGACTCCTGCGATAACAATAATGAGCAGTAGCATAATCTTGCGTTTGACACTACGTTTCTGGTAGCCGGTCGCCACAATCAGCTCTTTGTCTGCACCCTTGATGTCAACTGCCATGCGCTCAACATTGTAATCAATGCGATCAAGCATGCTACCCTGGTCGATGACCATGGCTTGTAGGTCTTGAAAGATATTTGCAAGCTCGATGATACCCTGAGCAATGTCTTCAATCTCCCGCTCGCGCTGTGCAATCATTGTGTCATTCGTTGTTGCTCGTTTCTGGGTCGTCTGAAGTAATGTCGATTGGCCAAGTGATCGATCGGCCTCCGACTCCGCAAGTGACGGGTCAGTATATGGATTCTGGAAGGGCGTACCTGTCCGAGACGTAGGCTGAGGCGTCCCGAGTCCACCCAGTGATTTCAGCTTCTTCAAGTATGTGGATTGCTTTTTGCGAAAGAGCGAACTAACTTCGCCCACGCGAGTTGCTAGAGAGATCTTCAGGTTGATCGCCATTGTTACTTCGCTTTTTGAAATCGTCCCTTGCTGTTGACTCTCCCGTACCATAGTTTCGATTCGCTTGATCGCCTTTTGACAGCTCTGAAAACCTCGTGTAATCTCCTGTGTCAATTGTTCAATCTCGCGCTCTTCTCGCCTTTTGACGTCCTCGTCATCAAAACCTGGCAGGACGTGTTTTTGATGCAGCTGTTCAAGCCGCCGAGTCTGTCTGGCGATATTCGTGAGATTCTCGGTGACCTCGTCCTGAATGTCGAGCCAGCGTGGAGGCAAGATGTCCATCTCTATCACTGCGTCCCCATCGTCTTCGAAGGCACCGGCAGACATGAGTCCTCGTCGCTCCTCATCAATACCACCATTATCAGTAAAGCCATTCGACGATGGACCCCCAAAGCGTGGTTTCTTTGCAGGATGATGGGAATACGACTGCCGGTACGAAATGTAACTAGAAAGTATGGTCAGGGAAAGAAGATGAGGGCGACTGTGTATACTCACAGGTTGGTTCGATCACGCCACATAACGTAGACGGGAGGAAGTGTCTCTGTCTAGAACATTGCAGCACACCGGAATTTGGATATTAGAGGTGCGAGAAGGCTCTGTATAAAGTGCAACCAAAGCTATCGTGGAAGCTTTGTGTCGCGCCTTACCAGGAAGCTTACAAGCCTCTCAGGCGACACGGCAACGCTTGCCATATCCGGGTAAGCCAACATTTGCGTAGAGTATAATTAGCGGCTTTAGGCCTGCAAGAATGAATTTAAGGGTCTTTACCGCGGTCCCTCTTTCCAGGCGGCGCTCATTCAGCCCGACTTCATTTCCATCAAGCAACCTTTCCCCTCTCATTCTCTTCTTTCGAAATAGCTCTCAAGACCTTCTCTCACGACTCACTTACTACACACCTCGAGATTTTTGCAAATACCCCCGATATCCTCACAATATGGTTCGTCGAGCCCTATGCCTCTTTTGTACCCCACCTTCCGATTTGTTTACAGTGCTAACTACGATTCACCACTGTCTTCCGGCTGACAAGTTGAATATAGGCCGATTCTCTCACCGAGGAGCAAGTCTCCGAGTTTAAGGAAGCATTCTCTCTGTTTGTAAGTCATCTTCGTTGTCATCGACAGTCATTACTGTTACCTAGGCGGGGTCGTGGGAAGATTGCGACAGCTTGAAGGAATTTGGCTAACTTCGGAAACAGGACAAAGATGGCGATGGTATGTACTAGACATCCTCGCATTTTCAGATCGGTTGCAGTACGCAAGACAATTGGACAGAATATATTCGCCATCGTCTCAGCCTTGTCCCCAACTACGTATGAGCCTGAAGCTGATCATGTGCACCCCACAGGCCAAATCACAACTAAGGAGCTAGGAACCGTGATGCGATCCTTGGGCCAGAATCCTAGCGAGTCTGAGCTCCAGGACATGATTAACGAAGTGGATGCTGACAACAACGGCACAATTGACTTCCCCGGTATGACGGCTGAATGCCTTAGCAGGCATTGCGGCTGATAATATTCGCAGAGTTTCTCACCATGATGGCGCGCAAGATGAAAGACACGGACTCCGAGGAAGAGATCCGTGAGGCCTTCAAGGTCTTTGACCGCGATAACAATGGTTTTATCTCCGCCGCAGAACTGCGCCACGTCATGACTTCCATTGGAGAAGCTCTTACCGATGACGAAGTCAACAGGATGATTGCTGAAGCGGACACCGATGGTGATGGTAGAATCGACTGTAAGAAACAGCATACGCAGACAGGCCACATTTTGCTAATGCACTGATGTAGACAACGAGTTCGTACAGCTTATGATGCAGAAGTGAAATAGTCGACGAACGAAAACCTTGGTGATTTGGCAGGTACAAGAAACTCCGACCACCAGCTTATGGTACCGATGAGATACTTCTACTCCTGAACATGTTTCTCTTGGCAATTGGCGACAGTCGTGACTGCTTCCTCGATCTTCTATGAACGCTTCTTACTCTTTTGATACTCCACAATCCTACAGCTTGATTACCCTCGTGCCTCTTGTTGATCATCGACACCACTCGATCCTTCTCGCCCCTACATTTTGCATCAGTCTTCCACATCAAAGTTCGTGACGCTTCTGAGCTTAGCTTTGGGCGTGGTCTTCCGTCTATTAACGATGAATATGCATCCCTCGAAGGTTTTCTTCTGTGGGAGTTCGTTTGTCTTGCAGTGATTAAACACATCGCACTGTTCAAACCGACCTTTCACAAACGTCGCTTAGGATGAGAACCGAAACAATGTAACAGGCATATAGTTATTTCACAGTACCCTCGAACATCTCGTGTGGGTCAATAAGGCTATTCAGAACCTTGTCTATTAGCACTCTCGACTTGCATGCTTCACAGACAATCACTGGGCGGCTATTTACTTTGTCGAAGAAGGCAGAGGGGTCTATTTACAAACGTCTGCCTGGTCGATCATTATGCATGATGCAGACAAAGACAATCGTACGGCTTGGTCTATTCAATGTTCTGATCAATGCATATATGTACCTCGTCTGCTCGCCTTCTATTGGGCATCATTCTTTGTCTTACATTGTAAAAGCCATCTTCAGCACGTTTTGACTTTTGCCGATCTGTTCTCTTAGACTATCTGGTACAGTTCTGGTATCGTCATCTTTTCGGCTCTTTGATCTTTTCGACCTACACAATCCTTGAACTCTTCCTCCTGTCAATCATTCGTACCATTTCGCATTTTTCGCCGTCACTCTGATGAAGCTTCCTCTTACTATAGTATCTGTCTGATCATATACATCTCGGCGAGATCTTCAGAACTTCTCAAGATGTCTGCAAACCTTACAGCCGCAGGCGTAATCACCCATGGCGCTGTGATTTTGGATGCCAAGTATGATTATCGAGCGAACCTATACCAGGAACCAGATGTTGACGACATGGACGACTTCGATGATACGACCATCTATCCCAATCTTCCCCACAGAGTCACAGATGCCCTCTACGGATTGTGCGACGCAGAGCTGACTTGGGCCGACCTGACACTGGATGTAAACCCCCTACTAGCACTCATTAAGCCTTACTGCCTTACGCAGTGGCCCAAGGTTCGACAGGCAGCACCAGATGAAATGGACGGTCTGAGCCTCAAGCTCGTCACTCCGACCAGCGGGACTCCGTCACTTTTTTTCCCTGACTTCCAAACACACGACAAATTTCTTGCTTTCATGGATGATCCTCACAGCTTGGACAATATGCTACAAGGTATGGAAGATACAGTCCGCGAATTAAGGATTGTATATGCAGACGACGCACCCAATCTTGGCGCTCGTCCCGATCCGCCCTTCAAGCCTAGGGAACATGCACTTCTTCGCAAATCAGAAGAGTGGGCACTCTATCGAGAGGCACTGCTATGGGGCCGATTCTGGGCGCAGCATGGGTTCAATTTTAACCGGCTCACGAACATTACGTTCGTGATGCCAAAGCCGATGCTGTTTCTGGACAGCACCATCCTCGGGTATCTGACGCACCCGCAGCTTTCCTGGAAGAGGACAGAAACCGAGTATCAGGGGAGCCGCTGCGTCATGGTGAGGGTAGAATGCGAGCGAATCTACAACCATGCAGTCTTGTTTTCCAACAACATGAGAGTGGCTCTGCCAAATACAGAATGCGAATATATTAAGGAGCATATGGCGCACTATGGTTGGCCCAACATCGAGATAATTCCAAAGCATCTCAAGAAGCGCCTCCCTCTTAACCCTGCCGAAAAGCAACGTCGGCGAGACAAGAAGTTAGCTAGGAGGGTGGCGGCCGCGAGGCAACCGAGGTGGACGCCAAACGAGCTTCGAAGCGGAAGAAGGAGGAACTCCTCGGGACGTTATGTTTCTATGACTTGAGCGGTGGGGCGGTATCATATTGTTTCAAAACAGGAGGTTGTTTGTAGGACATTGGTTGTTTAGCAGTACTTAGCGGGCGCTGGGGATCACACATTCGATTATACATTGGATTATTTGCCGCCGTTCATGGTCGTGACAACTAGAGCACAAATTCCCATGATGTCAGGGTGATTGAGAACCCTGAATCGCGGTCACACTTACATCGAAGCGCCTGAAATTACGCAAAGGAGATTACCAGGTGCCAATTTGATATTTGGATACCAATATCTATCTATGAATCAGACACAAAAAAACAATCGTGCACGATGCGATAATCTGCATGGGATCTTCATCTCAGTCCAATCGCTGTAATGGCAGAACGGTGGCGTATACACAAACCCGGTAACACCACTGCCGGATATATTTCCCACTCTGCGTTTAAGTACGGTGTGCCATTACAGCTTCTACGTGAGAAATGACTGATGAATCACTAATACGTCCTCATGACAGTATTATTGCTAGTTCACATAGAGTAGGGGTTATACTGCCCATGCCGCGTGGTTGACCACCACATCATCCTGGTATCGCTTCATCATCATGGCCACTGAGCAACGCCATGGTATGGAGATATAACCACACGAGAATCACATTCTTCAGATGGCCAAAAGGATTGCAACGGCACCTCGCGTCACTTTAATAGAATTCCATCAAGCCCTAGTCACCATGTCAATCACTCTACGACGCACATTATCTCCGGGCCAACTTCCGCACATTCGACTGTGCTTAAAACTTGGTCGAAACATGCTATAGATATGGAGCAGAGAAAGGGGTGGTACAATGTTGTGACGTGGTACCGGAGCCAAGGCTTTTATTCTAACTCACTAGGTACCACCATGCCTGAGAACCCACATTCCTACAGAACGTGATATTGACCACTTATACACCTCCCGTACCCAACAGTTCGCCCTTAAAACGTCGTCGTAGCTAAACGACTCGCTGCGTTACGAGCATCGACACGATCATCATCTTCCTCTTGGACCCCCGACAGACTGCCTGCACCACTACTCGCCCGTTTTCTGCCCGCCTCCGTGACCTGCTCCTGTTCCTCGTCTTCAATGGGAGACGTAAAGCTGCCACTCATACTGCGATTCAGCCCATCCTGCCTCCTGGGTACACCGCTCCATGCATCACCCTTAGGACCTTGGCTACTGGCCAAGTTGGCGCGTCTTTGGGCAGGGTGAGCTTCGCGGCCGAGACGCGATAGACCGCCCGAGGCGTCTATTGAGCGGATGTCAGGGCGTACTTGTTCAAGGGTGGCGAGCGTACGACGCTCCGCTTCGATTTGGCGAATCACGTACTCGCGTATAGCGGAGCGCAGATCGGCTGCGGTGCGTGCGAACCATTTGCGGCGTTCCTGGACCAAATTCTTGGTTACGCGCTCCGACTTCTGCGTCAGATATTGCTCGTGGCTTTTGGCTTCGTCAAGCGCGGAGATGGCCTCGTCGACTTTGTCGCGGCGGACGCTACTAGAGGCCTTGAGGCGGTCTGCCGCGGAGAGTTTTGAACGGGTGGCTTGTTGAGCTTGGAGGAGTTCGCGGAGGAGGATGTGGCGGTTTGTGAGGGTTTCCTTGACGATGAAAGCGTCTGCAGACTGGTATTGAAGTGGATCTCCAAGTGTTGTGGCTTCCGCAGTACCTTGTGCGGCGTGAAAGTCTCCAGTCGCTTGGATGACCTTACCGAGTTTGCGGTATGCGTTTGCGAGGCCTGGATGGAGCTCCTGTACATGCATCTGTCCCATCTTGACACCAAGGTCAGCTTCCGCGAGACCAAGACCTGCAAAGCTGTTAATCCATGCCTACATGATGAGGAGGTATCTCGCATACTTCTTCTTTGCTTCACAAGCTTTTCCATCTTCTGCCCGGTATCCATGGTTCCCAGGTAATAAAGCTTGACTACAGGCCTTGCTTCAGCTAGCTCAGGCGTATCATCTGGAGGAGGTGCGAATTGTTTAATGACTTTTCTTCGCACACCCGTTGCTGGTTGTTTGCGCTTTACCACGGGGCTATAACCAGGGTCATTCTGTACAAAGAACATCATTTCCTCGTCGCGCATGAGCACATCATTTCCACAGACGGTGTTCAGCCATCTTTGTATTGACGCTTTCACTCGCGCCTCATCTTCATCGGTACCAACACCTGCGGAGGTTGAAGGAGGAGGAAGGGAAGGCACGAGTGCCTCTGGATTCGCGGATATAAGATGGTCGGCCAGTTTTTGAAATTCTGAGTGCATTCTCCTAACATCACGGAATTGTGTGGTGCGGAACTTGGGCAGGTTGGTCTGCGACTTGTCAGCATCCTGTTCAACCAAATTTATGTGTAAACTCCTACGTAAACGTCGAATCTAAATATAGGATCTTTGCGCGCTGTTCGTTCTAATCCTGTAACCTTTGCCTGAAGCTTGTATTGAGGCAGGCTTTGCCTGGCCCTGGCACCATGATATCTTTCCGGGCCCTGTCTCTGTTGCTGCTCCAAATTAGGCTGCTGTTGGGACAGTGGTTGTTGCGTTAAGTCCTGATGTTCCACACGTCCATTCTCGCCAAAGGTATCATTATGGCTCGACGTGCTGCGGGTATCTTGGTCCCCCATGAAGCCTCCGTCCTGCCTATCGTCTCCGTATGGCGACTGTGCCGGCAGTGGAGAGGAGGGAACATCCGTGTTGGCGCCAAAGCTGGTGCGATTATGCTGAGGTGAAGATGCCCATGGAGAGTGACCCGGACCAGGCTCATCGGGAAGAGCAGCCGAGTAGTCCATAATGCGCAGGAAGGAGAGGTTGAAGGGAAGGTTGAGTTTCAAAGATATGCGGACAACTTGCAGAGTGTATGTGAGGTCGTAGGGGCCTGTATTATGTCGTCTGGCCACGGACCAGCATCTGCGGGACCCATCGTTCTTGGCATTTACGTCTTACCAGGCATGGATCGAAGTACCGTAAGTAATTGATCCAACATAGAATGGTTGATCTACTTGGCGTTTACTTTGGCATCCTGAATCCTTCACATTGAAACTTCAACCTGCTTTGATGTGCATTTAGCTCATCGAACCCGGGGATGAGAGCGGTATGGACCTGGCGAGCGTATCGATTGCGGTCGCTCCATTTACCAGCTTCAATCCACGCGTCAACGCACCGCCAATATGCCGTTGAAGCAAACCCACCAGAAACACTGGAGGTTTCTTCTAGGACTCGCAACATTGGAATTATCGCTCATATAGATGCTGGCAAAACGACCACAACCGAGCGAATGCTCTATTACAGTGGCTACACTCGCAGATTAGGCGACGTAGACGAGGGCTCTACTGTTACAGATTTCCTACCCGCTGAACGAGCACGTGGAATCACCATTCAATCCGCCGCTATCTCGTTCCATTGGCCACCACTCCCGTCTGGCGTGACATCCAATTCGAAGCATTCAAGTCTCAATCCTGGGACCCCAAAATCATCTGTGCCTCACAACATCAATCTCATAGATACGCCAGGCCATGCGGACTTCACCTTCGAAGTCCTACGATCATTACGTATTCTGGATGGAGCTGTCTGTATCCTGGACGGTGTGGCTGGAGTAGAGGCGCAAACGGAAAAAGTATGGATTCAAGCAGATACCTACCAGATCCCAAGACTCATATTCGTCAACAAGTTGGATAGGGAAGGTGCAGCTTTTGGTAAGACAGTGAAGGAGATAGCCATGCGACTACAGACTTGGCCAGCTGTCTGTCAAATACCTATATGGGAACATGGCAACGGCTCGCTCCAAGGAGTCGCAGACGTTATACGCATGCAAGGTCTTGTGTGGGAGAAAGGCAGTGACGGGAGATCTGTCAAGCTTTTGCCACTCTCTGAAATGACCCAGGAACTCGCCGAGGAGCTCAAGCACGCACGAGTTGCTCTCATCGAGCTGCTCAGTGAGTACGATGAGGGGATGGTCGAGAAGTATCTGGACCACGAGGAGGACCATCTTGCTATACCGGCTACAGATGTTGTCGCCTCCTTAAGGAGATGTGTTCTACAGTCGCCTCAGCGCGTGGTGCCTGTGTACTGCGGAGCAAGCTTCCGCAATGTCGGCGTGCAACCATTACTCGATGCTGTCGTCGATCTTTTACCAGCTCCAACCGAGCGACCCGACGCCGAAGTCAATCTGAGTGGAAAACGCACCGCACTGGAGCACGTGATGTCCGGCACCACGGAGCTTACAGAGTCTCCGAAGAAGAAAAAGACTGGTGGGACTGGACTCCCCATTGCCCGGAACCTTAAATGTTGTGCGCTGGCTTTCAAGGTCGTGAATGATGCTAAGAGAGGGGCTTTGGTTTATGTGCGGGTCTACTCAGGTGCACTTGAACGTGGTACAAACATATACAACACGAACCTTAACGTTATTGAAAAGGCACATAAGCTACTTAGAATGTACGCCAATGATGCAGTAGAGTTGGAATCTATTGAAGCAGGCCAGATTGGAGTTATTCCTGGCCTGAAGTTTGCGAGGACTGGTGATACCCTGATAAGCTACAGTGGCATGAATTCCAAGTCTGGGCCTCCAGCACCCCTGAACTCGCTACAGCTTCGTCCGATCACAGTACCTCCTCCGGTGTTCTTTTCCAGTGTCGAGCCGCAAAGCCTCTCTGAGGGAAAGAATTTGTCGGAGCAATTAGCCGTACTTCTGAGGGAAGACCCAAGCCTTAATGTATCTGAGGATCCCGAAAGTGGGCAGACTCACCTTGCAGGCATGGGCGAACTGCACCTTGAGATTGCGAGTGGAAGACTTATAAATGACATGAAGGTCAAAGCTTCGGTCGGCAGCATCGAAATAGGATACAGAGAGACGATTCCAGAGTTGTCGGAGTCATACACTGAGCATCTCAATAGAGAATTCGGTGGAACCATCTCAAAGGCAGTCTGTGATGTGAGAGTACGCCATCTCGATATCAGCGATACCGACTTGACAGTAGATGGTATCACTGTCATCGATGCTGAGGCGTACCGCTTAGTTGTGAGACACCCGACTTTGGACGTCGATGGAGAGCCGATTCATAAAAGCCACCCTCGTCTGCCCGAGCATATATCTTTAGGTGGTCTGATCAACAGTCTGCAGACAGGCGTAAAGGCGGGCCTGGCCCGAGGCCCTAAATTTCACTATCCTGTTCACTCTGTCGAAATTGTTGTGGACATAGATCCGGCTCAGCACATTTTCCCGGACACAACGCTTTCGGCCGTGTCGACGGCAGCTTTCCGGGCTGTGAAAAACGCCTTGCGACAGTCCAATGCTGTAGAGAACACTATCATCATGGAGCCGGTCATGAATGTGACTATCACAATGAATGAATCTGACATGGGTTCTGTCATCCAGGACATAAGTTCAGCAAGAGGAGGGCAAGTGTTATCGCTAGAAGGTGAATCAGCTGCATCTACACCCCGAGACTACCTACCTATACTTGATGTAAATAAGGTGTATGCACCTCCAGATCCTTTCGGTAGCTCCTTTGGGTCTGGAATAGGTGTGCTGGACGCACAGCGGCAGATAACTGCTCGAGTGCCACTAAAAGAGATGGTCGGATACCTAAAACGCCTACGGTCATTGACTGGTGGAAGAGGCACCTTTGTCATGAGCGTGGATCGTTTCGAGCGAATGAGTACACATCGGCAAAAGGCTGTACTGAACGAGATGCGAGGCGCTTGAATGTAATAATATCTGTAGTACTAAAGAAGTAGAGATGCTTGAATGCTCGGAGGTTCCTCCGCCAAATCACCGCTCCGTACAATTCATTCGGAGCGATTTTTAGTTCGAGATGCGTTAAAATATGGTGAGATCATGGACCAGCTACTACAGACCAGCTACTAATTACAGACCACCTACTGACGAACGCACCGCATCTAAACCACTTATCGACCTTCTACGTGCAATGAGCTCTAGTAACACCTGCCGAGCCTGTTTCCGGGCTCTGCGCAGCCGCCAGACTATATGCAGAATGGTAAATAATTCTGATCTTCACGCGAAGAATCTACTAACTAAACCATAGCCAACACGTCACCTCTCCAGCACACCTCTACGTCTTGCAGAAGCAACCAAGATCGCCAATAGTGTATCTCACGATGTATCCAGTGTCCTCGCAGACTTCGACTCCTACAAGACCCGCATGTCCGCCCTCCAGTCCGATATCCACTCACTCGCAAACCTGGGAATGACCGATTCCCAGCGCGCAGAATACAACACACAACTCCAGTACATTCAAGAAAATATGACGATGATTGGGGGCGCGATGCCCAGAAAGGGAAATGTGGCTCAAAGGCTAAGGCATCTTGCGCCCAATGTCACAGAGACGTATGCGGCGTACGGGGCAACGATGAATCTAGTCCAGAGCTGTACTGCGCAAGCGGACTACTCAATGCCGAATGTGGAGCAGGGGGTTGAGCCAGAAATGCTGGCGGATGGGGAGGAGGTCGGGATTGGGAAGGAGAGTTGGTGGTTTGATGGTCCGTATCTCTCTGTCTCCCCTCTATACACACATCCGCATCACTGTAGATTGTAGTAATGCTCGAACTAAATCTCTCATAGATGCTAAGCTGCCCGCAACGTTCGCGACTTGGGCTCAGGTCTCCTTCCTCCATATCTACCTCCTACACACGCGCCTGCGCCTTTTTCCTACCTCGTCCGCTGGAACATGGCAGCAGCACCTCATCGACCATTTCTTCAACATGGCTGAGAAACGCATGATCACGCATCACCTCATATCCTCCTCCGCAAAACGACAGTCGTTTCTAAAGGGTCTATCATCGCAATGGCGCGGCGCAATCTTATCTTATGACGAGGGACTCATGAGGGGCGACGCAGTGCTTGCGGCGGCGGTGTGGCGCAATGTGTTCAATGCGAACGAGGACGTGAATGGGAAAGTGTTGGCGATGATTGTTGGGTGGATGAGGAAGGAGTTGTGGAGGTTGGATCAACTGGGCGATGAGGACTTTGGGAAGGGCTTGTGGGTATTTGGGGGCCCAGCAGAAATGAAGGGACAGGTCATGCTGGAGAGTAAGTTCATGAGGGATGGGCCGCAGCTAGGAAGACCGATCTAGATACACGCACGTGATTAGTGACGGCGTTTCGGGTGGTCTAGGTGTATAGGGTGGAATGTGTAAAAGTATTGTATGAATTACAGATCAAGCATTGTACATAATACTGCGGAGCTACGCGACATATGGATTTCGCCTATCCAAACAGTCGAAAATTTCCAAAACGCCTTCTGACATTGCCTGGGGTATCATTAGTACATATGTTGTGCGTAGTGCTAGCGAGCCAGCCGCGCCTATGCCTCAGTCTTTATTCTCTTCGCCTCACTCTCCTCTCTCTGCAACGAATGTTTTCTTGCATGAGCATGCGCATGCCTCGCAGCCTCTTCTTCCCTCTTCTTCCGCTCAGCCCTTGCCTTCCACTCCCTCCGAATATCCGTTTCCGCCTTCAGTAGGTCCATTTCCGTGACACCATCTCGTATACTCGCCATCACCTTGTGCGCCGTACTGATATGATTCGGCGCGTCTTTATCGTCTCGGAACCGCGGACTACCGTCTGGTTCGCGCTTGAAGCGCCATCGTCCCTTGTCGTCGCGCCAGCATTCGATGATACGCCCATCGAGCACTTGCTTTAGTTTCTTCATAGACTCCCATTCATCAGGCTCGAGGTGCAGGGTTCCGAATTCAGAGAATTTATTGGCAGATTCGCCAATGAGAAGGCTGAAGGTAGGAATGGCATCGTAGTCTGGGATCATGCCGTCCTCGCCGTCTTCAGGGTCGATCATGGGGAACTGTTGGAGGTCGAGGCGGAAGTCGATTGTATTCTCGTGCGGCGGCTTCCATTTTATAATGTTTTCATCGGTACCGTGTTTGTAGCTTGTGTTGCAGCATGTGAAGATGAGGCCGTCGTTGCCATGCTCAAGGTTGGGTAGTTTTTCGTTGAACATCACGCCCATGGCGTATGGAAACTCCATGCCCTTTGCTTTTAGTTCGAATGGCTGCGTGGATAATGCCTCTGGGTAGCGTTTAAGCCAGTCGTTGTATGGGTTTGTGACATAGTCGCGCAGACGGCCAAGGCGCCCGCTGAGTGGCTTGTGCATGATGCTCTCTTTCTCGAGGACGAGAATGTCGAAGACCAGGAATCGAAGCCGTTTCTCGATACCCTGTGGTGTCTTTACAGCATCATATACCAGCTCGCCGTCGAGGAGAGTTTGCTGATGGAACTTCTCGAATGTCGGATCTCCACTCCTGGGGAAATGCGCGCCCTCTAGGTAGTAGTAGTCGTTCTTGCGGTCGATGAGATAGCATGACTCGCCGCCTTCCGAGTCCTCATCAAGCCAAAGGAGGCATCTTATTCCGTCTGTTTTTTCGCACATGAAGTAGTTTTCCTTCCTCAGCTCTTGTAGATGCGCGCGTGCGAAGGAAACAGGCTGTGCGCCGGGGAACGACGTGGGTCCGCGCCCGAGGACATTGGCGATGAGTTCACGCAGGTGGTAGACTATCTCTTGGGGAGGCTGAAGGCCTGGAATCTGAGGGACACCATTCCCGTCTGCCATGATAAAGAAGGACGATTGGTGATGGGATGGAAGAAGCAGTCCGTGTAGGCTCGAGGCCTTCTGCAGTCGGCGGCGAAGTCGAGAAGCGGATGGATTGCTAGAAGATGCACATTAGGGCCTGATCGTGCGCCTGCCGTATCTAAAGCTATCAACCACCTCAGAGTGGCTGCTTCTGTTACTGTTGCGACTGCCTCGCGCGAGATTCATAGTATGAAGGTTATCCGGAAGTTGAGGTCTACTTTTAGCGGCCCATATTGAACGCCTGCTCAGGGAATTATAAAGAATGCAGCTGAAAGCCACACTTCATCCCAGCCCTCGCGTGAAATTTTGAATTTCTACGACAAGTCGTTGAGTCCCGACTAATTAGATATTACAACGAGGTCTTTAGTGATGACAGCGCACGATGACATCCCTGTCATTATTCATTCATGGCATGAGATCATTTCCATGTCTTCTTATTTGTCACCTACCTGGCTGAAATCAGTGACGGTAGACCACGACGCAAAACTTGGTGGAACAAACTAATTCTCCTTTGCTATGGTTTCCACGTCAAATCGTAGCAATCTGGCACTTTGATATTTGATAAAAATGTATATATGCACCTCATTCTTCTGCCCTTTGGCAATATGTACATTCTCATACTTCTCTCATTGCTATGAAAGATGGCACCAAAGCCTAAGCGTACCGATCTCAAAGTCATCCATATTTTCCTTGTCCCAATATCTTTACTCATTCTCTGTATGAGTATTGTCATCATTGTCATAGCGGCCAATACATCGGACGCTGTGGAATCGATACGAAGCCTCCTGCCGTTCCCAACCGCCAACTACACGCCTGAGGACTCGAAAGGGCTAATCGCTTGTGGGATTGTTGGCGTGACAGCTGCTTGTTTTGTGATTATGAGCATCTTGAACGGCAGACAGATGCATGAAGGGCATGCTATGAATGACAACGATGCGGACAAAGAGCGAGTGAGTAGAGATTGTGAATCCAAGTTACTTCCGGCCTCGATGGAGAATGCGTAAGGTCAATTGAGTCTCATTACCAAGCAGTTGTTGAGTCAACTGGGAAGAACATCGCGATATCTGGATCCGCGAAACCGTCCTTTATGCGACTTGACACTGTAAAAACAGCTCTCCAAGCACGATCCTTCGATTTATGGCGTCAGACAGTAGTATTGGTTCAGACAGGCTAACGTTGTTGTAGATCAACAGCACGCGCAAGTTCGACATTGGCGCCCTGAGTGCCAGCCTCATCAGCGCCCTAACCGCTCTCGTAGTCGCCGTATTTGTGTCTGTAACCGTCAGTTCCTCACAACTCAACATTGCTGCATCCGTTCTGGTTTCCTCGTTCGACGCGACCAATACCAAACGCCTTGTCTCCGCTGAGGCGTGAGTGTGCTCACTAGCCCGAGTGGTGACACCTTCACAGGGCACACTACTGAAAGTATGCACGAGCGCTGGCCATGCTAGGAGAATGACCATCGCGACTTGCGTCGCGAGCGGGCTTCAGAGTATGTTGTTATGGAAACTGTTAGCTCTGCGGAAAACGAAGAAGAAAACAATGAATGGCGCCACACAGGCAGAAGCCGGCCATATATCTGCTTCTCAAGGTCTCAACATGGCCCAGGGGCCAGATCTCAAACTAGGTAGTGCGTTGTGAAGTGTTTGCACGTTGGGCGGAACAAGTGAACGCGAGAGAACATTCACACCACCACGTCACTCTAGCGCACAGACACACACGCTCTTCGTCGTCTTCTTCCTCCTACCCAAAGAACATTTTTCGTGTAATATATAAAGCCCCCAAGATTTACAATTCTCAGCCGCTTACAGTTAATCATCTACCGTGGTCGGGTGGTATCATGTCACGCTCAAATCTGCTCTTGCAACACTGGATTATTAATCCTGCTACCAGATCTTGGGTTCGATCCTCCCTAAGTCATGTATGAGTACATTTCTTTTGCAATTTCAGCCGACGGATGCCAAGACTTTTTGTCATTAGAACGAATCTTTGAACCTTGGTTGATTTGGTCAAGGGGGCCTGCAATATTCTGTTTTCTTACTGCGGCAAAATCTTGCTGTGTGTAGTCATAGGATATCCCCATTTCGACTGAGTTTTGCACTTTCAGTAACGTCTATTTTGCGTTTCGAGACTGAGACTTGTTGTTTCTGAGCAAGACAGCCATGTCCAGAGGTTTCTCAACAGCACCGACCGTAAGCGACGTCTTTCCGAGGCACGTGGACAAGGTACACTTAAAGACGGCCTTGAGGTTATCATTCGTTGGGTGTTATTTCTACGACCTACGATGTTGCTAAAAAGCAATCTGGGGTGGCTGACTAAACAATGCGGACGTACCGCGCATAGTGCGAGATGCAGCAAACTGCTTAAAAGTCGCTTGCGTTATTGCTTCTCATGATACTTGCCCAGAGCTGCGTAAAGGTGCACACATGGGCCTTGTGGATGATACCGGAGACCAGGAAACTACGCTACATGAACGACCCTGAAAGACTGCAGGTCGTACTAATAATCATAGCGTACAACATGATTCTTGTGGCACTACACAAACGCCCGGAGTTATTGATCATTCCAACGCATCCGTATGACGCCATGCTTGCTAACTTGATTGAAAACGCGATAAGGTCCGGTATACCGGAGGTTTGAAATTCACAAATGTACAGACGTACAGGACACAATGACCGATAACCAACGACCAACAAAGAATGGCGACTCAAGGTTGTACATTAGCTTTTATGCACGTCTTGCAGAACGCCGTGTAGGTGTAGCTGTTGTCTTCGTAGACTTCTCTGTCTTCGATGTCCTCGTGTTCCTCGCTGTCATCGCTTTACCATTTGGCAATGTTGCTGGCGAACTCTTCACCCCGTTAGACTTTTTCAACGCGGATGCTTTGCTCGCTCTCTTTACTGGCGGCGACGATGGCAGATCATAATCCTTTGTTTCATCGTCTGCCTCATCGTCTTTGTCGGGCTCGTCATCGGACTGGCCCATTATATCATCACTGTGGTCCCCATTCCCTTCGTATCCCTCCTCCTCCTCCTGTGGTTCTTCCGGTTCTACCTCTCCTCCTTCCTCTTCCGCTTCCTCTCCTCTCATCTCCTCATCTTCTTCCTCCGCTTCCTCGAGGTCACTCATAGTTGCATCTTCGTTCTTTCGTTTACATGAATCACTGGTATGCTGATCCCATTCTTCCATTTCCTCATCATCCTCATCGTCGCTATGTTCAATGTAACTCTTATTGGCAGTATGACGACCACTGCGGCGACGGTCGCTTGACGGGACCTCAGACACAGGTTTTTCATGCTTTTTCTTTGATTTGGGAGTCTTCACAGCCTTTCGAACAGGCAAGTTTTTTGTATTTGGGCCCAAGCTCGCTTTGGCGCGCTTTGTTTGGCGGTTGGTCTCACCGTCGCGATGCTCTGGTTTTCGCTGCTACGAGTTAGTATGACTGCTCAAGAATTACCCTACGTGAACACACCTTCTTGTTCTTCAGACAATCCCTCACTACGGCTTCGATCTCATCGATGACCTCTTCTGGAATGTACTGCGTGGTCGCAATCTCTTGCGCTTGCTCAGGACTAGGCAGAGCAGCAAACAAACCTCCCGGCATCTTTATCTTTCCTGGCCAGGTTTGCATAGAATAAGACTGGATGTCCTGGTAAGTTCGAATGGTAGCTTGTGCTAGATCTGACAGTATGTAAAGATTTTCGGTCTTCTCGATGTCAATAGCATCTTGTACGGCCTTAGTCCGTTGCGCCACATGATATATCAAGCCTAAGTTCTCCTGTGAAGCAACAGTCTTCAGATAAAACATTATATAGCGAACGAAGTCGAGTAGATCTGTCGGTTCCGTCGCGAAATCCGGGTGATGCGCAAGCAGACTGAGAAAACGAGAGAACAAAGCCTCCATGGTTGTATCTTTCTGTCGTTTGAAGGCAAGAGCGCGAGACCTAATCCAAGTTGTTACGGCCTTCTGCAATGCTTGATCTGGTTCGAAAGGAAGTAAGAAGAGTATGGTATAGAACCGACTGGGGAGCTTTTGCAGACCGAGATATTTCATCAACTTGTCGACAAAGCCCGCTCGCACACTTTTGCTTGGATCCTGGGCGACAAGAGAGAGTTGATTGAAGGCCTTCAGACTCAGGAGCGGATCTAGTCGTTTGATGCAGCTCAGCTTAAGAAGAAAATGGGCAGCAGTCAGTCGCATCCGACTCTTGGTAGCTTCAGAGAACGTAGGACTCTTCGTGAGTTCCCCGCCGTGTGACACCAATTGATTCAGGAACTTGTAGACTGGCGCTGAGATGTCCCTAGCTGTGCCGACATCCTCGACCGCTCGAACGCGATTGACCAGGAGCTTCAAGGCCCATATCTTGGCTGTACAATCTTCGTCTGCCTGATCAGTCCATGAAGAGTTCTCGTTATTGGGTATCGGCGCTTCTTTCAGGAGGACATGGTTGACGGCTACGTCAAACACGCCGTCGCTCTGATCTTCAATCTCTTTCGAAGCGACCAGAGCAAGCTGACTCAGGGCAGCGAGCATCGATAGGTAATGCTCAGATCCATACTCGAAGTCATCGACGCACTTACTCGCAACCTCACGTGCATGCATGGCTTTCTTGTCTGAAACAGCCATAAGGATCGTGACAGCATGTTTCGCGGCCTTCGCAGGTGTGCCGTAAAGCGCGTAGTTGATCATGCTCTGAAGAAACTTTCGGTCTTTCGGTAGCTCGTGGGCAAACTTCCGCGCAAACCCTGCACAAGCTTTGAGATCCTGTACAGCGCCTGTGCCGTTCTTCCTGGTGGCGGACGGAGCTTCACCTTCGAGAGTTTTGCATAAGTCTTTGACATGGGCCTTGAAGATGTCAGGGTGCTTTTCCGAGATCTGCTTGAGGACTTCGTGAGCGATGTCGCCAAGGTTCTTCTCATTTGTCCTAGAGAACTGAATGATCGCAGGCAAATGACTTCGATTATAGATAAGACTGCTTGATTGGTAGACGAGGGGCAGCAAATGGTCCAAGACATACGGATCCTTGCCATCTTGAATTTTCTTTGTAAGCTCTTTCTACAAGTTGTTAGTCGAGTATAGTTACATTGATGACTTAGCCTTACGATAGATCGGTATACTTTGCGATAGTCACTTTCAGCGGCCATCGCAAAGCGGATCAGCGCATAGCTCCGTCGGTCGTGGATTTTAGCGAATTTCCACAAGGCCTCGGAAGCTTTCTGTGTCTCAGGTAAAGATTTTGAGAACCACTCAATCAACCGTCCAAGCACCGTTTTGGTCTCTTTCTCGTTTTTGTCCATCACACCACCCTGGAGGGGTAGTTAGTCCGTGGCTTCATATGAGCACAGGCTCTTCTTACATTGTATGCTTCGCAAGTGCTTAAAAACTTTTCCATGAACTTGGCCATTTGGCCTTGCTGCCCCTGACGGGCGATCATGATGGTCTTAGCTTTGTCCTCAAGGTCTCTCATCAAAATCAATACACGCTCCACCCTAATTTTGTCAAGGTCTGCTTCAGTCAACTCATCAGTAGCCTTGTTTGAGCGTTGGGACTGTGATGTTTGAGTGGATGCCTTTGCCTTGATTGGCGGGTAGCCTAATGGCAAAAGCGATTCATGCAAGACTCGATTGACGAGAGTGTTGATCTCAGGGTCATTGATGTATAATGCGTCGAAAATGCGAGAGGGTATGGGCCCGAAGAGTTCTACCATCTGCTCTTGCCCTTCACTAATCGCGCCAGAAGCAACACCCCATATTTTTGCAAGAAGTTTGGTAGCTTCTACACGTACGATTGGTTTTGGATCTTTCGTTCGCGTGCTCAAGCTATGTAGGATTGAGTTCTCCGTAGATATACCACCCAGGTTGCCGAGCTTATGGACGATGTCCCAGAAGTTGAAATTCTCAATAGCTTTGACCACAGCCAGTCTGACTCTCTCGTCGGTGTCGACCAGAAGATCAGAGAAGAAAGCGAGCAGCCTCTTGACTTCTTCCGACTCTAATCCAACGCCCCCAGCAGATGTCATTAGTATCCTCCCCAAGCCTGTTGCGACAGCGGCTCTTACAACGGGCGACTTGTCTTTACGTCTTGACAGAAAGCTGTTGTAAATAGAGGCATGCTTCAACGGGAATGAAAGCAGGGATACGGGTGTGGTCAAGAAGTTGTAGCTCTTAGGACTATCAGCTATCAAACCCTGAGACGGATATGCATTAGGATTTAGACTGGTAGCAGGTGGAGGGCCTGCAGCTCCGATCCCCGAAACCATATCTCCTATAGTCTCTGTCACTATAAGACGTATATCAGTGTCTTCTGTGCCGATCTCTGCATCAAGTTGAGGGATGATTGAATCGAGAATATTTGGAGTCGATCTCCACAGCTCCCTCAGCATGCGATGTGCTTTACTGATTTCTTTCATGTCCTCATCTGAGCGAGCCTGCATGAGACTATCGTCAGCCCTAGATGGACTGCTCGCGGTTTTATGGGATTTGGTATGCGTTGTTCTGAACGAAGCAGTGTTGGACGCATCGGCAATGATCTGGCTGAAATATGTCGTGATATACTTCGACATTTTGTCGACAGAGTTGTTGCAGACATTCTTCGCCATGTTATATGCTGCAGGAGCCTCTTTGAGCGCTGCAGTGGATTGGGCTTCGTCGGCGACTTCTGACTTCTTTACTTTCAGATTTGAGAATCCAGTCAACCGAGGGTCCGCTCTGAGGAACTGGGCCAGGATTACGTCGATAGCTCCAGTCGGCAAGTCGTCTGTTTCATCTGCCAAAACACTGAGAATGATGGTCATATGATGCTCTACGTTTTTGCTTAAATCTTCACCGCTTATCGCTTTCGACGGTCCTGACAACACGTCGAAGCAAGCGGTGAACATTTGTGTGAGTAATTGCTCTGTTCCTCGGATATCAGCGAGTATGACGACGCTCTTGACCTCTGCCAACGAACGAAGGACATATTTGTGCTGGGAATCGTATGGATTCGAGGGATCAGCAAGAGCAGGGATGATCGTGACTACAAACAGCTCGAATATGCTCTGTCTTGTGTTAATATAATTCAATACTCGATCCGGCCTAATGGCTTACTTTTAGTTCCCTGTCGTTGTATGGTGCATTTGGGGCACAAAGCCTGAAGATGTCCGCCAAAGCGCATGCCGTCCATGCTCTTATGCCGCGATCTTTGTGTCCTAGCAGATTTGGGGTCGCAAGCTCTTTCGATACCGCACGCAAAGAGTCTGTGTCGACTTCATCTTGCTCCATGTCCCTCATCTCTGTGCACAGCTCTTGCAGGCGACGCAGAAGGTCTGCGACTGGTATGGCTCTGCCAGCTTTCCAGGTCAATGTCTTATTGAATTGAAGTACTTGTGTGCCTCCTCCCTCGTAATCTTCTCCTTCTTCTTCATTCTGCTCTTCATGGTCTTCTTCAGGACTCTCAACACTCTCATCAACGGAGTCTTCCTCTTCCTGCTCTTCTATTACATTCGCCTTGCGAGTGCGCGTCCGCGTTCTAGCCATGTTAGCGTAGCGCGCGCAGCGCGTTGGCAGGTTGAATTCGTGAGTATCAGATCTGTTTTGTTTATTTCCACGCTTTCGTCGTACGATGGTAGTTGAAATTAATGTGTGGATTCTGCAAATGATTCAAGGAGAGCCACGAATCGTGAGGCCCGCGCGATGCTTCTAGTTCCATTCACGCGTGTTCGCCTCTAGCCGCTCACGCAGCTTGAGTTTGACTTATCTGGACTAGCCTAAGGCACAGACCGACCTCGATCACTGTCTGCCCTGTCGCTGAATCGCTATCATCGTTTCGAACAACACATCGCGACAAGAATCACATGTCTACTGGGATCGAATATGTGGTAATAAGTAGCATGATGAATTTCAATTTGATTATCCGGTCCCCAACGAAGTTATGTCCAGCCGCACCGAAGTCTTTCAAAGGGTACCTAATTCTCGAGGCTTCTGCATGTTCCATATACTCACATTCAGAACAGCTGAAGCCACTGTGTATCCAGCTAAGCCAACATGCACTTGCTCTAGCTGGCAAAAGTACAGATATCAAAGCTCTCATCTCGTCTCTCGAGTACTTACTTCAGGAGCTGAATGCCGTGCGGAATGGTGCCGGTGACATTGATGCAAAGCTTGCGGAATATGTTTTCTTTCCTCTTTCCCACGTACTCAAAGCGAGTCGCATTATTCCAGGGCGTGCCCTCGAGCTTACTTTGGAATGCTTACATATTTTACTCGTTACTGGATGGGAACGCAACATCCCAAAGGACTTAGGGATACAGCTTCTTATTCTACTCAGCTTTTTAGGGGATACCTCAAATACCACGGCTAAACTTCACGCCAGTTCTGAAGAGCTGCAGACGGTTGCTCTAAAATCTCTGGCAGCTTTGCTTGGAAGTTTTTCTCGATCTCCAAACGCCAAGGATTCATTAATAGCAACCGAGAACATCCTCAGCATTGGAAACTGCATGTCGCTGTCGCTTGATGCTATAGTTGTGGGTCGATCAAGCGATATTCAACTCGCTGCCGCTCAAGCTGTTCTCAACTTCCTAACAGCGGTGGAACAGCAAGACGTTCTAGCAAACTTCTTACCTGGGATAATATCGTCGCTTTCAAGAGTCCTGTCATCGACCGTACAGACGAAACGATCTTTCAAAGTACTTCAATCTTGCCTGGAGAGCCTTGCGAACATTCTTTTACTTGTATTCAGTGACGTTCATACTGCCAATCTACCTCAAAAATCATCAGATGGTCGAGGTTCTATACTGACCCCAGCTTGGCTCAGCGCATCGGCTGGCCAGATTAAGCAAGCGCTTTCGAATATAATCACTGTACGACAGCATGAACGTCGAGAGGTTCGTGATGGTCTAGCTCGACTCTGTATCATCGTATTGGAAGACTGTCGCAAGTCTTTGGAAGGATGCTCTACGATGATGATGGACACTTTAGTGTCACTGATAGATCCAGAAACGAATAATGTCGCCGGGGCTTACTTGCAAAGATTGATTGGATCTCACCCTGAAGCTGCGGAGCATCTTAAAACGGTTGTCCATGGTTGGGTTGTATCTTTGCCTCGCTTGATGTCTTCGCAAAACGATAGGTCAAAGCGTGATGTACTACAGAGAATATCTGCCGGTTTCAAGCTACTCCATCAAGAAGCAATTACTGTCGCCACCTTTGACAGCTCATTGGCTTCAAGTCTCAGAGACAGCGTAACTGTTCTCGTCCGCGGTCAATCGAGAACGTTTCAGGAAAGTAACCCAGACTTCCCGGAACTCATTGGCCAAGTCACAACGACGACAACCTTAAGCGGATCTGTAGCACAGTTCAGACCCGTTCTCGGTAGGGTTGGAGAACAGATACAAGGAATGTTGGAACTCAGACAGCTCCTAGCCCAGATCGGACGATCCGATCCATCCCTGGGCTTGACCTTCAACTTATTGGAGACAGCACATAACGCACAAGGTGAGGTGAAGTTAGCAAGTTTTTGGCTAGCAAAGGTCTTGATCGACACAATATTTTCCACACCGCCGGAGATATCAGATCTTCTCGAGTTCGATGATGATGTTCCTCCTGCACTAATAGAAGCGAGAGAAAACATATATGCTTTGGCGGTGTCCATTGTTACCGAGTCTATCGGTGAAACGGATATGGACTGGAGATTGAGAGCACTAGCACTTGAGACGATCGCATCACAAGCAAATGACCAGGGTCCAGCCTACAGGCCTGAACTCATCGACACATTATATCCTATCCTACATCTAATGGGATCTTCCAATGATAGATTACGCCATCACGCATTGACGTGCATGAACATTGTCGCGAGGGCTTGTCAATATAACCAAGCAAGCGATATGATAGTTCAAAATGTGGATTACCTCGTGAACGCCGTTGGCTTAAGTCTCAACTCGTTCGAACTATCACCGGAAGCGCCGCAAGTTCTACTTATGATGGTGCGCCTATCGGGACCATCTTTACTGCCGTACCTTGAAGATCTCGTTTCATCAATGTTCTCGGCACTGGAATCGTTTCATGGATATCCTCGGCTCGTGGAACTGCTCTTCAGTGTGTTCAGAGCGATGTCGGAGGAAGGGGTCAAGACTCAGGCTCTGAGCATCGATGGAAGCTGTAAGAAGGCATCTTCAGGGATACAATATAACCCACCTACGACATTAGACATCGTTGAGACCATGCGAGATCTGTGCGACCACTTGACAAGATCACGTGAAGACGAAGAGAAGCCAGAGCCCTTTCCCCAAGGAGCCTGGAAAAATGACAAGGAAAATGACGAGACTGGAATCGACGAACAGGGGGAACAGAATCCCAGTTTGCAGAATGAGGACGCGCAACCACCCGTCCCGAAATCATACAACTTGCTTCTGAAGATTGCTAAACTTACGCAACATTATCTTCCATCTTCATCTCCGAGCCTAAGAGTTTCTCTACTTTCTCTTCTACGAACGACATTTCCTGCCCTCGCAGCTCACGAGAACTCATTCCTTCCTCTAATAAACACGTTATGGCCAGTCCTGGTTCCACGATTACTGGATCCCGAGGCCTTCATAGTTGCCAGTACCTTGGATGTGATAGGATTGATGTGTCTTCACGGGGGTAATTTCATGAAAAGCCGCATTGACGATGTGTGGCCATCATTAATGAGCTTGGATCCACGGAAAGAGATCGCCAAAAACCGATCGCTGAGGTCGAAGGCAGGCGACTCAGACCGCGATATCCAACAGCTTCTCGGCAATGTTGCAAGAGATGAGGCAAGTAAGATTGTGACGACTGAGCTTGATTCTACGCTACGGCTAGGCTACGTTGATTCCCCATCTCGGATGATCTGGAAGTCTTACGTGGATTTACTGATATCAATCGTTGGCAACGTGGCTATCGACGATGAGAAGTACGACGAAGCGCTCGACCTCATGCAGCCTTTACTGCATGCCAAGAGAGACATTCGAGATGTTTTCGAAAGTCGAAATCCTGATGCTGTCTGGTTACGATTACACTATGCGCAAAATCCCAGCTCAGACACCTATCAATCCGTCGTGCGATGACTGCTGACCGGCTATTTCGCGTCAAGATTCTCGAGTCTCGACGACGTTGTTCTCACATTTAAATACAAATAAACATTCGCCAGTTTTGCTGATGCAGCTATCAGAGTAATAAAGGTTTAAATCTACTTTCAGGCTCCTGGTGGCAAAGCCATCCTTCCGGTGTTCCGAAATTCAACTCGCTCGCTGCTGATAATCTTACACTTCAAGGGCCAGCTGAAATCAAGTACCGAACTCGTTCATGTCTATCACGACACTTCTGTTCGCCATTGTCTAGAAACTTGTGTTACACACCTTTGATGCAGGTGGTGCAGTCGGGTGTCGTTGTTGAACGTGATCAGTTGATGTAAGAAGCTTAAACAATGTCTTTTGCACAAGTTGCAACAGGCTGATAAGAACTCAATTCATGCAGTTTCGCCCCTTTAGATTTGAAGTCTGTCAGTTGGTCGGGCAGGAAAGACGATCACTTTCGGCATAGACCACTTGGCACCGACTCAGTAGTACATTGACACATCTTCGCCTCATGTCTCCCACAAAGTCCCATAATCAACTATTTCGAACTGCGCTAGAGCCTCACAGACTACAAGCATTGGGTCTGCTGGGTCATATCGCTTGCGTACCTGACAATCTTATTTGTTGGTAGTGAACGCCCCGGGGTGCACAATCTGTCATCTTGGGGAATACTTAGTGCTCGTACGTGCTTCACGGGGAAATTCAGCGAGTCGTCAATCAGGTTCTCAACTGGTCTGCGGAGGCACATCTGTGGAAGGCTCGATCACTTGGGAACCATATCAAAAGGACCGGGCTGGTATTTCAACTGGACACTAGCTTTGGGCGTAGTACGCAAGTAAAGATCCCATATAACATACTTTACGTCCAGTATGACTACATATCCAAATCGCCGAGTGATACCAGGTGCAGTACATTCAACGTATAGAATATCTGCTTATATGTTAGCCTTGACATAGTGACGCCACTTGAACACATCTCGCTCCTAAGACTAAGAGATAAATTTCCTGTCGACCGCCACTTTTTGTGTTAGTATCTTCCCCGCCAATAAACATCAATCCATTCTTTCACAGCTACCGAGCATATACTCAGGTAAGTGAGCACTGTTTTCTGGCATATGTTAGAAATCTGCCTGCTGATAATGAGTAGGTTGTCCCAGCCCCCCCCCCCCCCCCTCCCCCTCACCTTCCCCAAGCTCGCAGACCTTACAGTATTCCCTACCGAGGGCCAGGGAGCGATTACACGTTCTTGTTGTTGAAATGGCAGTGGGAACTGATACCGCTCCTTTCTGTTCCAGGACTAGAAATATTCGACGTCAATACACGTGGAAGCTGGGTAAGAAGTGTTTGGAGAGGTCGACAACAAACACCTGATGACGATGTTGACGTCCACTGTACTACGCACGCTACGCCTCAATGATTTTAGACTGTCTGTACCAGAGACGACCACTGGATCTCGTATTTACGTCATTGTCCGTACTCACTCGGTTTGAAATCCAGGCGACGGATAAGGTCCCATGGTCATTCGTCGATGAACAAGACCACTCTGCAGCAGTACAGCTGATGGACACTCAGGCTGCGAAACATGCGATCACAAATCGCTTGTTCCTTCTTGCATACAAACTATGAATTATAAGCGATGAGGGTACAAGCGCATGTGAAATGCACTTAGAGAGCAGCATAGCCATCAATGAGCTTTGGATCACCGATGGAGCTTGATGGTGACGTAGGCCTTGCGCACCATAGTGCTCTCGTCAATGACTCTGAAGTCGCGAAGCTGTTCTCGTTATTATTGGCATCTGACGTACCTGCAAATATGATATCTTATATGGGCGGGACAGTCCATAGCGTATTACCTGCTACCTATGCAGCATTCCACTGATGACGGCAGGGCCCGGGACGCTTCAAGATCACTATTCCTAATACGGATATAGGGAGCTGAGGCCACTCACTCACTTTTTCTCTCTTCACTTACCTCCATCCCTCAGACAACCCCGACCGCCCAAATCGCTGCGCCTTGCTTCCATCCAGTCATGTCACCCTATGTGACAGCCGGTCAGCAATGGACGTGCAGAAACGGACACGTCCGTACTTGTGAAGGAACCCCAGACGTTGACGCCTCCGGCCCTCTCACACGCCAAAGTCTTCCGCAAGGCCGAAACACGCAGCCACGCCCTCTCGCCACTCCATAGTGCACACCATAGGTATTCAGGGACGAGAAGCAATGGTTGACGGCCACCATCAGGCCCAATGAGTCAGCCTGCCAGCTCAACCTCTACCGCAGAGTGAATCGCTTCTGTTCTTGGCTCTCTATTCCTGCATTCTCAACGCCGGCTCACTTGCACCAACGTGTATCTCGATGTATCACCTCGCAAACACGGGGCATACCAGGTGCAGCCATGGCTCATCTACACCAGTGTGCTACTCAACGTATGGTGTACAGTGTGATCCAGTCTACTGGCTATCAACGGCACATACAGCTGATCTTCTGCTGCTGATAATACACCCGGTTGTGCATCTCGCAGTTGGCCCCCAAGGTCAGTTCTCGAAGGTCAGGCTCCAATGAACTTCGCCAGGCCTTTGGCAAGACATGGGCATTGACTCTATCCATCGTCATTACCAGCACTTGTCGCTCTTCGTAGTTTGTACTTTCTTACCTTTGTGCCTTTGTGTCCGTTAGGTAAAGCAGGGGCGTGCGTGTCTTGGCGCATATTTGCATGCCCTGAATGGCTTACCGGTAAGTGTTTGCACACCCTACCAGCATGGCATCAAAATCATCTGACAAGGTAGGGGTGCATAGCACGCAAAGTTTCTTTGTTACCTCTTTCCCGCTCCCGATGTGGCTTACATTCTTCATTCTTCTTCAATCATACGTGAACACGTTCCGTCGTTGGTCCTGCTTGCACCTATACCTGACTTTCGCCTTCTCGCCTCAGGCTCAACTCAACGCCTCATTCGTCCTTTCTTCTCTTGCTGTTTAGGCAGAATCTCGCACTGGAACGCTGCGCCCTACTAGCTGTGACCGCGCGACTTTCAACTACCAAATTCACACTTCGGTCGACGCGTGCGAGCGCACACGTCCTGGGATCAGGTTGTAGTAACCATGTTGGACGGCAAAGGAGGTATGACAAGATGAACGATTCCGCCTAGCGCCAACCAGGACCGATGTTCACTATCGTGCGGACATTACTTCTGCGCGCACTCCAACCAGGCGAAGCAAGACCCAGCCACTGCCCTAAAGTTCGCAGGAGCTCGAGAACTTGTTAGACTGAGGCTCTCACCGCGACAGCACCCCTGCCGGTCACGGCAACAGGGCGAAGCTGGAGATCTTGGTCTACTCTGATGGCCGATCCTTTACTACTTGAATGGGACGACATGGGGATTATAATATAAAAGCAACCTCGACCTTCCCCGCCCATTCTTGTTCCTCATAGACAGTCATCGGCTTTAGCAGACATCACGAGCGTTTTCGCTGAGCCTCCGTTCCATCTATATCTTCCAAGACAATTTCTCTTGATAGCAGTCATTTGCTTGATCGGTCCGAGTCAACTTGTCTCGAGGCACAAGCAACAGTTCAGTACCCGAACAATATACTCTATTGTAAGTATGTTGTCTGTACCTATCGTCGACAACTTCTAACTAACACAAGCAGCAAGACGAATACCGTTCTACTTCATGGCACGCTCTGCAAGCGCCAAGCCTATCGCTAGCCCTGACAGGTCTCCAAAGACCACATCTCCTAGCCCTAGCCCCTCGAGAACATCCTTCATGGCTAGCAGCAAATTAAGTTCTCGAAGAATTCGCGCTCGGCTAGACCCGAAGGAACCTGAGACCTCCTATGACGGACCATAAGTCCGACAAGAGCTTATGATTTCTGTGGAGTGGAGTCACTTGATGGCGTGAGCTGTACTTATGTATGTTTTCTTGGATCTTAGGTCTTGGAGCTTGGATTTTCTGTCACTTCTTTCGTATGTTGCATGACAGGTGTGTTATCAAAGCTCGCTCTTACTGCCGCCATCCTTACTGAAGCTTTGTCCGCGGGTGGTTTCTTTCTTAGTTACCGTGGTCTCTTATTCCCTTTGTCGATGTTCGTTGGAAAGTCCGCCTTAAACTAGCAAACAAATTAAAAAAAGCATACACATCATGAAAGCCACCGGCACTGCGATGTCGTCGTCATAATAAGCTCTGTTAGCCCAAGCCCTACCATGCGGACTAATCCGCATGATAACTTATTCCCAGCGTATAATAAGCCCCAAACGTAGCCCGAGTCCCGGTCCAATCAAGCTGATCCAGTAGATGCATCTATCGTGCCAATCTGCCCACAGCTAGTGTAGTAATGAGGGGTTCGCAAATCAGCCTGATTGTGTCGTGGTAGCACAGCACCGTACCTATAGCACGGCATAAACTAGTCGACTTAGGCACGCTATCGATCGCAGATGCCTAGTTGAACTTGTGATATGATATAACGTCCCAAGCAGTGCGCCGAAAAAAACATATGAGATGGTGCTATAGGTATACGTTCGCGACCGCACCGGCAATCTCTCTTTCATTATTCTCTGCACTATCTACCTCGACTTCAGGTCTGATATTACGCGCAATGTGTATAGACATACCGTTGCAGATCCTTCTATACATACATGCGCGCGGCCATGCACGCATCCAAGCGTCACTATCGGCACACAGCACAGCCTCTTTGGTTGCACAAATGCCGTTACATGAGCTTGTGCTCATTGACCTCATATCTTGGCTCATCCCTGTTCTTGGGTATAGAAGTTAGTAGCGAGGTGGGCTGAGGCTCGTCGGCAGTGAGGTCATTGTGTACTTGTCTGCGGTAGGTGCAAGGCCTGCCCTGCTGCTTCCTGCCTTGACTCGGTGATTGGTTGAGAGGAGCTTGCTCGCTTGTTGACATGGTCCTGGAATGGTGATAGGATGGAAATATGGTAGGGCTGTTCTGAGAAGATGAGCTGTGTTAGTCATATATAGACTCCGATAATGGATCTGACTATCCGCCCGAGCTCGGCCGAGTCTCCATGTAAGGAGTCAAACAGATACCCATGTGTATATGATATGTTTTGTTGTTAAGAGACTACAATCCTCACAACGCCCAACTCAGCGCAACGCACCATATGTAGTCATCCACAAACGCACTACTCAGAGCACTTCTCCGTCCGCGCTCCTCGCTGGCGCTTTAGTAATGATCTAACGACAGCCGCACCCACCACGCAAGCACACACCTTGCCGTACATATTCCATGCATGACTGAAGATCGCGTTTTTAGCTTCCGGATCGACAGATTGCATTGAGCACGTTTTCAGCGGGATTGGTCGTGGGTGCGCGAAAAACGTGTTCTGGGTGTGTCATGGGTATCTACTAGACGTGCATGTGCAAGGATGGAGAACTATGAAAAAGGGCGGTGACGTGTGTGCATGGATTGGGCGTCGGGGATGCCGCATTGGACGGCGATGCAGATGCAGATGCAGATGTAGTCAGTGAAAAGTGGGTCTTGTGCAGTGCGGGTTAATTATAGAGTTTGTTGTTGTACTTCCCCGTCTTGAATAAAGGGATGAGGCTACCGTTATTGGTTTAGCCGACGAGGGGCAGCAATGACTCTCTGGACTCGGATATTGTTTGTGTTTACTAGCTCTACTTATACTTAGATCTTGATGGTTTCGAAAGGGCTTTTGAGTGTATTTTCATGCTTTTAGTGCTTAGTTCATTCAAGACATCTTTTGATACAACTTCACATAAGTTTATACCATTCAATACTGGAACTGGGCTACTTCTGCTGAAACTTCATATTAGGTGGGAGCGAATGTACCTGAATCGGTTGATGGCAGGTCTAGACTGTTTGTTAATAGTCCTCAGCCTCAAGCCACATCGGACTGTTTAAGCAGGTTGACACACTGGGTCAGCCACAACGACTTATGCAAGATGACAGAGAAAGGATAGGGATGATAAACAAACATATATATTTTTCAGAATTCTCGATATAGAGATCCTATTTCCAGTAGTACAGTATCAATTGCTTGTTCTCGCAAACAGACATAACATACAGCATTGTCTCTCTGGCACGGTACAGGATGGCCGTCCCCTTCAAGGCGAGCATATCGCAGACTGCAACCCACATCCTCAAATCCGTCCTCACCCCTCCCCTCTCATACCACCTCCGCACATTCTGGCTCTTCTCATACAGCGATTTCAAGACAATCATCATCCCCAGCACCATCTTCGGCATAACGAACGGCCTCGCCGCCTCCTCATACAACCTGCAACCCCTGATCCAACTTCCCACCTCGCTCTTCATCCTCCTTCGAACCCCCATCGTACTCTTCTGGGTCTGGCTCAACTATATAGCCTTCGCAATCAACAACCAATCATCTGATTCCTCCATTGCCGAAGACGCAGTCAACAAGCCATGGCGCCCCTTACCTAGCAAGCGCCTCACACAAACAGCCGCGAAGGGACTCATGTGGGCATGCTATACCCTCGCGCTTCTGGGTAGCCGCTTCATGCTCGGTGGCGCGAGCCAGGCGCTCGGACTCGTTGTATTGGGCGCATGGTACAACAACTTTGACGGCGCAAATGCGGATCCGCTGATTCGGAACCTGATTAATGCAGGGGGCTATGTGTGCTTTACTTCAGGCGCGCTCGAGGTTGCGATTGGGGGCGCGAGAAGTGCAGAGGGTGGGGCGGGTTGTCTGGGTTTGTGGCTTATGGTTGTTGCGGGGGTTATTGCGACGACAATTCAGACGGCGGATATGTACGACCAGGAAGGCGATGCATTGAGGGGGCGGAAGACGATGCCGTTGGTAGTTGGTGATTGGTATGCGCGATGGACGATTGCAGTGCCAATGGGTGTCTGGGGGTTTGTGTGTCCGATGTTTTGGGGGGTGGGTTGGTTTGGTGTGTGCATGAGTGGTTCGTTGGCTTGGTCTGTGGCGCTGAGGACGTTGCTACTGAGGAATGTGAGGGATGATAAGGTGACGTTTTTGATTTGGAACGTCTGGATGTCGGTTGTTTTCGTGTTGCCCCTATTTGCTTATTAGATTTGACTTCGGTTTAGATTATTATAGAAGTGCTAGAATATAGAGCGAGCCTTTTCATTGTCGCCTCAATGATATTTCAGACGATACCGAACACCGTGCTTGATCTTTGCCAAATTAGTATTCATGCAGCCGAGATATCGGGGCATGGTTTCAACGTCTCATGTGTCAATCTAGTCCTTCCATTCTAGATCCTTGTCTTTCAGGAAATCTTGATTCTGCGTCGTTGGTCTCGTGGGTATCGGTCTTGCCATCAACGTCGATTAATAATAGTCTTTCTCACCTGGTAGTTAATCAGTCTGTGGTATGTTATCAAAAAATGTGTACACGTTCTGTGAGTGTATAATAGGTCTTTCAGCAGCTGCCTAGGTAGTGCTGTTATATTCGAGCTTTATTGTCCGCGAAAACTCTTATAACTCGCTGAGCAATTGCCGCGACTGTTGCATGGTGGTGTCCGGAGTTCGTGAGAACGCCAGCGTTCCGGATCGAGTTCGAGAGACTGGAATTTTATTTTCGGTGACTATAGACGCAGCTGCATCGTGATGTGACATCGTTCAAGGATTCAACCTACGGCTCGAAGTGTAATATGAGCAGTCAAGAGTCTGAGCACTGGAAATGGGGGTGTCAGTAATACCACATGATCGCGATCCCCTATCGCCGTATAGTGAACCTGTATTCTGATTATATAACCATGTTCAAGAAAGTTGGTTTCGCTTGGTCTGTGTAGATATATGATACATTCTTCATACATATATAGACATATACGTACCACTAATGTAAGTTCGATCGTTCTTCATAAGTGCACCTAGCGAAACCGCTCGAATAACGCTTCTTCTTGCAACCGCTTTTCGACCTTAGCTGCCACTTCTGGGCCCCAAAGGTCCTCTGGTGACTTGTCACCCTTCAGAACTTCCTTTTCATGCTTCACAACTTCCTCTTTGGTCATACATACAAGATCGCGAAGTTTCAGTGGGGAAACCTTTTGTCCCGCGATTGATGTATCAACAAAACCTTTGGGTGGTGCGTTCCATCTTGAAAGAGCCAGTCTCGTAGACAGACCTGACACTACACTTCGGCCATTGTAGACTTCTTCTACTAGATAGCCAACATCGTCCGGTGTCATCGGTATTCGAAGGTTTGTCGGTTCGATATCTTGTGCTTTCGCAACGCGAGATTCTAGCCCTTGTAGAGCTCCCATGATGCCATCATACATGCCTTCGCGATTCTTTGACGGCATATACTCGTGCGGATAACCGGTAATTTCAAGCATGACGTGGTTTGCGACACAGAGGCCAAAGATAGCTGGCATTGTTCCCAGGACAGGTAAGATTCGCACGCGGAAATCCGGAAGCACACCCAGCTCGCTAACACTTCCTTTTGAGAACTCGTCTTCGGCCAGAGGCATCAGCTGTGCTTTCCCTGGGCCTGACTTTTCGGTGGAGAATACAACATTGATACCGTCCTTGACACCTTTGGCTCTTAGGCGTCTCCTAGTTGATTTCGACAGTGGATCGTCTGTGCTGGCCGAGATGTCCCCAATCAAGATACGCGTTGGGTCGGACTTACAGCCGGCACCCATCGAGCTAATGACCTTGATATTGTTTTCGAAACAGTAGTTTAAGAGCGCGACTTTGCTACCGATGTTGTCAATAGCATCAACCACGAAATCCGGCTTCTGTCCGTTCAGATCACCCAGTTGCCGTCCGGCACTATCCTCGCCGAACAACTCATTTCGACAATCGAAGTGCACCCAAGGTGTGATCTGTTCCAGTCGACGACGAATACAATGAACTTTCGGAGTGCCCACATCGGCGAGAGTGGCGACAGCATGGCGATTTAGGGATGATAGTGTTACTTGATCAAAATCTATCAAGCGCATCTTCGAGACGCCGGACCGTGCGAGTGAGGCTGCACAATGTGATCCTACTCCACCTAGTCCAACGATAACGATGAAGCACGAGCGTAGCTTTGCTAGTCCTTCATCTTTCAGAAAGACACGGTTACGTGCAAGCTGCTCCAATATGAGATCTGTAAAGATATTTAGCCATTATCTCCCACGCCACGTCTGTGTCCTTACCGTCATCCCAGTCACCCTGCCTCGCCCTGACTGCCATAGCCATGCCTCGTTCATCTTCTTTGCTTGGTGCAAACACATCGGCTGCAGCTCCATATTCAGTGAGCTGGAATAGGGTCAGATTTAGCCAATGAGATCTGGAAAGGCCTTCTTACGCGCGTAGCTTTGTGATTGCTACTAAGCTCTGGTATAGAGGCCTTTATATCTTCTACTCTGTAGCGTCGCTTCGCCTCTTGTAATCCAACGATTGCAAAACCAACAACACAGCCAGATGCAACAGCTGTGACTATTAGCTGAGCTGTATGGTTAGACGTGGCTCGTGTAAACCATGACGCCATGATGTGATAGGGTTCTGTTCGACAGGCGCTTATGTCGAATATATGCTAAAGATTCATCTTCTAAGTGCACCTAAAGGAAAGAAAAAATGGAGATTGAGAGTCGCCCAACTTATACCCCCTTCTGATTGGATTAGGATAGCTTGTATCTGTGAGTTCCTTCAAATTGAACGCGTGCAAATAAAATCAAGCGCAGTATGCGAAGGTTTGATCCTGACATCATATCACTCATCACGCTAATCTGGACTCCTCACGCCCCTCGCGCGCGACGTCAAGTTAGCGATATGCATGGCAGCCATTCGAGATTTGACAACGAACAACTGGTAGGTTCTTATCCTCTTGACTTTGCGATGTCGGCGCTGATGTACTACAGTCCTCCTCATGATGGAAATTAAAGAGAGCACTGAGCGTTAGACGGGTTCCGCGGCTCCTTTCGAGGTGTCTGTAGAGCTTGTGGCGCGTTGCGGACTTCGAACAGAGATCCGAGGGACAGCTTTGGCGATAAGCGACAGTTTGTTCAAGCATTTACTATGCGAGGCAGTACCCTCTCCGCTACTCCAGCCAAAGAATCTTCGATCCCCCGGGTAACATGCGTTGACGATACCCTTCTGCTTGAGATGCTTCGTTTCTATGCCACGCGCTAGTGACCTAGATCGCTGATAGCTAAATAGTAGTTTTCAATCGGAGCGTGCGGGCGCGATCAGGTCCATGGTTGTCTAGAGTGGTGAGGAAGGCGGGTTATGCTCCAAGTAGTGGGTGTAGGATTTGCTTCGGCTCCTCCGGTCCAATGATGAAACACAAAAGCCAAAGTTGAGACAGCCTATCAAGTCCTTTTAGGGCGAGACGGTGGTTGTCAGTGGTAAAACACGAGAGCTTAACTGAGGACATTGGAGGGCTATCAAATGGGGATCTATAACTGAGCAACCTTTTCTAAATTCTTCTAATGGCTATGTACATACATACAATTATGTCGTCTTCTAATATTGTACATATCGGTACGTGATTTACTGTCCTGATTCCTTCGCAATGCCATCTATCGTACATATTTATGTCCACGGTCCGACTCTGAACGCTTTACAACCTATACGAAGCCGCTGTTTCCGGCTGCTTGATCTCTTTGCAATCTACCGACATATACCTTGCTGACAGCATTCCATGCGGCCATGTATTTTTCTATGCATTGTGACATGCAGGTCTCTTCATTTTTTGATAGTGATGTTGACGGCTTGGGGACGCAGCGCTCGAAACAATGATCATTGAGTTTCTGTTGCACACTATTAGTTCATGATTTGGGAGGTTCGGGATAATTGGTCTGCTCACTTCGACGAGCGACCTCGCGTTTGTCACAGCAGCTTCTTGCTGGATCTGGCGCATGACGGCAGTCTTTGGGTCGGAGGAGTCCATTTTGAGAGTTGGCGATGAACGAGACTTGACGAGTGCGATTTATGTGTGTAGATTTCAAGGTCCCTCGTGTTATTGATTGTAGTTGGACGTGATATGGCAAATGTTAAGCTTGTAGTGAAGCTCGAGCTGTAAATTTCAACGATGATGCTGGAACCTGACCAGCAACGCGCGCCAAGCCGAACGCCCACGCCCACCACCGAACCCTGATCACCATTGTAAAGGACAGCTTGACGTTGCGGGCAAGAGTTTCATTTGACGACTTCCTCCCTGGCACTACAACGCCACAGTTCCTACCTTCTTTATCATTGAGTGATCGCCCACGGTCCTCATCTTCTCTGCGTCTTCGACTTTCTCTTTTGTTTCATTTTCATTTTGAACCTTGGGTGCTGCGTCGGCTTGGACCCTGAGCACACGATGATGGTCCCACGACTTTGGACCAATTTTGCGCTGATTGCGAGCGCCTTTATTGGAGTTGATGCTGCTGGAAGCTCAAGTGGATATTCAGACCGCGAGGATATCAAGGCTATTTCAGTAAGACAGAGTAGTCGGCTGATGCGAACCTAGCTAACCTACTCCAGTTGCGCACACATAGTCTCGAAGCAGTATGTTTAGGAGCCCCTAATATTCACTGCACTCAAATTCAGCCGTGTCATATCCTCACCCCTTTTCTAAGTAATACTGACGTATCATATGACAGCCATACCTCGACCAAGACCTGCAAAGCCGATGGTGGGATTTTGGTGGTGACACCGTGATACGGACAGATAAATATATTCGGCTCACGTCTGAGAGAAGTTCAAGAGCAGGATGGCTTTTTTCGCGAGTCCCTCTAACTGCGACTAACTGGGAGGTATGGCTTCATAATCCGGAGACGACCACATCGCAGCTCACATGGCGTCCAGATCACAGTCGAATTTAAGATCCACGGCGGAGGCAATCTTTATGGAGATGGCATGGCCATGTGGCTTACGAGACAGCGAGCCCAAGGCGGCAAAGTATTTGGATCAGCGGACAAATTTGAGGGAATAGGCATCCTCTTCGACACCTATAAGAACAACCGTCCAGGAACAGTATTTCCCTACGTCATGGCCATGAGAGGTGATGGTAACACTGAATACGATAAGGATAATGATGGCAAATCAAATGAGCTGGCAGGATGCTCGGTAAGCCCTTTCAATCAAATTCTTATCAATGGACCCATGAATTAACACAATGTCAGGCGAGAGGTCTTCGCAACAACCAAAATATGGCTACGAAAGCTCGTCTCACATATTTCGCAGACCAGTCGCTCCGTCTAGATCTACAATACAAGAAAGAAGATGAATGGACGCAATGTTTCGACATCAAAGATGTCAAAGTTCCACCGGTAGCATACCTAGGTTTCTCTGCCGAAACTGGTGAGTTGGCCGACAACCACGACATCGTCAACATATGGACCAAGAATTTGTATCAGCCGCCTGGATCAAACGCAGCCACTAATGCCGGAAGCGGTAAAAATAAGGGAAGTAAATACAGTAAACAGAACAAGCAGGGAGGTAGCTGGACGTGGTTCTTTCTGAAATTTGTGATCTTTGGGCTTGTTGTTACAGGAGCTTATGTTGGATTCACGGCGTACAGGTCTCACCAAAGGAATTCAAGATTCTGATCACCTAGGGGAAAGTGATTATCATGGGGGATATAAAATTTGTTACTGTACTGAGGACCAAAGATATCCGATGCTCCTCTATGGTCTGCGACCTATCATGCAGTCGGAAACCTGCAGACGATTGCAAATCTCATATCAGACCCTCTGCTGCTCGATATTTACATCTAGTCCTCATCCCAGTTTGGGTTTGGGCCTGGGGGTTTCGGACCACCAGCTTGCCTGGCCACAATGATCTGATCTACACTCAATACCGTCCTCGCCGCCTCTGTAGCAAGCTTGATCGCCCAGCTCTTGCTGACCATTAAATCCAGGATGCCCTCCTCACGCGCATCTAGGACACCTGTGCCATCCTCATTCTCAATATCAATACCTGCTGTCCATACGCTCTTGCCTCCTTTTTGTGCTGCATGTGCTGTGTACAACCGCGAGAGCACCTCAGTTGCATCGAGACCCGCCGACTCGGCCAGTGTGCGCGGAATCACCTCAAATGCTTCACCATACTTCTTGATGGAGTATTGCGTCAGCCCACTAGTTTTCTCGCCAAACGCCGTAATGCGCTCTACCAGCTGCATCTCAGCAGCTCCGGCGCCGGGTACGAGTCGAGGATCGCGCGTGATAGCCTTTACGACGTTGACACCATCGTCGACAGCGCGCTCAACGTCATCTAGGTGGTTCTGTGTTGCACCACGTAGGACTAGTGTTGCGGTGCGTGTCTGCTCGTTCTCCTGGCGGAACACGGTGACACGGTCGCCGCCGATCTCGAGAGTTTCGACGATATCTACAGAGCCCATCTCATCCGGCATCGGAGCACCGAGGCGGGCGAGCGGTGATGCGCCAACGACGCGGCAGAGGCGACGCAGCTCAAACTTGGAGAGAACTTTAATGACGAGGATGTTGAAGCGGTTAAGGTAGTGCATAGCGAGCTCGCCGACGGTAGTACCAGCGACGACGACACGGAGGCCTGAATCGTAGAGCTCCTTGATGATGGCTTCCATTTGAGCCTCTTCACCGGCGGTGAAATCTAGCATTTCTTTTGCGTTCTTGAGGAGCACGGTACCCTTGGTTTCAGTTTGTGAGATATCGATGGGACACGAGTATACGCCGACTTTGGCTTTCTGAGCTTTTTTGATGCTGCCGTCCGGCTCACGAGGGAAGACCATGCCTTTGACCACTTTCGACTGCTCAAGGCTCCCGCCCATGATCTTAACAACGCGGATGTTGTCGACGTTGAAGTTGTAAGGATTCTTGGGGAGCACGGCTAGTACAGCTTCGGCAACCATGTCAGCGAGGAAGTCTTCGCTGCCGCTCTGCTTCGAGGCGATGACGGTCCGGATCGCTTTCGCCAGCTCCTCTTGGTCCCGTATGTCCTCAACCTTGTCCAGCTCGAGCGACTCTAAAATCTTCAAAGCTTCGTTCTGTGCCCGCTCATACCCCTGTACGATATCACTTGTCTTTAGACCCATTCGCAGCAGCTCTTCTGCCTTCTTTAACAGCTCGCCTGCTAGCACAATCACCATGTTTGTTGCGTCGCCCATCTCTGCCTCTTGTTGCTGTGATGCCATAACTATCAGCTTTGCGGCTGGGTGCACGACATCCAACTCCCTCAGAATTGTGGCAGCATCTGAAGTGAGGATCATTTTCGACAGATGGTTGATGACAATTTTATTCCGGCCGTACGGTCCTAGTGAAGTCTGAACGGTCGAAGCAATCGTCCGACAGGCATCGATATTGCGAATGACAGCGCCATCTTCGGCGTCGTAGCTGTGTTTTGGTTAGCTATGAATTCAATGTTCAGCCGAATGAGGGGAAGACTTACTTCTGATAGCCTTGCTTGAAGAGCCCTGCATTAGGAGCGTTTGGTATTGACAGTGACATGTTTGTGTTCAAAGAGGTGTTTGGTGCGGGGAGCGTAGTGGACTGAAGCTCTGCGTCTACCTAAAGCGGTTCATAGTTCTTGAATTTTTCCATGTCCGACGCGTTCGCGAAACCTTGGCGCAGTGATGCCTAAGGCATGATGGAAACTCCAAGCAACAAGCCTCAGCCTCAGCATGCGATCTATCTTGTCACTGTATAATATTATTCATTGGGCACGTCTGGTATACTCAGTAAACCTTGTGACAGAGCAGCGACGACTCCGATGTCACCACCCAGGTCTCCTGAAGGCCTTTCATATCAATGCCTTATCCAGATGCGAGTTCGCAACGTATTATACGTTTTAGCAAGCGTATAAGATTCTCAGGTTTTCGCCCAAACAAAGTGAAGATGTACCATCTTGTAGGAGCAGAAATAGAGGGAAGCAATTGGTTCTTGCTTGAGACGTATGGGACGAGGATCCCCTTGGCAAACCTCCGAGCAAGACTTTCTCAGCGTCTGGTCTCCCATTATTAGGCTTGAGTCAATACATGCCAGTTTTCGAGTATTGCTTAGGCGTGGTTTTAAGGCACACCGCGACAAACTTGAACGATGAAGCGAAGTATTGACTCCCATGTTGCATCCAATACCACGCGAACGGAGGATGCAACAAGTCAATAACACCTAGGTATATTCCTACCCGGAAAGAGCCAGTGAAAGATGATATTTTTGCGCTCCTATGAACCACGATATTACCCCTCAAAACTGTTGAGTAGGCAATCCTCAGCCATTGCTGGGGAACAACACCTTCCTTTACACTGGGACAGACAAAATCGCACTGTGCACAAACAATTAAGAGCAGCACTAGCATTTCTTGTCTAACATACCAGCTACTAAGCTCCTAATCTTTTGATACCTTTTACTTAGCATCCTGTAGACAGCCTTCCATTGATGAGTCGAGTCACCAATGACATGAAGATATATGTATTCGATACTATTCCGCGCCGCACTTCTGATCTGTTACTCTTTTATTTGGACGTTTATTCCGCTACACTCTATGATTGGATATGCCCGAAAACTTTATCACGCCTACGATCGATACGCCCTCCGTACTAGTTTTATTAAGATTGCTCAGCGGTAGAAGTACTGGTTTGCACTCTGTATGCACGATGTGGGGCCTCAAACTCTTCAGAGTTCCCTACGCAAACCTGACCCCCTATACATCTTATCCCCGCTCAAGATCAGTATCATTCTCAGGAAGCTCAAGTATCCCACAAGCAGAATTCTCCGCATACAAAGAGAGGCAAGTCAAGGTATAAGGAGCGGCATCTGGTCATCTGGTCGGAGGCCGCCATTCATTCTTCTAGCATAGACAACTCAACTTCGAGGTTGTCCAACTCCATCTGCACATATTGCTTCTGCTCTGACCATATTACTTTATTTCTCCCTTCAGCGATGTTGAACCTCCACACCATCCGAGATATTATTAGACGCAGTTCGGCCATGGCGAGATTTTTACCGATACACATCCACGATCCGACTGAGAATGCACTTACAGTCTCACGATCGTCTGATAAAAATGGAGAATTCTCAGTCTTGATCTCAGCAAGCCAGCGCTCCGGTTTGAACGCATCAGCGTTGTGGAACTTCAAAGGGTTTCGAAATGCTGACCACTGGTGTACGCCAACTTGAGTCTATCACGTGAAAATATCAGCTAGGACTACACAAGGTAGTAACAAGAATACTTACACCTCCAGGTAGCCAAATACCACAGACAGTATCACCGCCAGGGGGTACAACATGTGAGAGTGCTCCTCCAACAGGAGGAGCTAATCTCAGAGACTCCTCAATGACAGCGTTGAGATAAGGTAAATTAGCGAGCTTCGAGAACGTCATCTCAGAAGTGTTCTTGAATCGTGCTCTTAGCTCTTTGCGTAATGTGAGCATAGCCTCAGGGCTCTTCATCAAGTAGCTGGTTGCTCCGCAAAGTACAGTGGTGCATGTGCTACTACCAGCATTAACTAGCACATAGAAGTTACTTTCCAGCTCTGCCATACTAATGCCACTCTCATCTCGGGCGCCTCCGAAGCCTTTCAAGTAAGGACTTATTGTGCTCATAAAATCCCTTTGTGGAGTATCTGAATTGAGTCTTTCGCGGACTTTCCTAACCGCCCATTGATAGTTTTTCTCTTGGGCATCGTACACATGACGGGGAATACAACGGTGTACAATGTTTGCAAGGAGAGGATAGAAGCGTATTGTAGCCATAAGCGACCCGTACTTGAAATAGGTTGCAATCTGTTTGATCCAAGGATGATAATTGCTGTTTTTCAGGCACCCAAAGGCTTCTCGATCACCGAAACAAAGCTCTCCAATGATATCGAATGTTGTAAACGAGTACCAGTCTACCATATTGACCATGGCTGTCATGGTTGGTGACTCTTCGACTTTTGCACAAAGAGTATTTATCAGTAGATTGACGTGAGCTTGTACCAGCGATTCTTCGTCGTTGAGGGCTCGGTCGCTGAAGCAATGCGAAATCATCTTCCTGTGTTTCTCATGGCCATCCCAAGAGGGAACGCTCACAATAGACTCTGCGCGCCCTGCCATCTCTCCCCACCAGATCGGGTTCTTGAGGAAGGGTTGATGACCGGGCCGTCGGCAGTATATATCTTTCCATGCTTCGCCACTTGCAAATGATACCTCATCTGGCGCGATTCTCACAACATCTCCATATCTGCCGACCAACATTAGTTCATAAGAGAAAGATCCTCGGCAGTCCTACTCACTTCTTGTGCATGTCGAATACGTCGTATACAAGTCGCCCTCTCCATAAGGACAGTATGAAAGGTAGTCTGGAGACGCTCCAGAGAGGCGGACCTGGCAGGCGAGCGAGGGGACTTGAGTACCAATTGTACCTGATGCAATGACATAGATACTAGTTATATTAGTTATACTGGAATGAAAATTTGGCGAGCTCTTCACCAGAATTAGAGCACATAGAGCTACAACAAGTATAGAAGGGGTAGGCATCATGATCAGAGGGCCGGCATTTGGCGTATCGTTCATCTAATGATACTGATAACATGTGGGTAGATATATCATGATAGCCATTAGGATTAAACAATAATAATCATGATAAGTTCAGCTTCGCACATGGACCTAAGCGACTCTTGCGAGATCTGTTGGGCTGCAGGGATGCTGTATGGACGGACGAGCCAAGCTATCACCAGAACTTTGAGCTACCTGGTTACATCACTGCCAGATGAATACTACGTTGCTCACGTCAGCAGCTAGGATCCTTTCGAGCGGTAGCTGAAGTCATGTTCTCTCTTTCTCCCTCTTTCTCTCTCTCGCGGGCCAGAGTTGCACTAAAACGACTATATGGGCAGGGGTTAAGTCATAGATGAAACTAACGTCATATGTAGGGAAAGTGTTATAAACAACCTCGAAGGTTTCCTCAAGAAACATGCCAGAAACCCTTTGTGCTCCTTTGGTCGATTCTTCCATTCGCCTAGAGGTTACGTATATCCTTCAAAATGATATAGAAGTTCAGTATCCATCGAACTCATTCGCATGCATAACGAATCTGTTCTGAGGTTTGCTGAGAGGCTCGGGCTTCTCGGAGTCATAGCTCTTCTCACTAACAGTTCTACCACGAGGACTCGCTGCTGCGGTTGACGTGACGTCTTTGCTCCCAGTAGCAATCCTGTTAAGCCTCAAAGACTCCTCATCCTGCAATACTGACCTAGAGCGTGACCAGCTAAGCGAGAGTGATGCGAGACGTGAGCGAATGCTATTCAGTATGCCTTGCGTGACCTCGAAGAGAGGCGCAAGAGTAGGAAGACAAGCGGCCACAATCGACGAGCATACTTCTATGTTTCCCCAGACAACATTCCATGTGACAAGTGCTAGAGAATAATCAACTTAGTTACTGTAATGTATCACCAAAGCTATTCCTACCTGATCCGTCGGAGATAGTCACTATTGTTGCGGCTTTCACTCGATATGATAGAGTGACAGCAGAGGCGACCACACAGCTAAGAGTAGTCAGCAGCCGGAGAGCATATAGCATGTGTAGCAACTCACAATGCTCCAGAGCCGAAGACGAAGAATAACAAGGTCTTTTTGGCTCTTCCCATATGAAGGCTTCTAATAACCGGCAATGGAAAACAAAGGACAGCAATGTCTAGAGACGTATTGATACATGCGTTTGCGAGCATCCAGTTTTCAAAGTCTATCTTTTTTGGCTTCTTGGCATCTGATATTTGCACTGTATAATTCCAAAACAGTGAAGGCTTCCTCCTGGCAAGGAAAAGCTATTGGCGTCAGTCTTGCCCGACCACTGTCACTGCGATCAGTCTACGTACCAACTCTGCGCACAGCATCCATAGCACAATGATGCCTATTAAGATGTTTGATAAGATCTTGAATCTCCGGAACGTAAAGAGTCGTTGATAGAAAACGAGGACCGAAATCTTGATTAGTCCGAAACAAAGATACCAGAGGAGGATATTCGTAAAGTTGATCTGGGAAGAATCAGTAACCAACATCGACCTTCGGGTCTCCTGCTTCTTACCTTGGCAGCGGCGATAAATTGATCCAAGGTACGAGTTTTGATCGGTCTTGCGTGAAGATTTGTTGCGCCGGCATAGATTCCTGACCCGCATAATCCAGAAGCCATCAGCTATGTCTATGTCAGTAGGGCCTCAGTATGGTCGGAATGGTTAATTACCCAGCAAAATATGATGAGATAGTCATCAATGCCAAGACGGAGCCTTTTTGTGAACCGCGCAACCATGCGAAGGGCTACCGCGATTGTCGCAAGTGAAAGTACTGTTATACATGCCGCAAGCTCACTCTTAGCTAATGGTAGAAGTGTCATAGCGAAATCTTCAACGGTTGTAATTAACAAAGTTTTGTCATAATGAGCAAGCTACGAAAGCTGAGACGGAGCATATAAAGCTGAGCGCATCAGGGGCTATATCATACTGCCCTGGACCCGGGTTTCTCATCCCAGGAAACTACCTTGCGCGTCTTTACGAGCTCGAGGGACATATGACAACGGTTTCCTCGTTTCTCTCGATCAAGTCTATGGTTTACTCTCTTAAAATAGGTACTCTGACGAGCTTCGGAATACCCCGGGTCCAACAAAGCCCTGGCTAGCGGTGATAGGTTGCTGATACCTTCCAGCACTTCGTACTGCAGCTTATCATCGCCTCTGGACTTTCTCGCCGAATGTTGGAATGGCTTGGGATCGGCGTGGGATGTTCACGCTCTGGCCGATGAGGCCTGTCCATTGCCAGGCTGTCAGCGCACTCGCGTGTTGTGACGGAATAATTTCACCCGCTTGATGTTGCGAAGTGTATGGACATGTATATGAACAGGAATTTCACAAGTTCCATGATTTTTTCCGACCATATCCAAGCTGAGTATTTTGTGGAAGGCGGTCGGTACGAGTTTGGATGACAAGTACAATGACAGTAGCAAAATGCTCGAGGGAAAATACAACAAGGGTTCGATCAGGGGAGCCTAAATTTGTGTGCATGAATGAACCAACAGGTATGCTGGTCTTGCTTTTACGTTTAGAAGTCATGGTCGGGTACGCAATAGGAGGTGATCATACTGAATCAGGAGAGATCCCCGCTCCTTGTACAACCAAATAGAGGTCAGTGGCATGGATTCAAAGGTTCCCCTGGCTTTAAGCCGTCCATCCAATCATGTGTTACTGTTGTACCTCAGCCGCTACAAGACTGCATGTCTTTCCTCTGCCTCTTTTCATAGAATGTTTTGGTCATCGCTACAACTCCCCTGCAGGATGAAGTTTGCCTATTTGCTGTTGTTCACTCTAAGTGCAGCTTTGAGAGATTCGCCCCGAGAAACTTTGGCATCAGATGTCTTGCTCCACCCTCCACCGGTCTTAAATTTGGCTGGGGTGTCAGAGACTTCCAGAACACTCGTCGACTATCGTCAGAAAAGCTCACAGGATACCCGCACCAACAATCACCATGCGCGTGAGCGTCACTATACGTTCAACATTACCCGTGAATATGCCGCACCAGATGGCGTCAACGCTAGCCTCCTGCTAGTGAATGGTCATTTTCCTGGACCAACGATACGAGCAAACCTAGGTGATGTCTTTGTAGTCAAAGTCAACAATCGCATTACAGGCCCGGAGACGGGCACAGCTATTCATTGGCATGGTCTCCTTCAAAAGGACTCCATATTCATGGATGGTGTACCCTCAGTATCCATGTGTCCAATTCCTCCTGGAGAGTCTTTCACCTACCGCTTTATAGCAGATCGGGTAGGAAGTAGCTGGTGGCACTCTCATTTCTCAGGACAGTTGGTTGGTGGTTTATTTGGAGGTATAATTATTGACGGACCTTCAAACTTCGATTACGATATAGATATAGGTCTTGTCATGATAGTAAGCCAGGTTTATCCTTCTAATCCCATATCTGATCGAAGACAGAGTGAGCGATATCATAGAGATTACCGTGAATTAATCGACGCGACAATGCAGGCGAGAGTTGTTCAAAGCGATAATAATCTGATAAATGGCAAGATGTATGTTGTCATTCTCCATGGGGACACGTCCAGCGAATAATTGTAACCAGGCCATTCGATTGCTCGAAAACAAATCTCACGTGTTCTTCGGCAGTGAAAGTTTCGACCTTCGACCGATTTCGCAGCGGAAAGATTCATTTACTTCGTATAGTGAACTCAGGTGCAGAGCCTTTCGAACACTTTTCTATTGACGGACACATGTTGACAGTTGTCGCTCTTGACTTCGTTCAAGTCGATCCGTTTGTTACGGATGTTGTCAGCCTATCGCCAGGTCAGAGAGTAGAAGTGCTAGTCAATGGTACTGGGGAGCCTGGGGACAGCTATTGGATGCGTGCAACCGCAGACAGAAGTTGTTCTACAGTCAAACAGCCTTTCGCACTTGCTGCCATATACTACGAAGGTGCAGATTGTAGTGTTGAGCCCTCGAGTACACCGACAAACCGCACTCTCAATGCATGTAACACTGTAAGCTACCCTGTAAGTGACAGTCGACTTATCGCTGATGTAACAAGACCGAATTGAACAAGGCAACCCCCTTCGAACATGATAGCCCAGAGACTACGCCTTCCTACACGCAGCACTACGACTTTACCTTCGGGGCCAACGCTACTGGCACCAGGTTATTTTTTACTAACAATCGAACATTTCGTGCTGACTTCAACAATGCGTTACTAGAGCAGGCTGCAGATCCGGTCTTCAGCTTAGCTCAAGCTCCTCCGCAATCTGTTCTTGACGACTTCAGCTACAACACGTCTTTGAGAATCGTCATGCGTAACTTTTGGCCACGTCCACATCCTATGCATTTGCATGGCCACGATTTCTCGATACTGGCAGAAGGTATTGGAACCTGGAATGGGTCCGTACGGACAGATAATCCACTTCGACGGGATACTCATCAGATGTTGGCAGCATACAGCACTAATAACATGCTGAACGGAACCATCACGCCAAGCTATCTGGTCATTCAATTTCGGTTGGATAATCCAGGAATCTGGCCATTCCACTGCCACATTTTCACGCATCTGGCGCTAGGCATGTACGTCAACATCGCTTATGGCAAGAAACAGATCGAGCAACAGACAGTACCTAGCAGTGTGCATGATGTTTGCGTCATATGGCGCGAATATGCAAGAACACATTTAGTCGATCAACCGGATTCTGGCTTGAGGCTATTTTAGGCTAAACACTTTTCGTATCTTAGTGAAAGAATTAAAGGTTGCATAGGTGGCTTGATAAATTGAATCATACACCATTGATCTGTGCAGACAGGATGCTCGTCATGGATATCTTATGACCATTGTCAAGTATGAATTTCGGTACGTAGAAGCTATGAGTGATACCAGAGGTCCGGTAAACTATATAACGCAAGCTTAAAGTCCCCCTTTGAGAGTCAAGAATGTCTTTCTAGCTTCGCAACTGCATTTCATGACCAACAAGTGCAATTGCCAATATATTCTTAGCTTCCAAGGACACCCATAATAGAAGGACATAAGCGTACCGCTTCACTCAGCGTCAGTCTTTGCTTTAGCCTTCGCTTGGGCAGCAGTGATAGCCTCCATCTGAGCCTTGCATGCCTTCTTTACTGAATCTCGCTCTTTCAAGCCCGCGAGCCACTTCTTATGTGCAGGGTAGTCATCTTCGTTGAACTCATCTGGGAAGCCCATGAATATGTAAGGGAGCGAATTGTGCCACATGACAAAGAAAAGGTCCGCATAGGTCACTTTGTCCCCAACGAGAACAGGATGCGAAGTCGAACCTTCTGGTCTGGATGCGAGATGCTTGTCGATCACAGCAATGATACGTTTCGTTTCGTTCATGTAACGGTCCTGTACTGAGCGAATCTTCTCCGGATGGTATATGTTGAACCTGTGAGACCTGCTTAGATATACTCGAAGTGAAAGAAGTCCGACACTCACCATGCAGCTTGTCCCCAATAAGGACCTTGGCCTGAGACCTGGTAGAATAGCCATTGTTTCTCGGCCCACTTCTCCGGGCTCTCTGGATGGGAGATTTTGAAATCCTTGTCGTAGGTTTCCAGAAGATACTCACAGATCGCACCAGATTCCCAGATAGTCAGGCCCGTGTTGGGATCGACCAAAGATGGCACACGACCATTAGGGTTGATGCTCTCGTACTTCTCTTTCTTCAATTCACTATAGGGTACGAATGACTCTTCGTACGGTACTCCCAATTCTTCGAGAATAATCATCACCTGCATGACAATGTTGAGTATCGAGAAATTTACTCTTTGCATGATCCTACCTTGAACGGATTGGGCCCTCCTTCTATTGTTCGGAAGCTGAGATTAGCACCATCTATGTCACTTTAGAACGAGTACTAACCAGCATTGTAGAGAATGAGATTCTTAGCCATATCGAGCTTTGAGATAAGTCGCGAACAGAAATTGATGACAGTCTGACCACAGAGTTCGAGTATTCAGGGAGCTTCGAGCGATTGAGGTCATAAGGCTTCAAAGTGCACGACTTGAGCATACGGCTAACGGTATCCATTGATCCACGGCCATGATCGCCCTTACCTCGACGAACTAGGTACGAGGTGGTCGCGAGGCCATACCGAGTCAGGATACCAAGTGACCGGTGTGGCGGTACTGTGCCACTTTCGTTTTTACACGCCGAGTGATTGTTTCACAACACTTCAAACAAGCAAGTTGCAGGTGGTACAACGGCCTCACGCGAGTGTCTCTGTATACGAAAGAACACGGGCTATGAATGATGGATAGGCGTGACCGGTGACCAAATTGCTCTCTGTTGCGCGTATTTACAGCTGACTCGCGCACATATTTCCTCTGATTCCGGGGCATGTATGAACCCCTGTTAAAGACCCATGGATACGTGAACCTTTGGCATGTAGGCGAGGTTTCACAACAGCTACAGGAGCTTACCTCTCCGCGTGCCAAGGCGGGATAAACCACCCGCTTTCACAGCTGCGAGGTTGACGAGATAAGCCTGTCGATCAAGAAATGCAGTCAGCATGAACGACAGACCTGGAGTATAAGGCATCTGCTATGTAGATACGGAATGAAGTCCGAACGTGGAACCCAGCTCTTCGCAGGGACTATGGCCGCAGTGGATTGGCGAAGCGTAACCAGTCTCCGTGTTTGATATATGCTTTACGCATGCAAGCACCTAGTCGCAGTACGCAATCTCTGTCCATTGACCTACACTTGCTGCCATAAACGTGGGGAGCGCACCAATAGAACGTGTAGAAGTGCAGCCACAAATGCTGCTATCAGAGCATGGGCTAAACAGCTCTTCTTTGTAACTACCAGGTAGCCATTGGATGTTGGGAATACGGGTAGGTCTGGGGAGGAAGGTGACATCAATGACCTGGTCAGATCAGACTCTTGATTGAAACTCCTGATATTGATACTGTCACACCCTTAGGGCCTACTGCCGGTCAGATTGTGACCGAGATATCAAGTATCTGATTTACAACTTTAGTATAGGATCTTGATCGTGATATACTACACCTGAGCATTTAGGCTCCGAATCCTGTAGTACGCATTCCTTACCTTCTGTTAAGCTTGTCGAGATGGATCACCCTAAAGCAGTAGGCTACGCACCATATCTCTTCAGTAGGATTCCAGACGCTGTCAAAATCGAGTCTCTACAAAAGCCTTTAAGACTAGGAGTACAATACGCACTTGAACACCCATATCAGGTTGCAACAATTGCTGTTTTACTGATCATAGGGATTACGAGCCTCAGTTCCGTTGTGACGATCTCAGCCAACGATAATGAAGTCCCTCTCTACAGTGTCCGTTCGGCATGGGAGCCGCAGATTTGGTCCTCTTGGAACTTTTTCAGAAGAGCAGCCGAAATCTTGAACGGCGGCTATAAGAAAGTCCGTTCATGCACACAGACTACTTAGATACTATAGGCTGACTTTATCAGTTTCCCAACCGTATCTGGAAATTCACCAGAGCTGACGTGGATATGCTGGTTCTTCCGCCGAGATATGTCAAAGAGTTGCGCTCCCTCCCTATAGACATTGCCAGTCCAACAGCGGCCCATGCGTTCAATTTATCGGGAAGTCACACTAACATGAATATCATTCTGAAAAATAATCTCCACTTCAGAACTCTACAGGAGAAACTCACTCCGAATCTGAATAGACTGGCTCGTCCTATGCAGGAAGAACTGGAATATGCAATCAATATGGAGATACCTGAAAGCAATGGTAAGACATCGCTAGTCATTACACTGAGCTCATTCTTACAGACTCAGGGGAATGGGTGCAAATAAAACCTTATCATAGCATTCTTCGGCTTGTCGCCCGTGTCAGTGCACGGGTCTTTCTAGGGGTCCCACTGTGTCGCAGCGAAGAATGGCTCGAGATTTCGACTGAGTTCACAGAGAACAGTAGGTATAGATCGAATCCTAAGCATGAAGGCAGATTATTGATTGTAGACATCAGCCTTCATATCCTTGGTAATCCTTCGGATGTTCCCACGGTTTCTCCACGGCATTGTCTCCTGGTTCCTTCCCTCAGTGTGGCGCGCAAATAACTACATACGTCGAGCCAAGCGGTTGTTGACACCGGAAATCAAAGAGCGTCAAGCTGCCTGGCGTAAAGGCTACCAAACAGAGAAGCAGATGTCATTGCTATCCTGGATGATCGAAATAGCGTCCGAGGCTGAATCCAAACCGCAAGATCTGGCACACCTTGAAGTCGTTATATCGCTTGCATCAATCCACACGTCTCAGATGAATGCTGTCCATGTGCTGTATGATCTAGCCGCTCATCCGGAGTGTATACCAATTCTTCTTGAAGAGATTGATTCTGTTGTCAAAGAGAAAGGCGATTGTATGAGCTGGGATAAGACCAGCTTCTACAAGCTAAAACGCCTTGATTCGTTGATGCGGGAATCTCAACGACACAACCCGCCTACACTCCTCTCATACCACCGTATCATGCAACGCGACCATATACTCTCAGACGGAATGGTTCTTCCGAAGGGAGCTCATATTACCATGCCAGTTAATGCCATCCAGAACGATCCTTTAGTTACGCCAGACCCAGAAGAATTCCAACCCTGGAGGTATTTCGATCTACGATCGCAAGAAGGTCAGGGACACCTACACCAGTTCGCAACGACTGAGGAAAACATCTTGAATTTCGGCAAGGGCAAGTTCGCTTGCCCCGGCAGATTCTTCGCAAGCCTGGAGATCAAGACCATATTGGTAAGACTTCTTATGGACTATGACTGGAGGCTTCCGGTGGGCACTGAGAGGCCTGCCAATGTTGCAGCCCATGAATTCATCTTTCCAAAACAGGAAGGCGTGCTGGAGTTTAGGAAGCGGAAGAAGCCAGAAGTCGAAGCTACAAGGTCAGAGGAATAGTACATTGACTGGGTGATTTCTCGTTGTAATGGTCTGTGGAGTACATCTTGCAGTCAGTAGTCTGGAATGTCGTATGCATTGTTACCTGTCTACAACAGTCGTACCAAAGAATTGTTTGTAATCTTGAAGGCGCATTGAATACGCCTCATCGTCCAAGAGCCTCTGCGCGAATCTATGATGTGCACATGCACAAGCCAAGCGTCTGGAATACCACCAATGGACATGTTGCCGAGTAAAGCTCCTGGTGGTCATATAGTAATGTAAGCTGTGTGAATTCTATAACTTTGCTCATTCTCTTAGACGTGCACACAAGTGTAGATCTTCCTTGCAAATAGATTTTCAGATTAGGGGCAGCTAAGATCCTTGGCTATGAGTGCCATCTGGCGTGCGTTTGCGTTCGAAACGTCATATCCGAAGTGGAGCAAGATTGTTGCCAGAGGCGGCTCATATGACCAAGTCCCGAATATTCACTGCAGAATTCAGCACATCACAGAACGATCTGGAACAAGCCTTGAGTGTCTGTTACGTGGGATTGAGTACAGTAGGATATAATAAGTTCCCTTGGTGCTGAACGACAGGTCGTCAGTTAGACCGTAATCGTGTTTAAAGCACGCCTGATGAACGTCCTGTATTTGTTCGCTCTCTAGGTATCTGTTCCGGGCCAGAGGGGACCGTACTGATGTTTGGCTGTAGCATGTATCCTGGAAAAAATCATTTGTAGATAGATCCGGATATGTTGACCTGGAATCTGCTCGCATATACCAAGCTAATTATAATTTTCTCAGATAGATTTTGGTCTACACCCGGTATTACTGACTTCGTGATATGCTCGTACGGAGTGCTTCAGAGAAAGATATATTGAGTGACAGAAGAGCCGCTCTTTGAAAGTAGACATGAGTGCCAAGCAGTGTATGGGGTCTTGATTGAGCTATTTTCAGCACTAATCTGCGTGTCGGGGTAAGCAGAGGCCCGTAAGCTGTGTAGTGGGAGAGCGCGCCAATAAAGATCGATAGCCCTGGATTGCAGTGTGATAATGGAAGTTGATAGGCTAGCTGAAATTCTGATGATGTAGAAAACTCTCACGGTCGAAGCCTTTTCCAAGAAATCTTGAAGTCAGAAGCCAAGCAGCACGTTTCAGCTCGGGCACACTCCGAAGCGCAGGGAAGCTTTGGGTGGCGTTTCTTGGCAGCATCAAATCCTGGAGCCGGGATGCAGGGTAGGACCATCAATTTCCATTGTCCTTCAATGCAGCCCTATAAATATACGTAGGTGTCGGTGAAAAGATTGCCGGTGATCTTTGCACCTTTGAATGTGATTGCTGCACACGTGTTGTGGCAAACTGCCGCGCATCGCGTCGCATCCCAAGGATCAATTGGTTGCCGCATTCCCGCCGTCCAGCAGACTGAGATCATTGCGCAGCCTCTCGAGGGGCTGTGCGAAGCGCTGACTAGGTATACCTGTTCCTCTCAAACACGACCACCCATCCACGTTTCTTCTTCTTGCGACATCGTCTGCTGGTTCTTTTTGTCTGTTTTTTCGCTTTGAAGTCTGTCGCGCAGGATCGCATATCTACATTATTGCATTCTAGCTGAGCCATTGTCTCCTGTGCGCCTACGAACACAGTACGTATAGGACCTGGGACCCTTCTTTGTTCTCTTACTACACTGTGTGACTGACGAAAGACTTCTTCAGGCAGGATTCCAGACAGAAAAAAATAAGACGAATACCAGCGATACCAAAGTATCAACCACACCACCTGTCTTCATCTTTCACCGCGAAGCAAACGGAGCTCTCAGCTCACACATGCCATCATGCCAACATGCAACACAACTTTGACCGATGAAATAATCGAGGAGACACCGCTGTTCAACTCAGTAAAATTTCACCACATTGGCTTGATTGTTTCCGCCGTCTTTGGTTTGATAGCCGTTGTGGTAGCACTATGGCTCATGATGCAACATGCCTGGCATTACTCCGTACCAACCGAGCAAAGACAGTATGTAGCTCAAATGTGTGGCTTGATAGCTTTTACTGACCAAACTATAGTATAATCCGCATTCTGTTCATGATACCTATCTACGCGACCGTATCGTTCCTTTCATACCTGTTCTATCGACATGCGATATACTTCGAGGTGCTTCGAGACTGTTATGAAGCATTTGCCATAGCCAGCTTTTTCGCCCTGCTGTGCAACTACCTAGCCCCAAATCTACACGATCAGAAGGAGTATTTCCGGTCGATTACACCCAAGAACTGGCTATTTCCTTTGACATGGGTTCAAAAGTGCACTGGAGGGCAAGAGAAAGGGCCATTCCGTGTCCCGAAGAGTGGTCTGACGTGGTTCAATGTGAGTCGAGCTTCTCGCGGTTGTGTCAGTTCCATATTGACATGAGCAGGTAATTTGGGTCAGTGTCTTCCAATATTGTTTCATCCGGGTTTTCTTTACCGTCGTCTCAGTCGTCACTCAAGTCGGGGGCCGATATTGCGAATCATCCCTGAATCCAGCATTCGCGCATGTCTGGGTCATGGTGTTTGAAGGAGTTGCAGTCACTATAGCGATGTACGCCTTGATTCAGTTTTACTACCAGCTGAAACCGGACATCGCGGATCATCGACCGTTACTCAAAATCCTGTCCATCAAGCTAGTCATTTTCTTCAGTTTCTGGCAGACTATTGTCATCAACTTTCTGGTCAGTTCTGGCGCTTGGAAACCAAGCGACACAATCGATTATCCCGACATCAAAGTAGGAATTCCCAGCATGCTGCTTTGTATTGAAATGGCTTTGTTCGCTGTGCTGCATATCTGGTCCTTTTCTTGGAAAGAATATGACCTATCGCACAAGACCGACGACACCTTTACCGACGGCACCTCTGAATCTGCACCGAAAAGCTCTTATCAGGGCGGCCCACTGGGCATAAAAGCTCTCCTGGACGCATTTAACCCGTGGGATCTCGTCAAGTCGACTGGACGGGGCTTCAGGTGGCTCTTTGTTGGTGCTCGCAAGCGCCATCACGATGTCAGTTACCAAAAAGGCACCCATCTCGGTAATCTGAACGGCAGCGAGCCACAATACACAGGCATCACGTTTGCAGGCAATGGGGAGCCTGCCAACAGCTTATACCACCCGAGTAACACGGGCTACGAATCATACAAGGAGCAACGGACGTATGGAGGTCTGCAAGGGCGAGAAGACGACAATGCAGGATTATTATCTCATGCGCAGGCGCAACCAACAAATCCTTACACCGGCGTGTATTCGAATACAACGCACCCAGACAGCCTACCTTCGAATCCAACTCCAGCATCAGCAACATATCGACCAGCCCAACCACAAAGAACTTTCTCGTACGAGTCGAATTCGGGGTACGAGCAAGTCACGCTGTCGGGTCCAGGACAACCACATCATCCACAATCTAACGACTGGAATGTGTTTGGCGGAGTGGGCCAAGCTCGGTAATCCACGTAGCGATCTTTGGTTTGCAACAGGCGTTCACATTGGCAGTTTGGGGCGTTATGTTTCAAAATGATGACGATATACCAGGAAGTTGCGTATACCATTTGGACACTAGGTAGAGCAAGTATCAAATAGAGGCTTGATGAGGAGGCGTTTTGTCTTGCATGGACTTCTGTATCATAATATTGATCTCTACGGAGGCCAGACGGCCCACTCGTCGTATCACGATATGACATTGGGATCATCAGGGCAGCTGTGCTACTAGAAGCGCGGCGTGGCATATACATAGTTTGCTTGAATTGACAGGTTTGCTATTGAGTTGCGTTGATATAATGACTGGAATTTTGACTGTGTAGTGTACAAAATGACATGATACATGATGTGCTGTCGTGCTTGTCACGATCGAGGCCAATTACTTGCGAGAATCTTTACATAGGTGAAAGATCGGAGACAGATTTTGCATCGAATGATGGGGGTGCGTCATCGGTGGGGGACAACAGGCCGGCTCCAGCGTTCTGGGCACTGCTAAATGGGGGCTGGGCGGGGGTCTGGGGCAGCCCAATTCGCTGGGCGTCTCAGCGCCTCCTGCGCGCTGCTCGAAAAAAATAATAGCTAATTATGTATGCAGCCCTCCTTGGGTGACTCGTCTCGTCTTCTTCCAAACCACATCTCTTCGCAAAGAGTTTTCACCGCCTCCGCTCGCCCCGCTGCTATACTCTCCTATACAGATTGCTCTCTTCAATTCGAACACTGAACAGTCTGAGGACAAGCAAAGAAGCCTTTATGCACTTTCAGACCCTCTTCACTTCCCAGGTACGTGTCCTCTGCTTGTTTTTTCTTATCTCGCGCCAACCGACGCTATGTCGCTACACACCGCCAATGCTTTGGACTGATAGCGATACTGAAATTTCATCTCAACCATTGTCCATTCTCTCGTCACTTGTGATGTTCACTCTTTTGGACCCATTGGCTAATTATTACTTGTACAGGACTACATCTCAGGTATACTCGCTGTCGAATGTGTATGATGCCATCGCTCACTCATACCTATCAGATCACCTGTGGAAGGCGTCAGTAAACTGAGCCTCACAGCAAAACCAGCAAGCCATACAAAATATCCCTACGGCATCCCAAGTACACGTCAAAAATGTTTTCAGGAATGCTCAAAGCCTCTTCAACGAGGGCTTTCGCTCCCCGATCCCTCACAAGCAGCGCGCATGCTCGGTTTTTGGCAACCATCCAGAACAATACTGCACGAGATCCTCCAGTTCCTAACCGCAAACCTACAGCAGTATCCCATGAACGAGCCACTTTCACAATCAAGGTATGTCAGAATCCACACGCACATTAGACTGTATCTTAACTTGGTAGAATGGCCCGATCTACCACGGCAAATCCTTTGGAGCCAAGTCCAATATCTCGGGCGAAGCCGTGTTCACCACCTCCTTAGTCGGATACCCAGAGTCGATGACTGACCCTTCATACCGTGGACAAATTCTCGTCTTCACCCAGCCATTAATTGGAAACTACGGGGTCCCGTCCGCGGCTCGAGATAGCCATGGTCTCCTACGATACTTCGAATCGCCTAACATTCAAGCTGCCGGTGTTGTAGTTGCGGATTTTGCGGAACGTCATTCTCATTGGACTGCTGTTGAGTCACTTGCTGAGTGGTGTGCTCGTGAGGGTGTGCCCGCTATCTCTGGTGTGGACACTCGAGCTATCGTGACTTACCTGCGAGAACAAGGTTCTTCTCTTGCCCGTATCTCCGTTGGCGAGGAATATGATGCAGACGAAGATGAAGCCTATATTGACCCGGAGGCTATCAACCTCGTCCGCCGTGTTTCGACCAAGGCGCCATTCCATGTCAATGCTGCAAATGGAGAATACCACGTTGCCCTCATCGACTGTGGTGTGAAGGAGAACATTTTGCGATCTCTCGTGTCTCGTGGCGCCTCAGTTACTTGCTTCCCATACAACTACCCTATTCATAAGGTAGCTCACCACTTTGATGGCGTGTTCATCTCGAACGGGCCTGGTGACCCGACCCATTGTCAAGAGACTGTCTACCACCTCCGGAAGTTGATTGACAGCTCCCAAGTTCCGATCATGGGGATCTGCATGGGCCACCAGCTCCTTGCTCTGGCTGCTGGAGCAAAAACCATCAAACTGAAGTATGGCAACCGCGCACACAACATCCCAGCCCTGGACCTCACCACCGGAAAGTGCCATATCACTTCGCAGAACCACGGGTACGCTGTCGATGCAACCACGCTTCCAAAGGAATACAAGGAATACTTTGTCAACTTGAACGACTCTTCAAACGAAGGAATCATCCACACTTCTCGGCCAATCTTCTCTGCCCAGTTCCACCCCGAAGCCAAGGGAGGACCACTTGACTCGGCTTATCTGTTCGACCGATACATGGAGAGCGTGGCCAAGTATAAGCAAGGCCAAGCGGTGTTCGGCGCACAGGGTAACAAGCCCGATCGTCTCCTCGTTGATCTGCTGAGCAAGGAACGTGTTGGCGTGCACCCCAGCCTGACTGAATGGAAGGGCTACGGCGCTGGACAAGTAGAGAATGCTCCCCAAGCCGCTGCAGCTGCAGCCTAGGCCATCTGACCATGCTGTCCGGTCATTTGTTGTGTAGGTTGTTTGGGAGGTAAAGCAGATTGACATTGGTGTTAGCATAGGAAATGCGCTGGGCGTCTTATGGCGTTGTGATAGCTTGAAAGTACTACCAGAAATTGGACACAAGAAACCAAATCACTATTGACGACATGTTCTGAGTTTATGCCGTGACGGCTCATTGAGCTTCCAATATGCTCGCACGAGGAGTCCTAGTCCGAGAACAGCCGATTTTGACCACGTGCACCTCATGACTCCCGAGTGTTACTCATGCGGGCCTTATCGCCCACGTCCACGTCCACGTACACTCACATGTACCACACCGCCCAACCTTATGTAAACGTGGACGTGGCCGGGTCTGGATGTGCAAACCAATAAGTAATACCGGCATCACCCTATGCGTACTAACTTTTTTGCCTTGCTTATCCGTTCGATTGATTCATGTTACTACACCTAAATTTGGCCTGCACGGCCCCTTGCTTGCTCAACGAAGCGCGTGAGATTCGCGAATCAACGACTCGCGACTGCTGAACCGTGCGGTAAGATCCATCCGATCGCCACTGCCAGGCCAGGTTCGCACATCTGCATATTGTCTGTCGAATTGCCATGCGAAGCCTGCACCACAACCAATTTGACTCGCATTCTATTCACAACTTAACCGATTGTTGCGCGGAGCCATCTGTGCATCCATCACCATTCACGAAGCAGGTTTGGACTGCGAACAATCTATTGCGAGCTGGACAACCCTTAGTAACAAGTCGCCCGACTCAATCTTCGTCTCCCTGTCTGTCGTTACTGTGAGCATCAGGTTTCAAGACGAGTCTACGCGCTTAAGAGGAGTATTTCAATCCTTACTCCACCTTTGCAGCTGCATCCCGGCCATTTATCTGGCAAAGCCCGTCACGAGGTCTGGTTCTTTCTCCGAACGCATTCAACGCACGAATTTCAGGTTCGGAACACTCGTCCAGTAATATTGCAATAGTATAGCAATTGCTTTGCACCAGGACCTCGGGGTCTGTCCGACGCCAGTCAGCAGGTTTGGTCATTTAAGCTTGAAGGCTGGACGATGCTAGAGAACGAGTTGATAGCAACACACCCAAAGGGAGACTCTAAAGCGGACTGACACCACTGTCCATTACTAAAAGGCTACCCCACAGGACGTAGTATATACCTATAAAACAGAAAGTTCGGAAGCGTCTTCATGACCTTCTCAGACATGGCAATGGATAGCTCCGGAAGGACACCAACCAGTGTTACGCAGAGAGAACCCCGCGCCATGAATTATATCCAGGTCTCGGACAAATTACTTACATTTGCGGATGATACGGATGTCTCGTCGATCCTGGAAGAGCTTGAGGCGAAGCGTCAACAGCTTGATGAGCAAGTGGTCTCTTTCATAACCGATGTGCAACGAAGCTTCGACCAATTCTCCGAGAATCTGCTAAAGCAGCGCTTATCCGCCCAACAATCCTGTCGTGAAGTGGTAGTTCAACCAGAACTTGACACTACTAAGTTATTAGCAAGTGAGGAACCACAACAAGAAGTACGCGATGTGCCTCACAGAGCCCCAGTTGATACATCCCAACGACGACCCGGTTCTTCCCCTGTACAACATTTTCACGACCGAGCGATTCACGACGATCGTTCTCCACACGACGATCGAGAAATGGAGTTAGCCGGTTTCTTCACTCCGCATTTCCTTCCGCTCCTCGAAGCAACCCGCAGCAATTCGTCGCCAGAGGTACCGACGACGAAACATATCGATGAAATTTTGAAGGTCAATCCTTCGAAGCTCGAAAGATCTGTGTCTGTTCCGATAGCGAATCCTCTGCTCACTCGCAAGTCAGCACTACGGAACGGACGGTCATCGAAAAATAAGAGAAAACGAGTGTCCCTCAGCATTGATGATAGCATTGTACGGCCGTCGGATGAACCGCAGAACGACACTCCAGTCACGCCAACAGACGACGATGAGGGCTCAGCAGCACCAAATATGGCCATCACGGACAAGGACGGTTCTTCTGTGTACGTCTGGGTTCCTGAGAAAGCACGTCTTCCACTCTCAGACGAAGATCCTATCGACTACGTCATTGCAGTGGGTGGCGTTCTTCACGAAGATGCCTCTGACCTGTCTTTCTCAACGACCATTCTGAAGGATGCCCCAAAGACATCATCTCCAGTGATTTCACCACAACACTTCGATTGGTCACCCATAACAGAGCGTAAGGAATTTGTCTCAGATGCAGATATGTACTTAGTCGGCCCCCCAAAAAAATCTACGTTTTCGCCATTGCCTGCCCCATCTTCCCTAGCGATTCGCCAGGTCCCAGCCTACACGGACAGTTTCAGCACATCTGTCAACCAGGTCTTCAGCCCAGTCTTTGCAACCGATCCGAAATACGAGGTAGCAGGTGGGCTGCCCAAAAGCAGCGAAGGCCCACCTAGTTCATACGTTGGGGGCATCAGTGGAAGTGGTGTCGATGCGATGGATACAGGCAGTGTTGGTTACCCGAGTAGCTTAGGGGCGAGCTATATGGAACAATTTGCTGCGCAGAGGTTGTCAGGCAGTCAGAATCTGTCAGGGATAGACCGAGGAGACCGAGATGGGACTGAGAAAGACAAGAAGAAAAAGAGAAAAGTGGTCAAAGATGCGAGACCCGAGGAGAGAATCGCTGATAGCGAGGAATTTTTGGGCGAGATGGAAGGAATATAGGGACTGTTCAATAGTTAATATGGTCGTCTGTTCCTACCTATGTTGCTGTTTAGGCGTCGGCGTTGGCGGCTTGCGTTTGCATTCTGAACATATCTTCTCTTGAGGAAAGCAAAAACCTGTAAACAAGATTAGTCCGTAGAAGGTTGCCTTGGATAATATTGCTCGAGGATGTGTGTCTGAGACCTGACATGTGTCTTAAGGCATCCAGACTCATCAATCCATGACGCTAAGAAACAAGCTAGTCTGCATTCATGCTACACTCCAACTCCGGCGAACTTCTTCTGCATCTCCGATACAAATCCAATCATTGACCCTCGGCCACCCCTCTCACATATGTGTACATCGCAATTCTTCAGTTAAACGTCCTCGCGATGCACACCCGCCAGGAGCACCCCTTGATTGGATTGTCGTGGTGACCACCGGCAGCATGCCCCCAATACTACGCGCACCATCCACAGAAACGCTCAAATTCCTGCGCGATGCCGCTCTGTATGGCAGCCTCGGCACTACCGCCGGCGTCAGTCTATTGCTATACGAAGAAAGGCGACGGAGAATATGCACGTTGCAAAAAGTTGTCGACAATGGGAAGAAGCTCAAGAGCGTGCGGGGGCGGAGGTTAGTGCATCGAAGCGCGTTGACAGGGGAAGAGATGAAACAATTAGGCGGAACTGGAGTACTGGAACAGAGGATCCATAAGCCGTACAAGAGACCGGCTGTTGAGATCGACGAACAGGAAGGATACCACATAACGAAGAGCGGCGATACGAGGAGTGGGCGGAGGAAGCTACATACAAGTGCGCCACGAGGCGAGACGACGACGAAACGGGCACGTAAAGAGGTGAACGAGCATACCAAAAGAGTCAAATGGAAGGATGAAATCCGAAGGATGATGTCGAGAATGCAAAATCGACGCGTAAGCGGGCTGGGTGGGAGGCATCAATTGAAGCTGTCCCCGGGAGGATTGAATTGTCGAGACTCCTGTCATCGACTCTACAATAAGTATGCGAGCCTATCTTCGTCATCGGTGTACCCGCGTTCGTTGCATTTGGATTCACAGCAAATCAATCCGGTGTCGATGGACCTGACTTCACTCTTTTACCTCCCTCCTGATGCACCGAGAGATCCTGGACCATATCAGACACCATGGGCTGGAACATTGAAGGAGGCTGATATACTCAAAATGCCACCGCTGTTCTCTGATGCCACGAAAGCTAGTGATATCCCTGCAATGGCTGTCCCCTTATCCGCAAAGTCACAGAGTATGTGGGGGAGCCTACATACAAGACCAGCTGCAATTGCAACTGTAAATAGTGCTGCATTACCAGCAGCCATTGATCGTGCGCCTACGCACAGCTCAGCCCTCGAGAAATTTTTGTTATACCACGAGCTCCGCACAGGTCAGCCACACCAGAGACTTAGCTCCGCCTCCCTTGAAGATAACCAAACAGAATTTCAAGCAGTGACATCTAAAGTGCAATTGCAGCCTAATTTTGGCCACCTACTTCCGTCTTCTCACATCCTTGAAACTTACCCTAGTAAAGAGCTTGTAGAGACATTCCTCGAGCTGACGGAAGACACCACCCAAATCACAAGTAAGACGGTAACAACCATTGGTCAGGATCTCCTGCGGATGATCGCCAGGTCCACACACACGAACCACCTCAAGAGATTGCGTGACAGGTTGAAATCATGGGGCCAGCTAGACGAGGTGTGCTTGGCTTCCCTAGAGGAACACAGTCAAGAGCTGTTACAGTACTATGTGGACACATCCGAACCGTTGGCCGAGACCCCAAGCCTGGTGCGGTTTACTGGTGCTCTCCGAGATAATCCATACGAACGTGAAGCTCTTGAGCTAATCAAGTACGTATGGCTTTCAAGAAAGGATCGGCGTAGAAAGACAGCATCAACCGGAAAGTCCTTGGAAGAGGCATTCAACAGAATCATCGAGGGTAGCATCCCGGTCACTCTATGCCAGGCTATCATCGACATCGTGACAAAGGTCGATACCCACAAAGAACAATGGACCCGTCTATGCGAGTCGCGGTTTCGCCAAGTTGTAGAGTCCGACGTATCAGTGCGCGAGAAGACCAGGCGAATGGTTGATATGTTGAAACGTATCAGAGGGAGTGTTCCGTCCATAGAGCCTCAGGTTCTGCGAGTCCTGACGGAAGCGCTCGAAAGCGGGAAGTGGAAGATGACAAGTCAACTAGTTGCTATCCTCGACAAGCAGGACGGCATAGATCAGGGTAACATACATCTTATCCTCCTTTCGCAGTCTGATAACCATCACACGGTCGAACGGCTTTCTGCAAAGTACGAGTCATTGCTTCCAATCGATCCAGGCTTGATCGAGAGAGTATGTTATTCAATTGCCGTAGTTCGTCCTGTAGAGCACGCCATCAGCAGAATTGCACGTCTTTGCAGCGCGCTCGATCATGGTATACTTGTTCACACAAGACTGGATAAAGTAGGCATCAGCAATGGAGAACGGGTTCTGGAGAATGCTTACGTTTCCATTCTGAAGAAGTGCTGGAGCACCACTAAGAACATCAACGTCGTGAAAGATGTGTACGGGATGATGGCGGCTACCACGAACCTCAGCAAAGGCATTTCCCTAATGTTCTCAGCGATACAAGTTCAAGCTCGGCATGGCGCAGGAATGGGACCAACCTCTGTTCGCAGTAACAAAGCATTGGAAGCGCTCGCAGAAGCAGCGGATCGACAGAATTGGTACGCCTTGAGTCCTATCTTGGACACTCTGAATAGCCTTGAGATTCTTGATGCCGAAGGACAGATGGATGCCTTGCATCCTCTCGTTTCTGTCTATCTCTCAACCCGTACGTTCGACGAGGCATTTTCCTGGGTCAAGAGCAGAATCGCACAACACATGCTGAAGCCCAACGAGGAGCTGCTGAGGACTCTTGTTGATTCTGCTCTGAAAGAGAGACGCGGGCCGGACATCCCAAATATTTTGGCCTACTTCCACAGCGTCAAAACGGACTTCATGGTAACTCCTAAACTTGCAGGGGATCTCCTTCGGATACACCAGCAGCTCCACCGACCAGACTCTGTCACCTTGGCCGAGATGACAGAGCTACTACACAGAAACGCTCCAGGGCTGCTATCTGCACAATTGGGGAGCATGTGGAGTCAAGTTCGAGACTTCGAAGCGTCCAAGATGAGCGCGAAGGAGCATGAAGAATTTACGACGCCTCTGGCGCTTTCAATTCGTACTCAATCAGCTTCACCAGCTGCTTATTGGACCCAAATCCACCAGTGGTATGCTCACGGGGAGTATTCCAAAGTTCGGACAGCGTTCGAAGGGCGGTTAGCAAAACACAAACCACTGACTGGCCCTATACTGGACTTGACTATCGCTGCGTGCTTGAAGGAAACGCCAGATGACTCTACTTTGGCCGAATCTATCATGGCCCGAGCCCGTCAGCAAGGCATCGTGGTTGATATCGCCATACGCCGGCTACTTGCGCATCGCATCTTTACCACCCGCTCCGACCCAGAGATGATCCGCCGGAAGGTGTTCGAATACTACCACTTCAATCAATCCAAGGGGCTTGCAGTCAACCACTACATCACTCTCAGCGCTGCTCACGAACTCATCAACCGTAGAAAACCACATCTTGCGGCCAGCCTGTTACGAGAAGTCTTTGTCTCCAAATGGACTGCGCATTGTCCTTTTGATACTAGCATCATGAGTTGCTGGATGAAAGCACATGCTGAAAGTGGCAACTTACGCGGCTTCCGCAGCGTGTTGCTTCTATGCGAAAGGTCGGATTTGATGTTCGACTACAGAATGCTGAGTTCCATGTACAAGCATCGCCATTTACTTCTCCGAGTCATGCGCTACGAAAACCGCTGGCCACGTCATTTCAAGGACATCATGAGCCGTCACACGCATGCGACCCGCGAGTGGATTGCGGAGGAAGACCTTGTACATCTCTTCAGACACTGGCGTTCTCATGTCAAGATCCTCTCAAGGTTGCAGAAGCGACGTAATGCAGATCTTGGTATCATGCTATGTCAAGCCCTCATCACCCATTCAGGGGGGTGCGTCAGACCAAGAGCATATTGGAATACCCTCAACTCAGCCGACACGCCTGCCAGGGAACCGAAAAAGGTCCCACCGAAGTCCCGGGCCCAGAGCAGCGCGCTATTTCCAACGAAAGTCCAAGGCATGCTCCCAGCCAGCATTGACATCCTCGCCGGCGAAGCCCCCGCAGGCATCAGCGGACACGCCCTCCACGAGCCCGTCCTCTCAACAGACATCATTGCCCTCATCGGCACATCTCTAACCCACGACGACCCTGACCTTCTCCCATCCTTGAAGCAGGACCAGCCCTACATACTCGCCCTCGACTCCGCCGACCCAGACACCAACGAGCTGATCGCCAACCTGACGCGCCGCTTCAACCACCGCCCCGGACGCGCCGCTAGCCTGGCCGCAAAGCAGTTCTACAAGAACCTGGTGTGGGACTGGGTCGATTGGCCGGTCGAAATCACAGACGACGAGCTTTGCGACTGGCGCGCTGAGCTGAGAGAGCCGGATGCGGGCAGGCTGTTGTATGGTGCGAGGGAGGCGCGCTTCGATGAGCAGGACTGGGGCCGTATGCGTGCTAGGGCGTTTAGGGAGGCGTAGTGAGTGGACTTGCGGGGGCTGGGGGGAGTCAGTGTGCAGATGGGGAGCTGGGTTGTATATGGGAAGTAGGCGGTAGACTTGGAGCACGACTTCTTTTGTGTGTGTGCAGTAGTTATTGTATATATGTACATGTATATATCATGTTGTGTTTCGGAAGACGTGTGCTTTCTGCACTGCTATGTTCGGTACCTAGCCTCGACTGTATCTACCCATACCACCACTTCACGCTATCCTTCACCGCACCGCTTCTTAAAGGTAGGGGGGGGGGGGGGTCTAAGTAAATGCGTGCTCCATTGAATCCCAAAAAAATCATCCGCGATATATCTTGAATAGCAGTTTTTTTTCGGTCTCATTCATAATCAGCAACTACACTTATGCACCACCGCACTACATACGACCTGAGAATGGTAGACACAGGGGCTTAGATAGCTGTATGGCTGCTTGGGCTTAGACAGCGCTGTATGTATCTGGCTCAGCTTAGATAGCTAGTTAAATAGGCTTTTGTATATTTGTGTGATTACGGGCGCGGTTATTGTTGCTATGCCATACTCAGTATGCTGATGACGAGTACTCCCAATTCCAATCTCCCGATTTCCACACTACGATGTAGTCAGAGATACTTTATATACCAGACTATATGCGTCTATAGTGTATGTATTCGGCAGCCATAGAGTCTTCCGAGTCCACCATTCATCCATCCATCAATCTACACCACATCCAAACCCCCATCCACCAACCTATACCCACACCCACATCCGCGCCCCCTCAAACAACCCCCCTCACACTCCCCCCAACACCCGCACCCTCCCCATCCTCGTCCTGCGTGACATGAACGCGGGACTTGGTCTTCGAGTCAGCAGCTTGGCCGGGCGCCTCGTTTACGGCGTCGTCGTCGTCGTTGTTGTTGTTGGGGTTGTCGTCATCTCTGCTCGCATCTAGACGCCGCTGATGGAGCAGCATCTTGCGGTCGATGTGGCGGCGCCAGGGCTTGTAGAGGAGCACGCTGAGCACGCCGAAGACGATGAAGGAGCCGCATATGGCGCCGCCTGGGAGTGGGGGATTTTTGTTAGTCTGGGCGGGAGTCCGGGAGAGGGGGAGAAGAAAAAGAAGAAGGAGGAGGCAAAACAAGAGCAGCAAAACACACCAATAACATCATAATACTCGCCCGCCACCGCCACACCATCCCAAAACCCACCCTCGGGCTCCGCCACATTCGCCACCAAACTCAACACCTGAATCACGCCAATCACGAGCGCCACAACAACAGTCACAAGCGTGAGGACAATGCTGTAGTACAGCACCGCAATTGCGTCGCGGGCGAGCGCGCTGCTCGTGTACACGCTCATCATTGCGGCGCCGTCGGCGGTGTCGAGCAGACACATGCCTGCGGTGAAGAGGAGGGGGAAGATCAGGATGAGCCAGATGGAGGTGCCGGCGGCGGCTTGGATGGAGGAGATGCCGAGCAGGGCCACTTCGGAGGAGGTGTCGAAGCCGAGGCCGAAGAGGATGCCTAGCGGGTACATTTTCCAGGGCTGGTCGATGAGTTTGAAGAGGCGGTGGAAGAGGGTGAAGAGGAGGCCTGCGGTGAGGGGTTTGGCGTCGGGGTTGTTTGGGGAGGTGGTGGAGGAGGAGGTGGTGGTGGAGGAGGGGTAGATGAGAGCGATCAGGCGCCTGCGGAGACGGACGAGGATCCAGACGTTCATGGCGCCGAGGAGGAGGAGGAAGGCGGCGGAGACGCTGGTGCCGATGATGTTGCCGACGCGGGTGAAGTTGTCGAAGCGGGAGGAGATGGCGGCGGCGGTGGCGGCGACGACGATGGAGGTGACGATCACGATGGTCGAGTGGCCGAGCGAGAAGAACATGCCGACGGTGACGGGGCGCTGGCCCGAGGCGATGAGCCGACGTGTCATGAGGTCGATGGCCTGGGGGGGTGTGTTAGTGATGGGAGCTAAAGGGGGGGAAGGGAGGGAGGGCGAGATACGGAGATGTGGTCTGCGTCGAGGGCGTGGCGGAGGCCTAGGGTGTAGGCCAGGACGGCGGTGGATGCGAGGCCGCTGTTGGGTTGTTATGAGTTGCATCTTCAAGTGGGTGTGAGGCGTGATGGGAGGTGGACATACGCATTGAAGTGCTGTGTATGGTGTCAGCGTAGAATCATGATATGCACGGCTATATATGGTACTGACAAGAACAATCCCGACGGCAACCCAGACAACCGCATTCACAAATGCGATGAACAGGATTATGGCTAATGCATTGAACGGGAGCTTCCGCAGATATGGGACTCTGTCATGGTATACCGCTGCTTTGTCTGAGAAGGACTTGAGCAGAGTCTGGCGCTCATTAGGGTGCTCTAATGTGTCCGGCTCCTCGTGGAGAGGAGCGACTGAGATGTCTGTCGTCGCCATAGTCACTACTCGCGGAGATCAACGCACAAAATGGCCTGCCATGTAAAGAGTGTATGAAAGGAAAACACCAAATAATGGTGGGCGTTTCGACCTTTGTGGATAGTCAGTGGTTGGGATGAAGCACGTTTTATAGAGGGGTCTATTGGCGTGGGGCTAAGGAAGGGCACTATCGCGGGCTTGTTTACCAAGTGGGGTTGATAGACGAATAGCGGCGGAGACTTTGGCGAGGCTGCATGACAAGCGGCCGAGCCCGAGCAGGTCGAGATGCAGGATGGAACAAGTATGAGTGTTTGGAATTCATTGGTATCTACTGAAACACAGACTGGCATTTGTCCCTCCAAAGCCAAAGCTGTTGGTGAGTGCTACATCAACCTTGTGCTGCTGGGCCTCATTCGGGACATAGTTGCAGTCGAATCCCTCCTCTGCGTCGATGGTATCCAGATTAAGTGTGGGTGGGAGTGTATTCTGCCTCAGTCAGTACAGATGCGCGTCAAGCACACGCGACTCACCTCGTGTATGGCGAGCACAGAGAAGATTGCTTCCACAGCTCCCGCGGCTCCGAGCAGGTGTCCAATAGCCCCTTTTGTGCTGCTGATGTTGATGGCAGAGGCGTTTCGCTTGCCATGTTCGCCGAGGAGCAGGTTCTTGATAGCTCTGTTCTCTGCGGCATCGCCTAGTTTGGTAGACGTTGCGTGGGCGTTGACGTAGTCGACAGCCTCAGGAGTGATGCTGGCATTTCTCAGCGCTGCCTTCATGGCCAGAAGGGGACCATCGCCATCCGCACGCGGTGCGGTCATGTGGTATGCATCTGAGGACAGTCCATAGCCTTTCAGCTCAGCATAGACTCTTGCACCTCGTGCTTTTGCGTGTTCTAACTCCTGTCGATTGGTATTAGCATGACACCGCACGACTGACACTGCCCGGACATACTTCGAGAACCATCACGCCAGCCCCTTCCCCTATCACAAAGCCAGCGCGGTCTTTGTCAAAAGGCCTGGACGCCTCACTCGGACGGTCGTTCCAGTCCGTAGCCAGACTCCTCGCGCGCGCAAAGCCTGCTATCGCCAAGGGATGAATGCAAGACTCCGCACCCCCAGCTATCATAACATCTGCATCGCCATAACTGATCAAGCGCGCCGCATCGCCAATACAATGTGCACCAGTCGTGCACGCCGTCGTCACCGCATGATTCGGTCCCTTTCCAGTCAGTCAGTCAGTCAGTCAACAAACACACATGGAATCCGCATCCAAACCCACCCTCAAGCCATACCTCATCGAAACATGCCCAGCCGCCAAATTAATCAGCAGTCGCGGCACAAACAACGGCGACACCTTATGATACCCCTGCCGCACACATCAGCCACCACCCACCCACACACCAAGATACTCACCCCCTTCTCAAACGCCACACTAGTCTCATACACATCCTCAAAACTCCCAATCCCAGACCCCAAACAAACGCCCTATCCCACGCCCTCAAAATCAGCACGTTCTCTCTCTCTCTCTCTCTCACATACACATCCCTCTCTCCCCTTCCCAAAAGTCCCCCCTCAGCCCAAAAACTCACCGTAGCAGCCAAATCCCCCTCCCGCCACGGCACCCACCCCGCATCCCGCATCGCCATCTCACTCGCCGCCATCCCATACTGCGCAAACAGCGCCATCCGCCGCCGCTCCCCCGCCGTCACAACCCACTCGTCCGCCGTCCATCCACCGTCGTCCTTGCGGCCCGCGGGAACGAGGCCTGCGACTTGGCTTGGCAGGGCGCTGAACTTGGGGCCGAGGGCGTGCGTGGAGAGGACGCCGCTTTTGCTGCGGAGGAGGCGTGGCCAGGTGTGGGTTATGCCTTGGGTTGTGTTAGTTGGGGTTGAGAAGGAGAGGAGGGAGGGAGGGAGATTAGGGGAGAGATGTACCGACGCCGAGGGGTGTTACTGCGCCGAGGCCTGTGATGACGACTCTGCGCATTGCATGTTTTTTTCGGGAGGTTTGTGGTGATGGGTTGGGATGGAGGTTGTTTGTTTTGGTTTGTTTGTGGTCAAGTTTGGGTGTAGGTTTTTATATGGGCGGATAGATGGATGGATAGGGAGCGGGGGTGTATAGCTATATAGCTGTTTTGGGACTAGTCTGGTCTTGGTGTCTTGTACATATGTAACACCCCAGGAGTTCCATAGGAGCATTTCAAACGTCCAGACGCCAAAACAATCAGGCGTTCGCTAGTAGGGATAGAGAAGGCAGATATTTAGAATAATGAACATGTTGGGCAAGGATTGAGATGCCGTGTTGCTGATGTAGTTCTCGACGTAAGTTATAAACGAGAAGAACGTGGCGTCAGAGCGCGACACATGCCTATATGCATTGCTACAACACAACCAACATCTACATGCTCTTTTAATCACTACCACAAACAGCACCTCCACATCCACCCGCTCCCTTCCCTTCCCTTCCCTTTCCCTCCTTCCATCCCATCCCATCCCACCCCTAACCCAAACCCTACCTCACAGCCTCCCTAACCCCCCTCTCAACCTCCCTATACGCCTCCCTCACCGCAGGACTAAAATGCACCCTCAACACCTCGCCCTCCCACGCCGTGCTCGCAAACGGATTACTCGCCTCGGGCCGCTCACACAGCGGGTCAAACACGCCGTCGCCACGCCTCTCCTCGGTGCGCCACAGCGCAGCCACTTTCTTGCCGTGCGTCTTCGTAACGAGAGTGAGCAAGCCGAGCATGGCGAGGGCGCTCTTCTCGGGGAGCTGGCAGGCGGCGATGAGGAGGTGTTTCGTGAAGGCGGCGATGCGCTGGGCGGGGATGGAGCGGGCGGCGTGGGCGGGGAGGAGGGTGGAGGTGAGGCAGCGGATGAGGAGGACGGTGGTGGTTTGGACGTTTACTTTGCGGTCTGGGGGCGGAGGGGCGGGGGCGTGGGTGTGGGTGGTGTGGGGGTCGGGCAGGTGGAGGGATTTGGCGTTGAGTTCGATGTCGGGGTTGAGGGAGACGGGGAGGAGGGTGCGGTAGAGGTGGGCGACGAAGAAGCTGAGGTCGAGGTGGAGGGTGGAGGTTGCGTAGGAGGCGTCCTGGCCTTGGAGGAGGGCGAAGGCGGTGACGCAGCAGAGGAGCGAGGAGCGGGTTGCTGCTTGGCGGACGCTTGTGGAGGCGAGCTCTTCGTCGTTGTTGTTGTCGTCGTCGGTGTTGTCATCGTTGTCGTCCGTGTACAGCGATGCGTTGGAGATGAGCTCCTTGAGCACCTCGAGGATGTCGCCGAAGAAGTCCTGGTTGATGAGGTGTGCGTACTTTGCGAGACCCTCGAGCACGGCGCCCATGAGCTTGCGCGAGCGCTTCTTCAGGATCTGGAAGTAGACGACAAAGACGATCTTGAGCGTCTCGGACTGGTTCTTGTCGCGGTCCTCGTGCGAGACGGCGGCGTCGGCCTCGGCAAACTCCTTCTGGATGGCCTTGTTCTCGCGCGCGAGCTTCCTCTCGCGCTTGGTGCGGAACTCCTTCTTGAACTTGGACTTGGTCTGCGCGGACTCGTCCGTCTTGTCGATGCGCTGATGCGAGCCCTTGACCGACAGCTCCGAGAGAAGGCGCAGGGACAGGAAGGTGTTGAGCACGTTTTCGTGAATGTTGTAGTGGCGCGCCTTGATCATGGTCTGCAGCGCCTTGACCGCGTCGAGCGAAGCATATCCGTCCTCGTCATTCTTGAACAGCGTCTCCAGACACTCGACACACTTCCGAAAGTCCCCATCCACACGCTCCCTGCCCAGCCTGCGCACAACAATGCCAATCAGCAGATCACGAAAGTTAAAGTGCGTCACCGACACCAGCAGATTGCACGCACAGCTAAACGCCACCGTCACCAGCGACGCCGCGTCAGCACTCTCCCGCGCACCAGCCTTTGCGATCCCGGCGAGCCGCTGGAGATACTTGTGATAGCCGGCCAGCAGGGTCTGCTCGAAGCTGCGCAGCTTGCGCACCTCCTTGGACACCTTTGTCGAGCTGACCTCGTCCTCCTTGACGGGCCGGATGGGGTAGCTCGGGATGAGGTCCTTGTAGACGGCCAGCTGGGTGGCCAGCGCCAGCTTCTGCACCGGCACGTGCGGCGCGTCGGCAAACTCCTCGAGCAGCCTCACCGCGTTGATGTTCGTCTCCGGGTCCTCGCTGATCTGGCCCGCGATCTTGGCCAGGTCCTCCTTGGCCTGGAGGATGCGCTGCCGCATGGGGATTCGGGGCTGTTCGTCCTCGACCGCCGGCTCTCCGTTCTCGTGCTCGTACTCGTCCTCATCCTCGCCTGACCCCAGGAAACTATCCTCGTCCTCATCCTCGTCCTCGCTCGCCTCGTGCGGAATGTCCTCGGGCTCCTGCTCTACCCAGCCGTCGGCCGTCTTGATCGGCAACCGCGTGCGCTTGCTGCTCTGCTCCGTCTTGCTCTTGCGCGGCCGGCTCTCGTACTCCTGCTCGTCGTCCCAGCCGGTAGTGCCAGCGAACACGCCGTGCTCGAGCGCCTTGTCTGCGGCGGCGGCGGCGTGCGTCTTCTTCTTGCCCGCCCTGGACATGCCATTCGGGGGTTTTGCGTCGTCGGGCGGCGAGAGACGGCGGCGTTTCGTGGCCCGGACAGCCATGGTGTATCGTGTTATTTGAGGGGAGGACTTGAAGTGGTGGTGTAGAATAGCAGGCGGTGTGTGTGCACCGTTTCTGCGGGATGAAATTTCGCACCTCCGAGCACGCACCCGGATTAAAGTCAAAGTCTGAGCTTTTTCCTTGCAGAAAATGCCGAATCGGGCCTAGCGCGGTACTGTCGCAGAACTCCAACTTCAGAATTATTTTCTCCCCATGCTTTCAATTATCTCTCCCATACACAAACCACAACCACAACCTCAACCTCAACCTCAAATCTTCAAAAATGCGCCCCTTAACCGAACCCGAAACCCGCACCCTCTTCACCAAACTCGCCTCCTACACCGGGCCCTCCCTCAAAACCCTCCTCTCCCCTCCCTCCCAATCCACCACCACCTCCCAATCCCAATCCACCTCCCGCCACGTCTTCCGCCTCCACCACAGCCGCGTCTACTACGTCCGCGAATCCCTCGCCAACCACGCCACCTCCATCTCCCGCCACGCCCTCCTCTCCCTCGGCACCTGCCTCGGCAAATTCACAAAAACAGGCCAATTCCGCCTGCATATCACTGCCTTGGACGTCATCGCGCCGCATGCCCGCTACCGCGTCTGGGTGAAGCAGAATGGCGAGATGCCGTTTTTGTATGGGGGGAATGTGCTCAAGGCGCATGTGGGGCGGTGGAGTGAGGATTGTGCGGCGGGGCAGGGGGTGCTTGTTTTGGGGGGGGGGGATGTTGCTATTGTGAGTTTTTGGTTCTTTTTTTTGGCGCTTTGTTCTGAGGGGGTTGGTGGGAAAGGAAGGGGTTGGGAGATGGAGTGCTGACTCTTGTTTGTGTGTGTTGTAGGGCTTCGGTGTGACGGCGCGGAGCACGGCCGAGGCGCGGCGCCTGGATCCGACTGCCGTGGCGACGTTTCGACAGGCGGATATCGGGGAGTATCTGCGCGAGGAGGACACGTTGTTTACGACGACTTGAGTGGGTGGAGTGGGCGGAATGGACGGGTGTGTGGGCTTGCTTGCTTGCTTGGGCAGAGCGGAGGAAAAGACGGACGAACACACGAATGAGAGGGGGAAGAGAACCAAGAAATAAAAGTTAGGAATGGATAGATACGACTCCGCGGTGTGATGGACACGCATCTCAAACCACGGACCACGGTCCACGGTCTAGAAGAGCAGCAGTGTGTATTTCCAACTGCTTGAACGCTGCCATAGAAATACCCTTAGCTGTCCTACCAGACAGTCAGAAAGCCAGACAGACAGCCAGACAGCCAGGACAAAAAAGGCGTCAACAAAAGTCAGTTCGTTCATTTGTTACTTTCTGTGTATGCGGGATCAGGGATACTATGCGATCAACTAGGGCACTACGGGATGTAGGGCAATCCCATTCAGGTCGCGTAGATAAAACCGTACATATACATACACACTTATATTACTCACCACGCGGTCTGTCTTCTGTCCTCTGTCCATCCTCTCCCCCTCCTCCTCTGATATCTACACGGGAGATGTAGGATAAACGAGATATAGAAGACACATACGAGCGATATCTACACGGACGAAACGAAACACGAGATATAGAGCAGAGCACTCACTAAGCAGCAAAGCCGGCACGATAGATCTGTATGCTCGATTTCTATAGCAGTTCTTATCTGTTTATAGCTAGTCTATCTGTTCATAGCTATTATATGGCTACTCTATAGCGACTCTATGGCTACTCTATAGCGACTCTATGGCTACTCTATAGCGACTCTATGGCTACTCTATAGCGACTCTATGGCTACTCTATAGCTATACTGCCCGGTAGACGGGGAGGATAGAGGGAGGAAAATTGGGGTAAGAGGAAGAGGAAGAATAAGAAGACATAAAGGCGGATAGATAAGAATGTGTGGATGAGCTGTGGAGGAATGGAGAGGGATGGGGATGGATGGGTGGTGTTTGAACTATTTGGGCATATTTAAGCATTGCATGGTATAGTATAGCTCCAGTGGCGTGGATGAGGTTTGTGAATTGGATTGGGTAGTTGTAGTTGGGTAGGTAGGTAGGACAGGTAGGTAGGACAGGTAGGTAGGACAGGTAGGTAGGACAGGTAGGTAGGTAAGATCTGACATATAAGGCATGCTGTATGTTCAAGAGAGTCATCTCGAGATTCATGACGCGTGCAGGAAACGTGATGACACGACTGTCAAGAGCACGGCATCAAGACAACACAAAGACCTGGCGGAACGAGACGGGCAGGAGAAACGCCGTCAAGATTCGTTGGCAGAGTATCCCCATCCGGTCGTCCGCCGCATGAGCGTGTCGTGTTGGGAAGAAGGTAATGCAATGACGACTTTATCGAGGGTACGTATTGTACACGATATACGCGAGCCCGAAAGCGCCCGCCCTAATGCCATGCCATGCCATGCCATGTCCATGCCACATGCCAGGCCGGCGCGCAAATCCTGAATCCCTCTCCCATCACCACTACTGCCCACACAATCGTCGTCGTCACATCTATTTCTTCTTGTCCTTGGCACCGCCCTTGGTCTTTGCCACACCGCGGAACTCCTTTGCCCTGTTCTTGCGTTGCTTGCCTGTTTTTCGTAAAGTGTTAGCATTCCGCCTTCCAGACTACTGTAGTGGATACTGTAGTTGACAAAAACACGTACGTTGCTGTCTCGACGCCTTCTCAATCTTATCCGCCATGCCGACGCGGACGAGTCTGTAGTGCGGCTCAAACTTCTTCATGGCCTCGTTCGAGTCGTAGATGAGGGCGAAGCCGGTGCTCTTGCCGCCACCGTACTGGGTCTTGAAGCCGAATACCGACACCGTGTCCTTGCCGGTCTTGTACAGCTCTGCGAGCTTGTCTCGGAGCTCGTCCTTGGACACGTTTGCGCGGTTGGGGTGGAGGACGTCGCTGTTGGGAGGGGAGACGTGTTAGCCATCAATTCCGGTTTCTTCAATTCGGTAATCCGTCAATCCGTCCGTCATTCATCTCAAATCCTGTGTCCTGTCTACGACAAGCGGGAGAGGTGCGACTTACACAACCATCTGCTTGCGTCCGAGGAGCGGGTTGCGGATGAACTTCCGCGTGCGTAGGGTGACGGGGTCAGACATATTGGGCGTTTTGGCGATCGAGATTCTGTGTGTGCGTCAGAGGGTTAGTTGAGCTGGCGCAGCGCGAGCGAATTCGAGGGAAGTCCAGGGCGGCAGCGTACCGTGAGTCTTCGATCGAAACGTCCAGGTATCTGTTGTGGGTGTGTTGCTGTGGAAGAGAGTGGTTAGTTGATCGGTCGTTCGTCGTCGGGAGGTTTCGAGATCGTGGGTGTGAAAAACTAAGCGAGTATTGTGGGCGCCAAGGAGCACGCCGCGCTAGGCTGGATATGGGGTTAGCGTGGTATGTGTCGACCACATCGACTTCATGGCTCGAGGCATAATTAATGCTCACGACCTGGCATTGCGCTGCACGTTGAGGCTCGAGCAATGAGCATGGAGATGGACGCGCAGCTGGAGGCCCGGCTTGCACTTGTCCGCAGACAATACTTCCAGCTCGTAGAGCCAAGCCTAATATCGCTGCCCGCAAAAGAGGTGCTGAAGAGTGCAAAAGTGCAATCATGGCTCTTCCAGCAGCTTTTCGACGAGGAGCAAGTGCAATATCTGCCGCCGCCCAGATACCAGCTCCGACTGCTGAAGAGAATCACGCGGCTGATTGAGCAAGCAATCACGGATCCGGAAGAAGATGTAGGCGTTCCTTGTAGTTATCACTCTTAAAAGACTGTTTCAGTCCAGATTTGCATTCGTCTGTAATACAAGCACGTGGCACGCAAAATTAGAATTATTATCGGAGTTGACTATGTTTGGGACAGGAAATATCAGACAGTCTCATGGCGACGCTGGCACGGCTCATGGGGGCAAGTCTGCCGTCGGAAGCAGAGGCAGCGCAAGAAAAGGCGTTTGTGACGTACAACTTCACGTCGTCGTCGTCCTCGTCAGACAATGCATGCCCGTCCATCGACCGCCCGGTCACACTACTCGAGTCCCGGGCAGTGATATCCGGGTCAGGCACGACGGGACTGCGGACGTGGGAGGCGGCTCTGCATCTCGGGGCATATCTCACGACCAGAGAAGGGCAGGCGTACGTCAAAGACAAAACCATAATGGAGCTCGGGGCAGGAACAGGGCTGGTATCGATCCTGGCAGCCAAGCACCTGGGCGCGAAACGTGTTGTCGCAACGGACGGGGTGGAGATTGTGGTAGATGCGATCAGGGACAACCTGTTCCTGAACGGTCTAGACGACAGTGGACGGATTGAGGCAGCGGCGCTGAAGTGGGGATCTCCATCGGCGATGGGGGCGATGGGGGAGGACTACGCGGTGGCCGAGCTGGACGTGGTTGTGGGTGCAGACGTGGTAAGTAGCAGTAGGCTCGGCATGATGGAGATGTGGCAATGTACTGACGCGGATGGGTATGGACGTACGACAAGAGTGTGATTCCAGCATTGGTCAGCACGATTGGACGGTTGATGGAGTGGAGGCCAGAGTTGCAGGTATTGATGGCGGCGACGATACGGAATGAGGCAACGTTTGAGGCTTTTGTTACAGCGTGCAGTAAGTCGACCGCATTAAGCTTTGGCAGCATCGTACAGTGTACCACCAGCCTACAAGAATGCTGGCTAGTCCTACTGTTCTGCTAATCACCAAGCACCGAATAGGGAAGCGAGGATTTGGACTCGGGGAAATCAACTTTGTAGCCGCAACAGAGCAGCAGCAGCAGGGCCCATTCTACAGCACAGCGGTTGGACTGCGAATCCTCCACATTTCAGCAGCTGCAGCGTTGTCTGCTGGCGATCAGGGCATGCAGCTATAAGGTTCACATGAAAGTCTGGGGCCGGAGTGGAGCCGACCAACCACAAGTTAGATGCGATGCGCGTTGCCGGACAGGAGTCAGGACGACGCAGAAGAATAGACGAGTGGAGCACACAAAGAATTGAGCACATTCTTAGACGCGCGTTGCATGTGTTTTTTTTCCTCAAGCCGGGCACATGCGAGACGAGCAAGACAACGTGTCCCAGGAGTGTGTGGGACAGAGAACCAATTGTGGAAGCTGAAGAGAGAAGAGTGGTACGGGGTGGATTGACATGGTGCTGCTATGTGGTGGTGCATCGGAACGGAGTGGTGAGACGGGACAGGGACAAGTCAGGCACGGGGACGTGGGCGAGAATTGCTGATAGCTTGTAGAGGTCGCGGAGTAGGCGAGGGAGCTGTTGGTAGCGAGGTGCAGAGGAGGTGGATATGAATTCGGGGAGTTTACACAGTACACGCACAGAGACGGGACAGGTACACAGATGTGCAGTGGTAATTAGAGGATGTGAGGTTGGAGGACGAAGAGGAGAGAGAGTGGTCAGTGGTGGAGAAGAGGTCAGGCAGGATAATTAGGTAGAGCTTCCAGAACAAGCAGGCTTGGCGGCGGGGTCTGCACAGTGATTGTATGGATGACGAGGGCGAGGACTTGGATTGTGTGCTCAGAGACGTGGACGCATGGATGGCTCCATTGTTTCTTGCTGCTCCAATAGCAAGTTGAGGTGGAGCAAGACAATTGGTAAGAGGAATGGAGGATAACAGGATGATGGTGGTAGTAGTGGAGGTGAAGTTTGCTGGATAAATAGCGCCCCAACGCCCGGCGAGTACAAGTGCTCGACTGGACTCGGTATATACACTACTATATAGTGAGGTATACAGCAGCTTCACGTCCAACACTCACCCTCCCTTGACCGACATTTGAGCCATTCTTATCTCAACCTTTGTCGTTATCTATCTCGACCCGGCATCACGACGCGAGAGTCGTCGCACCAGGACACGTCAAGACAAGGCAAGACAAGACAGAAGAATATATTGGTGATAAGGCAGAGAGAGTCACAGAGCAACCAGCAACAAACAAGCAGCAAAGACACAGAGACGCACACCGCATCCTCGCTTATCCTCGGCTTAACGTTTCCAGGGGGCGCAGTCAGTCAGTCAGACTCGCAACGACGCGGCCCTGTACTCGGATATACGCACCTCCTCCCGCTTGGCCTGCTTGGTCCCTATCTATATTCACACTCATAGTAAGTATTTATTATACGAACAATCAATCAATTATCACTCCCCTGTCTCGGTTGCAAAAAAAAAAAGGATGGGAATGGGAAATGCAGGCAGCACGATACAGCTGGCAATCTTCCTGTTCCTGTTCTCTGTCTTTGCTGATCCTGCTGTTTTGTCCCACTGATCCTGATCCTGTTCCTGAACCAAACGGATGGGATGCTGACCCCGTGGCGCCAGATAAGTCAGCCAACAGCCCAAAGATAGGAACGGTCGATAATTTAGTGGGCGATAAGTGGATGCGAGCAATCCATAGTGGGCAAGATACCTTATCGAGTGCCAGTAGCCACCAGATAAGGTGCCAGAAAGGCAAAAAGCCAAAACACTGCTATCCCTTGGTTCGCCGAGAGGGAGGACAGGACAAGGAGACGGCGAAGAGCAGAAGAGAGAGATATCACCAGCATCGCCAGCATCGCCAGCATCAATTCCCTTCATCCACCAACATCCCGCTGACCGTCGTCTGATACGCGCCAAACAGATTACTTTACACTTCACTCGTCGTCACCTCGTCACGGGCAGGCCTGATCTCACCCTAATTATCCAGACAGACCGTCTTGTCTCACCGTCTCTTTTTCCCTCCCCCCCTCCCCCCTGTTGTACCCTGCTGCTGCGATCGAGCAAATCGTGCATTGATAGCAATCCTGCTACTGCATCGCGTGTGTGAGTGTGTGCTATGGCCACCGCTTCGACCGCTCGGCTCTCTGCTAAAAAGTACACGACGCCGCCGTCTCATCTGCCTGCTGGTCGTCCTCATCATCACCATCACCATCTTCGTCCCGTCTCGGGCCATAAGCGCACTCACTCCTCGGCCGCCGCAGCAAAGGGGTCGTCGTCGTCGTCGTCGCTGGTGAAGTCGGGACAGGGCCAGCAGCAGCGCCAGGCCAAGGACGACGGCGAGGAGGACACGATGGCGACGAGCTTCCTGCAGTTCTGGTATGTTGTTGTTGTTGTTGTGTTGATGTTGTTGTCGTCATGACGCATTCACCCTGCTGACTCCTTCAAAACAGTGCAAGCTGCGAGAAGCAGATCATCACGCCCTGCAACAACATCCTCTACTGCTCCGAGAGGTACGTCATCCTGCTTGCTGCTGCTGCTGCTGCTGCTGCTGCTGCTGCTGCTGCATGCTGCCCGCCCTCCAGCTCCAGCTTCATAGCTAACTTCCCACCAAAGATGCCGCCGAAGCGACCAAAAGTCGTCGTACATCTCGCACGAATACTCCCCGCCTCCCACGCCCTACGCCCACCATCTCGACGACCAATCCAACCTGCCCGCGCCCAAGGAGCCCGTCCCAGCTCGCCCGCCCACCGCCGCGCCTCTCTCGAACCGCTCGTCGATGGTCATGTCCGACGAAGAAGAAGAAGACGACAACAACGAAGAAGACACCACCAACTACCTCTACACGTCATCCGCACGCACCCCCCTCTCGCGCGAAAACTCCGAAGCCGCGCGCTACCTCCGCCAGTTCCAATCCACGAATCCCGCCTGGCACGACTACACCACCACCCCGACGACCGCACGCCCGCCCTTCTCCACCCGCGCCTTCTCCTCCATCACAACAACCACCACCACAACAACAACAACACCAACAACCCCCTCCCTCTCCCACACCCCCGCCTCAACAGCAAGCTTCTCCCTCCCCTACCCCTACACCCCCGCCGCCGCATCCCGCTCCTCCTCATACAACTACAACTACAACTACAACTCCACCCGCCCGCTCCCCCGCCGCCACGCCCCCAGCTCCTCGTCCTCGTACTTTGCCGCCTCGTCTGCGCGTTCCGTCGACCTTGTGACGCCCTGTACGACGTTTAGCTTTCCGACTGCTACTACTGGTGGTGCTGGTGGTGCTGGTGCTGGTGCTGGTGGCGCTGGTTGTGGACCGGCTAGTCTGCAGAGGCTGTATGCGTTCAAGACGAAGCCGGCCGAGGCGCATATGACGGTGGGCGTGGTGGTTGAGGGGGATTTGCTGAGGTATGAGAAGGTCGGGGTTGTGCCTGGGACGCCGACTGCGCCGGGGAGTTTGGGGAGGTTGCTTGGGGGGCGGGAGGGGGCTTGAGTTGATGGGGTGAGAGGGGTGTGGCTTGTGGGTTGTGTGGCGTGCATGAATGGATGGATGGATGCAGCTGCCTGACCTGACGCATGAATTTGCTTTTTTCGTTCTTCGTCTTCTTCTTCTTCTTCTTCCTTGACGCGCAGCAGCTTGTCGCGCTTGGACAGGAGGTCCAGCTGTCTCTGAGCGCGCCTACCCTCCCTCCCTATTCCATCACCGTCCCCTGATTCGGCATGGCCTGGCGTTTCTCATTCTATCCTCTTCTCTTCTATCCTATCCTATTCTGGGCGGAATGCTTCATCATCGACGGCGTTCTTTTCTCGTTCTTACTTTCCCTTTCTACCCCGCCGTTTCTTCATTTCCATTCCTGCGAAAAAGTACGGCGTGTGTGCATGGGGTGGATGTTGTGTTGTGCTGTCATGGTGCTGTCATGGTGTTGTGCTGGTGTTGTTTGTGCTGGTGTTGTTTGTGCTGGTGTTGTTTGTGCTGGTGTTGTTTGTGCTGGTGTTGTTTGTGCTGTTGGTGGTGGTGGTAATGAATGAGCGTTTGCGTGCACTTGCTTTGCTTGGACTTGGAAAGAAGCTTTACTTTGACTTGGACTGCGAAAGATAGACATTATAGACTTTTCGGGGGGCTTGTGGAGTTTGCACATATGCAGATACACGTATAGAATGGCGTATCTTGGGTGTTTTGCTGGCTACTTGGTTTGTTTGTTACTTCAGGGTAGGGGAAGGGGGGGTAATTGAGATGTGTTGTCTCGTGTGTCTGTGTCTGGGTCTGTGTGCTTCATGTGCTTGCTGTGTGTTGGGTAAAGTGTGCTGTTAGGTGCGTCTACTGTGCTGGTGCGGGCATGGCATGTGTGTCTGCCGTGACTAGGCATAACGTAGCCCTGCCGCTCTATTCTCATTCCTATTCTCAGTCCTATCCTTACTCCTGGCCTTCTTATTCGTATACCGTGCATCTGGTCTGCAGTTTGCGTTGTGCTTGGCTAGGTATGAGATATACCTTCCTCCTGCTCCCTACAACACCTCACTCATGACCTCTCCTCCCGCCGCTCGTACGCATGCTCTCACACACCCATCCATCTACCTCACGCCCACCCCACTTCCACTCACGCAATAAACGGAATCCCCACCGGCGTCCGCGCCCGAAACCGCACATACTCCTCCCCAAAGAACCCCACCAGATACCTCTCCTCACCTGCACACACACAGTCAGTCAGTCAGTCAGCACACACGCCCAACAACCCCTTTCCCCTCGCCACAAAGACCGAAGAAAAAGAACAGCAACTCACTCGCAATCCGCCTCGCAAAAAACCGCCACAGCACACACGCATACACCACCCCACACCCCACATTCCCCACAAGCACCTGCGATCCCACCCCCCACCAAAAAAACCCCCAATAACTCGGATGCCTCACAACCCCATACACCCCCCTCGTAACAAGCACATGCCCGGCCCTCCACTCACTCTGCACCTGATGATTAAAGCTCTCGCCCGCCTGCACCATAGCGACACTCCGCACGCCCTGCCCCACAACCACCATCACCACCCCCACTCCCACAACAACCGGATGCCGCGTCACAGCAACATACCACCCCGGAAGCCGGACAAGCGTATTCGTAAGCGTGCATTCGAGCAGCGCAGCCGAGTGCGCAAGCCGGTATGCATTGCCGTTGCTGAGGAGGAAGGAGGATGTCGTGGCGGCGGGCGTGTTGGCGAGCGCGGTCGTGTAGAATTCGAGGAAGTGGGAGAGGGCGAGGAGGGCGAGGAAGGCGGGGGGGCGCCAGAGGGGGTGGGAGTGCGAGAGGAGGAGGAGGGAGAGGAGGGTGGTGGTGCCGAGGGTGGTGCCGAGGGTGAAGGCGCGGAGGGCGATGCCGGAGAGGGAGCGCGTGCCGCCGGGGTAGAGGGTGCGGGGGAGGGGAGGAGGGGTGCGTGGGGTGGAGTTGTTTGCTTGGGGGGTTGGGGTGTGTGGTTGTGGTGAGGGCATGGTGGTGGTTTTGTGGTTGTGGTGGTGGTGATGCGAGAAAGGGGGCTCAGGCGCTCGTGTGCGGGTGTTGAGGACAAGCGCTGCTCATAAGGACGACGGAGAAGATAGCGAAGGAGAAAAGAAGGAGAGAGCGGGTTATAAGCAGAACGACATGAGCGGAGCGGCGAGGTTGAACGTTGGATGTGCGGGAGTGAAGGGGAGAGAACAATAGCAAGAAAGAAGGTTTGTGATACCACGACATGTCGTCTCGTCCTCACCAATTATGCCGCGTCTCACCGCCCAGGCCAGCACTCCACTCCACTCCACCCCACCCCAATTCACGAGTCATGCACGCAGGAAACGTCCACCCTCGCCGAGTCAGTCAGTCAGTCAGTCAGTCTGTCAGTATATCCCACATTTCCGCATCCGGCAATCCAAGACGTCCCATCTCGCCTCAACTCACACCCCGTCTTTCCGCAACACACACACGCACATACTTACATATATGCACAAAATTAATATATACTCCTATGCTGCAAAATACAGATCTCCCCCCCTTGGTAGCACGAACACCGAAACCGGCAGAAACATGGCCCTCGCGTGCGCCCCTCTGCTCACGCCCACCAACACTAATTACCCCAGCCGCACCTTCCGCCAGATCCGGACACACTCCTGCAAGTCCGACACCACCGCCCCAGCCTCATGCATCGCCGCCTCCCGAACCACCCACAACACACACGCCGCAAACCCAAACACCACCACATCCTCCGCCACTGCCCGATACGTCGGCCTCGCCATCCCTCCGCTCTCCGCCCAGCTCCGCCACCGATCCAGCATCCCCGCCATCTTCCACCCCACTCCCTCACTCGTAATCATACAATACAACACCTGCTCCACAATCGCCGCAAACCCCGTCTCCGCCTCCGCCCCCGGCACATGGCCCTCCCGCACCAGCCACGCCCGGCACGCCTCCGCCACCGGCCCAATCGCCAACCTCTGGCTCGTCAGCGCCTCCGTCAACTCCTGCTCGACCCGCCGCTCGCGCTCAATCTGCCGCTCGCGCATCTCATTGTGAAACTCCCACGCCTCCTTGCTCACGCGCGCCTGCTGCGCCCGCACCTTCTCCGCCGGACTGAGCTGGTTCTCCGCGCTCATCTGCCGCGCGCGGTCCATGAGCTTGGTCTGCTGCTTCAGGCGCTCGAGCGCGTCGTCGTAGGGCGTGCGCCATGCCGGCACCGCGTCGTCGTCTAGCAGGCCGAGCAGCACCATTACGCCGCATGGCACCGTCTCGCGCCGTGCGAGCTGCGTGATGTCGTCTGGGATTGCGTAGCTCCAGAGGCCGCCGCGTGGGGCGCCGAGAGCGGTGCAGCCGACGGAGAACCACATTGGGCGCGTGTCCGAGGGGAGGTGGGACTGTAGGTGGGGGAGGGCGAGCCGGTGCTTCGGGTCGTCTTCTCGGTAGCTTTCCTCGACGCCCGAGGAGCCGATGCGGAGGCGGAAGGAGGTGAGGGAGTCGTGAAGCGTGGAGAGCATGTCTGTTGCGCTGGGACGGCGGTCGGGGGAGAACGTGGTGGTCGTGCTGGGGTCTGCCGGCTCGGGCTTTGACGCGTCCGGCTGGATGCCCTTGATGGCGGCTCGGATCTGGGCTGCCTCGTGGGACGAGGTCAGTCGGATCCAGTACGGCGGGAGAGACTCCCAGGTCCGCCTATCCCACTCGTGCCGCCAGTCCAGGCAGAGCGACAGGATCCCGTCCGAGTCGCTGGCCGTCGCGACCGTCAGCACGGGGTCTGCCGTCACGGGAGACAGCAACAGCTTCGTCCCGGCGGGCGTCCACAGGCCTGAGCTGCGCAGGTCGCTGAAACCGGCCACGCTCGGCACCGCGCCCCGATCCAGTAGAAACGCAAGCAGGGCTTCAAAGCCCACCTCCGCCTGCGGCTGCGACAGCTCGTCGTGATACTGCACCCTGTACGCCTTGACGCCGATAATCAGCTCTTTCCAATTCAATATCGTCCAGCTGCCGCCCCTCAGTCGCGACGGGCACGGGTTCAGCTCAAAGTATGCTGGGTCCGCGCGGTCGAGCGGGATGATGCTCTTTCGCGGTATTTCCACCTCGACGATCCCGGACAGCAGCGTGCTTCGTGTGATTGCCGGTGTGCCGTTGTCGTCGAGAAGCCTGCGGATCGAACGGAGCGTGACCAGGGATTTGGCGCATGTGAAGATGGTGGGAATCACTCCTATGACGGCGAGGGGGACACCGATGTACGTGATCAGGTCGGTCGCAGAGGCCATTGCGGCTGCGCGAAGAGTCGCGGGAAGAGGGAGAGGCCCTGGGGAATGGGGGACATTGTGCGACTGGACGTATAGATGAGGATGTAAAACTAAAGTAAGATGCCTGGCGCGTGGCTTGACCATGGCTTGCAGTCGTGCGTTTGAAGAAGCGTGGAAATAGAACGCTAGTCTACAAGCGTGCTAGCCTTGCCCGGGCGTCTTCAGCTCAGAGCTGTAATAGTACTGTATTGAATTTCGCGTGTTTGGACCACTCTTCGTCTCCATTCGTGAATCACGACCACGATACCGCCATTGACCGACATCCAACACGACAGTAAGGTCGATATAGTGTCACAACCTCCAATCAACCTACCAATTCACCAGAACCCAGCAGCACAAAGAAGCATTAGCAATGTAGCATCCAAGACAGTAACGAAGCAATTGAGTATGACCTATCAACAACTATACGTCCACCTACTACTACGGCTCTTTACCATTTCTGAGCCAGATACTAGCCTGTCAGACCCACTATCCGATGTGTACTAGTGTGCGGCTATACAGTATAGAGAGTTACGTACTATGTTAGCTGCATGCACGTAAAGTGCTTGTGCTTTATGCTAACCTCGAGCACGGTCACTAGACGTATGCTTCCTATCTGGGAAGGTATAGTTGCAGAGCATTCTTGGTATGTGGGCACATCAGCCTCAAACAAGACCTCTGTTGTCGACGGCTAGCTATGTCCAGCATCTTATGGATTGATTGTCTGGACGCAACAGATCTATCGTGCGGCGTCTTGTCTATATCCCCTATGAGACCTTTGTTCGTGGCAATGCTGATTGGACAAACATCCGTCCCTTTGCCAGTGATGCAGCTCTTGCCGTATGTATGGTTCCAAGTTGGCCGGGCCGATATCGTTCGGGTCATGGCATGACTGCTGCTTCTATTGTCTGTCAAGCCTGGGCCTGATCTTGCAAGATCACGAATAGGATCGCGTGCCGATTCTTTCATTCCTCCCATTGGGACTTTGATTTCCCGGCAGAGAGTGTTTTTGGAGAGACGCCAGCCCGTCACTCTCATCTTTCTTGTGAGCATGAGGTCCTGTATCTTGGGCTGGATGAACTCGTCGATGACGACTTGTATGGCGCGGTGGTCAAATAAAGGTTGCTCGTCTTCTTACTTGGCCAGAGGATCGAGAATGAGGTATCGGATTAGAAGGTGATGAAACTATGACTGCCTGTTAGTTCATTAGAAGGAAGGCTCTCGCCCATGGAGATGATGATAGAACGAAGAATAGACATGTTGCTCAGGTGGCTCGAGAATGTTCCAAGACAGATCTCGAATGAATGGCTGTCAGCAGTCCGAGTTGCAGTCGAAAGGTAGTGCTTGGCTGCGTCTGTTGACCGTTTGTGCCAGAATGCTCCGCAGGTATACAGACCAAAAGCCTTCTGGAATATGTCCTGTCGTGTATCAAGGGAAAAGAGATGCCTCTCATCGGACTTAGCATCATGACGCATGCATCAGACTGCCTTGCGTGCTCTTCGGGTGATGTCCTTCTCTGCGTCTATAGTTCACGGAGTGTCGGTCGGGAGACGCGCGGCTGGGCGTCTGCGCTTGACTTGAGTGCATGAGACCGGATCAGAAAGGGACCAATGTACCATAGCTAGGGGAATCATCAAGAGGCGCAGCACGTCAGCTTGTTCTTCTCAGCTTGACGCACCACTTCCTTTGTCAGAGTCCAGTCTCCGAGCCATGAATCAGGAGGTCAACACGGCAGTATCTTTGGACCACCACTCCCTTCAGTAAAAGGGTCAAGGTCGAGAGGATTTCGACGAGCTCTTTTCCCCGGTTCTGCGGGTAAGGAGGATACGCTTAACCATCAAGCGCTCGTCTATTAGTCTATCGCGGTATAATGGTAGGCTATTTTAGAGTCCACAGACTAAGCGATCGGAGCACAACTTACACCAGTCGAGTCGCGTCATGGACATGCCGTCTCTATGATTGAAATGAAGCCCTCGGGAATTGCCAGAACAACATCCCTTCGGTGAAGCCGTAGGCGCAGCTTGAGAGCTTCCAGTACCATGTCAACTGGCATCCCTTTCACGACAGTCAGGAGCCATCCGTACGACCATGGCTTCGACAATTTGGCCGTACATTTCGACGCCGATGCTGGAAACTCCTCGCATATCTCTGTCTGGTCCGAGCGACGTTCCAAAGTGAGAGCTGTCGCTAAGTACCTGGCTGTCGACTGGGCCCCCGAACTGTACGCGATTCAGGCTCATGGGAAGGACAGCCGCGCGGGAAACCCATCGTCAGTCCCATCTTGGCCATCAGAATTGATGCAGTCATGATCCAGTGGTGGTGGCAGTTCGTACTTCATGTACATGTATGTGGAATGGCCTGATCGGATCTCTCTCTACAGACGCGCTTGTCCCGCCTGTGCCGCAATCTTCTCTTGGTTTGAGGCGTGACTACCTCGAGTCCGTCCCCTGACATGTAAAACCTTGCACTCCTTACGGGACGCCCATCTCAACTTCTCTTCTTTCTTTTCTCCCAGACCCATGGAGACGGGTGTTTCCAGCACTGCTCACATCTCCATCGACCATCGATCCTATGACCTCCAACATGGTGAATTTAGAGGACGAGCGTCCCGAGAACACGGACACGAACGACAACCAGCTAGCGGCGACCACATGGCCCCGCAATGCAGAGCTCTTATGAGAGAGGGCTTTGGTGTTACCATGGACAGTCCCTTCACTCGCGCATTCACTTCAGCCGCCTCTCCCACCCTCCAGAGCCTCATACAGTCGCATGAGTATTTTAGTCTTGCCTCCAGTCAATCAATACGTCCATCGGAGACAAATCCTGACAGGGCTGCATCCGACTGTTCCAATCTCCAGACGGGAGGTTGCCACTAGTCGGCCGGAGATTTCGTATGTATGTTTTGACCTGTTAGGCCCCAACGAAGTCACCCTTTATACTAATATTGCAGCTGCCGTGCAGATGTCGCGACCAACTCTGTATGGAGATGACCTGCACATGAAAATGGACTCTGACGACGACGAGGACATGCGCGACGCAACACGTCTGCATGCGTCCGAATCCGCAATGTCTGCGCCTTCGGGTGTTGATCCCCAGGCAGGATACGAGCATGTTTTATCTAACTTGATCGAGCAACAGACCGCTTATGCGGCCTTCCTGTCGTCGTTGGACGTTGCCGATTTCAACGCGTTCAGCATCAACCAACGTTTTCAGGAGGCTGTCGTCTGGCTGCAGAACCAAGCAGAGAACGAGCATGTACTACATGCTCTTGCCGAGGGTTATTACTCCTCAAGACGTCGTCCATTCTGCCTTCCAACTGACCGAACCCATAGGTTCAACCACGTACACGGACGTATGCCACGCAGTCGAGAAGCTGCATATGCTCATCGACCGCTGCAACGAAGACCAATATCTCACGCAGAGGTCCATCTATATCCACGCACAACACATCTGTTTCTACGTTTCGTGTCTGAACGACGTTCTCGCTATCGTGAGGAAACAGTCTGTGTTCAACAACTTCATCCACCGCGGGCGCATCGAAGACCTTTACCTCGAGACTCACGACTTCACCCGAACGAGAGAGATTTTCCCAAACGCCGACACGCCCCTCGTCTGTCGCCTGAGCAATGGAATCTCGCGACGCCGCAGACGGCTCAAAGAGCGCATCCTGGCTCCCAGCCTGAGTGTGCCAAAGGTCAAGAGGGAGTACGGCGAAGGCAGCAGATCCAGCCCTCCCATGACCCTCCATGAGCCAGAAATCCCACTCAAACCTTATGGGCTCGAGATCCTCCTAGAGGAGCCCTTTGACTGCGCTACTTGTTTCCGCAAGGTCACGACCGAAACCCAAAGGTATGATTGGAGCCGTCGCTCTGGTCTCCACTACGGACAGTCTGTTAACTATCTTCTCTCAGGGACTACATCCACCACATCGACCACGACCTCAAACCATATCTGTGTACATACGTAGACTGTATTACACCGCTACGGATGTATGGCAGTCAAGCAGAATGGTTCGAGCACGAAAAGACCTGCAGGCGCCAGTCCTGGGAGTGCCAATCCATCAGAGAACCAGCTTTAAAGTTCAACGGCTGCACAGACGAAAGCGACGAGCCCTTCAGCTTCTCCTCAGAAACTGAATTCCAAGTCCACGTCCTACAGCAGCATCCAGAGGAGTGGGACCAGATCGAGCAGATCACTGCTCAATGCAAGATTGATGATAGAAAGTTGAGAATGTCGCCAGACTGTCGGCTCTGCGGCTTCAGGGCTGGCAACTTGGAGCGTCTGGAACCTCACTTGGGAGCCCATATGCGAGAGCTGGCTTTGCTCTCCCTACCCGAGAGCCTCAGATAAAATCAAGACACAGTCGTACCATGGTACCACTTACATCTTGCCACCAGTGATCAGGATGCGGTGACTGTCTGGCTAGAAGTCTGCTACTGGTACTGGCCAACGCAACGAGCAGCACAGTTCGCGACCGACCCTTGGTGTGGTGTCTGTGGGAGGTCGAACGGTGAGCTAATGGGTCGTGCAAGTCCATACTTCAGCCCAATCCATGATTCGAGCAGCCATCCCCGGCTACGGCAGCATCGACGCCGCCGAGCAGCCGGACCTCATTCAATATGGGCCAGCCTCATAGGGCGAAAAAGGCCGAGACAAGCCTCCGGTATAGGGCGCAAACGCCCGGATCTCAACCAGATCGCTGGAACGCAGATTCCACCGCCACCCGGAGATATCGCCGGACAGGGCGACCAATGACAGACCCGTCGGGGGATTGGCTACAATATGCATAAGCCACACTTGAAGAAGGCAAAAGTGGAGATCTCTTTCAGCCCCGAGGGAGATTGCGTTTTGCTACATTGAACATGTGAAAGCTTGCTGGGCCGTTGTTGTTGCTAGATAGAGTGAAGAGTTGCGTATGTACGTCTGAGGCTGAAATACGGAGATTTGTCAGGTTCCCACTGAGTACCTACCTACCTACCTAGCACATCGACATGAGAACCCCTCGTGGCGAGCCGGCCCAACCGCCGCTAAATTTGCCTACGGCAGACAAGCACGAACCATTCAATTGTGGGACGTCCATTCTCCATCACTAGTCTGAAAAGGGTGTACGGCAATGAAAGGAAGGAGCCGATAGCGCGGCACAAAGCGGATGAAATATACGTACATCCAATGAATACTAGACAGAGACGGTATCCGATTTGATTCTACATGTATTGGACTCATTTTCATCCTAAACCGGCATTTTGAATGAATATGTAATCAACGACTCCCTCCTACCAGTGCTCACAGCCGAACCAAACATTCCCACCTTCCTCTTTGCTTGCACTGTCCGCAAACAGCTAGTTGGGGTATCCATAAAATAACTTCGCTCATATAGTCGGCTGCTATCGTATCTCCTCGGTCAGACGACCAACCTTGCTTGATGATACCTGTTGGATAGCTATATGACAGACTATGCGAAGATCCTCCCCTCAACTTCACAGTCTCACTTGAGGGTGGGAAGCACCTAAGCTCCACGAACTCGACCACGCGCTATCCTATCCGCTCATACCATACCCTCTTTTTCCCATGACCACCTCACACCATATCTCCCTCTTTGCCTTCCTTGACTAACGTGCCACACCTCATGCATCTCCTCGCAATGACATTCCCCCTCCTCGCCAAGAAAAATCTACTCTTTTCTCACACCTCGGCCGTTTCTATTCCGATCCCGCGTCTGCGTCTGTATTCTAACCGCGCGGATAATGTCTTGCACCTCGCGCCTGGCTTGAGCATCCCAGGCATCCCATCGTCGTCGTCATCGCGCCGTCGCGTCTGTCTGTGTGTTGTGAGTTGACGGGCGGTGGCAAGGCGGTGGCTAGGGCTTGGCTGGCAAGGGGGTGTAACAGGAGGAGAGAAGATGGATGGATGTAGGGAGGGAGGGGAAGCAGGAAGTAGGGATGTTTGTGCGACGGGTTATATTAGGTATGGGATGGGATGGGATGGAATGGAGTATGGTTGTCTACGCAGATAATGAGGTCCTTTCTCCCGTTTGCTTGTGTTGTGTGAGACGTCGAAGTAGGTACGTGCTACGTACTGATCCATTACGTGACTGACTAGCCGGTGTCTGTGCTACTCGCTCCTTGTTTGTTCGTCTATGGGTTCCAGGCCTTACTCGTGCGGTTGTGAGACTCGGGTGTGCGGAGGTCTTTAGAGTGTCCTTGGATGGTTGGCTGTTGGCTCGTGGTGATGATCTTTTCGATTCGTCTAGACTATGTAGCATACTATATGATATACCATGTGCTTCGTTGTTCTCTGGCAATGTATTTCGGGTTTTGTATCCCTCGTGGTGTGGATGGTTATCTAGATGGAAGGGTTAGATGTCATGAGGCTTAGATGGAGTTTTGTGGGTCAAGGGAGAGCGGTGTCTCGGCGCTGGGAGGATAGGGGTGGTATTTGTGTATGCTAGGGTGAGGCGTCTATATGCAGCGTATTAAACCATGTACGCATTCTATGGAGCTGTTGTGCTCGGTGTTCAGATAGTCTAACATCGAGTCGTACAGCCGGCACGGTAACTAGGTTCCATGGTGGTGTATAAGAGAGCTGAACACTATATATGCACGTCTTGCCTAGTACCCTAGCACCCGTGCCTAAGTAGGACGTACCGAATCTGTACGTTAGTCTGCTGGATTATGCGCTTATATTCTGTAGTTTATGGGAATTGCGCTAGAGGGGCTGGAGTGTGTTATACGGGATTCTTTTTCCAATCAGCTGATTTTCTACAGGTTGTATATATGAGGGGAAAGGGAATGGATATGTGCTTTTCGTACGAACGCGGATATTGGTCTGGGTTTTGGTTGGTGCTTTTGTGTGCTTCGGTGGGATGGGATTGAGTGTGGAAGGAGTCGAGATAGGCGTAGGGATGGGAGGTGTGATGACGACGAAGGGGAGTCATTGGGCTGATAGATATCGTGCCATGTATGGGCGTCTTGTAAAGATTCAGATGAGTATGACGCTGCTTAGGGACGATGGTAGAGCGAGGGACAAGAGATGATATGGATAGGATGCATTGGATCTCAGGAAGATGGGTGGGTATTGGACGTTCTTGCGAAACGCGTGAGGGATGGTACGCCGATTTATTGATACTCGGACAAAGTAGATCATATGACATATCTAGATTGAAACCTATGAAATGCCTGAATGTACTTGTACGCTGTATACATACAGGACTTCCGATCGTTGATCTCCTCGACTAAAATCGATATAAGCAACTCTTTGTGTCGAGTCCTTCAGCTTGAATGATGGGATATCTATAACAGGTCTTCCTAGCCTAGGACATAATTCGTCTTATAAGCCACCCATCCCAATCTCTCATTCACCGCAGTTGTGATCTCGACTCCTTAGTCTCCTCTTAGTCATTATCCTACAAGGTGCTCTGATCATGTTTCAGAAGCACCCAAGTTATCTTTGATACTGCTGATCCTGCTACTGCAAATTCTAATCGGCGTGTGTCATCTGTATCAGATACCTTCTCTGATCGAGAGGGGATGTTTTGGTGGGGGGAAGGAGAGATGTCAAGGAACATGACAGATATGGAGCGTTAATAAAATTAGATATGAGATGGAGGCCTGCTATACACGTTCTTGTCTGTAGGCCACAGTTTCATTGTAATGAGTACTTGGCGCTGACTTGAAGTCTTATGTATATCTGACTAGTGCTAAGCCTCATGGGCTCAATGTACGCCCTTGGTCATCCTGTAAAACACCAGAAGGGATGTCGGAGACTCTTTCTATTTCACTCTTTGGAAGGTATGTTTAGTATCTGAGTCGTGTCTAGTAAGGAGTAGGATTGCTCATATATCTGTCCAGGAGCACTTCTAGCCCTTCACGCGTCAGAGGTTGAGTAGCACTGGTTCAGGCTGGACTTTGCAAACGTAGACTTCTCGAAGCACTGAACGTACTCATGGTCCCTATACTTCCTTCTAGCTCAGTACTCCGTGGCCAGGGGCGCCAGTCGAGATCTTGAGGTCCATGATGTCGCTTGCCTAAAGGTCCCTGCCATTATAATATAGTCCTATGGCTACTTCAAGGAGCAGCAATCTTACCAAATCGATCCAACGCGGAAGATCTTCTAGTCTTTCGTGCAGCCGGCATATCCATAAGGGTTGGTCTAGTGCACATTCCTGATACGCTACATGATTCTGTACGGCGCATCCGGCCACCCCTGTAGTGTATCGTATGAGAGGGACGCGGAACCTAGCATCTAGCGTTTATAGAGCCTTTCTATTTTGAGACAGGGCTATATTTGCATGGACAAGTGAATCTGCTCACGACATAGCCCCACAGAAGAACACCATAATGGGTACATAGCTAGTTAATGATGTTGTATTGAGGAGTGACTGAGTTGAGCTCACATCTAGACGGATACATGCTTGATGCTAAATACACGGTCCTTGCTTAGAGTCCACCTCGTTTCAAACTCTCCACCATGTCCGTTGGCCCAGTGTTGAAGCCCAACCGTAGACCGGGTCTGATCTCCCTGCTCGCATTGACGAGGTCCTCGAAAATCCCCGTGTAGGCCGGGATACTACGCAGTCCAAATCCAATCATGCACATGTCGAATTCCTCGGCTTTCAGTTTCTCCTTCACGCCGTCGATGTCGGCGGTTGCGTTGGACGGGTCGATTTGGACTACCGTGATGTCGTATCCAGCTTCACGAACGGCTTTCATGCTGGCAGCCACAGCCTCCTTCAATTTGGCGTCGGGGCCGGGAACGGGCGAGTTTTCCGGGGCATTGGCTGGGGGGCCGAAAGAGAGGCCGACGACGAGAATTGATTTGCCCATATCTGAGGACTTTGGTTTGCTGGTGTAAGGGCGATAGAAAGCCGCTTGAGCTGACTTAGTGTGGGTGGTGGTTGAGGGACGAAATAGAATGCTAGGCTTTGGTTTTGGACACAGGAATCTGATGGTGGTGTGAGGTTTAAAGATCATGACTGCAATGAGTGTTCGGAGGTATTTATGTTGCGGACTCGCATCGTCTAATAGGACTATGTGTTATAATGGTTGGTGCTGAAGGATGTTGGACTTTCGGTTTTTGACGTTTCCGGATATATCGTTGGTGCCTAAGTGACAAGCCTCAATATACAAAAAGCGGAGCCGGTCTCTACGCTGGCGCCGACAAGATGGTAGTTAGTATACGGACAAAATCGAGGAACCTTCAGCTGTTGGCTGCCATGACACCGCTAGTGGGGGACTAACTGTTCAACTTTGGGGCGTCGGAGTCTAGACCGATGGCCCCAGTACTATCAACAGCGTGGTGTTTGTTCTCTGGTGATAGGAGTTTCAGTACAGATCCTTCCACGACTTGGTTTACTGGTGTCTTGCCAAACGGAGAAAGTAATCCCTCATTTCCATCTGGGTCGAGGCTATAACAACATTGCTTTTGTGACTCTGTCGGCTGCACAGAAAGTGCTATCATTGCTCTAGCAAGGAGATCCCTCGCATTTCTCAAGGATAGAAGAGCTTCTACCTTCCAAGTCAAGCGCTGCCACTCCATAATGTTCTCAGAATTGGGTCACCGCTCATCAATGTCATAAACGTGTTAGATCAGGCCCAGACCAGGGCCAGCGGTCCCTGAATCCTTGCGACAAATCACCGGGCCGTCTGGCAGACTCATCTAGGTCTAGGGGAAGTATCCTGCGCAGAAGCCTCAGTCAGCAGGGTCATCATTGTGGCTACACTATCTACGAACAGCAGTGTACCGCCGTTAGTACCTGATACTTTGGCGTGCATACTTGAACTTCAGCGCGCTAAGATTCTAGATATGCGGCCCGGCGCCAGGGATCGTGCTCGGGATACCGCGCACGTTCAGCATTACTAAGATGGATTGAAAGTCGTCACTTTTCAATCAGAATCGTCACCTCCAATGCTCTCGTATGAAAATTATTCTCCTTGAGCAACGTGTATAAGATGCCCTTGGGACGCTATCTATCGGTATCCATATATAAGTGCTCGCATGAGTGCGTGAAGGCTTTGAGCGTGTTTTGAGAGGGTATTTAGTAGTTATAGATAGAGGCCAAGCGCGGCTTATTGGCTTGACGGGTGTTTCCGAGTGGTATTTAGTCATAGCTACTAAAATACCTAATTAAACCCATTAAACACGTCGTGGTGTTATAGGTAAATGTACTAGCGCGTCGGAGCTCGGTGACCCAAGAACTTCCGTCGGCTCTGATGATGCGAGTCTAGCATCAACCTTATAATCAAGTTCTACAACATGTGGGCACGAATGTCTCGCATGGGATTCTCATTCTCGCAAGCCACTATCTATACGCGTACACGAGCTTTCCACTCACAACGCAGACGTCTCTTGCCAAGCTTCCGGAACAACTATCGGTACCAGCGTTTCCAGCAGAGCAAGAACATATTCCAAAGATGGGCGGCGAGACCTACATTCTACTATGAAGTCGGTGGCATCGGACTTGCTGGAGGAGGCTTTTATGTCTACAACTTGGAAGATGTGCCGGTAAGAGCCTCCAGCAGTGGTCCAAAGCATCCGGACAGTAGCTGATATACGACGACAGGTCTCTGGCAGACGACGCTTCAATATTATCGGTCCTGAGCGCGAGAAATCGATAGCCGGTGGAGTTGGGGAGATGGTTCTCAATCAGTACCGCGATCGTATCCTACCTCCACACGATAGACGGGTGCAAGCGGTGCAGCGCGTTCTCCAGCGACTGATGCCGGTCTCCGGTATCGACAATAAAGAGTCGTGGAAGGTGTATGTGATTGATAGCAACGATGTCAACGCATTTGTCACACCAGACAACAACGTGTTTGTATTCACTGGCATTCTGCCCATATGCAAGAACGAGGATGGCATTGCTGCAGTGCTCGGTCACGAAATAGCCCATAACTTTGCGCATCATACTGCTGAGAAGGCTAGCCGGGCTGCGATTCTGTATATCCCAACTCTTTTTGTTGAGCTGGCCATACCTGGCACGTGGTCTATTACGAACCAGATTCTCAACCTGATCCTTTCCTTACCGAATGGTCGTGCCCAGGAGTCCGAAGCTGACTACATTGGACTATGTATGCTACGACCAGGTTATTTTCTGTCTAGTCTGCTAACCGTGCCCCAGTAATGATGGCTCGAGCCTGTTATAATCCTGAAGAAGCTGTGAGGCTATGGTCACGCATGGCTGAATACGAGAAAAGGATCGGGGGTGGTACCCCGCCCGAGTTCATGAGCACTCATCCTTCTTCAAACAACAGAGGAAGTAAAATGAGTGAATGGTTTGTTTTCCCTTTTGCAAGGGCTTCTGTCTAGTGGTATACTGATCGACTCGTTAACAGGATGTACGAAGCTGAGGCTAAGCGCATGGAGTCTGACTGCCAGGCGACGATCGGATACTGTAAGGACCTGGTGTCACCACATTCAAGTATGAAGACTAATACACAATCTTAGCGAATGCATTTCGACGTTCCGGCGCCTTTGGTGGCTATAGTTAAGTATCGCCTCTAGACCCAGGTGCTCAATACTCTTCACTCATTTATCACAAACCTCGGATCTCAACTCGAACTAATAGAAATGTCTGGTTCAGTGTTGTCAAGCCCCAAATCGGCCTGCGCCAACTCTTCAGCTGGCTCATGTTGCGGCGCAGCGGTCTCGGCTTGAGACACAACACGACAGGGCTAGACCACGGCATAGAATGTGGTTTAGAACCGAGCGTTTAATGCTCGGTATCTATGTCTTACACAGAGACATCTAACGCAGTCTACACTGGCTTGGATTATTCATGATATCAGCCATGCAAGACGTACGATGAGTCATATGTACAAGAGACGAGACGAGACGTGTACAATACAAATGCAATCATCCCATGCAAGCCGGAAAGTTATATTTGTATAAATGAAACCGTCACACAAGTCTCTCATCAGAGTGCCTTTTCTTACTTCAGCGTGTGTTCATACCAACCCATAGCTACCGCACACCGCATCCTCGCGCCACTTCGAACGGGACACCTGACAACGCTCCACGAAAACGGCCGTCTCGGAACGCCACCCAACCAGCAGCGCAAGCAAGCATGGGGGTATGGGAAACACGAAATGTGCCCTGCAAGCCAAACGAGGTTGCATGTGCGAGTTGCTTTTTTTCTTTCTCTCTTGCGACTAGACATGTGCTCTAGTCCGCGGCCGAGGAAGCAATCTTGGAACTAGCCATGACGTCCGGACATACTCTGTACCCGGCTCGATAAGTCTCTATAGATGCTCGTTGTGACACCCACTCAATGCCCCACGCGGGATTTGATAAAGAGTGCTGACCGGCGCGTGTCATAATGGATCCATATTTGAGCGGGAGGACGTAGTTTGCGCCATCGGCTCGACGGAACAACGTGGTCGACAGCTCGTGCGGTGGATGGACTGCATCCGGCACGTCGTGAGATGTCGAATGAGGACCTCGCCCACAGCCGTAACGAAGAGCGATCGTCGGTGGGTTTTGGGGGCGGCGTACGGGTGGAGTGCATGGTGTCCTGCCTGGATCGTCTATGGGAATCCAACAGCAGTGCGAGTCTGCAGGTTTGGCATATGCAGTGTGACATATGGCTTGGACGTGATTCGTATCGCACTTTGGGGGATACTGTGTTGCTTGGCAGTGATCGTGATGGAATCGCGATCGCCGGGGTGGTGGCGAACATGTGGGTCGAGAAAGTACAGTTGCTGAATGGGGTAGGGTTTGTCATGCCGTTGGAGAAGGTCTTGTAAGAGGCTGAGATGTTATCAAATGTCTTGAGGATGTACTGAACGGTGTTGGGGGTGATACCGTCCGTAACGGTCCGTCCGTTGGATCAGTTGTTGATTAAGACATGGTCTGGGACATGACTATATTCTCCAACATGTTGGCATGAACTCCTCCTCCTCACCACGGGTTTGGCTTCGAGCCGAGCCGATGTTGGAGCCCGTTGGCTTACTGCCGACAATACGGCAAGCTCATTGATGAGGTCTCAGTCAGTGAGAACTGCTCAGCTTACTGTGGCACAGAAACCTGCGGGGAGTGGCGATGCAACGTCAGCCTGGATCTTCATATGTGCCCTGTCACATTTAGAGCGATGATGGCCTGCAAAGCTGAGGAAATCGTCATCCACACGGGCGATTACGAAGCTGACGTTCGTCTAGATTGAGCGACAGGGTGTAGCAATCAGACATGCCACGTTCTGGACTGCTGGACCCTACTCTCGAATTGGACATATACAGACAACGAGGGGTAGGACTTGCATGACCGATTTCCTCTCCTGGCTCTTACTGTGTTGGATTTCGCATTCATGCGGAAGAGTTGTTTGCGACTAGGGAGACCCTTGTCAGGTCTGGGTATCGAACTATTCATAGCAAGTTTGTCGATAATACCTCGTGTGGGCCTTGTAGTAGGATTGATCCTGAGGGTATTTAGATCGTTGATACCTGTCTGCATGCGCGCGCAGATAAATATTGATTGCTACCATGCGTCATAGGGTTCTACTAGAAGTGACGTGGTCTAAAAAGTGGTGGGGTGCCTGTATGATTTGATGGTCTGAGTCTAGGTGTCCGTAAATCTAGAGACCTTGGGTCCAAACCTGGAAATCACTCTCTCCCATAATACAACAGTATTCAACAATTGTCCGGGTATTCCTCTCCAACAGTTCACACGGCCGATCATAAGTCAGAAATGGCAGCGGCCATAACGACGCCAAGAGACTGACTGCGACTGAGACTTCTTCTAGCGAATGAGAAACTCGCGCATCAAAAGGACAACACGGCTGACGTTGAACATCACAAGAGTTCGCATGAGGCCACGAAGACCTGCTCACAAGCGGACGGACGTAGACACGGACGGACATATAATCTCAAATTCCAACGCGTGCGATACCAGGATCTGACACGAAAAAGCAAGCATCTCCTGGCAACCGCAGTGGCCTCGGTACGTCGCTTGTTTCGGTGCAGGGCCGGTACTACGTCTAATTACGCAGTGAATTTGCTGAGCATTTATGTATGTCCATGAGCATGCGACCGTCCATCTCCGCAAGTTGATGAGTCGTAGAAGAACCAGTCGCTATTTACCATCGTGATGGTTTCACAAATCAAGATCTGAAGATCCCCAGACAAACCCCTCATAGCCATGTGCTGCGGCCCCGTTAACGGTACCATGGCGCGATGAACTACATTTGCCCTCCGAGGGTAAGTGAGCCGCTATCTTTGCGCCAATACGGCGAACTGTGGACACTAGAACGCGCTTGTGATTCTTCCCAACGGGTTACCCGGACGTCTGCTATCTTTACCAAATTCCGATGACTAGAAAGAACAAGACCGAGTCGGGCCTTGTCAATCTACGGTCATCGACCTGTCTGCCCTTGATACTATGCCAGTCAATTTAGATATGATCTCTGCAAGGAATGCTTGAGCATAAGAAGCATACGCGCAATACAATCCGAGGTCGTCGACCTGTCTGCCCTTGGCATCATGCCAGTCAACTATGAAATGATCTCTGCAGGGAGTGCTTGAACCCGCAATATCGAATAAGTATTCTGTACATCAACATGGCCTACTGTACGTCATCACAGTAGGCGAGATAATGACTCTAGTAAAGATAGCACGGCTGCCAGCATTGACGCGTCCAACCATGCCACGCCTGTGACATATAGTCGGTCACCGCTCCACGTGCGCGCTGAGAAATGGAAACCCACAAGAACAACTCATACAGGTCATGGCTATACTAGCGATGTGCATGTCTAAAGATGCACAGCAAGTATGCGTACAACCATCTGTGTGTTCCACAGGTCATAGATGGAACAATTACCGGATTTGGTCGCATACCTAGTCCCACCATCTTGAATGCTGGCAGATGCCTTAGGTCCTTGGCACCAACCATCAACCAGGTCAAATAATATATATTGAGACTGATCACGTCCTGAAAAGACTAGAGTATTGGGGGAATTAATAGTGTCGTGTCATGTCATGTATTACCATACGTCTAAGGTCGACAAAGCATACAACCCTGGCCTGCACACTCTCACTCCACACTTGGCACGCATTCTTAGCATTCTTAGCACTCTTAATTCTGGATGCTAGAACACATCCACATCTAGGTACCCCGGGTGGTCGTCTGCATCTGGCCATTCTGGCGTGTTCCGTGCTAGAATATCTTCATCTTCTACCTCTTTCTTCCTCGATTGCTAGCAGGCCCAGCGTCACGACCCAATATAGTAAACCGCAGCCTGCTTTGATGGCAATAGTCTATCGCCACGCGAGGTCAGGCCGAACAAGACGTCGGCATGCAGATCCTAACAGGGCTGAAGATATAAATTGGAAGCATTTTCCTAGAATGGATCAGAGTTACTGTAGTCTATCTTGTCACCAGATTTCACCACAACATCTGATATCTAGATGCGTGCTTGGGGATTACTTCAGACGCCAGACTGAAGTCCAGTCACACAAAAAAGCACACCCCACGAGCATACAGAGGTTGTCCGTCATTTTACTGTGTATGGGTCGTCCGTTCCTTTGAGAAAATCCCAGCCAACGACGATGCAAAACGCCAAAACGTTGTCCGTGTGGTGTCTTCCCAACTTCCTTCCACGCTCGCGCCCTTCCTTCCAACATACAGAGCAGATCACCGATTCTGATACACGCAACATGCACTGCATCTCAGCGCACGAGCAAACATCGGGCACCCGCGCGAGCGAGCGCCCCCTCCCTCACACTCTCTCCCTCTCGCTCCCTCACTCTCAGTCCATCCCGTGTCTTGGGCGCGCGGGCCTATATTGTGTTTTTGCTTGATCTGAAGGAGCCGGCATGGGATGCGGCGACGATGGCAGTTTCTGCGGCAGGAGAATAGCACCTTCTTCTGTTATATTGATCTCATGCATGAGAGTCTTGAAGTTGCAATTGGAAACGCGTACAGCGCGTGGGCGGCGTGGATGGCGTCATGGGGTCAAGCATCAGTGCTCCGGTGCGTGCGTGCGTGTGGCGACTGGGAGTCATCGTCGTCGTCGCCTTGTCTTGCCCTGGCTCGCCCTGTGTCCCGCCCCGTCGTCGTCACCTTTCTTCGTCAGCTTCCAGTGTGTGCCGGGTCTCACCAATCTTCCACACGTACCATTGTCCCCTCTCCGAGATGAATCGCAACGAAGCATGGAGTACACCGGCAGTCCAGTCCTCTTACCTGCCTTTCCCATTCCCTAGACATCTACACAGCCACATTGCTGATGCCATGCCCCAACACCACGATTCGCCCAACCGCGCAACAAAAGGTCAATGCCATGGCCGTGCCGCCACACTCTTACCGTTAACGTCTGAGATACACAGCACATAGTACACATTATAATCAATCGGCCTGCCTGCCCTATCCTACCCTACCATAGCATACCCTACCCAGCACAGCCCAGCCATCCCACATCCATGAAAACGCGCGCAAAATCCTATGCTTCCGACCGATTACACCACCATTCCCCTTCCTCAAGCCCCACATCACAACGCAGGTACTGTAAAATACACAGCCATCCCAGCACACAAACATGCCTCAGAAACCCACACCCCGCCATCACGGTGCGACAGCGACGGGCATTCTGCCCCGCAGTTCGGCCGGTCCCCTGGAGAGAGAAAGAGAGATAAGGGGGAGGGGGTTGTATCTGTTTGTTTGGCAATGTGCAATGGAGGCACCTCCGTGCAGGGGAGGGGGGTGGAGATGATTCGGGGAATGTGTCTCGGGGGTATTCTCGTCGGTGGTAATCTGTGGTATGGGTAGTTCCGTCTGTCGGTGTGTTTGTCCAGCTCCTGCAGGATATTTGTTGATGGGGTGGTGCATAGTAAGTAGTACTGTAATAATAACAAAAAAAGCCGTTGGAACGGGATGTTTTGCAATGGATGGGCGATATTAGTGGCTGTTTGCTTGTTGCTTGTTGGCTTGTTGTTGCTTGCTTGTTGCGGGACGGCGGTTTGCCGTTGGGGCGTGTGTTTGTGCTTGTGCGGTTGGACCGGCTTCTATTTTCTTATTCGAAAACGGCTTTTTTGCTCGACGTTTTGCTGGGGTTTGTTGTAGTTATAGTTGTTGCGGTTGTTGTTGTTGTCCCAGCTGGCTGGCTGGCTAGGTACATGTATCCACGGAGTAGTTTTGCGTGCTGAGGACCGGGGAGGGGGAGTGTGTGTCTGTGTTTTGGGCATGCTCTGCCATCATCCATCGCATACCCGCGTACTCATAGTCCCATATCGAGTATTTCCAAGTACGCATGTATCATGTATGTTCCCATGCACTCCATCACTCTGTCACTGTATCACCATTTACATCCCCAGGACAAGGCTCCTCGCACGCTCATCTGGGGCCCCGGCAGGCTGAGCTGTGCCACCCCGCGGACGGCCCGGCCAGGTTGCCCATCATGCGCCGCAGCTGCTGCAGCACGCGCACCGCATATTAATCGGTGGAAAAAAACAAGGGGGAGGAAAGATGTACAACCAAAGAAAAAAGAAGCAACGAGGTCCCAGTGGCTGGAAGGATTGTGTTGGCCATGGAGAAAGGATGTGGCTGGTACGCAGGGAGCGCGGAAGGAATCTGAAGATGGATGGATGGATGGTTACAATGGCTGTTTTGGACTTTTCTTTGAGACTGATTACTAGATTACTACTTGATTGCCAGAACGTCAGAATGTCAGGATGTCAGGGTCTGCGTGTTTGGAACTTGGTGGGATGGACCCCTGCCTGGTGCGGGCTGCAAGCGGCGGGGGGCGGCGGTGTGCTTGAGCAGATGCATGTGGTTTGTGCAGTATTATTCATTGTGTTTTGTGTTTGTGTAATGCTTGTGCTTGTGCCTTCTTATGAAGGGGTTGGTGGTGAGACTACTCCATCCAGCATCCGAAAGGAACCGGACGCACACACGCACACACGCACACACGCACACACGCACACACGCACGCACGCACGCACGCACGCGCATCAGAAAGCGAGGCGAGGCGAGGTAAGGCGAGTCAAAGCAAGGCAAGTCAAGACAAGGCAGGGCAAGGCAGGACAAAGGAAAAATACCCAACCATGAAAGACAGCGGTGAGAAAACAATGAGACAACAATCCTAGGCATTGAAATATCTTATCATATCATCATATCACTATAAATCGTGAAAGAACAGAATAAACAAGCAAAGAAACAACCAAAGTCAAAACACTACATGCATGCCCCCACATCACACCATCCACCAACACATATTCATACTCAACGGCGCGAAAACAAAAATAAAAAAGCAGAAAAAGTACATGTATCAGAGACAACACATACACACATCACTTACGTACCCATTAACCCTCTCCAACCACTTACTGTATCACATCACACATCTTCTACGTCTGCATGCCCTCCCTCCCCTGACTCCCTCTACCCACCTATTTAGTACTATATACTACTCCATTTCAGATCTCCAATCTCCAATGGCGCCCTGGTCCCCTCTACTCCGGTCCTTCATACAGCATATCGTATTAGCAAGTAGGCAAGTAAGCAAGGTATAGAATGGAGATGAGACGGTGATTTACAGGGTGGAGGGACAAAGATAGTTTCCTGGAAAACTGGTTATTATATTATTACTCGTAGCTATCTATCCATCCACATATGCTTTCTAATTTCGGGGCTTGTGATAAGTAGAGAACGAATGCCAAATTGTTCCTCAAAAAAAGTAAACAGGAATTTCTGAAGTTCGAACCATGTTAAGAATCAATTTGTCTGGCCATCTAGACTGTTTTATACATGACAGGACAGGACGCTCCGGAAACTAAGTGGTGGCTGCTGCTGCTGCGCCCGTAGCGCACGGTATATATAGAAATATATGGCTCAAGCAAAAAAAAAGTTTAGCATCAACAAGAGGTATCATCCGCAGTAAGCAAAAGGACCATGAAAACAGTGCCCGAGTCCAAAACAAAGGAAACAATTTATGTCAAATGTCCCTGTTCACCCCTACCGCGTATGTTATTTCGCCATTCCATATGCTGCATCGGAGTAAATGTGAAGACTCCTGCCCGGTCGATCGCCAAAACTCCGCGATCGCGTCCGTCGCACAAAAACAAAACAAAAGCTCAACGTGCGTCGGAGGTATCTGTCAAAGTAAAGGTGTGCATGGCTTCCACATGCCCCGGTCCAATAGGAGTACACCGTGTACAAAGCAGTAAATATTATGCACAATATGTTGAATCTGCCCGTTCTCGTCGTCATCGCATCATCATCGTCAGTCGTCGAAAGTTTCCGCACATCCAATCAAGACTCCTCCATCAGTGCTTCGTCACCGCTCTCGCGCCACTCGCGGCTACGCTCTGAGAGCTTCTTGATGCCCGCGATGCGCTCTGCCCAAAGACTTTCGCTAGGCGTGCGGAATGTGTATCCGCGTTGACTGGATATCACGCCAATAGCCTGTAGCACAGCCTTGCGCGAATCACGTCCGAAGATCGCCGGGTGGTTCATCCACTCTAAACTGGTATGAAGCTCGGCGTCAAGGGCAAACATCGTGGCCGCGTCAATGCCTGCAGCAGGAGTGAACATGTTCGTTGGGTTTGGCGATTCGCGGCGTTCAAGAGGTTCCGCAACGGGCGATTGGCTCTTGTCGGAACCCTCTTTGTCTTTGGGTGGCTTAGGAAGGCCTGCGGACGGAGGAGGTGGTAGCGGTGGCAAGCCTCCCTTGGCGAGACCTTTAAGTATGCTACGAGTTTCACTCAGGAGGTGGTGTGCACGTTCGTGTTGGCCACGCGATACGAGAGTGAGGGCGCGAGTAAGCATGTCGGAAGTGAGGAGTTCCATTCGACGCTGAACAACAGAAGGATGTGGTGGGATTGGGGGCGTCATAGGCCGGTTGGTGGACTTCGGACGCGATGGTCCGGGCAGAATTGTTATAGCAAGAAGTGATGGCCGTGGGAGATGGGACACTGTACCTTCTCGGAGTATGTCACCGTACATCAGGTCAGCCTGAATAAGAGGGACTTCCTCCACACTAAGAATGCGCTGGTCGTCGGAGTCGACTGGACCGCCTAGGGCCTCAAGTCCGGACACTATCGTCTCCCAAGCATCAGCAGGCAGCTGTTCTGGAGAGCCAGTCTCAGGAGCGATGGCTAATTGAACAAGAATGTCCCGCTTGTCGCCAAAGCGAAGGTCGCCCAGTGACGCTTCAGCATCGCGGCCTGTGGCGCGTTTCGTGATCTGCAGAGCGCCGCTGATTTTAACAAACTTGGCAGGAGACCCTTCGGGTAGACGCAGCTTCAGTTTCACATTTTGATGTGATGTGGTCTGAAGTGCACCGAGATAGCCGGCGGCGCATTCCCGTAGCATCATCCAGTCTTTGACATACGTGTAGGAAGCCTTCGTGCGAGTAGATAGTTCGATCATTGTGTCGGGCTTGTGTGTAAGACCTAAACCAAAGGAGTGAATTGCGACCCTGCGATACGGTCAGAAGCACATTCTTCAAACATCATGTCTAAACAACTTACTTTGCTGCTTCTGCTCGTGAAACAACGAAGTCCACGCTTTCCCCATCCGAGACAGAAGAGTCACTAATGAGCAGAATGCTAGACAGAGGATTCGCCGATTTCCTTTGCATCAGTAGGTCCATAGCAACATTCGCGCCTTCTACCACATCCGCGCGTAAGCTCTTCTGGCCAACAGGGCGAATCGAATCGAGGATTTTAGACCACCCAGTCCAAGACTTGCTCATCATGCTAACCAGCGGTACGCCACCACCACTTGAACCAAAAGTGACCAGACCCATTCTGTCTCTTTCACCGAGGTTGTTGACTAGGAATCGGAGAGTGTCGCGCAACAAAGAGATTTTCAGGCCAGCCATCGAAGAAGATATGGGAATTACTATGATAATATCCAAAGGCACGTGAACGGATTGAGGCATGTGAATGTCTGTTGAGCCCAGGCGTGAATTAGTGTACTCGGTAGGAGCAGTAGCCGTCGATCGAGGTCCATAGGACGAGTGCGTAGATGAATTGCGCTTACTCTTGGATCGATGCAGTTCCTCGTCGTCAGTACCGGAGTTGTCGAGCTCGTAATCAGCGACACGACGCGGTCGTGCGACGTCGCTGTTCAAATTCGTCAAAGCTCGTCGCCAGATATCCAACTGCGACCGGTCCTGGAACTGGAGGTGGAACGAAGGAAGCTCATTCACCGATAAGCTGAGAGTAAGGATATGATCTTCTAGACACGTGTCAGTCAATTGAAACCTTGATGCTGTTGAAGCGTCATGCTCACCTGCAGATGATTCGATCTGTTGGAGGTGTTTCTTTATCAATATTGATCCCTTCAGCGTGCATCTTGGCTTCTTGTTTCCTGACTCATCCCATTGCTGTTGATTCTTCTTCTCCTTGACACATATAAGCATCTCGGAGAATAGGTAGCATTCCAGCTCTTGCCAAGACTGGCGATCTTTCCCCACTCGCACATGTCCATGGAGTCGAAGCTTGCCAAATCGCGAAAATACCAGTCCGTGCCAGTTCTCAACTCGGGAATGAAGGTCTTCAGTGATGGAATCTAGCTCCTCTTGGGTTTCGTACATGTCCTCGAAAGTTGCACGGCTTGGAGCCGGTGATTTTGCACGGTCGTAATCACTCGGGTTCGGAACTGGCATTGGTGGCGCACCACGAATGTCCGCCGGATCTGGTCTCCATTTTCCTTCCACGACTTCCACAGTCACTAGACAAGTCAGACTTTGCTGCTGCCTTGAACGACTAATGGTTGGAAACTCGCTCCGGACAGTGACGGTGGGCGCAGGGATTGGGTTCTTCAGTAGACCTCTGGGGCTCTGAAGAGAGCTTTCCATGGCATGAACATCGTAGTCATGTCTACGAGTACTTCCATTCAACTGCTGATCAGCGTAGTCGCCAGACGAAGTGACAGCGGTTGCACCGCTGTCGTTCCGGTAGTGTTGTTGGCGTGAGGACCCTGTACCACGGCGCTGGACACTCGTGTTGCTGCCATGGGCGCTGTCGCGCTGATTCCGGTACTCGTATGGCATGGAACGCATGGCACCTTCTGACATGCGATCTGACATGCGCGCACCGTGGTCTGACATAGGCTGCGTATCCCATGGCGTTGGTGTAGCCTGTGCGCTTCTGTTCTGGTGATGCTGTTGCTGATGCTCATGATTGGCCTCGGCGGAGCGTACAATGGAGCTAAGCTTCTCTGTACAACTAATCAGTAGGATATTGCGCGACCACGCTAGATAGGGCATACCTAAGTCCAGAACATTACCTCCCCTACTCGTATCCAAGGCCAGTGGGGCACAGCAAGTTGGACACTGTTGCGATTCAAACTCGCGAATGTACTCGTAAAAGCATGCTTCGTGCGAAACATGGCCACATGACAATTGTAGTATTCTTTCTCCGCGCAATGTGTGCTCCAACGGCTCTTCGCATACAGCACACTCAGCTCCAATGAATGTCCTGTCTCTCCTAGTCCTTGATTTTTCCAAATCCATCACCGCCGCCATGCCTCTCTTTGGGAACGTATCACTGCTGGAGTAGGATGCCTTGGAAGTTGAAGGACGGTGGCTCTGCCTCGTGGGGTCGGAATAGTGAGATGACCGTGAGGGTGGTCGGTAACCTGACAAGACGTTGTGTGAGTTATGCGTCGGCCAGAAGTCTGGCATTGGAGGTAGGGAGGGGGCCTCACCACGATCGGACGGAGGGTTCTTAAATTCGACACCCTTGGATCTTTTGGGACGCTGTTTGGGCTTCTTGCTTGGAGCACCTAGTAGACCGAGTTCATGGAGATTGTGCTCAATGTCTTTCGAATCCTGGGATGGTTTGCGGACATAGGAGTGATGGTTGGAGGAAGAGAGGTGGGAACGGGCGCTGGTGTATAGAGACATGCGTGGTGGGAGGGATGATGGTAGTAGAAGAGTGTGTTTGTATGGGGCCTTTTCAGAGGCGTTTCAGCATTGACCGGGAGTTTTTCCAAAGCCAATGCAAGACTATTTTGTTTAGTGGATAAAGTTGCGGGAGGGAGGGCTTGGATACGAGGGCTCCTCCTGGCAATAGGAAAATAGCAAACGGCAGACAAGGTCGAGAAGTGGGAACGGGTGGATGCACGGATGCAGTAGAGCCTGAAGAGGATTGCTGTGTGAAGACGGAGACAGGGAGCGAAGTATGCAAGCGCGGTGCGAGGTGGATAACGAGGTGGATTCGAATGTGAAATGCGTGGTGTGTACGATGTGTAATGTGGTAGCGCGCGTGGTGTAGGTGGGGAAAGGCTAAAGGAAGGAAGGAAGGAAGGTTGGACCGTTGGCGGCACTAAAAGTCTTTGCTCTTTGATGCCCTCGTTGCTGCCCTGATAGCCCGCTGGCCCTTGTCAGGCAGTAGTAGTAGTAGTAGTAGTAGTAGTAGTAGTAGTAGTAGTAGTAGTAGCAGCAGTAATTATACCAAGGTAAGAAGTCTATCAGGATGGACGTTGGACGCTTGACGCTTGACGCTTGACGCCCTAATACCTTGTATGTCTCTGGTCCGCCAGGGTTCGTGGTTTATAGCTGGCCGTTCTTCACTTCTGGGCTGGGGTCAAACAGTGTTGCAGACTGGGGGTGGGGGGCTTTGTTGAACTAAATACCGATTACTTCCATATCATAACATGGGGGCGGGAGAGTTTGACTTTGCTTTTGTGAAATAAATCATCAAGGAGAAGAGCGTCAACAGGGAAAATAGCGACGATCCAAGCTGTCTGGGTGGAAAATTACCTACCCTGCCTACATACTGCTGCAGAAAAGCACTGGTCGGAGAGAAAGCGAGGGGATGGGGAGGGGGGAGGGGGGAGGGGGGGTCCGCCTACCAATCTTCGGGCCAACTAACTTGGGTCGGAGTAGAATGGCACCTCAGGGACAAAGTCAGAACAGGGGTCGATTTGGCTTTGGCGGACCAGCCGTGCATTCATTCATTCATTCACTCATTCATTCTTTCATTCCTCCTCTCATGCGTAATGCGTCTCTCATCACAGCAATAGAAGTCGATTTCGGTAAATGATGAAAGGCGTGTATACTAGCGCTCCTAACAGCCAGCTACGTTTGACATGTCTCTACTCTCCAGGGGTTGACCTTGCCCGTGCTGTCTGTCTTATATTAGTTAGATGTGTGTATATAGACGTGCATTGGTCTGATCCGGTCCGTCAGTCCGTGCACGTCCGTCCGTCCGTCCGTCTATCTCGGGTCCGTTGAGCAATGAGGATCGCATGCTCTCATCATGCCTTAGGCAGATTGACTACGCGTCCTCTCCCACGTCAGGTTGGAATAGTATTTGCATTTTCTACTTGCATTGATTCTCTAATTCTTCGTGATACTCTGTTATCTTTCATGCAAGCGCAGCACTCGACGCGAGGCAAGTGAAAGTATAAGCACCACCATCACCGCCATCACCACCACTAATAGTCTAATGCCCAACTTTTCCAGGCGTAGGAACCCAGCCTGCAACCCAAATGACTGGCCTAGACGCGCCATCTATTCCCAAAAAGGCTATGCCGCAATTCGTGCACGCACACACACACATACGCACCATCCAACCCTGTATCTTCTCGCTTCTGGACACCAAGCTTGCTCATCTACAGCCAACAAAGCCACCCGACCTCATTCCCGCTCCATAGTCAGCCATCGCGGCTCCATTTCATCTATGCTAACACTGTCAGCTTCTCCCTGCACCTTGGATCAGTTCCTACAACAATAGATGCATTCGTTCATCTGCGACAGAAACAGGAGAAACATGGCTGAAGCAATCCAGCTGAGTCAGACCGAACGATCTACGTTCCTCCTCCTCTATGCTGAAACCTGACACAACAGTGACACCTCAGACAACCATCAATATGGCATACAGGTCTGCATAACTTCCCGTCTCAGTCGTTCAGTGACTAGACACAGTCACCTTTCTGGTTTCGCTACTCCCAAACGAGACCAGTTGGAACCCAAGGCGACGACGCTTGTTGGCATATTTGGCTGGCCAGAGCAGCCTTCCGAAACGCCTTGTCCCAAAGCGAACTGGTATTCGGATCACCACACTATATCCGTACCCCCAGCCAATGGGATTTGGATGGCTACATTTTTCAGAGGGCAGATGTGCTTCTCGAAGCCTGAATAGTGCCCGTGCTGGTGACAACGCGGGGATGTCCACCTACGACACTTTCGCTGCGTCGTCAGTCGTTCACTTCATGTCTAGGTTGCACCCAGGAAGAGAAGCATCAAGACTCCTCTCTCAATGATGATCGGTCTCTATTATCGAGTTAATGTCAAAACTGTTCTTCTGCGTCCTCACTTTCACCAAACTTCCCTGCTTCCACTACTAGTCTTTTCTCGTGAGTCGGATGCCGCTAGCAATATCATTCGTCTTGGTCCCTCACGTCCGAGTCATGACGGTCTTTCAGCATTTGCGCCATTAAACTTAAAAATCACATTCAGCCCTACGGGTCCTATCTTTGCTGCCTGCTTCTGCCTGCTCCCGCCTGACGAGCTATGTTTGCCACAGTGCGTTCCAGAATCACCATCCAAATGATATTATTCGCATCGTATGAGAGTCAGTTCTCTACAAACGACATGCATTCAGAGCGGATCAACATGGCATGATTTACCACAATCAATCACGAAGGTAAGCCGATCCGGGTATCGGGTAAATTCGCTGCCGGATCGGCAAACAGGACCTTCGCAGCTCGTCATGATCTGCATTTGGGTACCGGCGTTCGCACCAGGACAGTTTCGACTCGACACCCAGTCGTGTGATTCAGATTTAGGTTTCTAGAATATCGATCATACGCCGCACGCGAAAATATTGACTTCGCTGAAAGACCAGATTTCGAGACACTTGTGCATTGAGTCCCAAGAAGTTTCATTGGCCAGCTTGCATCCCTCAAGGCGGTCGACTGCAGTCAAGTAACGTTACCATCGCATGCAGCGTCTTGACATGCAAGATTTGGAAACTCAGTCTGTCATCATGACTGGACAAACCTTCGAGGGGTCGCTCTTCCTCAAGCCGTGCACATTGTGAAGTCTGAATAAGCTTGATGGCTGCCTACAACAACTAGCCAACGGCAACAGTCCGAGGCATTTTACTGGGATATCCTGAGTAAGTTCGATTGGCTACAGCTGTCAATATTCTCGACAGCCTCAAGTGGGCTTTATTTACCAGTTTGCAGGCCGAACGCCTAACGACGACGTGCTTGGAAATACCTACAGCCGAAACCGTCATCGAGTAGGACCAGTAAGAATAGGTATTGGCACCTAACTTTGGGGATACGAAGCCACAGCTACCCATCGTCTCGGTCCTACATATAAGGCTTCCCATCCTGAACTTTAAATCCTATCTACATCGTCCTGAAGGCGGCTACATGTAGATCGATCTTAGGCATCAATCGTCAGCACTTGGCGAACCTTGATCAGCATCGTGAATTGGGGTTTGCAGGCGCAACAGTATCTATATTTGCTATGCATTCGCACAACCACCGCGGAGTCTATGTGATCACATGCGTGCTACGATAGTCTCGCCAGTAATTAGCATCTTGATGTCATAAATTTAGCAGCATTTGTAATGCTTCAAACGCACTTTCAGCGGACTTCACGACAGCCTCAACTCAGGATACTCAGCTGTGCCGCAGGGCAGCAGGTCTCAGATTCCACGTGCTCGTCGCGCGGCTTAACCCTGCCGTCTACAAAGCCCCCAATCTAATTATTTTCCGAACATAGGCTTCCATTGAAAACGAACTTCTGTAAGCCTCGAGGTCGATCTCGAAGCTGCTCTCGCCCTCTGCCGAAACCCACGATGACGCGCTAAACCCTTGCAGACACGGCAACACACCCTCAAAGCAGCAGGTCTCTGGACTCTGGACTTGGGAACTGTCCATCAACTCATCTCTCCTCCTAGCCATTTACCCTAACTACCAAGCAGACAAATACCACCACAACAAACTTGCTCTATCTCGCCTCTGGAATCCTCATATTCCACATATGGACCCTGCTCCGACCGTCCGTCCAGATCGCTCTCCCCCCACATCTCATCTCATCTCCTTTATTTCCCTTCCTTCTAGCGGATTCTAGCGTTCCGCGTATCTCACCATTTGTCGAAACCGTATTGTAGCACTCTCTCGCTCCATCTATATTGTACACCCTTGCACCGCGCGATGAGTCGTGACTCACCATAGACGTCATGATATGTCTGTCCGTCCACGTCTAGGCCTAAGACTATATCAATGGATGTCCTTCCCGATCGAGCCGCGCAACCCGTGGCTTCGAATCGCTGGAATTACTCACCTTAGTGCAGCACCGGAGCGACGCCGTGTGGGATCTTTAATCGTACCACGTTAGGGTTATTGAGACCGGGGCGAAATTTGCGGTCGTAAGTAAGGGCATAGCATGAAGGCGCAACACGGGCTGGTCTACGGACGCTGTGATGGGCTAGAACCATATTGTGCTTGGATGGGTGGATGGATGGACGGACGGGCGGACTTCTATCCAGACTTGTGTGTTTGGACCTGTGGTTCGGGACGCGCGTGGTGGCTGGCTGGCTGGCTGTCTCGGAGGTTTAAAAACCCCTTTGGTATAGATAAATCCAAGGCGCGCATCGAGTGTAATCCTGTGGCACTCCAATGGACCAGACGGATGTCGCGTGTTTGAACTGCGTCGTCGCGTGCGTTATGCGCCAACTAGCTCTGCCATGCCACGCTCCGGCGCCCGATCTGGGGTTTCAACATGTTACGTACCTTCTGTATAAGGGCAAATGTGCGAAACAGCCAACTCAAAAAAACGTGATGCGTCATTTTTTTTCCTGGGCTTGTTTAGATGCGGGACGTGGAAACTCGGGACTTGCGTTTTCCCTGTCCACATTCCAATATCTTGCAAACACGGCACTGTGGCAAACAAAACCACCGCGGTGGAATCATGCGTTTCGATGCGATTCAGGGGGAAGTTGTGTTGGTCTGGGGGGAGGGGGATTTCAAACGTCACACGTCTGGTCTGTCTGTAATCCATACCACCCGCACGGGCTTCAGGTCACTGCTTAGTTCGATGTGTCGTCGAGATGCTATTTCTGGAGTGTAGAGAGGTTTGTTAGGTAGGTGCAGGATTCGGTAGGGTGAGCGAGTGCGCGAGTAATGTAATGTGCTATAATGTTGTATAACGAGGCAGCTAGAAATCGCGTGATGCGCTGCGTGTTTCAGGGTTGGACTAGGTGGCGTTTGTGGAGGTGTGATGTGCTGGACATGGATAGAGAGAGAGAGTGTGTGTGTGTGCTGCTGTAGTGGATCCATGCATATGACGTTGGGGTATTTTTGGGTGCTGAACGAATGCGGAGTAATATTCTTTCTTGCTTTTTTCTTGTACGTTAGTCTAGAGGTGATGTTGTCAATTTGAGGTGCTATAAGTGTGATAGTATCGTACCGCGTGTTGAGTGTATGCATGTGTGTATGTAGCTATATGAGCTTGATATGAGTGTCGTCGACGCTGCAAATTTCTGTTTGAATGGCTTTTTGTGGTTGTTCGTCATCATCAAAGAACGATATGGCCCTACTCGCAATATGACTCCCGATCCAGCGGCCTTTTTCCAGGATATTGACATCGAGATAAAGAGAAACTTTGATATGGGTAGAAGCTTGAACCTGTTCGAGACTACTGCCACGTTGTAGCAATGCAAAGCTAAACTATCGTGTCTGGATATTTTTAGACGACTAGGGTCTCGTTATCACCGCTTTTTACCAGCTCAATAATGTATGTATTACCATGCTGATTGGCTAGGAAGATGTCTTGTTCGGCAAAACACTGTAAAAAAAAGGTAATTCATCTTGCATCCAGGGTCTTCTTGAGAAAGATTTACACACCGCTCAACAAAGCCACCATGCATGCACTCAAAACCTTATACACCAGTTTTCAGACCCGCGATACCTCATCCATACCCTAAATATAGCCCACACTCTACGAAACCTCAACCACACGCTTGACCCACCAGCACACCCTTTCCCTCCACCCCTCCACCCTCCACAACATCATCGACCACATTTTCCACCACACCCCTAGTAGTAGACCCCGACCCTCGCCGCGTCTTCACCCACAACCTAACCCCTTCCACCCCCAGTGCCAGCGTAAAGAATACAGCGCACAGAATCAATGGAAATCGTAGATTGTGTGTTGCGTTTTGCAGAGGCCCGGTTGCTACGTATGTGACCCATGTTGTTGCACAGCTTAGTACTACCTGCATGCCGTACCACATCACCTCTTCTCCCGCCGGGATGTGCTCTGCGTAGAGAAGGCGAAATGTGGGGTTGACGAGGGCAGACGAGGTTTGGCTTATGAGGAGCTGCGTGTAGAATTCCCAGCGATGCTGTGTTTTGTTTTAGAAAAGGGGAAATTCTATGGATTTGGGTTGAAGGGGGGAAAGGACGAGGATGAGGAAAGGGTTCGACTGACTTTGTATCCAAACGCATCTTGTCGTGCGATGCCGATGATGCCCCATATCGGCACGAGGAGGATGATGGCATAGCCCGCCACGAAGCATTTTTCCAGCGTGAACTTCCACCTGCGGTGTGCGGCGTAGAATGCTGTTGTGCAGATGACGAAGAAGATGTATGTGGCGAGGGAGTAGAGGGAGTACTCCAGTGTGTTTGGGGTGAGCTCGGAGTAGTATAGCTGACCGATGATGCTTGCTGTCGCGAAAGTTGTGTCTGTATATACCGTGTATGCGAGCAGGAGGAGCAGCATGTTTGGGTTGGCGAGAAGGGCTCTGAAGGGCGTGAGAATCTGCAGGAGGGCGGTGTACCATTTGTGCGTTGCGGGATATGGTTTTGTGGGCAGCTGTGGGAGGCCGAGCCAGGAGGGCAATGCGCCGGCGAGTGTGATGCATCCGACGATTGTGGACACGAGGAGGCCGGCAGATTGTTGGGATGTCAGAGGGAGGGTTGTAGAGAGGATAATTGTAACGACGAGGATTAGGATGCCTGCGATGTTGTTGGTGAGCATGGCGAAGATGGACATTGTGAAGCCGTATGCGCGCTCTGCTTTCGCTTTCTCTGTAACTGCTTTACTTGAGTGGTTGTTCAGTGACACATTCGTCTTCGAGTCTGGTGAGATCTCCTCGTCTATATTGCCTGGAGTCGCTGTACGCATACAGTGCGGTATATATATGTTGAGCAATGCAATCAGCACCGAGCTGATAATTCCAAACAAGACGGACAGTGCGAACAATGAGTTGAAAGCTCTCAACGTAGAGATACGAAGCCAGTAACTTGGCACTGTGACTGCGCCGTAGACAGCAATCATAATACTTATAAGCCAGGTCTTGTATCCTATACTTCAAGTTAGAGCCTCCGTACTATCAAATGGAGTGTAAGTCAAAATGGCGTACTCCAGAAATCAGCATAAGCTATGATTAGAATAGTAACGACTCCACCAAGCGCAAAGGTCAGCGCATTCATGTACAGAATGGCGGCATTGAGATCGATACGTCCGCTACCCCAAGGAACGACGCAGTATGTTGAGCAGACCTGGCCATCGATATCAGTTCCTATTGCGAAACCGGTGACTTGCAGTTGATAATTCGAATATATGGCGAAAGGCGTGAATGCGAAACCGACGATGAAGTTCGTGTACATAAACGTGTGATATGGAATATCACTCTTCCACCATGTTACTAATCTAGTCATCGTAGATAATCAGACTGCGCTGTGAGATGAAAAAATCTGGAGCGAGGAGGGGACTATAGATTGGATTCGGGAGAGGTGTGGTATCCTCAAGTTGGCTAGCAGTGACACTGATATGCTCGCGATGTCTACTACCACTTGGAACGCCTTGGTCGTTCCTCCAGCGAATCAGCATCAGATTGTTTCCATAGAAGGATTTGTCTTTACTGTATTTGATAGCTGTAAATGCCACACAAGTTCTGGAGCCGCAGAACATGGTCAAGGCGAGCAAGTTTGAGCAAGTATCCCCACAGACAGAAATTATCCAAAGCTCTTCTCGACACACGATAAGAATGATGGATTAGAGGAATAATATCAAAATTTGCAGCTGGAAATACTTCTTTATGACCAATAATTATCTTTGGACGCCTTAGCAAATCATTCATCCCTCATTTATCTTCGCTAAATGGCTCTCAGAGCTTAGAAGTCGTCAACGTAAGGTACACCATAGATGTCCGTAAACTCGGCCGGAGGCAAAGTGTACGAGTCCCAGGCCTTTGTCGCAATGACATCCGTCAACTGCTCTTCATCCACCGCAGTCACATCACTATCATCGTCACTATCATCACCAGGCCCTACAAGTGAGAGATTGAGCTCTGCCCGGAGCCAGGCTGCAAACTCAGCTCTTTTAGCGTTGCGCTTCGAGACTCGAATGTCGGAACGATCCCACGGCCAGTTGAAATAATTGTCCTTGTCCCATACACTCTTTACTTTTCGGGCTCTAGCACTGTTCTCACCGTAGTAGGCGACGTCATGGTCCTTGGCGATGGCAGCGTCAGAGAAGTTGATAAATGATGCTTGCCCATTCATGGAGTATGGCTTCAGAATGTCTTTCATTCGAAGAAGAAAGCCAGTGGCGTTCTGCTCGAGCCATTTGTCGGTCCACTTGATCGTGATGTAAGTGTGAAAAGTGCATTCACGCCAAGGATAAGCAGTTTCTGTTCGGCTGAAAGTGGTAGCCTTGCCACCACTATGAATAAAAGTAACCCAGAACGAGGCGTTGTCAGTCTTGAACTCGTCCTTGAAGAACGTCTGCTGCGCTGTGACAATGCGAATAATTTCCTCCATAGCCCTGGCGTCCTCTTCGCGGTCGGTGCGGAAGCAGAAAGAACTGTATTTCTGGTATGCATTGTCTCCTGGACGAGGTAAGGAGTTCCTGGCTTCCTCGTCCCACATGAGGACCAGTGACTCATAGAGGAATCTCGTGGATGGCTCAGGCATTGAACGTCTTTTGAGTTGCTTGATGAGATTTTCCTGATCCGCATTTTCTAGTTGCAGTTTGACCCTGTCCTCTGGACTCAGGCTCCCGTCAAGTGGCTGAGGCGTCATCTTTTCATCTAGCAATTTATCAAATTCGTCTTTGGGACCATCATAGTAGATTGTAAATCTGATGCCCATCTCTCCTTTGCCACCTTTGACATCAAGCATCCAATTGTTGTCGATAGTCATTTCTTTCGGCCAATCAGCCATGAGGATCTGTTGCATCGTTCGATGGTGGCTGACGCCTGCTGTGGGTGTCCACAGATATCTTCCAGCCACGACGTTCTTATTCTTCAACTTTTTGACGTCCATCTTGAACTCTGTGACGACGCCGAAAGTGCCGCACCCGGCTCCGCGTAGTGCCCAGAAAAGCTCGGCTTCTCTGGACCCAGGCGGGCTGTCTTTTCCGACTGTGACTTTCTTTCCATCTGCAGTCACGATGGTGGCTTCAATGACAGTATCAGACCCCATGCCGAAGCTTCGTGTAAACGGCCCGAGTCCGCCACCCAGAAGGAATCCGCTCACGCCCACAGATGGACATCTGCCCCCGTTAATGACATATCCCCGATGGCTCCCGTTGATGAGTGTCCTATAAACATCTCCCCATCGTGCTCCGGCCTGGACTTTGACAGCTGTAGGGGTCTTATCTTTGCTGAGCTGCAGTTTCACCGCTGTCATTCGCTTAAGATCAATCAGGAGACCGTGATCAGCAGTCGAAAATCCAGTGTACGAATGGCCACCACATTTGACAGTAATATCTTCGCCAACATCCCTCGCCTGTTCAACGATGTACTGGACATGCTCTGTCGTTTCCGGCTGTACAACGCATTCGGGCCTTGTAAAGCGGTAAAGAAGGTTGGCTGTGGCGACGGAAAGCTCATACTCTTTCTCGCCTTGGTTAAAAGCCGGAATGCCTTTCTGTTGAAAGTCATGGACTAGTTGGGCGCAATGCGACATGGTAAAAAACAACTTAGCTCTCCGGCTGTCGAGCGAGTCTGGGATTTCATCGTATCAGCGTGGAAGCGTACGATTTCCAGTATTTATATGCGGCTTTGACTGGAATGCCCCTCAGCTGAACCCATATCTGTGGCGGACCCAGCTCTATGCGGGTCGTCAAATACTGCATCACACACTAACGTGTTCAGGACAGATTGGTAGTCTGGACCTGTATTCTGGTAGAATTTATGCGAGTCTATAACCTATGAGCCAGCTGTTCTTGCTCGCGGTGTGCGTTTCTGCACATCATGGTATAGCACGGAGGAGAAAGAGTGAGGCTACGCGATGGACACAATATGAAAACCAAAGCGCCATGCTGACTTAGCATAATGCTAACCCTAATAGGTTAGATGCTTCTCGCTCGAGGACGCGTTCGACTTTCACATTCGCGTCTAAATAATTGTTCCGCGTTTTGAAAGTCGAATCGCCTTCGCTTGTGTCCTCTGTTCATCGGCTGTACATTTTGATTTCGTGTTATACGCGAGACCATGTCGTTTCGCAAGGCCTGTAGATCCATCCCTAGCCCGCAGATCCACTTGATGGTTTGAACGATTTGAAACAGAGTTCCAGATTGCATAAACACGTGCATGCGCTTGACGCATCACCGGATTTTCGGGATACAAGTCAACTGGAAGCTGTATAGGATTGGTTATTCATATCTTTCAGTACAGCATACGACCTTGGATCCTGATTCTTTTACAGTAGCTGCCGGTACACTTTGTATGATTAAGCTGAACCGGAGACGAATCACTACCGCATGATTCCCATGAAGCCACAATGCCAGATAATCTCAGGTAGTCGGTCGATCCCATTGCTGCCGTTGTTGCATGCGTCGGCCCCAGCTCTTGCGAGGCAGTATTTGCATGCCCACTCTATGTCCTCTCTTTTCGTCAAACTGATTCTCTCCCGCTCTGTCTCAATGTCAATGACCGAACTTAAGTCGTGTATCTCCTTGCCCTGTTCGTTCTTGCTGGCATGATTGCTCTGTCCATTCGAGCTCAGAATCTGTTTGGAAGAGATTGCGGTAGTCCCATCCTCGTCAAAGATGGCATCATCGAGAATGCTGAACTGATCGATTGTGATGGACATGAATGCCCGTATCTCACCAGTTCTAGGCGTCTATCCACAAGCAGTTAGGCTGTGCTGGGCAAAGAATTTGATACAGAGAAAGTAAAGGAAAACAACTTCATTTTTTGTATCTTCTGTGATACACGCACGGCGACGAGTTCGGAGAAAGAGGCGATGGCGAATTTGTACCTCCTTGCTTTATTTACGGTGCGATTGATTGTTGAGAGACATGACAGAGCTCTTTTTGACGAAAAGAACATCTTCTGGTGATGACATGTAAAGCAGACCTCAAAGATTCATGTATAGTATACAGGGTCATCTGTCCATCTGTGGATTGCAGACGTCGCTGAGGCATATTTCGGACTATCAGAACCTTGTGGCTACTGGACCAACATTATTACAGGCTAAGCTATGTAGACAGCAACAGCGCTAAATGATCTACAAGAAGATTCAAGCATGGCTCATTACTCTATCTCTAGATGGTCACTAGTATGGACGCGTTACAGAGCACTTGAGCGACATGTTTCGAATCATGGGTGATTATTTCTGAATACCAAGACTTCCTGCTCTTGGGCGTCCCTCTATAATTCAGGTCTACTGCTATCATTCTATTTAGAGATTCTGCTGAAGTACATATGTTGATCCAGGTATTGGTGTATCCTTTTTCGTGATGTTCATTTTCGATCCACTTGCTCTATCCAATGAAACGTGTTGCCCAATTCTCAACCAATCATGGTTTTCCGTCTGCTCGGTGGATAGATCGGGTATGACAATTGAGATGATACAATGCTGAATGCAATGGTAGCTCTGCCGCGTTCAAATCTAGTCAGATCTCTATATGGCGTGGGTATAAGTCTTCGCATGGTTTGAATGTCTCTCCCTTCTTCCTCTGGTCACTGGCTTCTGCAGTATGCTCGGCCCCCTTTCTCGGACCATTGCGAAGTTCCAGTAGCATTAAATTCAACACCAACATAGTAATCCTCTCACACTGACTCTCACTCCAGGTCAACTGTTGCCTTCGTCGATCATGTCATTGCACATCTCGTACGCACAGTGTGGCATTGGAGATTGGTAATTGATATGCGTCATGTTTATCGGTTCTCGATTGTCCGGCCCTTACTAGCCCATTTTCTCGAACATTCGTGTTTCGAATGCTTCATCGCACACGAGCTCACATACGAACGACCCTGGCAGCCGTAGAGGTATGTCCGCAGATGCGGTTTGGGTAATAGAGCAACCTGGGAAGCCAAGACTTACCAGTCATAGCAGTCCGAATGTTGCAGTATGTGTGGAAATCATGTCAATGGGCTTGCTTAGACTCGCCACCTTTGTCGTTTTTCCAAGAGCCGGCATAGTGATGCGTAATCAATTGACGAGGGAGCAGCTCTTCTTCTTCAGGCTTGTATGTATTGCATGACGCCGCAAAAGATCGTCCGGGTAACACTAGAACGTCACCAATCATTTTTGGCTGCAGTAGCTCTTGGATTTCTTCCTGTCCAACAGGCCTGTTCAATATCTTTCCAAGGCTCTTGTAGATACCAAATGTCATACGTCTTGGTCCAGTGAAGTCCACAACATCTCCTGTCATAGCAAGAGTCAAGTTCTGAAGCGGCACATGATGCTCTTCTACTTTTTCTTCCAGCGCGTGGACTATGTCATCGATGATTTGCAGCATATGCGGTGACCGGGGCCTTGCCATAATAGTCCATGATGCGAACTGGCGAAGAATGGGTCTATCATATCCCATATCAAATTCCCATCCGACGACAAGTCCAGCTTTGTCTCTATGTTCCAAAGGTATCCACTCGTCGATGTAGTTATCCGCTTCGCAGGAGACATCAAGGTCGGACCATACACCACCCTGATCCCACAGCAGTAGATAACGTAGTAGATCAGCCTTCAGAATAGGAATTGAAATGTTGAGGTAGCTTTCGACAATGTCGGGGCGTGACGAAGAAAATGTCCTCTGGACATACTCATCTGCAGTCTCGTCCGTCATGAATTCAACGCGGTACTCCGGATTGTTTGTGATGCAGGTACTAGTCCATGCCCGTGTATCGTCGTTCATACCATTCGGGCCCAGTTTGTACCATAAGATTTTGGGGATATTGTGCTCTGTATGTAGCTCTGCATGTGGCTCTGTATATGGCTCTGCATGTGGCTCTGTATGTAGCTCTGTATGTGGCTCTGCATGTGGCTCTGTATATGGCTCTGCATGTGGCTCTGTATGTAGCTCTGTATGTGGCTCTGTATGTGGCTCTGTATATAGCTCTGCATGTGGCTCTGTATGTAGCTCTATGAATGGCTCTTCATGTGGCCCTGTAAGGTATGGAACGGAGCGCGAACCAATGCTCCACAGGCATAGTAGTAGGACAGCGCATGCGATGGAGAACGTGTAGTTGTTGACGTATCTTGAGTGAAACATCTGTCGCAAGGACAGCATGTCTGTTCAAATGCTTAAAGAGAGAGATTCAGGAGAGTTGTTCGAGGGTTTTGAGGCTTGGGGAGCCGGATCTGAGCATCTGAGATTTTTGGCATTGAAGGAGGTCTGGCGCTGGAGCTGCATCTAAAATTGGAGCCGCCAACGTCCCACTATATACTTGAGCCCTGCAGGCATTCCTTAACTTGTCATGCATGTGGGTGCGCCTCATCCAGGGATCGTGTTTCTTTCTTACCTGTGTTGTATGAGCTTGCACATCAGAATATTTCGCAGTCGTATGAGTAACTCTAACCTACTAACCTTCTACTCAGGTGTACAACTATCACGGTCTACTAGGAATAATTGCCCTCCGCTATTCTTTATATGACCCAAGACCTTTAATCCGAACCCTGACTCTTAACATACTCAAGGAAAGGAAAAGTTACAGAAAGAATCAGGCAAACATACGTGAAAACCAACGTGAGATCCACGTAATATTGCTGAGTGGGGCTGAGTAGTGCCGACAGATCAGAGCTTTCTAACTAATCAATCCTAAATTTAATAACGCTGCTACGCCCCAGCCCCACCCGTAGTATCACTATCTATAAGATGGACCTTCGAAGTTTTCCAGTCTGTCATTATCATAATCGATGTGTTCGTGTGGTCTGAGTGTACCAACTTTACACTACGAATCTACGCCATATAGGGCCTTGATCACTCTGTATTTTGTATGAATTTCGATCAGGGTCTTGAACGGTAAAGAATCGAGGAATAGCTTTGGCGCCGAACAAGCTGCAGGACTAATCCTTGCTCCCCCTCGGCCTTTGATTCGGCACTTTAGCGCTGGGAGATGAGTGGCCTAGTCTCATGCATACATACAGTGGGTGTCTCAGCCTTACCTCACGGTGTGCGACAGCATTCTTAGAGCTCATTTCGAACATATAATACATAATTCATACAAAGAATCATTCTACTCAACATAGGTAACAGCTCAGAGATATTATAAAAGGGAAACTATACAGTTGAACTTCATGAGAGCCGCATGAAACGACCTTGAGTTATGGGAAGAACACAACCTGTTCATTTTTCCTGATCGTGTTTGCCCTACATGGAGCCTACTGCATGGTCAGCAAATTTTTACGCCACCCGCAAGAGCGGCTACCGAAATGTTAGACTGTTTCGACAACCGCCCGCACGAAGTTCACTAAATGAACCGTGCCCCATGGCATGATAACATACTCTGACATGATATATGAGCAATCTGTACCTCAGCTGTAATTACTACTTGTTTACATTGTTTTCGTTCCCTCGAAGCGTCACTACTATTCTCCTAGTTCCCATTCCAACATATTGCTCGTGTCTTCTTCGATCTCTGAGTACCCTCTCAATGTAGTTATCGTGACACTGTGGATAGCCAGGTTAACATGTAATATGCAATTCATGAACCCCCTGCTGTTGATGAAGCTGGTGATTTCAGCCGTAGTCCTCCTTATACTACAGACTCAACTACAGTCATAATTTGGATGTAAGGCGAAGAAGGCAAGGGGGCATCTCTGCATCCCTAAGTCTATCGTAGCTAACTGTAACAACTGGAGATTGATATGGATCTCAGGAATACTTCACGCATATGGTTGCCTTCATCTAGAACGTTTAAATTTGACTGAGTGACTCTGATGTGTAACAGAGGGTGCAGTTGGTGTCACCAGGTACAATTGCCTTGTTGAAACAAGGCAAGATCTTTCAGTATCATAAATGTTTTACTTGAGTGCCTAGAGACTAAACTAATGTGGTATACTCTCATGTAATATAGATGTATCTTTCAGGAAGGCATCGCCACAACCGACTCAAGAGCCACTATCTCTACCTCTTGACGGAGACACTGAAAGTTAGACGGCTTCGTCATTGCTCATATTGTCCAGTCTCACGAGTAGCGTGCTCAGTCCACCACCAACTATAAGCATTCCAATGCCTACTAGCAACACAACTGACGAATTCAACACACCAAAGATCAGCCAGCCTCGGTGGCTCAAATAGTCCCCCACTCGGAGCATCACAAGTATTAAAGGGACTGTCGGCAGAAATATAAACCCGAATTGAACTATGAGTGGGCATTGCAGGCGCGTTTGCTTTGTGTTTCGTAGCTGGTTTCGTTCCCTAACGACGACGCAGCAAAAGAAGCTTTGCTACTAGGGCTAGATACTACAGTCTTAATGTGGGCTACTAGAAGCGAAGTCTTTTGGTTGCAGACAACGTTCAAGCTCTACTAAGATCGCCAGTGGAGATAGGTGATGAACCAGGCATTCACTGTGTAGTCGTCTTATATGTATATATAACTACCTACTAAGATTAAGCACAAAGGTACGCATGGAAGGAGGACAACAAGAACGATGGAAAAACTTCAGCACAAGCGATCCAGATGGGCAACTACTCAATCACGACACATACATGCACACAGGAGTTTTACTCAAGACAGTACTATCTGACAATGAGTACTACTTACCTGTTACTCTTCTATATTGACCTTTACTCTATAATATACCTGATTATCCTTGATACCTCGGACTCCCGATATCTACTCTCTACAAATATACCGTCCATCCCTTGGGCAGGACAGATATGTTACAGATCTTACTGTCATGCCTATTAGTCTCGGGATATAGGATAAAACAATGGCTGTTAACTAGATGATTTTTGTAGTTTATCCTAGAAGGAGGACATCGGTACCCTGCATGCACCGCGAACTGATGAAAAATACGTATATATTCTGTCACATCTCTGGTGTCGAGAGGCAAAAGACTTCATATAACAACAGGACTATTCCATTTGCGGTAATAATAAGACATTATGCTAACCGCTAACCCGAGCTTTGCTCAACAATTTATTTCAGGCTATGCAACACGACCAAGTAAACAAGATACTCAGCATATTCTCATCGTAAAGCATCATCATATCTACAACCCACATTCACCGGCTGCAACCTCCTCGACGCCAGCCTCGACTCTCCCAAGTTGTGCCGCCTGCCCATTCGTCAACGTGTTCATCGCGGCTTGCGCAATATTGAAGCTGCCGTCGGTCGTGCCGTCTACAGCGAGGACGTTCACGCTTTGAGAGCCGTAAGTGAGTTTGTAGCATTTGCCGCACTGTCAAAAAACATCAGCATTTCTCCAAGCATATATCCATGACGAGAGCAGAGGGAGAGGAGAGAGATGGGTGAAGGATACTCACGTTAGCCGAGTTCCAGCTTTGCACCGGTCCTGCACCACCCACGTTGGGGAATTTAGGTACTTGGCCGAGAGTCGTCCAGCCGTAGCGTGTGATGAGACCATTTGCGCCGTCGGAACATTGAGTGTTGGCAAGAGGTGTGGAGGAGGAGTCGTAGACATTGTCGAAGGAGACGGAGACAGCGGTGGCAGAAGCCGCGAGGGCGAGGACGGATACGAGAGAGAACTGCATTCTGATGTTTGGGCGGTAGTTGGGATGATGACTAGGTGTGTATTGTGTTTTCTGAGAGGTGCTGTAGTGATGATGGATGATTGATTGCAGAGTTTGTTGATGATGAGATATATTTCACGATGAAGGACCACAGCTTTATATATCACTACAGTACCTCCTTCCTTGTGCTTCATTTCCGTGCTCTCGAAAGCATCAGCTGTTAGAATATCCACCAAAACAAACGACCAAGACCAGAGACACCCAATACGGCAACCTTAGGTAAGGTTCACCCACGCAGAAGCCTTGCCTAGTAGGTGTGTCATACGTCATAAATTATTGGATGTCGCAGCTTAACAGGTTTGCGTCGTGAGACTCCGCTACCAGACCGCGCCATTAGAAGCATTAGGGATGGTCAAGTGCGATCCATGTGCGTCGTCGATAGCCGTTGCAAGGAGGCTGAGGAGAACGGCTCAGTTGGGTCATCGGAGTCCACGTGAGAATCTTGAGAGGTTGACGTTGCCAGGCCGCCAAGGCACCCCACAGTTTGTAAGGGGAGATCGACGTTGACAGCGCTATTTTTGGGTTGCTAGGCGGCCGGCGCTTTATTGATTGCCACGGCTGGAGGGTTACACGTAACGCGAAGTCACATCGGACTGCCGCCATGAGCGAATTCTCCGTGGCCTGAGCTGGTGACTTGCAGGTATCATGACGAAGTCTTGCACTGCCATGATCTGGTTCGCCACGGATCGCTGAAGAATTACGAAGCAGCGTGAGCACTAGCTAGCCCATCCACTGTAATGGGATGGAAATACTTTATTGATTGTCATTGTCGTGTACCAAAACGATATAGACAGGTCTCTTTACTGCGCAAAAGAACTTGTACTCCGTTCCGATACACCGGTGACCATGGCTCCGGTATATCGTGCCGAGTCGTACCGTCCCCTGCGGCTCTCCGGCAAATATAATACCTCCAAAGTCCCGCGGTTTCGGTGTATAATACCCCAGCTTCTATAACCCCGTTGGGCATCTTACGCTCTACAAAAACCACGCAACGACACCGGCAAACAGTGCAAGGAAGGTTGACGTTCCAACCTGCCCATTGGCAGCAGTGGCCGCATTTGAAGTCGCGCTTGGCGCTGCCTCTGTTCCACTCGGGGTGCCTGAGCCTGAGGCTGCAGGAGTAGGCATTTCTGATGGGCTGGGTATAGCTGATGGGCTAGGTGTTACTGACGGATTGTCTGCCTCGTCGTTGTCAGACAACATGCCGCCAGCTACCATCGCTCCCTCGGGTCGTACATTTCTTGGTGCTGTCGCAGCTGCCGAAGAGTACGCGTCGATGGTGTTATCACCGTCTGATCTATCAATCTGTCAATCATGTGATGCAGAGCATACAAAAGTGGTTCATACGGGATATTGATTCCGCCAACCATGCCACTCTGGCAATGTTGCGCAGTCGTGCAGTAATACCAGATTGGGTCCGTGTTGGTCACGTCAATGGTGAACTGCTGCGTAGCCTCTGCATCGAGGTTTGTATTGTCCGTGAAGTTCAATCTGCCACTGTAGAAGCCACCATCGCTAGGTGTGCAAGGGCTCGAAAAGGCGCCTTGAGCTACGTCGTGATCTGGGTAGAACGTAAAGCGGACTTGATCACCCACTGCCGCAGTCACAACTTGAGGGTCGAACTGAAGCTGCCGATCATCACCAACAGTGACGTCGTGGAGTTCAGCGAGGACGACTGGTACAGCAGCAGCGATGGCGTAAGCGTACTTCATGTTGGGAGATATATTCTGGTAAGGCTGTGAGGCTGATGATTGGTCAATTGACTAGCTGATACTGAGTAGATCTAGTATTGATGGGTCGAGCACAATTGAGCAAGTTTGAGAAGAACGATAATTGAGTGGGACATGTGGGAAGGCACAGCTACTTAAGGACGATGTCTCGCTGTCATCATCTATCTTCTCCTCAGCTACTTTCAGCCAACGAAAAGAAGCAACAACTCGACCGCCCTTGTTCTTCGGATCGAAGCGAAACCGACTAGGAGTACACGGCCTAAGGAGGCTGTGTATTCGAGACGCTTTCTATCACACCAAGTAGCGCTAGTCCCGCTGTTACCCATCGCTCGCTGTCTGATTCGTTTCTGAGTAGCCAGTACCGCAGTCTGACGGTAATCTCATACGCCGCAGTTGTGTTTGAAGAGACGCCTGGGCATGCATGGTCAGAGTCTTACGGCAGAGAAATCAAGCCCAGATTACTGACGACGCTTTGCTTTCCATTACTTCATAACTCGAGTTGCATTCTAGAAGGAGCCTGGCAAGTTTGAAAACAAGGAATGAGTTTAATTCGAAATTAGTATTATCACGATCGAAGAAGCGGACCGATCTGAAAGAGCACATGGCCCAACTCACGGAATCAGCATCTTCCCGTGTAAGCTTGTGAGACGCCTCTCACAAATTGAATGGATCCGCACGACGACAGCCAATCCTGTCTGTTTCGACCGTCAGACGTCTTCAAGCGCTTTCAGAACGGCGGGGTAGGCTAAGCCCGCAAAGCAACGGGTAGGCCCCTGCCGAGTGAAGACCCCGGCCCACCTCACGACGCTGATCGCGCGAGTCTAATTAGTGGGGTACTGGTGTTCTAAGTCAACTTCGACAGACAGAAAGATTTAAGATATGTTCTGTAGTCATATCTGCAAAATGTGTAATTCGATGGACGACCCTGACTTCGGAAACATACTTCTGGTTCTGCTGACACGGCGTTGCAGAATACGATTGTAAAGTTCACGTACCCCTGGAAATGGAAAATCATGCTGACTGCGCCTAGTTCAGTTCGGTCCTCTAGCTGAAGTCTCGAGGGAGGCGCCGAATCGCTTAGCTCGCTGCACTGCAGCCATCAAAGGGACGCTTCATGGCAAGTACAGCGGTGAGCTCTCTACTGCTAGCTCTCATTATAGCTCCTTCTCGCAGTCTTGACTCTGAATGAACATATCATTACGTCTTGCGGGTTTTTTGGTCGGTTTATGCTAAATTGAATCGTGTTCAGTGTGGTCAGCGAAAGGCCAGCCGGGCCGCGGTACCTGCCTGACACCTTAGCTGCTGCTGTGGCACTGTAAGGCCTGTCTCAAACTTATAAATAGCCATTATGTATTTGCATACAATGAAAAGGTATATTTCACTCCGAAGGTTTTCTGCCTGCTGAGCCATTATCAGCAAAATATTGTAATCTATCACAAAAAGAGAAGTCGAAGCTTCTTCACTCGTTATTTTGATTAGGCATATGGAAATCGCATCACCCAACCTCTTCCTCCGAACCAAAGCACAAACAAGGTTCATGTTGCCGCTCATAAAAAGTACGAGCACCACTGCTCTCGAGCTGGGTCGTTCACCTCTCCACCATGAAGCTTGCAGGAGCTATGGCCACCAGCATGGATCTGATCGGCCTAGACGCTGACATCCATAGCTCCCTTGTTCGCAGTGGTGTTCTCAAGTCTAAGCGTGCCAGATTGCGTATCAATCGGGAAGTAGTTGAGGTTTTTTGCTATCGCTGTATGATGCTCGCATTGTACGTTGACCTGATTGAACCACTGCGCATCGTTTCACTCGCGTTTACATCGGTACGGTCACACTAGTCGCCAATCTCGCTAGGTTTCTGTTGAGTAGACTCTTGCTGAAGATGACACAAATATCGCGAGAGCTCGTATGGTGGAGGATGAGTACCATGGTCTCAAGAATAATATCACCACGTTCTCCTCGAGTGTTTCAAGACTATCGAGCCAGTGCTGGACAGTCTGGACCGAGCCCAAGCAACTGTCATGCATTCTCCTACAAAGGATGGGTCAGATAGCTCGCTCACTTACCTCTGCGGTCCTTTCTTGAACCTACTCCAGCTTCTGAAAAGAAATACCAGGATGGGTATTACTGTAATTGATTACAGTGGATGTGAGTGAATACTGTCATGGGTCCTGTCGAGAAAACATACATGGAGTCTCGTCATGAGCATACTTGAGAGCGAGCTCCAGTGACACCTCAGAGATGACAATCTAGACCGTGAATTGGTCTTTCGTTGTTGAGACACTCCTCGAAGTCCTTGAAGTACAGGTTCCCATTGGATAAAGCCGCATCGTGTTGCAGAAGCGCACTGATCTGATTCGACACGGCTTAAAAATGGGATCTTTCAGGGTGCTCCAAGAATGTCTCATTATACCTTGATTGTTGACAAGAACTGATGATAAGTATCTGCAACGATGCCAAAAAGTAATTTTAATACCTGACGTGCAGCATTTATTGTATACGAAACATCGCAAGCCACTGATTGGAGACAGGAATTCTGTTTGACAATGTTCTGCTACCGATCTGGGGGCCCTGGCCACAATCAGCTGAGCAATATGGGACAGGCAATAAAGAAAAGCTTACGTGCTATCAGTTATGTAAACTTGCGAAACTTCAAGGACTCGCAGCCAGCTATCAAGAAAAGCGCCGCACCCTGGGACGCATCAAAGGGGTGCTTGACAACGTCGCCAGACGAACACAGAGTTGGCCTCCTAGGAGGATCCTCAGCTAAGAAGCGTAGATGCATATACGGCGACTCATGGACCAGCAGGTGTGTATCAGGTTATACAATGGATTAAGGTCCAAAACTTGGTTGCCGCGTCGGAAAGGAAGCCACCAACCAAGAGATAATACGCTTTATATTCCACAAAAAGGCTCAACTAATCTAGACTTTGCGCATCGAATTTTACAACCTACTGCATGATTCGAGAACAAGGGTCGCCACGATAGGACCGGAGACAAGTATACTCGAGCTAGCAGTCACTGCAATCCGCTTTATGGTTCAAAAAGCCATCGTTCATCAGTTCTGAGAAATGCTTTGTTGTAGTCTAAAACCGAATTGTCTTGTATCAGTCAAAGCCCATGGCTCGGCGTTGATAATGTACGGTGTAGAATTTTTAAGTCTTAAGCAGGACGGCCACCCTTGAGATCTAATATACTCCTGTTTAGCAAGGCTAGTGATGAATTTTGAAGGATAGCCCTGATCATAATACTGCCCTATAGCAAGCTTTCAGATCTTTCCCCAACCTATGGACATCGTCATTGTTCTCCTGCGCCGAGCTTTGCAGCCTCAGAGATGAATGGGATCCTCCTCCTAGATATCATACCATGGATGCGGACCGCATGTGAAGATATTTGCCAACCTGCGATTGGTCGCTTTTCTGATGAGCCAATTCATCTTCAATGGTCGGATATCTGTGGCCACATTGACATATTCTTTGAGCTCCTTCCAGATGAAGCCACTGCTGATCCCATAAACTCAAAGGCATCGTTTTCTGACAACAAGAAGAAAGCAACAAGCCTACAGCTGCAATAGTGGTGCTCTGCGCGGTTCGTGGTCGAGCCGTTTGCAGATGGTGATTTAGGGGTAGGGACGCCGCCTTAGAGATAATAATGCTGCTGTTATGTTACCCATGTCAACACACAGTTGATAAGCTGGTATCTTACCACGTTGTTCAAAATTATGTCAAGGTAATCTGTGCTCAGATATTGTGTAAGAGCGTTGGATGGAAAATGTGGATTTAATGCTACCGTAAGAGGTGACAGTGAAAGCATTGTCCACTTCTCACATGGTTAATTATGTTCCGAATCGAGTTTAGATCAGAAATAAACAAGGAGATTCTGTGTTATATACCGAATTATATGCTGTTCGCGAACCCCAAATAGACCGTTCGCTTTTGCCTCTGCAATGCTCAACCGTGCCTGTCTTGGCGACCATTGACCGTCGTACCCAGCTATGCATCTATGATATTCTCTCAAGCATCGTGACTATTTCCTAGCCCTGGATCACTTGTACCCCAAGTTGGGGTGTATTTCTTAGCGTATTTCTTCTTCTGATTATACCACCAAAATCGCCATACCACCAGCACTCCGACCGTCAAGGGGACGCTGACCGCCCAATATATCCAAAACTGGGGAACAATAACTCTCGTTGCCACTTGCTCACCTGTACCAGAAGATGTGACCGCTTGCCAATTGAACATGGACATGCTAAACATGGAAGCCACAAAAGTGGAAGGTAGAAATAAAGTGGTAACAAAAGCTAGTGCTTTCATGGCAGCAGCATCTAGGCCTGCATCTGCAGCGACGTTGAAATTGAGCGCTGCTACGTCAGAGGATAGCTTTGCTTGGGCTACAGACAAAGAAGAATCGGCTTGAGCGATGAAGGAGTACATCTACGCACGTGAGCCGACCGTAAAAGATTTTACTAAATAGAAACTAACCACGTTCAACTGAAGCTGTAATCTGGCTGTTAGGCTTTGCTGGTATTCCGTTATTGATTCATATTCGCATTTCAGATCATACACAATCGCCTTCATGTCTCTGTGTAGCCTTGCATCTACCAGTCCCTCTCTGAGTAGCTGGAAGTTGGTGTCCAGCAGGAACTGTATAAAACGAGCGTCGCATTTTATTGTATTTGTAAATCCAATGGCATCAGTGATTGCTGTACTCAACTTGACAGTAAGCTCTGCTCGCTTAAGGTCGCTTTCAATGAGTCCCTCGGGCCCTAGGCCTTTGCTGTGATGCAACCTCCGGCCAGCCTTTGTGACGCCCAAAGTAGCCTCTATTTGATGCAAACGTTGACCCAAGTCAAATCTTTGATGGTAGCTCATGCGGCGGATGCGTTCTTCCATCATGGCTACTGGAATTAAGAGAGGGTGATTGAAGAGATGTCCAGCTTGAGAGATGAAACACTGTATGGAGTCTATATGAGGTGTAGACGCCTCATTCGTAACCTTGTTTCTCGCTTCTATGACACTTGAACCATGTAGAAGGGCTCTCGTTCTCCCAGTCTTGCAATAAGATCTGAGCGCAAGACTGAAGTTACCCAGTTGGAACATTGGTGCAAAAGATACGGTGATGGCTGTTTCTCATAAATACATTTTCTTGGAAAAAACCAAGCTCTGCATACCTATAGATTCCACAGTGCGCCCATCTGCGTCGTAGTCGAAATGGCAAGTGTGTCTTCCTCGGGTAGTTTCGAAACATGAAAGGGCCTCTTCTGGGATCTGAAAAGCCCTTTCAACTTGCAGATAAGAGACTTTGCTCATACCAAAGGACGTTATTGTTTGATGCCACGTTGGTTGCTCTGACACAAGTAGACGTATCGTAGCATCCACATCGACCGCAGTTCCTTCTATATCTGCAGACAGCTCTTGCCCACTGAGCCAAGCCGACACATTTTCATCTTCTAGATAGTCGCGGAGCAGACTTGGTGGAAGTGCCTGTTCAGATCGATGCTGGGTAGCCTCGATATATGCTAATAGCTTGTGACCAGGCTGCCAATGGCTTCTGCGAAGAATTGCCTCCCGTTGCATACCAAACATGATATGATAAAGACTCCGTCGCAGCTTTTGGAGAAAAGTGAAGATACAAAGCTGTTTCTACTAGAGATCAAGAACCCCGCAGTGTGGCTTGCAGACCAGGCCGCACGAAACTCAGCTGTCGTAGCGAGTAGATTAGCCTGATTACCGCGGACGGTATGTGTCAGCGGGCCACACTTCTAAAACTCAAAAGTCAGAAGTCAAAGTTAGAAGTTAGAAGTCTCTATAGCCATTTTCTATAGAAGTCCCTTCTAGATCTAATAGTATTAATTAGATAAAGTTATTAGCTTAAGATTTCTATAGGATTTAAGTATAGATTTCTTTAATTTCTACTACTATATATTTATAATATAACTTTTATATATTATATAATACCTATCTCCCTAGAAATCTATACTAACTAGTTCTTTTCTAAGATTATATAATACGTTTTATACTAGGAGGGCTACTAAGACTATCTACTATACGCTTACTAGCTAAAGATAGATAAAGCTATAGTAGACTATTAGAGAAATAGCACGTAAACTTATTATATAAGAGATTCTTTATATTCTTAATCTTATAATTCTTACTATAGCGGGTAGTTACTTTAGTATATATATAGTTAGAGTATATATTATTAAAGTAGCTATATAGACTAATATAGTCTATATACATCTTAAATTTATTTATACTATTATAGATATAAATATATCTATTTATATAGTATAGTATTCTTAAATCCTAGGTTTAATATAAGTATATATATAATAACTAATTCTAAAGAAGGTATTACTAACCGCGAGAGTAGATAATAAAGGCCTTTATATATAAAGCCCGCTATAATAAGAGAGCCTTAGTCTTATAGATACTATAGCGTATAATAACTAGAGTAAGGGTACTATTATATATAGCGCGATTCTCCTATATTTAAATAGGCTAATTAGTAGCTTATATAATAATTAGATTCTATACTAAAGTTAGTATTAAATATCTATAGTTAGAATAGCTAGTATAAATACTAAAGGTATTAGGACTTAGCCTTAGGCATAACCTAATCCATATATACCTTAGCTAATAGGGTTAGAAGGTGGCGTGAAGGGCGGTAAATAGTTATATACTAGATAGATCGGCGTCCCTTTATATATATACTCTTAGATTTCTACTAAAAGGGTTTAGTAGTAATTCGTCCTATAATAGAATATACTATATTATTCTATCTAACTATACTACTATCTAATAACCCTATTCTTATATTCGAATTACTCTCTATATAGTACTATAGTTAAGATAGTCTAACTAGAACTAAGAAGGTCGACGCGATCTACTATAGGGATAAGTAATACTATATTAAATAATAGGGATCCTCTATAATTAGTATTAATTCTAGCCGCTTCTAACTAAGAAGTAGAGATATTAGACCGAATTATAGAGCTTTTAGATAAAGAAATAGTAGAGACGCCGAGTAACTTCTAATAATATAAAGTAGGATAATAAGTCGTGGTAGAGCTACGCGAGATATTATAATAAACTATCGCTAAACTTTAGGAATACGTTGCGAATTAGACTTAAGAGATTTAAACCCTTAAAGAATAGGTAGAACGCACGAAACTCCTTATAAAGAGACGAGAACTTAAGAAGTCTCTTAAAGAACTACGCCGAATAATAGTAGATAGACGACTTCCTATACTAATTTAGGCGGAATTAGTTCACCTACTATTAGAGTTATAATAATCTACTATATACCCGGCCGCTTCGTTACTAATTTACTCTACTCCTTCCCTAGGTATACTAAAATCTAAAGACCCGACTATATTTATAGAGAAGAACTAAAAGGAGTAGAAAGACTAGAAGAGAGACTACGAAAAGTACTTCCTTAATAACCCTCTACTCTTTTCTACTAAAGTATAATATATTTCGTTTAGAGAACGATACCTAGACTTATAATCCCGCGATTAATAGGATAGATAGAAGGAAGTATAGCTACTATCTATAATAACCTAGAAATATTTAGCTATATTTATATTAAACACTCTCGGAACGGATAGAGAACGTAAAAGAAAGGTACTATCTAAGTTAAGAAGCGTGGTATAATAACCAAACTAGACACCTACTTAACTACTATAATACCTCTAAAACCTATAGAATAATATCCCTATACTATAGGAAAATATTTATATATTCTAGTTTTGCGAAGTACTACTTCCGTTAATCCGTAAAAGACTAGAAATAGTATTATTAAGTTTTAACTATCTATATAAATTAGAGGAGAAAGGTAATAAATACTACCGCATTCTTAAGGAACGCGGCTCTCTAGGTAAAACCAATAAACTCTATACGGGTTAGAAACGAGGTTAATTAAATACATTCGATTAAGAGTAACCTTACTATAATTAGTACTAGAAGAGCGTAAATCGGGGTAGAAACGCGTTAAGAGAATACTAAAATAATCGAGACGGTACTTCTTAATATAGAAAAGGATAAGGTATAGACTTAAATATAACGCCTATTATAAAATAGTAGGATTATAGTATACTTCGTTACTATAAGTATAGAGAAATAGAATATATTTTATCTAACTATAAGAATCCGAAAAAAGAGTAGGCTAGTATATAAGATCTAACCGCGTTCTTAGCTAAATTATATATACTTAGAAGGAGCTATAGCGCCTTCTAGTAAGTAAAGACCTAATATTACTAAAAGTATTATTACCTATAGTAAATAGTAATAAAACTATATAGGCCCTTATAGATACTAGTATAGAAGATAACTATATTTTATTAATTCTTATAAAGGAGTATAGATTATCGTATAATCTCGGTAAAGTTAGCTAAACTATTATAGTTAATAGATATAAAGTTAGAACTTTAGGTAAAGCTATAATAAATTACGAAGTTTATAACTCGAAGATAATAAAATAGTAGATATCTAATAAATTTATTATAGCTAATATTAGCTAATAGAATATAATTCTAGAGATACCTTAGCTTAGATATCTAAACCCCATCCTTAATTTTTAGAAGGAGATATTAATATTCTAATAATACTATAGTAAATTATACTAGTAAGTTATAACTATTAGTAAGGAGGTATATGTAAACTTAACCTCTACTATATCTAATAAGTTTATATAAGGTACTTCCTTATTAG